AGCAAGCATCGTGGTGGGACGTGATCCTAAAACTCCCCCAACTTGCACGAATGCAGAGTTATTGTGTGGTGCTTCACTGCTTCAGAACCCACTGCTTAACGTTAGAGGCCATTAGTCTCCGTCACGCGTCCCACTTCTATTGCGACAAGTCTCTCTGTTGACGATCCCAGCCGCCAATGCGAATGCTAATTGTCAACGCCAATACTTCTCTCCATGTCTCAAAATGTTTCTTCCGTCGGTTGACAGACTAGCATCTCGAGGTGGCATCGACTAATCGGAGGAAATGTCAATGCATTACAGATATTCTCCACTGTCTCACAGAGGATATCGAGCACATTGGTGGACTTTGGAGTATCAGTCAAGGTTCCCTGGCAGAGCTCTCCAAGAGTCTCCAACCTCGGGCTTTGGCGAACAGGAACTGTCCCTCTATCTAACCGGATTCCAGAATCAGCCCTAAACGATTTGGAGAAGAGACCGGGTATGATATGTTGTGCTTTGCCGTCCCTATTCTTGCTGATTTCCAAGAAACCTGTCGTCATCTTTTAGCATGGCTCAAGGCACATAAACATCCCTTGAGAGGCTTGAGAGGTCCTACAAATCCCCAGAACCATTGGTCCAGAAACAGACATATCTCCATGATCCAAGGGTAAAAGAGGTCAGGTGCATCAACGGCCCACAGCTGGAGGCTCCCGCGACCCCTTTGGGATTGGATGGGATGCTTGTCAGTTTGACGATTTGCCATTCGTTAGAGTCTTGTCCTGAACCTGGAGTTGATATGAGCGATGTCGGCTGGTCATCCAGAGTGGAATTGAATCACAATGACGCTATCTTGATATGTGAGATGGCTAGTAATTCCTGCTTAACGGTCGACCGAGCCGTTATTCAACGTTTTGTGTCGGGAATTTATGCATCTCTCCTTGATGAATGACACTGCCAGGGCGAAGATGGAAATTTTGACAACGAAAAGGTCTGTCACACCACGCACTTAGACGTGTGAGACCAGCCCGAGCCAATTCAGGCACTTTATGGCACTTCATTTCATCCACGCACGTTCTCCCTCCCTTCTCGACGCCTATCATTCTTATCGGTCTATTTCAACCCCTGCACACCACTTTGATGACTTTGTTACCAGTCGGGCAATTAGCCACGACCTTACCAATTAGTTTGGGTATCAGGCCTTTCCACTTCGCACAGTACTGTACAGTACACAATATCCGGACAAGACAAGACACATCAACATTGGATGTTGGTGGTCTTCCCCCAGTCACCGTGCTCTTAGCTACCCCAAATTCTGTTTAGCGGAGTCTAGCCCGTAGCCCGTATCCCATCCCCCCAGACCAGGCTCTCTCTCCTTAGATGGATGGAGTAATAAAAGAGAATCTGGGGCTGTTCCTCCCCCCGGTCTGGGGGAGAGCGGACGTTGCGTTGCGTTGCGTTTTAGCAGAGCAGGCCCCCTTGTTGTTGACGGCGCACACACCATCCAGCAGCAACCCATCCCTGGCTTCCCCAGATTCTGCTTTGCTGTTTGTGGTAGACAGACAAGACAGGTCAGGTTCGTGGAAATGAAGACCCAAGATTACTACAGTGCTACGGACCACGGTATGGCTGATCTTGACGGCCAGAGAGACACGACTGCGAGAGAAGCTAACGCCCCGAGCGCTCCTTTCGACGCCCGCCTTGACGCGTCCTCGGATGTCACGGTTCTTTTCAAGTCCGACATATCCATTGCCTGTCCCTGAAATCCAAAGTAAGATTCGCGGCCGCTTCAGCAAATGCGTATGCCGTCTCTCCATTGGTGATCAGGCCCTATCCAAACTGTTACATCGCCGTCGGATCAGGAACTAATAGCGAGTTTGCTTGCTCACGAGGAGCATCAATTTGAGTCGAGACTTAGTATATCGACGGAACAACCCATCAACGGGTTATTGCCGTAATTGAGGCTCAGAACGCCCCGTGGTCTACAGACCAGCACGGACGGAACTAGTCTCCTGGCTAGACGGAAAGCAGAACAGGTTTGCGTTGTTGAAGCCTGAAGGGCGCTTCACAGACGATCTGAGGTTTCTCTGGTGGATACCCAGGGCTCCGTGCGAGTCGAAAGGAACCAGACTTTGTCAATATCGAGATCTTTTGAGATCTGGAACTAGAGCTGGAACATGGAGATGAAGAGTCGTACTCTGTATCCGTACACAGCTCGACTTGATCTTTAATACTGTGGCGAGGCATCTCGAACTGGTTTGAAATCAGCCATTGAAACGGTGTCTACGCTAAACATCCCAACTAAAGAGAGCCACGGGGTCGGTAAGCTAGCAGCGCTCCAAGGCCTTGTCATTTCCCTTCTCCAGTGCCACAAAGCGGAGCACGACATAACAAACAATAGCAAACATTGCCAAGTCGGATATAGAGCGAGCTACGGGGCATAAGCAACCTGATTCAGTGTAGTTACGCCATTGAAGCATTGTTAAGTCATGATAAGAGAAGCGAAAGTGATATGCGATATTTCAGTAAAGACCAGGCCTCGGGAAGCTGCAGGGGCTGCCACACCACACGAGATATTTTGGGTTTGGCCCACGAACGGCGGGACTTGTGGCGTTTTCCTGACAAGGAAGTTGAGTGGCAGAGCACCTAGTGATTGATGAGGTCCCTTGTGAGTTATTTACAGACTTCCATTGTCAATCACCCTTGTTGTTGTTCCTTTTTCCAGGGAGACTTTTCTTTTGCGCCACGAGGCAAGGCCAGTCTGTGAGAAAGTATTGAATAGTCTCCGTAGTCTCCTGAACTGCCGGGAGTTAATTACGCATCTGTCTGTGCTGAACAACAAACGAACTGTAGTTCATCAGCTGAACACAAGCTGTGCCGACTAGCGGAAGTTGTTCCGTGGTGGTTAGAAGCGGCCATTAGAGGCAGCCAGTCATGTGGCGTGGAACGAAGTAAAGATGAATCCCGTGAAGGCCAATAAACAATCGTATGGTTAATCCTCGGGCCGGGGAGACAGCTGCTGCAGCTGCTGCAGAACGCTGAGAAGCTTATCACATTCGGCAAATGTTCCAACTACGTAATGGCAGTGGGCTGGGATGCCTCTGCAAGACGACTGTGAATAGCTAAAGCTACCTGGTGCTGCATATGCATCTGCATCCTGCAGGTTTCGGGTGTACATTCCTCTCTTGCCCAGGTTCCACTGTCGAGACAGTAGCGAGCAGGCCATCGCATTGACAGACTGACGAGACGGAGATGACATTCGGTCTGTTAGCAGTGGCGAGAGTGGCGCTCACCAAAGATGACTACAGTACCTACTCCGTAGATAGGTACATATTAAGTAGAAACAACATAAAACTTGGTTCCAAGCGTGCGAACCGGAACTACAATAGCTGAATAGCCCAACTCGACTCGGGCAAAGTCCTCTTTGGCGCTGTGCTTCCAAGTGATCTACGTCGAGATGATCAGCAGGGTCCTGAAGCCTCTGGGCGAATCACCAACGAGTCTCGCTGTGATCATCTCAGAATTTTCGTTTTTAAAAAATAAAAATAAAAAATCTTTCGTTCTGTTTCGCTTCTTCGGGGGCGTGGCATGTCATAACTCAGCAGTTGGCAATACAAATGTATCAAACGGTAGGGAAATATCATGCAACTGCCGCAGGCATCGGAGCATTATCGCCCTTTGTCAGGTCGAGAACGATTCTTGATTTTGGGCTACAAGACCTTGGGAAGATCTGCGATGCGACTTGACGTACGAAGGCTGCTGGGGGTTGCAACGTCTACCACTCTACGGAGCACAACGTTTTAGTCGGTCTTGCTCTCGGGAAGTAGCCCGGCAATTGTTTTTGTTTGTCGCGACAAGTCAAGTTTATGCGTTGACTGGAGACTGGAGCCTCTTGTTTCAGAGGGTGAAAGCTATGGTTACACAGAGAAAAGGCGCAGAAGATTGGAGTGTCGAGTGATTGATTAATCGCTCACTTCATCAGCGGCCACTGGCCAATACATGATGGAGAAGAGAGCAAACTGACCAAACTGATTCCTGCCACCGTTTTGGAGCCCACTTTAAAGGTGGCATCTAGAACTCGGCTGCGAAGCCTGCGATGAGAAAGGAACCACTAGAATCCACGCAAGGTGCCTTGTTAGTCGACGACTGCGTGCAACAAGTGGGACTGCGAGGCAACAGAATTAGAAACTCTGTATGGAGTACGGTATCCATACGACATTATGAGATACGGTAGGCTTCTCGACCGTACTCGGACTAATAAGCTGGTGACTCACACTGGGACTTTGACGATACTGTACATCAATCAACAGCCACAGCCGGGGTGTCAATCGCGTGGGGGTGTTTCTTAGGTTTGTCTTTGTCTTCCAAGCACTGTGATCTCACTAAATTCAGCAAAAGATCAGAAGTGTTGCCTTCTATTTCATCTCGACTCGATCGATCAATGGGTCGGGTGGTTTGATTAAGCGCCGTATTAATTATCGAGCTATGCTTTGGGGGATCGAGAAACGCAGCACCCCGCCAGTTCGACGCCGTCTCATGTCTCATCAATTGACTCTGCATAAGGCTGGTCTTAGCTGAGTTGTAACTTAGTGATTGACTACCCTCCACCAAAAGCCTCAATTCTCTGCATCTCGACTTCAAGCTGCTGAATTGTTTTTCAATTGTTGGTGATAGATAGAGCGCCCAAATGCCCAGCCTGGTCCCTCGTCATCATTCCAGGTTAGCTGAGCCATGTGCAGTGCGTCTATTGGCTGGAAACGGCATACGTCATAGTAGAGGCCCGTTCCAAGGCCAAGATGATGGAAAACCAGGCTGAAGAGACAAAGGAACCGTGGTTAAATCTTAGTATAGTGCTCACGTCTTTGTTAAAAGTTTTCCTAGGAATATCAACAACAACAATAACAGATATTTTGAATTAATTGGTGCTATTCCTCGTGTTTATATAGCTTCAAGGGCGGCTAACTACACGCTGTGATACCACTTACACGACCTGTACCACCACCACCCTCAAGTCTCACCACACCATGAAGCACTTTCTACTCCCCCTCGCCTCTCTCCTCATAGGCTCCAGCCTCGCTGCAGATGTCACAATCACAGCTCCAGTATCCATTCCCTCCAATGAGCCCGAGTGGAAGGAGAGCAAGTCTTTCACGTCGGCCATCCTGAACAGCACCAATTTCTACCGCGAGGAGCACAACGCCACCTCTCTTGAGTGGAACAAGACCCTTGAGGAGTTTGCAACAGACTACCTCGACGACCTCGACGACTGCGAATTTGAGCACTCCGGTGGTCCCTATGGCGAGAACCTCGCTATAGGTTATCCCAACGTCACCGCCAGCGTCGAAGCGTGGGGTGACGAGCGCGACAAGTATGACTTTGACGACGCTGAGTTTACCGAAGAGACGGGCCACTTCACCCAGCTTGTCTGGAAGGACACCACTACTGTTGGCTGTGGGAGGAAGTTGTGCGGTGAGAAGGGATGGTATCTTGTCTGCGAGTACTGGCCCAGGGGAAATGTCAAGGGCCAGTTCAAGGATGAAGTCATCAAGGAGGAGGGCGGCGCGTTCTCGACGAGGCCTGGCCTTGGATTGGCGTTAATTGTGTTTATCGGATACCTTCTTCTTACGGTGTAATGGGAGCATGTTTGGTTTAAGCGTTGGTTAGGCGCATAGGGTAGATGGTGCATGATTGGACTCATGCTGGACGTGAGCTATGTTAGCTACGTTATAATTCATTTTGTATATATTTATTGTTTTAGAATAGTTACTATGAGTATATGAGATACTAATCTTGGCGTCGTCTTGCAATCCACTTCAGGCTGTAATTGTGCACTCTCTACACCCGTCCTCTTTGACTCTTCCTTTGAGATACATGAACTTGTCCATACACTCCTACTCAAATGCCGAAAATAGATAGTTGGATTCTGTATCTCTACCTAATCGCAAATGATTGTGATGTTCCAACAAACGAAACATTGACCTACGATTTGTGTATTGACTTTAGAGTCAATGGAACACCAGCTACCAATTACTTGATTTCAGTCAACAGCTGTCTCGTTTATTCAGGCGGCATTTCCCTTATTTTGTCACTTCTAGACTATGCAATTGCTAATCGCGATGGGATATCAGGGTGGTGAACATGTGTCAAGTCTTCAGAACAGCTGTGAACTTGGGTGAAATGTCACACAAGCGGTAACACCGTGATAAAGTTTTCTCACTTGATCTTAAGTCACATATGAGAGCAGAATCACAGATATGGGAACATCACTTCATACTTGTTCCTAGGTGTACAAATAGGCCAAGGCTTTAGGCTAGATCACTCTCATTTACATGACCTGACAACATCATCGAACTATATATACAAATATCAACAAACATGGCATCTAGCACAGACACTCTCAATATTTATACACTCTTCTCAAAGTGCATTTCGACTTTTGATGCACTTATCAACGAAGCCAAACACCAATCCAACAAACTCAAGCAGAGCTTCCCATCAGAAGCAGCCATCTCGGGCTCTCGTCAAGATTTCTACCAATGGGGTAAAAGCTACGGTGCTAATCTCGATCCAGCATCGACTATATCTCTCAACTACAAGTTCCGTAATAAGGAATACACCAGAACTACGGTACAGTCACATCTTGGGCACTTACTCGACGACCTCGAGGGCCGTAAGTTTTAGCTCGTTCTGATGTGAGTCTGTAAAGCCATGATACTGACTTTGCTACAGTCCAGAAGTTATATACAGGGGAAACTAAACAGGGGGACGCAACGGTGATATTCGGTAGGGTCGAGAGCGTGGTAAGTGAGCTGAAACGGTTCATGGGCCATCTTCCAAAGGAGTTATGGCTTGACTCGAAGAGATGGGAACTAGTGGTATGATGTAGTCAAGTATGATAGTGATACTAAAGCATCACAATACAATTTCCGCAAATACTTCTTATTGTGTTCCCCTACCGTAAACCCTTTCGTCTGAGTTCCATAACAATGTGGCAGTCGCCTGCCGATGGGCAACGGAACTCCGAGGCAGGAACCTTGAAGTAACGAACCCATAACAAAATATCACTCTTCTATTTTCCAAAGGAACCCGCCAACCTATTATAATAACATTACCGTGCGCTACACCTCTACCGTTCGTTATCCCTACAACATCACTGCTCATCATGAATACGTCGACTAAAAGCTTAGGGCAACTGCATGCTCGATTTCCACGTTTCCTAGAACTACCACTCGAAATCCGCTCTATCATTATGAGATACTACATCGAGCCATCATGGAACTGGTCAGGAGACTATAACGCACTTGGTCAAGCCTAGTATACTTTGATCGATTTTACTGTGCCAGCATTCACATTCGAAATTGGCTTTCAGAACATCACCTGGCTCGAAATACAATTCTTCGGCTACCTTGCCTGCGACTACTGTCTCTTAAAGCCCCAAATATTCGTGATATCTGGCCTACAGTGTTTAGAGTATGTCGGCCTTCAGTATGATCGGAATTCGAACCCTTTCAAGGAAAACATTTTACATCCCGGCCTACGTTGTGGCGATATCGCTGCGAATCATCAGAAGTTCATGGAATTCCACCTGAGAGGTTGCCAATCAAGCGGATAGAGTGACGAGTGTTGGCAGCTCATTAAAGACAAGACAATTGTCAGTTCTGGGTCGTCACCCACGTTGCGGATATGGTTCAATACTCGGCGCAATAAGGAGAGAAGGTGGAAAGCTTCATGTTTCGGACCTCTGGGACCGGAATCGATCGATATAATATCGTCATCGTTGCCAACGTTACTGCGATGATTAGACCTTGCAATCACGATGTGAAGTCGATGGCAAATGGAGGTTGTGTATAACAAGATTGTGGGTAGAGCTTTGTGCTTAAATTCGATGCTTTAATGTACAGCGATTCTAGTCAGAAGGAGCAATTGTAATGCTATAGTCATTGCTACAGTACAATTAAATCAGAGGAAACCATTCACACAATGCCAGACATGATCTGTTATCGACCGTGGAGTTGTACTATCTGATCTGTCATTTGTAGTACTATAGACTAGTCGTGCTTTTTGATGTCCCTCCCTAAAAAATAAACGATCGAACATAAGTCAACATTCAATCTGAGCGTATGAGAGTAGCCATCTGGTTACGAGGGTTCTCTTATGTTACTTAAGGTATCTTCCGTTCCTCCTGGCGTGAATTGTGACTTTCTACTTGTGTGTTAAGCAGCCTACCCGAGAGCGTAAAAGACCCCGGAAAAATATTGCCCCACTCCCGCTGAGATTTTGGGTAGGCGTTCAAAGCTCCCACTTTGGATCTTGCGACAGCAGAATCGCGGTGATCAAACAATCGAACCTCCTTATCTCTCGTTTCGATCTCGATCTCCTGCCGCAGCAACATCTTCCCACATATTCAAGACCCTTTGCGCCTACTCTCACAAAATGACTGGTCGCGGTGGTGGCGGTGGTCGCCGAGTTCTCGTTCCTCCGATGTAAGCCTCGAGCTCCCTACAGCGACATCGCGACGCGATTGTTTGCTTTCTGGATGTTTATGGCATTGTACTGACCTCTTTGTAGCAACTTTATCTTCAAGCTTCTTCAATCAGTGAGTTTTAGCTTCTTTACGTGCGCTGCCGACCGCGAGAGCGCTTGACCGCCGATGAACCTCGAAAACACAACATCGTCCCAAATTTTGCTCTTCCTGGTGTCGAAATAAGAAACGAGAGATGAGCTTGATGTTTCTGGCATGGTTGCTATATGGGGGCCAGGCTCAGGGTTGTGTTCTGGGCAGATTGGCCGTGAAGGAACGACAACCCCCCGAAGCTGCTTAACCATGGCAGACGTCGTTTGGACACCGCATCTTCTCAGCAGAGGGAGAGGGAGAAGGGATTGAATTGTGTTTTCGAGGATCAGCGACCGGATGCACACGATGACAGTATATCGCGAATCATTGCTAACAATCACAGCACGCTACAGTCAGTGTCTGGCTGTACGAGCAGCTCTCTATCCGAATTGAGGGCAAGATCAGGGTCAGCAAATACCAAAATCTGCTCTATGACCACCGCTAACTGTACCAGGGCTTTGATGAGTTCATGAACTTGGTCATCGACGATGCTGTGGAGGTTAAGCAAGTTACCAAGACCAACGAGAAGGAGTCTCGGAGACCCCTGGGTAGGATATCATGTCCCCCTGTGTTTACAGTTTACTAATATCGCCAAGGCCAAATCTTGTTGAAGGGAGACAATGTGTCATTAATCCAAAGCATGAGCTGAAGAGTTTAGTAGCGAAACCTGGACTGGACTGGATTGGACGTGTGGATTTCGGAACAGGTGGACATTGAGTCGGTGGAAGCAAGAATGGATACCCGCAACCGCCTGGCCGATCGAAGGCCAAAGATGCACTTCTTAGTCGTGGCAATCGGTACCCTTTGAGTACAAAGTCCGTCACGACACAGATGGGTTGAAGAGCGTGGAGAACGAAGACTTGCCCTGGCCATAAATCTTGTGTTGTCTTGTAGGAGACATCTGTGAACCAATAAACACATGTACACCTTTAAATTTCTGCGTTCCGCGTACGGAAGCGTTTTATACGCCATTGTATACGCCAATGGATGTCTAGGTCATATCAGAGCTGTGTTGTAACAAGCTTCGAGGCGTTCTTTTCACTGAAGGTATGCACGAGAAGAGTGTTGGTTAACATCTCACTTGCATAACATTAGTGTGCCTACAGGCGTAGTTCCCAAGTTTGGAACCTCGTAGGATCTCTGACGTTTGCCTTCTAGGTGACCGAAAACACCGTCGCTGAGATCAGTGATGAACCCCTGGATACGCAGCTATTGTTGTTGAGCTGAACCCACAAGTGCACCCACATCTGCGACCAGGTCGGAAACGGCTGCTTGAAAGTTGCAACACCATACAGCAGCCACAATCCTTCGTTCTTTGGCCCTGCCAGGTTTTGAAACCCCAACGGAATAGGGCGGAGGCACTTCTTCTGCCAAATTTGGATTATTGCATGTATGCATAAGTGAGAAGCTGCCACATCGCACCCAAGTTGGGAGAGGGAATGCAGTCAGAGCATGTCATGCGAATGTCCTACGACATCAGCAGTTATTTTAGCTGGAGCAAGGATAGTTTGTGTTTAGAGCTCCAGCTTCCCCGCGTTTCGTGAGATTATCGCATGATTAGCAACCAGTAGGATTACGTTCCCAGCGCTGGATGCTGCAGGACGGTTTCATGGTGTGACTAAAGTCTGGTTCGTTGAACGGCGAGGCTTGAAGCCGATGCATACAATAAAAAGACTGTACATGTACCAACAATTGCCAGGGTATGAAGTATCACCTATTGACTGGCACTGTAGCTTGAAGCGCATTGTTTGACGATGGGCTTTGTGAATTGGGGTGGATTTGCATCCATGTCACGAGTTGGGCACTGATATAGAAATGCCAACTAGATAGAAGCAAGCTTTCTTACTACGTACTAGTATGTCGATCGAGATATCTGCCGACTTTGACTTTGCCATCAATCTTGGAATTTATGACAAACCAAGAGGATGGTAACTTGGTAAGGTGTTTCATTCGACCGGCCGGACCCCAGGCTTGAACGATGCCGAATCTGAACTGGGCGAGGCTTGTCTAGATCAAAAAACAAACGCCTTCCCGCTTAATCTGACTGCTCAATCTCAGCCAGGGGAGTCTGGACCCTGGAAATTGGTCGTTGTATCCGTAGATTTGTTGCAGTTGTTGTCTGGGCTTCTTACCATCACCTAATTGTCATGTTATGCCTACATTCAATAGTAGTTTGGCTAGAGCTTGATGGTATTCTGATTTGGTCTCCTGGATAAGATATTTCCTCTATGATATATCAATTCTTCGTTGAGGATGATCGACGTTCGCGGGATACGTGAAGAATATGCACCCCGGATTTTCTTCCCCGCATCTGTAGTGGGGTGTGGAGACTATGGATGGAAGAACTCAATATTGGCTTGTTACCGAGTGCAACTTATGGCTATTAAATAAAGGTTGCGCGGCAGAATGTGGTCCAGGCCCCGAATAAGCCTCTTGGGTTATTCAAGTTGTTTGTTGGAAACAGTTTTGGTTGGCTACCTAGGTAGCTAAGATCGCCTGGCTCAAGATTCGGCAAGCAGACGAATAGGATGGAGAAAACTCCTAATCCTTCAATGAAAAGAGGCATTATGCCTGATGACTATGTTGTTGGCGATTACCGCTATTTTAAGGAATAGATGACTGGAAGTATCTAGACAGCTTAGTGAATTGCAAGTGGTAGATCCCTAGGTTGCTTTACTGTAGACAAGTCTCAAGCTACCCCAGCCCTACTCAGTACGGTTAGAACCTAGGTGTAGCCACGGAAATAGCTCTTATTCTCTGTCCCGTTTATGCCGAGGATTGTGTTAGTCGTCAATATCCGGATTGCGAGGTCGGCGAAGTTCCACGGCGCTTTGTAGTGGAGCTACTGCGCTAATTTAATGACCTACTTGGGCGGAAATCCGCGGCTGAGACAGCTGGACCACAAACTTGAACAAGTTTCGGCACGCTCGTCCTCGACTATGATGGATCTGGGTTGACGTTGTAGATAGGCGAGCCCGGCGCGGATTTTATATTCGATCCTGTGGGTCGCAGTATTCATGATGGCATTTCACGTCTTGTTCAGACTATCCCCCCTTGACATGCTGTAAGATATGGGAACGTAAAAAGGTACGGAGTGCGGAGTATTACACATGGCCGACGTTTACTGGGATTGAAGAAAGAAAAAGTTGATCCCTGTTTGGTTGGGGCTCAGCGAATGTTTAGGTCATACCAGGGGGTTGCAAAGAGGCTTTCGCAATTGGCTAGACACACGCACGCGACATGCAACGCGAATCCCTTTGCGGAGAGAATGCCAGGGAGTCTTTGCCTGATGCTGAAGGTTGCTTCTTTTCTTTTTCTGTCTTTCTTTTCTTTTGATGACCCGGTAAAAAGATCTGCAACTTCTGCTCAGGTTCGGTAGCCCGGGGCAGGATACGGGCTCTTGGCATGGAGAAATGCACATTCTGTCATAATCTCAAAGTGATAGATTTGTTTGGAGTTGCCCTTTTCTCGATTGACATGAGTACAATCCCTTGTTACTCAGAATTGCCCGATGTCAACGACAAATTAATAGCAAGTCCCGGCCCCCCTTTCCGCAAGACTACCAGAGTCCAGTGGGCCCAGATGAACTCGCCATTGGGACTAAGAGTTAAAGCTATAACCGAAAGAGGAATAAACCATGCGATGGGCTGGTAGATCCTCCAAGCGTAGTTTTCCAGGCTGTGCCAGTTTAGCAGTGATCCTATCCCGAATGACCCGGGTGGTATACTACCTACACTGGACTGGACGTTGGGCCAAGTTGGAGGTAGTGAGTTTGTGCCGGCCACCTACCAACAGGTACCAGGTATGTACGGATACGGATACATGGACTGTTGGCTAACTTGCTGAGAGCGGCTCTGTCTTGGAAATATCCACTCAAAGGGACAAATGTAGGACCCACTAACTAATGCTTGTCTATTCATCCTTGAAATGCTGGAATGATTTTCCCCGGGAATCCTTTAATTACTTTATCGAACTTCCAGTGACTAGAAAGACCATGGTTACTGACTGGTCACGACCTACCTTCTGGCTGCTGCAGGTGCCCGTGTCATTTTCGCATCCAGGTCTGATCCTGGCTCCAATGCTCGTACTCAATAGGCCTAGTACCTGGATGTCTTAGCCTGGTGCGGGGGAGAGTGAGACTTCGTTCGGAAAAGCGGAGCCCACTAAAGCCCGGAACCCAGCTACCCAGTGCTCCGTACAGCACATCAATAGCAGGGCTGGCCACTGTAGAGCCGGGCATCAAAAGACTTCATTCCACTGAGGTGCCTCATCCCTGTGCCTGGATTGGCCGGGCTCCAGTGGTCTCGAGCACCAACATCGGCGCGCGGGGCTGCGCGGCAAATCTCATTCATCCATTTTTGGGCCCCTTCCCCAAGCTTCTTTCTCAATCTCAACTCAATCTCATAACCTTCCACTAACATTCATCTTGGAACAGTCACTTTTCATTGTCGCTCAGTCCTGTATTATTTCCGATCATTTATCTCTCTTCACATTAGGGTCTATTGCTGTCGCTGTGCCCTCGACGCGACCCTTCACTGCTATAAAGCCTTGATATCTTGGGACCCTGGCCCCGCGCTGCCGTCCATCGCTCTATTCGTAACCCTCCCGTACTCCGTCCTCGGTCCTCCGTGCCCCGTACTTGGTGCAATGAGACGCCAGAACCGTTCGTGCGACCAGTGCCGCAAGGCCAAGCGGGCATGCGATGCGCCCTCGCTGTGGGACATTCAACGAAATTCAGAGAGGCTTCGAAACGGTGCCGACGGCGCCGGTGGTGCCTCTCTCGCAGAGGAGCATCTTGGTGAGTTTGTTTCTTCCTTTCTTCTCCGACTAACAACCCTACTTCCCCTCATCGCGTCCTTTTCCGCTGTCGACGCCGCTAACCTAGGGGCCGATGAAACCTCTTAGATGAGATTGATTCTAGATCTCTCCGATGTTCATACTGCCTGCGCACTCGCAAACAATGTACCTTCAACTGGGTTCGAGCTCAGTTACAGACCGGCCCTGCTACGACAAACACCACGGCAAGCAACGAAGCTACCTCTGAAAATGGCGCCCACCCTCGCCGTGTTCCCGATCAGTCGCGCACAAAGGCCAAACGTCAACGGCCGCGCCCTCAGCAACAGCCAGGACCTTCGCCGGCCCAAGCGCCACTTCCCAACCAGGCGTTAGATGTTAACGCAACCGCTTTGCTGGATATGCTGCAGGCACCTCCGACGACGCACGATTTGACCTGCTGGGGACCGATGGACACTACTGGCTTCGCCAACTTTCCAGCCTTTCCCAGTACCACATTCGATACTATGCCTGTGAATGGCGTCTTCGATCCAACTGTTTTCGACGCCAACCTTCACAACAGCGTCTTGCATAGTCTAGAGCCTCACTCTACACCACAACACCCACATCCTATGGACCTTACGCCTTCCAGTGAGCTTAGTGGTCATGCTCTGCATACACATCATCAAACTACAGACGAGGAAAACGGCGAAAACGGATGGCCACTTTTCCAGACTCACTCGGTTGGCAGCGATGTTCCTTTCCAACCCTCACCTTCCGGCTCCAACTCGTACGAAAGCGATATCTCTTCAAGATCACTTAGCGTTCGCCACTACCCAGAGAGTATGGCAAGAAGTTACAGCACTTCAATATCGCCATTTTCAGTAACACACAACATGATGACTAAGACGAACAACAACCTGATTTCAGATAACTTGATGAGGATATACCACGACGTCCTAGAGCATGCTCTGTCTTGCTGGCTATCGGAAGAGACATGTCCTTATAAACCCAACACAATTACTCGACCGTCTAACAATGGCGTGAGTTGGCTTGCATCTCACTTTGAGGGACTTAGCGTTGGTCAACCGAAACAGCAAGACAATAGGATTTACCGACGTGTTATTCAGCTTGACAAGAATGCACAATCGACACGACTTATTCGACTTAGCAAATCCGATGACCGAGCTGCCAACAAGGCTTTGCATTTAGCCATTATGGCGTTTGCCACCCAGTGGGCGCAAGGTAGCCAACGTGAGCGAGACAGGTTTCCATCAAGCCTGACACAGATGGATAGCATGAGATCTGAATTCGATGATATTAATGAGGATTTCGACCGAACGCTTCAGAGGACGTTCTGGGCCCAGGCTAAGCGCGCGTTGCAGGATTGTTCTGATATGGAGTGTTTCCGCGTGGTTTGTGCTGATTTAATAATGGGACTGGCGCAAAAGCCGAGGGACGAGGAAGACAACAACGACGCGCCATACACCACGAGTAATTTTGATGGGGAAAGCCCCATCGCCTCGGGCGAGGGATCGATTGCTTCTCAACTCAGCGAGATCATCGCCGCAGAAGGCCCCCCGGTCTTTATGGAACGGGCCGCGAGAAAGATGCATGCTCTCAAGTTCCAGTACGAAGCTCGGGAAACAGGTGTTTTGGATGTGTCTGGAAGTTCCCTAGGACTGGAAAAGGCTACATCCGCAGAGTCTCTGAGCGAGGAGGACAAGGGTACTATTGGCCTCGTTTACTGGATGACAGTAATGTTCGATACTGTGTCTTCGTCCATGAACGGTCGACCTGTTGTTGTTTCGGACGAAGAGTGTCACCATGATCCGACGTATCCCGACCATCCTGAGCATGAATCTTACAACATTGAGTACCGGCCGCAGGATGCCAGGTGGTGGGCAGAACTTTTCGTGCGCGAGAACAGGGAGGGAGTTCTACGATGGCCATGCTCGTATGATGCCGCCTCTAAGGGCGTTGTCACGGCAGCTCCTATTAAGGTCATCCTTTTCCGACACGTCTCGTACCTCCAGAACACGGTCAGGAGTCGGTATCGAGGCGAGCCAGTTGAGAAGGTTATTTCCAATGCCATGGCTGTGTACAAACATTGGAATGTAAGCTACGGTGCCTTCTTCCGAGATCTAGTCGAACAGTATGACTGTGTCCCAACACTCATTCAGAGCTGGTTCGTATGTGTGGTAGCCCACTTCCACTGCGCTGCTCTCTTACTTGCAGACTTGATCGAGCTTGTTGATGACAATAAGCTGGGTCTCGAATACTCTACTCAAGTACGCCAAGCAGCCAACGTGGTGGCTTCACTACGTAGGGATAGCGCGGCTATTCTTTCAGATCTTGCTCGAGTATCAACACGTCCCCGAGCTGGCGATGTACCAGGGACGGGTATCTCTGATCTTCACTTTGCAGTTGTCGAAGGTTCTATTTTGACAGAGCCATGGACAATGATACTCATCCGGGCGTTTACTAAAGCGGCTATTCTGCTTCTTACAGAAGTGGAGGAGAGCGTGCGACATGAGCACCAACCTCTCGAGTATCCTGGCGTCATGGATCTGGTTCGCAGGTGCGAGGACTGCACTAAAGCACTCTGGTGCTTGGGCAAGAAGTCGGACATGGCCCGCAACATTGCGAGCATCCTGTCTTCGGCACTGGGTCCATATATGATGCCAAGGGCTGTCTCGCACATGCCCGTGTCGTCTATGGAACCTGTTATGGTGTAAAATCTGGTACATGGGTGTTCTTTTGGGGTACTTATTTGGCGGTTAGCGATTAACGGATTTGGATATTGGAAATAAGGGTATAACAAACAATAATCACCGAAATGAATGAACGATGTCCATATTGTATATGTATTTATGGCAGGCATATCTTTGTAGCGGAACGTCATTATCGTTGACGGGGCGGCGTTATTCTTGAGGGATGCCCTCAACGTCGAAATTGTTAAAAGCAATATAATATCTATTCTCGAACCAGTTGACGCGAGTCTATCCTTATTTGGTTATATCATTCCCTCTTATACTCTTCATAATCAAATAAGGTAAACATACATCTTACCACCTATTAAGGTTAAGTAACTTGATTACTGCGCCTGAAAGACCCCGCTGATCCTTTCAACGTGAGCCAAACGCAGGACGCAGTGTGCTTACTATCACAGAAGCGCCGTGAATTGCCAAATTTGGAGGATCTCACTGTCATTTCAGCCAGGTTGATTGGCCCTGCGGATCAAACGTCCTGCGTACTACGTTAGCTGGGGGGATACGCCTTAGACATCGCCACATATAGCTTTGCAAGATCGCCAGGGAGGATATTGCACGTTGTCAAAGAGAAAGTGGGGGCCAAGCCATGTTCTCAACATTGACAGAGAACATTGTGCTTTGAGGTTTGTTTCTTAGGAGTACCAAAGTTCTCAGCGTCAACACACATGTCGTGCTACCATAGGACTTTGAGAAAAAGGAAGTGGTTGGTAACACAGCAGGTGTAATAGTACGTTGAGCTTTGCATCTAGAGGGAACTTAATTACCTAATTGGAGTAAAGAGAACAATAGGATTGTAGACACTAGGATGAATGCTGTGTTTGTATTTACTACGATAAAATATGATTCAATCGTGGGATAGAATAACCGTCTTCACTAGGACTTCAGCCAACGGCTGTTCCGCCGCGATTCCGTACGAGAATTGCCACGCATAAAAGCCATAGGGCTTAACAATTCGAACTAGGGGACCTTTTATACCGCTGACCGCTACAATAATAGTAACAATATGCTGTGTTCCCCTGTTAGTAATCAGCCCTGTCAGCCTCAGTTCACACTGCGCATATTGGGGGCTGTGCCAGCGGGTATCGCAGCTGGTCGCATAAAGATCTTTCGTAGAAGGCTCAGCATCTAAATCATGGGGCACTGTAACTCTCTGGAGCTAGTGCTTATGGAATATCCGTTATGCTTAGATGGAGATGGGAGGTTACATACTGGGAGTTGGCACTTATATGAGTAGCTGTCCGCTTGCTTGGAGTCCTGGGGTATCAACAGCACAGCACCAAACTCCAGCAGAATCTCTGTTCTGTACAGTAGTTAGATCTCTTTCTTACCCATTGGACTTCTGTCGTTTTATCTACTTCTTGCTCTACGAGTTTACGACTTGATATCTTTTCATCATGGCACCAAGCGCAGTGAGCGCTAGCCTTTGCACAACTACAGCATGTATTCAACTTGCTGCAGAGATGAAGCAAAGCATGGCTTTGAACTATTCACAAATCGATCCCTGTGAAGACTTTGAACAATGTGAGTAGCCTCACTATATGAAACTTCCTATTTTGAATGCGTGGATCTGACATTGGTAGATGCCTGTGGTAACTGGGATAACTACCACGACATCCCTCAAGGCTCCGAGTCTATCGCTGGTATTACACTCACCGAACAGTTCACCAGCTCCGCAGTGAAAAAGATCCTCGAAGGTCCCTATCCAACTGGCGATGACGCTGGATACATATCAGTCAACTTGACCAAGGAGCAGACCAAAGCCGACAAGAGGAACCATGCTAAGCTGCAAGATGCCTACCAGGCATGTATGAACTACACTGCCCTAGAGGAAGAGGGCCTTACCGGCTTGTCAGAAGTTGTCAAGGGTATCATTGAAATGTTCCCTGATACAAAGGCAAACATGACTCAGAATGCTCCAGCTTCATCTGCCTTGACCAAAACTCTGGCCTACTTTGAGAACTTCGGCATTGGAACTCTCCAGATCTTTGCCATCGGACAGAACGAACACGACCCAGAAGAAGTCGTAGCCACAATCTATCCCCCTGTTTTCTCAGAGTTGCTGCTTCTCACTACGGAAGAAGGAATGGTAGAGCTGTTGAAGCTCTCTGCCCAGCTTCTCGCGGCCGTGTACCCTTCTCAGCCCAACACCACGGAGGCTCTAGCACTTGCCGGGTCCGTTTACATATTCCAGTCTCAACTGAAGCTTGCCTGGGATTGGAGCCAGTTGAACGAAGACGCTGATACTGTTCCTGCTGGAGACCTGACGAAGCTGGCTCCTTACGTTGACTATGGTGGTGTGATCAAGGAGTTGGCTCCAAAGAACTGGAAGGGCACAATCCAGACTTCGCAGCCTTTGTACTTCAAGAACATGTCAGAAATCATCTCCCAAACATCAACCGAGACTCTTCAGGCCTACTTTGTATGGAGGATGGTGTCGTCTGTTTCTCTCTATGTCGAGCATAGCTTGACCAATACTTATAACGACAAGCAATCCGAGCTCAGAGACCGAGATCCGGAGAGTACCCGCCCTCGCTGGAGGAATTGCGCCATCCTGCTCGATCAGGGCGTAGATTGGATCGTGGACAAGCAAGTTGAAACTGCTATTGGCCCTCATGGGCTGACATGGATTCTCACGCGCTTCTTCGTCGACAAACACTTCGGTCCTGACAAAGCAAAGCTTGCATCCCAGTTGGTTGACTACATAAAAGCATCCTTCTCCGAGCGCATCAAGACACGGGAATGGGCAACCGAAAAGGTCAAAAAGGCTGCCATCGAGAAGTTGAACGCCATACAGAAGATGGTTGGACTTCCCACCGACCCCAACCCCATGGACCCCATTGCCATCGAGAAGTACTATTCCGACATTGAGATAAAACCATCTCTCGTAATGAACGCTCTCGCCTTTGCCAAGTCCAAGATTTCCAAGCGATGGGACAGCCTCGCAAAGCCCTACAGCAGAGGACAACTCATCATGAGCACCCTGAAGGCCAACGCCTACTACTCCCCACCACAAAACGAGATCGCCCTGCTTGCAGGTTACCTCCAAGCCCCTCTATTCGATGTAGGTTATCCCGACTACGTCAACTTCGGAGGCGCAGGTGTTGTAGTGGGCCACGAGATAACACACGGGTTCGACACCCAAGGCTACCAATACGACAAGACCGGAAACAAGACGTCGTGGTGGGACCAAAAATCAGAAGAAGCATTTCTCAAAAAGACAGAGTGTTTTATTGACCAATACAATAACTTCACCATCAAAGCCGCCAACGGAACAGACCTCCACGTCAACGGAAACCTCACCGTATCAGAGAACATCGCCGACGCTGGAGGTGTCGTCTCTGGTTTCGCCGCCTGGAAGAAGTGGGAGAGCGATAAAGGAAAAGCAAAGAATCTACCTGGCTTGGGCAAATTCACACACGAGCAGCTTTTCTTCCTCAAATGGGGCCAGACATGGTGCGCCAGCATCAAGCCGGCCCTCTCTCTTCGACTATTAACCTCCGACGTCCATGCCCCAAGTTCTGCAAGAGCCTTACTGCCTTTGAGGAACTCGGCTGGATTCAACAAAGCCTTCAACTGTCCAAAGAAGGAACCTGCCTGTGAACTTTGGTGAGCTGAGACCGCGAGTGTTGGTATTTCGTGCCTACCTATATATAGCAATGAGTCTGAATCCTGCAGTACTTTTCAACAAATTCATCATCGTGTGTAATCGTAGTCCTATAACTGATCTAAAATTCTCTTTATCTATGTCTAGATTCATGCGACTCATAATCTAACTATGCTATAGTACGTCTTACAAAGTGATGCTGCTTTTGTGTGATACGCCATCATGGGCTCGTAATACAAATACATGGCTCTCCTCCAAGGTCGCATTTTCCGCCCTTATCATCTCCACCAAGGTCGAATTCTAATGTAATAGCATGGCTCAATGCTGCATAAAATTGGTGACAGCATAACTCAAGCCGATTGTCCACTCTGTGAACTTCCCCGAAATCCTCCCCGGCCACGTCGGCCACGGTACCCAGAGGACCGCCCTCGTCGACCACCACGGCCACCCCGACGTTGAATGGAAGCGGCATCATCCTTCCCATGGTCTAGCACTTCGACACCTTGAGGCTTGGTGCCCTCATTGCTACTTGTTTTAACAATTTTCTCCTCTTTGTTCTGTGGATTTCTAAACTTCGGAGATGAGCATGCCACACTCTCGTTTCGCAAGGCCGCTTGCTCTCTTTCGTCTTGTTGCCGACCCTCTACAGCATACAGTGTGTCGTTACAGTGACCACTTGCTGTTTGGTTGAGCTCTGTAGGGACCGGAATGTGTGATACAGAACTGGTTTTCATAGGAAGTGTAACTCGGCGATGGGCCTGGCTGCGTTAGCTTAATAGCTCTTGGCGATTTGCAGGTCACTTACCAAAGTTCTTGACTGTTCTGTCTGAGAAGTCGAATCCACCTCGTCCAAGCCTAATTCCTCAGAGCCATGGGATGCTTGAGATGGCTCACTTTTTGATTGGGCTCGTCGAGAATAGTATGGAAGCTTGTATTCGAAAACCGATCCCTCTACGGCGTCTTGCTGTGTCTCACCACCTTCGTATACATCTGCATCTATGGCTCGGGCTAAGGGAATTAGCAAGGCTCGGGAATCAATATTTCTTCACTCACACTTCGTGTTCTCGGTATTTTCACTTTGGATTGCATGTTTGTTCTTTAGAGCACGACCAACTGCTGCAATAAAAGCTTTCTTTTTCTCGTTCGAGCCTGCGCCATGCTGTGTAATATACTCTCTGCCTTCCGCAGGCTGACTTCCCTATTGTCTACCAGCGATGACCGGGTTCATCTTGCTTTTTTCGTCTTGTTCGGCAACCTCATCAGACCACTGTCGGCTAGTCTGCGAGCTCACGTTGACCACCTCGTCTTGAGCGGTAGAGCTAGTTGATACATCGGAAACGTCGGTTGCGAGAGATCGGCGAACCTTGGCCAGAGTGCGAGGAGTGAACGTAGCGGCGACAGGATTTAACCGGTTTCCCTACAAGTTGAGATTAGAATCACCAAAGACTATTTCTCTTCGGCTGAAACTACCTCTTGCTTGCGCGTTGGGGTAACAGTTACTTCCTCTGCGCTGTCCTTCACCTTTGCAGGTTTCGTTTCTTCTTTGGCCGAGGTTATTGGCTTGTTGACTTTTGACAATTCAGTCTTGGTCTGCTCCGAGGATAGGTCATTAACAAATCCTGCTTGGCCAGCTGACGCATCCTTGTCTTCTTCTTTGGTTCTCACAAAGACCTGCTTGGACCAAAGATCGGCGTATCTTCCCCCGGCAACGATAAGTTCGTCATGATTACCCTGCTCAAGGATCTCGCCGTTCTCGACTACAATGATTCGATCTGCGTTCATGATTGTGGAAAGACGGTGACTGGATGCGTTAGCAGATAGCCAAAGAACTGTCAGCATATTATGACTTACGCGACAATAAATGTAGTCCGTCCCTGACATAGTCTCTTGAAAGACAGTTGGATTTGCTGCTCTGTGTCAGTGTCTACCGCACTGGTAGCCTCGTCAAGTAGAACAATGTCTGGTTTCTTCAGCATTGCTCGAGCAATTGCGATGCGCTGAAGCTCGCCGCCAGAAAGTTTCCTATTCAAGTCAATGCATGATCATTGTATGTCAATCTATGCCAACTCACACGCCGCGTTCTCCAACACGAGTTTTGTAACCTATACAAAGTCAGAAACTACTTTAGATACAGCCTCTGGATGCGACTTACCATGTGTGAAGCCTTTGATCTTATCATGAATACATGCTGCTCGACAGGCTTCAAACACTTCCTCATCGCTTGCGGTAATTCTCCCATATCGTACGTTGTTCATGATCGTGTCGTCAAACAGAATTGGACTCTGAGGAACAACTCCAATTCGATCACGAAGACTGGCAGTTATTAGTAACGAGGGTATTGATACGCCCATGGACAGTTCTTACCTGAACAAATCAACTTCGCGAATATCTTGACCATCAATGCAAATACGGCCCTCGCCTACATCGTAGAATCGATCAAGAAGTTTGATGAGAGTAGATTTCCCCGCTCCGGTTGCTCCAACGAAAGCCACTGTCTGCCCAGCAGGGACATGGAAGCTGACATCTTTGATGATACCCTTCTTTTTGTCATAACTGAACGAGACTTTCTCAAAATCGACCTCACCAGCTACAAATTTCAAAGGCCTGGCTCCCTTCTGGTTTTCAACTGATGGCTCAGTTCTCATGATGTCGAGTAAACGCTCAGCATCGATAAAGTCGTCGCTGACACTTTTCCCCAATTTCGCAAAGAACTGAAGTGGCGACGTCAATTGTGCCCAGTACATCAAGAGCATTGCGAACTGTCCCGGTGTCGCGTGACCTGCCTTGATGCGGTACACTGCCAGGAAAGCGCTCGCCAGAAGACCTGACGTGAGGACAAGGGTTTGAAATCCTATCGAGATATACCACCCGAGCACGTATTGCTGTTCCCTAAGCCAACGATTGGTAACTGCATTGGCATGTCGATTGTCTTCGTAGCCGATCTGATTGAATGCACTAACAGTCTGCCATCCGAGAAAGCCCGATTGGCGAACATAGTGTTCTTCATATAGTGCGTTGACGCGGTTTCGGCTTGCTGCCTTAGAGTTGGACACAAGTCTGCTGGCTATCAGAAGGAAGAAGACACCAGTAGCCACAGTAATGAGTCCTTCATAGGGGCCAAAGGTAATTGAAAGATAGACAATAGCCACGCCCATGTCAATGAGCATAGGGACGGCATAAAGTAAGACGTTTTCAACGACATTGGAAACCGCACTGCCTCCGTAGATTGCCATCATCATATCCGATGAGCTTTTTGAATCGTGAAAGTCTGCAGAAAGATGCATCATATGCGAGTAGGCTGCTCGTGTCAAGGCATCATGAGAATAGTACTTAACAGGAACCCATAGCCATTGACGGACAAGCTCAATACCTGACTCAGAAGCAGCTAAGCGGAGGGCAGCGAAAACAATAACCGCAATCCAGGGATTGCTGTTACTGGTACCGTTCAAACTGTCCATAATGATACCCGTTTGACGCGGGATGAGAAGGTGTAGAGCATTTGATCCGAGCAGACACAGGCATACAGCTGCAGCACGAAGTTGCAAACCAAGATTGCCAACAGGCCAGACATATGGAAAAAGAATCTTCGCAAAAGTTAGCAGACTGTTTTCGAAAACAGTAATAGCGGGCCATGTAGATGTTGTTAAGGGATGAATGGATCGTTAATGTGTGCCAGCGTTGATTTCCATACCTTGAATCCTTTAGCGTACTCGAACCAGTTGCCGCCTTCTTCGAGCCTCTTCTTCATAGCCTCTTTAGCTTCTCTTTCACGGCGTTCCCAGCTATATTCTGGAGTCTCTTCATCTTCTTCCTCAACCTGAGCCGTGGACCCATATCCGGATTCCTGACTTGTTGGGCTGTTGGGTGCGGTAGTCGTAGCTTTGGGTAACAGTGGCTCCTGTTCCTCATCAGGTTTTGTTTGGACAGATGTTCCGAAAATGAACAGCCCGACGAGGAAAGCAAACGAAAGACAGCGTATGGCAATACTGGCAGTGTCGAGAATGTTGAAAGTGTTGAATGGAGAGAACAGTCCTAGGGTTGCAGACAATACAGTGATGGTGATATCGAAAGCCAAACCAATGAGCCAGGATCCGATAAACGGGTAAAAGGGTGCATATTCAGTATCGATGCAACGGCCTAGTTGGATACCAAAAGCCAAGATGCAGGCCAAATGCCCAATAATAATGTGGTCCTCTGTTGGCCATTCTCGTGAGAGACCTACTTGAATTCCGAGCAGTAACAGCTGAGTGACGTACGTGAGGATGCACAGAAGATAGAAGGCGAGTGTGAATTTTCCGCTCGGACATTTCTTCTTGGGCCCATCCTCTTTAGAGGAATGGACTGTGCAAGCCGAAACAATAGAGGCGAAGAAAAAGTAGGCGAAGACGAGAGCTGGATATAAGTAGTACAGGATCACCAATGCACTTTCTGCTGGTGAAGTGGCCACCATAGTGCCCAGGTTTGGATCGAACATGTGCATCGATCAGAGAAATGGGCTTCGAGACTTGCAGACACCGATGGACCGAGACGATAGGCAGATAGCCAAGAGTTGAATGTGTTTAATGAAGGTCTAGAATCCTGGGCAGGAAGTGGTCAAGAAAGAGAAAGAGGTAGAGCGTGGTGTGCCTGTGGAGAGAAACCGGAGAGTGAGGGTTGAAAGAAAGACAAACTCTCGATCTGCGGCAGCGAAGTCAGTACTGACCGGTCGTGGCCCGATGCGTAATGTCGATGGCGGGAACCGACGTTGATGCTGAATGACAGAAGATGTAAAAGTGTTGGAGAATCACGATATGTAGTGGGACGTGACTAACGGGAGCTTGTCTGCAGGTTTGCGCTTGCCCTTGTGATCGCGTCTGCGTCTGCGTTTGCACTGGTGCCTTCCTCAAATCAACTTGAAGAAGTTGCACTACCTGAGGTAGGCACTAATTAGGCAGCTCAACTGTTCGCGGCTGCCGGGTTAGGTGAATTCGGGTGGTATGCGGGAAGGTGCCGTGATGTGCGATGTTGACCTCCAGATATCTCAAGTTAGATGGCAGGAGGTAAAAGTAGGGTACGGAGTCGTCAGCCGTGGAGAAAGTCTTATTCCTCACGCACTTGATTGTCGGTAAAAGTCTAGCGAAATTCGTCCAATATTTTGGATATAATGCGTAGGAAGACGTTTATTCTGAGCTTTTGTCCTCATCACTTTCCTCGTGATGGATTCGCCACGAAGTTGAGTTGCAGCCAGTATTGTTCGTCAGGAGCTTGTTCGACAGCTGTTCCTGTCTAACTCTGCCGGTTTTTACTTCGCCCAAAGCCGCCTAAAGGAAATTCTGCCTACGGTCGAAACGTGAGCAGTATATCGAAACTGAAAAATAATAATCAAAAGGTAATTATGCCTCGGTCCTTGCAGAAGAAACTTGGAGTCCACTTGTTTGCTGTTATACGCAATTGGGGAATACTCCGTATGTTGAACGCTCAGGAGGATAAGTTAAGCGAAGAGATCTGCTAACTCTGTATAGCCAAGGCCAGATAAATCTCAAATTTCGGTTATTGAGCTGCCTAAATACTCATTTCAAGAAACAAAGAAAGAGAAGAAGTACGGTTAACTTTAGCGGAACAACCAAAGCTGAAATAGAATTCAGAGCAGAGTTCGAAGTGGCCCAACTTCTCAAGGGGGATACTTCGTTAACTCCCGACAAGGATACCTTAGTCGCTACGAAGCCATCCCTATCCACTTCAGTCTGGCCATGTTTTACCAGCCCACAAGCCTTGCGAAGGCTGATTGGCGTATTACCGGTTCCCAGTGATTTGGATCGCCTCGCAAAACCGCACCCCTGAAATTGGGACCACGGATGTCCCAGGGAACGTAATGCCGTCACCGCTGGATTGCCAACCGACGAGGGAATCTTCAAAACCCCGTTGCTGGTCCTTACCCAGCCCTTGATGAGGCTTAATACCTATTGCGAACCGCTTGGTGTTGTGTCTGCAAAGTTCTCTCCATGAGTTGCCGCATCAGTCGTCAGACTAAGATTCAACTGTTCGCGCCCCCCCCCCGGTTTCCAGCCGTTCCACTTTCTGTCAAATTCAGACTTTATGACAACCTGCACGACTCAGGCAATCATCATGGGTTCAAAGTCTGACGCAAGTGCAGATGAACAGACACAAATAAATAACTTTCAGTCCCACAAGAGAAAACTCATCACTGTCACAAGTCGACAAACAATCTTTCGCATCAAGCACGCAGGCAGCGCCCGTCATTCATATCAAAATCAGCAATCAGCCCATTATTTTGTATGACCAAGCGTTCGTTCAATCGCCAGTTGACCTTCGTGCTGAGAGTCTTATATGAGCCCATAAACCACAACCCTGCTCCGGTTATCCAGTCATGGATCTTCCCATACCAAACCATGGTGTGCAAATTGTCTGCGATGATGGTCGGAGGTTTGATATGTCGACCTGGTGGGTCACTTTCTGCCATCGCCATATCGGGCATGTTCCCTTGCAATGCAGACGTTCGATTAGCTGCAGGGGAACTATGGGATCTGGGATAACCCCACACTCTTCGATCTGGTGGGCGGCATTGCAGCGGTCCACCTCACATTTAGGCATTTGATGCGGTTAGGCATAGCCTTACGATGTTTCAACTTAACTCCACGAAACATCATTCAGTCCTTAATGCCAGTGAAAAGGCCCAGCACAACTCTTTCACCAGAATCTACCATTTGTCTGACTATAGGCGGGTAGTAAACTGCAAGGTGGTATTTATTGATAGCGACAATTTAAGCCATTGAGATTCAGGAGTCAGAGTTATCTTTTGGGACTCAAGCTTTGGTGTTTGATGTCGGGAAAGGCATTGGTAACAAGATGGGTGAGTTACGATTAGCAAATAAGCACATTTAATTTTTGTTCAAAGGTACGAATTTCTCAGTGAGCTTTTGAATTGATTTGGGAAAAGAAGTTGTAACACTAGCTAACCTCCGTCAGACAGAACGCTCACAAAACCCTACGCTGAACCCCAGAATTGTATTGCCTTACACGCTCATAGGCACAGAGAAGCTTCGGTATGGATAGTCTCCAGTCAGTTCTGTTCACCTGAGCTGATTGTACCGTTTCCAAAGCGGTGTCGAGAGATCATAAATTCGTTATTAGAAGCCCCAAGATTGGTTCCATGCGATCCCATCAAGAGGGTGGGCCGGAGGTCCCATACCGACATATGCCTCGGACTCGGAATGATGGAATGGTACCATACTGACAAGTGATGGGTCATGCATGAGAATTGATCCTTTTCTGTGCTGATCCATCGACATGTCGAATACCTCGTCTCCCACCTCTGGTGGCGATGCATGGCCTGTTGGGAAGGGATGTGACCAAGCTGGGGAGACTCCTTCAAACTCGGGAGTAGGCACACCTAGTGAGTTTGAGGGACTAGTACCGCTGTTACATGAACCTCGACGAAATGGACTCGTCGGGTCATTGTCAGGGTGGAACGCCGAGGTGCAGGAGCTCAGACCGTCGACTGTCCTTTTGGCTTCATTGGCGATATACTTCTGGATTAGTACACAGTTGCAATCTGTGTGCTGCAATAATTGCGTTTTCAGGTGATATATCTCAGCAGTCAAAGAGTCGAAGCATGAGGAAAGATATCGATTCTGGTCCTCCATGGCCTGTTCTTGGGAAGCCAGAGCGGATGCTTCATCCCGTTTTCGAAGGCGACACTTGGTGGCAGCTATCCTATTACGCTCAAGAATACGTCGACGCCGCGGATCCTTGGGAAGGTCGTCCTCATCCAGCCTGATATCTTGGTGAACCTTGTATGAGTCTTTGGGTTCTCCTTTGGGTTTGCGGCCACGCTTTTTCTGTTGGGGAGGGCTTGGTGCAGCGATTGCGTCGCTCACATCTTCTGGGCCATTTATGCCAGGCAGCAAGTGTTTTTGGTTTCGAGCCCGCCGATTGGGCTTTCTTTCAGCCTCGGTACTTGGCAGTATAGGCAATGAAGTTAAACGATCATTGTATGCCTTTGGTGCGGCATTGTATTGGAGGGGCGCTTGCATCATGCCGAAAGGTGCTTCCAGGGGAACAGGTGAGCCACCCATTGCCTCTTCAAAGAATGAAGGATCTTGGACTTGGCCAAGAATGGGCTGGTGTCCTATGTTGCCTCGAGTGGAAGGTGATGGAGTTCTGGTATAGTAAGAAGAAGGCGTCAACGCGTATCCTGGCGATGGGGTTGCTGCCATGACACTCATGGGACATCCGAATGGGACGTCCATGGTATAAGGATAAGGGTGTACGAAGGTAGCCATGAGATATTGTGTTGTCTATTTGACCAAACAGATCAAAGTCGATCGTTAGGGTGAGCTGCTTGAACCGGCTGGGGGAGGAAACCGCTTGAAAGCCGAGACAGATACTGCAATCCTTTTCTTATTGGTGAGAAGGTGATGCTTTACTGGCTGCTTATACAGCGGAACAAAGATTGGATCTTTGGGTGATGACAACAATGTAAAGCCCAAGGAAGGAAGATCAGGTGAGGTTGACGATTCAGAGAGGGGGCTCTCACTGAATATATGACAGATTCGATTCGAGCTGCGTTGCAGCTAGTTCTTACAAAGAACATAGGGCGCCGCGCTCAACGCTTGTTCAGAGAAACGGCTCCATCAAAATACGCACGGCAGCTTCCATCCCGGTACAGCCACAATAAAAACATCAGCTTCACTGGCATCAGTACGTTGTACTCGGCTAGACTCGAGCAGCGGAGACGACATGGTCCAGGCAAGTCCATGAGAGGGGAAATAGACTTTGGGTCAAAATGGAAAAGCTTCAAAAGTCGCCCGCCATTGCTTCGCGGGATACCACCTTGGGTCAGCATCAAGCCCCTCAAGTCTCTTGGCCCTCAGATCTCCTCCGTCTCATTGGTCCGGTCTACTTTCGGGAGCTGCTCCTGGCCCACGTCCCCTCAGAGATCCTGGGCTCTGCGCCAGTTTCTCGCAGGTTCAAAACACAACCAATAGCTCTCAGGCGCTTTCACTTGATCCATTGACCATGCTAGGTCTTGCAGGGAACAAGATGTGATTTGCAGCACTCGGCCATCTTACTCCTCATCCTGGGTGGAATGGGTATCATGCTGTAGGGAGGAGCATGCAGAAATTCATAAAACCGTTGTGCCTGGAAGCAGGGACTGTGGCGTTTGAATTCTACTGCTCCTGGCGAATGGATGCTGACATGATACATCTCATGAAGACGAGACTTGGCCAAGTCCCAATAGTCCCGGCCTCTATCAAGAGCCACACTGACTTGCAAATCTCAAGCATAGCTATGCGTAAGGTTAAGCCATAATGCGGCGATCTTTCTACGTTACAGTTCTTGTAGCACAGAGCAAGTTCGAGAACTCGTTCTTGCCTCTGGGTCAAGATGAGGCGGTTGCGGCATCGCTAGTTTGAGGTTGGGTGGTACTGATCTGAGTCAAATACACCCAGCTCCGTGAGGCAATTGATGCGTCTGCAATGCCTCTCATTGTAATACTTACAGGGAGTTGCATTGAATGAAGACTCTGGCGGCCGAGCTCAAGCGGCATGCAAATCGATCACCACTTCCTACTCGGCCGGAGAGGGAAAGCACTAATAAAGAATAGTGCTTCGGAAAGAAAGCTTGACCCTTGACAAGTTATGGATCCAAGGGCCCGGCTCATAACTCTCTACATCCGAGGTGGATAAAATTCGAGGCTAGACGACGACCAGGCACTAAGCTCGGACCCAGGTGATCGCTCCAACATCCCCATCCCTTGAATCTCTAAAAGACTAAAAGCGTTTTGGACGGTCTCTTGAGATTTGAGTTGTGTAAACAGCGACGAGCTAGTTGTTAAAAGGACATCAGGCTTCATAGTGACATCGGATGATTGAGGCATCAGCCACCTAACGCCCGCTAATCATGGTACAGAGTGAGTCTGTGGCTCATGCGCAAATCGCTTGGGACTTCGTCAGGCAACTGACAACCTAATTGTTAGCAATCGTCAAGGCCATGGAAGCATGAAATCACAAATCGAGCATTTCCCACGAGACTCCTCCATCAAGGGCTTACAAACCCACGAAATCGCTACCAGGTCGAAGCACAATGCAACTGCCGGGCAGCACTGCAGATAACGATAATTGGCCACTCGATCAAAACATGGGAGCATCATTGGTGGCTGAGTTGTACCTTTATAGATTGGTTTACCAATACGGAGTACCTCCGTCCAGTACCTCAGCTTACCTGGCTACCTGGGTAAGCTCGTTACGGTATTGACGCCACCATGCTGCAGTAAGGTGCATGCATATCGTGGATCAAGGATGATCGTGGATGGCGCTTTTGGCGCAAACCGGTCGAGACCTTGTTTCTGCAGCGAGCCACCAAATATAAGGTTTTGTCGAGATCCAATTCCTGGGAACTGGGTGGCCGTTTGTCTGATTCATTTCATTAGTGTCTGGAGCCCCAACGCCGATTTTAAACTTGTGCTTTGTCTCACCCACAAGGCGGGGCGTTACACGACTCTTCTGGCCATAGTCAAATACTAGCCCAGGAGATAACATAACGTCTCCATTGCAGGGTTTGGGATTCCTACTCTTGGTACCTTGTTTGGCGGCTGTCGTGCCCTGCAGGAACAAAACGGTCGCTGTCCAGTAGTGCAAGAACCAAGACAAAAAGAAATGAGCGAGGGAATGGCGAAACTAATATGTTGGCTTGCTCATTCCTGGTGGCTCTTGCATCTCAGGTAGCCACAAGTTACAATGGCCTGGCACCCTGGTAACACCAAGCCTTTGAGTGAGTGCAACATTCAAAGCTTTGCCTCATTAGAGCAGGAAAACTGTTCGTCCTCCGCAGCTGGTCGGGCAGTTCAGTCTACCTGCAGCACTGCTGCCAATACTCCTACTATATACGGTTGGTACATTACCAGGACGACTCAGGGCGTATTGCCTTACTCTGGCGTTGGCATCGGTTAAGCTAAGTTAAGCTAAGCTAGCCAATATCTTGGTTCCAACTCTCAAGCCCACTTCGTGTTCCGGGATCGACTGGTGCCCGCAGTGATCTTTATCCCTGTTGAGGAATAGGCCAATGCTGTTGGGGATTTTTGTTTTGCTTTGTGGGTGAAGGGTAGATAAGCTCCGGAGGACAGGACAAGCTATTACCGGAGGGCGCCGATAGAGAGTGATGAGTATAAAGTCGAGAAGCCGCTAAGTAGTCTCAAGTACACCATAAGCTCGGCTCACAATTGGGACTAAACCAAGAACGTCAAGGCTGGGTACTGTACCGTTAACGTCGACCAGGAATCGCCAGCGAGTACAGCTACGGCTACGGCTACTGCCATGTCGACCAACCCTCCACCACAGCGATCACTCCGGGCACTCTGAAGCGTAGGTTCCTCGAAGATCGCTTACTATGCAGGTATGCACCGTCAAGCCAAGCTGAATTAGCAGGGAAATGAACCGCAATGCATCGGAGAAAGCATCGACAACGGTCTCGACACTAGTATCCTCTGGCGTCCAAGAAAAAGCAAATATCGAATGTCTCCACGATGTGGCTTCCGGACCTGGAAGGCTGAAACCCACCTTAGAGTCCTTAGACTGCAGTTCGGAAATACTCCAACGGGGCCTGATTGCAAGTCGCCGAAGCTAAGATTGTTCCCATCATCCTTTCGGGTCCGAGGAACAAATCGGCAGTCTCATTTCTTCGTAGGGCTGTTGACTATCCTGCACAAACTTGTTGACTGGTCAATATCGCAGGTACGCGGATCGCCGGATACATAGTAAGCAATTCATTACTATGCTCGCGTGGATCCACGAACTATGTGCGGTGGCCCTTGGAGTGTTGCATGTCAAAGAGAGATTGTGTGCTCTTTTCTCTTCATGGGCAGCTAATTCCTAAGGACACGTTTCGACCCAAGCTTGTTGGGCAGACTTGGAGCTATCTTAGATGCCATGGCAGATGTTTCCGAGCCTGCAAAGGCGACAAGAGACCACAACTTGAGGTGAACACCCTCTGGTCTCGCGCACGGATCTCTTACCAAAGAAGATTAGCCATGAACCTCACAATTTCCGACCATTGTGCCATCCACAGTTCAACATGTTCCTGAAGAGGGTGGCTTCTAATTGTCTCTGCTAACATGGGATTGGCGCAGCAATGACCCCTGTCTGGAGCAAAGTTTGAACGGGCTGCTAAGCTGCAGTATCATCGGCCATGTCTGCATGTTCATTCTGACAAAATGGCACCTGTCATCGGGGTCGCGGTCTCGCGGACTCGATGTCTTTGACATCACACCCTCACATAACCGTTTCCTGGGTGAGTATGAAGAGGGGGTTGATGCACTGCATGATACACATGCAGGTCGCGCCACAGGGTGACAGGATGAGTGAAGTAGTTCGACGTTGCACGGGGCTTGGTCCGTGAAGCTTCATATTCTCAGCCTCCATGCCTCGATATTGTTTCTAAGCATGGATTTATGGTTTACCCATCCTCTTCACATACCACTGCGCCCTGGCCCCTGGTCTACAGACAGACAGACATAAGCTGTTTATTTGCCAACTCGGACCAATGGGCAAATTCTCTTGAAATTTTGTCACGCGGACCGCATAGCAGTCAGAAGTACGCCGACTGAAAACGGCATCTCAGATGCTGGTCAGGGACGGCTACTGATCTACGCTACCCACCTAGCCCTTCTCAACCTGTTTTGTCGAATCTCTCGCGGTTATACTCTTCCACGGAGACAGCAAGTTGTTGCCATGCATGTGATCTCATGTCGGTGCAGACGGCAGCTTCGGCAATTACTGTCATGTCTTTTTCTGCATCTTCCTGCATTGCCACCTCATGAAAAGCCAGATTGCACAATGCTACTCAGCGTATGAACTCTCAACTGACTACGATACCCTTGCAGCCGTTAATTCGCGATATATGTTTGTTTCGCATGGACTTGATATGGACTTTGTTCACAGCAGCTGTGTCGTAACCTTTGGCACGTCTTAATCGATTGGGCAATTCAAAGAGATTTGTCATGGTCTTGTTAGTAATTCTAGCCAGGACCAAAACGGTCAGACTTGATCAGACGTCGATGTAAGGATGGATATCGTAGACTGTTGTCGAATGGATTTTGCCAAGAGGTGTCCGCTTCTGATCACGCCCGTCGCCCAAGCTTCTCAATGCATGGCCTGCTTTTAACATTAGAGGCCGTTTTATCCGGGGCTTACACTAAGTTGAGATACAACTTATTTTCGTCTCATCAGTCCCCTAGTGCCCTAGTGCACAGCTACGGGAATAATTGACAACGTTCCGCTAACTGAGCCCCGATTGTCAAAGCGGAAGATCCTTTCCACACTTTCGCTCTATGGACAAGGATATAGAACAGGGGGGCGTCTACGTCTACTACGTGCGTCTACGTCTGCGTCTGCGTTACATTGTATTCAACCTGGCCGTGGCAACTCACTAAGTCCTCTGTGGCCCAGACACCTCCAATCGTGGCTGGCTGACACATCGGATCCCTGGCCGACATACACATACTGTAAAGAATGAAAGACTCGTTTAATTGCCGAGCAACTGCTCACACCAGTGATTGTGATCGATACTTTACCCTGTATCCAAGCGACAGGTCAGAGTCCCAGATATGCCCCGCGATATCATGGATGCATTGTGTATCTCGGGCTGACGAAGCCAGGGTCTTGACGGGCTCAGTACCCGATAGACTAGGATGCCGGATGTCGGGGAACTCATTCTTATTAGTCAAGGAACCAAGCACACCCGGCAATTGTGTCGATCAAGATAGGAGAGCTGTCCATGACGATCTGGATGTGCAAGCATGTACTTATCTGTTTACAAGATAGCAGTACTCAAACACAAATACTGTTGCTACAAACAAGGGATTGGATTCTGATAAGAACTTCCAATGTGCCATCCAGACTTACCCTTGCCATGATCAGCGACATGGATGTGGCAGAGATTACAGGGGCTCCTTCAGCATCTGTTACTCCATATCCGTAGATTGTTATTACAGGCCACAAGGGCTCCAAATGTTAAATTCCGCGATAAAATAGGTATTTTTGCCACAGCGGAAATTTATAGAAGACATCTCATTGGAAACCTTTGCTGATTAATATTGGAAAACTGGGACGTGATTTTGCTGATCCAAACGGATTATCCAATAGAAGAAGTACATGATTTAACATTTGGAGCCCTTGTAGCCTGTACTATTTGCAGATCAGCCAGCACTGATCATATGGTGGCTGTTGCTTGCGCCTGGATGTCCGGCATAGTTTCGAGAGCTCTCTAAGCTTTGATGGCTCAAAATACTTTTCTCTAATTCCAGCTAACGGCTGGGCGAATGTGCGACTGAGCGGCTGGCAAGCGAATACCAGATTCACAAGGATACATGGTCTGCGTGTGGTAAGTATTCCAATCATTTTCTTGGTTTTTGTGGATAGTCCATAGAGTATCCATAGATCAAGGGTTATCCCTATTTTTTTCTTTTGAAAGAGATACACACAAGATGCCAAATCTCTTCCAGGTCTGTATTCGATTTACAATCAAGCACGGAGTAAGCGGAACCATCTTACTTTGACAGGCAACCGGCAGTTGATTCTTTGATCCTCAACAGTTTCATCCGTCAATCGATCGAGCCCATGATTGCAACTCTGCAAGGATCAGTGCTCCGGCAGAGACTTTCAGGCAAGATACTCAACTGCCAGAATGTCACCATGCTACTCTGACTTGCAGTTGCGGCTGTTCCGCAAGGCTCGGAAATGACCAGTGTCTAGGCCGGCTGTGAATGTCGGACAGGTCCCGGTCGTTGTGTCGGTTGGCGATCCCGACTTCAGCATGTCAGATCGAGACACAGCGTGCTGCTGAAGAGAATCAAGCTTGGGACCAGGTTTCATGTTTGTTACGCGGCTCCCGCTTTGACATGTATTCGTGCGAGCCTTAAATCGACAAGGGTATATTGATGCATGTTGGTTTCCTGCCCTGCGAGAAGATACGTCTTGTGATGACAGTGGGAGTTTATCCCTGTTGCACATCAAGCCTCTTTGTCATCGTTAGGCGGTTAGACCTAAATATCGAGTCAGAGAGCACGTCGATGTCTGACTCGAGGAGACCAGGTGTTGGTCCTTCAGTGCCCCGTCCAGCTAGTAAACGGCATGTTACAAGGAAAGGCCGATAACGATATTGCATTATTCTGAGTACATTTCACATCATACCTAACCATGAAGGATTCAATGAATTCATTAGGGTAGTTTGGCAGATGTTTGGAAAGCCCTGTATGGTAGCTGCCCATGCGAACATGGAGCTGCCACTCCTTCATAGGGTTAGGATCAGATGAATTTGAAGGATCCTACACATTTCTGAGGAAAATTAGACAAGAGACGTGAGTGCTTGTACGTATCATTTAGAGAACTAATTTCATTGTGATACAGGCTCGGGCTTGAGCTTGATCCTTGAAGAAGTTTGATTGATAAATCAGGCACCACTTCAAACAATTCTTACACAGACTTCTCATCAGTTAATTCGTTCAAGTCAGATTCGCTTTAATGTATTCAACGCAGTGTTGCTGGACTTGGGTGGCTCATGATTTGATGAAACAAAGAGAAGGTCATTTGTTCATCAACTTCAGGTCCCATTGCCGTAGTATATTGATTATATCATCACAAAGCCCATGACCTCCAAAACCCATGTATGAAGCTTTAGTTTGATATGAAATATGATCAGGGTATAATCCAGGCATAGAGGAAGACGAAATTTGCCGAGCGCAATAATTTCAGTACTTTTCATGTCATCTATTTCGACACCGGGCCATTTCCCATTGACTCTTTACCACCGACTCGTGCTTACTCTAGATCAGTTTCTCATATCAAGAAAACGCCTGTAGGATATTAGATCCTATGTTCCAGTAATGACAAGAAAGTCGTGACATTTGTGATTGCGACTCTGTGCTGTCCACTTCAGACATAGGGTAGCTAGATGCCAAGTTAAGGATACAGAGCACGTGCTGTGTCACGTTTCCCTGTTTGTATTCACATTGCCTGGCAAGTTAAGTCTTAGATAGTACATATACATTAGGTATTTGATACATATATACTCTAGTATAATAGATACGTAACGTGGGACTTAGGTACGGGGATTTTCATTTCACCATCGTAATCTCGTCAGTCAGACATTATTGGCGAGACCATGGCAAGACAGAGTATGTGTTAAGCTTTTATCATCAAGACATAGGTACATAAGGACGAGATTGGCCACACGACCTGCTGCAATTCTCAAATGAGAGAGATGTCACATCAAAGGGAGACCCAGATATCAATGTTCTACAAGTATGAGTTTTTGTATGCACATGAGAAAATAACGACCAAGAAAGAATCGGATAGGAGGCGTTGGACGAGCGTTTGAACCAGAGTGGTACCCAAATTTATAGCTGAACTAAATACCACATTGTGGTCAACAACCGTCGGCAAGAAAACCCCAAATTATCTTTAAGTCGATACAGTCAACAAATTCACACCATATCGCATGTTTATTATAGAAATATTAGAGTGTCTATACTTGTCCGGCTGAGGCGAGAGTGAAGAATGAGGCTGATAGAAACGGTTTTATACTTGCTGCACGATGATTCAATAACCGGGGAGTCTTACTTAATCGGGAAACAACTCGACATGAGCTCTCCGGGACTAACGAAATAAACTCATAGACTAGATCTTGGCGTGGAGCAGGATCGTTTTTCTTTCGGAAAAAATTACCACAAGGGCAAAGAACCGGTACCACCGATGGTAATCATTCCAGGAACTTTTAACGATTCTCGGACAGTCAGAAACAGTGCGTAACAGGGACTCTACTCAACAGATCATGGTTCACGAGAGAGTTGCGGGACTACCAGGAATGGTAATTTCAGCTTCAATACGACCACGTTAACATTATGGGAGATACATATCTAAAGTGTACAGTTAGTAGGCAGATGGATAGTGGATAGGTTTAGGAATCGCAAGAGTTACTCATCATGACGATAGAATGCGTTCCAATTGCTTGAACTCATGAACAAGCTCCCGGGCAGCCTTGCTTTACCAAAAATACAATATGTTTTTGAAGGCAGCGATCGCCGATATGGAGGGTATCAGTAACTAGATGTTTCTGCATCTGCCTACCTTCCAAGTCCAGGGTCCAGATGCAGCCGCCTAGAAGGTACCTAGTTTACATCCGAGATGAACATTACAAGATCTGAAAGACTGTCCTTCACATCTAGAACTGCCTTACGGAGTAGAACCGGGGAAAAATGCCAGTCAATCCCCCGCGTAACGTAGAAAGAAATTAGCAAGATGAATTATACGCGGGGTTTGTAGTTATCCTTAGGGTATACTTGTTTACCAAAATGGTTACAGCCGGCGGAGCTAACCATATAGAGCACAAACCTGAAGAATAGAAGTTCTCAGTGGCTCTTACTCCGGCGGATCTAACCCGATATGATGCTCCCGACTTAGAAACTCTGCCCGTAAAGTCCCACCATGCTCCAGATCTCGACCAAGTCTCAACCATCAAGACAAACTCGACGAGAATTGCAAAGCAAAACACCCACTAAGATGCCCCAGATTGGTCATGACCCCATCTTCGGATTCAATATTGCGGGGAAGGAGGGCACAGGGGAAAGCGAAAACTTCTCGAAGTGAAAGTGACTGCTAAAGATGGACTCGGCATCACCTACATAAGAACCATCTTCTCAACTACTTTGTGATTTATTCTCCAAGCTCATCATCCTCTCTATCACTCTCAACTCAAACAAACACATAAACAATCCTCAAGACTCTTCTTCAAAAGCATTACCACCTTGAACACCTTCACTTACACACACATCCACATCCTTCACAATGGCTCCTAGCGCAGTTGTTGATGACTTCACCAGCCACGATGGCCAGGCCCTCGAGGAGCTCTCCGACAAGATTGACGACGTCAACGTGATCAAGTACGACGAGTCATCCAAGTTCGACAAGCAGAAGGACAGGAACACCTTCCGCCAATACGCTGATGCCACCGACCGCGTCAAGAACTTCTACCGCGAGCAGCACCACAAGCAAACAGTCGCCTACAACCTGGCTGCTCGAAACCGCTTCTACAATGCCACTCGCCCCCGAGCTGAGATGACCATCTGGGAAGCCATGGAGAAGCTCAACACTCTTGTTGACGAGTCCGACCCAGATACTTCTCTCTCCCAGATCCAGCATCTTCTCCAGTCTGCTGAGGCTATCCGCCGCGATGGCAAGCCTCGATGGATGCAGCTTACCGGCCTCATCCACGATCTCGGAAAGCTGATGCTCTTCTTCCCCGAGCTTGAGACTCAAGGCCAGTGGGATGTTGTTGGCGACACATTCCCCGTTGGCTGTGCTTTCTCCGACAAGATCATTTACCCCGAGACCTTCGCTGAGGGCAACCCTGATGCCACCAACCCCGACTTCAACACAAAGTTCGGTATCTACTCCGCCAACTGCGGTCTCGACAACATCATGCTCTCATGGGGCCATGACGAGTACCTCTACCACGTCGTCAAGGACCAGTCCACCCTCCCCGACGGGGCCCTTGCCATGATCCGATACCACTCTTTCTACCCCTGGCACCGTGAGGGTGCTTACCAGCACCTCATGTGCGACAAGGACTGGGAGATGCTCAAGGCCGTCAACGCCTTCAACCCCTACGACTTGTACTCCAAGAGCGACGGTGTTCCCGATGCTGAGAAGCTCAAGCCTTACTACATGGAACTCATCAGCGAGTACTTCCCCAACCCTGTCATCAAGTGGTAGAAAGGATCAAAGAAGGAAACAAAAAGAAATAATGAAAATAAAGTATAGATGAGGGATTGGTTTGCAAGTTTTCTTATAGCGTTGGTAATATTATGGGATATCGAGAACGAGACAAAATCGAATTAAGCGCATGGATGAATATAACTCTTATTGATGATCAACATTGAACCCTTACTCTCTATGTGAAGTGATAGATTGTTTATGTATGAATTGAGCTCGAGAGATTCATTTTTAACTGCAATGGCTTTTTTTAGGTCCAGATAACTGTAGTCGGCCATCGCGAGAAATATTCCACTCAGTTTGTACAGTGCTTCGAACATTGGAGTGTTTTCTGCTTGCTTTGAACAATGTTAGAGTTACCTCATATTGTAAGGAATATTATGTGCAACACCCCAGTGTCTCTCTAGGGTTATCTATACAATAATTGAACTTAGTATATAAGTCTGCGAAACATAAGGACAAATGGCCCTCGTCCTGCAGGCGTCTAGTATACAGAGTCTTCAATGAGTGTTTGACTTAAATATAACTTTCGATAGAATACCGTTGACATATTCAAATCATTTGACAGAATATCAATTGATTCATTTTGCAACTCCTAGAGTCAGTGATAAGAACAAGTTATGAAGGTATCCCCAAATCAAATAGGTTGGCCAATTACAAGGTGCATGTATTGATAAGCACGATAAGAAAAAAAAAGTTCGAAATCTGAACCATTTTCTGAACTTTGGTGGACTAAGCCCAGAGGCGTTAAAGCCGTGGCTCTTTGACCAATCATGTAATCATCCGCCCCCAAGCTGCCCCTCAACCCGCTGGAAATTTGGAGGAAAGCAGCAGCAGAAAGATTATCTCTGGGCAAGAAATCGCCATCTTTCTTCGCCAAAACACCAACTGCCCATCACAACACAACGAATAACTTTCGCAATGGGGGAATCAACAAAGCGAAAGCGCGACCAAACAGAAGAGTCTGCCGTTGAAAATTCTACGGTAACAGAGGTTGAGAAGTCTACAAAGTCTGCGCAAAAACAAGAGGAAGAGACTTGCTTCGTCGATCTCGGTCTTGATCCCAGGCTGCTACAAGCCATCGCTCAGCAGAAGTTCGCAAAGCCTACTCTTGTCCAGCGCAAGGCGATTCCTTTGGCTCTCAACGGACAGGATGTTCTCGCCAAAGCAGACTGTGGTTCTGGAAAGACGGCAGCATATGTTCTGCCTCTGCTGTCAAGCATTCTGAAGCGCAAAGCTGTACGTTCAAGTTTACATGCAACTTTTGAAGACTCTTGCTAATAAGTATCTGTATAGACTGACTCTACCGCTTTCACCACCGCCCTTATCCTTGTCCCAACCCGCGAGCTTGCCGACCAGGTCTTCAAGGCCATCGAACTCTTTGCCTCGTTCTGCGCAAAGGATATCAGCACTGTCAAGTTGACCGACAAGGTCTCCAACGCCGTCCAGCGCGCCCTTCTCTCCAACTCTCCCGACATCGTCATCTCGACACCTTCGACTGCCTGGTACAATGTCAACTCGTCCTCCCTCTCGATCGACAAGCTCACACATCTCATCTTGGACGAGGCCGATTTGGTCCTTTCATATGGTTACAGCGAGGATCTGGAGAACCTGTCGCGAGTAGTTCCCAAGGGTGTTCAAGTAATGATGATGAGTGCTACTCTTACCGACGAAGTCGACACACTCAAGGGGATCTTCCGACGCGACCCAACCTTGTTGGATCTCAAGGAGAAGGAAGCTGAAGGCGAGGGCATCACTCAGTTTGTCGCCAAGTAAGTTACATAAACCGTTGCATAAGAAAGAATAGCTACTAACATGCTACTAGATGTGGTGAAGACGAGAAGTTCCTCCTTGCATACGTCATTTTCAAGCTCAAGTTGATCAAGGGCAAGTGCATCATCTTCGTCAGCGATATCGACCGATGCTACCGCCTCAAGCTCTTCTTTGAGCAGTTCGGTATTCGAAGCTGTATTTTGAACTCGGAGCTGCCCCTGAATTCGCGAGTCCACGTTGTCGAGGAGTTCAACAAGCATGTTTACGACATCATTATTGCCGCCGATGAGAAGAACGAGATGCTAGGAGACGACGACGAAGCCGCCGAAGCCGGTGAGACTGAGACCGAGAAGCAGGTTAACGGAGACGACGATGCGGAAACGGATACAAAGCGACCTAAAAAGAAGGTCAAGAAGTCCAAGGGTGGCGATAAGGAGTATGGAGTATCAAGAGGTGTTGATTTCAAGAAGGTTTCCGCAGTCATCAACTTCGATCTTCCCTCCACAGCATCAGCCTACACGCATAGAATAGGACGTACAGCACGAGCCGGCCAGACTGGTATGGCTCTCTCATTTGTCATTCCTAAGGATCTATACCGAAAGCACATGCCCACATCCACCCCGGCTTGCGAGAACGACGAGAAGATCATGGCCAGGATCGTCAAGCAGCAGGCTAAGCGAGGCAAGGAAGTGAAACCCTACAACTTCAACATGAAGCAGGTGGATCCTTTCCGATACCGAATGAACGATGCCCTCCGCGCCGTCACCAAGGTTGCTATTCGAGAAGCCCGGACACGAGAGCTGCGACAAGAGCTGTTGAAGAGTGATAAGCTCAAGCGGTAAGTTCCAGCACAATGCAGTTCTACTAAGATTGTACTAATAAAGCTACTAGGTACTTTGAGGAGAACCCTACCGAGCTCTCTCATCTTCGTCACGATGGTGAACTTCGAACCGCTAGACAGCAGGCTCACTTGAAACACATCCCAGAGTATCTTCTGCCCAAGGATGGCAAGCAGGCCTTGACAGGTGACATTGGCTTTGTGGCACTCAGAAAAGACCGAAAGAGCAAGGGCAAGGGTAAGAAGGGATTCAAGGTTGGCTCAAGGAAGCGGGATCCTCTCAAGACGTTCAAGGCGAGGCGCAAGACAAAATAGGTGGACCGTGTAGAGTAATATAGCGACTTTTGCTTTTCGTATATATACCTTGATGTGAATTCAAGACCGTCTTTGGCTCTAGTTAATGGCTTACTTTGTGGCTTACAGTTGTCAGTGGAGCAGGACGCAAATCTACCCAAAACGCATGACAATAACCTAGCCTGCCAGCTCGTTCACGGTTCGAAGTTAACGTAGGACCCGCCATTATCTCCGTGTTGGTCGCAGTCGTTGATTTTCAAGCTTAGTAGGTATAGAGTAGTGAACATCGGAATCTACCGAGGTACAAAGCTTAGTCATTCATGCAGGATGGTCGATGCATCGGAGACAAGCAATTATCTCGGCCGCAAGTGTGGGGAGGCTGCTATCACTAACGTTAGCACAAACCTAGTTGCATTTGCATCAAAAGGTGTAATTGCCGTAGGCTGGATAGGACGATTCATGGAAGGGCAGGGGAAAGTCTTGACGTGTATAAAATGAGGGTGCCCATCTGCTGTACTGAGGAGGGATATAGCTTCAATTGTCTTCCTACCATATCAATACATCCCGTCTCCTAATTTCATCTTCTCTTGACACTTCACCTGCGTCATGGCTCCTCCTGCTCAGCTTCCTCTGCGCCAACTTGCAAAGAATGGCCCCAAAATCCCAGCCATTGGCTTTGGCATGATGGGTCTAAGCATTGCATATGGAATGCCTGAGTATGCGTGCCTACACTCTTTTCCACCCAGTAGCTCATTCATTCACTAACATCCTCAGATCCGATGAAGATCGTTTCAAAGTCCTCGATCGCGCCTGGGAACTCGGCTGTACCAACTGGGATACAGCTGATGTTTATGGCGATTGCGAGGACCTTGTCGGAAAGTGGTTCAAACTGCACCCTGAGCGCCGTCAGGATATCTTCCTGGCAACAAAGTTTGCTCTGAAGATGGGCGATGAGGGTATTGTGGTTGACACGTCTCCTGAATATGTGAAGAAGGCTGCCGAGAGCAGCTTGAAGAGACTCGGCGTTGACCACATCGATCTGTACTATATGCATCGCGCCCAAGAGGATGTGCCCATTGAGAAGACCGTGAAGGCTATGAAGGAGCTTGTAGAGTAAGCTAAATTGCCCGCAGAAGAAGATGATGGCTGACCAACATACAGTGAGGGAAAAGTCAAGTATCTCGGTCTTTCAGAAGTCTCGTCTACAACCATCCGTCGCGCCCACACCATCCATCCCATCACAGCAGTTCAAGTCGAATACAACCCTTGGACACTTGATATCGAAGGACCCTCAGGAACACACCTTCTCAAGACATGCGAAGAATTGGATATCTCCGTGTTTGCTTACTCCCCTCTCGGCCGGGGTATCTTGACGGGCCGTTTCCGTTCCATTGACGATTTTGAAGAGGGTGATGCCCGGCGGAATTACTCGCGCTTCCAGGGCGACAACTTCAAAAAGAATCTGGTGGTCGTGGACAAATTTAATGAACTGGCCAAGACCAAGGGCTGCACTTCCTCGCAGCTAGCCCTGGCTTGGCTCTTGGAGCAGAGCCCGAATGTGTTTGTGATTCCGGGCACTAAGAAGATTAAGTATCTGGAGGAGAACGTGGGGGCGTCCGGGGTGAAGCTGAGCAAAGAAGAGGAGCAAGAGTTGCGAAAGTTAACATCGGACGCTGAAGTTATGGGAGGACGGAATCCCCTCTTTGGAAACTATGCGGACACAGTCCCTCTAGAAGACTAAGAGAAAAGTAGTCGGGAACAGTGTATGAGATTCTGTCGCGGTGGTAGCATTCGTTATATCAGGTCTGTGTAAAGAAGTTTGCCTTTCCACGGTGTCTCGTCTGTCTCGTCACTATCCTCAAAGCTGCCCACAATCTGGAATCCTCGATCGACATAGTATCTAGCAATTGTCAATTCAAGGGTCAAATCCAAAGAACATTGTTCTTAGAGGTTTTGGATGGAACATACTGTACCAACTGTCCATTACCCCCATCCCAACAGTCAATCCAAACGGTCTTCCAACTGTGCTCAGCGGTATACTCTTTCACCTTCTGGAGAAGAGCAGCCCCAGCTCCTCGCCGTTGATCACCAGCTCGGTGGTCGGTGACGAGGTACTGCAGAAAGACAAACTTGCCCTTCTCCATCGCGGGTGTGACAACATCCTTCAAACTTTCCGATGCCTTGAGATAGCCCACGAACTGTTCATTGAGAATCTTGACGAATCCAACAGACACAAGGACTTTTCCATTCTTGTCCAACCTTCTGGATAGTCCATCGTCTCTGAGAGGTTCCGCTCCAGATTGATCATCCTCAGTCTCGGCAATGAAAACCCTCACTGGGTCTCCATTTCCCGACTCTAGGAAGTTCTCTGACTTCGCAACAGTATCATGTATTCCTTGTATAAATCCTTCCTTTTTGGAGAGTGGTTTTGTTCCCCATTGTCCAGAGTTTCCAGCAGCAGCAAGGTGAGGCAATGTTGAGTCGAATGCGTCAATAATGAACTGAGCATCGCCAAACGACGCGCGAGCGTCCCGAATGTAGAACTGTCTGGGCATATCTCCGACTCACTTCTGTGTATCCCTGTTTACTCCCGGCGGGTGCTCAACAAATACTCTTTGATAGGACCCTATGGCTTCAAAGATCCGTTGTACGTAAGTAGACTACTGAGTTTGCGGCTCTTGGTCATCATCGGATCCATTGTCAGCAGTGTCTATACCGCAACTTGCAGCATACGCTAGCAAGGATGACGATCCACCAAGATCCGATTTATCTTTCTAGAAGCCAGCATCTGGATGTCTGTTGTAAGATGTTCCCGCTATTTTGCGAGATTCTCGACATCTGCACCTGGACCCGGCGACTATTTATCGCTCGAACATTGGTATATGATAGATTCTGGAGAATCTTGGAGACTTCTACATCTCAATCATTGGAGAAGTGTTTTCCCTGACATCGCCCGAAAATGCTCTGTACTTGTTTCTCAACATCTTCATCTTGCTCAAAGCCGATGGTACCTGGCCCACCACAATAAGAAAGGGAATCCTTACTGTCACTTATTTCTTCCTTGATAGTCACCATTACGATGATCCACTTCCAGGAAACATGAATAATCTTGGTTAATTTTCCATTGCCCTGTGTAGCTTTCCAGACTTCTTGATGTGTCATGTCCCTGTTAGATAGAACACATTGCTTGAGCCGTCCTGTTGCGATCGTCTTCAAAAGGACGTATAGAGGCCAATAGACAAACGATTTGAACCTGCCGTCGTTTCCATTGCCAAGTCCGTAGTTTGTTACCGGAAAAGAAGCGTAATTGACGGCACCTTTATCCAGGGCGCATGACTCGGCATTTGCTACAGAGCAAGTACAATATAAGTCGTGATGCGACATAAGCAAGGACCGCCTACAACGACTACCTTGAAAAGTAAATGGAAAGTTGCAGTCCTCAGTTGTACGTTTTGAAATAAGGGCCTCGAAGAATAGGCAGTATACCTTTCCAAGACACTGCTCTGAAGTTTTCTTTGAAAGGTCAACGAGCGAGTCAGTTGACGCTATGAAACTACTGGCGTTCATGACCAGAAAGGGATCGATAGCCTCAAGGTTATGAGATCATCGTTGTTCTTCTTGGGTAGCCTCGTGACTAGCTAAACCAAAGACAAAGAAGGACCTTGGGCGGGATGCCCTAATGTCACCATAGGTAGATAGCTGAAGTTCCTTGGAGTCCATCTCTTTGTTCCTTGATATCACGATACCAAGGAGTGAAAGTCCGCCAATGATAGGCGGAGAATGAGAAGAAAAATGTTTCTTAGTCCAAGCTCTTCATTTGGAGTTTAGATAACTTACTCCATAGTTACAGTGCAAACGGAGTATTGGTGGTGGGGAGGGATTGAGGATCTTGATGCATTCTAAGGATAAGAGGGTCGCTATCCGCAACAAGACGGACAGTGGTCTCGTCTGCAGGGTCTTGCTTGCACTCCACCTTTTGTGTTAGTGAAAAGCCGAAATGTTGCACAAAGTTTGATAAAAGTCTTCAACTGCCCGGCGTGTATTGTATAAATAAAAAAGGAAGCAATAGATACTCGCTGGAACATGAACCACCCGAGCGTACCTCAAGCAAGATCATGTCTTCGCGGCAAGGTATATGGGATAAAGCTGCTGCACTAGTCAGAAGTCAAAGCCATAGATAAGAGCGCCTGTTGGCTGCTTGGTGGGGAGATGGAGAAGGATGCCACACCGACGGGAAGGGAACCAGAACGAGCTGTTGTAATTTGGTGTCCAGCGCGACTCAAACCAGAATGATTTAAATTTATATTGGCTTAAAAGGTTGGCAAGGCCGGCATGAGATAGGTCATACAGGTCCGGGGAGTGAGCGGGCACCTTGATGGACGGACCCCTTCGATTTGCTGATCGGTTTGCGCCGCCGGGAAAGAAAACATAAATATCTGTCTCGCTGCCACTGGCTGGTGTTATCGTGCTGTCCTTGTTATGTTTTTGGTGTTGCTAACGTCGGCCTCTGACGTGAGATCCCTCGCTTTCTTCGTCATTCTCAACCATTGTGCTAGTGCTCGTCGACACCACTGACTAGTCCGATCACTAGAGACTGACATCACCGAGCCCTTTTCCTTTCGAATCGAGTTTCTTTCTCAGCTGAAAGTCTCTTCCAAGTCGCTCAATTACCTACTTCCAATTGCGAGTGTTGTGAATCAGCTCAATCATCATGGTTGAAGAACCTATGTTGATGCAGATCCCTCCTGAGATTCGCATGTTGATATACGACTATCTCCTTGACAATGGCGGAACAAAAGACATATCGATCCGAAACCAAACGAGGAGTGAATATGAGGCGCGCTGCTCCAAGAGTCAACGCTCAGCGTACCATGTAATGGAGCGGACTGTCGCGAAGAAGTCAATCCAAACGACATATTGCGCCGACCCCGAACCCCATCGAGTGATGCACACCGCGATCATGCACATCAACAGGAAAATTCGAGAGGAAGCGTCTCATTTCCTGTACACGAGACATGCCTTCCATTTTGGAGAAGACCTCGAGGCCGTGGTGCCCTTTCTCACCGATAAGACGCCACGCACTAGAGACATAGTCCGCGAAATCAGCCTTTACAAGAGCAGCCCGACAAATGCTGTAGAGCCAGGTTCATACGACTGGCCTTCTGTTTGTCGTTCGTTACGGAGCTTGCAAAGCTTGGATAAGCTGACGCTTGTCATTGAAGGCGCTCGGCCACGAGGGCCTTGGGACGGCCCACAGAGCTTGACAGTGTCTGACTTTCGCCTATTATACACAACTCGCCATGAGAGCCTGGAGTGGGCGCGGGAACTGGCTTCTATCAGGTCGATCAAAGAGGTGGTGATTGTGGCAGATATTCATAACTTACCGCACCCCGAATCGAACATGATGCTGGTCCTTGCCGCATTCTCATCCTCGATTGATACGTCGTTGGTGGACTTTCTCCGCGATGATCTTGGGATTCCCGCTCGAGTTGGACAACCACAATATTGCGGTGTTGGAGTATTTGGTCGATCCAGGAAATGCCAACGGAATGGGTGTTTGACAAGTTAAGAGAATGAAAGGATATATATGAAGATTTGGATGGAAAGGCGTTGAGGTAGCTGGCGCATCGAGGGCAAAGTGCAGGAAGTTTGTTTGTATTTAATTATGGTCATAGCTAGTATATCGGAAATATCATAGCATCAGTATCTTCGATGAATTAATGACATTCAAAAAAAAAAAGTAGAGAATCGCCTTTTTGATGAAAGAGTGTAGTAATCAGTTGAAATGCCAGTAACAGTTGAGGTACATATAATTGTATACAATTGCTAATTGCTGCCACGGAAGTGACCCTTATAAGTCAATCAATCCATTTCGACAGCTCAAGCATAGGTACTAGGTAGTTCCGCCACGTGACAGCTGGAGCCATTCCTGCGCCGCAAGGAGTTATTACCGGAATCGAGTCAAGGATGCTTCGGTGGCTGGGGCGGGATGAACTGAAGCTGGTGTCCCTGCCGCCTAAAAACCAGCAGGTACAGCGCCATTATCCGCTGTGTGCTAACGTTAAGGCCCACCTCAACCCATTATCTCAGCCTCCCCCCGTATCGTCATCGCTCCCGTTCTGCGCCTTGTATGCGACGCACCTATCGACGACAACCCGGCACCTCCGCTCAAGACCCGACTCCCTATATCGTCCTCTTCAACATTGCGTCTTCCATTGTCGCATTCTCTTTAATTGCTAGGAGTTGCCTTGTCTCGACCTGCTCCAAGCTCCCCCGCCGCTATAGTCAGACAAGATGGCCACACCAGCTCCCCCCGAGGACCAGGCTCGTCTGCTCGAAGATGCTCTCGTTGCCGTGCGTCAGCAGACGTCCCTGATGCGCAAATGCCTCGACACGCCTGGCAAGCTGATGGATGCGCTCAAATGCTGGTATGTCGATAATTGTGCCGCGCGCCATCATAGCTTAGTCCCCTGAATGGTATCACTGACCATTTGTAGCTCGACTCTAGTTTCTGAGCTTCGCACCAGCAGTCTCGGTCCCAAGCAGTACTACGAGCTGTACATGTCGGTATTTGATGCCTTGCGCTATTTGTCCGTTCACCTTCGCGAAAACCACCCTGTCAACCACCTAGCCGACCTCTACGAGCTTGTTCAGTATGCCGGCAATATCGTTCCACGATTGTATCTCATGATTACCGTGGGAACGGCATACATGGCCATTGAGGATGCGCCTGTCAAGGAGCTTATGAAGGATATGATGGACATGAGCCGAGGTGTTCAACACCCTATTCGTGGACTCTTCCTCCGATATTACCTGTCCGGTCAAGCGAGAGACTTCCTGCCGATAACCGAGAGCGATGGCCCTGAAGGCAATATTAGCGATTCCATCAACTTTGTGCTTACGAATTTCGTCGAGATGAACAAGCTGTGGGTTCGACTACAACATCAAGGCCATTCGAGAGAACGCGAACAGAGGATTCGGGAGCGAAAGGAGCTGCAGCTCCTAGTTGGCAGCAACATTGTTCGCCTAAGTCAACTCGTTGACCTCGAGACGTACAAGTCTAGCATTCTGGCACCTCTGCTAGAACAGGTGGTTCAATGTCGGGACGTTCTCGCCCAAGAGTATCTCCTTGAGGTGATTACGCAAGTTTTCCCAGACGAATTCCACCTGCACACCTTGGACCAGTTCCTTGGTGCCGTTTCCCGGCTCAACCCTCACGTCAATGTCAAGGCTATTGTTATTGGATTGATGGACCGACTATCCGAGTATGCCGAGCGCGATGGGCCAGAGGAGAAGTCAGATGACAGAGCCCAAATTGAGGCGGATGCTCTCGCAAAACTACTGGAGAGGGTCAACCTTCAGAAGGAAACAAAGTCGGAATCACCTTCAGGATCTAAGCCTACTGAGGCGGATGATAACTCGGCCGAGCCCTCTGAGTCCTCCGAGTCTGCAGATGGTGACGAGACACCTGAGAGCGAGGGCGAAACAACGGCCAAAACCACTGATGAGACTGCTGATGAAGCTGCAGGTGAGAGCAGTACCGACGATTCCAGCACACTCGCCGAGTCTACGCCTTCAGTTGCGGATACAGAAACAACTGCCGTCAACGGACAAAACTCCATCACAGACAGTGTACAGCTCTACGAGGTGTTCTTCGCTCAAGTCAAGAACTTGGTTGAGGCCCAGCATCTCCCTGTGCCCGACATTATTGCTCTTTTGGTGTCACTTTGCAATCTTGCCCTTAACATTTATCCCGACAGGCTGGATTATGTCGACCAAATTCTAGCTTACGCAACCACAAAGGTTCGAGAGAACATCAACAACGCCGATCTTCACTCGCCGCCTGCTCAGCAGAGCCTGCTTGCTCTTCTACAAGCACCCCTTAACCGATATGTTTCCACGTTCACTGCTTTATCTCTCCCAACCTACGTTCCTCTTTTCCAGTCGCAATCATACCCCACCCGTCGCGCCGTTGCTGGTGGCGTCGCTCGTACTTTGCTCAAAAACCAGACCAAGATCTCGACTACTGAACAGCTCGAGAACGTACTGGAGGTGCTGAAAGTTCTAATTAAAGAGGGCTCCCAGGCACCTCAAGGATATCCAGGTGTTGCTCAGAGGCGTCCTGTGGAGACGGACGAGACAATGGAGGAGCAGGGATGGCTCGCCAGGATCGTGCATTTGCTGCAGGCCGAGGATAATGATACTCAGTTCAAGCTGCTTCAAATGACGAGAAAGGCTTACTCGGACGGAAACGAGCGTATTCGCACGACCACACCACCTCTTATCACAGCATGCATGAAGCTGGCGAAGAAGTTCAAGCAGCGTGAGCACCTCGACGATAACTGGGAGACACAGAGTAATGCTCTGTTCAAGTTTATGCACTCAGCGCTCAGCACGTTGTATACCCGCGTTAATGGCTCTGGGGCCGCGGAGATGGCTCTGCGCCTTTTCGCCTCTGCAGGCCAAACAGCTGATCAAGCTGGATTCGAGGAGGTTGCATATGAATTCTTCGCACAGGCTTTCACGGTATACGAAGAGGCTGTCTCGGACTCGAAAGCTCAGTTCCAGGCTGTCTGTCTAATTGCCACTGCTCTCCATCAGACACGTAACTTTGGCAAAGAGAACTACGACACACTTATTACCAAATGCGCACAGCACGGAAGCAAGCTGCTGCGCAAGCCTGATCAATGTCGCGCTGTTTACCTGGCCAGTCACTTGTGGTGGGCAACCCCTGTTGTCTCCAATGGCGAGTCGGAAGAAACAGAGGTATGTATCAGTCAAATTTGTTGAAGAACTGAACTAACATTGAATAGCTTTACCGTGATGGCAAGCGTGTACTCGAATGCCTTCAGCGCGCTCTTCGCGTAGCTGACTCCTGTATGGAAACTGCTACATCGATTGAGCTTTTTGTTGAGATCTTGGACCGTTATGTGTACTACTTTGATCAACAGAACGAATCGGTAAGTTTATTGCCAAAGGATTTCTGGTTCTGGCATAGCTAATTGGTACAGGTTACAACTAAGTATCTTAACGGCCTTATCGAGCTTATTCACTCCAATCTGGCAGGAAACCAGCAAGACTCAGCGTCAGTTGAGAACAGTCGCCGGCACTTCCATCAGACATTGGAGAATATCCGTAGTCGACAGTATGAGGGCATTGTGCTGACACCAAACTGAAGTCTGGTGTCTGGTATACAGTGAAGAGAGAAGAGAAGGCGATTGAGCGGCATAGCGAATAGATAATGTTTAGCCTGCACGAATTAAGGAGGAAGCAGGTAGTTGTATATATGTAAACTTTGCCCAAATTTGATGCTCTGATGCTCTACGTGGTGAAGCTATATCCAGTTTCAGGGGTATACATGTGGATGTAAGCCGGTCCCCGGTCCAGTGAGATCGGCACTACCAGTGCTGCGAGTACAGATACTGTCAGCCTGAATAGGCGAGAGTGTTGGTTATTTCTGGACCCCTTGGTTCATTTATCTTGAATTAAAGATATGAGTTAAATGACCTATCCTGACTTAACCTCGAGTCCAAAGCCCAGGCAGGCCTATCACCTCCCTGTCCAGGTTAGGTCGTCTCCTTATCCCAGCTTTTGTGGGGTAATCCTGGTGGCGTGCACGGGCGGATTCAGGAGAGAGCGGCGCGCTGACTCCGCTTAGACAGGCCAGGCCTGGCCAAGTCCAGCTCGTGGGATGCCTCTGAGGGAAAAGTGTCAAGTAGACGGGCCCGTTTCACCTGGAAATTTAGATATAGAGAAGAGAACAGTGATCATGAGGCTCAACTTAAATGGTGTCCAAGCTAACCACTGTATTCGTGTTCTTGCTCAGTTTACAGAAGCCAAGGCTTGCCAAGTCATTCCGGATCAACTCAGCCACTGGGAAGGTCTTCTACTCTCCGTACTCCGTACTAACCGGTGGGTTCCAGGTAGGTTCCCGTACAGAGTAATTATGGCGTATGGGTTGTAGGTTATAGTGGACTTGGCTGGACTCCGGTCCCTTACGTGGACACTATGTTTGCCATCATCCCCCCGTAATCTGTAGTCCACCTAGTCTACTCCGTATCGTCGCATGCATTGTATACGTTAGCAATTGACTTGATCATACATCTCAACCTTTTTCCTTCTTGATAATCATCACCGTCAATCCGTTCAGTCGGAGCCTCTATTTCAGCTTGAACTTTGGCATTTGCTTCTGCTTTTGGGCTTGTTGGTTTGGCGATGCGCTTCTTGCGTCCAGCTTCGACTATTGTCTCTCTTTCTTGACGCTCCTTTCGTACTTGAACCCATCTTAATTGCTTCATCCCGATCGATCGACCCAAATCGCCCACTCCTTTATTTCAACCTTGCACCGAATGGCCGTATATACTTCGAGTTTCTTATAAAACCAACACCGCGAAATCAGCCTCATTTCGATTGAATAAACGACAACCGAGGGCGCGGTTAGCGCTCATACACCATCACCATGCCTTCCGAAAAGACTCCTTTCTATGATCCTATACCTCCAACTTACGACCAGGCCGTAGCTAGCGGAAGTCATTACGATCCCGATGACTGGGCTCCTGCCCCAAGGTCTCCGACCAACGAGCGGAATGCAACCGAAGCAGAATCCCAAGGCCTCCTACAGCATTCAAGTGGCGCTAGCTCATCACGAAGGCCCGACGGCTATCGACCACCTACGGTAGAAACTGACGATGAGGAAAGTCTCTGGGCCAGCGATAGCGAAAGCGATGGCGAAGCCGCGCAGGTTCGACGTGAGATGCAGGAGATGGAGATTGAAGAACCCGATCGATCCCGGGGCTCTCAGTGGGGGAAGCGATTTGGCTCGTATCTAACTCTACCACGTTGGAAATGGTCCTGGCGGCCAAGGTTGCCCCGATTACGCATACGTCTACCACAAAGAGCTGATGCGCCAGCTGCCGACAACGCCGAGACTACCACAGGTGAGAATGAAGAGACGTCAAGCCAGACGACGAGGGGTTGGAATATTCCCAAATTTGATAAGACATCCATCATCTTATTTTGTGTGCGCATTTTGGCGCTTACAATTATTCTCGGATTCTTCTATCTGCTTTTCGCCAGCGATATGTTCGGTGGCTTATCAGATCGTTTGGGAGGTGGTTTCCGTTTCAACCCTGAGGATCTCCGAGCTCACCTGCTACGCTCCGTCGATCCTATGAGGATGCGCGCGTCTGTGCAGCACTTTTCTAACTACGCCCATATCGCCGGTACCGAAGGCGACTACGCGACTGCTCTGGATGTCCAGGCCATGTTTGGCCGTGCAATGTTGGACGAGGTTATGATGGACGAGTACAAAGTTTACATAAATTATCCCCGCAAAGACGGTCGTACGGTACAGATTATGGACGACAAGGATCTTAAGAAGGCCAAATGGACAGCCAAGCTGGAGGAAGAGGAAGTCGGTGGCGAGATCGTAGGCCGACAGCCATATGTCTTCCACGGATACTCTAAGTCCGGTGACGTCAAGGGACCCTTGATTTACGCCAACTACGGTTCACGAGACGACTTTAAGCATCTTACGAGCAGTGGTGTCAATGTCACGGGGGCTATTGCGCTAGTACGAAGCGGTGGTTCTCGAGAGAATCAAGGTCTCAAGGTCAAGGCAGCCGAGTTAGCGGGTTTTGCTGGCTGTCTCATCTACTCTGATCCTGCGGACGATGGTTTCAAGAAGGGCGTTGTTGCTCCTGAGGGATTGTACATGCCCGCAGACGGTGTTCAAAGAGGCTCCGTAGGACTCACGAACTGGGCAATCGGCGACCCCCTATCGCCTGGTTATGGCAGTAAGGGTGATCAGCGGATCACACTCGACAAGACAACCGGACTCGTAGGCATCCCCAGTCTTCCCTTGGCATGGAGAGACGCAAAGGTCCTGTTACAGCATCTCAAGGGGTATGGCGAAAAGGTACCTGACAAGTGGGAAGGAGGTGTTCCTGATGTTGAGTGGTGGACGGGCAATGACAAGTCTCCAATTGTGCGTTTGAAGAACGAACAAGATGAGGACTCAATGCACACCATCTGGAACGTCTATGGCCGAATCAACGGCATGGAACAGACGTCCAAGTCTATCATTATTGGCAACCAGCGTGATTCTTGGGGTTTCGGAGCGACAGATCCTCACTCGGGTACAGCAGTCATGATCGAGATGGCTCGCATCTTTGGAGATTTGGTACAGCGAGGCTGGAGGCCCTTGAGGACAATCGAATTCATGTCATGGGATGCTTCTACGTATAACCTAATTGGCTCAACGGAGTACGTCGAGCACAATTCTGACGCACTGCGCGACAACGCCTTCGCCTATATCAACCTTGATGCAGCTGTGGTTGGAAATGACTTACACGCCTCTGGATCGCCAGTTTTCCGAAAATCCCTCCTTCACGCCCTTGGCCGAGTTGTTGATCCTGTCACAAACAGCACTTTAAAAGAGCTGTGGAATCAGAGCAAGCACGAGCTTCAGCAGCCTGAGGGAAGGGGAGATCATATTCCATTTCAAGATATCTCAGGGACCAGTTCGATCGACTTGGCATTCCGGGGAAGTCAAGTTCCCCATCATTCAAGCTACGACAAGATTGGCTTGGTGGACAACTTTATCGACCCTGAGTACAAGTACCACGGCGCGATGGGCCAAGTGATAGCCCTTCTCGTTCTCGACATGGCCGATCGGCCCATCATGCCTTTTGATATGGGTTGGTATGGGCAGAGGCTGGGCAACTGGGTAGCAGATCTTGAGAAGTGGGCGATCAAAAAGATGAAGGGCCAACCAAAGGGTGAAACGGACGCTTTCAAGGAGCTCAAGGAAGCTGTACAACTCATTCAACATAACGTGGCGGCATTCGAAGCTTGGGAAACGGACTGGGACCGCGAAGTCTTGGGCAACGGCGGCTGGGAAGCTAATAACATCGGCGCATCTCGACTGGCATACAACAACAAGATGGCATATTTTGAGACAGCGTTGTTGGATATTGAAATTGGTGGTGGTGTAAGTTCACTCCCTACAAGTCGACTAACTGCATGAATTAAGCTGACAATCTCCAGATCCCCAACCGCACCCAATTCAAGAGCGTCGTCTTTGGGCCAGAAGCTTGGTCCAACGGAGGAGCCGTCTTTCCCGCCATTCGCGACAGTATAGAAGAAGGAGACTGGAAGACCACCAAACCCATCATTGCCAAAACGGCAGCACTTCTTCGCAAAGCAGCGGCGGTCTTGGAGATGCAATAAAGCGCGTGTATGATTTGAGTCAAAAGCTTTCCCTTTTTCTTACTCCCTTTTCTCTTTAACGATCTTGGTCTTGGCGCGCTCGCCGTTGTTTGTTTTTACTTTATAGGATATATATACACAGTTCCTGGTTTCTGAATCGGGAACTGCGTGGCAACTCTTCACGCAAAAATGTACAGGAGGCATTGCACGGAGTTTGGTTACGTTGAACCTGCGGTTTTCGTTCGTTCTTTCTTGGGTAGGCCAGGACTTGTTGAGGCAACTTGTCGGGATAGAGTGAGGGTATGTTTCTGATTGCCTTGACTAGGCAGACGGGATTCTTCTTTGTTATAGTTATAGTAATGAAGGAATGCGAGTCACCCATGTACTTTTGAAAAATTCTATCACACTTTTATTCGTGATCAAGAGGTGGCACTTCATGAGTACCTATATCGACACTTGGCATTTTCTCATCAACCGTTTTCAACCGCTTAAGCCTTCGTCTCTGCCTCATAGTCCTTCACAGAAACAAGCTTTCCAACAACGTTGTACTTCTCCAAGAACCTCTCCTCCCATCCCTGCAACGCCTCCATCTGCTCCCCGTCTAAACCCTCAAGTTTATCAAGAGGACCGTCAAGATTCTCAGTAAGCATATCCTCATCAAAGCTCCCGCACGCAAGACCACGGCTGGCGTCCCGACCAGCAAAGTTACTATAAGGACCGCCGGGGCCGTAAAAGTTACGACCGGGAGTGACATCGAAGACACGGCCGCGCACGGCGAGGAACACAGGACGGTTCTCCTCGCCGTTGAAGGGGAGCAGCGTATGGGGGGTGTAGGTTCGGAAAACGGCCGAGGGGGTGTCGCGTGGGAGAGATGGAGGAGGCGAGGAGCGTAGCATTGCGTAGGTTGTGTACAAGACTGCGCTGAGGAGGATGAGGTTGAGGGGAGTGAAGAGGGATGCGCTGAGGAGGAAGTTAGCAAGGCTTTGGATGGGAGAGTAAGGAAGACGTACGTTTCTGTGCTGGCCTGGTGAGCCATCTGAGCTTGGACGTGATCCATGATGGGCGTAGTTATGTGAGGTATTTGATTGAGTTGAATCGGCTGAGCTATTAGGTGAATCCCTTCGGAGAGTAAGTTGAAGGTGTTTTGTTGGTTAGTGTTGTCAAAAGCAGGGTACAAGCCAGGACAAGACAGCTCAGGTAAGAAAGTGCTTAGGTTCCGAGCTTCCGGGGCTCCCCCACTTTATGCTCCGGGCTCCGTCACTGTCTCGGGCGGAATTGGGCTTCGGGAGTTAGGGAGCAGCCGGTCTAGCTTCTGGTGACAGTACTGGTGTTTTATGTAATTATTCTTAGTGTTGCACAGCTCAAGAATGGTCGTGGCTATACTTGAGATTGTTTTAAGCTACTTCTCATTACATGCTGTATACTTCGTACACGTTCTGGAAGCACCTGGCTACAGCTTTGGTCATCTGGTATGATGGCAATATCATGAGTTAGATGATGCCTTGCAGTATAGAGCTATAACTACAGTTCCGTGCAAAAGTTCCGACAACGAGCAAACAAGAGATGCTTATATTAGGGTAGATGATATTAGGTATATCGTACCAAGAAGACTTTATATACTCTCAGACTATGATTATATACAATTATATAAATTAGGAAGAGATTACATTAATTTGTGAAATCTTGTATAAAATCTACAATAGAGGAAGTTGTCGGGAGTTTCGCGCGCCCACTGTAAGATACTCGGGGCATATAACATCTTGATAGTAGCGAGAAAGAATTGAAGATTGATACTTCACCTCAAAGGCCTTGGAAAAAGCAGGCTGCAAGCAATCTGACATTGGAATGTCCGGGCCTACGTAAGCTTCATTTCCTCTCAGGCGAATCTCAAGCGCGAGCTCGATATAGAGAGCTATATTCATTGTGTCAGTATCGAAAATGGGGGGTATGGTGTAGGGGTATCACATTCGCTTTGCATAGAGCCTCCGGCTTCCAAGGTTGCGAAAGGTCTAGGGTTCAAATCCCTATGCCTCCATTTCTTTTTTACTTTTTTGCTCATCATATTCATATTGTTTATCAATAGTCGATCTTGTTGGTGCTATAGACATCGTGTGTGGTTGTGGGGAGGAGTTTGTGGACGGATTGAAGCATGCTGATTCCAAAGAAACCTGGGGTCTCGACCGGAACATACACTGCGAACAATGTCTGAGTTCCAGATGGGGATGGTAGGTGATCGTCAGCCTCTGAAATCAAATTGGCTTGCTACTCATGTTATACGAAGATCAACATGTATTCTCTGGGAGAAAGGCTGGTTTGACAACGGCTTTGGTTATCCGTGGGTACCTGCCTTAGATATCCGGTGTAAGTCAGCTTGCACTGTTAGCCTACCGCCAGGCTTCCAAGTAAGATAGCCGTAGGAAGCACTCAAAGCTCCTTCTAGCCAAAGGCAATCTTCCACAAGCATAGGTAAATATAGCGTATTTGGTTCAGCCTTATAGAGAAGGCAGCTCTGGGACTGCTTGCATAGGTAGACAAATTAACCTCGACCTCTCCTCCCCGTATGAGTCAACAGCCAAAACTCAGCTTCAGCCTCCCCAATGAACACAGCCTAAGTTTTTGACTTTACAATCACTACAACTACCTACTTAAAAGCATTTGGCTCCCTCAAAGAATTTTCCGGTCCTCAGATCCCAAACATCGTCGTTTACCAAAATGGCTTCAACAACACCATCTTCAGATCCTGGCCCTGTCTATTTCTGGCGAGAAACGGACCCTGAGGTCGGTTACCTTTCGCAGTGGTACTACTGTCCCTTTCGGGATGATCAAGATGAGAAAAAGACTTATAAAACAGCTGAGCAGTAAGTCTCGCACATGAAGCCAAGATGACAACAACTAACAGCGTTCAGTTACTTGATGCACCAAAAAGCCCTTGTCTTCAACGACCAGGACATCGCCGCCCAGATTCTCAAGACTGGCAGTCCGCGCAAGGTCAAGTCTCTCGGCCGCAAGGTCAAAAACTTTGACGAAAAGACATGGCTCAAACATCGCCGCGATGTTGCTCGACGAGGCAACATCCTCAAGTTCACGCGTGCTATTACCGAAGAAGGCTTCAAGAGGGGCACACCCAACGGCAATACCGCAGCTGATAGCCTGATACAACCTATCGAGAGTTCTTTGCTTGATACGCTGCTCAGTACAGGTGACAGGGACCTTGTCGAGGCAAGTCCGTTTGATCGGATATGGGGTATTGGGTTTAGAGCTGCGGATGCAGAAACTGCGAGAGACGCATGGGGTGAGAATCTGCTTGGTAAGGAGCTTATGGAGGTCAGAAGAATCCTGAGGGAGAGAAGAGATAAAGGGGAGGCATAGTTGCAGGTGGATGGCGAAAAGAGAGATTGAAACTATCAAGACCGCACCAGACGGGTAGTATTGCACTTGGTTAAAGAGCGAGGGATATTGTGGGTTTCCAATTGGTTTGGCTATACGCCCCAATAAATTGGTTTGGCCTTGAATATCAAGGCAACTTTTGAACATGTCTATAGTCCATCATCCTTCCACTAACGATCCTTGGCCCAGTGCCCTCATTCCCTTTGATAATCATACATTCAGAAGCCTCATCCCGAGGCAAACAGAGCGGCGTGGTAGTCATTTTTTGCTGGTAAACAGCCCCAATCCAGTTCTCCCAGAAATGCTTGTATTGTGGTGGTGTGTTGCATTGTGGTGTGGTTGTGATATTGTTTTCGTGTCGAGAGCCCGCCCTGATATTTTTCACATGATAGCACATATTGTACAGTTATTAACACATAATAGGCGATGTTCCCTTGCTCGCCCTCCTTCTCATCTCATAGGTATCCAACAAAGGCAGATCCCAACCCCTGACGCCGCATTGAAATCATCGTGCTTTTTAGTACCAGTCTCGTCCACTCTTCTGCATCTCGATCAGACGCCAGCCCCTTGTTTCAGGGTTGTTGACATCCTCTGGTACTCGAGTAATACCGATGGCATAAGTGACCAGCTGGACCTTGTCCTCCATACCAGCAGCAAGCTGGTTCGTCTTGGCGTTGCGGTAGACGTGGACCTCTTGGGTGCGGCAGGTGATGATGAAGACAGGAACCTCACCAGGATCAAGCATACGTGCTCGAAGAATGTCCACATTACGGATATCCAGAATCTTACCATCTGACTTCATGCCAGCTTGAAGGTATTGCTTAGTCAGGGCTTCGTACACTGAGTACTGGGCGGCGGATAGCCAGAGCTTCAGTACTTCGGTATCACCCTTGACATAGGCATCCAGCACCTCAGGGAGGATGTATTCGCGAAGCTCCTGAAGGAAGGGTTCCGTTTGGAAGTTGGGGTCCATGGAACGGAACTTCTTGATAACCATAGCAGTCTCGTTCTCGGCGAAGAAACCTCCAATGCGGTCGGTGATACTTCGAGCAGTCGATACCAGAGGGTTTTCAGACTCTTCGTACTTGCCTCTCAAGCTGAATAGACCCTGTACGTACTTGTTCTGGTCACGGAAATCTCTCCAGGCTTCCTTCCAAGCAGCATCCTTGTGAAGAGTTACACTGGTGCCAGCGCTGTTGTGCGTTAGAATCGTCTCAGGGGCATGAACGTCGTTGCACTCACTTGATATCTTCCTCCATGGCCTGGGGGGCCTTGTAGCCTCGCTGCTTGTCCAGAGCCTCTCGGCGTTTCCGTCGCTCCTCCTTCTCAACCCAACCACCATATCGCATTGAGCTGCCATCATCAATGACATCTTTGACGTTCTTATAGGCTTCTGTGTTTCGGATGGGCTGAGTAGCCTTATCCATAGCATCTCCAGTGACATTGGCGGCCTTGCGAACACCCTTGACGACCGAAGTGTCCCAAGTCCACGAAGCACCCTTGCCAATGGCTCCGGCAGTTGCCTTGGCTCCCTTTCCGAGGGTCGAGGAAACAGCTCCGGTGGACTTCTCGTACGCCTCACGGGCACGTCGTACACCCTCACTTTCGGCGAACTGGTTAGCAGATTGAGCAATCTGCTTGGTCGACTCGTTCCATTCTTGCGACTTCTGGAATTCGGTGTTCATGGTCTCCATGAACACCTGCCAAGGGGTCTTGTCGCCGTGAGGGGGAGGGGGAGGGGCATCCTCTTTCTTCTTGTCCTTGCCCTCACCATCGCCCTCTTCCTTTCCTGCTTTTTCACCATCCTCACCCTTCTCGCCGTCCTCAGTCTTCTTAGATTGCTCCTCCTCGGGCTTGGTCTCAGACTCGGTGTCGGTAGGCTTCTTCTCTTTGGCGTCGGCGGGAGCGGCAGCTGAGGGTTTCTGCTCAGATTGAGGCTTCTCTTGGTGTAAGCGGCCGGAAAGGTGGAAGAGTCGAGACTGCGTGGTATAAATGGTAGATTGGCGGAGCTCGGCGGGCACAAAAGATGAGCTCAAGGGCGATCGAACTGAGCCAGAAAGCATTGAGCTTTGTGACCTTGCACCGTTGCGGGATGCATTCTGAGAAAGCTGGGATGCTAATCTGCAATAGGCGGGTGATCTGCCCGCGGATGAGACATGAGCGGAGGCTCGCGACAAGGCAAGCTCCGAGGAGGCCGTCTTTCTTGCGAGGGAATTCATTATTACAACACAATGAGACAAGAAACCCTCCAGAAAAGAACAGGGCGTGGAGTATGGAGATATGGACGGTGGAAAGTGGTGGAATTCCCGGAGTAAATTTTGGTTTGCGATCTCGGTCCGGGGGCGGAAAGTGAAGGAAAGGCAAGCACCGAGACGGCAAAGCCTCGGCAGAAATTTGCATCGGAGCCCGGGGCCGTGGGGGAGCTACAACCGCGAGTAAAAATTGACCACGCCAGCGATAGATCGGATACCATTAAATCAATTGAATTGCACGTCTCACGACAGGCAATGCGCACAAGATGAGTCGCTCATTGACGAGTCGCCTCGCGGCGCAAACGCTCTTTCGAAGCTCCCGAGTCGCCGTCCCGAATCCGACATTCCAAATCGTTCGATCGATCTCGCAAACGACTTCCCTCAATGATGAGAAGCCCAAGAGAGTCGTTAACCGACCCAGTACGGCCTCAATCCTAGAGAATATTTACGGCCCTCAGGAGACAACCAAGACCCGCTCATCTCCTAACAATGCTATGGCCAACCTCTCCCAGAGCCTCGTCTTCAAGACCCTCGACAAGTCCAACATCGATACGAGCGCTCTGTCTTCCAGAAACACAGGTCGACAGGTACAGGCAAAGGAAGACGATATTGAGCCTTATCACTTCCACATCTACTCTTCCAAACACAACACTCACATTACTTGCACCAAGCCCAACCGGGACCCCATCATATCTCTATCGGCAGGCAACATTGGTTTCCGCAAGTCTCGCCGTGGTACATTCGATTCCGCCTACTCCCTTACCAAGTATGTTCTGGAAAGATTAATTCACACCGGTTGGCCCATGAAGATGAACCGGCTGGAGGTTGTGTTGCGAGGATTCGGTCAGGGACGCGAGGCTGCTCTCAAAGTCTTGATGAGCCCCGAGGGCAAGATCCTGCGAGACAAGATTGTCCGTGTGGCCGACTCAACAAGAATTAAGTTTGGTGGTACCAGGAGTGAGAAGCCTAGACGTCTATAAAAACAGACTGGAGTCGAGGTTGGGATTTGGACACATTCTGGGTTATGTTCACTCTAAAATACCACTTGGCTGTGGGGGTTGAAAAAGCGAATGTACTATACTTTGTACGACCTGTACTATACAAATGAACAAGAAACAGCTTGCGTTAAGTTGTTAGCTCCTAAACGAATGATCTGCTTATGAACTTTCAAATATTGGTATCGTACTAAGCCATGAAAAACGCCTCCAAACTCCAAACACCAATTACATATAACAAACATACGGCCTTATCTGCGGTCTATCGCCGTAAGACCCTTTCAGCTGGAGGTAAACGGCGCCCGGCGGAGTCGCGCAGCGCTTGCTTTCCTTTTCCGCTTCCGCCACGCCTTCGCTCTTCTTCACTATCCCACTCTGCGTCACTGGTATCATTGCTTTCTGTCAGCAAATGGGGAGTTGTTGCCTGGAGCATGGTTGAGTTCTCATTCGAATTGTCGTAATCGTCCAAGAGCGCCCCTTCGCTTGTATCATATTCGGGAGGCTCGATCCAGTCTCGCGGAACTACACACGGTAGGGCGACACCAATACTAGCAGCACGATTCAACCATGATGGGCCCGACTGTCCTGTAAGCCTCTTGCATAGATACGATGTGAAATGGTTGCAGTTCTTTGTCAAAAGGTTATATGAGGTACCGAGAAACTCTTCGGAAGCAGTTCGGAGTGTCGATTCAACCTCTTGGTCGGTCGCAAGTGTAAATCCATGAAGGATCTCACATCGGAATGTGCCTCCGGGCGGTTCGGTCCTAGGCTTTGTCCAGTACACACCAGTAAGGCCTCTCTTATCATGTCCACCGTATGCGTATTCCTTTCCGTTGATCACAACGCCTGAATGAAGAAGCGATGCGCCTACTGTCCATAAAATGGACGACAATCGGCCGGGCTGCCGATGCAACGCGAATCAGTTTCTCGATCATGAAAACTAGTAGCAGAGGAACATGCGCGGCTTTACATACTGGTAATAGATCATAGACATGAATGGTAATCTCGGTCTTGGACAGAGATAGTGTTGAACGGTGGGATCTGCTGACCGAAGAGCTCTTCTTAGGACGAGGCATTGTGTTAGAAACTGACACAAGTACCGCGACTGATATGCGACGGCAAAGGTGGCTCGAAGCTTTGGGGTTCACGGTTAACTTAATGGGCTGAGCGGGGCTTAGCCGGGGAGATGGTAGACTAGTAATACAGATATGTGCTGGTGTACAGAGCAGGTAGGTGGGTAAATAAGACAAAGGACACTGATGAACAAAGAGATGATGAAGCTTCTAGATTAGGTCACAGGGGCTACTACATATAACGCATTCTAAAGATACATGGAAGGAATCGGCGTCCGGCCCGGCTGAGTCTGTTCTCGTCAGATCAAAGCTTGCGGTCTCGGCGAAGTCTAAAATCCTCAGTCTCAGGTATTTCTAGAGCCAGGCACCTAAAACGAACAGGACGTTTGCTCTGCAACATGCCTGTTGGGATCCAGGGTCCCGCTGCGCACGGTTTCGTTCCTGCCTGCCAAGCCGTTTTCGTCAGCCAGTGACGTCGTCTCAGATTCCAATCGGATCAACATCTTCTCCGATCTCCCGATCCTTGGCACGGCCCAACCTCTCTAAACCCAGCAAGGTGGGGTGCGAAGCGAACAAATTCTCATCTCCCCAAGCTCCATCGCGCAAAATAAAAAGAGAAATATTTTCTCTCTCCCTTCAACTTCCTTTTCTCCCTTTCTCTTCGTCGCCGCTCTCACACACGAAGCCGTCCGAGGTTGGCAGCAGCCAACCTAAAAACTTCATCACGAAGCCCTTCACATCTTCTCTCTTTTTCGCTTCTTCATCCCCTCTTACACCCCGTGCAGCAAGCTCTGCAGCTCTTGGACACGTACCATTCATACGCTTCGGCCTAGTATACCTTGTTCAACATCGCAACTACGCCAAGTCAAGAAAGATGCCTCCCAAGAAGCAAGTCGTCGAGGAGAAGATTCCTCTGGGCAGGCCTGGAAACAACTTGAAGAGTGGTATTGTGGGTGATGATTCTCCCGACAAGCCCTGAGGGCTATGTCATGCCATGCACATCATGTGCTAACCATCCTCCAGGTCGGTCTGGCAAACGTCGGCAAATCTACCCTCTTCCAGGCCATTACCAAGTCCAATCTCGGTAACCCAGCTGTATGAAGCCCCCTCGCCATCCATCGTCTTTAGAATCGGGGTGCTGACAGCATCAAGAACTTCCCTTATGCTACCATCGACCCTGAGGAAGCCCGTGTCGTCGTTCCTGATGATCGATTCGACTGGCTGGTCGAGAAGTACAAGCCCAAATCCGTTGTCCCCGCCAACTTGACCGTGTACGATATTGCCGGTCTCACTCGCGGATCATCCACCGGTGCTGGTCTTGGAAACGCTTTCCTGTCCCACATTCGCGCTGTCGATGCCATCTTCCAGGTTGTCCGTTGCTTCGATGACGCCGAGATTATCCACATTGAGGGTGACGTGAACCCCACCCGTGATCTCGACATCATCAGCGAGGAGCTGCGACTCAAGGATATTGAGTTCACTGAAAAGGCTATCGAGAACCAGAAGAAGAAGACCCGCATGGGCGGCCAGAGTCTTGAGCAGAAGAAGGCCGTGCAAGACCAGAACACCCTTGAGAAGGTCTTGGCCTGGCTCAACGACGGCAAGGATGTCCGCAAGGGCACCTGGGGTCCCAAGGAGGTAAGAATTTTCTCTTTTCTTTCTTATTTTACCTACCCTGCTTTCCTGATGACAAAAGGCCGTAAGGCCTGATATAACCCCAGCTCGTCGAATGCCTCACCTAATTAACGCTTAGAGGCATATGTGATAAACTTTACTCTGATTGCATACCTTCACATTCATTCATGCTTGAAAAGCTTATGAGAGAGACTTTACTGACTCGCTCATACAGATTGAGGTCATCAACCCTCTTTTCCTCCTTACTGCCAAGCCCGTCGTCTACCTTGTCAACTTGTCCGAGAAGGACTTCGTTCGCAAGAAGAACAAGCATCTTCCCAAAATCGTTGAGTGGATCAACGAGAACGCTAAGGGTGATCCTCTTATCCCCGTCTCTGTCTCTTACGAGTCTCGTCTTACTCAGTTCGAGACTGAGGCCGAGGCCAAGGAGGAGATGAAGAACGTTGGTGTCGACTCTGTTCTGCCCAAGGTCATTCTTCAGATGCGCAAGACCCTGCAGCTTGGCAGCTTCTTCACTGTCGGAGCTGATGAGGTCCGACAGTGGACCATCCGTACTGGCACCAAGGCTCCTCAGGCCGCTGGTGTTATTCACAACGATTTCGAGAAGACCTTCATCCAGGCTCTCGTTTTCAACTACAACACACTCAAGGAACTTGGTGAAGAGTCCGAGGTCAAGGCCAAGGGCAAGATCATGACCAAGGGTAAGGAGTATGTTGTTGAGGATGGTGATATCATCCACATCAAGGCAGGTGCTGCCAAGAGCTAAGCTCTTAATATCACCCTGTCGTAATCACTTATGTAGAAAAAAGTTGAATGCAATGATGCGATGAATATCAAACTAAGTCTGTCCTAAACTCTTCCGTGCTGATTATGATGATGATGATGAGAGTACGACCTGACTTAAGCATACAACACCAGCGTAGCCGCGCAACTTTGATGGCGGGACATGATGACCAGGCTGCCTCGATTTACAAGATCAACATGCTTAAGTCACGTTGAATGTGTGAATGTAAGTTAGGCGTCACACAGAAATGATTGAAGCATTTGTCCCTGGTAGATTGTTTTTTAATATCAATATGTAGTCATTTCTCTTGCGAGCAATTCAAGATAAATGTACTTAGCAGTGTGAGAGCGACGATGCTGTGAAGTTGGTTGAACTGACCCTACCCTAAAGGCATTGTCGAATTGTCCAGTTATCCCCCATGTTAATAGTCAGCCTCGCTTGTTTCTAATGCACACGGAATACACAGACAAACGTAGTATAGCTACAATGCCATTTTCTACGTATATTTCACCCCTTGGTCTTTACATAAGCCTCTTTTGTTATAAGGTGACACCTCCCTCCTCTTGTCCATATCATGGTCGTTGGTTCTTCTACCTTCTATCATGGTGGGGGCTAACCGGGGTAACTAAGCCCTGCACAAATAGCGACCTAGGATAAGAAAAAATTGGCAAAAAACAAATCGTTTTGCCGTCAGCAAGACTCGAACTTGCGTTTTCAGTGCTTCGAATGAGCCACAAACTGATGTACTGACCCCTATACGATGACGGCGGGTTTTCTTGTTGAAAAAACTTTGCGTAATTTTGATTAGATACCTTAGTAGCTTTCCAGAGAGAAGCATAATACCATCATTGTTCCTACCATTCACTTGAAGTTGATTATTCGACTTGGTCGAGATTCTAGTATTTTTGTTTTATTTTAAATTCTCTGCCCAGTGAATAAGCCTGCATCAAATGACTCACTATGAGATGTCTGGTATCTCATAATTCAAGACAAGTTTATCATGATCAACTTCGAAGTAGGACTTACACACAATTCCACATCTTCAAATGTTCAACATGCAATTTTCACCAGCTTGGCACAAATCAATGATTTCAATATCTTATTTCATAATTAAATACTAAGCAAATTACAAAGCCAAGGTCGTTGTTTCATTATCATGTCTTTTTCTTCCAATCATCCCGTCATCTCGCGTGATCATCGTTGTTCTACTAAAAGCACCAGGCTCTTAGATTCCACCATATCGGACACCTCTCTTTCCAAGCTCCTTGCGCCCAATGGCGTCTTCAGGCCACACCCACCCACGGCTTCGCTTGGCCTCTCGCTTTTCAGCGAGTTGTGGTTGAGGCATCCAAGAGTCGCGGGGTTGAGCCTTGCGACGGGTTCCCTCGGCAGGGGCACCAATCTCGGAACGCCAGTGGGCGTTACCAGCAGGAGTGTCATCGGCAGCGAGCTGGCACAGTCCCCAGAGTGCAAGGCATGCGGTAAGGGGAGTCTCGTGTGGCAGAGTAGAAGCATCGCCCTCAGGAGCAGAAGCGGCGAGTTGGACAGAGGTAACCTCGAGATCACCAAAGAAGGGAGTGTTGGCAGTACCGTTCCGGACGAGAACAAGCTCAATCTCAGTGAGGATGAAGCCATATCGGCACCCATGCTCACGCATAGCATGGTGGATGGCTGCAAGTCCACGAAGGTACTCAACACGCTTGATGTTGCCCTCAACTCGCATACCAGTGTTGAAGCGATCAAAACTGCGGACTATACCAACTACACGGGCGGTGGGCTTGCCGCCAAACATGGCAGCTGCAGTGGCAGACTCGCCGGCAGCATTGGCAACGAAGACGAGATCGTTCATGCCGGTAGTCTTGGGAGGCACTGAGAGGTGGAGAGGGTGAGTGGATGACATTGCCAAAGCCGAGTTCAGCTTGGGGAGGTAGTAGGAAGCGTAGATGGAGTGAAGCTGGGCCTCGTTCTCAGGGTGGCGAGAAGTGAAGACAGGCTGGGGAAGGAGGGGCGCAGGAACAGGGCTGGTGAGTAGAGCGGAGGCACCTGGGAGAGAAAGAATGGAAGAGGCGTTGAAGGAAGACCAAGAGCGAATGTTACGAACATCCCACCAAAAGTGCTTGGTGCTGGCATCTCGCACTGGGAACGAGATATGGCGGACCAGGGAAGCAGCGGGGTTGGAGGAGGTGAGGAAGTTCAGAAGATTAGTGTTGGGAGTAGGATCTGGCGTGGCAGCGAGGCTCAAGGGGGACTGGGCCCGAGGACTGTAGCTGTAGGCGGCGAAGCCGTAGTCAGGCTGCTGTTGAGGAGCAACGGGAACGAACGCAGGCATCTGGCGGTATGTAGGATAACCATAGCGGTCAATTGTGGTGGCATCAAGGCTGGAAGCACGTCGTGAATGAGAACCAGAGATGTGAGTGGCAAAGTTGGCTGGGGAGGCAAGGAGTGATGCAGACAGAGAGTCGTCAGGCTGGCTGGAGAATGATGTGTTGACCGAGGCGACAGAGCCAGGTGTGTCAAAGGTGATGCTGAGGGACTCGGGGTTGGTGTAGCTCCGTGAGTGGCGAGAAGGGTTGGGAGCAGGAGGCGTGGTCATGCGGTAGTGACCACAGGGAGTAGCATCAATGTCTTGGTCCTGAGAGCGGATCTTGGGGAGAAGAAGAGGTCCATGCTGGCGAACAGCAGAGGAGGCACGAGGAGGTGTTGTGAGACGAGAGCAAAGAGACTCGTGGTCTGACTCGGCAGAGATTGTGGAGTATACTGAGGCCCTTGAGGATGAGCGAGAGTGGCCAGAGATGTGTGCATGAACATGTCCAGCAGCATTAGCTGAGGCTGAAGCATATGCCATGTCGAGGAAAGCCTGGTCAAAGGGCAGAGAGGTCATGACAGGAGCGGGACTTTGACGCTCAATAGAGGCCGAGGGGAAGTTGAAGTCGAAAGGCATGTCGACTGCCAGACTTTGTATATGTTAGCAACATGATATATGTTATACATTATGGTACTGAGTATCTTACGTGGACATGGTGTTTGATGTATTAGTCGTATATGTCTATGATGGATGCACTTGTGTATGAGCAGGAACCAGGGATCAGGAGACCAGCTCCGTGGAAGCAATGCTGAAACCGGAAGTACAGAGTTCGTTTAGAACGAAGTCTCAAACCAGCGAGACTTGTGAATAGTGCCGTGAAGCTTTTTTGATCTGATGATTATGGATGGAGAGCAAGAGTGATACCGGACCACAGTTGTTCAGTTGTTCAACAAAGAGATGTAAAAGAAAAGAAAAGACAAGAGTGATGGAGAGGATGATTGGTGAAAGACAGGGCGATGATGAATAGAAGCAAGAAGACCCAAGAGACCCAGGGAGAGGCCGTCTTCTTATGCTGTTGATGAAGCAATGGTTGGCGATGGGGCCTCGGGGGCGGCTGCGAGTACGTAGTAGCGAGTACCCCCGGCATGGGACCCATCCGATCTCACGATTGCCACGCACGAAACAAGAAACATTTTCATTGGGAACACGCAAGAGAAGATTCTGAAACACGTAAAAGAGAGAGAGACGTCAAGGTAGAGAGTAGAGAGAGAGGATTATCGCGGACGCGCTTGCGAGGTGTAAGTCATAAAGGCGGTGATTGGCCGTGGCGTATTAGCACTGTCAGCGCCCATAGTGTATCCCTACAGGGCGTAAGTGCGAGAGTACAGTGCAGACTGTGCAGACTGTGCAGACTGTCGCAGTGGATGATCCACGCCAAGGATTAGGGGTTCTCGGCTTGGTCCCGTCGCTGCACAGGCCTGGCCGCTGAATGGCCCAGCGCTTGTGACTCATTTTTAGATCCCTGGACTCGGCATATTTTAGCTCTGATAGCGGAGGAAACAAGGAAACACCAGAACGCGAAGGCTTCTGTACAAGACGCGATCTTCTTGGTCTGGTCTGTTGAAGAGCGTGTCGTAGAATATTCATCTATTTACTATCGCGTTCCTTGTTACTAGGGACAACCAGAGCTTCCTTTCTCTCTGAGAGCCATGCCGTTCTCAGGGTCAAGTGCAGTCCCCCTACGTACTAGACTACAATCTCAAACATTTCCGATATCCGTAGATATGACACGACATGGCGTCTAATATCGGCCTCAAACTCGTATATACACACATACGGCATACGACACCTTGGACAGGTCGTCTCAGAATAGAAGCAGATCCTCTTACGTGGTTTCAGTGGTCTCGCTGTTAACCGCCCGGCGTTTAAATTAATACACGGTTACAGCCAAACGGGCGCTTATTAACCCTCGCCCAACATGATGCCCATTCCTGGTATTAAATGTTAAAAAGCCCATGGTCGCACCATACTCCATACTCCGCGGCTACGGAAATTTGCTTCTCGATCCACCAAATTGCTTTCTCGCTTCCTTTTCCTATTTCTCGACTTGCACTGCCTCAACTCAAAAATGAAGAGAACAAACTCTCGCGCTGCCAATATCTCTCGTTCTCTCTGTCTCTCGTCTTATTCGCTCCTAGGCACGCGCCAGGATCTCACGCGCTGTCGACCAATCAGCATCGCGTCCACCGACGACCACGAGATTTGCTGTACCCAACTCTCGCTGCAATAATGAGTGGCTCTCGATTGTGGGGAAAACATCTGCAGCTCTACCTCTACCTATCGTGGAGACGTGGACGTGGACGTGGACATGCTTGCATTTTCGTGCATTTTCTGCCTCTTCCCGCTTCGTGTTTCATGTTTCATTCAACTTTCAGCCATTCCCTTACCCTTGTAGCCTTGTGAAGCTTGTCTTAGTCTTAGTGCGTGGCTCAACGCGACCACGCTCCTGGGGTGTCTTCCGTCTCTTCTTCAACTCGCCCCGCCTGCCTTTTCTGTGTGTCCTGTGCGTTTCTGCGCATTATGGTTCTCCGTAGTGTACATTGTTCCACAAGGTGGATCACTTGGTCCTAGGTACAGGTTGCCTCTGGATGGCATCTCCAGCTCAAGTCCAACTCCATACCCTAGAGTCGAAAATTCTCCTGCAATTTATATTACTCATCTCACAGCAGTCAGTGTCTTTCAGTCCAGTATAGGTAGTTGCCATTTGATCTCTATAGTGATAAGACGTCAACTCGTCCGAGAGGAGCCCACATGTAGAAAGTATATATCTAGATTTTGACATGCTTGTATAATGTCGTATACTCAGTGAGTTGACACGAAAACACTTCTTTGTAATTCTTTCACCAACTAGGGGCAGTAGGGTATTCAGCCATCCATCTCATCCGTCTGTGCCTCTTTGCCATATTATGCCTTACCAGCCCCCCCTCCTCGGTTCCATGCAGATCAACAGCTTTGGCATGACACCCTTTAGTGCCCCCACCACTACTCGATAGTCTCGACGCGTCTCGCCCTTCACTATATCACGCGTCTCTTGTGGTGTTGTCTGCTTGATTCTTATCTCATGGATATGGCATCCCCGGTATCCACTCACAAAACTACCCTCCTTACTCGTCTTCGCCACGAACACCGTTCTCGCTTGACTCTGCCGGTTCAGATCGTGTGGCCCGCGAAGAAGCGGGCGGTATTGTCCCGTTACCCACTGCAGTAGACTCTGGGCCCGGCTCATCACCCATTCTCACTCTCCTGATTGCTCTCAACATGCCATCTAGCTTCATCCTCTCCTGCACCACCATCCCCCGCACGAATTCTCGAATGGCCTGGCGGCCCATCCTCTCATGTAAGTCTTGCCACCCTGCCAGTTCTCCGGCCACCGTCTGCTGGGTAAACCGAAGTTCCTTGGCAAGGTTTGCGGCTTCATCTCGGGATTTTCGTGCCCTCTCTTCCTTCTCGTCATATAGTCGTTGTCTAGTGTCGTCAAGGAGACCGAGTGGCCACCTGGACTTGTTAAGAGAATTAAAGTTTCTATCGGCCTCACGCTTGGCCGCCCTCATCTGAGAGATGATGGCTGGTGGCCGCGACAAGGACGATAGTAGTGCCTGAACGGTGGATTGTAAAGCCAAAAATGACGAGTGAAGGTTCGCCTGTGCATTTGACTGGGTGGGAACGATGGCTCGCACATACACCTCAAACGCCTCGATGTATTTGGGAGGCAAGAAATGCAGTGACGACACGGCTCGATGGAGCAGCACCGAAGAATCGTACATGTCTGACCACCAGTTAGTTTCCTAAAATCCATTGGACCACAATGTTTGTATTGTAGACGTACCTGCTGTGACGAGTCCCAGATTGTTGGCGCGTCTGGTCGCACTCTTGATCGAGTAGTTCACGCTCCGAATCATCTCTCGCGCGTGATTAACAAACTGTTCCACCTCCCTTACGTCCTCCACCGGTTCGTATTCGTCGCGTACTTTCTCTGCTCGCGCCTCTGTTTTGAGAAGCGTTCGTTGCTCCATCATGTCCAGCTGCAGCTCTGGCACCAGGAAAAACTCCCACAGCATTTCGTGGGTAGCAAATGTTGGGTGCATCAGCATTATCTTCAGGAACGAATCTGCGCGAGCCTGCATATCGCGTAGAATAGCACGAGATGGCTTAGATGGTATTTGGAATGGAGACCTCACATCGTTGAGGGCTGGTATCCATGAAGCTGGGTTTTCGAGTGCAAGGAGATTGGGTAAATGCTCAAAGTCGGAGAGCGAACGGCGGCTTGTTGTCACCGTATAGCTGTCATGATCTGTTGGGGCAGCTGACTTCAATACCAACCGCACAGTCGCATCTTCCACGAAGAATGCCCTGACAACACCAGTAATGCGTGCGTCTGGACCAGGAGTCATGCTGAACAACGCAAGGTCATCGATCTTGTTCCGCACATCATCGTCCTTGGCCAGCTCAACCGCAGTAAGGCCTCTAATCTCCTTGGCTCCTATATCAACTCTTGGATCGGCGAACAGAGATCGGACCATGTCATACCTGCCGTACTTGCTGGCCACCATCAACGCCGTGAATCTCTTATCGTTCGTCGCATTGACATCGACATCACAATATTGCAGTATGTTCAATGCAAGACTCGCGTTGCTGACAATATGCAATAGTGTGTTGCCCTTGTTGTCAACATGTTCGTCAATGTGCAAAGGGAGTCCATCATGTTGAGCTGCCGCCGCCGCATTCAGTCCGGCTTCGACCATACCTAGATAGTTTTTGTGGTCATAAGAACGACAGAGAGCAAATAGGGGTGTCTGCCCGTTCTTGTCCCTTTGTCGCCATGGTATTAGGTGCCCGATGCGAGTGATCAAGATAGGCGCGTGGAAGAGATAATGGGCACAACTACGTCCCCAAATGTCTTGCTGTGCTAGATAGGATGCCAGCTGACTGGGGTTTGTCGCGGAGATGACAAAGTTGAGGGTCAGATCGATGATTTGAGCATTGCCTATTTGAATGGCGGCACTTAGTAGAGTAGTGTCTTCGTTGTTCATATCATCCAGAACAAAGGAGGGAGAGAAATAGTCACTCAGAGAGAGTAGGTACTTGAGTGTTTCCCCTCTTTCCGCTTGAATGGCCATCATCAGGACTGATTCTCCGAAGGAATTATTGGTCTGCGATAGTCGAGCCACTGAAATATCTCCTTCTAAGGCACTGCCAATAGTTCCTACACTTCCGGTGCGGGAGTGGAATGAAATTTCGGAATCACCAGAAATGCTTCGGGTATCCATCGCGACCTTTTTTACCCTCCGGATGGGTATTGTAAAGTCGTGCAAGTGAGTTTCGCCCTCATCCTCTGCCTGGAAAGGAAACACATGTCCAAGTCCCGAGCCACGAGAATAATGCTCATATGGCGATTGATCGTGAAGGGAGAGGCGTAATGAAGATCTCCTGGATCTTGAGGGCCCTGCTGACCGTGACCTGCCTTCGTGTTGAAGACTCCATACTGCAGACGGCCGACGACTAGACATAGGGGATTCTGACGACTCATCATCATCAGCAGGTCCTGAGCCAGGTTCCATTATCTTCAGGAGATCGTCCAGAGTTCCGGTCTTTGTTGCATCCCATAAGGCCTTGTTCCTTCTGCTAGCACGTCGCAAGCCGGCCGAGTCGAGAACAAGATACGCCAGCACGGCCTCGAAAGTACTCAGCGCGTAGCCCAGCTCGCCACTGTCCACATCGTCTATAAAGATAAAATTCCTGACATAGATCAAACGAGCTTGCAACTGTTTGACCTGCGAGCGGATGACAACGTAGAGCAAGAATGAAACAAGGGTATCCGCATTGATAGTCATGACGGGCTTTTCTGACGATGCATCGGAAGGGGCTGTCTGTGCCTTTGATGAATCTGTCAACTGTGAAACGATCTTTATCGTCGACAACAAGATGTCCAGCATGATTTGTGGACAAGATGCGATAGATATCTTCTTGAACTCCTCAACAGCGGGCCCCAGCTGAAGGATAAGGTCGTGTTTAGCCTTCGAACCACCATCAATGGCAATACCCAGCTGAGAAATGTCGATGTACTGCATCTTTCTAATCTTTGCCTCTAATTCTAGATCATAAGGCCTCTTTAGAGCATTGAGTCTTGGCCAAAGTTGATTGTGAACATTTTCTGTAACATAACGCTCAATCAGTTTTTCCACAAGTGGTCCTGTTAGATCGGTTGTAGCGCCCAACAGGGAGAGTTGTTGCTTGTCAACTCCTTGGAAGAGATCGATAGCAGTCGTGACTGCGGTTTCGAGAGACGCTCTCATGATATCCTCATCGTCCTCGGCATAGAAGTTCTCTGTCACTGGCAGTCGACCGTCTTCACCCATACTCGCCGATGCACTATTTGATCGAACCCGTCTTACAGCATTGGTAGCGGATCCGTTGATAGGGGGGTCTGGTATATGTTCGGCGGAAGGCGGCGGAGGTAGCGGGCTTCGGAAGACGTTGTGGAACTCGACGAAAAGTTTCTCGAGACCGGGTTGCATCTGGCGCGCAATCATAGGGAAGTTGTTAAGGAGGTCGTGAAAGCTCTTGATATCCTTCTTTCGAGGCGCAGCATTTTCGGTCGACTCGGCGTTCGGTGTCTGCTTCTGATCAGGAATCCTGCGCTTGCGTACGCCAGAAACAAGCACGGCCGGTGCTATCTTGATCTCCTCCCAGACGCCTACGAGTGGTTTCGAGATATAGTAGAGAAGCCATTGTCGTGGTTCGAAAACGTCGGGATAGAAGACGATGTCGTTGAGAAGCTGGGCTTGAGCGAGTGTTTTGAAGCCTATCTGTAGTGAGTAACATTGCCTTTTAGTAGTTCTTGAGGTGCGCACCTTTGTTGCTGTAGATAAAAGCATCTTTGATAACGACGCTCTTCCCATTAAGAGTCGTGAACTGCTTTGCCTTTCCCCTCACCTCTCGCAGGTTCTGGGCACCATCTTTGCCGCCCGCGACGCCATTCGGAGATGGCACGCGGAGGACGTGGCTGGCAAGGAAGTCCTCTGAGGCGATGACCTCAGCAGGAGCACTCCCGCTCTCGGTCTCGCGGAACGTGAGCAGCACATCCGTTGACGGGACCAATAGGATGTGGTGATGAACCGGCGTGCACTGGCTGGGGAGGGAGCTCTTGAAGAAGGCGGCCAGGAAGGGGTTTAGAGGTTGCATTCATTCGACTTGTAGCCGGCCGTCTCGATGCTCATTCGACCTCCCTAGGTCGCAACGTCAAGGACGGTATATGGATTGGGGTTCGGGTTCGTAGGAGCGGATATAGATCGTGAGCGAATGGAACAGGATATTGACGCATGCAGAACGAATGCTGATTGATCGTGACAGGTAACGAGCGGGTTAAATCACAGCGCGACAATAGTTGGACCAAATATCATGATACGGCGATGGAGCATCCGACAGCGACAAGGATAGTGATAACCCGTGAGTTTGGCGTAGAGGAGCTATCGGGGGAGGGCGTATGACGTGGGTGAGGTTATATAGAATGGATGGATGTCCTGTTCTGGGGAATCGGTAATCGCTGGGATGTACGTAGCAGGGGAATGCTTGGCTAATAAGTAAGACGTCGATCGTGATGCAAGATAGGTAGCCTAGTCGAGATTGTCGATGGTTGTTGGGAGCTTTAACCAAGAGTACGCAATAGTTATAAGGCACGTTGCGATCACTTCCATGAGATCGTCGGAGTCCAAGGAGTACTGGTACTTCTAGTGAGACAATATTTGGTGCTTATGTCGAGCATGAACCATGCGTAGTATGTATATGAACCCGATCTTCTGGTCGCGCCCCAGCCCGCTCCCGAGCTCTCCGCACGGGCCCCTGCAAAGCCCCTGAAAGCCGGGGAATCAATAAGTCCGGGTCACGATAGTATCACATGTCACTGTTGATAAGACCTGATTAATAACATTATGGTAACTTGGATAGTTGCAGATACTGACACATGATGTAGCCTCAATTCAGTCTCCCGACCTCATACGAGTAGGGTAGTCTGTAAAAATGTCTGACCAACTATGGACAATGCTGTATCTCACAATTCAATTCGACGCCGGGATAGGTTTGAGTGAACAACCTTTGTTCACTATCCCAGCTTATATCAGAAGAACGGTCACATACTTGAAACATATTTCATCGGTTGCTCATTCTTTGTTCTTGATCTCGCACATCAGACAGCCTCAATAGAACATAGTTTCATCTTGCATCTATATGAACATACCGTTCCAACAGCTAAGTCTGCATGGCTATGAGAAATCCCAATAACATCGAACATTTCGATGCTAGAAGTACACATCCATTGTGAACAATGGGACAAACTACCTCTCGAACTATCAATCTGCTTACCTATAAAACCAAGGATGACGATCCGATGAAATCGAAAGTTCTTCAGACACTGTCTGTTTGCTAACATTCTATAGCTCCTATCCACCGATCCAACATGGAAATCAACATGGCAAAATCATCGCTTTGGGACAAGATTCGCTCTGCTCTCGGATGCAAACCGGTCGTCTTTGGGCCTCTCCACCCCGACTCTTACCCCGTCTTTATCACACATGATCTTGCCAGTGCTGCAATGAATGTCATTGTCGATAAGAGCACCGCTTGGCCCAAAGACTCCGAGTACCGCATCGAGAAGGCCCTTGTCAATGTGCCCTTGAAGCTTTGCCCTCCTCAAGTCGTCCATTGCATGCCCCCTGAGTCAGGAAAACATCCTTATGCCGTTTTCATTGCAGATGCGAGGTTCCGTCGTACCCCTGAACACCCCGGCGGTGAGCTGGTCGGGATTGTAACCACGGAGTGGAATGAGATTGTTGTGGCTTTTAGTCTTGAGCCCAGAGATGTCGTTTCTGTTGTTCCTCTCTTGGATCGTACACATCAGAATGAAGGTACTCACTAAGACATAGGCAGTCTTATGATAGCTGCAGCAACAAAGGTATGTAAAGAATATAGTAGAACAAGACACTATCAGCCCATGAATTCCTCCTCTGACCCATAATGCAAGATATTTCCAAAGTGTGACTGATTGTATGTGTATCATATTGTGCTGTATTCGTGATAACGTATCTATCTAACTTAATTATTGATATGTGAAGCATTATCAAAAGGAGATCTGTTGATATATCTGAACGAAGAAATCGTGGTTTCAAGATTAGAACCAAGCCCACACTTTCTTCCACCAGGGCATTTGACCTGGTAGGTTCGTTGAGGCAGGGCCACTGTTGTAGTCCAGATCCATCCTTCTACCGCTGTCAAGATCAATACTCCAACTCCTCTTGAGCGGATCAGACCCACGCCACAAAAGCTTGCAGAACACATAAATGATGCCAAACAAGGGGATCAGGATGTAAGCATCCACAAAGTTTCCAACGTTGAACGGTGATAATGTTGTCCACCCCTGAACCAAGGCCAGGAAAATGCATGCCCCGAGGCCGAACCAAGCAAGATAGGGGAAACCTATTGCCTTGTAAGGTAGGTCACTGAGGCTTCGGCCTTGGGCAACCCAGGCCCGACGGAAGCGAATATGGATAAGGCAAATGCTGCCCCATACAAGGAAAGCACTGACACCAGACAGGTTGACGATGTAGCTGTAGGCCTTGGAGGCGCCAGTAGAGACATTCATCATGGAAATGGCACCGACTGCGTTGGTGAACAGGATAGCCCAGACAGGAACACCTCGCTTGTTAGTCCAGCCGAATATCTTGGGAGCCTTGCCGGACTGTGCCATGTAAAAGACAGTACGGGAGCCGAAGTAGATAGATGAGTTGATGGCGGACAAGCAAGTAAGAAGAATGAAAGCGTTGATGAGATGGACACCTGGAACCTGTCAGTATTGATAGCGAAGCACATGATCGGTTGCGAACATACCTCCTTGCCAGCCAGCAGTTTGAATAGCAATAGTCATAGGACTTTGCAGCGCTTTAGAGCCGCCGTTCACAAGTCCCTCGGCATTAGCAGGACAAGTAATACCAAAGAAGAAAGCAGATCCCATGTAAACGAAGATAATACGCCAAAAGACCTGTCGAATGGCCTGAGGAACAGCAACACCTGGGTTTCTGGTCTCAGTCGCGGCTACAGCAATAGACTCAACACCTGAGTAGAAGGTTGAGCAGAACACAAAGACAGCAGCAACACCACGGAAACCATTGCCGTTGAAAGGTCCCGGGTTACTCCAATATCTCGTGCCCAAGGGCTCATCCTGACCAACGAGACCGCCGGCTGCGTAGATGATGGAGAAGACGAAATATGCTGTCAAGCCAAGTAGTTTCATGAGGGCAAGCCAGAATTCGGCCTCGCCAAAGGCTTCAACGCCAAGTAACTGGAATCCCATAAAGACGGTCCAGAAGATGAGGAAGTAACCCCAGAGAGGAACGACGGGGCCCCAATATGTGAGAATACTGCAGATGACATTGTATTCATTGGCAAGGACGGCGGCCCAGATCACAAAGTAATTCCATCCCACGGCGACTGAGAAAGACTTGTCCACCATGCGCTCGGCGAGAGAGATGAAAGAGCCTCCGCCGGGATACAATGTTGTCACCTCTCCTAGGGACTGCATGATGCAGAAGGCAATGATACCTGTTGAGAGTTAGCTTTGACACAACCTTTTGTCATGAGCTCTTTATGGATAATTTGACAAGGTTTGCATTCTCACAACATCCTCTTCGCAAATCTCATACTGCAAGGTGGATGACATACCGACAACACCAAATCCAATTAACAACGCAGCTGGTCCTCCAACATTCAATGCGCCGCCTGCGCCAACAAGAAGTCCAGGGCCAATGATACCAGCAAGGGCCATCATTGACAGATGTCTGTTCTTGAGACCGCGCTTGACGCCAGAATCTGGGTCAACGGTTTCCTCCGCCGTATCATTAAGACGTGCAGAGTCATAGTTGTCATGGTCGGACGGGCCATCGCCAGCGACCACATCGTCGTGTTTGTTGTGTTTGAATGCCATATTCTGCTGGCTTTTACAACCTTTTCTGAAACTGACAAAGATGGGGTTGAAGCAGAATTGGTCTGCCTAGCAAGATAGGCCGAGACGCGATATCAAGATACAGCCGTAGCGTAGGAGTGCAGAGTTTGAAAAACAGGCTGGGCCAGTGAGTGTTTATAAAACTTCTGCAACACGTGCGAGGACAATGCAAGAAAGTCAATATAGAGTTGCGAGGCGACGAGATGGCGAATATACCATCATCCAAGGGCCCGCCAGGCTAACGCAGGCGAGTGTAAGGCTCTGCATCTCGAGTTGGGAATTGACCCGCTCTCCAAGGGTTCTTGAGAAGCTATCCTCATTAGGTGGCGTATACCTGTCATGGAGGTTGGGATGGCAGCGAGTTAGAGAGCTGCTGTACTGAAAAGGATGGATATAATCTGGATCTACAGAGTAACACTCGGAGGACCTTGAGTCTAGTGGGAAATCTAGGATGCATGACTAGACTAATATCCGTAGTTATCTATGCATCTATCTACCTTGGAGTCGCCTTTTACAATTCTCAGTTTGTTTATTAGATATTTGAATAATGTTTTCTTCTTTGATCCCTCAAAGAAACCCCCACCCGACGCTCTATGCGGCTGATCGTCTGGTGATCACAGCTGCATCTGTGGCGTCTTAAAACCCGGGGTTGTTATAAAACGCCATCTGGGCTGTCGATCGCGACATTGAAATCTCGTACAAACAGAATTTGCAAACGGCCGAGATATTAGGTATTAAAGTGGTACTATACAGTGGAGATTGGTTGCTAGTGGGTAATATTGAGACATTCAAAAGATTAAGTTATTAATTAGGTTAAATGTGGTTAAGCATCAGAAGAGGTTTGACTTCTCAACTGAAACTTCTGGCTGGGTAGTGTACAAGCTCAAGGTTGTTCGATGAACGATTCTACTCTGTATGTGGTAATGGCTTGAGGGCATCTATCTGATTATGCCATATTGCTTATTATGGCAACACCCAGCCACAGACAATACCAGTGTTGAATTTCTACTACACGATCTTAAACATCCAATCACAATCTTTTGGTGTTTCAGCTTGAAAAACTACGGCATTTGGGTGCCACGTTTTTCCAAGACCCAATTTCAGAAGCCCAGCCAGCTGAAGCCGTTCATGCAGCACCGCTGCACCGGTCTGATCCGGCCCATCGGCACCGGCGATGCTTCACATCACGGGCTTGTTCTTCAAAGCATCGGTGGGCCGAGTTCCGACCTATCGGAATTTATTTAATATTGAGATTCCACATATGCCGATAAGGAAACACTTGTATCAGTTTTGAGGCCGCAGTATACACCGTAACTGGCTGTTATTGTATTGTACATACTGAGTAAGTGATAGAAGAAGTACGGTAATCCATGTTCACACTGGTGTTAACATTCACTGGGCCCGAGAAAATGCTATCAAAATAATAACGGGGAACATTCTGACAAGCCATGGATAGAAATTCAAATATGTAGTAATTTGATGCAATTGATAATATTAAGAGTCGTAACGCCTTTCTAAATGCCAATTCCAAATCCCGTCACGCCAACCACAGCTTCTTATACTCTCTTTAAACCTCAACACCATCAAGTATCTCCTCGAAAATCTCCAGGTTTCCCTCACCTCTCTTATCAAACACAGCAAACCAGATCTCCTCCCACCAACCGCCCTGGAACTCAGGTTCCTTCAGCACCTCCAGCCAACAGCGAGCCACCTCCTTTGGCGGATTCCTAAACGCACCGCATCCCAGCGCACCAAGCACAAGCAATCCGTGGTTTCGCTGTGCTGCCATTCGCAGGCATAGTCTCATCTTGAGCTTGGTGAGTTCACGGTCGCCAGGTTTCGCAAAGATGGGTTCGGTGACAGAACCGCCAGGTGTGTTGACGACAACGTTGCTGACGTCGGGCGTGCGTAAAGCGGCGATGCTGAGAATGCTAACGACGGGAAGATCACTGGGCTGAACATTCGGCACAAGAAGGTTATGTCCGGAGTCTTGATCAGAACGGATAATGACGACATCTGGGGAATAGAGCCCCATCCGCTGCTTCCAAGGGTAGTACCGTCGATGGAGTGAAAGATACAGCGAGCTTCGATAGCACAGAGCTTCCTCTTGTGCGCGTGCTCCTTTCAACCATCCTCCGCCAGGACTGCTGTGGCTAGCCATGTTCAACACGGCTACACGACCTGAAGATGGACTCTTGGAAGATGCGAGGCTGATAGCAGCGTTGAAACTGTCATCATTGACGATCTTGATTGTTGTCTTTCCTGACGGTGTTCTCCTAGGACAATCGATAGCCTTGAGGGCAGGTAGCTTGCTATAGAAAAGAGCCTCGGATCTGCTGGCATGGATGTTTGGTAACTGAGAAAGGATGTTGGGGAGAGCTATCCGCGTCTCCTTGGCCGTGGCTGCAAGCGCCGTACCCCGCCTGTAAGGGTCGTTACGTCCGTTGACTGATGCGTACGGATGCTGGTTTAAAGAAGCTTGTCTCGATGAAGACGTTTGCTCAGATGAAGAAGCGACTGGCCGCGAAGATGGCCGAGCTGAAAACCATGAATCCAGGGTTCGCTGGCCGTTGTTTGGGTTGGAAGCCATTCTAAAGTGGTAGAAAGAAATGATCTCTCGAGAGAGGCGATGCAGATGTTGTATCTGCTTCTTTTACAGCGTGTGAGACTGAAGTTTTTCTGCTCTCCTGTTGGTTGGTAAAGTAGGCAATTCGCGATAATGGCTGAGTCCATATTTGGGCGCGTGAGCTCAGCTTAAATAAATACCAGGCAACAGCGACCCCAATGTCCCATTTCTGTCGTGCACCGAACAGATGGAATCAACAACTAAAGCACAAGCTCGGTGTATATAAAACCGGTAGTTTAAAACAGCTTACAAAGGAGATACCTGGTGCTCTTTACCTAGAACAATCACTTGTCAATCCAAATAACGAGAATGGGTCCTGTGCCACCGATGTGGACAGTCCGCCGGTTCTTTTCGATATCTGCCACATGGGTCTACTATACAGAATAATTCGTTTTACTTCCAATGGGGGGTATCAAAATAGCTAATCATATCGTACATATTCATAAAGATCTTCAAATATACACGAGCGATTATGCAGGTGTCTTAATCGCCCCTTCTGGAACCTCATCCGAAGCTTCAAACTTCCTTGGGATGAGACCCTCAGCCATATCGATAGCACCCTGCATGTCGTTCTTATTGAACAGAAACAGTCCTTGAATCGCTGCAGTGCTCGTGTGTCTGTTTGATGGCTTTCCATCTGGACCAACTCCAAACAGACCCAGCTCTTCAAGTCGATTAAGGAAGCGTTCTCGGCCAGAGTGGTCTCCATCAACGTCGCCGTAGAATCGATCCCACATTTGAGCTGCCTGGTAGCGTGTTGCCTCACCAATTCGAAGCATCAAGTCTACTCGCCCAGGTCGAATCAGCGCAGGGTCAAGGCGATCAACGTGGTTCGTTGTTAGGAACGCAATGCGCTCTTCGCCCGCAGCAACGCCGTCAAGGGCATTCAGAAGTCCGGAGAAAGTCACAGTCGCGCCGTTGTAACCATCGGAATCCCGTTGTCGTCGGTTCACGAATGCTGCGTCAGCGTCCTCGAGCAGTAGGATACTTCTCTTGGGCAGTTTTGTAAGGAGATATGCCAGCTTATCGTCCGTCATACCCATCTCGCTAAGATTGATCATGGCCACGCTAAAGTCCAACTCTCCTGCAAGCGCCTGAATGAAGGAAGTTTTTCCACTGCCTGGAGGACCGAATAGTAGATAGCCTCTTCTGTATGGAATACCGCGATCCACATACCACTGTTGCCGGTTCAGGAAGTCTTGAACATCGCCAACGACATTCTCCTTAACGCCCTCATCCAAGACCACCGAGCCCAATGGCCGCTTCTTCCTTGGATCTCCGAGTGGCAGCCAGTCCATCCCGCGGGCTGAGTATACAATTGTCTTTCCTTCGTTCGCTTTTGCTGCCAACTTATGCGCCTCGGTAAATACCGCCTCGAAAACATGTCGGTGCGCCCACAGTGTGGTCAGCTGAACGATCTCGTGTGGTTCGCCTGTATTCATATTCGCTGTGTTGTGTTTCTCTCTGTTCACAGCAATGTATGCATTGCCGAACTTGACAATGTGTCGTCCAAAGCCGGGCTGTAGGAAGAAGTGCGCATTCTGGGGTCCGCTGACCCCAGTCGCTCGAGATGCGGTGGTTGTCGTGACGGAGAGGTTATGGATTCGTGTGAGGCGGGAAGCAATGAAGCCTGGGTTTTCTCGGGGCTGCGACAGCCAAGCTAGGATCCATGGGTAGGCAGGATCTTGCTTGCTGATCTCGACGTTGACAAGCAAGCGATGACGAGCTGCTCCGATTGCTGAGATTGCGCCTTTGCGCGCGAAAGCTGCAACTGCTCCCAGAGACGCGAGGCCAATTCCTCCTGCAAATAGAGGATTATCGAAGAGTGCATTGATGTTGAGCCCTGATGCTGCGGCTGGTGGTGCTATTTTTTCGGCATTGGGGAAGCTTGTGAGAGCTTCCTTCAGGGTGTCTTCGTCCATTTTCGACAGATCGCGGGCCTGTGCGGGTAGTCAAATACGCGATGCCGTATTCTTCACATTAGCTCTGGCTGAAACGACCGCTGAGTGAGAATTGATTTGAATGCTTAGCAGCGTTATAATCGAGTAACGCTGAAGCAATTGTTAGGTTTCTTTACGGCCCTCTTTTTTTGAGCGTCATACACGTGAACTAAATTCGGTCACCTTGACACAACAAACCCGAAAATTCCAATGTCATCCTAACAACATAGGTATCATGTGGCCCCCTGTATCCTATCAGTTGATAATGGCAGGTTTTTATTTCGAAAATTGATTAATTTTACCGAAGGGTATTGTCTCACTATCTCATAAGCTCACAAACAAGTATGTGTCTTAGCGGTGCACCACCATAATCAAAACGAAGTTTGGAAGACTGTTCGTGACATTGGGGTTCAAAAACAAAGAAGAACAGAGAGAAGTAATAAAAATGTTGGATTACCCATTCATATGTCATACACATGAATTTAACGTCCTAATTAACTTCGCATGACACGGCTACCTACACTTTACTCGGGGGCTATAGGGTAGGCAGCATGAGCTCCACACCTTACATCGCAAAACACCACACACAATGCTACAACCACAAAACACCAACACCACAACATCATAGGATATCACAAAAATCGGCAAAAAATAGCAGTTGAGAGGCACTGGAAGCTGTTGCTCCCGCCAGGGCTTGAACCTGAGACCTTCTACGAAATCTGAGGTTCGTACCCCCGAAGGGGGTATAAACCTCGGATTTCGTCTAACTGGCAGGAGATGGGTGACCACCTACCTCAGTTATAGACGGTGCCCACTATACTACCTATGTAAGTGGTAGCTATAGCTTCCTTGACTAAGTGACTTTAGAACCTTTGGTATAGGTAGGTAGGTAGGAGGTATGGAAGTGATACCGTCATTTATGCTGAAAGGCAAAGTGAAGGTATTCTATGGTGGCATGTCTCTATTGAGATGGCCCGACCTTGGTGTTGCTCTTGATCGGACCTCTACGGATCCGGAATATCTATTGATCTGGCTCTCCACCAAAGGTGGCGATGCCTTCATGCATCAGGAAGTCGGTGGCTTAGTAGGTACTATCCAATAGATTTAAACATAGAAGTCAGGAAGGAATAGAAGGCATATAGAGTTGTTTATAATCACATTGCTTTTAATCCACTAGGTGCCTAACCCTACATAGCCACCCGCCAGTAAGGCATCACCTTAAACCACTACCAAACTCACCAGCATCACCAGTGACCAGCATCACCGGTGACCAGCATCACCGACCCTACTAGGGAATAATCCATCCACAGCCCAACGGTTAATATACCGTTTAAACATTTAGTTTTCATCATCATCCTCGTCATCTGAGATAATAAATCGGGTTCTCTGCTTGGAGCGGCGGCGCTCAGTGGTGGTTGCGGATGCCTGTGAGTGCTGAGACGCCTCGGCGGTAATCGCACTGCTTCCAGAGATCTGACGGGAGGTAAGACGAGTTGTGCGACGGTTGTCACTGCCTTGGCTAGTGTTTGAAGCCTGGCGGGAGGTCGTTAAACCACTGGTAGACTTGGACTTGGACCGTCCACTGCTAGCCTCACCCTCGTTGTTGTGGTGGTGATTCTCATCACCGTCATTACTGTGGGCGTAATCCTCATCACCAGACACAGGAGGTGCTTCAACCTGTTTCCCCTTCCCCTTCGATTTTCCCTTTGTCTTGCCTTTCTTACTAGTTTTCGGGTGTTCGGTCTCCTTCTTGGCTTTGTTGAAATAAATGTAGAGATCCGTAACGAGATCAGGGGTCAACGCTTTTAGATTCGAAAGAATCTGATCCTGCTGTTCAACAAGATCCATATCTTCCTGCCCAGCAGGATCAGCTTGCTTGTCTTCAATGATTTGAATAACATAGTTCAGGTATGCTTGGGCATCCTTGCCGGATGTCAATGTACGAGTGACGTATAACTTCTTGCTGTTGATCTCGACAAAATCGGCATGGAATCGAGATAGAACGGCACGAAAGGCATCGGATATCAAAGCATTGAAGGCTTCAATTACTTGTTGTCCATCACCACCGGCTACAGTGAGGTCAATAGGCTCGTCACCAGTCTTGTCGCTGGCTGCAGTGGAAGACATGCTGCTTCGTCGGCTCTGGGACCTATGTAGCTAGTTAGAATCAAGTCGAGACATTAATCAACCTTTGCAATCATATCTTACTTGGAGATTACAGTGTAAAGATTTTGGACCATGTTCAGAACCGCTTGGTTTTGTCGGGCAACAAATCGGAGTTGGCCTGACAGAACTGTCTCGCCAACAGTTGCAAGCTCCGGGTGCTCAAAATCAGGCCAGTCTAGGCTGGACTCTGGCTCAATGTTGCTATTCCAACCAGTTAGTTTGTGTAAAATATGAGAGGGACGCCGCTCAGGTCAAATGGATCACTACTGATCAGCCATCTTCTTTTTCACTTACGGTGCGGGAGTCAACCCAAAACCACTGGGGACTAGGTTTGCCTCAGAGTTGGCATCGTCGTTCTCCATTTCTGAAGATTAAACGCAGATGACCGAAATCACCGGCGATTTGATTGTGTCGATGGAGATATGGGTTGCTTTTGTTGGAGGTTGAGTAGATCACCAGTATGTAGGTAGGTAGATAAACGAGTGTTATGTGACGACAGGACTGGATAACCGGGCTCGGTATTATTGACCTGCACAGTGGCCAGTGTAGCCGTAGAAACGAATTCTGTGTATCAAAATAGAATGAGAAAGAAGAGACTAGAAGGGAATAAAGCACAGGCTGCCTACCTATGGCCAGGGCTGCTTGGGGACTGAAAGCATTCAGCACTGGCAGTAACTGACAGGATCTGGCAGCTATCACGAATTTAGTAACCAACTACTGAAATACAGATTGTCTTTTTTTGTTTTACCGGCCAGTAACCTAGGCTATCTATCATACCTGATTACTTTGTTCCTTTACATTTCGTCTGCTATCTACCACGACTCTTCTCATCACATGGTTATTCTGACAATACGATGGAGGCACCGTCTGTTCCAGACAGGCGTTATTCGCTTTTTGACGAAATCAATAACATCGAATCTACAGACGATAATGAGATCTTTCGACTGGTGACAAACCTTGATGAGCATGTTGCGAACTCAGAGGGCTTCCGCTGGCATGCAGTTAGCACACAAAAAGCCCAGGATCGCGTTCGATCCAACTATCGACACTTTCTCCGGGCCATAAAGGTGATCAACGATAGCATGTCGGGTGAGGAGGTTGACCGAGAAATGTTTCTTGTCAATCAACGCGAGGTCACCAAGCGTCTCAAGCTGTAAGTCATGACCGTCCGTTGTGACCCATCACCAGCTCACTCAGTCAGATTTATTATGTTTATTGCCAAGTTTGGCCGGGGTCGTGCTCAGGGAGTCAAGATTAGCTACCGCGGCCTGGTGGTGTACCGCAATTGCCTCATGTTCTGGGTTGACAGAATGGCCACGATTTACAGCACAACCCCTCTGCCTCGACGTGTACTGTTCATTACAATCACCGAAGCGATGAGATATGCCACCCAGAGCTTTGGGTTAAACACTACCGGCAACATGGAAATGTCCAAGGTGAGTGTTGTGGTATGTTTTAGATCGCCGGAATGCTGATGGACGTTCAGATTGGTCTTGCAGAACTACGTCAGTTGATAGACATCGATATGATCACCACTCCTGAGATCTCAGTCGCGGAGCTTCATCACCTGGCATGGTGCATAGGAAGAGTATGCGCTGTTCGGCCAGGATCACTTGCTAGAAGTGATCATCGACCAGTTGACGCCCCAGAGAAACCATTCTTAACATGGGGAGATATTGAACTTTCCCGCGGTAGCGAGGATGGCAAATTCACTGCCAAGATCACCATACGAAACCTCAAGACTAATTACAAAGATCCAGAGAAAGCCAGAAACAAGGGTTCAGCCCCCTCTGAGTTAAAATGCATCATCAAGTCGCCTCAGGTTGTCTCGAACCTCATCTTCTCTATACCTCATCGGCTGCTTGTCATTGCTATTCGACGTGGGATTCTCGCTGGCATACAAACTCTAGACCAGCTGCTGAGTTCAGAGCTGCAATACATCACGGTGAGCCATGGTACCCACGATAACTAGGGGTTGAAGGAGGCTAATACCCGAGGTAGATTAGACAAGAGTTTCTCGACAAGCCGGTATTCCTTGCAGCCGGTCCTCGCGGCCTGACTCTCACTGAGAAGTCTATGAGAGCCACTGCTCTGACGACGTACATTTCCCTTCGAGGAAAGAAGATTGGCTATGCTCAGGATCTCACATTCTACTCTCTACGGCGACGTGCAGCAACAGATCTTAGCCGCAAGATAGGCAAGGATGCTGCACGCTCTCTTATGAACCACGATCCGAACTCTCGGATCCTTGAGAAATATTATCTATCACTCGAAGATACTCTTGATGTTAGTGGATTAGCTCTTGATGAGCTTGACGGCAGAGAAAACAACGATGGTCACACTGAAGACCTGCTAAAGGCTGGGAATGACCTTGCTATTCATGTTCTTTCCAATGAGCGAGCACGAAGAGTCCATGGGCCAGCTCTGAACGCTCTGATGAATCAAATGATGGCGGGTGATGAAAACTACCCGGCTCTTGCGTCAGCGGAAACGCTTCGATATTACAAACGCCGCGTTCGCCGCGCTGCATTCAAGACACTACTTGCAAAGGAAGTCCAGGATCAACGTCTCAAGATGAGCCAAACAGATTACAACGAGAGACTGGAACGTCTAGGAAGATCACGCCTCATTCAATTTGTTCTCAGCCAAGCTCGACAGAACTTAGAAGCTCCAGAACCAAGTGAGGATGAAATCACGGGTGATGAGCCTGATTCCGCAGTGGATGAGAACACCGGGCTATTTGTTCATGATGTAGAGGAACTGCACGAAGAGGACCTCGACGAGCAAGTAGAGGAGGCTGGTGATGCACCAGTTCACCGAGATCTGGATGAAGAACAACTCGATTTTGCCGAACATGCAAATGATTTTGATGATGATATCTCATATTTCGAAGCCGCCAAAGCATTTATGCAGCTTATACTCGACAACCCGATGAGCGAGTATCAGAACTTGAGAAGTGAGGGCGTCCATTGCTCTCGCTGCCAAGAGGACGAAACAATCAGCCAGGAATTGAAGGTAATCGTCACAACCTGGGTTCAATAGCAAAACTTACTAATTATTTGGCAGAACAAGAAGTACTTTGACGCTACCCATCTGCATGACCACGAACAATCCAAGCTTCACCTCCCGAAGCAAAAGTGGAAACGACAGATCACTCGGGCTTTTGAGGCTTCTGGTGAAACCCGTATTGCTTGCCCTTACTGCAAGCAGCTCGGCAAGGACTCGAGCTTTTTCCATATCAAAGCGCTGGTTAAACACATCGAATACGGAAACTTCGGTGATGGGCATGACCGGTTGAAGCGCGCCGATGGGTGGTATGACGATGGCTGGGACAAGAACCCTAAGGCAAAGTTGAAGACATTCCTTAAGAACAGTGAGAGGCAGCGTCAAGTTAAGTTGGCTTCTCTCAACATACGATATAGCCAGTACGAGCCAGCTGCTGGGCCGGTGCCCCATCCTACCATACCCGGAGTCCTGCTGGGCCCTGGTTCTCGCACGATCACTCGACCTGGGGTGAAGTTTGTGTCTACAGACGAACTCTCCAAGCCCTCTCCTGTGCCCGAGCACCAAAAACCCTTGATTAAATCTGGTGATCCATTTGAGCCATTCGAAGTACCCAAGCACTACGAAGACTTCGTTAAGATTACACGCATGAGGGTCGCAAACGTTGAAGCAGGACAACCAGCTGATAGTGCTGGTGATGGCGCTGGCAGCGATGCTGGTGACGATGCCGGTAATGAGAATTGATGGAAGTAACCATGGAACTTGGGATGAGAAACTATAGGTTGTCAGATACACTGAGATTGTAGCTGGTAGTGACCAGTAGTATAAACCAATTCAAGGGATGGTATGGTAGTTGCTTATGTATGGTATCTATGGGTAATGGGTTCAATGTTTGAGTTACAGTGGTACATATTTTGCTCATCTGATGTTTTCGAACCATTTCCTTGGAACCCTTTTATCTCTGAGAACCCTTTCATCCCTCCACCACTTCTCTCTCTCCTCCCAACACCAACCAATCTACAAAGTAAAAGCACCGCCGGGCATTCGATAATTACGAAAACTCCATACACTATTATAACATAGTAGGCGACGACCTAGGAGCTTTTTTTAATATCCTAGCCGTCCATTTGTGCCAGATATCCCCAGGCGTAGGCAAGACGTTCAGTGCTTCTCTGGAGGCATGGTAAGCTAAACCTTTGCCTATCTCAACGCTACTAAACTAACCAATATAGAGTCTTATATAGCGCCCGGGACGTATTCCAGTAGCCAGGAACTGGCGCTTCACTTTGTCTCTCACTTTTCGAGACCTGCCATCATCGTCAACTGCCATCATCGTCAACTGCCATCATCGTCAACTAGTTATACCTATCACCGACTGTTTAAGGAACTACGGTCCCCTTGCCTTTACCCAAACCCCCTTCCTCCTCTAATCTCAACGATGAGTGATGAGTCCGATTCACCAGGAGGCGAAGAGTCTGCTGCTCCTAGCTACAAAACAAGAAAGAAAGCCAAGAAGAACAGCTTGGTAGATGAGCAATGGTCGCTAAAAGAGATAACGAAAACCAAGCCTCTGATCGACCAACCAGTGGCTAAAAAGCTGAAAAAGTTTTGGGATAAGAACTGGGATAAGTTTCCCGAAAACATGAGAACCTCCTTCATCTCGACATTCAAAAAGGTCAATCAAACAGAGAGCAACGTCAAAAGTCCAAGCAACCATATTATTTGGAAAACCACCGTCACCTCATGCAAAGAGGATCTGGATTGGGGTGTATGGATCATCCTTCGGGCGATTTACTACGACCCTGTGGTTCATTCAAAGGACCAAAAAGACATTCTGTTTAAAGCCAACTTCATGCAAAACCAGGCAGCCAAGCGGATCCAGCAACGCTACCCAGAGGTTAACATCTTCACCGCGAAACTACCTGGCGAGCTGGACTCTCCTCGTCCAAGCGACTGGCCAGCTCTCGGTAGCACAAGCGGATTTCCAAAGCTCAAGGAAGAGACCCCTAATAAGAAGAGAGCCAGATCATCATCCTATACTCCGACAGTTCGCGGGTCAACTGAGCTCACAAGCGGACAGTCCGACACCGAATCAGCTCGTCCAGGGTCCTTGTTTAGTAGTCAGGCATCCTACGGGGAAGGACTTCAACGTCAGTTGATGCAGGTAGCTCCCCCTTTTAAAAAGCGCAAGACGATTGACAAAGTACCCACGGGCCGAGGAAGAATTCGCAGGAAAATACCTGGCAGCGAGTACATCGACGAGGAAGAGGATGATGAGTCTGACTTCTCGACCTCAATGAACCGGAATTCAACGGTACCTGGTATTAGCGCACACTCTGAAAAGAATGTAGGCCTTACCGAAGCGCTATCTGTATTTGACGAATTCCATTATAATGCCTCGCCATCTCGCCATACCAGTGAGGACACCCTTCAACAGCTGAGGACAAAGATTGAAGCACTCGAAAGCCGAGAAATTCCTAATGAGAACCGACTGGTGGTCGCAGTCACCGAACAGATCAAGGGAGACCTTGGATTTTCAAGCAAGACTGATGTATTGAAACTGATCGCCAACGAGATCGAAGACATGATGGAGAGTCCTGAAGGTGTCCATGTATTGGAGCACCTCAAAAGACAAGGGAAGCGAAATAATCCCCACGAACCTCCATTTAAGAGTACTATCAGGCATTTTCTTCTTACCTGGGTGAATGCTATCACCGAAGCAGTCAAGAATGAGCTTATCGGGACAGGATCTGAGGAAGACAATCATCCCACTGGAGATTTCAGCAGAGCTTTACAAAAGGCCTCAGAAGTTATAAAGGGAGCTTTCCGTCAAGCCCACCAAGACCTGGAACGCATGGCTGGTATTCTTAATCCAGAGGATCTCATCAAGAGAGTGGACCAAGACATGCTTCAAGACATGCTTAAAACCCTTCTTCAAAAGCTTGCAGACGAAGACAATATCCCGTGTGTCGTACTTAGCGAGGAATTCTATGACAGATTGCTGACAGAAGCGAAAGAAAGAATCACCGATGACTTCTCTGCTGAGCTTAAGATGAATATCCAGGAATGGATTAGTAGCATAGCACGCAACGCTGTGTTACTTGATGATGCCGAATTTGGGGTTCAGCTGGGCGAATTCGTAAAAGAGAGGGTGAAAGAATATACACCTCAACCGTCTGTAGACACAGATAACCCAGCAGTGGAGATTCCGGAAAAGCTCGAAACATCTATCAACGAACACGTACGCAAAGCATGTGACGCGTGGGCAAAAAACGCAGGAGAGGCATTGCGGGTGACGGCTTCTACCGAACAGAGCAAAATCCAGAGCGATAGTATCGAAAACTTCAAGTGTGAAGTCAACACAAAAACACGGGAAGTTCTATTAGCTCTTTCTGAAACAGAATCTCAAATGACGAAGCGTATATCGAGTCAGATCGAGGGTGATCGTGCTCAATGGGTTGAGGCAAAGATTCAGGAGATCATACTCAAGGAGTTCGGTGGTCAGCACCAACTGAGCAACCCAAACCCTGCGATTAGTATCGACGAACTCAACATAGAGGGAAAGATCCGAGCTGAGTTGAGGAAGGTTTTAGATGCAGAAGTCAGTCAAATCTGTGTTACACAGGCTAAACAGGCAATCTCTGAAGCCATCGTCAACGCTCAATCTCATGGACAACTCGCCTTCACACAGCAAGGTGCTTTCGGTTCCCATCCGGTTCCCTCCACAAATCAAATGCAAATGGTCGAAACTCGAGTACAGTCCCTTCAGGACAAGATAACAGCGTTCGAGGGTGTCATTGACTGCACCTACCAAGGCCATAGCATGGCCAAGATCAGCCAACCACAAATACAACACATGCAGCACGCAATGGATGGCTATGCGGAGAGATTGGGAGAGATCGAAGAGTTTCACCAACAGGTGAAGGCTCTCCAGCGAAAGTGTGATCGATTGGTAGCCATCATCTGCCAGTTAACTCTTTTACTAGTGGCCGTTGGAGTTGGCATTGTTATCTCTCGGTATATGATTATTGGTGATTCGTATCAACTTCGCCTTCCGTACTACCATTATCGGCATGTGTAGTTCAGTTATCGAGAAAACCGGTGCAATTGACTTGAAGGTATTAAGGGACATGGGAAGTATGTTTTGGGCAAAGAACTACATGGGAACTCTAGGAGCTAAACGGTGGGATCAAGGATAGATGGGCTACTAAGTTAGTAATGGGATAGACGCATTCGGGAGACTAGGAGCACTATATATAGAATAAACACAAAGTTCTGGTAATATATAAACTATTGCTTTACTTGAACGTACTAATTACTCGGTATGAAGTTGATACATGAAGGCATTCTAAATAAGGTAAAGTCTCTACTTAGGTATAACATCCCTTTCGTGTTATCTTTTATCTTTTTCTTCCTTCTGGGATTTCCCTAAGGCTTATAGATTACTCGGTATGAAGTATTAGTACGACGCTCTAACCAACTGAGCTACGGAAGCCAGTCAACTGTTGTTGAAGGACGCAGCGTTGCAAGCTTCCAATTGGTTTAGCAGGTCCATCTTCATTATGAAAACTCTGTCGGTCCGAGGCTTGTGGCGGGGGCTTCATATGCAGATATGTACTCATAGTAATGTACGGATGTGTCTATTTGTGGAACTTGAGAGAATTTAGTCATAATCTTAGGTATACTTTATGATATCTTTTCTAATCTCACTCAAATTTACATAATTTTAGATAAATCTGTGATATCTTTTGTGAAATCTTGTCTGATCTCACAATCATGGTATGGATCATGGCTAGATTATAGCTAGGCAGAGAAATTGGCTATTCTTGATTGCAATTGAATTGCTATGCGGATAGCTTTAAAAAAACACTAAATCATATAGTGTATGCATGACGTTGAGGTCAATAAAGTTTGATGATCTTCCGACCTGGCATTGTGTGCCAGCAAAGATCAAGAAGTTCAGGCAAGGTGTGTTTTCAATTTGTTGTAAGCTCGGTTTCGGCCGGGTCAAAAATTCGAGGCTGGTCATGAATATATCAATTCGAATTGCTGATCCGGGTTAATCTCGTCGTTGCCATGTTCAATTCAGATGTACAATGCGTTTCGGCATTAGAAGACCGAGACAATGTTTTGGTGACATTGGGGAAGCCCCCACCATAATGATGTAGCAGCTCCGCCGACGAGGTTGTAATCATGATTCCCAGCTTCGAATTACTCGTGTTGACTGTGATGCCAATTTTCCTACTTGAGGACCACGTTTCAGGGCTGTGCAGGAATTGTAATGTACGAGAATGGTCGAGAATCGCTGTGGCCGGCAATATAACTGCGCCCATGTGCATTAGCCAACTGCGACTACCCCAAAATCGCGATGTTAAACTTTGGAGAGGTCTGGGCAAACTGCCTCAACGGAAGCCAACCCGGCCGTGCCCACGGGTAACAGCCATGGATGCACTACAGCCAACCGTGATGCTCGCGATGTCCAGCTATGCGGGGAAGATGGGGTCACACGAGAATCATGGTCAGTGAATTTTCTAACAGCCATGATTGACGAGTCCGTTCAATGGTCTTCAAGGGCTAGACCGTCCCGCATGTTCCCGTCGAGTGCCCCGAAGCATCGGCTGTGGTAGGAATAGCTCTCGGCACAGAGGAGGGGAGGAATGGAGGGAGGGAAGACATCATATAAGCCGGCTGCCCCTCCCCCATGTTGATGTTTTCATTCTCAAATCTTGACAATCCCACTATCGTCATTACCGACATCATCGCGGGCCGTCTCTCAAACTGCCAATTCAGTGTAAGTCAGATCACTCTCCACTGTTACATATCGAACCCAATCCCATCCACTGTATTTGTTCTTCAACGGCGCTGCTATGTCGGCGACCCCACCTTACCACCGAGTACACGGCCAGCAACGTCAGAGCTCCCGCTAGCCACCTCAAGTGAGCTTGCTGGGGAGTGATTTTCTGGACAAAGTCTTGGTCTGACGAGGGTGCCTGAGTCGGGCTTTCCTATAGCGGAGACAGGGTGGGCAGCATGATAGAGAGCAGAGTTATGAGAGGAAGAGAGAGTAGCGCAGAGACCGAGAGAAGGTCAGAGAAGACATATCGGCCGCGGAGCCACCGGAGAGCCACCGGGGATCGGAGCACCCGGGGGGAGACCTGGGAGGCCGTGAGCCTGAATTGGGCTGAGGTGTACGGTGAATGAGCGTGTCCCCGGTGAGGTGATGCCAATCGTCTCACTGGATGGTGCGGGAAATCGTTCAACAGTCTCAGCCCATTTCAACAGCCCTGGATGCTTTAGGGACTTTAGAGGCTCAAAATCTCAGACGATTCGCGACCCAAGTCCATTCTCGCCAATCGAGACAGAGCATACTGCAAGATGGATTAGACGAGCGTTCCTGGCGAGACCAAGAGATCCGCTGTCTTATCATGCTAGCTGTTTATGCCTCACCGACATGGCAATGTTGCATGTTGTAAACAGCTCATGGCCTCAACACGATGAACTCATTCTGGCCCGCACAGAGCAAGTCTCGGCAGGAGCGTCAGGATTGCCCCTCCAACCTCAGACAGACCCTGCCCTGTCCTAGACTCCTAGGCTCCTAGCTTGTCTGCCCCTCCAAACCACCACTCTACCCCCCCTGTCTTACCTTACCTCATATCGCTACGCAGCTGTTTTTACTTTATCGATAGTGCCCAAACAGTTCGAGTTGAAAACCCCGCCACGCCCCTCCCTTTTCGTCATTGCTCGCTCCTCTCCATTCATAACTGACAACTTTCTTGCTCATTAGACTTTTTTCCCTCTTCATCTTTCATCTCAACCTACAGTTTTTCATACCTAAACATCACAAACAGCAACAATGGGTGCCCAAGAAGTCCTCAGCCGCAAGACCGGTGTCATCGTCGGTGACGATGTCCTCCGTCTCTTCGAGTACGCTCGCGAGCACAAGTTCGCCATTCCCGCCATTGTATGTCCTAACGATCCCCGAACAACGCAAATAATCGCAACTAAAACTAACTGTTACAGAACGTCACCTCCTCTTCCACCGTCGTCGCTTCTCTCGAGGCTGCCCGTGATGCCAAGGCTCCCGTCATCCTCCAATTCTCCCAGGGTGGTGCCGCCTACTTTGCTGGCAAGGTATGTTTCTCAACAAAAACCCACCATTTATAGCATCACCAAGCTAACACATTTCCAGGGTGTGAGCAACACTGACCAGGCCGCTTCCATCGCCGGTTCCGTCGCCGCTGCCCACTACATTCGCTCCATCGCTCCCACATACGGCATCCCCGTCGTCCTTCACACCGACCACTGCGCCAAGAAGCTCCTTCCTTGGCTCGATGGCATGATGGACGCCGATGAGGCCTACTTCAAGGTCCACGGCGAGCCTCTCTTCTCTTCTCACATGATCGATCTTTCCGAGGAGCCCGTCGAGTGGAACATTGAGACCACTGCCAAGTACCTCAAGCGCGCTGCCCCCATGAAGCAGTGGCTCGAGATGGAGATCGGTATCACCGGTGGTGAGGAGGATGGTGTCAACAACGAGGATGTTGACAACAACTCTCTCTACACTCAGCCCGAGGATATCCTCAACATCTACAACACTCTCTCCCCCATCTCCCCCTACTTCTCTATCGCCGCTGGCTTCGGCAACGTCCACGGTGTCTACAAGCCTGGAAACGTCAAGCTTCACCCCGAGCTTCTCGGCAAGCACCAGGCTCACGTCAAGGAGGCCATCAAGTCCGACAGCGAGAAGCCCGTATTCTTCGTCTTCCACGGTGGCTCCGGCTCCTCCAAGAAGGAGTACCTCGACGCCATTGGTTTCGGTGTTATCAAGGTTAACGTCGACACTGACATGCAGTTCGCCTACTGCTCCGGTATCCGAGACTACATGGTTAACAAGCGTGAGTACGTTAACACCACCGTCGGCAACCCCGATGGCGAGGACAAGCCCAACAAGAAGTACTTCGACGTAAGTTTACACCACATTCTTCGGTATATGTGCTTTTATACTAACGTTTTATCTAGCCCCGTGTCTGGGTTCGCGAGGGTGAGAAGACCATGTCGAAGCGTGTCACCGAGGCCCTCCAGGACTTCAACACTTCCAACCAGCTATAGATGTCTATAAAGACACTAGCTTTAATGATATCCCCATGACGCGACACAATTCATGAAATACCGTTTGGAAAAAGAAGGGACTAAAAACCTTCACTTTGGTTCAGACAAAACATTGCAGTTTATAGTTGTCAGGGACGTTACGAGGCGACGAAAGTTGTAAAATTAATGAAAAAAAGAAACCGATGACGTACCTATCTGAATCTCTCTCGGCGATGTGACCAGTGTGTTGTGACATTTACTGAGAATTCAATTCATGCAAAGTAATGGAGGTCAATGGGCAAAATATTGCGCATTCCGTATCATGGCATGTTCTATCGTTGTTTCAAACAGAGGTTACATGAAGACCTTGTCATTAATTGTAGAACGTATATAACCACTTTAGTATCATACAAACCAGCAGCAAACAACTTGTTGCTTCGTTGCGGAGGGTCTCTTATAATAGAAAACCTGTACCGAACGCCATTTACTCTAACCAATGCCCGTCTCTTTTAATATGAATTTGCAGCTTTGCCAGGATTCTTCCTGCTACCACGGACCATAACCGTCATCACCCGCCCCCATTACCACTTCTGTATCAGGGCTTCCTTGGGTGTAACTACCAGCCAAGAAGCTCCTTCTCCATCTGGGCTACCACGTCCTGTGTAAGCTGCTGGCCGGTGCGAGCGTCTGCCTTGGACTTGTCGAATCGCCAAAGACCTCCTGTCTTATCAGCTTCGCCATCGACGGGCACGCCTACAACCTTGCCGAGCTGCTGGAGGACAGGGTCCTGGCCCTGAACAGCGGTAAAGTACTGGCGGTCCCATGTACGGCCCTCCGAACGCTCCTTGACACGCATGCTACGCTGAGCATTCTCGATCTTGCCCTTTTCAGTACCGGTGGTGTCCATGTCGCCCTTCTGAATGGCCTCAGCGACGCGAGACCAGGCACGGCGAGATTCGAGAGGGTGCTGTTCCGAGACGGGAGCGACCTTGAGCTCCGTCTGAGCGGTGCTGACAGCATCGTATGTGCTCACGAGCGTAGATTTGGAGTTGGACTTGGCAGGTCCTGAGTAGACCTCAAGAGTCTTGTTCCACTGGCCAGTAACGTTGTAAAGAACGTCCTTCTCCTTGCCTGTAGGATAAACGCTGGCAACGATAGTGTTCTTCTTGCCAGAGAGCCATCCCTTGCCGCTGTAGTCAATCTTGGCAGTGAAACCACTAGAGCTAGTGATGTGGCTTGAGCCGTCAAGCTCAACGAACGGAGCACCAAAGATCAGACCCTCAATATGGAGGCCAGGGAGGGTGATGAGGTAGGATTCGATCTCGCCCGAGGGGAGGGGAATGCGTAGGACAGCGTGGCCGATCTGCTTAACGATAATGGTGCTCTTGAAAGTGGCCTTTTGAGCGTTGTAACCCTCGAGCTCGATGCCGGTCTTGTTGTTGCGAATGCAATAGGCAGTAGCTGGAGGATGGTGGCTGACCTGCTCTGAGACAAGGGTGGTCTCGCCAGCTTCGTCGGACCATGTACCGAGGAAAAGCTCACCCAGGAAGGGGTTCAGGGGCTTCTTTTCGTTTCCGAACTGCTCACTTCGACTGGCGTACTGGTGCTTTAGAGTCGAGAGGAACCACTTGAGGACGAGCATGGTACGCTTGGCGGGATCAGACTCGCCAGCAGGAGCTGTCAAAACGGGGGGATGCGTGGCCCAGTAGGCAGAGAACTCGGTGAGGGATTGAGAGGACAGGATGAACGGAGGCGCAGTGAGAGACGAGAGGTCGCCGTTGAAGGATGCGATAGACTATAGAATGCGTCGCAAAGACGAAGGTCAGCTATCGCGATCACCTGCGAGTCGCCCCAACAACGCGAACACGGCAAAATCGCTAGGAACTGATGTATCTACCTTAAGGAAGGCGGTCCAGCTGCTGCTGTTCGCCTGCGCGGCCGATGTAGAAGCGGACGACATGATTGTGTATTTGCGCCTTGTGTAGGAGATTGGTGAAATGAGGATATCAATATCAGAGCTGGGTCATTTGCGACAGGAGGTTTATTTAAGAAGCGGTCTCGTGTACGATAGGTGGTTGACCAGGGGGCCGATTGCGGATTGCGGGGTTGTAGAAGAAGGGGAAAACAGCGAGTCAAGATGGAGCACGCGGGGCTGCTGTGACGTGCTACAATGCACTGTAAATCTAAGGGTTCGGTTGAGCTTTATGTAGGTAGATATCTATCGGTGGCGCAGGAGTTCTGGAGGGAGTTGGGTAAAATGCAGTAATTATCCCAAGCTTCGTGGAATCTCGTGAGGTAATCTAATTTAACTGTCGTTAATGGTAGATGTGGAAACTGGTGGGCGGCTCATGTGTTTCAGGGACAACCCAGGGGATAATGGGCAGATTGATGATACAAGAAGAACGGCGCAAAATGAAGCACGGTTGAATAGAAATGATGATGGAGAGAAGTTCAATCTGGCTAAACGAGGCGCGCGAGCGAGTATTATTCTTGGCCACTTGATCACGAGACTGAACCGACATCCTGATTCAACAGAAGACCAAGTTAACTGCCTATACCCAGGTGGTCCATCTACAATTTACTAGCGACCAGTAGAGAAGTTGAATACGCCCATCATGGAACCCTTCACTCAGTACTGCCTAGCTCATCATCCCCCAAACTCATTACGTCAACACTTGAGGCGCCGTCATGACGGTTGCGTATTCGTATTGAGGAATGGTTGCGGAGGGAAATGGGGAATTCACATTTCCTCCTTACTACTGGAGATATATTGATTGCGCTAATCTTAGCATCACGTCACTTCTGATGGCTCGGCTGCGCTTCTTCCCGCGTGCCGTTTTGTCGGTAATTTAGCCATAGCTCGTCATCTGAGTTACGCAGTACGGAGTACTATGTACGTATACCAGACTTTCGTATCCGTAACTGTCATAACTCAGCCGGGGTTAGAAAGCTTAACCGTTTCAAATCGGCTGCGGCACTTAGATCCGAGAGCTGCAGTCCAGATCAACCACATGGGTTTATTTTGATATTAACGACACTGGATTAGTAGCTCATACCTACATCGTCACAGTACTACCGTAGTATGTATGTGTCAAAGCTCCCATTATCTTTCATAGAACCTGTCACTACAGGAGTCAGGATCAGATCAGATCAGATCAGATCAATCATCGAAACAAAACAATTCTTTTGTGGTATCTCAATAAGTACAAACCCGCTAGGGGAGGATATACAGTTCTGTCGTCCAATCATTACTTCGCCCAGTAAAACAAAACCCTTCGCCATATTACACCAGATTAGTTACTTCCATCCCTCAATCAACTCCGCAACGTTATTCAGACCCCGTTGCATAGCCATGCCAGCCGGCGTTCCCTGTCGATAACCCCCAGCTCCGTCTCTGTCCTCCCAGAGATCCCACACAGCGTTTGCGTGGTATTGCCGCGCTCCTTTCTCAAGCAACATTCTTACACCTCCAATATGCCCACGGAGAGCCGCATAATGAAGGGCAGTGGCACCCCGGTCGTTTTGATGATTCACATCAATCCCCTGTTGTAGCAAGATCTTTAGTGTTGCCAAGTTCGCCGACGCATCAAAGAGCAGTGTATCGCCGTGTGTCGTTAAAGCGTGCGTGTTGGCGCCTAACCGGAGAAGTAGTCGGACGGTTGAGACGTGACCATGAGACGCAGCGACCGATAAAGGCGTCCGACCGGGAAATATAGTGCTCTCAAGAGATGCACCATATGAAACGAGTCGCACTAAGATCTCATCTCGAGCGTGCTGAGCGGCAACATGGATCGGTGACGTTTGCGGCTCAGGTACTAGGTATTCCTTACTGCCCCTTGAAAGAAGCATGGATGACATTTGCATACCAGCTCCCCGCTCCAAAAGTGCAGTAACAAGGTCAACATCACCCATCTTGACTGCATGAGAAAGCACGCTCATACCATCCGGCCCTACCCGCTCGGTATCGGCACCAAGGTTGATCAGACGGGAGAGACTCTGCGCATTACCAAGTTTGGCAGCGATTAAAAGAGGAGTTTCTCCAGCTTTATCAAGGACATCAACAGGTGCACCCGATTCAGCCAAAAGCCGAAGAATATGGGGTTTGTCCTTGTGCGCTGCCATATGCATTGGCGAGTATCCAGATCGTCCTTGAACCGCTGCCGGGTCTGCCCCATGAGCAATAAGATATCGCAATGTTTCATCTTGTCCAGTGACTGTTGCTGCGAGCAGAGGCGTGTTCCCATTTCGACTACGTAGGTTGGGATTCGCTCCGCTATCCAAGAGAGCGGCAGTAATGAACGTGCAGCGAGAGCTGATAGCCATTGTTAAAGGTGTGTGTTCGCGAAGCTTACGGTCAACATTAGCTCCTCGAGATATCAGCACTTGAGTGAACTCTTGGTTGCGCAATGCTATGGCCAAATGGAGTGCTGTCTTCCCGTCCGGCAATCGCACCTCTAAATCTGCTCCAGCGTGGACTAACTTCGTCGCGGTGGACCAGCGACTGTTTTGGATCGCCAAATGAAGTGGTGTCTGCCCATCGTAGTCGACAAGGTTGATGTGAGCACCAGCATTGAGAAGAGCTGGTAGTGTCTCATCCTCGAGAACATCCGAGGCGGCGGAAAGGTGAAGAGCTGAACAACCATTGTTGTCGATCGCATTGACTCGTGCCTTCATATGAAGCACAAGAATCGCAAACTGTTCCGAGAAACCACACTTGATGCCTCTCATCAACGCCGTATCGCCGTCGGTCGTCGGTTCGTCCACATCTGCACCAGCTACTATGAGAAATGCAGCGATTAACATGTGCTTTTTATCGAAAGCGCGATGCAGTGGAGAGAGCATTGATCCTGCCAACATTATATTGGGATCTACGCGCTCGAGTAGAATCTGAAAAACGGAATTTTCATCACACTTCTCAATCGCATGGTGCAGTTCATTTGCGACATCCTTGCTTCGCGCATAGTCTACTCCTGGGGGCGGCACAAGCGTATCTAGGAGGACTTGGATCTCGGCAGAATCGCTGACTCTGGGTAGTACGGCAGAACGTTGGTTCGGTGCCGTAAACTTTCGACCGAGACTTCGTAGCGCCTCGTCCACTTCAATATCAGGTTCAATCACGCGACGTCTATTTATGTCGCTTTGGAAGTTATAACCGGCCCTGATAAAAATTAGCTTGGGACATTAGCCGCTATACGTATTACCCACCGTGTTGCAGTGTTGAGGAGAGTATGCAAAGATGCTTGATGTATGCGCAGTCGCCCAAGAAACGTTTTCAAAGCTGCTTCGTTCCAGACGATGACAAGTTGCGGTTCGCCGAGATGAATGCCACTGTCTCTATCGGGTCCCTTGATGCGTTTCAATGCTGCCCTAAGCTCATGCACGTCTTTCGAAACAGAATAAACGAATCCGTTATTTGATGCTCGCACGCTTTCTGCGCCACCTTCGAGTGTCCGGCTGAGTTCGTGTAACCTCTCGAGCGCATCTGTGATCGCGCGACATTCTTTGGCGAGCGCAGCCAAAGTGACTGGACTGGTGTTCAGGCAGTTGGAAATACCCCTACATTCCTCTGAGAGTTGTTCGCATATGTTAATCAGATCTTCAACGTTTGCCTTTTCGACTCGACTCTGGAGGTGGTCCATCCTTGGGGAAAGATAAATTGAAGGTAGTTGAACCGGGCTGAGAAAAGCCAAAGTAGTACACAGTCACACAAGACCAGACTCGCGCAGGAACCTGGGGGGTAATGTACGATTTGACGGTTGCAGATAAGTACCGTGAGCCTGCATGAGCGGACCCAAGCCCGTGCTTTCGCTTTCGCCGTGGTCAAATCCGTCCACAGCCTTTGAAATGGATTGAAGCCGCCTCAACGCAACAGAGCGACAACGGGCCCCACGTTCTACTCGCCGTGCGCCATTGTCGCACATCTCAAAGTCAGATAACCCACAGGCCACAGAGGGACCGAGACGCAAAGCGAGTCGGCTTCTAGCCTCTGGGCCGGTACTAAACCTTGCTGCGAGCCAACATGGTGATCGCTAGTGGTGGGCGAAGGGATCCTGGGAGTTGGACTTAGCGTAACCGCCTATGGCTAAGCCACCTCAAACAGTCGCTCAACCCAACTGTTTGGATGGAACTCCCTGATCACCACCTGGAACAGCGAATGGGCTGCACAGACGCTGGGCCGGCAGACGGGTCCAACGGTGGCGTCTGCATCTGCATTCGTGAGTCGGTCGCTTTTTTTTTCTGCGTCTTTTTAAGTATCCAAAATGGCAGTTTCGGAGTCATGGAGCGTTTTTAGCCTGATGGGGAAGTGAACCCGCTAAGGGACATCCTTCTTGGCTTCTGAATGATATCCTGGTTGTGATTCTGTGATTCAGTGGTACACTCTGTCATCGTCAGCCCTGGCCAGGGAAATTCCCAGTGGGATATCGTTCTGAACGCCCTAACGGTGAGGCGTAGGGTGTCAATGCTTAAATGACGCCCTCGTGTGGTAGGGCGGTAGGGTCCCAATGCTTCTACATTCTCTGTTCACAATTTCTCTGTCTGGCTCGGCGTTGGAGGGGCCTGTACTCCACAGCGCGACTCGAGCGTGGCTATTTGGTTCAACGGGTGAAAAGGATGCCGATTAGTCTGTCGTAGGCTGGTTCAATATGTAGGCCCTAGATCTCAGAAGCAAAAATCTGCGCCTCACTCTGAGTGTTACCCCTTGGCGTCACGCGTGTTCCTGAATTCCAACCTTGCACTCGGGACGTGCATCGCAGGATATTACAGTACCGTTCCCATGGTTGACGAGAGGTGATTAGCCTCAAGAAAGAAAGCCTGGGGTTATTACTGTCATGCAGTGATTAATCGGAACTACCAGGATCAAGCCGGGGGATCTGTACAGGGATCTGAGGGTCGGCGGAGCCAAGGTTTATCCGGGATATCCGGAAACAAGCAACCCGGGCCTTAATCACAGGCTAAGGCTTAGTTGCGTCACTGAAGTCGAATAGTACCAACAGTGACACCAGAGATTCTTAACAACCAACACGATACAGCCCTGTTTCAGATTCAAGATCCCCTGCGAGCCACGTTTTACTTGAGCGCGCTAATAACTACTTCAATCTCTACGCAATTAATCTCATATCCGCCCACTCTGGCTGGAATACTCTGGAAGGGCTCGCCGGACGCTCAGAAGGAGAGGTCCTCGCGGTCAGAACATACCATGACTCAACCGTCCACGCAACCTCAGCTTACTCCACAGTTTTGCTTTTCATATGGAACTTTACGAGGTGAGTCTGGGTCCGGAAAATCTGAACGGTTGGAATTGATAACTGATTGACTCGCGCTCACTCAGACTTTCTTCGGCTCTCAAGATCGTCAATCGATGACTCAATAACCCAGAACCTCAATGCGCTGGTGACGCCGTCAAGATCCGGCTTCGATCCTACTTCGACGTCGCAACGTACTCCAAGATCAGCTCCAAGACAGATCGATCCTCAAACATGCTCCGAGTTCAAGGAGAAGGTTCTGTTTCCATCATGGGAAGCCAGAACGGAGGTGCTAAATTATTGCGCTATGGTAGCCGCCAGTCCGGACCCCGATGACCCGGATCGCACATTTAGAGAATTGGAGAAAGAGCAAGATCGTCACAGAATAATCGACGAGCGCTTAGATCCATACTCTGGCCGTTTCTTCCCCCGCGAAGCCCGTACCGAACGTCTGGCTTCACTCGTCAGACAAGAGAGGGGCGTGGAGAGTATCGTGCGACATAGAACATGGGAGGTCGTACAGCAACGATGTGGGGGAGACCCTTTCGAGAGTTGGGAAGACACTGTCAGCAAGTGGAAGAAAGCTGAAAATTCGAAAATTGTATGAATATAGCACACGTGTATAAATGTACGTTGATGACACGATGTAGGTAATACGAATGGCACGAGACGAAACAGGCTCTAGGATAAAGCCTCGTTTCATGTACGATACTATGTTACAATCACACAAACACCCCTTTTGTTTAACCATATGATAGAATTATTTCCAAGAATCAACCTCTGGTCTGATATGGCTACTAATGTGCCCATGAGGTGAATGCAATGAGACCTACAAAATACAGCCATGTAAATAAATGGATAGGTAACGAGGATACTGTCGTAATAAGTCAGTGACAATGCAGAAAGTCAATTCTCTACTGTACTGAAATTTCTGATCGTGCCTGAATATGTATTCTTTCATCAAGTATTAATGGATATCAAAAGCTTCCAGCCAAGCCTCAAGTCTCATAAGGCATGAGGCATGAGGCATGAGGCATGTGGTGTCATGGCTCTGGGCTGCCCCGCCAAAACCACCATCTCACAACGTTAACACACACAAGCAGCCCACTACAGGCTCCGAGAAATTGCCGACCTACCGCAGCAATTCCTGTGCCCATCCGCATCATTCAAGATCGCATGGTAAAACACCTTGTCTTGAGCTGTAAACAACACCTCTCCACAATCGCCGGTCAGGGAAGCCGCCTCTCAACCTTTCATCTTCTTCTCCGAATTTTCCCCTGGCGAGTTATTATCGTCATACCCCCACCAAAGCTCCCTTGCAGCTTTTCATTACCATCGCCGCACACACCCCTCATCGAGCCCTACTGGAAGCTTGATCGCCGACAGCGGAAGCCAAACTCGACTGACTAAACAGTTTCACTTCTACGACTACTCTACCACTCGGCGATTGGGACTGATTTCGACATTCACGATGCCGCAACCCCTCCCCTCGAAAGAGGCCGCGCTCTTCCGCTCCGTTATTCGATACTATGAGGACAAGCAGTACAAACGTGGACTTAAGTCTGCCGAGCTTATTCTCAAGAAGCACCCGAAGCATGGAGACACTACCGCCATGAAAGCTCTGATTCTGAATGCACAGGGCAAGACAGAAGAGGCCTTCACCTTGGGCAAGGAAGCTCTGACAATGGACATGAAGTCACACATTTGTTGGCACGTGTACGGATTGTTGCATCGGGCGAACAAGAATTTTGAGGAGGCTATCAAAGCTTACAAGTTTGCTCTTCGACTAGAACCTGAGTCGGGACAGATCCAACGCGATCTGGCTATTTTGCAAATTCAATGTCGCGATTACCAGGGTTACATTTCGAGCCGAACAGCTATGCTTCAAGCCCGACCTCAAATTCGCCAAAGCTGGACCGCGCTCGCCATCGCTCACCACCTATCTGGAAACCCCGCTGAGGCCGAGAAGGTTATGAACACCTACGAGGAAACCCTCAAGACGAAGCCCTCGAAATTCGACAACGAGCATTCTGAAGCAGTTTTGTATAAGAACTCTTTGATTGCGGAGCAAGGGGACTATGAACGGGCCCTTGAGCACCTCAACAATGCCGCCAAGCAAAACCTTGATCGGTTGGGTGTTATGGAAGCTCGTGCTGAGTATCTTCACAAGCTAGGCAAGAAGGAGGAGGCTGCCAAAGCCTACCGCGCTCTGATTGACCGTAACACCGAACATCCAGTATATTACGAGAAGCTTCTCGAGGTTTTGGAGGTACCAAAGGAGGATGCCAAGGCTCGAAAGGCCATCTTCGACGAGTACGCCGAGAAGTCTCCTCGGTGCGACGCAGCACGCCGATTGCCGCTGGACTTTCTCACAGGTAAGCGTGATGAGGACACTAATCAGGCTAAAGTGTTGACTTGTAGTAGGTGATGACTTCAAGCAAGCTGCCAACGAATATTTGAGGTTGATGCTTAACAAAGGAGTTCCGTCAACCTTTGCCAATCTCAAGCATCTTTACTCGGATTCCTCTAAAAAGGACACACTTCGTGAACTAGCCGAGAACTATCTGAACTCCCAGAGTTCAGATTCCGAGAGCAAAGATAAGGGAGAGGCAGCGGCACTCTACTACCTTGCGCAGCACTATAACTATTACCTCAGCCGCGACTTGACAAAGGCCAGCGAATATATCGATAAGGCGATTGAGAAGGACCCTAAGAGCGTAGATTTCTCCATGACCAAAGCACGAATCATCAAGCACGGTGGAAACATACAAGAAGCCTCCAAAGCCATGGACCGAGCCAGGAAACTTGACCTCAAGGATAGATACATCAACACAAAGGGTGCCAAGTACCAGCTTCGCAACAACGAGAACGAAAAGGCTCTTAAGACAGTTGGTCTTTTCACCCGCGCAGAGACTGTTGGCGGTCCTCTAGCCGATCTCCTGGATATGCAGAGTGTCTGGTTCTTGACGGAAGATGGTGAAGCATATGCGCGTCAGGGCAATATCGCCTTGGCCCTCAAGCGATATCAGCAAATCTTCAACATCTTTGATGTGTGGCAGGAGGACCAATTCGACTTCCACAGCTTCTCCCTACGCAAGGGTCAGATTCGCGCCTACATCGACATGATGCGATGGGAAGATCACGTTCGTGATCACCCCTTCTTCTCTCGGGCTGCTCTTGACGCAGTAGAAGTTTATCTCAAGCTAGCTGATAAGCCTTCGGCGAATGGCGTCAATGGAGCTGACGGAGAGGATGGTGAGGATGCTTTGGCTAAGAAGAAGGCTGCTAAGAAGGCCAAGAAGGAGCAGCAGCGCCTAGAAAAGGAGGCTGCTGAGCAACAAGCTAAGCAGGATCCCAACAAGGGTGGTAAGGAAAAGGATGGTGAGGTGAAGAAGAAGGACGAAGATCCTCTTGGATTGAAGCTTGCCGAAACCACCGATCCTCTTGGTGATGCTATGAAATTCATCAACCCTCTGCTGCAGTTCAGCCCTAAGAACATTAACGCTCAGTTCGCTGGCTTTGAGGTGTACATGCGCCGTAGTAAGTTTAAAATTATCAGATCAACGACGTGAACTTTGCTAATCTACTCAACTTCCAGAGAAGTACGTTCTTGCCCTTCGTTGCCTCACGGCGGCGTTGGAACTTGACCCCAAGTCGCCCCGAGTGCACGAGCAATCTGTAGCGTTTGCTCAGCTGTTGAAGACAGCGACGGGCATTGAGCCCAAGGTCCTTGAAGTGCTGAAGGCCGAGTTTAAGGCCGTCGACCCTTCTACTGACTTGGTGAAGTTCAATGATGAGTTCAAGGCCACCAACGAGAACAGCCCTAGACATGTGCTCTCTGCCATCAAGGTGCAGAAGCTGCTAGGCCAGGACAAAGCCAAGAGCGAGGAGGCTATCACTGGGATCTTAAGTCTGCCTGGTATCACCTATGAGGATGCCATTGAGGGTCTTGAGGTGCTCAAGAGCTGGAGAAGCTCTCAAGCGGAGACATACAAGAAGACAGCCCTGGAGAAGTTCCCTGACGTGACAAGACTTGCCTAGAGAGTCATTATTTTATAATGACTTGATGACACTTAAAAGTTTACAGGTTTCAAAATGAATGCAACGTGGGTGTTGTTGAAAAGCATTGGCCATTTTAGGACATAGACGCATGCAACTGAAGGGTTTCAGTCTCACAGTACCAAAGTTCAGGTACAGGAGGAGGAGAGAGAGACTGGCGCAAGGAATATCGCATGAAGATGGTGGAAAACTGGAGTTTTGGGGGAAAACGTGAAAGAGAAAAAGGTGAAAGTTTCCATTCCTGTAGAATAAGCATGCGCCATAGTCTAGTTGGTCGAATGTGTTGATTATCTAAGAAACCTTGAAGTTTTGAATTCATATATGTTGTGATATATAAATATGAAGTGACCAAAGACTACCTTAGGTATTGCAAATCTGAGGTAAGCCTCAAAAGAACGCTGGTTTAGTTAAAGCCAATCTGAGGGCCGCGGATGCCGAAGGCGAAGCTAACAGGGTGAGTTAGTGGTCCCTATTTCTGGTAGTTTATCGTGACAGTGTCTTGGCAACTGCGGGAATCTGACACGGTCAGGGCACTGCATCATCTTTATTGGTGCCCACGGAGCTGTCAGCTCCAAGTGACCAGTCGCATTTACAGGCTGTTCAGGGGGCCACGGCTCTAATCTCGTCAACGGATCTCCGCGTAAGCCGGTCGCTTGTGCCTGCGAAACAACAACTCCATGCGAAGAACAACTCTCGAATCCCCACGCTCTTTATCGAATTCTTTCTTTTCCTGCATTTGCTCGCCTTGCGTTTTTTGAAGCGTGCTACCGAAGTTTCTCTTTTTTTTCTTCACCCCCTTTTTTAAAACGTCGACAATTGCGCGATAGCTTTAATCTCGACGGACCCCTTGCGATCACAGCGCTTCAATGCTCTCGGCATAAAGGTCCACCAACAAGTTCAGCAGCGGTTCCTCACAATGGCCACGGAAGCCGATAGAGAAATGGAACAGGGCGTTGGAATGCATCTCCTATTGGAGGGCAGCAAGAAGTTGACTATTGGTGTCGATGGGCTGGAGCTTAATGGTGGGGATCTCATAAAACAGGCGCAAGGCCAAGCACTTTGACTGATGATATAGCAGATCCTGCTGCAAAGAAATCCAACCGCTCTTCTTGCGCTCCTTTCGGTTCCAGTAAGACTCCTCCAAAAGTTGTATTGGTTGTCATGTGGCCAATTGCTAACTGCCCCTTCTTTATTTGTAGCAGGAACAGCAAAAAACACCATACCCTTCTACAATGTCCTATGGGCCGAGCTCTCCAACAACTACATCACGGTCGACTACGCCATTCACACTTCGAAGACGTTAATCAAGCCTGGGCAATGGAGTTTCAAGCTTGCTAAAGAAGACGAATTGACCAACGAGCCCCCTGCCAAGGTCTTTGTCGAAACCCTGTTGTCGCGCGCATACGGTGATGCGCCACCAGCGAAACGCGCCTATGTGCTTATCAACCCGAACTCCGGGCCCGGGGCTGCTATCAAGCAATGGGAAGATGAAGTGAAGCCTCTTTTCGATGCTGCGAAGATGCAGCTTGACGTCGTTATCTTGAAACGAGGTGGTGAGGCCGTTGAGCTGGCGCAAAACGCCGACTTGTCGAGGTATGATACCATTATGGCATGTTCCGGCGATGGAACGCCACATGAGATTTTCAACGGGCTTGCAAAGCGACCTGACGCCGCGAGGGCACTGTCTACAATGCCCGTGAGCCACATCCCCTGCGGCTCGGGCAATGCATTCTCGTGCAACCTGTACGGATCTCATCGTCCTTCCTTCGCCGCCCTTGCCATCATTAAAGGCATTGTGACCCCAATGGATCTGGTGTCGGTCACATCTGGTAATAACCGCATCATTTCGTTCTTATCCCAGACGCTGGGTCTCATCGCCGAGTGTGATCTTGGCACAGAGAACATGCGATGGATGGGCAGTGCGAGGTTTGAAGTCGGCGTTGTGCAGCGCATGTTCAAGAAGAAGTGCTATCCCTTTGACCTGGCTGTTAAAGTAGAGATCGAGGACAAGAGCGACGTCAAGGCACATTACAAGCATCATGCGAGCACGACGAGCTTGGCCCAACTGGCTAAGAGTGTTGAGGCTGGGAACGTGAGTGGCGATGTTGGCTTGCCTGAGTTGAAGTATGGCACGATCCAAGATGATCTTCCTGAAGGGTGGGAGCTGATTCCTTATGACAAGGTCGGCACGTTCTATGCCGGTAACGTAAGTGACCTCAGCAGACACTACAACGCGCACGAAACTGACTGTTACAGATGGCATACATGTCACCCGATGCTCCTTTCTTTGCCGCTTCACTGATTTCGGATGGGCTGATGGACCTCGTCACTATTGATGGCGACTTGCCTTTTCTCACAGCAATCAAAGTTCTCCTAGATGTCGAAGCTGAAAGATTGTTCGACAACCCTCATGTCACGTACAAGAAGATTTCGGCGTACCGTATCATTCCACGTGACCAGGACGATGGCTACATCAGCATTGACGGCGAGAAGTGCCCCTTTGGACCGCTCCAGGCTGAGATCCACCAGGGTCTTGGAAGGGTCATCTCAAAGGCCGGCAAGTATGAGGCTTCGGGGCCAGCCGGCTGGGATAAGGTGACGCTGGCGGATCGTATTCATGGTTGAAAAGAGGACTTTTAGTTTCAGGGGTCTGTGGTTTTGGGCCGCGGAATCGAAGTGCTGAAGCAGCCAAGAAGGCGAGCTTCTTGGAGATAATGATACCCATGCAAAAGATGCGCGCAAATTGTAGATTCGCCCAGATGATAGGCAGGTTTAATTGGTAATTGGAATGCTTGATTCAGACTCTACTCAGATACATACTGTGATCCTATCCTGTGATTTGTTCGTTCTGGACCTAGGTAAGCTTTAGTAGCAACCATACCGCTTAGTAAAGTAATGATATAATCTATACTGAGGCTGCCTAATCCCGTCCTATCCGTCATACACCACTTGTTTAGCAGAATTTCCCGTCGCTCTTAGTACAGGCCAGGAATCTTGATGACCGGTTGCTCGAGGATGTGAGGTAAGGTTTGCTACAGTGGACGCAGGAACTAACTGTGGATCGTGGGGTGTTAAGTACCTAGTAGTAGCTACCCCACCATCAACCTCACTTCCAAAGCAACTTCATTCATTCACTATCAATTGTGCAATATTCCGTGCATCTCTTGCGCAACTACGGCAGACTCATTGACAGTTGAGACTATACTTCCAGTCAAACGTCCCTTCATTTTAGAATATATTTTCTGGGCCGAGTGCAGCTCATTCATGCACAAAATGCCCCGTCGAGGTCGCGGGAACAGGATGCCATCAGGCCCCTGGGGAAGGTTGAAGCCTGTCGAACAAGACCCATTGCAGAGCATTGGTCTTCCCTCTAAGGGAGACGAAAGGTATGAAACGGATCATGGCTATTGCAAAGACCCTTGAGACAAGAATAATGGTAGACTGACCAGAGAATAGCTTACTAGACCACAAGACCCAGGAATGGTACTATAATCAGATAATCTCACGATTCCTCGCATTTTGCACAGAAGCTGGTGACAAGGACTCAATTCTACGGAGTTTTGAAGCCTTAGATATTAGAGCAGTAGATCCAACTCCTTCGACTCCGTATACTAGGCCGCCTCCTGGATATGTCCCACCAACCGCATCAAGTTCTGCAGCAACATCGTCACCAACTCCTGCTTCATCAGTTCAAAACCCTGGCAATCCTTCCAAAGCCACAACGTCGGTGTCAACTTCAACTTCCTCCCTGGCAGGTTCATTGAAGGCCCTTAGATCAATCATTCCCTCTGGTGGTCCATCTACTTCAATGTTGGCAGCTATCGAGGATCCTGATAACACAAAACCCCTGCAGGAAGTTCTCATGGCTCTGAGGAAGCTCAGAGAGGGCTTGGTAGCTACAAAACGAGCCGATCTTTTTTCGATTCAAGCATACATTTTCTCTATCCGGCTGTCCATTCTTGCTAAGCATCCTGAGTCATACCACCCAGCAATTCTACACCTTCTACGGTTCATGGCAGTATGGACCCCCATGGTGCACAGTGAGATCGAGGAAATTGCCGGCTATTTCATGCTAGATGCTGCGTGTCGGCGTAGAGACCTGACCGAGGCCTATTTCATCAGACAGGACTTCAATATCAGGAACAAGAAGCTAGACAACATACTCAAGGCATTGGCGCACGATAACTATATCTCCTGGCAAGTTGCAAAGAAGCAAGCCAATCGACATTGTCTTAAACTGATGGAATGGGCGGAGGACGACATGAGGCTTCATACTCTGAAATGCTTTGGCAGATCGTATCTTAATGTGGATTTACCATATTTGGAGTTTGCTACTGATCGCAAGTGGGACAAGCTAAAGGAGAAAGATAGTGTCGGCTGGGAGTTGGATGACGAGAAGGTGACTATTCGGCGAGTGAGGGCAAAGTGAGGTTGATTTGCCAAAAGCGATACCTTGACAGGCGACACTAGAAACAAGCGTTGTTCGATTCATATTTTGTTTGCTTCTATTGTTGCTACTTCAGCTTGACTTCAAAGCGTTTACTTTTATGCTAGTGCTTTTGGTGTATGAGAAATAGAGCTCCACTGTCTGCCCTTGAGCGGGTGATATTTCACTGTTTGACCATTCTCCTGGCCTCGAACACTACTCAAACGCTACGTTCACGAGCAAACACCCATGGTATTCAAGCTCGGAACTCTCCTGATATTCATCCAACGCGAGTCTAGTTAAGCTAGGCAAGTGCCCGAAACGATGATAAGAATAAGAAGATAACCTCATTCACTGCACTACCACTGCCTGGCCACCTCATGAACCTTGCAACTACATTAACATTGCAACAAACTTTGGAGCGGCCTTGAGGGAAATTTTGGGGATCGGAGAAGCAAATTCCATCCTCACACACATCATCAGAGTAACCTTGCTCGTCGAATTTTTGTTTCGTCATGGCACCTCCGAAGAAAAAAGCTCGACGGGCTGTGGCCAAGACGGATGCATCCGAGGAGCAGTCCTCCAGCGTCCTCACGGACTTTCGTACCTGTTGGATGATTAAGTATGTATATTTGCTTCAACCTTCGGTCAAGAAATTACACACACTCCTTTCGTTGAAGTTCGACAGGCTGACCTGACTGCATACATAGAAGCGACGAGCAGATGGTCGAGCTCAAGGTCAAAGGGGAGACCTTCCACGTCGCCAGGGATGTTCTCACCAAGAACTCAGACTACTTCGAGGGCTGCCTGAACGGCCGTTTTACTGAGGCGAAGAAAGGCGCCGTTGACTTCAACGACGATGACATCGAGGCGCGGTACCTCGCTCTTTACATCGGACTCGCGTACAGTCACTCTTCAATCGTCTCTCCCCTCCCAGCCCCTCGTCCGGCTCAGGACCCCGAAACCGTAGCTGCCAAGACCCCCATGCGCGACTACATCGAGATCTATAAGCTTTGCGACCGTTTCATCAGCCCTGTGATGGGCGACTTCATTGCGCGCTGCATCAACGTCGCCATTAGCAATGGGCATCGCGCTCTGTACCGCACCGAAGGCGACCAAGGAATCCAAAAGCTCCTCATGCGAGACTTTGCCGACGGCTACGAAGCCCTGAACATGCAACACAATGTGCAGAAAGATATCGGTAGCGGGTTGATCACCTATTTCTGCGAAGGTGTAAGCTACCGAGCCTGGATGGAAAACATGGACGAGCTCCAGGACCGCCCCAAGTTTGTGGCTGCTGTTTCGGGCGGCTTTGCTTCCAAGCTGCTCGAGGTGCAGCTCAGCCGCAAGAAAATGCGCAAGGAGTTGGTCGGGCCTGGTCCTGCTTGAGCTGACGAGTTATGATGGTACAAGTCCGTGGACGATTTCTGGAGGATAGTTACCATACGCGACCTTATGGTGAATGGAGATACCCAAGGGACAATACTGGGAGTTACGGAGTATACAGGAGGTTCGGCTTCCACGAGTTGATAGCAAGTAGTTATCGGAATGAACTCTCGACAAAGAAGCCCATGCCTGGGACAGACATTGAAGGTTTGGGATTGCTACAAAGAAATTGCCAGATTGATCAGCAGCATGAATAAGCTACTCACGTAGCATCGGATGTCTTGAATTGTTTGATTTATTGTTTATTGCTTGTTCGAGTCCACTATCTCCATACACATCTTCGAAACTTTGACTGCTAAATTCACCTAGTTATGTATGCTCTATGCCAACAATTTAATTCTCTTACTCAATCAAATTGAGGTATTTCTCGGCTCAAGACTCAACTGCTCTGCCCAGACGAAAAGAGAATTTCGTATCGTCGCAGAAAATCGCGGAAGACAACCACCGGAGCAAGCAAGGACGTAATGGACATCAATCACCGCGCGCGGCAACGTCAGAAATAAGTCCTCGGAACGGGTGTTGTCTTTTATCTTGATAGGGGCTCTTCGGGCTAGACGCCGGCTAAGTCGTCGAGAGTGGGGCTCCCGGGGACTCAAGTTCACTGAACCATCGGTCGGTGCATTAGCCGGCGGGAAACCTCGGCCTCATGACGTTGAAGAGCGAATCTCCGAGGCGTAGACCATCATTGTCGTGGTGAGCATGTGGGACGGCGACTGAGACACGAAACAGGGAATAGATGTAGAAAATGAAGCGCTGACGATACGTGAAATGTTAAGAGAGAGCGAGTGAGTGTGACCTGTATAGTTGGGTTATTTTTAAGCCCAGTGTATTGTAGTGTATTGTAGTGTAACATCTCATACACAGCAATCCATCGTCGAAACGACCAGGTCGAGTGAGATGTAGCAGATCGATGTGGTGTACAGGAATCCGGTGTCGATAAGCCGTGTTATAAATGTTGAGTTTCCAAAGCTAACCAAATGATTTACCCATCCAAATGACAATCCCATGCAAGTGGTATTCCCTTAAACGCCGTTCCGTAGAATGCTTCATGACTTTAGATCGTGATAGTGGCCGTTCCAATAAACTCCGACAAATCTTCGCAAGAGATATCACCATGGTTTCGAACAAATAAAATGAGGGAAGGGCGTAGCAGAGTCCAACCCGGGCTGGTTTCTTTCGATATTGTTGTTCCTTCTTTCTTTCTTGTCTTGTCTTTTTATTTCATTTCTTTTTTGTGTGTCTTGGTGGATTCATTTATCGCTTCTCGTAATATTGGACGGCCTTTTCGAGTTCGTCGAGACTTGATCGATCACCGTACATGTTCATGAGAGCCTCGTTTCGCTCTCGATAGGCGATGTTCTCGCGTTCCGTGGCTTCCATTTGAGCAATGCGGCGTTTTGCGGCCATCTCGAGTGAGAGCTTGGCGCCATAACCAACAGCTACAACGGCTGCGATGGGCTTGACCCTGCGATACGTGGTCAGTATGAAGGTCGTGTGACAGTGAATAATTGATACTTACAATTTTCCAAAAGACATTCTCTTCTGAGGATGGAGGTGAGGAACAATGTTGGGGTGAATACGGGCAGCAGTGGAAAAGGCTTGTCGAGGAACGCGCATCATTGTGAGGAAGAAAGGGCAGAAGGAGGAGGAGGACAAGGAGAGAAGATGAGATGGTATGAACTATGAAGGGTTTCTCTTTAGAACTTGGCAAGGGTGGTACTGTAAGTACAGTAGATGCAACTCGGTAATAGTAATCCGTGCTTGAGGTGGGCTAGTCTATTGATGGGAGGAGGAACTCTGTGGTAAGAATGGTAAAAAGGTTGGGGCTGGACAGGGAGGAGGAGCCGTTATTATAAGTGTCTCTCCTGATTCTCGTTTCAAGATATGTAGGCAAGCTAAGGCAAAGTAATGAAGTCAAGCCAGTGTTAGGTATACGTAGTAGGTAGGCATCATCGGCAGGAACCCCGGACTTGAATGGTCGCTGGGGGTTGGCCCGGCTGACGCCTGTATATCGAACGACAAGACGCCCGGCGATGGGCGATAAGTTACAGAGAGACCTAGGGAGAGAGAGAGAGACACTGTGGGGCGGGGGTATGAGTGCGCCCCCCGCAGGCTCAAGCTCAGGCTCAGGCGCAGGACCACTCGAGGTCGGCACTGCAGCCGATCAGCGATCAGGTGCCAGCCCGTCGAGACAACCGTCAAGAATTGCCCTCTACAGAAGGCTCTAGGCTATGTCTACAGTAGGCTATCCCTAAAATCAGAAAGCGTAAAGACCCGCGGGATTGCCCTGGACGGGAGTTAGTGAGTTTGTGAGATGGTGAAGTGGGGAAAGCTGTGGATGGAGCGGGAGTGGAGAATTGTGGCACCATGCGGGATGAGCTTGAAATGGCGGGGTCGGGAAGGATTGCATCGGATTGGTTTAAATTTACATATTGAACTGCATCTTCCATTTCACTGGCCTGTGCCTCATGCAGATTTGCAGATTGCAGAGTCAGTTAGACAGTATCTAACCAAAATGAGAATTGGTGCATTCTGGGCAGTCAGGCAGTGTGTGTCCTGAGACCTGAGAACAGAAAGGAAGGCCTCACTTGAGAAAACAAGATCACGTTTGAGGCAGCATCGACAACCAGACTGCCTGCCAGTCCCACAAGACGAAAACCCTTCACGATAACTTCAACAGATGGAGCCATTCTCGGCTGGAATCGGGTCTCTTACATATTCAATAAATTGATGAGATCGTTTTCTTCCGAAGCTGTCTGGAGGGGAAGGGAAAAAACATTCGACCAAGGCAAAGCTCCCACTAAAGAATGGCACCTCTTTTACTCTGTACGGCCAACAGTGGGGGCACGGCAACCAAGTCTCACCACCATGACCTCACTATGGTCTCTTTCGGGGGTCGAGTGGCCTGGTCATTTTTCCACCATAGATCCATCCATCTACCATCTTGACCAGAAACATCGTTGATGCCGGTCTCTATTATTATGGCACCATCCATCATCTCGTGCATATGCATCTGTGTCTAGGTTGACCAGCACCTGGCCTTGATGCTCCATTCTCACACCACCAAAGGCTTTGACCTTTCACAGCATGCGTTTCGTTCTGTTTCATTTCCAATATGCATTTCTCTATTGCACCCTCTCGGTCACTTTCCGCTTTATTTCCATCTTCTCATATTATAGTATCATCTGTTATATGGTATTTGTCCAATTATTGTATAATCGAGACAAGCAGCCACGCGACACTTGGAGTATGGTAGCTTTTCCCCGCGTCCTGCGCACAACACCAATTTTCGGCTTTTCCAATAAGAGGAAGATCAACCTACCAATCATGGGAACGGAAGATCTCCAGTCCTGCTTCTTGTCGACATTTGTTATTGATGGTTGACCGCTACGACACACACACACACACACACACACACAGCGATTAACAAAAGCTCCTTGCAGCAAATGCGCTGCGAGTCGAAAACACCTCTCCCTTTTGCGCCGTACCCGCATTTGTTTACCATTTCTAACGTCAAGTCATGTTTCTTCTATCAGCTATCTTTCAACGTGAAGCACTTTCAGCCTCATTTACGCCGGAGCAATTGTGGAGAGTTCAGGGTCCAGGCAATTACCGGTTCCACGTTTGCATGGTCATGGCCCAGTTCTTCTCGGCAACATCATGGCTCAGGAACGCTCTGTTTCTATCCGTAACTAGAGTGCTGTTACCACAGTCACATCGTGAATCTGCCGGCCGACGAGACATGAATTCCTCGATGTGTATTGTCTTGTAATGTTCGCACCTCACTCAACCCGCGTTGCCGATCAACGTCCTTCCCTGTCATGTCGTATCTCAGTATTCGTCATTGGCCCATCTTGTGATAATCACTCACGATATGCCGGCCTTACCGCCGCCATCATTTCAATAATTTTTCCACTGTCTGACTGCTCTCTAACCGTCTCGACTGGGGTCGAGCGGTATCAAGATTTCCCCTTAGAGTCGAAGATCCTATGGGCGAGTATCTTTACTTCCCGGACCGGTAGTTGACATGCCTCTTGCTAGTTAGTGGTTACTCCGTAATGTGGAGGTAAAGACGGCCCGGTTGCCATGCAGTGAAAATAGTGACTCTGCATCTCGAGGCGAGCGGCTGCATGTTCCAAGCTGTGATAATACGGTAATATGCCTGTTTGCTCGGTGTATTATGCAGAGAATCGTTTACCGAAAACACATCCCCGCTCGAACGTGAATACCCTGCGTATGGCTTGCCATAACAAGAAAGCTATCGCCGCATTGACATGGAGACTTTAACGCACTTACACGAACATTGACAACACATTGATAAAACGTAGTATTTACAGATAGATACGCGACATGGGTCGGCTATATGACACAATGTTATGCAAGCCACCGTTTCTAACTTTCAGGTTGCGCTTGATACCCATATAGCTTAGCTAAAAGCCACAACCAGTACATACGACCAAAGGTAGTGGAAAATACGGGATCCCGTCCGCTCTCCCATAGTCAAGCCACTAACCGGCGGATTAGTAGTTGGGTCGGTGACGACCAGCGAATCCCCGCTGTTGTGTGTTTTTATCCTTTTTGTATGTATTGTACTCTTTACTTGCTAACTTTTGCTGCCATCGTCCTGTTCGTATGTATGTTTTTGCGAAAATGAGAACACTCGAGAAAAAATTGTAATTGAACGGCCAGGCCGTGACATTGCAACTACAGCTGTCTTAACAACAATAGCCTGCTAGCTACCCTAGATCTGCAAGCCATGTAAGCCGATATGTTTAATCGTAGTACATTGTATGGATAAAACAAATGTACAATTGTTCTAAGATGTAAAGAAAATAAATTGTAAGGGACGATGTTTTATAAACCGATCATCTTGTAAGTAAAAAGTTTGTATATGGCGTACGAAAAAAGTTTAAAGATGCATTCCTTTAACCTGAGGAAAGTGGAAGTTTAACTACCTTTTCAGAACATGTACTATATAGTTCCGTGGAACGATGGTTCTCTATCTACTAATGTCCTAAAACAAACCAGAGGCGTTCATGGCGCATAACGTGTGCCTTATTCTACACCACCATCTCACTACAGGAGATGACAATGGGACTATGGTAACCTTTAACTTTTATATAGAAAGACTCCGCACAACGATACATCTACAGAATAGTAAGAAAAAGAAATCTCCACGCTAAGTAATGCCATGACATACCCCCTAAGGAGCTAAGTTACTTCATGAGCTCGAAATCCCCCTTTCCCAAGCGCCACTTGACAGGGTTGTAGGTCTCATTACTTTGCCCAACACCTCCAAGATATCCGAGTTCATCGAGAACCTCTTCTTCTGTCTTTTTAAGTTGGTTCCGTTGCTGGAAGAAGTCGCCATCGACAAGTTCATCAGGGTCTTGGAGAGGATAATTTTGTAGCCACTGCTCCCAGACCTGATTCCAAATGTCGTTTGTCTTGATGTAGTCTATGCTAAAACAGCGTTGCTTCCACATGAGCCTGTAGTTGAATAACATAGCGGCGAGGAACTGGGACACTCCTCTGGCAGAGCCAATCTTCCAACTTTCAGACCGAGGTGTCTTTTGCTGTCTCCAAATCTCGCAGGAAATAAGGAAGCGCACGATGAGCTTCTGAGGGCTCATATCTCTAGGATTCTTGAGATCAAGCGAGATATAACTGTGAACCTTGTGAATCCTGGCCGATGTTTTATACCCAAACATGAGATCTTCAAAGATTGGCTGAGCCGCCACGAGAGACTTCTGAAACTCTTCATCGGAGCGATCAACTTTCAAATAGTCATGGTGGATGATGAATCGGCAGAAAGTAGATCGTACAGCAGGAGAGTCGATAAAGGATAACATATATCGGGTCTTGTGCTTGCTAGCTCTGGCGTCCTGGATGGCAAAGAGCTTCGAGACCATTAACTCGGCGAAGTCCTCCAAGTACGTATCTAAAGACAGTCCTTCCTGGCTCTTGTCGCAGTCCTGAAGATATATCTGAGGATTCGTGAAGAGAAGCCATTCGTCGTCGCATCCTTTGTCGCTGCACCAGACCATAGATGGGTTGCCTCTGCCTAGGGAAAATTGACGATGAAGTAAGGATCGACGCGTGAACCTTGAGCGGCGGTGAGCGCGATGACGCGGCGTAGCAAAAAGCTTCTTGACAAGGTCAGAATGATTGAAGTTGTATGATGCTGGAATAGATGCACTGTGATCGCCAAATGGTTCGTCACCTTCAGCATTGGACTCTTCAAGATGAGCTTGTTCGCTACTACCACTTGACAACCCCGTTGTTACTGAAGCCACATCATCAAAGTGATGTGTCGATTGAGGCGAGCGCTCTGATGTCGGACCCGAGCTGATACTGGTAGTTTCCATGGTTTTAAGGATGGATGCAGATAAGACAATGTCGGTGCTGTTGAGCCGGTGCTGTCTGGTCCAGCAGAAAGGGTACTACTTATACAGCATGTCCGTACGAGAAATGTTCAGCATTGTGAATATTCAGAACGAACTTAAGCGTGCAACAGCATTGTTCTGCCAACATTGGGCGTTATGAGCAGACAAAGAACATGGGAACGCATGACAGGCATAAACACCTTTCACTTTCACTGACCCCAAACAGTCAAAGGATTACAAAACAGCTAGGCATATCACATATCATGTATGTCCCATGCAATTTCAAGCGATAGTAGGCCAAGCGGGTAGTGATGTCTTTATTTGGGCTTGTAAGCCACTGAATTAAGGGTAAAACTGATCTCTTGGCGCCCATATGGCACATGCTGCCTGGATGTCTTTAAAGCGAACAAAACACTTTTTGATTAGATCACCATAGAAACCTTCTACATTTCTTACTACCGCAGAGACACCGTGTCATATGATCAACATCACCACCTGGCTCCTCGCCTTCGTGCGAAACTCCGTCAACGTAGTCAAAGGTAAGCTCCTGACCTTTTGGTATGTCCTTGATTGCAAACAAGGCAAGATCATGGATGTGCTTGTCGGCATGGTCGCCCACTCGTGCAAATATTCTCATGTTGGGTTCGCAAGAGTGGTTGACGAAGCGTGTCGGGCCAGACATGAATTCACCGTCAACTTCTAGAGATGGACCTTTCAATCGTGTGTCGAGCGAGTCCGGATCAGTAAATTTGTCGAGGGCGAAAAGGTATACGTCCTTGCGCTGTGAGATGGCGGATTTGGAGCGTCGGCGATCAGCTTCCGCGGATGTGATAATTTCTCCCAGATACCTGTCGACGAACTGGCCTTTCTTGATCGATACTGGTGATCGCACACCTGTAAAGGACTGAGGTTAGTAAACCACAAGCAATATTCCAAGAAAGGGGCACTCACCCCATCCTCTATCTTTAGTACGGAAAATCTCCAGAGGGATAGTCCGACCACGCTCCACAACACGATTTGGACAGTCTGTACTGCAAGAACAGCCTTGATGACACTCGTAGATAGGGGTCTTGGAGTCGTGAAATTTTGATCTCAAGAGACCCGCCTTAGCACCACGGGCGTGATAGGCGTATGCCTTCCTCCGGACCCGTGGTTTGTCAACGTTCATTCGACTGGAATCATGGCCTGGAGAGTCTTCCTCCTCGTCACTAGAGTCGTCGTCCTCCAAGTCGGCAAGGCAGTGGCAGCTTGTAAACTGACAATGTGAATCATTGGCGCAGGAGCAGCCGCTGCGGAAACTATCCCCGGCTTGCTCGACCCCTTTACCGAGAACAACGTTGTTGATGAAACGAAAGTCGTCTGGAAGGACCTGCGAGTCTTCTTCGTTGACTACGGTGACGGGAAGATCCGAGTGTGTAGGAAAGGAGCGAATCTGGCACCAGTGACAGCTGTTGCGTTCTGCTTCATAACCCTGAATCAAGTCAGTTGATTTTGAGCATATAGAGGGGAGTGGGAGAGTACTCACCTCCTCGCCATGAAAATAAAAATGCCGTTCCGTTGCTTTTAGCATACTAGACATGGTCGGCTTTGTGATGTGGTTGCACTGCGAGTAAAGACTTGCTTTTATTTGTTGTGAACCGTGAATAGTGGAAGCAAGATGTGGTGAAACAGAAAAGCCTGAAGTCAAGTGTGCCAGATTCCTTGTCGTGTAACAAATGAAAACCTGTTTGCGTGTGAAGAGAAGATACCTTCGACTTGAGATGGTGCATAGAACATTGATATTAATGAGCGAAGCTTAACTTAAGGGTCGTGCTGAGACTGAAGCTCCCAGGGAGTTAGTGGGTGCTGGTCAAGTGCACGGTGACTGCTGATTGGCTCTGAGCTCGGCGAACGCCTACCTTAGGTGTCTGCCAAACTGAGGTACCAAATAAATCTTGCTCCATGATAGCTTTTTGGCCCAGCTAATCCTCTATCATTATTTTTAACTAGACATCCATGTAGCGTAAAGCAGGGATATATTTGTATGATGGAAGTGGAGTCCTTTCGTGGATATTGGATATCCTTCTTTTGGCAGTGCCGACTAACAGCAACTGATTATCAATTACATCAGAAAACTACACAAGCTCTGTGTACTAATGCATCATCCTACATCAAAGGCCGCGTCTCCCTGGATTTTACTTTTGGTTGACAACTTTAACTTAATCTTTCGTCATCCACGATATGATTTGTGCAAGGATTCTTGTCAGGGCATCATGTCATGTCATGATCATCCATTGAGTGCGTCTGGAATCGAATCTGGTTACTGCCATTGATGTTAATTCATACAACAACAGCATTGCACAGCTACAGTGCTTTCCTTTAACACAGGTATACTCCGCATGGAAGCTTAGTACCTAAGAAGCTACTGATATTTAGCCTTATAAAGATCGAATCCGGGCTCTCATTACAGAGTAGTGTTCCCTTTTTTTAGGCTTTTTAGCTCTGGAACCAAGTCCCGCTTTTGCGCCTCCCCCTGTCGTGACTTTTTGGATACCTACCTTAGGTTCGGCGACTCCAGACCACTCAACTCGGCTTGTCGTCTTCATCTTCTCTGCTCTCTGCTTTCTGCGCCTCTTGCCTGCGCCCGCTTTCTCCTCTTTCATATCCTTCTGCTTTCTGGTTCTACAACACAGAGTTACAACAATTGCTGCACTGCAAACCCATTTCTAAGTCCTGTCGACCATCACATCTCACCCAAGACTGCGACTTCGGCCAGCGATGGCTAGTCGCTAAAGTTGGGATCCTCATTCCTGATCTCAGCCTCGATCCATATTTCAACGGCGATCGTCGCTGCCCTTGCAACAAAGATGGTGCGCCGCTTGTCTACTCTCCCAACTATCAGCCTCCAAGCACTGTAATATCTAACTTCCTTTAGGGCTGCTGCCTCTCCCGTTCTTCGGGCCCAAACTCTCCTTACCCAGGTGGTGCCCCGAACGCTTCGTCGCGCGCCATCAATCCTCCTCCGCTGTCACTCCCTGAAGCCGCCCAACCACAAGTCCCCGCCGAGAGACGTCGTCAGCGTCAAGGTAGTAGCCGTCCGCTAGACCAGCATATCGATAAGCCTTTGCGACGACACGAATGGACTTCCCGCGACCGCAACTGGACCAGAAGCGAGCTGGCGAAGGAACGAGCTGCCTTCTTCGATACTAGAGTCACTGGCAGGCCTGAAATTTGGCAGACTATCCATGCCGCCCTGCAGGTTCTGTGGGATCCGACGAGTCAAGATGCCCAAGACGACGGGTCCGATGGTCTTGCGACAGCTCAGATGATCTTATCTGCCGCTGAGATCTCTTTACCTACCGGCAACCTCGCCAACGGCGTGTATGACGCTTTCGGTAACTATTACCAGTTGCCAGAATGGGCTGTTTCTGATCCGCAGAACGTTCAAGAGGATCGTGTAGAGGGCGCAAAGGGCGACATACCTAATACTGGCGACGACACAGCAGCGGATGAGGAATTGAGTGACGATGAAATTGAAGGCAAAAAACAAGAAAAGGGCAAGGAGGTCGACGAAGCACAAGAGCTCGTCAAGCTACGGGCTAGACTAAGTGAAACCGGCCAGGATATCAAGGTCAGCATATCTGAGTCGGAAACAGCCCGAAGCGTAGCCAAAAAGATTGCTTCAGAGGCTGGTGTGAGTAATCTTCCGAAACATTCGAACAACGAACATAAAACTGACACTACTCTTAGCTTCCATCTACTAAGAAGATCAGGATAGCATATATGGGCAAGATCCTCAAGGACAACTCATCACTGACGTCGCAGAATTGGCATACAGGCCATGTCGTCAATGCCTTTGTTTTCGACGTTTAACTGTCTTGTAGGGCCACAGGGGGGTTTCACCCTCACTATCATGCCCATCTATCTTCATGGCAGTTCTGCCTTTAATGATCTACCAGTCGGCCTCATCTTGATAATACCCCTTATCATTTACTGTTAACTTGCGTTTATGTCTTTCTGGAGTTGGAGGATCCTGGTCCAGCGATGATTTGTTTGTCACCTAAAATCCTTACATTCCATGTTCTGATACTGGATTTGTATATCAACACAGCCATCAACATGCTATATATATATGTATATAATTTAAGAGCATGCCGCACGAACCCGGCAGTTCTTATGCTAATATCACTTTCTGCTCTTAAGCAACCAAGCCATTCTAACATCTCTATGATGCCTCCAGGCTCTTACTGCGACCTGTTCGAGAATCATATGCCTTTGTTTGCAATCAACGTCTACCTAAAGCTGCTTACAATGAACTCTACCAGGGACAATCCCTCGCATAGCCTTTTGGTGGGAAAACACCCATTAACATGCTCCGACCCTGACTCCGCTCCTACCATCGTCATGAATCTTGCAATGTTCAAGCAAACCCCTTCGAAAAATCCGATCTAGGTGCTTGTAACCTGCCATCGGCCATCTAAGCCGTCGAGCCGATTTTGTTGAGACCCTTCAATGAGCCTAGGCTCAGGGCCAAGCCTTGTGACCGACTCCTTATTCGGACGAAACCAGTTATGGGTCCGTCCTCGCCCTCTTTCTCAATACTCAGATTAGCAAGAGCATCCTCACCTAAAATCATGATTAGCATAGCCCTAGACATCTAAAACTCAATTTGACTTACCGAATACGCTTCTTGCATAAAGGTTGGCGCTCAGGAACTGGCAGTCACCCTTGAGACTGGCCTCTGGTGTCAAGCAGTTCATATTTGTGCAGGCCATAAGTTGGTCGAGGAAATCGCGTAGTGTCTTGGCCTTTGAGTTAATGTTGACCTTGTTCTCCCACTCAAACTCAGTCCACATGGTGCGGAATTGGGTCTCAGTGCATGTAGCAGGCTGAATGTAGTCCATAATATCAACGTGCAAGTCGTTAAGAATAACCACATTGGTGTCGGTAGAATGGGCACCGTCGTACACAACGTTACCAAAGATGACACCAGTATCTGTTGACGAGACCTTGATTGTGCATTGAACATTGTGGAAGTCATGAGGACCCAGGTTTTGTGTAGTAGGTCGCTCAACTACCTTCAGATCGCCAAGGGTAGCGAACTCGACCGAAAGGTTCTGGAGGGTCTCGGTAGTCTGGTTGACTAGAAGGACGTCCAAGACAATATCGAACTGGTGAACCTTGACGTAGGCTTCAGCATAAACAGGATCAGAGAAACCTGTCAACTGGACCACCCGGCTGAGCTTGGATGATAGGTCTTCGGCAGTGCCCTCGCCACCAGTCGCCCTCTCCAAGTCCATCTCAATCTCATCCGTACCATCTGAGGCATTCTTCTTAGCTAGCTGCCGGATAGGCACAACATCGTCAACCTGCACAGCTGTTTTAGCCTTCTCAAAAGCCTCCTTAGCGGCACGCTTCTTTTCCTCAACCTGGACCATGGCCCGGAAAGCCTTGCGGGTGTCGTCCAGCCAAACAGTCTCAAGCTCCTTCTTCTTCTCAAATTCCGCCAATGATCGCACACAGGACATAACTCGATCGACAGAGTCCTCATCGATAGGAGCCTTGACGAACTGAGACTGACCAACGCGGATGATGGAAATCATGATGAGCATAGCCTCAGCTCGGAGGGCGTTCGTTCGAGCTTTGTCTGAAGAAATCTCATGGTGTCTCATGACAAGCTTGACAAGGGTGGATGACAGAACAGTCGCCAGATAATAGTCTCCATCGAGTATGAGTTGGCGCAGAGGGGGCTTCTGAGCAGTCTTGACAGCCTCCAACTTAGCAGCCGCTGAAGACTGGCTAGTAAGAGCTGTCTCAGTGGCATATGTTCCATCAGCGAGCACCTTGCGTGAACCAGATGGAGCAGCGGGCTTTGATGTTCCATTGAGATAATCGTCGGTCTTCTCTTCGCCGTCGTGTGAATCCAGTAGCCGCTGCTCGGATGCAAGAATAGGCATTTCACCCAAACTAGCACGTATCCTCTTCCAAGCCTCTCGAATATCCTTCTCTTCTAGAGAGTATTCACCAATGATCCACATGATACCACGGTACACCTTGCCAGCTCGGACTTCTCCCAGAGTGGAGACGAGACGCTCGATAATGGTAGTTCGCAGATTAGGGAACTTTTCGACTACCTCCTTAACGAAGTTGATGACATCGACAGCGGAAACATTATTAAAGTCGGCGATGAAATCCATAAGAAGCTCCACGACGCTCGCAGCGACCTCGGAAAACTTGATAGCGCATTGGTGGATGGAGTGAATAAGGAGAGATCGGTACTCGGTGTTCTTCTCGTATTCCTGGTCGACGGTCTTTGACAGTTCCTTCTTCAGTAGCAGGACAACCTCTTCAACATTCTTGCTGGACACCATTTCAAGGGCGAGGCCAAGAGCCTTTCTTCTGACGTCGATATCGGTACTGGACAAAACTCGGAGAATCTCCATGGTCAGATCATCAAGGACACCTTCGTTCTTCTTGCGCAATTGATCAACTCGATCAAGCACAATCAGCTTAACGTTGTTATCTGCCTCCTTGATGCTCAACTCGATGAATTTGGCGGCCGCAGCCTTAACAGCTACGGGGTTGTTGGTAAGAGCAGTGAGGGACGAGGCGGCTTCGTATACAACGGTTGAGGCACCGGCTTCGAGCAGGTCGAAAATGAGTCTTAGATATCGAGCCTAGCGATTGAGTTAGTGATCGGTATATCCTCCACACCAACAAACTTAAACCAACCTTGTTCTGGGAGTTTTGAACAGCATCCTTGCGGATGAACTCGAGCTCAACCAGCTGAAGAAGCTCCTCTGCGTTGGGAATACCCTCGAAAACAGAACCTAGGTAAAGTAGGGCAGCATCATGATCAATGCTAGCAAGAGCAGCGAAGCCGTTCCTTCGGCAAACGCCGTCACTTTCCCCCTCGAGGAAAGTAGAAATAAGTTCTGAGGCATCGGGGATCAGGGAAGGCGAATGTGTGTGAATTGAGGAGATAGCGAAGACTGCATTCTTTCGGACGTAGGCATGTCGATGCTCGAGGCAGGATCGCGCTGAGGAGAGCAAAGGTTCGATCAGCTCAGCTTCTCTGAGCTTGCAGAGGAAGCGCAGGGTGTTTCCTCTGATGTATTCGTTGGGATGTTGGAGATCGTTTCGGATACCGTTACTACAAAGGGATTGTTAGGATCATACTGTTGCAGCGATCGACAGGCCTTATTATATAGACAAAGGAAGATATAGCCGTACCAGACCAGAATCATCTCCTGCTTAAGCTTGCCGGTATTGTCGAGTTTAGGGCAGATCTCATAGTAGAAGTACAGTAGCTTCTTGAGAGGCTTGTACTTCGAAGGCATAACGAAACGGATGATGTGCATTAACAGGCTGGGCATGGGGTCGCCATTGAGCATAATGGTCAGGATGCGCTTCATTGTCTCGACCTTGGTCTCATCGGTACCCTTCTCCAGCTGATTGCGCAGGTCGGAGACGGTGGGGACATCGGCCGCATTGTCCTGGTGAACGAGACTGTACGCATTCTCGAGAAAACCAGACATCGTGAAGAGTGTCGCCAGCGGCTGGCCGAAAAAGTTGGTGTATGTGTTTGTTGTAAATGGGACGTGGCTCTTAAGGGGAATGTCTGAGGTGGATTGAAGGTATAGGTGTATTGAGTTCGGCGGTCGGCGGTCGGTGGGGAGGCTCAGCTCAGGGGTTACAGCAGCTCTATTCCGGAGCTTTAATGGTCAGGACAGGTAACAAAGTACGTCCAGGTCATTCGTTGAGTTATTTCAGCGTGCAATCGCTGACAATTATTACCAGAAGCCCCTGTGGAAATCTAGATCAGCTCTGGATAGCGTCAGCTTCGAGAAGATCTGTCCTGCCAGCAATGTCGAACAGGTGGCACTAAGCGACTTGATGTGAGGGATGCGGTCACGTGAATCAACAAGGGGTACTCTCAAGGACCAGGAAGGGTTCAATGTTCGATTTGACGTTCTTGGGCTTTACGTCAATTGGTTGACTTGGATGCAGAAATGAGTAAAATAGTCTCTACGAGTTATAAGATTGTGACTATGACTCTGTCTAACTTCACATAGCCATCTCTAGGTAGTATCTGTTCGTGATTTCTCATGATAGAAGTTAGGTAAGCTTTCGGTCAACAGCCTGACAATTCCAAGGCCGCGTGGTTGGCTGTTGACAGGTACAGCTGTTCTGCCCCGCCAATGTGGACCGTGCACTTGTCGTTACCACCCAGTTCCGCGATTCTTTCTCAGCCTTGCGCTCATAGTGTGCTAACTATTTCTCTTCAACCACAACAAGATCACCAGCCTTGTTGTTATCACTGCAGCGAAAATGACGTCCTCGAATGAACCCTTTTACTTGCGGTACTAGTAAGTTTATCAATTTGGATCTCATCATGTTGATCGACTGAATTTGTTCTTGCGAACAATGCTAAATGACGTTTCTCAAACAGCTCCGGTCATATGGGTCGTTTCGGCCATGAGTTCCTCGGTGCGAAGACCCAGACCCCCCTCGACTATCTTCGAACATAAATCTAACGTAGAGGCGTGCAGAGTTCGATTTCAGAGTCGTCGGCGACGGTCGCAGCGCGGTAGCAAGATATGCCAACAACTCCAATTACCGAAACGATAGCTTGATCCGAAAAGAGAGTAAGCAACATACACGAAACATGCGCGGGCAATCTTTCTGATATTTTCAAGTGTGTGTCAGCTCAGTTATAGTCGACGAAATTAAACGAATTATCAAGACGAGCGAAATCACAAAGTACGCCCAAACACCGTGTCGAGCGATCTTGATCACCACTAACCGTGGAACAGAGAAGATGATTCAAAATGGCCACAGAAGAACAAAGACGGACGTCAAGAATTGGAGATTCGTATTGGTAATGATCATATCGCGTTCGAGGTCGGTCATAGTAGAACACTCCTGGTAATCACTGCTAACAGCACGGTAGACCGCCAAGATTGGATCTCTCGTGGATGTGACAGAGTCCGCCGACCCGGAAGGTCTGCGAGTATTCTATTACCTCGTTCAGGATCTGAAGGCTCTGGTCTTCAGTCTGATCGCTCTGCACTTCAAGATCAAGCCTATTTAGATGGCAAGCCAGATGAAAAGTAATGGGATACGAAATTGTCTGATCCAAAGCGAATGCGTTTCATGACTTAGACAACAGCAATGGTGGAGCAGTCCGATGTTAGGGACAATACTATGGTGGCCAAAAACGGCGTTAAGGAATCATAAACATGGCACGTTTACAATTGATCGATTGTGGAGGGATGTTTACAAAACAGACTCTCGCACAAATGAATACCTCTTTGAGAAACGATTTAGCCGATTTTACCAACCGCTCCGGATACCCTGTTTGATCACATAGAATGGGGGACTATGTGATTCTAGATTCGCGAAGTCTTGGTGTAATCCTTGAAGTCTTAGGAAGAACGTGTTACGAGGAGAGATGAAGTTGTTAACGAAACGACAATAGTATCCATACTTGAGGGCGACGATCGGAACATGCTATCTACTCTACAGTTCGTGACAAGTTCGAGTGACACACGCTGCGGCTCGGATATAGAATGAATTAAGCAATCAGGATGGCCTTTAACTAACCCGCACATCACTCCCAATTCCCTTGATGCCTGGACAATCGTGAACGATAAAGCAGATGTGATACAGGTGGCGGAAGCTCCGATGGCTAAGAACAGGCACCGGGTAGACCCGCAAGCCAGATAATAATGGTAGTTTGGGACGAAATTGTATGATTTCGGATCATGCCGGCAAAACGGTCTCACAGCTGGCGCATGCATCATGTCTCCCTTTTGAGTAACCCATCACCCCATATGAAATGCAGGCTTTACCGTGGTGGGGGGTCCGATGGGTCTGCCCGATGGCGCTTCTGTGGACGGCACGGAGCAGCCCAATTCCTCTTCCACGACGAAGCATCTGATGCTGGTTCCGGCCGTGACGTTCAGTTGACCCTGGGCAGAGGAATCACTGACGTTGTGTGCCAATAACAGGGAATTTCAGGTTATCATTGCACGATTTTCTGAATAACAGAACCGTGTTGCTCGGGTTTCAATCATCATGGTATCTTATGGATGGATGATAGAGGTCAAAGTTGGGCCTTGTCAAGGTTCCATTTTATAGAACTGGACCCTGGTCAAGCCTCAACCCCAGCAGCGGGCAGCATCCGGCAGCTCAATTTGCATATTTTCACGCTACTTAAGATCTGGAGAAGTAGAATAATTACAGGGGAGTTTTGCTTAGGATCAAATTAAAAGGTTCAAGTGCTTCTTTCTATTCCATCTAGCATGTTTTGTGCCAAGCTTGAGCTTTCTCGCTGCTAGGGATAGATACACCATGAACTTGACATGTGAGCGAGGGCATTTTACTAATAACTTTAAACAAAGTTCCAAACGAGATGCAACGATAATGCACTAAAGAAGGAAAGGATCGTATAATTCCCACACACGGTTCGAGCCATCAACCGAATATTCTGTATCCGTACCTGAAGAGAATATGGAGTAATAAGGTGCTGTAAACGATAAGCTAAAGGCTTGGAAGGCTCCCCGGGCCCGGCTGCTAACCCCCATCACTCCCGTCTAGCCGAGTGGAGGTTCAAGGTGACAGTACCCACATAATCCTCTACAGAACCCCAGATGGCAGCAAATCAAGCCCCTCGTTGCTGATATGAAAACTATCACCGACTTGACCCTTTTCTTCGCCATCGACCCATAGTTATGCGATCCGACATGCTCTAACGTTAACCTGTTTCTTCACTCCCGCCTCGTCCTGTTAACCTGAGCATTCTTTGTATTATTATAATCTTCCCCCATCTCAGCTTTTGTGATGGGCATACCCTCTGCATCCTAAAGACCTTTCTTGCGCCCTGCCTCCATTATTCTAACTAGTCTCTACCAGACTTACCTTGCTCCATCTTGTCCCGAGATCGCCACCCACTTCGTGTTTGGTGCTAACTCGATTGTTCTCCTCTCAGTTCTTCGGCCTCGAACAAGCGCACGCTTCGACGTCAGGACCTTGCCAACTAACATTCATCGGTCGATTTGATACCCTCGATTTTGCTTCTCTGCACTTTAAATAGTTGCCCTACATTTTTCAATCATATCGCAGCTAATTGTCTCGCCCTCTATTACACGCTACACGTCACATACCATGCCAACACCATCATCGAACCCGCCTGTTGAGGCCGCTTCTCCGCGGTCCTACAGCTTCTCAACATGTCCCGACGACGTCCAATATCAGCAACGTCCTACCTGGCAGTCGCGCGACGATGACCTAGGCAATGTCGATAACATCGGGTCACAATCTAGCTCCAACCTTTCTGTTGATGGCGCTTTGGCGCTCACCGTCGACGCGCCGCCTGCGCCCGAAGGCCCAAGCGACGATACCGTCATGTACGATGGACGCCCATCCGATGACCCATCGTCGAGATCTTCTACCATGTCTCCCCGACCGCAAACAGCCACCACGGCCGTGACATCTCCCATGCTTAGTGGACCCGAAACCGAAGTAAAGGGAAGAGAGGCCGAGATCGGTACCCAGTTGAGTCGGGAGCCTTCGAATAGCACACAACGAGCTTCGGAATCCGAATCAATTGCTCGTGAACCTTCCAGGCGGAGAGGATCACCAAATCAAGAGTCAGAATGGATTGATTTTGATGCGCAAGAGGATGAACTGTGGTCCCCGTCCATGGGTTCTGACTATTCGTGCATGCGGGTGAGTCAAATTATCAGGCGCTATAACGATTCATCGTCACATTCTAACAAAGGAAGACCATACCTTTAGCTCCATCTTCATACCTACGCCCGGGCAGCAAGTTTCATGGTACACAACAGTCAGAACGGCAAGTATACGACGTGCAGGTTGAAATCAAGCATGTCGACATGCGCGAGTCTTTCCTATGTGGCTATCTACGTATCCAAGGTTCGTGTTAAGCATCATCCTGAGTTGTAAGATCATGCTGACTGTGGTTAAAGGTCTTACTGAAGATCATCCTACACTTACCACATATTTTGAGGGAGAAATCATTGGTTCCAAATACAGTTTCTACACGCAGCACGAAAATTGGGGCGCGAACAGCAAGGTCGACCTAAGTCACTGGGCCAAGTTCACAGCCTTTCGGCCTTTCCAAAAGCAAGCCCGCAAGGGGCCTGTCACTATCCGTGATGCTGCTCAAAGAGAAACTATCTTCATGCGATGGAAGGAACACTTTTTGGTTCCTGACCATAGGGTACGCACCATAACAGGTGCCAGCTTCGAGGGTTTCTATTACATATGCTTCAACCAAGTCAAGGGTGAAGTGAGCGGCATTTATTTCCACTCTAAAAGCGAAAAGTCAGTATCCCGTGGTCAACAGATTGGCATTTCAATACTAATCCCCCACAGGTTCCAGCAATTGGAGCTGAAGCATGTCCCTGACAAGGGGTGCTTTGCAGCAACTGAGTTCCGCTAGAAGTACAGTTATCTTAAAACACAAGATACAGTACAGACTCCAAGCGTGGCATCGTCACGCGTACATTACCAATTATCTACTCTGAACCTTGCTGAGCCGTGTTGAATAACTCGGCACGATATAACAACATATAGATGGGAATACGGACAGGGGTATTTGCGGAGCCTGTTATCATGACACCTTGATGCGCCTACGTCAATTCTTCTTACGAGACATCAGGATTTCGGTTTTCTGGGTAGTTTATCATATATGAATCTGGAGCATAGGAAGTCTTTGATGAGACCAGAGCGAGGTCTTTCTTGCAAATGATGATTTTATTCGTTGGCCTCGAACTTCTTGAAATATCCACGTCGAAACGGGTTGAGTTCGTCTGCTGATGTCCCACTCAACGTGAGTTTTTTCCGGGCTGCGTAAGTTTCGAGAGCTGATTGCGAAACCTGTGCATCGGGTACTCGACGGTAGGTGATGAGTCTTCTGGACCCTGTTTATTGTTAGCACGCCCATAACAAGTAAAGGGGATCCGTGGACGACTCACATTTGTTAAAAGGCTGGGTACAGACCACGACAACTTCCAGGTAAGGATGGGTAGGCACTGGGATCTCTTGTTCCTCGTCGTTGGCAGTTGGCATCCAGAACGACAGTCGTCCTTCGTCTACCAGCGTCTCGACTGCAAAGTTGAGGATGTCGTCGAGCATCACCAGAAAGCTATAGGGCTTCTTGGGTGGTACGTATGTGGGTTTCCTGTGACAGTCAGCTTGAAGATCAGTTCAAATGGTCATTTTAGTACACACATTCCATGTTCCTTCCCCTGTTCTATTAGCCAGGGCGTCTTCTCGGGATCACGAAGGCCAAGAACTCTCAGCCCCTCTCGCACACCGTACGGCGGATCGCAAACAATGCCGTCCCATGTTCGACGATGTCTTCTGATCGGTGTGTTGGTCAAGTCGGCCGAGAACACATCTCCCAAGCAAGATCCAATACCATACTGCTCAAAATTTCCTTTCAGACTCCTTTTACCACCCTCGCCACGAATACTCCGGCCATCGATATCGCTTCCAAAAGCCAGAGCACCAAAATGAGCACATGCAACAGGAAAGGAGCCAGTTCCAACAAATGGATCGTAAAAGAGCTTTCCGGGAGCAGCAAGAGCTATGTTGGCAGTGACCAGGGCAAGTTCGGAATCCATACTTGTCGTAGAAATGTATCCTCGCTTCTTCAGGTCGAACCTAACCAAAATCTCCCGCGACGAGTTTCCTACGTGTCGGGCAAGGTACATCATCGTGGGATCCGGAATGTTCTGAGGAACACTGTCGTACGGCCACATCTCGAAAATAGTGAATAGATTATCAGGATTTGACATCTTTACCGGTCCGGTCCAGCCCACAAATCGGAAAGAATTTATGAGTTCGATCCGTTTCTTCGCGGAGCGAGTTCCTTGATAGGGATCAACATCGAATTTGAATGACTTTCCAAGATAGCTATTCCAGAGGTGGGACGTGTTTGTCCTGACTGATTCGTGAAGTTCGTCCAGGGTACTTCCTTTGCCCCAGAGTTCATGAATGGATTGTATGAGAATGGATCTTTTAGCCAGGCGTTTCGCCGCTTCCACTGATGCAAGTTGCACGATACAAAACGGGGACTATTCACAGTAAGTCTCTGGGATTGGAGTCATTTGTGGGAAACGGACATCTTGGCTATAGTCAACTATTTTCATGTCCAGGCCCTCGACTAGAGCCAGGGCTTCGATCTCTGGAACTCGAAAGCTCTCATGCGCCTGCGCAAACTTGATAAGGAAATCCATCATGATTTTCGAGCTTCTAATGTTTTGGTGCGTAAGTAAGGTCTATTTTACTCATTCCAAGCCTGACATGAAGTGATGGTGGGGGAGGGCACAACGATTTCCTCCTTCTTTGATGGCGAATCCGCTACAAATAGATGTAGATCAAGGTAAGTACTTAGTACTGTGTCTCGAACAGAAAAAAAGCCTGGAGATTTGCGGATGTGCTAATTTTGGGCTACCATGAGTGTAGAATTCTTGTCATGATTGTGATCTCGAGAGAAAAATTCACCGAAAAAGACCCGGCTAAAAACGAGCCGTCCCATTTGTTACCCAAGCACCTATTTGCGACTTACACACACTTCCCAGCAGCCACAGCCAAGATTCTCATTCAGGGACTTCTTCCAGCTGACTTTTTTTTAATTCAATATGTTCCCAGCTGCTGCTCCTTCGATATACCAGTCGCCGAAATGCCTCGTCACATATGGTAGTATGGGCCATGTTGACACTAAACAAGCACCTCGCAAGGGCAAGCCTTGGTCCTCGGTTATGTCGCTGGATTTCGTTCATAAGGTTCGAGCAATTAGGATGGGAACAGACTCGGTGCATTGCTTACCAGTTATTAGGTTGATGTGATTCTGCCTACAGCGGCCTACGATGCAGTCAGTGAACATCTTGCCAATACTCAGAAGCCACCGCGCTATTCAAGGGTGGTAATGTCGCTTGGGGATGTTGTGCAAGGCGATTTCTTCACAGAGTACATCAGAAAAGGTTGGCTCACACTATTCTATTGCCGGTTCTTTTGCTAAAATCGTACCGGTCAATAGGCGATATTATGATGCTCTCAGAAGGGCAAACAACTGTTGACACATTGTTCACGTTACATGAAGGTATAAAAAGAATCCCCAACCGACTTCGAAGTGTACTGACTTCATTTAGGTGTTCTGACTATGTTTGTCGACAAAGAGACATTTGAGCGCGCAGGACTCCCTGGTAAACCATACGGCCCGAAGGGTGGAAGGGCATCAAAACCTCGATGGGGTAAGTAGTCGGAAACCGAGCCTCACTTTCCCGTACTGACCCTGTGGCCAAGTCATAACGTTAAATCTGAGGGATCCTTCTATGATTCGGGGGAAAAAAGGCTATGATAGATTAATCTATTCCTGCAAGACCGTCTTCACTCAGCCTAAGACATGGCTTTTTTGTGATAAAACAATCCAAAGTAAGTCCAGGCTGAGCACTCTAAGGTCTATGTTGTTTCTGTGCTAATGCATCCAAGCTCCCAGTCCAGATCCCCTACAGCAGTTCTTCCCCACAGCTTTCACCTCAACACCCAATTTGTCTCGAGATCTCCCCATTCTTCAGCCAAGTCTTGAAGTTGACCCAGAAGTTCTTGCCGAAAATGACCGCGAGGCCCTCGAATGGTTTGCCACGGAGAGTTACGAGTGGATATCACTTGTTCGCCTGGGTAGCCCGCGTGTTGAGTCTCAGGACAGTATAGATCCCTATCTTTCCCGGTATTGCGTACCAGGTGAGGCTACCAGTGCATCCAAGATCTGCAAATTGAGCTGGGAAGGTTTCATGTCGGCACCGTGGTTGAGGGGTTTACTCATGGAAGTTCTGGCTGCTTGCCCTTCGGGGACATGGTTCTCTTTGAGTGCCACTTGCTTCTCGAAGAGTGTGTCGGGTAATAGTGATGATCTCACTATCCTTAAACCACCAAATGCCGCTGGGAAATACCTCATGTGGGAGACAAAGGCGTCGGATTGAGTATCTAGTCCTGCTTTGATCGCACGTTTCGTTCGTCGCCGACCCCGCCCTCTCCAAGAATCGCATCTTCGACCAATTTGCGAAGTTCGGTTTGGCCTTGAGGGGTATTGAAATCGTCACGCTGAGCTAGTTCTTCAATTCTTCTTCGAAACTCTGGGTCAATCTCTTCCGGGATGTCTGCGGTCTCATCCATAGTTCCTACTGTAACCTTCATGCCCTCTGGAGGTGGAGGGATGGCTTCGGGCATCACAGCGGCGGCAGTCGTGGCAGGATCGTCGGCTTCCTTGGCTTCGATTGTCGATAGGTACTCCGCGACGGCAGGGAAATCGCCTTCAGCCTCGATTTTCTCCTTGGCTGTCAATCCTTCGGAACCTCGGTGGTTGATGTTTGCGCCGAGCTCTTCAACAAGGACTTGGGCCGCATCTTGAGTCTCGACAACAAATAATGCAGTCTCGTCATCCTCGTCCCTCAAGTCTACGTCAACTTTGAACTCTCCAACAAGCTTGCGTAGAAGGTCAAGGTGGTTGTAGCTGGCAGCAGCATGGACCAGAGAATAGCCATGTTCATCCTGCGATGACGCCAGAGCTGGGTTCTCGCGAAGGAGGGGCAGCAGAGAAGGGTTGTTGTCTGCAGCAAGAAGGAAGGGGTTTGGTGTTGCCATGATCTCGTTCCTGTGTTGAATGAATAAATGAAAGAATGAATGGTCAGGTTATTTGTCTTCGTTACACTTATCATCAATGCCGAGTTAAATGGATCTACGAAGAATATGCAATCGAAGATTTTTGGCGGGGTAACTCAGAGTGGAACCACCGATTACCAGCGATTACCCCACCATCATGACAGCGGGAAATCATACAACCTCTCAGCCTCTGTCCATCCAGGCCATTATGAATGGATACCTTTGAGTCAATATTGTGTTGGAAGGCTCCCTATTATTGAGTTGGCACTATAATCAATAAAATACTTGAAGAGTGCCTAGATAAACCGTAATTGAGAGTAGTAAACAACCGACTCCTAGCGATTGCCCAAACCGGCGACGCATCATGAGAGGTACCTACTACCAGGGTAGGTACCTAGGTAGGTACTACCTACCTAAGGCTGCACTTCGTCCTCCACAATCTTCCTGCCTGATGTGAGATGACTCAGTAAATGCCTGCTAGCTACTAACTTAATGATCATATCAGTCTGGAGCTATTTGATTTAAACAATTACTTTAGCTCTTTCGACCTAACTGCGGTCTGACTCACTTACAAGGCTGAATATTATAACCGTATTGAGGCGGTGCGCCTAGGCAGTTTTCGCCCTGTGCCTGGCCCGCAACTACCGCCACAGCATCCTTCGAGCGAACCCACAGAACAATCCTCAGCACCCCAGGTCATATAAGAGGCTCGGTTGTATCATAAACTTTACTCTAAACTCGTTTCTGCACCCAAACGCTTCAACGCTAATAACAGAGCGCGAAGGACGAGGTTGATATTGCTTTGTTTACCGAGTCTACCATCATCATTTGGTCTTTGACGGAAGGTACGTGTGTCCAACACTCAACATCCTGATTTCCCTGAGAACAAACCTTTGGGGTTTTTGTAAGAACTTGTTGCAGATCACCCAAAGAAAGGCTGCCCTCGAGTGAGGAAGGCCCATATTCTGACACGCGGTGTCTCTATCTCTAACCTCATGCTTGCTCACCATCTCTCTGTTCGAGCTCTTCTCACACCACTCAGCAGAGTTACCAAGGACCTTCGGACTTTTCGCGCCTATTCGGCAGGCCTCGATAGAATGTCTGCCCCATATACCCCCCAGGATGGGCAAGCCGTGTCCAGTGTGGTGCGCGCTCTAGACAACGCCCGAAAGGATAAGAAACGCAGCGGATTTGCCGTTAAGAAGACAACTTTCGACGTCAAAGGATCATCTGATGGGATCCAAGTCGATTCATGGCGCTTACAGGACTGGGACTACAAGCGACGTGACTTGCCAACCTACGCCCGTGGTCTTTTCACCACCAGAACACGACGAAATGAAACAGAGATTGCCGTGAGAGGCTACGACAAGTTCTTCAATGTCAACGAGGTTCATGAAACCAAGTGGGAGAACATCTTTTCGCGGACTCAAGGTCCTTACGAGTTAACGCTTAAGGAGAACGGCTGCATTATTTTTATTGCTGGACTAGAAGACGATACATTGATCGTCTGCAGCAAGCATTCGACAGGTGACCGAGACGATATCCAGGTCAGCCATGCTAGTGCGGGTGAGAAGCGCCTGGAAGAGCAGCTGGCTGCTGTTGGAAAGACAAAGGCAGACTTGGCCCGGGAACTCCGCAAAAGAAATGTGACTGCTGTTGCCGAGCTCTGCGACGACGAGTTCGAGGAGCATATCTTGGCATACGGCCCTGATCAGGCTGGCCTGTATCTTCATGGCATCAACCTCAACCTGCCTGAGTTTGCCACCTACCCAAGCCGTTTCGTCCAAGAGTTTGCGGATCAGTGGGGATTTCGAAAAACCGGACTTATCACTATGGACGACATCAACCAGGTAAAGACGTTCCTTGAAGAGGCAGCTGAAACAGGAGCCCACGACGGCCGAGATGTCGAGGGATTTGTTATCCGCTGCAAGATGACCCACGACCCAGCAGCCAAGCCATACAGCGACTGGTTCTTCAAGTACAAGTTTGAGGAACCATACTTGATGTACCGACAATGGCGAGAGTGCACCAAAGCCCTGATTTCTGGCAAGCAACCAAAGTTCAAGAAACACACTAAAATCACCGAAGAGTATCTGTTGTATGCCCGGAGACGACTTGCCGCAGATCCTAAGCTCGGAAAGGATTATAACAGCAACCACGGAATCATTGCATTACGTGAAGACTTCTTGAAATTTAAGAACTTGAACGGTGCTGATGCCGCCAACATGGGCGAGCTAGACCCTCTCGTTATGCCAGAAGTCACCCGCGATGTGATTCTGTGCCCCATCGCCACTATTGGTTGCGGCAAGACTACAATTGCCATGGGCCTCTCGCACCTGTTTGGCTGGGGTCACGTTCAGAACGACAACATCTCTGGCAAGGGCCGTCCTCCGCGGTTTACGAAGATGGTATTGGACGAGCTCAAGGACCAGCCTGCTGTAGTCGCAGACCGGAACAATGCACAAAGGCACGAACGCAAGCAAATCATCATGGACGTGAAGCTGCAGCATTCTACAGCGAAGCTTGTCTGCCTGAACTTTAAGCATGATGAGGAAACGATAGATGAGATCCGACGAGTTACCCAAGAAAGAATCGTTGCACGTGGAGACAACCACCAGACTATCCACGCAGCAAGCGACAAGGAGAAATTCATTGGCGTAATGGAGGGTTTTATCAACCGATTCGAAGCTTGTAACCCGCACACTCGACCTGACGATGGCTTCGATCTTGTTATTGATCTTGATCCCACAGCTGGCAGCCGTCAGAATCTCGAAACTGTAGTAACAGAACTACATAAGGTCTTCCCAAATCTTATCAAGCAGACGCCATCCCCTCAGGCGTTTGATGATGCAATTGATTTTGCTCTCGGGTACAAGCCAGATTTCAGGCATGACATACCTGATCGGGGTAACAAGAACAACCAAAAGCAGCAGAAGCAACAGCCTAAGACGCAGAAGCCAAGAAAGATGGAATACATGTCTATTAATATCCCGACACAAGAGGTCGTCGCTGCCCTCGATCAAGCATTTAAAACAATCCCGCCATCAACTTCCCGACTTTACACACAACTCAAACAAACACGACGTGTACAAGCAAAGTTTCATGTCACCTTACTTCACAAGGCCGCAGTTAAGGAGCACGCTGGGTTGTGGGAAAAGTATGCTGCCATCCAAAAGGACGCAGAGGCTGCTGGCAACCCCGAAGGACAGGTTGGCGAATGCGATGTAATGCTCGAACGAGTGAGTTATGGTATACACCTATTTGAGCCATTTGATGTGACTGACTCTCTCCAGGTTGTGTTCGACGATCGGATCATGGCAATTGTGGTTCGCCTTGCAGATGAAAACGATCAATGGCAGTGTGTGAACCGTGTCGCTCACATCACAGTCGGAACTCGGGATGATTCAGTGAAGCCCAAAGAAAGCAACGATCTTCTGACCAAGTGGTTAGAAGTTGGCAGTTCCCCCGAAACTCGGATCGGCGAGGTCGTGTTTGCAGAGAAACCGACACTCAAGGGGACGGTGAAGCCCGTTTTGAGCAAGTATTAAGAACGACGAGTGGTAGCATACAGGGATAACATCTAGAAATATTAGTACATCTGCAACGATATGGACTCTGTGGAGTGTGTGAGGCGCCAGCCCAGGGGCAAAATACAATTTGTTAGATATGGCAGGGAGGAGTGAAAGTCTCCAATTGTATCCAATATGAACTACTGTTCCCCAATGGTATTTTTAGGGGATCAATTCCAGTGCCTACTGATAACGAGCACATACAACGACAAAACAGGACATAATGTTGGCTGATCATCGCCTGATTGAACCGCACATACATGAGCGGGAAAGGGGTATTGTGAGTAGTAGACTCCGAGCATGAAACTAAACAGAAAATGGGAATACGGCATAGGTGATGAGGCGTAGGCCAACCGTTTGTCACTCGTCATCAAGAAATCGACTGGCCAGGGCACCAAAGAAAGGTACCTCGAATCTACAACGAGTGTCAGTGAAGCTATTGTAGAAGTTGAAGTCAACCGCTTACCTGTCGAGTATTTCGGCATCTTTATAAGCCCGCAACGTGAGGACAGCGATCAAGGCGACATCACAAAGGAAGAATAGCCAGCTCAGGAATGCTGACCATGAGAAGATCAGATGAAAGACCATGATGGCTGTGAATAATAATGCCGATTGCCAAGCATGAAACCTAATTGAAAGATCAGTAACTTGAACACAAGCAGATGTTTTGCTCGCCGTGAGGAGCCATAGTTCAGCTTTCCATACCTGACGTAGTCGCTGTTTCGCTCCAGTATAAGCAGAACAATCGCACCCACAGGTGGAAAAGCGACATATGCTAGACATGCCTCATAGTCGAGACGCATTCCCAAGCTTGTATCAAACTCGCTGACTTCAGCCACAGGAAAGGCACCTGGCATTGTGCTCGATGCTCTAAAAGGTCGGTTGTCTGGACTAATGGCCGCCCAACCGGCTGACTGGCCATCGAAATTGCTCCATCCTCGTTGTGGTTGTGGGTGTTGAAGCGGGGGAGGGGAGGCAATAGGCGAAAACGATCGTCTCGCATCGTAGGATGGTCGCGGTGAGGCATACTCTGGAGATGCAACGCGGGAATGCTCCGGCGGCGAGGATTGATAAGGAGCGAAGTCCATGGCCGGTGAATACAGGAGGATCGCAACAATTAGAACAGCATAAGTCCTGCAATGCTCGAAGAACTAATCAAGGTACGCAAGTAATTCGAAGCAATGTGTATTGAAGATGCAGTAGAAGCTAAGCTTCAGTCAGTCGAAAGTAGAGGAACGGCGAATGAAACAAGCTTGAGCGCCTATACCTCTGATCGGTTTTATACAAATTGCAATGCGAACGAGGAACCGGCGAGCATTTATAATGCGATTCACGATAGAGCGGAGCGAGTTGATCAAGAGGCGGGGTGTAAATGGTTAATAGTAGGTGAAGCTGGCTTAAGCTTCGCATAAGTGCTCGAATGCCTGCATGGAGTAGCTCTCAGCCACACACCGTTCCAGCCACACTTTGGATTGTCTGCTTGTTGGAAAGCAAAATCGTAGTGGAAGTAAAGCAAATCGGATAGGTACTTGAAGGAAATCGTGCTTAAAGTATCTGGCAGTTTTGCCCTCCAAGATAGGCTTGTTTCATGTGGAGGGTCATATGCCCATTTCTGTACACTGACACGCAATGTATCTTGCTCAAGATTTCCGCCGAGTCAACCATCTCAAACGCCATGACGATCAATATGCTGTTTGTACATCTACACATACATGGCCCTCTTGGGCTTCTTATTTGTACATCTTGTCTCAACGATTTCAACTGGTATTATTCACCGTCCTTTTTGTCGTCCTTAGCCTCGTCTTCCAATTGACCTTTGCGGCCCTCCAGGGCTAGCCACAGGCTTCGGCTTCCACCTTCCAGGGTGCTGGTGATGCCCAAGCCAGCACCTTGGAGCATGGCCACCAGTTGGGCCCGCAGTCCATCCAGACCGCCTTCGATACCACCGACCCAGTTGATACCTGATTGATCGAAGATCTTGCCTTCAACGCGGCCACCAACAAGAAGCAGTTTGGCAAGACCGGCTTGGCATACAGGATCATGATATCCAGGGTTCTTCTTCCTTGTAGGAGCCGGGAATTTGCCCGAAACGGGTGCCAGAATACTCAATGCCGCAGCAACATGGGCTGGGGAGACAGCAGGGAGAATCAAAGCAGCCACAGGACCAACCAACACTGGCTCAATCTGAGCATAGTTAGAGTCCTCGGGGACCTCAGCATTCTTGATAGCATCGTAGGCAGCGGCGGACAGATCATGAACAACAGGGCCACGGTGAGTTCGCGTTGTTGTTTCTGACGCAGCAGCAGTATCAGGGTCGTAGAACTCAACAAGCTTGAGAGCCACGCGCAACATATTGGTCCGTACTACCTGCAATTGAACTAATGGGGTAATATCGACAGGCTCGGTGCCAGGAATCGCATTGGGCTTGGGAACTGCACCAAGGGCTTTCTTCAGCTCTCGTCGTACCGCAGCCCACTCCACAGCTGTCAGGTTGCTATGTTGGAAGAATAAAATCAAGGGTGTTGTTCGGAGTAGTGATGTGTAGGTTCGGATCAACTGGCTCTTCCTAGTCTCAACTGGCCGAGCACTTGGAGGTTTGGTCGCGGGAGCCTGATCGATCGGTTTTCGGATTTCGGTGACAGCCGCAGAGTAGTTTGACGACGTCGAGATGCTACGAAGAGCCATGGTCCATGGCCTCCTCTGGACAAGCTGTGATTCTCTGCGCAATTGACGCAGGCAGGGCGATGCAGCCCTGGATATTCGTGAAGCCATGATTTCCTACTACAAGAGGTAGATGTCAGTAGGATCTATCAATCGAGACTGAATGTTGCGCGTACATCAAATTCTGCTGCTGGCTCTCTCTGCAGCCATATCAAAAATTCCACATGCCTTCATGGCCATTCGTTCTCAATTGCCAGTGTTCACTTTGATTGGCCCGTGCACCGGATCAACCAGACCACCGATCCCCGGCACTGCAAGGCCACACTAGAGCCCATACACAGCTGTTGCTAGTGGACCAGGCTGATTACGCGCGACCTGACTGCCTACCTCACTGCTTGCTTCATATTTGGTGTCGTTGAGCATCGATAGCGTTCACCTCTGCAACCCACAGCTACCCTTTGACATCACAACGCTCTATCCGCCTTTGACGCCGCCGATACGAAACTGTCACTGTACTTATTCCGCAGTTTATTATAATACACGTCATCATCAACTATGTCGACTCTCGAGGAGCTCGATGATCTCGATCGCCGAGACAAGGAGGAAAAGAAGAGAGATGGCGACGACAAGAACCAGAAGAAGCCTACCGATGGCGATGCTAATATGAAGGATGCCGAGGAGGAGGAAGAGGACGATGACATTCTTGACGAAGAGATTCTCGGATTGAGCACACAAGATATCCAAACCCGCAGGCGTCTACTCGAGAACGACTCTCGAATTATGAAGAGCGAGCTATCTCGATTATCACACGAAAAGGCTGCCATGGGCGAAAAGATCAAAGAGAATTTGGACAAGATCGCCAACAACAGGTTAGTCTCTGGTCTCCAAAACGATTGTCGGTGTCATAGCTAATTCAGTTAGACAACTTCCGTATCTCGTCGGCAATGTTGTTGAGCTCCTCGACCTCGATCCCACGGCCGAATCGTTAGAAGAGGGCGCCAACATTGACCTGGATGCCACCCGTGTGGGAAAGTCGGCTGTTATCAAAACTTCTACCCGCCAAACGATCTTCCTCCCTTTGATCGGTCTCGTGGACGCCGACAAGCTAAAGCCTGCTGATCTCATTGGAGTTAACAAAGACTCATACCTTATCCTCGACACACTTCCTGCCGAGTATGACAGCCGTGTCAAGGCCATGGAGGTAGATGAGAAGCCCACAGAGCAATACACCGATGTTGGTGGATTGGACAAGCAGATCGAAGAGCTAGTCGAAGCCATTGTATGGCCCATGAAAGAGGCCGAACGATTTAAGAAGATCGGCATCAAAGCTCCCAAAGGTAAGGTTTAGTGAACGATTTAGCATGGTCGCGATTCTGACTTGAATAGGTGCATTGATGTATGGCCCACCCGGTACCGGCAAGACTCTACTAGCACGAGCTTGTGCAGCGCAGACAGATGCCACATTCTTAAAGCTGGCAGGCCCTCAACTGGTTCAGATGTTCATCGGTGACGGTGCCAAGCTAGTCCGGGACTGCTTTGCGTTGGCCAAAGAGAAGGCTCCCGCCATTATCTTTATCGACGAATTGGATGCAGTCGGTACCAAGCGTTTTGACAGCGAGAAAAGCGGTGATCGTGAGGTGCAGCGAACCATGTTGGAGCTGCTGAACCAACTGGACGGATTTGCATCTGACGACCGAATCAAGGTGTTGGCCGCAACGAACCGTGTTGATGTCCTTGACCCTGCTTTACTCCGTTCTGGTCGACTCGATCGCAAGATCGAATTTCCCCTGCCTAATGAAGAGGCTCGTGCCCAGATCCTTAAGATTCATTCCCGCAAGATGAAGGTCGACCCTGGTGTCAACTGGGGCGAACTGGCTCGAAGTACAGACGAGTTTGGTGGAGCTATGCTGAAGGCAGTATGTGTGGAGGCTGGTATGATTGCTTTGCGGTCGGGCAAGAACAAGATTGGCCATGAGCATTATGTCGATGCCATTGCGGAGGTGCAGGCCAAGAAGAAGGATGTAAGTGTTAGCCCCTTCCACTTGTTTTACAGGAATGATTTGCTAATGATTTGTGCAGACGGTCAACTTCTACGCTTAATTGTGACAGTAGATGTTTCACGGCTTGGTTTAAGGTCATGCGTGCCTGGGCGCTGGGGTTTAGACGCGACAAGGTTCATAGATCAATGTAACAGTATGGAACCTTTTTTCGAGGCTCTAGTTAAGCTTCGGAAAATAAATTGGGTTCAACGTCTTCAAACCAATGATTTTTAAACGACACTTGTGAAGTGTGTATTGACAAAACACATCATACGTGTTTGTTGCCCGGAAACCCCTACGCTTTGATGATAATGGGGGATGAAAGTCGAAATCGCACCTTGTATAGGTAAGCTTGAAGAAAGACATGGCTTATAAATTCTGCATCGGTTCCGCTACATGAATGCAAGAGCGTGGCTTATATATCTGCTTCCTTTATCCCTCTGATCTTTGGAGGGAATTGACACCATGGGAAGTTATTGGTTGCAATATCGAGGGTCTTCCTGCTCTACAAAAAGACTAATGCCAATAATTTTTATCATGAAAAACAGTAGATTATCACTGCTGCCAATCTGTGCCGTCCATGGAAAACTCGAAGCAATGTTTCCGGAGCTTTTGTTCCATTTGTGAATCGAGATCGGTCTTGATGAATATGCAGACCTAGGTAGGGCCTTAAGCATGTGCATCATTGCAGCAGCCTCAAGGCATCAGAAAACCTGAATGTTCTGATTTAATGGCAGAGAAACACTTAGACAATATTAGTATTCATAGAGGAGATATTACGACATCATTTCTACGCATTCAATCACATGCTCAAGATTTGTTTTCTGTTTTATACCTTTCGGACAGGCAGTTTGGCTGTGGAACGTGTGGCTCAACAGTGCCATTTCTGCGCCTTGCCCGTTCGAGCCAGAAGCTTGTGCGGGGCCGTCATGCAGACTACGTCATGATGGCGGCCGGGGGGCTCTGATCCAAGGATTGTTTGTTAGAATCACTTCGAAATGATGAAGGATGTGCAATGATGATGCTGATGGTGACGCCGATGCCCCCTTATTGACGAGTGGTTAGGTATTGTGTCACTGGCCCCTGTGTAGTGTGTAGTGTGCAGTGTGCAGCGTGCAACTGTTGGGGGGGCAAAGAAGCCTACGGTGACCTGCCTGAGACCTCCCATATTCCAGGCTTTGTTGAGCTCTCCCACTGTTACCTAGGTGCAAGCTGCTGCCAGATTCCAGCCACGCACGACGACAGCACAGTGACGTGATAGATTTCCTTTTTGGTGGCTTGCTCCTCCATCCTAGCTGCCTTTTCCCACCTCCATCTCTCCCGAACTGCGATCTGTTTTCATTTCTCTTTCCATACACAATCTCGCCAACTTCATCCTGGTGATTCCTATCGTGATACCCTCGCCTTATCCTACTTACTCCTTTACCCAACGACAAGTTATTGTCTGTTGAGGCACGATAATTCAGGAAATTCATCTCAGATTTGCAGCATAAGCAGCAACGAAAATGAGATTTGTGAACGCTGTCTTGGCCGCCGTGGCCGTCAGCGGTGTCACCGCCAGCACATGGTTCCCCGGATCCAAGCCTGGTAAGCTTCTCCTCGCAAAACATCTTCAAATCGATTATCTAATGGCAAGCAGTCTACAACAAGTGGCATGAAACCGAGCTGGAACGCTGGCTCTCTGACCACGATGTCCCCTATCCCACACCCGCCGATCGCAAGGATCTTGAGTCTTTGATTGAGAAGAACTGGGAGAGCTATGTGGTATCTCCCTACAACAGCTGGGACACCAACCAGTTGAGTTCATACTTGCAGTCAAAGGGCAAGGAGGCCAAGAACGAAGCCGCCGCTTCCAAAGACAGCCTCTTGTCCCAGGTCAAGGCCAATTGGTACGAAACCGAGGGCAATGCTCATTCTGCCTGGCTCAACGTCAAGGACTGGATCCTTGACACATGGACTGAGAGCCAGTTGAAGGCATTTGCTGATAAGCACGGAATTCCTGGTATGTTGAGACCCGATGGTGCCCTGTTGCCCAGTCTTGACGTCTATTCAAAATCTAACTCTTGATGCAGCTCCTCAGCCCCGCCAACGTGATACTCTTCTTCAGAAGGCTCGTTCTAACTATGAGACTATTGCCAAGAAGGCTAACCAGGCCTCTTCCTACCCCGGTAACTGGCTCTACGAGACATGGTCAGAGTCTGATCTCAAGGAGTGGCTTGATACCCATGGATTCCCTGCTCCTCAGCCTATGACCCGTGACAAGCTTATCGCCTCCGTGCGACGCAACTCTCGTCTTGCCTACCTCAAGGCTCAGGACCAATCTGCTAGCGCTACAGCCAGTGCTCGGGGTGCTTATGCTACTTTGACTGACATGATCATTGATGCCTGGAGCGAATCCCAGCTCAAGGAATTCTGTGACAAGAATGGCATCGCTGTTCCTCAGGGCACCAAGTCCAACGAACTCCGCGCATTGGTTCGCAAGCACCGAGCTGATATTCTCGGCGACAACTTGTCTGGCAGTGCTGCATCCGCTTTCGGTGCTGCCACTTCCAACGCTCAGAACCAGTACGCCAAGGCCACTGATAGCGCTTCTTTGGCTGCCCGAGATGCTTTCAACCAAGCCGCAGGAACTTGGTCCGATAGCCGCCTCAAGTCCTACCTTGATGCCCGTGGTGTCCCTGTTCCCCAGGGCTCCAAGAAGAGTGAGCTTGAAGCTCTTGTTCGCAAGAACGCTCACGTTGCCGTGAACCTTGGAAACGCATGGACTTTTGATGATTTCAGCTACGAGAACCTCAAGAAGTACTTGCAGCGCAACGGAGATGCCGCTGCTAAGCAAGTTGCCGAGAAGAAGGATGCCACCCGGGATGAACTCTACGATGCTGCTCAATCTGCCTATTCTTCGGCCTCTTCCGCCGGCGGAGATACTTGGGCTTCTGCTACCAGCTATCTTACCTCTGCTACCAACTCCGCTAAGCAGTCTGCCTTCGATCAGTGGACCGAGACTGAGCTCAAGGCTTACCTTGATAGCTATGGTGTGCCAGTGCCTCAAGGCTCTAAGCTGGAGGATCTGAAGGCCGAGGCCCGAAAGCAAACCACTTACTTCAGATATGGCACAAGTTCCCCCTCCGGAACATTCTTCGCTAAGCTCGGAGAGACCGCTCGCGACACCTACAACTGGGTTGCCAGCCAGCTCCAGCTTGGTGGTCAGGCTGCAAAGGAGAAGGTTGCTGATGCCGAAGCCAATGCTCATGCCAAGTTCCGCGAGGAACTGTAAGGGTTTATTGAAGCTATGCATGTGAAGCCTGTGCTTTGAAGGCCAATTATCACATCCTTCAGAATTGGATGTGGCTGTGGCAGTTCTGCCTCATTGATGAAAAGGCGAGGAGATAAGAAGACGCAATTAAAGCCATCAGGAGCTCAGTCACAATTAGTGTGATAGTGTTGCTCGATCAGGTTGTTTGCTTGTAGCAATTGCTTATGTATTACGAAGCCTATTCTATTAATTACCTCAAATTTCTATTGATTGATGATAAAACTGTAAAGCGTGTCGATTTTGTTCTTGGTATTGAAATTGACGTGACATGTTTTCACCATCCTAATCTTGTCTACAGGCGTGGAGACATTGTTGTTGTGGTCTTGCAAACGCATAACTAGAGCAGAGAGACAAAATAGTGCCTGAACTAAGTTCTAATTTTTGTAATCAAACATGAAGAATAGACTGAAGCACTCATTATCATGCCCAGTGGCTTATGCTTGATGATTGTGACATGGAATATATTTTCATTATCCTAACGCCATCGCTGGGGAAAAGTCCATGGCGACCAAATTCAATTACCACCTCTAAACTAGATATCCATGCACCCAGCGTGGATTATGCCCAGAGCCTACATGTTCCGTCTGCACCAGCACTAAGGATCCATGGGTGCTTAGGGTGCCAATCCACATCCAAAACACCCAACTTGTTGATAACCTTGTGGCCTCTAAGCATCTTGACAGGTACAATAGTAGCGTTCTCCATGAGATCGCTGACAACCTTGCCGTGGAAGATTTGCAATGTTCCATCGTCGCTGGCGTCGGCGAAAAGGGGCAGGGTGCGGTGGTATTTGACGGCTCGAATGGCTTCAGGGTGGAATCGCATTGTCTTGTAAGGACGAGTAGACAGATCAAGATCGTGCCACAGAAGTCTTCGGTCATAAGATCCGACAATGAGATTGTCACCACCGGGGTGGACATCGAAGGAGGAGATCCATCGAGCACCGGGCTGGACAACCTTGACAAGTTCTGAACGTGGAAGATCGTAGCACCTAATCATGCGCTGTGTAGCAACAAATAATAGGGGTCTTGAGGGATGGAACTGAGCTGTCTGAGCAAGACCAGGGAGCTTTCGGAAAGGAGTCTGGCTCATGTGCTTGGAAAGTGTATGAATGGCGACTGAGCTTCGTTGTCCGGTTGGGGAGACTGTGCAAATGAACTCGCCGCGTCTGTGCCAGTTGATAACCTTGATGGCCGATCTGACAGTGGCCATGAGGAGTACACCAGCAGCCTCCAGCTTGGCTCCGGGCCGCGTCCATTTGGCCGCGGGCTCCTTCGTCACGCCGTTGGTGGCACTAGATTGTGCGCCGTTAGTTGCATAGCCGAAGCCAGCATCGAGAACTTCGCGGCTTGTCTTCTCCATCGCATCGCTCGCGACTGAAGGAATCATGAAGAAAAGATCTTCGCCAGCGGCAGCCGCCAAGATGAAGGTCTCTTTGTTAGGGCGCCATCGCACCATGTTGACAGGCTCTTCGCTGTGGATCTTTGCCATCCATTCTTGATGACCGTTAAGAGCCCAAACACGAACTGTACCATCATCACCGCCGGATGCCACGAATTCGCCATCAGGGCTGAACGATACTGAGCGCACCCGGCCATCGTGACCGCGGAAGATGGTCTGGTTTAGCGTGGGGAATGGCTTGAGATCTTCAGGTCGGGGAAGCTTGGGCAGAAGCGAGTTAGGGTCGATGTTGAGCCTGTTCTTCCTGATTCGAGGCGCCAGGTAAAGGTCCAAGCAACGATCAAAGCGCTCCTTGACGAATTCGCCATAGCCGGGAACTTTGCGCAATGAGTCAAACTTGGCAGGCAAGTACTCCTTTTCTCTCTCCTCGGGGTCTTGGTTGTTCCAAGCCTCTCTCTCTTCCTCAGTAGGCAAGTACTCAGGTGGGGGGTTGTAACTGAGATCGTATCCAGGAGGGGCGAGCTTGGGGGCTGGGATGTTCATCACATGAGGATCTTGAGGCTCCTCATTCGCCCACACATCATAGTAAGATTCCTCCTTCTCCTCTTCTTCTCGCTGACGCTCCTCCACGGGCTTGTAGGGCAGAATGCGGCCCTCCTTGATGGCTCGTACAAGCTTAGCAACTCGTTTCGCCTCATGCTTCGAGGGGACGAATCGCCGCTTGGGCTCGGGAGCAGCACTAAGAGGCATCTTCTCCTCAATGCTAGTAAAATATGGCACCATGTCCTGAATTTGTTAGCAACGGAGAGCAATTGGCAAAAGCAGGATATGAAACGTACGGGGTATGGGTCGTATCCTTCGTTAGGAACCTCGTTCATTTGTAGTCGTTTAAGAAGCTCGAGCTGATCTTGAGTCAGATCCAAAGGCTTTCCGGTCTCAGGATCTGTCAAGCCAGTCCAGCCCTTGGGGATCTCAATGCTGTCAAGGAGGGCGTCCAAAGCCTCTCCAGTGGCTGGGCGCATGATCTTTTTGCCATTGATATCGTATCCGATATGAGGGTAGGAGTCATAGAACGATAGAGGAATGTTTCCAATGGTGTTGACGGGTCCTTGAGCATCCGAGTCGTCACTATCGTAGACAGCATCGACTTCAGCGTACTCATACCGCTCCCCTCCATTGGCATCCTTGACAACGCGATAATTCGGTTGCGAGTCATCATCGTCGAGTGCAGGAGGTGCGCCGAAAGTGTCGTCCGCGTCGGAAGAGGCATCTTCGCTGTGCGCATCTTCGTCTTCGTCTTCGTCATCGTCCTCCTCGTCTGGATCTTGGTCGGAAAAGTCGCCATCTAATTCATCTTCGATGTCGCTGGCCTCGAAGTCAGATCCATCTTCGCTCTGGGAAAGGACGCCTTCTAGCTCGACGCCGGCAAGTTCGTCGTCGACAGGAGCGGGTTCTGAAAGAACCTTCCTTTTGCGGGAGGGCAATCCTGGTGCCATTGAAGCTTTTCGGGGCAAAAGTTCAGAATGAAATTTGCTTGAGGTGAGAGGACCAACTTGTTACCAGAAAGCCAAAGGATCTTTTTTTTTTTGCGCCCGATAAGATAAGACATCTGGAAGCTTTGCCAGTCTAGAGGTAGTTGACCTGCATGGAAGTGGGGAGGGGAGATAGTGGGGATACTTCGGAATCTACAGTTAATCCGTTGTTAGGTTTGGATCCTGAATATAGGGTAAGCCGGGTGTCCAGGAATCAGCAGCTATCATCGTATGCCCCCTATTTGACATTCTGTGAAGCTCTCTAGCCTCAGAATGTCATGTACTCATCTACTGAATGGCTTATGTCGAGACCGACATCGCTTATGGAAAATCAGTTGATTATTCTCGTTTGATGCGTTAAACTTTCAAATCTAAAAAGAGCTAGCGAGCAGCACGAACCAAAATCTGTAAGGAACCCGCTAACAGCGTCAAAAACACCAAGCTCTAGACCTTTACAACAAAGGAGAATTGATTGGGTTAATAAACCACCTCGCAGTTTTACCAACGTGACCTCCCTAATTCCACGGTAAATCCGTGGCCTTCTCTACTGCCACACTAACGTGAGCTTTGTCGCCAGGAAAACTTCTGACACATGGCCCCTTTTAGTGATAGAAACGTTGTGCTAAAACGAAAAAGAAGACCCCTAGGGCTCTAGACCACGTTTCCAAAAGAGACTATTGAAAGTCAGTTGCCATATTGAACCCGTCGGCTTGGCCTGATGCTGTACAGCCTTTGTTGATCCTTATGCACATGCTATTTCTCAATGCCCACTCTGGCACGAAAATCGCTTGGCAAATATAGAACGTTGACGCCGTGTACTCGGAAGAATGTTGCAATGATATATTGCCAAGTGGTTTTATTGCATGTTCATTATAAACAGTAATGTCTAAAAACAACACAGAAATTGTGAGTGTTTCCCCATGTGGAATCCGCATATCTTATAAACAGCCAACGATATTCTACATCTAAACGCCCAACATCTGCAACAAAAATATGTGCGGCTCCCAACTATGGCTTGCTACTTAATCATTCAGGGGCTTATGCCGGGTTGAAACAGAGCTCGAATGGCCGAAGGGGGGAAGACGTCTTTCAGAAAACGACATCCACATGCCTTTGCTCCGGAGGTTTCTGAGTCGCTAACCAGGCTTTGTTCCTCGAATTTAACGCTTTTGGTTCCAGGGCTTGAAGATTTCAGCTGAGAGTGCCACCTGGTATTCCTAGTTTGTATCTTGGCCGTCTCATGCCAAGGGATAGTCCTGGTTCTAGAAGCGAACCAAGCTGTTGGTTCCTGGAATGGCGTTCGTTGTTCAGCAAGCCACCACGCGGGCTTTTTCCTCAATTTTATAGTTCAGTCGGTATCATGGCTTTAGCTGAATGCAATTGGAAAATGCATTCAATGATATGGATTTACATCCATTGTGCCGAAAGGCGAGCCTTGAACATCTTGAACGTCCCTCAGGCTGTAAAAATTATATGAACCTACAGGTTTCCTGTATCAACTAGTCTTGAAAATTGTTTCCAATCCGTCCAGGGAGTAAGGATAAGTCCTCCTGAAAGACGAAAGGCGCGAGCAAGTTCTGACACGAGAACGCCAGTACCAGACACACTCTTTTAAGTCTATTCCCGTTACTCAAAATGGGTCCTCATTCTTTTGTTCTCCTTTTGACAACGCTGGCGTTGCTATTCACGTTCGTCGATGCCGTTGCACCCATTGTTGATGTCTCGTATAGCAAGTATAAAGGCAAAGACTTGGGGAACGGTGTTACCCAGTGGCTTGGTATGCGATATGCCGCGCCGCCTTTGGGTGAGCTTAGGTTCATGCCTCCTCAAGATCCTATCCGAAGTCGTCAGGCCAAGGATGCAAGTAGAGTGAGCCATATACATCAGGATTAATATCTACACCCAGTACTAACGAGTGCCATTAGTTCAGACTGAAGTGTATTGGATATGGCGCTGGTGTAGGATCAATTGACAAGACCCAGTCCGAGGATTGCCTCTTCATCAACGTCTTTGCACCTACAAATGCTGCCAGAATGGCCAGACTCCCTGTGTTTGTCTACATCCAGGGTGGTGGATTTACCTCCAACTCCAAGCCTGCGATTAATGGTACCAGGCTTATTCAGGCTTCTGGCTTGAACATGATTGTTGTGACACTCAACTACCGCGTGTCGATCTTTGGCTTCTTATCACATCTTGATATGGTTCAGCCAAACATTGGTCTTCTCGACCAGAGAAGAGCCCTTCAATGGGTGCAACAATACATCTCAAGATTCGGCGGCAACCCTAAGCAGGTCACACTTGGCGGTAACTCAGCAGGGGCTTCGAGCGTTGCCTTCCATATGGCAGCCTACGGAGGCAGAGACGACAACCTTTTTCACGCAGCTTCGGCCGAGTCCATCTCGTCTTCACCGATAGTCACATTGGAACAAGCAGCTTACCGGGCCAACAACACGATTGGCAGACTGAACTGCACCGACGTAGATGTCATGGCCTGCATGCGGAATAAGACAGCGTATGATATATCAGTCGCCAGCACCAATATTCCATACCCGGGAGTCGATAAAGCCCCCTTGAGTATGTGGGCGCCTGTTGTTGACGGAAACTTTGTGACGGACGGTCTCTGGAATTCTTTCAATCAGGGCAAGTTCGTCAAAGTGCCGTCTCTCATCGGAGCCACGACTAACGAGGGCGTTGGGTTCGTCTCGTCTGCCTCTGCCTCATCGCAGACAGCAGTTACCAACTTTTGGCAAGCTGAGTATCCTCAGTTGAACTTGACGTCTCACTTGGCCCGCGTCAGCGACTTGTATCCTTTCACGAGTGACACATGCTCAAGCTCAAGCCCGAGCGCTGGTTGCTTGAGAAAGCAGTTGAGCGACTCCTATGGAGACATGCGATTTCTCTGCCCAGGCACTTCTATCTCGGGTGCCATGTCTCTCTGGATGCCCGGCAAGACTTGGAACTACTGGTACAACGTCGAGGATCCTTTCGACATGGCTAGAGGCCAGGGTGTTCCGCATTGTGTCGAGATGCACGCATTATGGGGTCCTGGCCATGCGCCGGGCGCCCAATTGCCCTCGAGCTACTTGGACGGAGACATCAACGCAAATGTTACCACGGTTGTTCAAAGCTACTGGATTAGCTTCATCCGCGGCAAGGATCCCAATAAGTACCGAGGTGTGAATGCTACCACAGCGATATGGAGCCCATACTCTACCTCACAAAGACAACGGCTGGTGTTTGACACAGCGGGCGTCACAAGTGTCCAAAACATGACGCAGACTATGCAGGATAGATGTGACTACTTTGGATCTATCTCTGCTCTGGTTCAGCAGTAGTAACTGCCTTTTTACTATTGGTCTACTATGTTACTATCCTTTTTTACTATAAAAGTTTTGGAACGGGTATTATATTTGACTTTCTATGTAGAAGAAAAAGTACGTTCAAGCAAGATCATTTAATTCCTAATATGGTAGAATAGGCGTCCTAGTCTACTTGTAACTTGTATATAAATTACTCGATAGTGTTAGTTGCTTTAAGAAATCATTCCCTTAAGGGGTCTTGTTAATTAGATATTTGGTTATATTCCCTGAGCCCTGTTTCTTACTTCCTCGTGCTCCTCTGCTCCTGTTCTCTATTGCACTGACTTTCTGTTGCTTTCGCTGCTTATGTAGATCACGCGCCTCGCCTCTTGGGTCTTCTGTCGCTTTCCGCTTAATCGTGAAATCTTCTTTGATGTTCTTTGTTGCTTCTGAAGTCTTTGCCTTGTCGTTTTTCGTTTCGTCATCATGTGTCTTCTTTCCTTCATCCCACGCTCGCTCTGTTACATCTTCCTTCTCTTCACTTTTGATAGCAAAGAAGTTCTTGATATTCGATTTGTTCTCTTTACTGTCCAATGGAATAATGAATGTTGGAGAATTATTGCCAACTTTACCAACATCCTTAGAAACCGGATATACTTCCAGATCTGCGCCCCATGGCTTCAAGAGCGACTGCAGCTCATTCGACCACTGGTCTCGGCTTGGGTCAAGCCAGGTTGCCACGTCTGATGACCGAGGTTCGAGTATGACAGGCATACGATCGTGAAGGAATTTGAGCTGCGGATTCGAGCTTGTTGTGATAATTGTGTAGGAGTAGAGCTTTTCCTTTGTTCCTGTCATATGTGAGCTGCAGCCACGGAAGCTTGGGTCAGAGACTTGTTACCTTCATACTGCACACAATCCCAAAGACCGGCAAAGCACATCAGATGGCCATCCTTTCGTTTTACATAGTGTGGGAGCTTGTCTTTGCCGACTTTGAGCCATTCATAGAATCCCTGAGCGATAACGATACATCGTTTACGAGCTTTCATACTAGCCCACATGCCTCCAGGAGAGCCGAGTGAGTCATCTCGGCAATTGATGGTCTTGAGCATCGAACCAAAGTCTGGATTTCGCTTGGTCCAAGAGGGTATCAGACCCCATTTCATTGACTGAAGTTTGTACTCCGGATGGTCCTTTGGCTGCGCAGGTTTCATCATGTCGTCTGCCTGGTTGTCGCGATTCTCATTATTCTGTCCCGCACCTCGGTCTGAAGTATCGGCACGGTAAACGACACCATGGTAGCCAGGAGCAAAATTGTAGCTGTTTCGGGGAGCAGAATCCCCTGTATCTTCTGGCGCGTCGTCAACTTCCAAGCCATCATCTGCGAGCATCTGACGGATTTGGGAAGGCCGCTACACATCAAAATTAGCTGGCAACTCATATCAACAAGCATTGTGCAAACTCACCAGGGCTAACGCATATCTCCCACACATGTTCAATACTTTATCGCAATCGAGTTATGTTGTTTTTGTCTGATGTTTGAGGTAGCGTTCACGAGGAGGCAACAATGAGGCGTCACGTGAATGTATGACGGAATACCTAACAAACGGCTTCTGCTATAGTACAATGAGATGCATTCAACATACTACACGTGATCGAACATGTTCAAATAATGGTAGGGACAGTTCAAATGAAAAGCAAGCACTGGAAATTCTTATGGTATCGCTATGTTGTTATGAATCCGGCTCTCCACCTCCTTCTGGTCCCCCAAAGATACTCTTCATTGTCCAGGCTCAAGCCTTTCTGCGAGTCTTGCGTTTAAGTGCTGACTCTTCTGCCCAAGCATCCTCGAAAAGTGTTGGCTTTTGCTTGACATCGCCGTCCCGGATACCCAAACGGCGAACGACCTGGAATGCACCGGTACCAACCGACATTGTCTGGCCCATGATGATACACTCACTAACACCCTCAATCTGATCCGTCTTCATACCAGCTGCAGCTTCGAAGAGATGATCCGGGGTCTTTTCGAAGGAGGCTAGTTGCAGTACGCTATCGCGCATCTTGGACAATCCAAAACGGGTAATGCCCAGAACTTCACCCTTGTAGGTCATTACGTCAGCCAGCAATTGCATATGTCGCGGATCGATGCCCATGTCGCCCATCACTTCGCCAATTTCGTCGGCAATGGTCGTTCTGGCTGCTTCAATGCCCAATACATCTCGACACTCCATGACGTTGTTGGTGCGTGCTTTCGTACCAATAACACCCTCGGTCGTCATACATTCCCGGAGGCCGTAGCCTTCGACAAGGACCATATGTGTGCTTTGTTCTGATGTTTGGATAATCGCACGTGTAGCTTCGGAATAGCCAGATATGGGCACGTTAGGGAGTGTCCGACGAAGGAAGTTCGCCCTCAGCAACATGTCCCCAGTGTCGGCGGCAGCAGCTTTGCTTCGTGCAGTTGTCCTCTTCACTGCTGGATCGCTAACATCGCGCACTCGAACAATAATCCGCTCTCCATCAATTGACAGATCATCCCTCTGCACCTTGAGCTTGCGCTGCTTGCAGATAGCCTCAGCAATATCGTATGGGCCAATGCCCAAATGCATATCTGAAAGGGCGGTGGAATCGATTTGTAGGACAACGTTGCCTTCGGTCGTGCGCCATTCGTCTTCAACAAATCGCAGAACATCCGAGATGTATGTCTTTTCAATGCGCCCCTTCACAACCCGCGCGGCTTCAATCTGCTCGTTGTTCTCTAGAGGACACGTAATGACGGGGGTACTGATAGCCTTCGATGCGTTGATGATTTCCTTGATTCGGGGGACACCCTGAGTGATACTCATGCCGGCCACACCAGCAAAATGGAAAGTCTTCAAGGTCATCTGTGTACCTGGTTCACCAATTGAGTGAGCTCCGACAGCTCCAACAGCGTGTCCAGGCTCAACGTGTGCCTTCTTGTACTTCTCTAGACACATTTTGATAAAAAGGCGAAGTGTCGATAATGCGACCTTGGCAGTCCGATCGGCGTGATCTCGAGCGGTTGACTTAACCGCAGCATCGCCATTGAAGCCAGCAAGCTTTCTGACCGTCTCCAATTTTGACGCTAGTCCTTCAACGTGTCGTTCAATGGCTTTCAGGAACCCTCGTGCTCCTTCGTGCTCGTCAATGCCGTAATCGGTGGTATCCGTATAGTCCAGGATCTCGTTATGCAGCAGTCCACGCCTGACATAACGTCGTCGTTCGGTTTCCAACACAGAGTCACAGAAAGCTCTGATCTCCTCTGGTGACATAGAAGACTCGCTGTTGTCCAGAGTCAAACTTTCCGCATGAGTCCAAGTTCGCTGGAAATGAACAGGCTCCGCTGAGCCTTCCATATCCACAGGATCAAGCTTATCAGCACCAAACTGGAATTGGACGATACCACCTCCGGATGTCCGGACAGTATCGTCGTATTGTGTAGACAGATCTTCAAGCGATTTCATCAGTCGCCGAGACATGTAACCAGTCTCAGCAGTCTTGACAGCTGTATCGACCAGACCTTCACGACCCGACATGGCGTGGAAGATGAACTCGGTAGGGAATAAGCCAGTGTAGAAACTGTTCTTGACGAAACCCTTTGAGGGTGGTTGACGAGCATTCTTATGGAAATGAGGAAGTGTTCGGTCCTGGAACCCGTCTGCAACACGCGAACCACCAATAATTTGCTGACCAACAAGGGCAACCATCTGTGCCACGTTGATGTCTGATCCTTTCGAACCAGACTTGGCCATGATGAGGGGGGAGTTGTTGCGACTGAGGGTGTCGACGCAATAAGATCCTGCCTGCTGTCGGACCTTGCTCAGAATACCAGACATGGAGTTTTCCAAGGTCTGTTCCTGGTTACAGCCAGCAGCTTTCTCCAGTTTTCCAGCCTTGAATGTTTCAATCAAGTCGTCACACTGCTTGTAGGCGACGGCAACAAGTTTCTCCTTTTCTCGGTTTAGTGATTCCGTAGGGAAAACATCTCCAACGCCGATTGAGAATCCTCGATTTGTCAGTTGCCGTGCGCAGAGTTTAGCCAATCTGTTCATGGCAATAACAGCCTCGTCTGGTCCGAAATCACGAAGAATTACATAAAAGATCGAGTCTTTCTTGCCTGTTCCAACGGTAGACTTGTCCATACGGCCACACATGACTTCTGAATTGCGCACAACGAGCCAGCCATCGTTGGGGTCCATATCAGGGCACTGGCCAGGTCGGGCTTTGTAGGCTCTGCACTTGGCGTCAAGATTGACCTTGACGGGTGAGTCCTTATTGGGCCGCATAAGCATGTTGAATATCTGCTTGCCAGTCCAAAGAGATTGAGGTGCGATGATAGCTGGAGGTGGCAAGTCCAAGTGCGTCTTTCCGTCCATCATGTGCATGCACATATAAGTAAACGTCTTTCGGTCGAAAAAGCGGTCTTTGCTGCTCAGCAAGAAAGCCGCCGTGATGAAATCTTGCGTGGCAGCAATGACAGGTTCTCCATTCTTGGGTGTTGCCAGGTTGTGCTTGATGCCCATTAAGTTAATAGCCTCCGCGCGAGCCTCTTCCGTCTGTGGTACGTGAAGATTCATTTCGTCTCCATCAAAATCGGCGTTGTATGGTCCACAAACACATTCGTTTAGCCTGAAAGTTCTCCATGGTCGAACTTTAGCAAGATGGCTCATGATACTAAGTTTGTGCAGAGACGGCTGACGATTGAATAGGACGACATCGTTATCCTCGAGGTGACGCTCAACGATATCTCCGAACTTAAGGTCTCGAGCTATGTACTCCCTGTTACCAAATTTTAGAGACTGGAGATAGCCGCCTTCGTCCGATTTGATGACACGCTGAGCTCCAGGCCAGATGTCTGGTCCGTTCTTAACACACTGACGCAGCTTCTCGAGGTTATGTCGCTGTACTCTTTCAGGATAGGTCAAATTCTTCGCAACCAGCTCTGGCACAGCAACTTGGTCAATGCCAAGGTTAGGATCTGGAGAAATGACTGTTCTTCCTGAAAAGTCGACACGTTTTCCGGAAAGGTTACCACGGAAGCGACCTTGTTTGCCTTTCAGACGCTGGCAGAAGCCTCTCGTAGCTTTGCCAAACCCGGGCTGCTGGAGACCAGGGACGTCGCTGTTGACGTACATGGCAATCTGAGTCTGCAAGTATTCCCACTGCTCCATGATGGTCTGGACTGGGGAGCCCTTCTGTAAAGCAGACCGGATCATGCCACTGACCCAGACAATGTCGGCCAGCTTGGTAGTGATGTCGTCTTCATTGCTAGCGTTATCCTGGGCGACAGAGGGTCTGATGCAGACCGGTGGGGCTGGCAGGAATTGCCAGATGAACATCTCTGGTCGTCCTTCGGCGGGATCGAGGCCGAGCAATTCGCAATCTGTAGGACTAATCATTTTGAAGAGGTTGAGGACTCGGAGTGGATTCAAATCCTCCATGGCCTTCCGAAGATGCTTCTCAAGCTCCGGGTTCTCGCGCCTCGCTTCATTGAAGGAGTTGTCGAACTTTATCTTGCTCTCCGGTGGTACCTTTTTCACAGAGGTTGACTTGTTATATGCTACAAACTTGTCGTGAGCAAGCTTGAGAACACCTATCTTTCTGATTTGACCGTTAAGGGAGCCGCAATAAGGGCATGTTTTGATTTTCCGGCATTGTTCGTTAATCTTTTTGCATATTTGAGTTCGCCGTAGGTTATCCAAGAATGGTCGTCTTAGTTCCTTAAGGAACTGTTGTCGTTCAGGCTCTTCAAGCAAAACCCGACTGCAGTCCTAGATCAATGTTAGAACTGGCATGAGCTCTTTTTTTTTTTGCAGTATTATGAATTTACCTTGCAGATTTCTTGTAAAATGGACATGATGAAACGGAGGTAACCGACGTGGAAAGCTGGCAAGGGCAGGCGAACATGGCCAAAATGACCATTGCAATCCTTAAGTGATTCCTGACAAGTCGAACATCGTCCCTGCTTACTTGAGGTTCCCTAAAAACACGATTAGCCTTCCGTTGAAGTAGTTCCAGAGCCAAGGGCACCACTTACCAATCGAGAGTCCAGCGGGCCGTGGCGATATGGAGCGCGGTTGTTTTCGATATCGTAGAGCAAACGGTCGGAAACCTCAAGAACGGCTTGATTGGCGATATCCTGGTTGGATCTGAGAAGGAGGTGAAAGTTAGCGACGAGACGCGAAACGGCCTGTTGGCGGTGTTGATGCGCGGAGCGAGGCTTACTGAATACCAAATTTGATACCCTTGAACCGCTTTGGCAGCTTGTCGACGAGCTGCTGCTTGACAGGGCTATCTACAGACGTAACGACCGTCATGTTTGTATAAGAGAGATTGTAAAATCGATTATCGTGAGAGCAAGGATTGTTTCGTTATGGGAAGACTGCCAGCTCGGGCGACAGTGTTGGTATGACGAGGATGTCGAACGAAGGATAGCGGGCAGGGCGCTCGGTACGTGAGAACCGTGGAGGTTTTGATCACAACAAGCTTGAAGTCGAGTCTGCTTGTAATGTTGGGTATTTGCATGCGACTTCCATGACCAGAGGTTTATTAATATCGTAGCGCCAAAATAAAAAGGCGAAAGTCGAAGTCAAAAGCCGAGAAGCAAAAGGCGTGGGTTCGGTCGCAAAATTTCCATCGCAAACGAAGAGGGACCCAGGCGCTCTTAGTCTTAGTCTGTCGTGCCCCACCACGCTGCCGACACGCGGGGTGCCAACTGAACTTATCTGGATGAATCACTCGGTAAGAGGCCTTAGGCACGTAAACAGAGGTCAGCGTCAAGTTTAAGCGCAGAATTGAGCAATTGTTTAATAGACAAGCTCGGCCTAATTCTAGACGGAATAGAGTATAATCGTTTTAGATATGTTGAAAGAGGACGGTTCTGAAACTAAGGACTTACAGATCTGCGGACTCACTTTAGTTAGCTGTGATATAGCTATAGCTTTGACGAGTTTAATGCTGATAAATCTACAAAAATACTTATCTTCCTTCTCAACCCCTTTTAATTGAGGACTAGATACCATCGAGAAACCTTACTCACTCTGATCTCGTGGAAACAAGTCCGTTGGTAATCACTTAAACATAATCTAGTCTAATAGATTCATACCCATACCCCAGGCGACTCTTATATGATGAGTGTTTGCAGCTCCCCAAAGTCTACTTAACATTACCTCTCTAACTCAATTCCTTCTCTCATCAATCCCAACTGAATCCTTTCTGCCTGATTTATTAGACAGCAGCTGTGAAAGAACAAAATGGTTCACGTCTTCATCTGCCCAGTATGCCATATGAGATGCAATCGTATTCATGGGGTTGAAGTCCAGAACACTCCTGAGATCTTTGTCAGTAAACTCTTGCTTTGTCGATTAGGATATGACTTACTCTTGGATGCTATAGTCGACTCTGCCGTTACGGTTGAGCGCTCGAACTTTGGCTTCTTCCCTGCGCATCTTGCGCGCCTTCTTGTCCTCCTCCGCGGTTGTCGTCATTACCTCCTCATCCTTGGTCGATTGGACACAGCTTTTCTGAAAATTGGAATACAAAGTCTCAATCTCTTCGTCGATCAGTGTTGGGTTATGATCACTCTCACCCGCACCAAGCCCGATATGTCCAGTTGTAGAGTCTGCGAGCTTTTTCATGCGTGCATCTGTAGCTTCTCGTTTCTCAGCAGCGCTAATTTCAGCCTGGCTCTTCGCCGTCTTGTCGCCTGTTGTTTCCGAGCCAGTGACTCCCACCTGAGCTGCGTTGGCGGTGAGTCGTGCCACCTCTTCGTTGCTCAACCCCAGAGAGCGGTTGAGTATGTTGCTGGCAATACCAGCACTCAAACTAGACCACAATCCACTAACGCTTTGCCCAACCTTGGCTCCAATCCCCGTTAGTCCTTGGGGAGCAACATTGCCAAATATTCCCCTCTTTGTGTATGGCAGTAGTTGAGGCTTGAGGGCCGACATGGATGGCGAAATCAATGGCTCCAGGCGGTAGCTGATTGGGTCTGATGGGTGGAATATGTTAAAAAGCTGCTGAACCTTTGGCGATGCGATAGATGGTGGAAGACCAGTGACCGACGAGACCTCTACTGATGAGGCAAGCGGAGCTGTTCCTATATCCTCCTGCATACCCGTCCCTTGAACATTGTCCAAGCTTCCTGCTGGAGTGTGGTGTCTGGCCGCTATCGTTCTACAAGCATGTTAGCATCAAGGGAGTTTTTGCCTGTATTAAATCAGACTTACTGCCCCTTAAGCATCTGAAAGAGGCCAATTGGAGAACCTAGGCAGAAAAAGTCGTCTACCTTAAAGTCCAGTTTAAGTTCCGGGTCCTTTGTCGGTGTTTCAGGGATCTGTTGAGTTGGCCATAACCGGAGACCTGCCTTTTGCTGTGTAGGCAAATCTCGTTTCTGCTGGCAAAGCAAGTCAAAAAGAATAGCAGAGCCTAACGAGTGTCCCATAAGGTGTACTTTCCCTTTGAACTCTGGGTTTCGTTCCTTGAACAATTTGAAGATTCGATTACACTCATTTAGCACAATTCTCGAAATCTGTGCCTTGTATGAACTTTGATAGAGGAGGACATCCAAAGCAAGATCTGAGATTAGAGAACGGGCAAAAGCCACGCCCTCAATAGTGATGTCGTCCAAAGAGGGATCTGTTGATTAGTATAAGTCAGCGATGACCCGACTTCTGAGAATCCATACTGCCTACAATCGTCCTCATCGCCATCGAGGTCCCCTAGGTCGCGTTCGCCTTTCTTCTCAAGCTTTTTAGGGAAGTCTAGCAGATGCCTCCAGCAAACTGGAAGCACCTGAACCCGGCAATTGCCTGGTCCTGCTCCAAGTTCAGAGTTCAATGCTTTCAAGTCGGCTGAGTTGGCATAAACAGACTTGGTCGTCTTGCGGAGAACATTGACATCGTGAACGAAATTGACACTCTCCATTCTAGTGACGGTTAGTAAGTGAAAGTGTCAAAAGAGTGTATGCCGGGCTATACCGTAGACTGAGGAGTTGGCCTATCCCATGAGTGACAAGCACTAAATGCTCTATTTCGCGGCCTTGGGTTTCGCCTGCTAGTGCATTATAGTCATCCTTTATCTCTTGTTCTTCGCGCCGGCGTATTTCCTCTTCCTTCTCGGCCTGGGTCTTTGCTTCGCCCTCAAGTAGAGATGATAACTGTCGTTGGAGGGTTGATTGCCGGGGGTCCCTCACTACATCCTTGCCTTCTCCGTCTTGAACGGGCTCTTCACATGAAGCACGAGTTGAGGGTGGCGCCGATCTTCGCTTGAGCATTTTCTGTTGTTTTTCATCCAGCGACAGAGCTTGCTCATCAATGCTAGACCGGCTCTCGTCGCCCTTTTCCTTTACGGACTCTTTTTCCTTGTTCTTGCTAGGCTCTGAGAAACCGCGAACCAATTTGAGTCCACTCATGTAACTTCCGCCAGCAAACCTTTGATACATAGATGAAGTCACCCATGAAAGCATGCCATCCGTGTTCAAGTAAGCGGTATTGGCGTCATGGTAAGTGGCCATGCTGTTCATGTGAGTTCCAAACAGTCGGCACGATTGAGGCTGAGGCTGACCGCGAGAGGGCGCTTCTGTGGCAGGAGTATGAGTCACTTCCGATTGGGCCGTATGCTCCGCGGGCCCCTTGGATGTTGAACGTAAACTCTCCTGCGATGCTTTTGGCGTCAGGGTCCTCCTAGTCCCTGATGGGCTACGATCCCGTGCTGCAAAACGTTTTAGCCATGATCGAAGCAGAATTATACAAGAGTTTGATTTGGCTTACTCGGATACAGCCATGGTTTGACCTTAAGATAGCCCTAAACAAGCAATCAGGTCAGACACAAGGATTTACCATCGTTTGCATATACGTACCTCTTCCAGTTGAGCAGCTAGATTTTCCTCGCAAGGACGTAGATTAGAGCCTTCTTGATAGAACCATGTTCCTCGTCGAACTACCTTTCATCAGCAACAGAAAAAGCATTCGTTGCACCACTACATACCATCATAGACTGGACCAAGCCAATATACAGGTGCCAACTCTCGGGCTTCAATGTCAACATCGAATAAAAAGTCCTCGTTTACAGGGACACGAATCCCACCTGACTCTGGTTCTGAGAGTCCAGCTGCCTGATCCGAGGTGTCACTTCCTGAGGTCGCTTCTGATGCGTCTGCTTTGCGCTTTCTCGAGGCTGGGCGTAGTCTCCCTGGCGCCTGGATGCTATCCGATTCCTCAAGGAGTTTCTGATACTCAGATTCCAGGGCCTTGGAATCTGCGGTGGAGAAGGCATTATACTTCTTCGGCTGGACCAACACCTTCTCAGCTGGCGCTGAACGATTCAGCCGAGGCTTCCGCTTGGGAACATCTACGGCGTGAAACCATAGAACCTTTAGAGGGGGGCATCCTGCAGGGTATGTCCGGAGGCTTTGGCCGTATAAATGAGTTCTACTGTGGTCGTCAGGGTTCGCAGGATTTGCGGTTGAATCGCCATCCTCTTCTGGTTTGAGCTTCTGAACAGGGGTCGTGCTACGGCTGGCAGCCCAAGGATTGATAGAATCGACTGCAGAGCTCAAATAAGACTTCTCAGCCTTCTTTTCGGCTGCCCCTGGAGCCATAGTAAAGCGAAACGGCCGTGACCATGTGCTCTGGTTTATTCTGCCAGAGAGCAATAGTTGAGTTCTTCCTAAAATGGAAGAGCAGGCGGGTTTGCGTGTTTTGAGGCGTAATAAAGCCAGGGTGACGCAAGGCTCACCGACGATGAGAGGGCTGATGTTTCTAGGTCCTGCGTTACGTGGGTAGATAGATCCCTACCTACCTTAGTAGGTAGGTAGACAGTTTAAGCGGGGTTACCAAGGATAGGTAGGTTAAGGAATCTTGTTATTGGCACGTTGGGAATAGGAACAAGATCAGCCGCAAGGAAATCTGACAGGTAGGTAAATAGTAATAGTGTAGTGGCCAGGTAGCTATGTTGCGCATTTCATATGAAAGCTCATATGACGTTGCAAAGCTGCAATGAAATCTGCGCTAATGCAGGCTGCCTACTACTAAGGTATCTTAGGTGCCTACATACTGGACATCTACGGATGGGCACTTTACGACATAGGTACCCCTTTGGACACTCTAATGGTAACCGAGAATATCTTTGTATTGTCATCTATATCACTAGCCCCAATAAGGAGCAAATCACCATGTTTCTCGTCTTTTACAATAAGTTTCACCTTAGCCTGTGTTAGTAACGGCCCTGTGCCTCTCCTACCATGTGCACAATAGAGCCAAAGCCATTCACGACAACAACTTAGATTCTCTCGGGGACAACTGAATGGTAAGGGATAAATCATCCATACTTCCCAGCCAAGGTATGCGATGTTACTGAATTCCTCTTATACTTTTTTCGTCTGCACCTACATTACCAAGCCAAGCCATCTAACGCTTTCGCCTCCTTCAAATTTGGTAACCCATAATGTCTTTATTTGGCCTTATAGAGATAGAAGACCTGTCTCAAGTATCGATCCCCACTGACCCTGCTGCTGTTGTGCCAAGTCCGCGGCTGTCCTGCCCTGGCTGTCTCGCAATCCACGAATGTCCTTCTCGCTGTTCACTGATAAACGGCCAACACCTACAGCTTCAGCGACTGAGCGAGCATGATCCGGGAACGAAGAACTAGGGATAGTAGAGCACAACCAAAGCAAAAGCCAGAGCGATTCCTCTTGGGCGTTCTCGACTGCAAGATGCAGACCACTCTTCATGTCTCCAAGAGGATCCTGATATGTCACGAGTGATGCCATGTCACCAACCTCGTCGCCAGCATCACGTAGTAGTTCCACGATTCCACCAACATCACCTTCTGCACACATAACATGCAGCGCACGAGCCGGGCGTGCCTCGGGGTAACTCTCGAGATATGCCTCCTCTGTGATGGATGGTAGAATGTCCAGTCTCTCTTGGACACCTCCCTCGTTTGTATATTTTGTGAATATACTAGTGCCAGGGGGTGCAGAGAAGAACGGGTTGGTCACTGAAGGTCCTTCACCGTTGACAGGAAGATAAGTGCTACATCTGGGGCACTTGAGAGAGAGAGCTATGTCAGAAGACTGGTCCAACAAGCATTGCCTAGCGCATTTTAGTCAATACTCAAAACTTATAATTTGCAGCAAGGTAAGGAAGAAGAAGAACTTACCAATGGAAATGACAGCCGCAGGGTAGTTCGAGATCATCAGGAACTGATGAATCCGAGGCAGTGCTGGGGCCTGCGCCGCTGGACATTCCAGGCTCATCATCCACGTCCTCTTCAGGGTGCAGAGACAGCACCAATGGCTCCTCGCAAGCTTTGCAAAGAGACATATTGATCGAATAGGATTCTAAAAATGCTTCCGTCTGTAGGATTTTGTAATTCGGTATAACTTAATGAATAATTTAGGTTTGCGGATAATGGGGTTTAATGTACATTTTTCTTTTTCGGTCTCCACCAGCAGAATATTCCCAGGCGAAAAGAAGCCACCACTAAGTACGGAGTACGGCTGACGGACGACGGATACGTAGGGGCCTGACGCAACTTAGCGGGGCTTTGTTGGCAAGCTCATCTGGCGGGTAATCAAATCGCAGCCAGATTGGTTGCTAATTGAAACAAAGAGTTGGAGTTTCAACTTCAAATTTAACGTTAGGTATTTGTTTATGGCCTCGGCCTGTCCTGTCCTGTCAGTCGGTACTTGATCGGGCGTCAATCTGGCCCAGCATGTTTTGTTTGGTCTTGGTTTCATGATGATATGTAGCCCAGTGACAATTGTGGTTGCCTATTGTCTTGAAGGCTTTACCTGCGATGGAGGAATAAACTTGAATAAAGCGAAACGCAGCGCTGCACTGCCTGACTGCCATGTCAAACGAGGCTCATTACATCACCGCTTTCGCATCTCTTGACAGGGGAGCTCCCCGCAGTGACGTGGCAAGGAAGTACTGTAGTACACGTGCGTAGGTATAGCACTAGGACCTGGCGTTGCGGTAAAGATACTTGAGTGTTTGCCTAAAGATACTTGATATACTGCATTACTCAAGTACTTAATTTGGAACCGCTACTACCAAGGACCTCCCCCACTCTATCCCGCCTGAAGAAGGTCGGTCCCTCCCCTTTCAGGTGCCCAATTCTCGCATCATCTTCTACAACTCATACCAGAGACCGGTAGACAACCTCTGCTCGACGGATTCTTTTGTCGCCTTGACTAGGTAATTCGTGTTGCCTAAGGAGCGCGACACCTCAGCCATTCTCAGTGTTCTACAGCTATCCTACTTAGACGCTCTTCGCTGGGAACCCCTCCTTCCCCCGCCATGAACGTCTTAAAACTCCAGAGGTCGGTCGTTCCGGATCTCGCGGATTGCCTCGCCAGACTGACCGTGCCGTGATAGGAAGTTTCCTCAGTTCCAACAGAACGAAATCTTTACCTTGTCCGATGCCTTCCAACGACTTGATGTTGACGACAAAGGATACCTCGACGAAGCTACCGCTATCAAAGCCACGCAGCAGAGCGAGAACCAGCCCTACGATGTCGTGCGCCAAGCGCTAAAGGAAGTCGAGCTCGACTCATCGCGACGTGTCGAGCTTGAGGATTACGTTAGCGTATGTTCCAATGCCTCGAACCGACCCTCAATCAAACACGGTACTGACTCTCTCATCGCCAGCTCGTTGCTAAGCTCCGTGACTCCTCACCCGCTCAGAAGCGCATGTCTACGGGACCGGCTCCTTCTGGAAGTGGTGGTGTCGTCGCGCAGCGCACTGGAGGCCATTCTTCCAAGGGTAGCGTGAGCGGCAAGATTCAGGTCCAGGGCTCAAACGCCAACATTACTCACACTATCAACGAGGATGAACGCACTGAGTTCACCCGCCACATCAATGCCGTACTGGCTGGTGATGCCGATATCGATAGCCGTCTTCCTTTTCCCACCGACACTTTCGAAATGTTCGACGAGTGTAAGGATGGTTTGGTCCTTGCCAAGCTCATCAACGACAGCGTCCCTGACACAATCGATGAGCGTGTACTCAACATACCTGGCAGGAAGATCAAGAAACTCAATGCTTTCCACATGAGCGAGAATAACAACATTGTTATTGAATCGGCCAAGGGCATAGGTTGTTCCGTTGTTAACATTGGTGCTGGAGATATCATTGAGGTCAGGGAACATCTGATCTTAGGTCTAATCTGGCAGGTTATTCGACGAGGACTGTTGGGCAAGATTGATATTAAGCTCCATCCCGAGTTGTATAGACTGCTTGATGAGGACGAGACTCTTGAACAGTTCCTTCGTCTGCCTCCTGAGCAGATCCTCATTCGATGGTTCAACTATCATTTGAAAGCTGCTAACTGGTCTCGCACGTAAGTTGATCTCCATCGTACTTACCGTCTTGCAGTGGGTCTGATTACTTGTAGTGTCAACAACTTTTCCTCTGATGTTAAGGATGGTGAAAACTATGCAGTTCTGCTTGCGCAAATTGGTCCCGACTACGGTGTCACCCGTGCACCTCTGCAGCAACAAGACCTCCATGACCGAGCCGAAGCAGTTCTGCAAGAAGCTGACAAACTCGGCTGCCGAAAGTTCTTGACCCCGAAGTCACTTGTTGCCGGAAACCCCAAGCTTAACCTGGCTTTTGTAGCCAATCTCTTCAACAACCACCCGGCCCTTGATCCCATCACTGAAGAGGAGAAGCTTGAAGTCGAAGACTTTGATGCGGAGGGAGAGCGCGAGGCCCGAGTCTTCACATTGTGGCTCAACAGCTTGGATGTGCAGCCCGCGGTTGTCTCGTTCTTTGATGATCTTCGAGACGGCAGTGTTCTCCTTCAAGCTTACGAGAAGGTCATCCCTAATTCTGTGAACCTTCGTCATGTCAACAAGCGACCAGCTCATGGTGGAGAGATTTCCAGGTTCAAGGCCGTCGAAAATACCAACTATGCGATCGAGCTAGGAAAGCAGAATGGCTTTTCGCTAGTAGGAATCCAGGGCGCCGACATCACTGACGGACAAAGGACTTTGACGCTTGGTCTTGTGTGGCAGCTTATGCGTAAGGATATCACTGTTACTCTCTCATCGCTGGCCAAGAAGCTGGGCAAGAGGGAGATCACCGACTCTGAAATGGTGCGATGGGCGAATGATATGTCTCAGAAGGGTGGCAGGAACTCTGCCATTCGCTCTTTCAAGGATCCTTCAATTGGTTCCGGTATCTTCCTCCTGGATGTTCTAAACGGAATGAAGAGCAGCTATGTTGATTACGACCTCGTGACATCTGGTCAAACTGACGATGATGCATACTTGAACGCCAAGTTGAGCATTAGTATCGCTCGAAAGCTTGGAGCAACCATTTGGCTGGTCCCCGAGGATATCTGCCAAGTCCGCAGCCGCCTCATCACCACATTCATTGGTAAGTATTTCCAACTTCAGACCTTACTGTACAGTATGCTAATGTGCCGATAGGTTCTCTTATGGCAACTCACGAGAGAATGTAAATATAGTTCAGAACTTGTGTTTGGCAACGGCGCGTGTTGGGAGTGATGCCATTCATAGGCAGGAGCTCGATACAGTTATAAAAGCTTTATTCCATTGTTTCGGATTTGCTAACTCAGGACAACTTCTTTGCCATGACTACCTTTCGTCTCTAGCATACCCGTGATATATGATAAACTTTCCACCCTATACCATAACAATGTGCGAAGTATTATGGATAATTGAATAGCGGTTCTCAAGTAGAAAGAACGCACATTTTACATACTCCTGTCCCAAAACGATAGCCTAGTAGTGTTGTTGACCTGATAAAATCAGAGGATCAAGTACAAGCTGCATAACAAACTTGGGCCGGTAAAAATTCCAAGCCAAAAGATCAGGTTCCCCAATGTTTTACGTCCTCGTAGCCACTTGGTACGGCTCAGCCTGACCAGCTGCAGAGCGAAGCGTTAGTAATCAAGTCATGAGCCGTTCCGTAGTAAGACTTACTGGCAGTTGGCACATTTGGAGGACAAGAAGATAGCCTCTCAACTTCTTGAACAAACACCACATGACCAACTCGTGAGCACATGCTGACAAGAAGAACGTGATAAGGGTTGCAGTGTGTTTGTTGACCTTCAAGGACGAGATAGAGCTGTGGTAGACGTGTCGGAGAAGGAAGACGTGGACTGGACGATTCCAGTCACGGGCAAACTGGTCCCACGAGACTAGATAGCAGATTTTTATCAGTCTATAGTGATTTCGGGTTATATATTGTATTGCTTACCGCTATTCCACCATGCGTCATAAAAGTTTCGATCAGCAAAGCATGTCAACTCAGCCAGGATATTCAAAATAGTCTCCCATATGAGATACCAGACCAGCTGTCTACATTAGCATCATTTTTTGGCAATGATTGGATTGTCGATTCATACCAAGTATTCCATCATGAAAGGGAATATAAGATCAAGAAGAAGTCCTGGAAACTCCTGAAATCTTCCGGACAGTGGCACACCGTTCTCTTTCATCTCCACTGTTTTCATAACAACAGGGTCTGCAAATCTGTCAGTCGTGAGGATACGGTCATAGGGTAAAGCGACGCACATATAGAGTACTGTGAGACTTGCACCATGACGAACAAGATGCCGACCATCGCTACAACCTTCTCCCATACGTATGGCCAGTGAATAGAATCGGATCTTGGGTATTCTATTTCGTAAACAAGAGTTGGTAAAGGTATCCATTTGTAATGCTCAATGAAAGACAGATTGTTTGGGTATGCTCTATCCATGGTGAGAGCGGTCCCTTTTAGCTCGTCTGTCATGGCATCCACCTCCCAGTTCATGATGCGCTGGAAGAGAGCAATTTGCTCATCGTCCAAAGGAACATGAGAGGCAATGGCTTGTGAAATCTTTTCAACATTTGTCTGTTCCTGGTCGGGCTGAGCTGAGATAGACTTGCGACGTTCCTCAGCAGAGGGGGTAGCACTAAGGTGCTGCGTCGATATGGTCGCTGCAGGGGACTCGGTTTGCGAAGGAGTCGTGGCTGGGTCAACCTTGTCTAGTTGCTTGAGCTTCTTCATTATGGTAGCGCGCTGCTTATAAATTGAAGACAGGTGACCGTTGTAGAAGGCATAAGAATGTTGTTTCATCAGCATGACTAGACCATGGAGGACGAAAAACACAGTATGAGTCCATGGCCAGTCACGCCAAAGCGTCAGGCCAATAACGCCCGCGATGAATGCAGTTTGCCATATCTGAATGAGTTTCCTCAGTACAATTTACGGTCAAGAACGGGGTTTTGCTGCTTACGTTCTGGACGATCCAACCAGTTCTATCCCAATTCAGATAGTTTGCAGATACAAGCCGTTGAATCAACCAAGTCATAGCTGTGCAAGCACACATAATGCCATCAGAGAGCAGAAGAAATATTACTTCAGTATGGTTAGTATCATGAGATCGTTGTGATCTTTGCAAAATAGGACTGTTACATACCATCCCGATGAAACATAGTTTTCATGATGTCGCTACTTCCAAGAGGATTTCCGTAAACTTGCCAGTTCTGTACAGATATCTTTATGACGAAAAGAGTAACAGCTAGCCAGAATAGTGTATAGAAGCCGTGGAATGGACTGTTTGATGCAGATGGATTATGGCGGTCGAAGGCTGAGACTTGGCTGGTGAAGACAAGGTCTGCGAATTTGCGCCGTCGAGGCTTCGGACTGGTAGATTCCTGTGACCATTGCGAGCTGCTCTTTAGTAGTTGCTGCAGGCTGTTGTCTTCATCTGAGACGAGATAAATGCCTGAGTCACGACGGCCATGGCGTGAATTTGTTTGGTTGGTGAATTTATCAAAATCTGCACTTGATAAGAGCAGCGCTTCTGCTCGTGAGTGGCCTCGACGGGCGTAACGATTACGGACAGCAGAAGGTTCTGTCAAGGTTGGTCGGACGTTCTCTTCATAGTCTTCTTCGCTTGGAGTTTCAGAGCCGAGACTTGCACTGGGCCCATCGATTGTCATGCCGGCAGCCCGTAGGGCGTCGCCGAGTGACCTGGGCCGTGACCGTTGGGATTCCGGGACGGGGTGTCCGGTATTTGGGTCGGAGAGCAGAGACTCCCCCGGAACAATTGAAGTAATCATGAGTTGCGACGGGTAAATTGGAGATTTTGAGGAAATTGTTAAATACAGGTTGATAATCTGAATGAATAGCTGTTTTCCCAGATGAAGGCACCTGGAGTATTTAAGAGCGCTCCGAGGGAAGTTAACACATGAATTTATCGGATGCAACGGCTGACGATCAAGAAGTCAGTCCGGCATTTGACACACCAGGCGGATGCCGACGCATATTGATTGCTTATGTGCCCGAGCTTGCCGTGACTAGAAACGCCGGCAGAGAATCATGCTTAAGTGATGTCGCTTCTGTACGGGTAGTGGCTTATGAAATCTGAGCAAACTGTCATTATTACAGAGCTTCGGCCTTCGGTACATCACATAGATCCCGTCTGTATAGGTAAGCTTATAAGGCTGACCTAGGTGCAACATGGACTTAGGCATTGATGACGCTACGGCGGTATGGAGTAGAACTTCTCGTCTTCGAGGTTTTTACCTCAAATTAAATCGTGTACTTATCTTTTACTAAACTCCAATGATGGTTTTTCTTTTTTCTTGTCATGTTCAAGACTACATAGAGCTAATGTTAAGATGGATACAACTTAGCGGTAGGTATGGATACCAGTAAGCTACTAACTCTTAACGCAGGCCCCAGGTATGACCTCATATGCTTTGTCGGCCAAGCAAACAACAAGATATGGGGCAAGACCTCATGGACAAGGTCTGTATGATCGGAGAGTACGGAGAATACAGCGCGCGCTCGCCGTTTAACCAAACTCCGTGTACCGACTGTGAGGCCGATAATATGAGCAATTACCAAATCACCAGATGACCTGCCTCAGAATATAGAATACAGAACATAGAACATTAAGATATCTCTTAGCGCACAGCACGACACTCCAACAGAACGAGGCTGAAAAGAATCCATACGGAAGGTACATGCCATGCAAGGTTCCTACAGTGGGTGCCTGGGCGTGGAGTAGCTACCCCGTAGGTACCTGCCGGGCTGGCCAAACATCTTTCCGTGAGCCATGAATCTACATTATGTCAGCAATGCCGCTAAATTTTCCGGACCAAACACTCGTGACCATACCGTGCAGCTTTGGAAGGTTACACCCTCATCAACCCATTGCCATCAATTATCTCTTCCCCAGTACTTGTTGGAACTGCTGCATCAGGCTCCTATTTCTTTTGATCACTGCAAAATACTGCTTCAACTACGACAATGTCTCGCGGCGGCACCACTCTGTACGTGACCGGCTTTAGCCACGGCACCCGCGCTCGCGACCTCGCCTACGAGTTCGAACGGTATGTCAACCTCGCTCACGCCCACGCCCTCGCCCTCGTCCACGCCCGCGTCCTATCGTTTTCGCGCGCGCCTTCGTCCGTGTCCGTCCCATAGGCCCCAGACTCCCACACTGGTCTCCTGCCTGGCCATGATGTCTCGCCGTCGATCGTCGTCCTTGCGCCATCGCCCTCTCGTTCTCGTTCGCGCCCACGTCCCACGTCCCCAGCACTCCTTCCTTTCCCGTCGTCCGCCGTCCCAATCGCCTTGATGGAATTGCTTGTCCAATGCGCAGTCGCTTTTCGGTCGAGCTTGTGCAGAATCTTTTTGCGATCCGGCGTGTGAATGTACATCACATTCATATTCAAAAGGGGGCCTCTGTCGGCGTTTTGCTGTGTCATCATATGCTCCGTAGTATGCTGACTATTCACTTGTAGTTATGGCCGACTAGTTCGCTGCGACATTCCTGCCCCCAGGTCTACGTCCAGCCGTCTGTGAGTGTGAAGTATTCTGATTGCATACGATTGAGCTGACGAATGACAGGTTCGCTTTCGTTGAATACGAGGACAGACGTGATGCTGATGATGCCTACCACGAGATGCACAACAAGCGCATCGGTCGTGATGATATCCTCAAAATCGAGGTATGTTGGATGATTCTGCTCGCGAAAAATACTCGAATGCCTGAACATTTCCGCTGACCTCTCTCTCTAGTGGGCCCGCACTCCTCCTTCTGCCTCCTGGCGGTTTGAGTCTGGTCGTGATCGTGAACGTCGTGGTGCTGGTGGTGCTGGTGCTCGCTCTCCTCGTCGTGGACGTTCTCCTTCACCTCGTCGCAGCACCCGCGATTACTCGCCTCGTAAGGACGAACGTAGGGATCGTGACCGAGACTATGACCGCGAGAGCCGACGTGACCGGGATCGTTCTCGCAGCCCTGATCATCGGTATGTCCCCATCTAGCCATATCTTCGTATACATACTGACCCAGTCATACAGTGACCGTGAGCGTGACTCTAAGGATGAGCGTGACGACCGTGACCGAAGGGAGAACGGTACTAACGGCGACGAGCGCAAACGTATGTATCCCAAACTTGACTTTATTTCTTCATCGACACTAATATCGGACGCAGCTGTGGACAGCCCTCCTCCCGCTCACGAGGATCTTGACGTCGCCGAGTAGGCATCTCGTGATCAAGATCAGAAGTCCTCGCGATTCGTCCCGAGCTTCCCAACCAATACTCCTGACTGGTGCTGGCTTCATTCCCTCTCACTTGACAGGCGCAATGTGTAATATTGTTTGAACTACCCGACCCGTTGTATGACAATGCGCGAGAAGCTACGTAAGTCATGTCAGGGCGGGTTATGGGTATCTTGTTTTCCAAGACTGAAGGCTTTTGCCGCGGCGCGTGTCTTTTGGAACTTCTTAATTTCGTAGTTAGTTTAGACTGTTTTGTAACATGATTTGGCGCAACGGGTCAATCTGTCTAAGTTGCACATCTCCCAAACTGTTATGCTGTGAAAAATCCTTATATCAAACTGCGATGACGATGACGTCTGAGCTGTGAGTGGTTCCGTTCGTGCGGTGACGTCGGGGTTCTAACCAGTCACCTCTATGGGTTTTGCTCGCTACTACCCCTTATCTCCATGTCTAGCTAGCCATAAGGAGTTTGGTTAGCTGCATGCATGCCTGTGAGTACCCTTTTCGGCTTTGTGCTATCAGTCTCTCACAACTTCAAATCGAATCGGTGGGTTCTAGGAATTCGTACAAAAACCTAGTTCGGTACGGGAACCAAGTCACGAGGGTATTGCAATGAACGATATGACTATGGTTATGGATAGCTTCACGCCATGGTAGCATCATACCAGATATAAGCTACTAATAATGATACACAATGGTTAAAGTGCACGCTGGCGCTCGATGGCAGAATGTCTCGAACTATCTGCCCTACCCTGGAGCATGACAAGTACCTGATATGGCGCTTTATAGTCTAGTAAACTGGAAGCATGTCATACGTACTAGATAGGTACTAAAGTAGGAGAGTTTTCCCTCCCCCACATTTAAGCGTTCCAGGTCCTGCTTGGTTCCCCCCGAACGGAAACCGGGGGACCACGCGCGCGCCCCGAAGTCATCCGCATCGCCGGCTCACGCGCCCCCAATCCGCTTCTTGACGGTACCGATCCCGTCCTCCGTCCGTCGACATCTTCTCTCCATCATCAGCTCCGTACAAACACGATACGTGTCGAGCTACGAGTTATCTGAGTCGCCAACAGTCCGCTCGCACGCCTTGTCGTGTGTCAGCCCCGGCGCAAACGTCTCTCAATTCTCACTTCCAATGGTTACCGACAGTCTACTATTATCTCGATCTTCCAGCATGTCATTGCTATTTTTTCAACCACAGTAACAATTGGAGATACCATCGCTTAACAGTCAATACACAACCCTTGCACACGATATTTTGAGCACCAGGACTGTCTGCTTCACCCAGAACAGAGCAAATCAACACGGGACGCTTCCAACAAAGACGACACTTGTTTTTGAATAAGTTGTAGCAGTATTTCAGCTACGAAGGAACAGTTTAGCCCGTTACCATGTCCACTGTACGTAGGATCTGCGTCAGTCGTTGACCTCGAAGCAGTCACATGCATGATCACGGCTCCATGGCAAGATTGCTAATTTGACGATCCAGTCGCAGCCGGACATGGCCATTTCGACAGCGGCCGCGGCCCCTGACCGATCCGCACAGTTTCGAGAATCAATCTCTCAGCCCGTTATCGCCGCATTCTGCGCCGGAGGTGTCGCCGGCGCTGTCTCCCGAACCGTTGTCTCCCCCCTAGAACGACTCAAGATTCTCATGCAGATCCAGAGCGTCGGACGCGATGCGTATAAGCTATCAGTAGGGAAAGCTCTGATGAAAATGTGGAAGGAGGAAGGTTGGAGGGGGTTCATGCGAGGCAATGGCACCAACTGTATTCGCATTGTTCCCTACTCTGCTGTGCAATTCAGCAGCTACAACTTCTACAAGCGGGTGAGTGGCAGCCCAAGCCCAGGCTGGAGTTTGTACACTAGAGACTGACAGAGCTGCAGAATATCTTTGAACGTTACCCAGGAGCTGATCTAGCACCCCTCACTCGCCTCGTTTGTGGTGGCCTTGCTGGCATAACGTCAGTTTTTCTTACATACCCTCTCGATATTGTTCGGACACGATTATCCATCCAATCTGCAAGTTTCAGCGAGCTAGGAGCTCGACCAGACAAACTGCCGGGAATGTGGACTACATTGACGCAGATGTACAAAACGGAGGGCGGTATGTCTGCACTATATCGAGGCATCCTTCCTACTGTTGCTGGAGTGGCACCATATGTGAGGAGCGACCTCTGCCTGCACAATTATATAAGATCTGAGGACTAATGGGTTTTATTAGGTCGGCCTTAATTTCATGGTCTATGAATCTGTCAGGAAGTACCTGACGCCGGAGGGAGAGCAAAACCCCAATGCAAGCCGCAAGCTGCTCGCCGGTGCCGTCTCTGGAGCTGTTGCACAGACTTGCACATACCCCTTGTGAGTAGTCCCACCCTTTAGGCTGTGTGATCACTATGCTAACAATATGCAGCGATGTTTTACGGCGTCGGTTCCAGATCAACACCATGTCGGGCATGGGCTATCAGTACAAGGGTATTACAGACGCCATCCGAGTCATTGTGATGCAAGAAGGAGTCAAGGGTCTCTACAAAGGTATTGTGCCCAACCTTCTGAAAGTCGCTCCCAGTATGGCATCGAGCTGGTTGAGTTTCGAGATGACACGCGACTTCCTGGTTGATCTCAGACCCGACTCTGAGTCACGCTCCTTATGATAATACATAAACATGTGAAGATAGTGTACGAGAAAAGGACTTTCCTAGACCTAGACCTAGACCTAGACCTAGACCTAGGCCTAGAGCATGGTTATTAGGCGGTAGGGGAAAGGAACAAAAAGGCATGGGAAGCGGCGCGATCATGGGAGAAATAAAGCAGGTAGACTCCATTGTGCAATCAATAGGGATGACGGCAAACGTTGGTGCAAGATTCTGCCGTGTTACAATACGAAGAGGCATAGTTAGAGGATAGTCTAAGAGAAATTTGGTAGTAGGATACCAGATAATGCGTTTGAATCAATAGACAAATACTGCGTATACATTCCCTTGTGAGCCAGTGTCACACGAGTCTTTTCCTTGCGAATGATGAGCATTTGTCTCTTTCAGTGCCCTGATGTAGGACCCAGCAGACCTAGGTGAGCCTATTTGGTTAGCGTGAGATTCTCGATGATCGGGCGGCTAGAGGTAGGGAGTCACGCGCTGCTCAAGGCCCTAACTGCCGTCAACCACCGCCCGAAATCCAGACAAGCGACCCACCCACCTAACCCTGAATTTTTGCAAAGGTGAAAGCAGTATTGTCCGACGCATCCCTTCTCCATACCCAGAATCGCCAAATTTCACAGCGACAACCGCCGCCATGGGTACGTGAAGATTTTGAAATTCAGCCTCTGTATGCGAGTAGAGGAGGAGTGTGCTTCTGTGCCTCCTTCTCTGCGACCATGGCACCATCTTGTTCGCGAAAGCGCAAGACAGAGTTGCTATATTCTGAGCATGCTTGAATCAATGGCTGACGATGGCTTCACCTAACAGGTATCGATCTCGACCGCCACCACGTCAAGGGCACTCACCGCACTGCCCCCAAGAGCGACAATGTCTACCTCAAGCTCTTGGTGAAGCTTTACCGCTTCCTGGCCCGTACGTCCAAATCTCCCACCTGCGAGCGACCGCACAAACCCGAACGAGAGATCACAAACTAACCAAAAATTTCACATGCTACAGGCCGAACCGACTCTTCGTTCAACAAGGTCGTCCTCCGACGTCTGTTTACGTCCAAGATCAACCGACCTCCCGTCTCTCTGTCCCGAATTGTTGCCAACATTAACAAGGAGGGCGAGAAGCGAACTGTCGTTGTCGTCGGCACCATTACCGATGACAACCGCCTGCTCGAGTGCCCCAAGGTGACCGTCGCTGCCCTGCGATTCACCGCCACCGCTCGTGCTCGCCTTCTCGCCGCTGGTGGTGAGGCCATCACCCTGGATCAGCTTGCTCTCCGTGCCCCCACCGGAAGCAACACCCTGATCCTCCGTGGTCCCAAGAACGCCCGTGAGGCTGTCAAGCACTTCGGCTTCGGTCCCCACAAGCACAAGGTAATATCACTCAGAAACGCTGCACTCCTAACATTATCTAATACCCTCTGCAGAAGCCTTTTGTCGAGTCCAAGGGCCGCAAGTTCGAGCGTGCCCGTGGCCGAAGACGTTCGCGCGGTTTCAAGGTCTAAGCGGCTGGTTGGTGAAAAATATCGGCCTTGGGTGGAGTTTGGGCCAACTTATGAGGCAATTGATGCCGAACTTCGGCTTGCAAATGGGTCTTGCATGGAATTGGCGTGCCTAGGTATCACAAAATTCTACAATCAAATTCTAGCGCCTTGCTGCCGTCATGATGGTAATATTTATACGTGACTGAGACTGAATTTTATAACGTGATCGTACTTCTGCATACGAACGCAATATTGTTTCAATGGCACTCAATGGCATCTTTCGACAAATATTACGTACATGCTCCAACTTATTCTTCTACATCTTCTGAGGGCCCTATTGTGACGCCCGGTTTCCGTCGCAAACCAACAAAGTATGCTTCGCGGCTCTCCTACCGTAGCCAGGCAGTCAGGATATCATGCATGTTCTGGCTTTTGGTTGGTCATAGTAAACATACCTTTCTTGAAGACTCGGGCTTTTCTCTAAACACTTTGGTGAAGAGCGTTTTCAGTTTCTTCTCAAATTCCTTATCCTCGGATCCCTGGTAGAACTTGCAAACGAAATGTCCACCAGATCTAAGGGTGTCGCTGGCAAACTGCAAAGCAGCAGCGCATAGGTCCTGTGATGGAACGTCAGTGGTTTTTGGGCAGTATTTCAACATATGATGATGACCCACCATGCTTCCGGCGTGGTCACGAAAGGCGTTTCCGCTCGTGTTCATCAACCTATGATAGGGATTACTCAGGGTGTTCACGTTAAAGCCGGTGGTTTGCTCCCAGGGTGCTGACATGTCACTTAGAACAACCTAGTTGAGTAATTAGCAGCCAAAGCATGTTGGGAAAGGAGTCGACAAACATCTACAATACGCTTCTTTGAGGCTTCTGCCTTGGGTACTGGCGCTTCGTTCTGGCCAGCGTGGCGTTCCATGTCGAGGTAGCTTGGCCGATCAATTGTGATCCTCTCGTCTGGATCGGAGCTGTCGGTCTCATCACTTTCCTGCATAGGAGGTGGGCGTCGGTGACTTTCTAGAATGAACTTCTTGACCATCTCCTGTACGACTGGTGAAAGGAAGTCACCCTGGAAAGTTGCTACACCACGAGGTGGCTGTGCCGGAATGAGGTCGATACCAATCACTCTTCCATTAGGCTTTGTCCTTTCCACGGCAACCTTGAGTTGTCAATCAGGTAACATGAATAGTTGAGAAATTGAAAAATGCATATGCAAAACGCACCTGTGACCAACTGCCTGGTGCATATCCCTGACAAGAGTGAGCTGAAAGAGTTCCTGGTTCGTAAACATCAGCAATGAAAGAAAACATACCAGGTCGACCACTGTCTGTCCATTGCCCTTGAATAGCCGGTATTTAGAGTCCATCTAATAGAGCTGTTAACTATGCACATCGTACTGATTAATCGATGAAATTATGCTGACCTCGAGAAGCTTGAAGGCTGCACGGCTTTTCAGTCCCTGGACCTTTGCACCACGGGCGTAGGAGTCGCGACCCTGGCGCTGTTTCCAGCGAGAGCCTGATGATGACCATCGTATTGATGCCGTTACTGACTGTGAAACTTGAAAGCAGAGGCTCGATTGACGGCCTGCGGTCGGAAAGCTGGGGAGCAGTCGATTTTTCATCATGAAATAGACGAGGGCAAACCTTAGTAGTTGACTGCTTCGTTATATTGCCCGCTGATAGCAAAACTGCCAGATCGAGATGTCGCAGACACAAGCAAATTTCGATGTGTGCTCAACTGATATGATCAGTATATACTCTCTCCTTATAGTAGAGAACACAATCTGGAGTCACATAGCTGAAGTGTAGCAGGTTGATTTTCGTCCATAGTTCTATCCACCCACATTAAATTCTGTTAACCTATACCAAAACCTACACTGTGCCCAGCCCAACTTGACTTCACGATATCTTGTATGTGTTAATTCAATAGACACGGGGGTAAGAATCATTACGATTTAAGCAATCCGATACGCCATTGCCAGTTACCAAAAACCCAACCAATTCCAACGCTATAATACGATAATCAAAATGCTAACGCCGAACCATGCCTTGTTCCACCTTGCCCATACACTCAATGACACAATCACATAGTCCTCTTCAATGGAGGAAACTAGCACCGACTCCTCGTCTGTCCTTTTTCAACGGCGAGAATGTCGCTCCGCCAAATGCACTGCGAACACCGCCTAGAGGCGCCTTGAGTTTACGACCAGCCCCCATCTGTATCTTTGCAGGTTTAGGGACCGATTCATCACCATCGTCATCGTCGAATAGACTCTTGGTACCACCACCAAGCACCTTGCGCTTCTTCTTGCGTGCGTCTGCGTCCTCAGCTCCGAGCCGTAAAGCTGCTGCAGCAGGGTTCGACTTCGATAGTCCTGACCTCTTCTTGGGCTTCTCTGTTGGCTCCGCCTCTGGTTCACCAACATCGACTTCTTCAGTCAGGACATCCAGCTTACTGGAGGCCTTTGTTGCCTTTGCCTTTTTCTTTGCCTGGACAGGCATGTTCTTCTTAGTGGTGGGTGCATCGTCAAGAGCTTTCCTTGGTCTGCCTCGGGCCTTCTGAGCCTTTGGTTGCTCTTGCTCTTCTGTGGTGGCATCATCTTCAGCCTCCCCACCCGACTCTGCCGCTTCTTCGATGGGTTCCATTGATACAGAATCACCAAATTCAGTACCATCTCCAACTTGAGGCACTATGGGCTCTGGTACGTCAACGGCCTTTGCTGTAGGCGAGTGAATCTCGCTCAACTCATCAGACATGTTGTCCGATAGGTTCTTCGTGCGGTTCAAGAACGGCGTAATTGAAAATGTCGACTTTTCTCCGGCCAATGCACGCTCAATTCCTCGTTTCTTAAACGGCCGCCTGAGTGTCGCTTCGTCTGGCCCAGGAGTTCCGATACTGATGTCTTCCAAACTCATGTCTTGAACTCGTCTCTTTCCAAAGGGCTGCTCCTTCATGGAAACACTCTTCTTGCTTGGCTTGCTCTCTAGTACAACCTTGCGAGCTTCTTGTAGCTCGGCGCGGCATGACTCAAGCTCAGCTCGTGTGTCCTTTAGGTCTGTCTGTGTCTTCTTGAGTTTGCTCCTTGTATCCTCAACGCGGGCTTCCAGTCTTTCGCATTCGCCGCGGGCTTCTCGTAGTTCTCTGCTGTATTCTTTCTTGATGCTCTCCAATTCTTTCTTGGTTTCGTCGAACTGTTCTCTTATTTGATCGCTGTCGTTGTTCTTTGATTGCATACGTTGCTTTGATCTCTTCTCGTTTTCGAGCTCGACCTCAACCGAACTAAGCTGGCGTTCGAGATCTTGTTTCTGAGCGACCACCGCGCGATGGGTTTCTAGTTGCGTCTTGAGGTGGTTAAGTTCGGGCTGGATCTGGTCAAGCTTGTGACTGAGTGCAAGCTTCTCCTGTAAGACCTTGTTTGAGTCTTGCCTAAACTCATTCAAAGAATTGATCTCGGTCTAATCTGGTGTTAGTAGAGCTGCTTGGTGCCGGTTGATCTTTAGTTAATTACCTTGAGATCTTCCAATTCATTTCCTTGCTTTCTAAGCTGCATATCCTGGGCTTTGAGCTTCTCCTTGGTTTCGGCGAGCTCGGCATGTGCGTCTTTCCCCTGTTTAGTGAGCTGCTTCACAAGAGCATCTCGTTGAACCAGGCGATCCTTCAGTGAGGAACTCTCATCGCGCAACGTCAACAATCGTAGTTTGAGTAGACGTGCCTCTTCATCCCGGCCTGTCAGGTCCATCTGATGAACACTGCCTTGGTGCTTCAAATCAAGCTCGTTGATTCGAGCCGCGCGCTATAAGGTTGCAGTCAGTACTGGATCGGGATGAACCATGTCGTTATGCTAATATTTACCTCGGTGGACCTGGCCTTCTTCATAATGGATGTGATGTGTTTAACGAGACGCGTTTTGTAAAGTAGAAGAAGAATGGCGTTGCTGAGAACGTGTTATGTACTGATGCCTTGTTGCATACAGAGACCAGCTCAAGTCAACCATGTGAAAAGCCAAGCAGGTTGGTTGAGTGAGGATGGATGATAATTATAACTAGCGACAACTGCAGCCTGTTGGCCTCCATGTTTTGGACGTAAACATTATGCTGTTTCCGGATTAGCGCATATCTTATCGATAGTCGTCATCACGTGATAGAGTTCGGGACCCCCACCTTCTTGCAGCTTCGGCAGTAGATTAATTATGTAAGGCGCTTTGCGAGATCCAGAGGCCACCTCAGCTTCACCACAATAGCTCCAGCTCCGCAGTAACGTAGTAGCTTCGACAGTCATCTACTCTACACTTATTTGGCCAATTGGCCCTTTTCTTCTCTCCTCCAGAACACAACAACTCTGTTCTAGATCGCCATGCGTTTCTTTCATTCTCTGCTCTCTTTCGCATTGCTTGCGACTGGCGTCGTGGCCGCCAAAAAGTCGTCCGAGGAGCGATTCAATCAATACCACGCCAAACAGACCTCGGCGCCGGTCAAGCTGAAGGACTCCACGTACAGGACTCTAACATCTACGCCTCGAGACTACAGTGTCGCTGTTCTCCTCACTGCTATTGATCCGCGATTCAACTGTCAACTGTGCCGCGAGTTCCAACCCGAATGGAACCTGCTGGCAAAGAGCTGGGTTAAGGGCGACAAGGCAGCCGAGTCGCGATTGATCTTTGGCACGTTGGATTTCCTTGACGGCAAGGAAATCTTCAGCTCGGTACGTACTCTTCAAGATGGATAGTAAGCATGGCTGCTCGATTGCTAACTGTGAATAGCTTGGGCTTACAACTGCCCCTGTCCTCCTCATGTTCCCTCCCACCACCGGCCCCCATGCTTCTCAAAGCCCAGATCATCTGCGATACGACTTTTCCAGCGGGTGAGTGACCTATTTGCAATGCAGCAAAAATGCGAACTAACGTACGAAATATAGGGGCGCAACTGCTGAGGTAGTTCACTCCTGGATCGCTCGCCACATGCCTGATCGACCTCACCCCAAAGTAAAGCGACCCGTTAACTACGTTAAATGGATCTCTGTCGTCACCACCGTTGTTGGAATCACTACTGCAGGCATTTTGCTCCGGGCTTACATCTATCCCATCGTGCAGAGCCGCAACTTGTGGGCTGCCATGTCACTCATGACCATCCTTCTGTTCATCAGTGGTCATATGTTCAACCACATTCGGAAAGTTCCCTACGTCACTGGTGATGGAAAGGGAGGTATCAGCTATGTTTCGCCTGGCTTTCAGCAACAACTTGGCTTGGAAACTCAAATAGTAGCCGCGCTATGTATGTACCAATTCTGCTCTCGACTTGCTAGCTTTCACTAACTCTTCTCTTACAGATGGTGTTCTGTCGTTCTGTGCTATAACTCTTGCGATTAAGGTTCCACGAATCGCCGACTCCAAGACCCAGCAAGTCGCGGTTATTGCTTTCGGTGGTATCCTGTTCCTTGTCTACAGCTTCTTGCTGAGTGTCTTCCGTGTCAAGAACGGCGGATATCCATTCTCTCTACCACCTTTCATGTAAAACGATGTGAGGGGAACCAAAAGCTGCTTATCGACGACTTAAGCTTTAGCCTAGTGTTGCAGCAGGTGCCGAGGGCTCAAGCTGAAATATGCTTTCTGAACCAGAGGACCAAGTGGAACAAAAGCATAATTTGTCAGGACATCAGATAGGCTAGAACTCAATAGACAAAATGGAAGAGTTGCTTTTTTGTGAACTATACTTGTCTTGTATTATCAACATACGTACGTGCTGATCACCTTCATTAATGGAGCGATATTCATAGTATCACAGGAGTAGACAACGTCTAGGGCTATAACATGATGAGTAGTTTTCAGCATCACAAGCGCAGGCATTCAGAATAGGGACGGCACAAGTAACAGTTGAAATCATGACATGTCTTTTGTAAACTCGAGTTTCTTTATTGGAGAACAAAAGGATGAATCCCGGTAATTTCAGGGGCTGCCTATAATCGGCAAATGCGTTATGCCCTCGTCAGATTTGTAGTCGCCCCCCTTCCTTTGCATCAATAAAGACCAAACGAGGAAGCCAACCATTTGACGCCCCACCAATGATCTACCATCTTCCGCTCGCCTTCGTCACCACGCCTCTTTTTTAGAGTAGAGCGATTTATGCCCTCGACATGACACCCCAGGCACGGATGATGTTGTCAGTGTAACCAGCAAACAGAGTCTGGCCATCAGCAGACCAAGCCAAGCTGACACACTCAGGCTCTCGGCTCTTCTTACCGGCAGCAGGGAACTCGGGCTTGAGCTCATCAACCTTGCTCTTCTTCTCAAGATCGAAGATGATGATGCTGCTAGCGGTGGCAGCGCACAGCCAGTATCGGTTGGGGGAGAAGACAAGAGCGTGGATCTCGTCGTTGGCGTTAAGGGAGTAGAGGTGCTTGGACTCGTTAAGATCCCAGAGCATGGTGGTACCGTCCTTGCCACCGGAGGCGCACAGAGAACCGTCGGGGGAGATGGTGACGGTGTTGATGTAGCCAGTGTGACCGATGTGGTCAGTCTGGAGCTTGCAGGTGGAGAGCTCCCAAACCTATATAGTTCGTCAGAATTTATCAGATACAAGCGAACCAAGAAATGTGTGAAGGAATAAGGCTGTGACTAAGCCGAAATCAGGGCAATGGTGAATAGTGGTCTCATGGCCTGCGTGAACAGGCTCTGAAGTAGCAAATACTTGGGTTGCAAAACATCATGTAAAAACTGCAAAGAAGGGTTATATCATCTTCTGTACTAACCTTGACAAGCTTGTCCCAACCGGAGGAGACAATAACAGGGTTCTGGGGGTTGGGGCTGAAGCGAACGCAAGAAGCCCACTCGGTGTGGCCCTTTTCGGTGATGGTGTACTTGCAGTCACCGAGGGTGTTCCAGAGCTTGATGGTTCGGTCGCGAGAACCGGAGACGATCTGGCGGTTGTCGGCAGAGAAGCTGACGGAGAGGACGTCGTTGGTGTGGCCGACAAATCGTCGAGTGGTGGTACCGGTGGCAAGCTCCCAGAGACGGAGAGTCTTATCCCAAGAAGCAGACAGAGCGTAGGCGCCGTCAGAAGAGATAACCTAATTCCAACAATCAGCCGAGTCCTAAATGCATGTTGCCCGCCAAAGCGTTGTCGTGTGCTGCGGGGCACTGGATAAACGTACACAGTCGGAGACAATGTGGGAGTGGCCGTGAAGAGATCGCTTGGGGTAGCCGTACTGGGTCTCATCGCGGGTGAGGTTCCAGATGATCAGGGTCTTGTCTCGGGAGGCAGACAGGAGCATGTTGGGGCTGGCGAACGGTTAGTTGAATGCCCTCGAGGAAAGGCGTATTTGTGGTTCTTGGACGTACTTCTCCATGGAGGTAGCCAGGCTGGTGACCCAGCCATTCTGTTAAAAGTCAGTCTTCATTCCATCTTTTCCATGATCAAAATCTCCTTCCATGACACCGACTGCAAGCATCTCGTCTTGGAGCGGGTCGTGACCAGCGACAGTCGCGACGCAGCAGCCGGCAGCGATAGAATCAAGGTTGATGGGGGGTTCGACGTACGTGGCCCTCGAGAGTGCCCTTGAGGATCAATTGTTCGGCCATTTTTGCGGTGACGAGGCGATGCAGAGGATCAAGGTGCGTGAAGGGGAAGAAAGAGAGAAATCGAAGGCTGCTCTGCAAAACCTAGGCCGAGTCGGATGGGAAGGCGGTTGCGAATCGCACCTGCCCTTTTTTTTGTGTGGGTTAAAAATTAAGGAAGTTAGGGCCTTGAAGCTCCGCTTTGAATTTAGTGGGGTATCAGGGTGCGATGGAGCAGGCGAGAGCAGGTACGTATCGATTCGGCTTTTCTGAGGTTTGCATGTGGCGTGTGGCGTGTGGCGTGTGGCGTGTGGCGTGTCGATGGTAGCCCGTTGTGGCTGGTGAAAGTATGATGATTGCTAGACAATTGACTACACTCAGGATGAAGATCAAAAGTTGACTGCCCTGTCGTGCTCGATTCGCTCTCGCCCATACGTTCTATACCTGTATGCGCTAATTTGCCTTTCCAACCCTCAAACAAAATAACCCAGAAACACCATGCGCCGCCCAGTCCAGTCCATTATATAAGGGGTATCATGTAAGCCATTGTTCTCAACATTGATTGATACTCACGTTGCCTTTTTGCCTGCCAAGGCAGCCGACCGCTTACCAACCCTCGGAACTTCTTTGCGTGAGAATAGTGCTTCCCCGTTCACAATCATACTATGGTCCGCAATTTCCATTTCGTCGGTGTTCTCCCCCCTGCCATCAGTTGTCATGAAGCGCTTCATGGTGGATTCCCAAAGACGAAATCGTTCTTTGCCATGCGTATCGCGCTCCACCAGATTCTTGACTTCTTTCTGTTTTCGCATCTTTGATGCTCTGACCAACCGCCTGAGAGCATCCTCGCCCTGCTGAGCTGTCCTTGCTGCTTCCTCACGTATTTTCTTGGAGTCGCGAATGCTTGTGTCTTCTTGAGGAGTAAACTTGTAGGTATGTTTGCTGGGGAAATCGGGGAAGGAAGACGGAACGTAGGTCTTCTCTTCCTTGTCCGGCTGTCCGCTGAGCTCCTCGCCCAACAGAGGCAGAGTGGTGTATGCGTCGAGATCTTCGGGAAGTACATCAATATAGCCTGGAAACTTTTGAGTTTTCGGAACCGGTGGCTTCAAGTGTGGTTTTAGTGATGATACACTGACGTTGTGCCTTCGCAGGGCGTGCTCAAAGTCGGTAGGGATAGGATGTTCGCGTCGAGCAGCCAGAGCGAGAGTTTTGGCGGCCTCAATCATGCCCTCAAGGTCTAATGGGTATCAGCATCACGAACAAGCAAAGGGTTCATAGAATGTAACTCACATGTTTCCACCATTCCTGTAAAGCTCTCCATTGCTTCTGGGCTCGCTCCCTCGAATCCATCGTGGTTGAGAACCACTGCGATCGAACGTTGGAGGCTGGTTCTGGCTTGATAATGCGGATTTGGTATTAAGGATTCGATTGAACGAGCGCCGTCGTCCTCCATTTGTATCAGCTCATTTTCGAAATCCTCGAATCGAGGGCGCTTTGGTTCGGGCTGCTGTTCATCGGCTGGAGATAAGCTTCGTTTGGGTGTCATCGCGAAGAGCTTGGCAAATGCAAGTACCGCGACGCGATACAGGCGGGAGACCGAAGAGAAATACCGCTACTCTCCCATTGAGATGCAATGATTATGAAACCTGGCAGTGCTCTGTAATTGCCGAGTTCGAAAAGTGGTGGATGAGAGCAAGATAACTCGATTCGTTGTTGATGAGGCTGAATGCACGATCGCGATGTTTGGTCAGGAGCTGGAGCTGGAGAGGTAGGAAGCTTCCTTGAAGTTCTGGAGAAACTCCGGCTTATTCGCTGTTGTTGAACCGGCCCCACTAAGAGTGGAGGTTTGACAATTCCGTTATGCGGACGGAGCACGGATACTCGGTCTTCTTACGGAGTACTGAGCTGTGCTTTACGGTGCTTGAGTTGATAATTGTCTACCCGGTAGTATGGAATTGGAGTATTGGCTATATACAGACACTGCATCTCCTTCGTCGCCATTGAAAGAAGGTCTGTTGTAAGATGAGTAATTTCCATACATAATGATAATCGTTTGGGGTCATGTTCCGCGAAGCAAATCCAAACACATCCTCTGCAGTGCTGCACCGGCCTTGGTATTAAAGGGCTCACAAAATAGCACTCATAGTACGTGGCAGACTGGCAGTATCTTGACTCAACATGGCAAAATATTGCGGACAATGTGCGACATACCAAATTCCCATTACATATTTCAGGAACAAATTCGAAGTACGTAGGATTTATGATGTGCCGTGTAACTGAGTATGTTCTAGACCACCCGATCGACAGCGGAGTGATAGCGCGAGTATGATCCGTTATTTACAATACAACCCACCCACGTCGATCCATGCTGTCTCATCATTTCACGTACATAGCATGCAAGTCGCTAGGACTGTCAAACTGTGTACATATCAAGCGGCTAAGAAGGTGCAGGTGCAGGGATGCTCGGCGGCATAAGCTAACTTAGTAGTAGGCCAAGGTAGTGAGTTTATGTTGAAACAATAATTTCTCTTTTATTTCAAGACTGAGATTGTTCCAGCACGAATTAATCGTATCTGAAGAGGTAGTCATACTGATAATATGAACAGAAGAAATATTGGGCTACTTCATAAGTATACGCCCTCAATGATTGGCCGAGTATCAGCATAAGATGACAGCCGTTGAATCAGACAACCTATTCCTAATTATTTCTGGAACCCGACGGCGAGGCAATTGACTGTTTGTGGAATGGACTCACAACTGCAGGCTGCTTTGACCGACACTTTGAAACGAACCTGTAAGAATAGCCATGCATGTGCAGTTTCAACATTGGGTGTTGGCCCAAACAAGTTAGATGACTGCCTACCACCTTGGCTTGCAGGGTTTCTGAAGTGACAGGCGAATAGATGCTTCGTTTGCAACAAGATTCGTCACTTATGAATAACTGTCTCGACTCTCATGCAGTCCGTCTCCCTGTCACGCTTCCACGTCAAAACGTGTCACACATTGCGGGATAATCATATTTTTCTTTACCATGTTTGTCGATCGATATTCATAATCTCTCTGGTCCCTTATAGCTCTCAATTGGTTGCTCTTTCCTCCACCAACCTTCAAACCCCCCCCCCGAAGCTACCTACATATACAGGCCAGAGGCTTTAGTCATTCTGCCTACCCTGTACTCTCAAGCTCCCTGCGACAACATTGGGTGGTTTTGCTTTAGACAGACAGGACCCTGATCGTCTAACACCCCTGCCCTAAAACCCTCAATATCAAAGTTGCCAGTCCCACCACCAAGCTGGTATAACGGGCATGCTTTGGTTGGACATTGAAAGCTGGACTTTCGATTCGAATTGGATCCTCAGCCGCATCGTTTTATCAAGGACGTAACTTCCTACTATTCTTACACTCAATCCCTTCTGCTGTCTTCATAATGTTTTCCTTCGACCAAGCATCACTCCCACAAATCACAACCCGCAAAGCCCTCATCGGGGTAGACTTCCAGTATGACTTTATATCAAAGGATGGCGCTCTGCATGTCCATGAGCCCGAGGGCTTTGTGGATCGGACCATCAAGCTAGCTCAGGCGTTCCGAGATGTAGGTGACGTTGTTTGGGTTCAGTCACAGTTCAGCGAAACTCGATATACACCCGAAGAATACATTGTTATCACCGACAATGTACCTAAGCCACCACGAGGCCCTACTAGAGGTCGACCAAAAGTTCCAGTCAAGGCAATCGAGGTCAGTGGCCCACCAGACAATGAGGCCTTTCTGAGCCACGAGGAGGCTGTATGTGTCAAAGTTGACACAGCTGGTTGCCTAATGGCCCCAATCATCGAAGACTCGTTGCCAAAGACAGATGCGAGATTGACCAAATCTCACTATTCAGCCTTTCAGTCAACTCATCTGCTGCGAGTTCTGCGTGCCAAGATGGTCATGGAGCTCTTCATTTGTGGATCACTTACCAACGTCGGTGTGTATGCAACAGCTCTCGATGCTGCAGGTCACGGAATGGCAATCACTATTGTTGATGACTGCTGTGGCTATCGTAACGAGTCAAGGAAGACAGCAGCAATAGTTTCGTTGATTGAACTCACCGGGTGTGAAATCGCTTCGTACGACGAGGTTATGGAAGTTATACAGCCAAAGCCGAAGCCGAAGCCCAAGGCTAAGCTCAAGCCGCTCAAGCCAAAAGATACTAAAAAGCCCTTGTCTTCGTCAAAGGATCTGGAACAAACTGAAACCGTCAAGTCGGAACCCACAAAAGACAAAGGTCGCGAGAAGAGCACTACCCCGGATTTTGTGAAAGACATGACAAGCCTTCGATTGGCGTCAGACTCGCCAAGCCCCATACTCGCATCGACACAGCCTCAGCCAAAAGCACCCCTGATAATTGCAGCTGAAGACCCTACTCCGAAGGTTGAAACACAATTAAAGACTGAAGAATCCAATAGCGCAGATCGGGCTACAACACCACAGCCGGCGGATGAAGTACAGGAGCGAAATGAACCCAAAAAACATCCTGTCAATGATGATGCCTTGAAGGTAACAGAAGACAAGACGGAGCCGGCACCCTCGCCGAATACTAGCAAAAACGAAGCTCAAACACCCAATACGCCTCTCCAGGAAAACACTACTAAAGACGAAGACCAAGCTGTTGAGTTGCCGCCTGTAGCAGAGACAACGGGAGCGGAAGTGCAACCTGTTCAATCTTCCAGTCAGAATACTCCTGAGACTGAAGAACCAGCAAAGAAGACACCGCAAAATGACGAACAAGAAAATCCCAAGACCCAGAAGCCAGCGGCAATGGACGGCGGATCGTATCAACAGAGAGGCCTGTGCGAAGGAGATACCGACATCATCGAGGACATTCTTTCTGACTCTTTGCTCAATGGCATTTTTGATAAGCTACGTGAAGAGGTCCAGTGGAAACGGATGTCTCATCAAGGCGGGCAAGTTCCACGACTTGTTGCAGTCCAGGGTGAAGTTGGAACCGATGGGAACATACCAGTCTACCGTCATCCGTCTGACGAATCTCCCCCACTGTTACCATTTTCCCAGACTGTGAAGGCTATCAAGACAGAGACAGAGAAGCATTTGGGCCACCCTTTGAACCATGTGCTGATTCAATACTATCGAGATGGAAGTGATCACATTTCTGAACACAGCGATAAGACCTTGGATATTGTCAAAGGATCTTACATCGCCAATGTTAGTCTTGGCGCCGAACGAACCATGACGTTCAGGTCGAAGAGGAGGGATAAGGACCCTTCTCAAGACGGAGCGCCCTTACCAGAAGGTCCGAAAAGAACGATACAGCGTGCGAAGCTTCCACACAATTCTCTTTGCCGACTGAGCCTGCAAAGCAATATGAAGTGGCTGCATGCCATCCGCCAGGATAAGCGAGCAAGAAAGGAAAAGTCTCCAGCCGAACTTGCGTACGAGGGAGGTCGGATCTCTCTGACATTCCGACAGATCGGAACGTTTTTGAACCGTGAAGAGACTCTCATTTGGGGCCAAGGAGCCAAAGCCAAGACTTTCGAGGACGCCCATCCTGTCATCAATGGCCAGACACCCGAAGCTATCGAGATGCTCAAGGCCTTCGGAACAGAGAATAATTCTACCGTGTTCCATTGGAATGAAAACTACGGAAAAGGGTTTGACGTGCTGCATATAAGTAGTGCACCGCGATTCTTTGCCTGTAGCGACCCAATAATCAACATGCGCATTGCTTTGATGTTAGCGGAGCTTGGTGTGAACTACGCAAGAGGAAGTGTAACTGCAGGGGCTGAAACACTAAAATCAGAAAACGTCGTCGTCAAGTTTGTGGACAAGGACAAATCTACTGTTCAGGGCGACTTTGCCATCATGCTGTACCTGAATGCTCGATATGGTCCTGACCAGGCTGGTGGTCCTATACAAGCCCCAAAAGACCTGGCCACTCGACTCACTCATTTCCAACGTGCTGTGGCCCTTTTGGATACATGGAGAAACCTGCCAAAGGACAGCACCAGCGGTAAACGCGACCTGATATCTCTCAAACATGAACTACAGGATTGGAATGGCTTCGTGGCTGAGGACAAGGGTCCTTTCATCACAGGTGCGGAGATGCGTTTGCCTGACTTTGCACTATGGCCAATTTTGCACGATATGGTAAAAGAGGCAGGGGTGGAGAATTTCGGGGGGCTGAAAGAACTTCAGGAATATTACGAAGAGATAGGAAAGAGGCCAAGCGTGAAGAAAGTGCTTGGTAAAGAGTAGTTGGTATTTTTAGAAATTAAAGGGATGGGGATGGCAAGATGGATGAATAGATATTCACGACGCAAGTTCTTGATCATGTAGCGACTTGGCGATATTTTGGTGTTCACGAAGTCGATGAGAGGATGGCGGGGGAAATATAGCTAGATCCGTCACATTGATAATCTATGTTTGATATCCTACACCTTCCCACATCTCATTTAACATGAAAGCTACCATACGCTATGAATGATTGTCTGTATACGAATATCAGTGCAATGCAGGAGGGTCGGGACTGTACGGTGTGACGAGGTCAAGAGCAGTATGTTCATCAAAATGATGTTTCTCGATCAAGGAAGTCGAGACAAGTTTATTGTGGTGGTGCAGAGGCAATCTGGTATATGGTGGTCTCCACTGTACTCGGATCCTACCGCTGGGAAGATACCATAGTTGATGGGCCAAAGCTTTGGTTCTTATGGTCCTTCATCAATCGAACACTTGCGAGATATTATTGTGCGGTGCTCCACGGTAGAGGGTATGTGCCAACCCAGTCCTCGACCTCACTGCGAAGTTGAACGATTTCAGACTGTGTCTCACCGTCACCGAGATGTTCTAGAAAGACCTTTATCTTGCCTGGACTCTTGTCACCCTTCTCTTCCGCCGCCTTCCGAGCAGCCTTGTCGATTCGAGAAGCAATGATGATAGCGCGATCCACTACATCAGCGACACGAACGAAGTCATCCTCACTGAAGCCACGAGTGGTCATGGCGGGTGTACCCATGCGAAGACCGCCAGGGACTAAGGCAGAGCGGTCTCCAGGGACAGTGTTTTTGTTGGCCGCAACGCCGACTAGTTCCAAGACACGTTCGACTCGACCACCGTCGATGCCTTGGGGCTTAAGATCAGCCAAGACCAAGTGGTTATCGGTTCCTCCGCTGACGAGTTTGTAGCCTAAGCCACCCTTGCCCTTGGGTTCACTCAGGCGTTTCGCGAATGCCTTTGCATTTTTTAGAACTTGGGATTGATAGGCTTGAAATTCGGGGGTTTGGGCCTGTTTTAGAGCTACAGCGAGAGCTGTGATGGTGTGGTTATGAGGACCACCCTGGTGGCCGGGAAAGACGGAATTATTGATAGGGCCCTCCAGGTCGTAAAGGATATCTTCCTTCGTCTTAGGATTTTGTCTTCGCACGCCTTTTCTAAAGAAGATCATAGCACCCCGGGGACCTCGTAAGCTCTTGTGGCTCGTCGTGGTGACGATATCGGCGTGTGCAAACGGCCCAGGTATGACCTTTGCTGCGACTAGACCAGAGATATGGGCAATGTCGGCAAGAAGATAGGCGTTGACTTTATCGCAGATTTCGCGCATACGTTGATAGTCAATAAGTCGGCTATAGGCACTCGCGCCGGCAACTATGACCTTGGGTCTATATATGCTTGCCATCTCCTCTAGCTTGTCGTAATCGATATATCCCGTCGTTTCGTTGAGTCTGTACGGTAGAGTTTCAAAGTACTTTGATATGGCTGAAATTTTCTTGGTGGGTGTCTGGTAACCATGAGATAGGTGACCTCCATGCGGTAAATCAAGGCCCATTAAACGATCGTGTGTGTTCATTAGAGCGGAATAGACGTAGAGGTTGGCAGGAGCTCCAGATAAAGCTTGAAATTTGAAGTTAGCATTGGATTCAAGAGGCCTGCAACATGGGAGAGGTTTCATATCAACTAACCTTGAACGTTGACTCCCCATAGCTTGGGATCAAGGCCGAATGATTCGAGAGCACGTTGTTGGCACAGTCTTTCAGACTGGTCGATGAACTCGTTTCCGCCGTAGTATCGAGCGCCTGGGTAGCCTTCGGAGTATTTGTCTACAGCATATGTTAGCCCCGGAGCTTCCTGTAGTCATTGGTATGGCTACGGTAGCTCACTTTGCATCACACTACCAAGAGCATCTAACACAGCCTGGGAGGTGAAGTTCTCGGAGGGAATTAAATTGATAAAATGCTTCTGGCGCTCTTTCTCCTGTGAAATGAATCAGACTAAGGGCACTGTGGCAATGTGTAGTTTGTCCATTGTTAACCGACCTTCTCGATAATGTCGAAGACGGCGGGGTCAGCTTTGTTCAAGTGGGCTGAGAGGGCCTAGGAGAAAGGACGTCATGTTAGATGTTGGACTCGCCATACTGATATAATTGAGTAGAGTACACACCTGCTGTTGGTCTTCTAAAGCTAGAGAGGATGCTGGACGAGTACATGTCGCGGACACAGCAACTGGTCTTGCGATGCTCCGCAGAACACGCGAGGTGCCTCTCACGCCAGCAAGAGACATGGCGTCGGCGGCAATTGCTGGTCAGGATGAGTGGACGGACGATAGGAGCGCGATCAGCATAAAAGGAAAACAAGTGGCTCTTCACAAAAGACGAAGACAAAGGCGGCTTTACGAGGTGGTTGCGGTGATGAATTGTCCAGCGCGCGCTCGCTCAGGACGTCATTGACTGATACGATGGACTTATTTAGTGCAGACGATGTAGGCGGAGGTGGAGGTGGAGGAAGCTCGGGTAGGGCCGAGACTCGAATGATGAGCGTTCCACGAGCAAAGAGGCTGGACTGGCAGACTGTGACTGCCCCAAAACCCCTGTCGTTAGAGTTAGCACTTAACGGACAGGGAGAATCAGCGGTTTGCCCTGTATCTTTAGTGGAGCAGGAGTTCATGATGAATGCGGCCTGGAGATCTTTTGGCATAGGTAAATTCACACCTCCACCAAACCTAGGCTCTGGTACCTAAGGTAAGGTAGTCACAAACAGGTAACATTGGGAAATTTACCAGATTTTGGTTACTGGGTCGTGTTTTTTTTAGTACTATCCTTGTATCTTCGTTCCTGCAGGGGCTTTTTTTACTTATATCTGGTAACTTTTTCTTGTTGGCAAGTAACCCCTGACCCATGTGTGGAACAGGAAAGCAATGGCTACCTATGTCTTTACATTTGGATCTGATGTCTTTGCTTTAAGATTCCACGAGGTCCCTAACGCATGACATATGCAAGTCTAAGTATGCGGAACCAAGTGTAACTACTCTGCTCTGCATGATGCTTCGAAACGAGAGAGTTGGCTGTGGCTCCCGAGTGGGTCTCAATCGTGCTCGGCAATCGAAGTTGTCGATTCAAACAGAACGTCACTAGGTAACCAAGCTTCAATATGTGTAAGCTGTATCGCACACATTAATTTCAACACCGCTGTTACTGATGTCGTGATGAGCGAAACAAGTGCTCACGAGAAGGTCGTAAATGGGGAAAACATCCAAGCATCCGAGCATCATCGATTCCATTTTTCAATGCTACATGCCTGAACCCCGCCGGTACAAGTGTAGAAACCAGAAGGGCATAAAAAAAGACCCAACCCGTAGACTCCGTATGCAGCCTCCTCTCAAGACCGAAATGTTGTCGTTTGTCCACTAAGGTTACTCTTACTCCTCGGCAAGGAGAGCATTTCGCTTCGCCACCGCACGCTCCTGCTTGCGCTCGCGGGCAGCCTTGTTCTTCGCACGCTTGGCATCCATCTCCTCCTGAAGGGCGGACTCACGGGCCTTCTCAGCCTTGGCACGGTGAATCTGTGAATCTCCATGTCAGCTTGCATTCCTCGCTCTGACCCAGCGACGGGGGTCTCATCAAGGGGTTAAACGTACGTGCTCAACGAGGGCACGCTTGTGCTTGAAGGCGTTACCCTTGCTGCTGTGGTACAACTCGTGGTAGAGGTGCTTATCGATCTTTCCGCTGGCACGGTACTTGACCAAAAGACGGCGGAGGACTCGGAGGCGGCGCATCCAGAGGACCTGGCTGGGCATACGGGCATCGGCGGTACCCTTACGCTTACCGTAACCACGGTGTCGGCCCTCTCGGCGGGCGAGGTTCAGCTCGCGGGCGCGCGATCGAGAGTGCTGGGTGGTGGGCTTTCGGATGATGAGGCCATCGGAGATGAGCTTTCGGATGGTCTGGCGAGAGTTGGCGTTGGAGATCTCGCTCTGCTCGTTGGGGTCGAGCCAAATCTTGCGCTGGCCGCAGCCGATGACCGCTGAGGCCAGGCGCTTCTGAGTTCGCAGATTGACCCTGTATCGAGAAAAAAAGAAAGATCAGTTAGCCACCAGTCCCCTCTGATAGTCCCCAAGCATCGGCATTGGCATTGAATTGGGTTGGATTCGTGGCGATGCCATCAAAGCATTTGCATTCAGCTCTTGTACTGTCTCCAAAGCTCCTCCTGCATCGCCTTATCGCCTGTCCTGATCGTATCGATGAACTTACATCTTGATTGTCGTTAGTGGTGATGGCCGGTCCTCGATGGATGTTGGATGAAGACTGAGAGGGGTTTGCGAGGCCAGAATTTCTCTGCGTTGCACCTCCCTCCTTTGGGGTTTGTGGGTTCAAGTGCGCTAGACTCCATTTGTCGCACTAAGCGAGGGCTCTTGCCACACGTGACACGCACTTCGCATAGGGTTGGCAGGCGCGACAGAAAAGCAGTCTTGCCTTGTTCCAATCAGAAACATTGTCTATGATTATTTTGACTTTCCGAGTTTCCATGTGGTCGGAGTTCGGAGAAGACACTCCGACGCATCTGGCTAAGATAAATGTATATGATCATAGATTTTGTACCTTACCTACATTAGTACCTCAATTGATGACATGTTTGATTACGAAGTTATTTATTTTTATATCTAACTTTCTACCTGTTAAGAAGAGAATAGAGCAACAATCAACCTGTTAGAGTTTGAAGATCGAGCAAATCGGTGTTTAGATTTCGTCAGGTCAATATCACACATTCTTACATCTCATCGCTAATCGTCCATCAGTAAGTACTCTCTTCAATGGCGAGCCATGTCTTGTATTTTATGTTCGTCAAGTGAAACATCTATGTATTCTGCTAGAAAAAATACAATAGCCGTAGATTGTTTGTTTGTTTACACTGAACCCCTCAAACCTCATGAGAATGCATCGCTACCCACATCAACTTTACCCACGCTCCAAATTTCCTTCTCATCCTCAGCTTCATCGTTTGACAAGCCAAGTCCTCCTTGTCCACCCTCGGCCTCACGCCTCTCTCGGATTTGAGAGCCTAATCTCATGGCAACACGTTTGAAGTAGTCACCCATGCTCCTCTTTGTGTTGGCAGGAAGATCCATGCCAGGACCCGCCATAAACTTGTCAAAGATACGACTGTCCTCATCAGCCACATTGAAAAGCTCCACGAATGCCGCTTCTGCAGCAAGCTTGACGGGAATAACAGGGTCCCGAACACTGGCAAAAATGGGTTGGGCTAGTAGAGCAACGTGGGGTCGGACCATCTCCATATCTTTGCGGCAGACGGTACGAACGACGACCAATGCGAGCCGACGCGAGTCGGTTGCATTGCCAGGCTGAATAGCGGTTGCGAGGGCCTCGAAAACCCCCTTTGTCGTCTCGAAAGTCTTGGGAGAATCCGAGAGCAAGTATTTTCCAGTAGCGAGGATGCAGTTATCTGCCACAAAGACCTATTTGCAACTGTCAGTTCACCGAGCATGTATTGTTAAAAAAACCATATAGCAACTTACGTTCTTGTTGGCGACGCCCTGACATAGCAAGTCGGGCAGGTCATCTGCCAAGGAGCTTTGAAGCAGAGCGTCTGGTGATTCGACCAGAACAGAGTTTAGAGCAAGCACAGAGGAGTGAGTGAAGTGCGTTGTAGCTACGCGGTTCTTTAGCAAGCCCTGGGCAGCTTCTTCAGAGACATTCTTGATCAGAGCACCTAGTAGCTTGGCATTGGTGATGGTCATGGTGTCATCTCTCTCGTCTGTGTCCATGTCGATAAGTGACAAGACAGAAGCTCTTGAAGCCTCACCCATATTAGCACCCGCTTTGCTAATAACCTCGTACAACGCCTTGAGCATGGCGGTCTTGACACCGGGGTCCGCGGTCTTCGATCCCGTGACAAGTTCGGCGATCAAAGGGTCGATACGTGGCGTATACTTGATCAAAGTACCAAGTGCCTTGGCAGCCCTTGTTCTTAGTGTCTCACTGGATGAATCCGCCAGAGATTTGGCGAATGTACGCTGAAGCTGAGGCAGGAAAGGTTTAAGCGCCGCAGGCATCTTATCCAGAAGGTTGTTGAGAGTAAGCAGAATAGCCGACTTGACTTCTGTGGCACGTTCTGAAACAACTCTGATCAGCGGACCAGTAATCTGGGTCACGAATGGCTTCAGAGAGGCCTCGCTTGTTCTGTCAACAATGTCGGAAATACCTAGAGCAGCCTGAACTCGCTGGTCAGCAGTACCGTTCATAAGACCTTGCAAGAAGATTGGTAGAACGGCATTGATGCCCTTGGGCAACTCGAAGCCGCGTAGGTTTGCCCCGGCCACACCAACACGTTGAAGAGTTTGTCGGGTTGAAATGACAAGTGACTCCATCTCCTCCTTTCGCAGCTTCTTGGTGAACGCGCTGAGAGCTGCCCAGGCGGCCTTAACGACATCCTCATCTCTGTCATCAAACGAGTTGAGCAGCGAACGGATAATGTCCTGGTTGTATCTTGAATAGTCCACACTCGCAGCCGTAAAGAAGTTGCCCAAATGACGCGCAGTAGCTGACCGGCGACGGTGGTCCTCGTGCTTCAGAAGCTGCAGGAGGACATTCATGACTGTATTGAGACCATCGTATTCATCGATGGACTGGATGACAGTGTCAAAAGACGTTGCCAGTTCATCACGAAGGCCATCCTCCTTGCAGTTGATCTCGTTATCCATAAGCGAGTTGATAATGTTGGGCAGGCGGCGATTCATCGCAGGGCCAGCAACCTTGGACAGAGAGGCAAGGGCCTTGGCGTCGAATGACGAAATAGGAGGCGTTGTGAGTGTTGGAATGAGGTTTGGTAGGATGATGTTTGATCGAGTTGTCTCGGTAAGTAACGTAAGAAGAGCCTGCAAAGCGTTGTCCGCTTCTCCCTCAGAGCGCAAGAGGTTGAGGAGGAAGGGAAGAACTTGGTCAACTGCTCGCTTACCAAACATCTGCTGGAGCGAATCGAATGCTTCTGCAGCGGCCTCACGTACCTCATCATCGGAGTCGGTAAGGGCAGTACGAACAACAGAAATAAGGGTCTTTTCGTGGTCTTCAAGCGCTTCGGGCGAGGCAGATGAAATAAGTTCTCTCAGTGCAAGACAAATACCCTGCTTGGCATCAACATCGGTAGATGTCTGAAGGCCTTCTTCCAAAGTAGGAAGAAGGCTTGACAGGACGCCATCTCCAGCCTTGCGGATGAGTTCTCCGAGGGCGTTACTGGCAATGACCTTGTGCTCCATGTTGGAGCTTCCCAAGCGTCGGATAAGAAGTTGCGTAAGAGTTGGTACAAGTTCCTTGAGGGTTCTCGGGCTATGGACAAGGACCTTCCAGACAGCAATAGCGGCCGAGCGAACAGCACCAGCTGTGTCGCATCGGCACACGTAGAGAGCTGAAAGAATCTTGTTGCGCTTCTCTTCGCCGAGTGTTTCTTTGAGTGATGCACCCGCTTCCTTGATATTCTCATCGTCTTCAATGTCCTCAGCCTCGGTACCAGCCTTGATACCTGTAAGATTGAAAAGAAGGTCACCCACAAGCTCGACGGAGCTAAGTCGGATTCTGTAGCTGTCGTCTGCAAGACCGCGCTCGAGCTCTGGGAGGAGAAGGTCCACGGCACGAGCAGCGAAGTTCTTGACTAACAAGCGACCTGCACGAAGTGCCGTTTCACGAATCGACTCAATATCGTCGGCAAGACCAGCAAGGATCGGCGGAATGATACGACCCAAATAGTTTGAGAAACTGTTGCCGAAACAAACGGGAAGGAAAATAAAAAGTGACATAAAGCCCTCGCGAACAGCAGGTTTCGAAGACTCGACGTTTTGAAGAATGGTGGGAAGGGTTTCCTCCAATCTTGTTGTTCCCAAGCCTGCAAGGACCTCGCTGAGAGCCTGGGCGGATCCCAGCCGGTCGCCAGCGCCAGTATCCGACTTGAGGGTTTGCATCAAACCAGGGATAAGATCTGGAAGAGTGTCTTCTCCGAGCTTCTCGACCAACGAACCCAGAGCCCTGGATGCCGTAGCTCGCGTGGTGGGTACAGGGTCGACGACAGCGATCTTGAGGCCAGCCACGAGCACAGGTAAATGCATGATAATATCCTTCTTTTCAGTGAGGTGAGCCAAGCTTCCAATGACTTGAGCTGCCTTGCGTTTGGTGTTGGAGCGGTCACCCAAACCACGTTGTAAAATGCGAGTGACCAGCGCCAGAGATGGAGCATCAAGGTAATGAACGAACTGAACCTTGATGAGTGAGTCCAGAGCCTCGTCAGTATATTTGGTAGGGTCGCTGAGGGCCTTGAGAATAATGTCGACCAGGGATTTAATTTCTGGGTTTGTGATGACTTCACCGAACCGCTTCAAGCTTCGGTTGGCGGCAGATCTCACCTCCTTGTGGCTGTCGTTCAACACACCAGTGAGAGGAGGGATAATGTCAGGCAGGCTGTTAGCAAGCTGTTGAGGATCGAGGTATGCCATCGCACCAAGAAGGTCGCAAGCACCCTTCTTGCTCCTCCACTGCTGCTCATCGAGCCCGTAGAGTAGAGTAGGCATGATCTGCTTCACACCATAGGAGCTCAGCCTTGCAAAACATGCTTTGGCTGCCGCCAGACAAGCGTCTCGAACGTTCGCGTTGGCATCGCCAAAACCTGTTAGCAACTGAGGCACAACCTGAATCACGTACGGTTCGAAAACGCGTCCAAGCATGGTAGCTAGAAGCTCGTAAGCTAACAAAGCGGCCTCACGCTGGTTTGCCTCCTTTTTGTTCTCCATTGCATCAGTCAGAGTTGAGAGTATCCGATACTCCCTTAGAGCTGCGATACCTCGGCCCATCACGAGACCAGCCAGACCGTAGGCAGAGCCTCGCTGGACGGCATACTTCTTGGAACTTAGTAGCTGCTCCGTGACTTGACTGAAATACTTGGAGGATTGGTCTGGGCAGGCCCGAATAAGTGGAGGTAAACATTCGGCGATAGCATATTGGACCGTCTCAGAGGGTGTGCTCAAGGTTGCCACAAGGCGGTCAATAACAATAGGGATTTTGGGGTCCCCAGGGCTTAGATGGCGAGCCAAAGCACCATACATGATGATTACTGCTTCGTTGACACGATCAGACGCATCGCTGTTCTTGTCTGGCTGTTCCAAGGTCTTCTCAAATTTTGTCATTAGTTGGTCAAGAATGCTCTTGCCATGGACATCGATAGCCTTGATCGAGGCATCTAGCATCTCGCTTCTCACTGCGCCATTCTTGTCCCCAAGAGGACCGGCGCCAATGAGAAAGTCGAATAAAGGGTCCAGATGCTCGATCTTGAGGACTGGAGAGAGTTCTTTGAAGGCAGTTGCGATACCTTGCCTACCCTCCCAAGGATCAGAGAGGTCCATCTTCTTGGGCATTCCAAATTCATCTAGGAGTTGAACTCGTGGCTTGGCAAGCTCTGCATAGGTGGATTTGAGCTGATCGAGCACAGCATCTAGAGAGTCATTGTGCAAGCTGGAAGCTTCGGCAAGGGAACGAGCAGCGCTACGACGCAATTGCCCGTCTTTGCTCTCAAGGAAGGGCAGCATCCTGAGTGGCACCTCGGCTGTCACTTCAAAGCCGCTCTCCTCCCAGATCTCATGACCAAGGTCCTGATTCTCTTCCTCGTCATCATGAGTGGCAATCCAAATCTCATCAGAATAGCCGAGCTCGCTCATATCGACATCGGCACTGATCGATTGCAATACTGTGGATCTAACTCGAGTTTCAGGTACCAAAGCACCCTTCGCAAGAACCATCATCTCCTCGCGGTTCATGTTAGGGGCGATGCAGCGGCACATATCAGCAAAACAATCCTTGAGAAGTTTGTAATGCTGGGCATAAGCCTGCATGGAACTGATAAGAACCGAAAGAAGTTCGGCTCGGGGAACGGCCTCATCGCTGCAAACATCTGTGTGGTACGAAAGAAACTCGATTGCCAGTACTAGCTGAGCATCTGCATCATCCGGTGAATCACCAACTCCCCCCTTACGAAGGAGGTCCAACACAAGTGGGAGTGCGTAGATAAGTGATACGGAGTCGAAAGGTCGCTGCTCGCCCGCAAATCGCAAACGATACAGTACTCTTGTGATGAGATCCTCAACAGCTTCTTCCTGGTAGTTTTCCGCTAGTGAAACACCACGCAGTCTAAGGGCTGCAACTCCGACGAAAGGTCTCATCGAACCCAGGCGCTCGGTAACCTTTTCAGCGCAAGTGATATACGTGAGTGGGGCCGCATCGCCAGTAATTAACGTGGCACCGGCGTCCATAATACCAATCAGAAGAGATACTGCAGTGCCGAGCCACTGGGTAGCATCTGTTGGCGGACCAGTGGCAAGACTCTGGATGATGCCAATTCCCCGCAAAAGTCTTGCCTCGATCTCGGTTATCGATTGTCTGATCTGGCTCTCTTTCTTGAGCTGGGCGTTGACCTTTGCGTTCTCTTCGGGCGTAATTTTCTTCTGCTGGCCCTTCTTCTTCTCGAGCTGACTCTTCAGTTCTTCCTCCCATTTGAGGATATCATAGTCTTTTTTGTTTTTATCCAGACCCTGCTGAGACTTCTTTGCAAGCACATCGACAAACGCAGTACCCTCGGGTGTTCTAAAGATAGCAGCTTCAACTGGGCCGATGTCTTGTAGTTGTGAGACGTTGAGATCCCGGCGAAGGGTTTCCAGAAGGCGCGAAATGATGGTTTCGGGAGCGACGAAAGCTAAATCAGCAGCTGCATTATACGCGGCCTTCTTGATGGCGTCAGTCTATCGAAAGGGTTAGTAAGTTGAGCCAATGCAAAGAGCGCCTGAAGTTCAAACCTTTTGATCAAATGATGTCTTGTTTTCTATTTCTGCTACAAGTTCATCTTGGTACTTTGTGACCAGTTCGCCAGGATCCAGTTCCATTCTCAGGCACAATTCGATCCAGTTCGCCCGAGGAATCAGCTCCTGGCGTGCTAGAACAAGCAGGCTATTGGCTTGGGATTCAAGGTCTTCTTTGGCAATGGTTTTCTCATACTTTTCTACATCATTGGGTGTCAAGCAGATCGATTTCACCACTTGAATGAGGTTGTGAGAATCCGATGAATGCCCCCTATTGTGAGATCCAGACAGCTTAACATGATCCCAAAGCCCATCGATAATGAAACCAGATACCAACTTTGGTTCATGGACGTACAGGCCAGAAAGGGTTTTAGAGGTCTCCTGCTGTACACTTACGGGAACACTTTGCGCGGAAATCAGATAGATAATTGCTTCAGACCAAGCAAGAGCCACCTGACCGTCCGAATTTTGCTCCAGGCTCTGAAATACGGAACTCAGAGCACGTGAAAACCACACAAGATCCTCTTCGATTGTGATCTTGGAGTAGATTCGATGGCTAAGGAGGAAGGATGACTTGGGATCCAAGGATAACGATTGCTTGGTAACCGATGCCTGCTTCAAACTTGAATCGGCTGCAGAACCAGGAAGTAGTCGCTGGATGTGCGGACTGACGGCCGTCAAGATGTATGCGCCAACAATGAGGCCACTCTGAGCAGCGGTGGCTGCATTGGCTGTCACTTCTGTGAAGGTGGCAGCGATCTTTGGTACTACTGCCTCTACAAAGGCCACCATGCCTGGGGATACTGACTCAACACCGGCAAGGGAGTGTAGAATAACACCGACACGAAGCAACCAGTATTTTCGAGACGGGATCTTCTTCTCGGCAAGCCCCTTAGTGACCGAATCCAATACAGCCTTCGGGACTTCACCGTCGTTGGCCAGAAGGAAAGTCACAGCCTTCGCCAATGCCGAGGTTTCCGCAGCCAGAGCGCTCTCGTTCCCCTCCTTGGCAGCAATGAGGGATATCGCGCTTGCGACCTGCTCAGCACTTGACATCGAGAGAGGCGCAGCTTCGAGCATCTGCGCATGCAATATACGGTGATCAGGAGAAGCAAGCTTGCCAGATTTCAGGGGTGTTGCGATTTCGTTGATGACCTTCTCTAAAGATGCAGTGCTGCTAGACTTGTTGACTAGGACGCGGAAAGCATCCAGGGCACAAGTACGAATAGCTGGGTTGGTGGACTTTGCATTCGACAAGAGCGGTTTAAGCAAATTCTTTTCGAGGATGTTGGAAAGATCGAAGCTGTCAGGAAGAGAGCGGACAAGAGGTGTTACGACACCACCGAGAATGACCTCAGGGGCACGTAGAAGGCCTTTCTCAAGGGCGGGAACTAATTCTTTAGATATTTCTTCAAGAGTTGCAAACGAGGTAAAAAAGTCACCGAGACCCAGTACCAGGTGCTCTGGGACAGCAGTGCGAGAACCAGTAATTTCTCTGGTGAAAAACTCGTAGTACTTGGGCTTGAGGGATTCGAGAACTGGTCGCAAGTGATCCTTCCTAGCAGATACACCAGCAATAACACCGAGCAAGACAGCATTTCTGGGGGTGGACTGCGCACCCTTCGTAGCCAGTACATCAACAGAAGCAGAAAGTCTCTTTTCACTCAACTCGAGGGATGAGAAAAGTTTTCGTAAACCTCTCCTTGTAACAACAATGGCGGAGTGGGCAACCGATTTCCTTGAGACTGACTGGTGACACTTCTCCAGAGCATCAGCTTCAGTTAGGATGATGTCAGAAGCAAATTGGTCCCATAATGAAGCATCAAGATGCTGCATAAACAAACTGCACCATTCCACAAGAACAAATGCGTTAGTAGGAGCAATGCCATGCTTCTGGCTCTCTTTGCGCAAGGCGGCAATGAGCGGGGCGATGGTTTTGGAATCGACACCAGCAGTTATCAGGGCTATCAAACACTTCTGAACAGACAAGCGGGACTGCCTATCAGTATAGAAGGCATGTGTACCAAAGAGGAGCGGCAGGAGACGTGTGATTGAAGTGCCATCGAGAGCTGTGGAACAAAAGTCAGTTATCCTATGAATACAGCCTTAGAGAACCACTAGGACTTGCGCACATTTCTGGGTGAGTCTCTCTTCAATTGAGCGCAACTGGGTTATTCGGGTAGCGGTCGAGGAGGAGGCAAGGGCCTGTTTGACGGCGGCGATGTCGAGGTCGGCCGAAGCGCCGGAGTCGGATGAATCGCCTTTAGACATTCTGGAGATCAGAGACGGGAGTGGACTTGTGGTTTAATGAGCTCATCTGGGGCTACCGGAGCTCACAAACGCCAGATCTGAGGCGTGAATCCTCGGTCGGGGTGGGAGGAAGGAGAACAAGCGATTTTGGTGATCAGACTGAAGGTGGTGTTTTGGTTTTTTTGTGCACCAAATCCGTCGAGTGAGAATGGAAATATCGAGATGGACTGACCCCACGTCGAAGCAACAGGTAGCACCTTACTAACCTAACGCTGTTTTTACGTGGAGCTCTACATTGCCCTCCAAAAACCTCTACCATGCCCAAGCACCGGGCCTTCGCACCTACCTATAGCTTGGTGGGGTTAACAGCCCTGGGAGTGTTCAGTTGTCCACTATCATTCCCCGTATGACGCATCGCCGGCTAGTGGAGACACAGTCTAGAGGCATCCATACCTCAAGCCCAACTGTATCCGTACCTCTTTGAGTGATAGAAGCCAAGCAGCGAAGCAACATGAGGTGTGGGATGTTTTGCCTTGGACAAGCTTACAGATCCGATACAAACTGAGATATTATCGACATTGATAAGACAATCCGACCGAGTAAACTCAGATGCTTTATTTGCCATTGGGTCTTAACACACGAACTTCGATTAAGGTATCCATCCTGCACCATCGCTGTCAGCTACCTCTCTCGTCCTCAAAAAAGATATCCACAACCGAAGATCAAAGCCCTTGCGTCACGACCTCCACCTCGATCACTTCACTCTTGCACCCTAGACTGCCTATCCTTCACTGCTTGCTGGATTGAGAATTTGAGAATTCTGATGACTCCAAACCAGACCCTGGGGTGGTGAGAACTGTAGGGAAACAAAAATCTTTGGGTTCATCTGCAGATTTCTCCCTCATGACACCTCCAATCTAGAAAGGGTTTCATTCTTTGCCAATTCTTCACATTAACTTTACCGCCTGCTCGGTTTTCTTTTCTTCCAGTCGCTAACCAATATGGCTGGTGCAAAGAAGAAGAAGAAGCCCGCCGCCAATCCAGCTCGAGGCTTTGCGACTACCTCGGTTGCTTCCAAGCCCAGGCCTGAAGTTGTTGAGTCCGACACGAAGCCTACTGCCGCTAAAGGCCAAAATGCCCCTCCATCAACGCAGAAAGATGCCCCTCCATCGTCATCCGTGACCTCTGGCGATGCGACGAGCAATGGCAGTACCCAGGAAAAGGCGCTGAGCCCCGAAGAGTTTGAAAAGCATCTGGAGGAATCCGAACTGCAATTGCTCGTTGAGAAACATGCAGCCAAAACAAAGAAAGATGCCCAACGTCAACGGACCCGTCTCGATACTGACCGTCGTCTTCTGCGTGGTCAAGCCGATTCTATCAATAGCTTCAAATGGCTGTCCCCGGACTTAATGGACCATATACTCGATCTGATACAAGCAGAGAATCGATTCGCAGCTTCGAGCCTGTCTGCAGCTGACAATGCTGGCGCTGGCAAGATGCCTCCTGAAGAAGATACCGTTATTCGTCTTTGGACTTTGCAGCAGACTCTGACCGCGATCGAATTTCCCGCCGAGCGTGTCGCTGCCGTTATACGGTACATCCTCGACATAGCGCCGAATGTAGTGTCTACAAATAGGGATTCAATCTGGGGACTCGAAGAAGCCCTCGACTGGCTGGCCCGAGAATGCAGAGTCGAGGAACTGCCACGTTATGAACCACGATCGAAGCATATTCCTAAAAGCACAACCGGTTTGTCTCACAAAGCTGAAAACCTCTTCTCTACTCTGACCGCTTTCATGTTATAGATACTCCCCAAGAGAGCCCAGCACCCAGTCGCTCGAGTACCCCTCGTCACATGGATCCACGAAGTGGTCGAAAGAACAAGTCTGCTGGGGGTAAAGGTCGACCAGGCAAGGCATCTTCGCCCATCAAAAAGATGGTGGTAACTTGTGATAGTGATATAGAGCCTGACGAGCTTGTTTCGAAGTACTTGGAGACTAGAGCAAAATTGCTGGAACATGAACGAGGCCATAACCGATTGGATAGCTCCAAAGTCGCAGAATCTGACGAGGAACTTGCTGTCGCAAAACTTGAAGCCAAGATTAGGAAGATTGAATCTGACGTCCTGTTCGACAAGTATGAAGCTGACCAACAGTGGAAAACTCAAAGGGTTGATTTAGAGAGGCAGTTTGCCGCCGCAAAGCAAGAATATCAAGATCATGCTGCTGCGAACGAAGATGGAGAAGATGAATTAGCTCCTGAAGAATCAGACGACGATATCAACAAAGAAGCTGAGCGTGTTGCTGCCGAAATATTGGCAGAGACAAACGATGAAGATGAAGACGGAATTGGTGGGCTATTCGCATCTCTGCCACAGAACGAAGTCGATGCAAGCACAGGCGAGAGTCGTACGGTTGTCAACTCAGCTGACGGCAAGCAAATCGTAATTCGAGATTTCGGGAAAACGACAGGCATCAGTCCTCGGAGAGCTCTAGAGGAAGCGTGCCGTTCAAGGTAAGATCATCCATTATGGTTACTTCATGCAGAGAAGTTGTGCTGATCATAGAACACAGGGACTCCTCTGCCAAGCTATCATATACCATCATGTCAGATGCCTCCTTCGCCAATCGGCATTCTGTTGAAATCATCTGGAACAAACCCCAGGAACTTCCTCCCCCGGCGGCATCATCAGACGTCGAAGTTGTAGCGGACCCCTACCGATTCACCTTCACGATGACAGGCATTGCAACGCCGGATGCCAAGCAATCTGAGTCGTATATCTCCACCGCAGCTTTGTTTTACACGTTTAGTGGCAACACCAAGGACGAAAAAGTCGTTATCAGACTTGCTCATGTTTGGAAGGACGTTTGGGCCGAGTTAGCTGAAGCCAGGAAAGCACAGGTAGACGAACAAGACAGGGATGTGGTGGGAGACTTGAGGGCTCTGGTTCGCCAACGACATGATCAGGAGCTTGAAGATGGTGTCATAATCCAAGGAGCATTCCGGGGACGCGGAGCTAAGCATGTCAACGATTCTGGCGATGATGGTGGCCAAGATCGGTTGAGGCAAAACACTACAAATGGGGAGCAGTACCAGAAGATCTGGGCCGAGAAGTCCAGCACACGCAAGTTCCAAACAATGTTGGTCAGTAATGTGATAAACAGCTGCCTTGATTAATACTGACCAAACTAGCAATCCCGAATGCAACTCCCTATGTGGAGTTTTAGAGAGCAGGTTTTGACCGCCGTTGACAATAACCAGGTGGTCATTGTCTGCGGCGAAACTGGATGGTACGTTATTCCAGCTTGTCTATTTTCAAAGACGTTCGACTAACCATCTAATAGTGGAAAAAGTACCCAAGTACCCTCATTTCTGCTCGAACATCAACTCTCCCAAGGAAAACCTTGCAAAATCTATTGTACAGAACCCCGACGAATTTCAGCCATTTCTCTTGCTCGTCGTGTAAGCGAGGAGCTTGGTGAGAACAGGAACGATCTTGGGACAAACAGGTCTTTGGTGGGCTATTCTATTCGATTGGAAGCGAACACCTCAAGAGAAACAAGACTGGTGTTTGCAACAACGGGTATCGTAATGCGAATGCTTGAGGGCTCCAATGATCTTCAGGAGGTAACCCATTTGGTACTCGATGAAGTACACGAGCGGTCAATCGATAGCGACTTCCTTCTTATCGTCCTGAAAAAGCTTCTGTTAAGGCGTAAAGACTTGAAGGTTGTCCTCATGTCTGCTACGGTTGACGCAGACCGCTTCTCCGCTTACCTTGCTGGTGCACCAGTTCTTAACGTCCCTGGGCGAACATTCCCAGTTCAGGTCAGGTACCTCGAAGATGCTATTGAACTCACTGGATATATGCCTGCAGATGCTGAGCCGGACAAGATGGTCGACCTCGACGACGACCCGGCTGAGAGTGAAGGGGAAAATACCAAGAGCGATATTTCAAAAAGCCTCGCAGGGTATTCGCCAAGAACTCGGTCTACACTGGCTCAGATTGACGAATACCGGATTGATTTCGATCTAATGCTCCAGTTAATTGCTCAAGTTGCAATTGACGACAACCTGCAGGACTTCAGTAAAGCCATTTTGGTATTCTTACCAGGCATTGCGGAGATTCGTACTCTAAACGACATGCTGCTTGGAGATCCTCGATTTGCAAAAGACTGGCTCGTATATCCTTTGCATTCGACAATAGCAACAGAGGATCAAGAGGCAGCATTTCTTGTTCCACCACCGGGCATTCGTAAGATCGTTCTCGCCACCAACATCGCCGAAACTGGAATCACTATTCCTGATGTTACATGTGTCATCGATACTGGCAAGCATCGCGAGATGCGGTTCGATGAACGACGTCAACTTTCGCGACTGATTGATACATTCATTTCCAGGGCAAACGCAAAACAAAGACGAGGCCGTGCGGGTCGTGTCCAAGAAGGTTTATGCTTCCACATGTTCACCAAATACCGCCATGATAATTTGATGAGTGACCAGCAGACGCCAGAGATGCTCCGACTTTCGTTGCAGGACCTGGCAATTCGGGTCAAGATCTGTAAAATTGGAGGGATCGAAGAGACCTTGGGTGATGCTCTCGATCCGCCCTCGGCCAAGAACATTCGTCGAGCGGTTGACGCTCTTGTGGATGTTCGTGCCCTGACCCAGGCCGAGGAACTAACGCCACTTGGACATCAACTGGCCCGATTGCCTCTGGATGTGTTTTTGGGGAAACTCATCTTGTATGGAGTCATTTTCAAATGCTTGGATATGGCCATTACCGTGGCTGCAATTCTTTCTTCAAAATCACCTTTCTCTGCGCCATTTGGACAGCGCACTCAAGCAGACAACGCCCGCATGGCTTTCCGCCGCGGGGATTCTGATCTTCTTACTATATCCAACGCCTACATGGCTTGGAAGCGAGTATGCCAGTCTACTGGTGGTGGAGGAAAGGAATTCCAATTCTGCCGCAAGAATTTTTTGAGCCAGCAAACACTGGCTAACATTGAAGATCTCAAAGGACAACTTCTTACTTCTCTGGCTGATTCTGGCTTCCTTGCTCTCACAGAAGAAGAAAGACGGGCACTATCACGAGCTCGATTTTCTGGTGGCCGAGGACGAAGGCAGCAGCAATTCTACGACATACCCAGAAGAGTCAATCTCAACAGTGACAACGATATCGTCTCAGCATCAGTTATAGCCTGGAGTTTCTATCCCAAGATCTTAGTCAGAGATGTACCAGGATCGAGGGGCCTAAGAAACATCGGTACAAACCAATCGATCAGTCTCCATCCGTCGTCTGTCAACCGAGGCCGTCATGACCTTCGATGGCTATCGTACTACCATATCATGCAATCCAGGGCGTGAGTATCATTAACCCTCAAGCCTCATGAGTGAACTGACATCCGTTGTAGGGTATACCATGCCCATGAGGCTACATCTGTAGAAGCATTTGCCATCGCGCTTTTGTGCGGTGATGTACGATGTGATGTAAGCTCTTCTGCCCCTCTTCTTTTCAACGTGATGCTGATATGAATATTTAGATGTATTCTGGAGTAATTGTTCTCGACGCGAACCGAGGTCGTTTTACTGTTCCTGATTGGAAGACAATGCTGGTCATGAAGGTCCTTCGAACAAGGCTCCGAGAGCTTCTCACTCGGTCTTTCAAACAGCCAGGCAAATTGCCCACTGCTCAGCAAGAGAAGTGGCTTGATGTTTGGCAAAGAATCTTTACGCAGGATTTCGGACAAGATAGATCCACTACGGGAATGACGACCAAGACATAAACGGAAGCGCATGGATGTAATACATTGTCGTTTAATCTTGGAATCGAAGGGTATTCGAGGTAACAGAGAACACGGACAACACGCCTGGAAGTCAGCATATATGGTATATACAGATGTTTTAAGGGGAGGCAAACGCCTACAGCGACAAGCGTTCCTCCAAGTGCAACAGCCGAACAGGTCAACAAGCTTCAAACTTTAGAAGGGTGGGTGGACAAGGTATTGAATGAGTCACTGGAACAGCAAAAGGCATGGTACTTTCCATCTAATTTCTATAGTTCAGTTGCTCACATTCAACAACTAATCCGTACCACCCCATTTATAAAATCTCCGTCCCGTCCGTTTCCGTTGTTTTCTTAAAAGCCCCCCTGGATATCATTGAAATTGTGATAAATTACATTATGCTACGGAGTACATCATCTTGCACTCAAAACCAGCATTCATCTCCTTGTTCACGACTCACTTTCATTCTTAGCCCCTTCACCCCCCTTCTCATTCTCCTTTTTGCCTTTGCTACTAGCAAGGAACATGGCCTTGAAATCGGCGTTACTCTTGGCTGATGTATCGGCATCGCCATTCTGTGCCGCCTTGGCGACACTGGGCTTGAACCCAAGGCCACGACGCGGGCCGGGTTTACCCAGCACAGGTCGCCGGACGGTGGTCGGCGGAGGCATGAGCATAGTTGACGAAGGACCAGCATGCTTAGGCTTTTGATCTTTGCTCTTTTCTTTCTTGCCGTAGACAATACGGTCCTCGACATGCTCTGCTTTGGCATGCCGAAGCTCATCCAATGTGCCCGTTCGAAGCTTATGACCCTCAAACTCTATACTATTTAGCTTCATACTCGCCTTGCCCGCGGTGGCTGCGTCGGCAAACTCGATCTTGGCTCCACCGTTGCCAGGTGAAACGATCAACTTGACGATAGCACCTAAAGGCTCAACAAGTGCGCGAACGCGTGCATTGTTGACCGTGTCAGGTAGACCCATAAGAGCAATTGTTCTTGCAAAGATGTCTTCAGATGTTGGTTTATTCTGGGCCTCGTTGGGGGCGTCTTGCATAGTTTCATCGCCCTCGGCATCGTGGGAAGAAGGTGCTGGCGAGCCTCTGGCATTGTCCGTAACAATGGTCTTGGATATCGGTTTGACCTTTGACTCCTTAGAAAGAGCAACTTCAAGAATCTGGCTCCTGAATTTGGTGTTGTTCATCTCCGCCACAGCCTTCTCGGCCTCGTCTTTGGTTGCAAAGTCCATGAATGCAAATCCCTTGTTCTTTCCTGCCAGGGTCTGAGGAATGTTGACTCTCGTGACAGTGCCATACTTGGAAAAGACATCCTTCAAATCAGCCTCGCTTGTTGATCGGTCCAGATTGCTGATATGAATCTCTCGGCCTTCAGCAAGTGCGCCTTCACGAGCCTTTTTGTGGCTGGGGTCGGAATATTTAGCCAGGAGCTTGTAGCGACCCTCGAGAATAATGCCTTCTTTCTTCACAGCCTTTGCCGATGACTCTTGATCTCGGAACGAGATGTAACAAAACCTTCGGTGTGCATTAACCTTCAGGCTTGGCCACCTCACGCTCAAGATTTCACCACAATCTTTGAAAATGTCACGAATGTACGCTTGATCGGCAGCAGGGGGGTAGTTCGCAACGTATACTGTCAAATCATGGCCTGATCTGACAGTAAGTTGGGACTGGCCAAAGTACTTCCCATCTCTCAGCAATGCCGACTGAGCTTCCTCGGGCGACCTAAATTCGATGAGGGCTGTTGAGGATTCCGCGTTCTCCTCACGAAAGAAGGCAGTGATGTTGTTGATGTGGCCATAATCCTTGAAGTACTGGCGAACCTTTGTCTGCGTAACATCACCAGGGAGATTCAAAACAAGAATGGTTGCGTTCTCTCTGTCTCTCTTCGGAGGCTCGATTTGCTCTGTTGTAGAGGCCTGCGCAGGCTGCTGTCCATTGGTCTCGTTCTTTTGTCGTTTACTGTCGCTTTCGGACCCGTCCGTGATTCCTTCTTCAAAATCCCTCTTCCTCTTAGAACTACCTGGTGATTTTGCCTCCTGATCCTGCTCTTGGACACTAGGGGCAGTGTAATAAGCAACATAGGCCGCTGCTTTTTCCTGTTCTTCGCGTTCTCTGCGTCTTTTCACATCTTTCCCTGTCTTGTGCACCCGATCAGCTGCTTTTCGCAAAGGCAGCGGCATCTCGTAATCGTTGCAATGCTGCATGTAAACTTCCAGAGCCTTTTCAGGCCAGTCAAGAGTTCTACGAGCAACAGCGCGGGTTAGAACCGCAGTTGCCAAAGTTGGTATTCGATAACTCCCGCCGCCAGACGAAGGTGTGGGACTTCTATTGTCCTGGCCACTGGCGGATGAAAAGATGAGCATTTCCCACATGTAGTACCGGAACCAAAAGTCGTGATTATCTGCGTGGACCTGAAGGGAGGCGAGCTTATTCCATTGAGCTCTAGCCTCATCAATGGCACCTTTCTTCTCTGTGAGATACTGAATGTAGATACGCTCAAGCCGGAACTTGGGATCTCCCTGAAAGTCCTTGCCGTAGAGTCGTTTTCCTACGACTGATACATCCTCGAGAGCGGCTCCGAGACCCACGTCAGCAACGTCGACAGCCTCATCGGAAGCGGTAGCATCCATGGCATTGCGTCTAAGAAAGCCACACCAGGCCACATACATCTCGATCATACCCTCCATGCCATCTTTGACCAATTGATCCTCACATGTTGCAGCGTGCTTGATAGACTCAACTTCTCCAAATGGAAGTCTGGCTTCCTCAGCGCACATGATGTATCTGTTCCAGAGAGGACCAGACCAAGGGCAATGTTGAACGGATCTTTGGAGCACATCAAGTAGACTGCTTGGTGCCTGAAGATCAGTATTAGACGAGGAGAGAAAGACAACGTAATCGTGCCAGGTGTCCTGATCTGTGGCAAGAGCGCCGGTAAGAGCGCGGGCATAAAGTCCACGACATAAATCGATTCCGATTTCAGGGCTGTCGTTACTGCGTCTGCTCTGAAGCATTTCCCACTCAAGATACGTGTTGAATGCGGTTTTCTGAGCTTCGCGATCACCAGCGTCTACCGCTTTCTTTAGAACAGATTCGTAAGGTTCGCGGGCAGCGATCAGTCGCTTCGTCTCCTGGGCGTTGGTGGTAACATCCTTCATGGAATCCTCCCAGGCAGCACGATTGTATTCGGAAAGAAAAGTAGAAAAGTTCTGAGATGTTTCGTCCCAGGTGAGGTGAGGAGTCAGCAGACGATCGCGATACAGGTGAGTGATGCGCTTGATGCCTTCGGGGGTTCTCGCTGTAGCTAGCAAATCCATCTCAAGTGATGCCCAGCGGTCCCACAGCAGATGACTGTCACCAAGGCGATAGCGAATAGCTTTATAGCCTTGCTGCCACAGGTCGAGGGCGCCTTCAAAGGAGAAGAGCTCTCGGCCAAGCATGCGCTCCTCATCAGACCAACCATTGCCAGTAGGCGCTTGGAAAGCTTCCCATAAGGACCAGAAGTAGTTGCAGTAGGCAAGCCAGATGCGCAGGCTGCCGGGCTCGGCACCGACAGCGCGTTTGTAGTGCTCGACGGCATTCACTCGCTGTTCGAGGTCGGAGGCGTTGCGGACGATCTCTTCGATGTAGGCGAGCCAGTCGTCTTCGCCTATTAGGTTAGCCATTGTTGTGGCACGCGAGGATCAGATCAACAAGCGCATCACACGATGCTCCCGATTTGTATGATAAAGGCGTCAGCAGTAGCGCATGGGGTGGTTTGTAGTAAAAGTGAGCGGCAGTTGCTGGGCTCGTAGAAAGTATATGAGAGGAGATAAAGGTCGAGGAAGGAGTATAGCAGGCACGTGTCTGTCGATGGTGTCGCGAAGTTGCTCGGATCCAAGGGAAGGGACGGAGATGAACCAAAGTTGGTGGAATTTGTAGAAGGAGAGACTAGAAAGCTTGAAAGAACCGCGTCCCGGTGGGAAAGGAAGGCCAGACTGCCTAGGATTGATCAGCAGTTGCCTTGTGTGAGTCGAGTCTCGAAGATTGCGCGCGTGGAGTACCTAAGGTAGGAGAAGAAAAAAGGGCTCCAGCTGCTCTCAATAATTCGACACCTTAGGCTAGTGACTAACTTAGCTCGCCTTAACTTAGCACAGGGATGCGCATTTCCCAGAAGGACGGGAAGCGAGCTGGAGGGTCGTGGAAATGATGTAATCAGCTAGGGTTCACTCAAGGTAGATATACTTTGGCCATTTCGGCTGTGTGAAAATTGTTTCCCAAAGTTTGTGTCTGGACACGTGGAAAATATACGATTGAAAGAAGAGTTTGACCTGGAGCATACATTACCCCACTGCCTGGTACGATCAAAAGCAGACAATCCCTCATCTTCACACCGGCACTGGCAGCATTGTAGCAGGTCTGTAAAGGGTCCAGCTAAGAGTCATTGACGTATCAAAAGTACCGTTACATAGGCACGAGGCCCCATTGTCGCTGAGCCGATCCCTTTCCCAAAACACACAAGCTCACTAAGAATCTAGACCATTTCGACTCGGTCCCTCTGCACTGGTCGCGCCCATTTCTCCGTCTGAGTAGTTATTCCCGGCGCACGGGCAGGGTCGGGCTGCCGGTCTTCAAAAATCCCCGACCCAAACACTAAAAGGATCAAAGGATTGACTCGCTAAAGCATGATCTTCTTTGATTTCAACCACTTTTTTCAAGGCGATGAATGCATTTAAACGCAGAAACCGTGGGGCAGCAACAAAAATAAGCAATGGCCACAAATTGAGGTTTGTGTTGCACGTATTGGTATCGAGCCACACTCTTGAAAGTACGAAATAAGCTCAACCAGTCATCATCGTTCTACTGACCTATACAACAAACAAGTTTCACAAAACTCGCTATTTCAGCTGACTTTCTAGCCTAATTTTTTGCCAAGAATATTGCTTCATGGTCCTATTATATTCCACTGCCAAACATTCGTACATCTTCCAGGTTATAATACTCTTTACTGCTTGTGGACATCTGGAACTGCATACCCCCTACCTGCTAATACGGAGTATGTCGCCCTTATATAGTAGTCATGCTGAGCCGGTTTTAACGACAACAATCAATATCATAATATCGTTCTGTTAACAAAACCGATTCGTAAGTTCTATCAAGATTCTAGACCACACTAGCTCTCTTGGCGACGCCCTGCGACTTGCTGATCACCCGCTGAAGCCTTCCCAATGCTCCATCTGGTGGTGAGCATTAATCTCCCAATAAACGAACTATCTAGACAACCGGATGCATGAACCCGAACGATAACATCGCCTTTCTATAGTAGTCCCAGACGCCAGTGAACTCGAATGACGTTGACAAGAACTGCATGACTATATATGCTATCTATAAGTATATGTTTTACGAGTCCTTTTCATATCAACGATCATAACGCTGTATAATATCACTATAAAAGCAACAATGGCATGGCTTGAGGCCCAGGCCATGTTATGCATCGCTCTCGAAGCGGTGGCCACTTGCAATCCAAAGTGTCTCACAAAGGACCATGCTTGTGTGTCCGAAGTTCAACGTGGCGATGGTTATGGCATCTATCTACGGAGCGCTTTTCTTTTTGTTGGGGCGGGCGGCTACCAATCTCTCTTCGTCTATGAAATCCAGAGCTTCGCCTTCTCCAGCTTTGTGAGAGGGTCTCGTAGTTAACAGAACTTTAGCTCTCCAACATGAGCATGTCGTATCGACTAGCATAACTGCCCACGAACACTCGCAGGAGAGGACCCAGTAGTAGGAAGTCATTAATATCACAACGCAGTACATATGTGAAGGACCCTCCGTAAATAGTCAACGAGTGACATACCGCAGCTTCCGATGAAGCAGCTGAAAATGATATCATTGGACAAATGGAGGTAACTTTGAGGCCTCTTGTCGATCAGCAAAAAGACTAATACGCGCTGCAACGACTGCCCGGATGTGGGGGGTCGAGGGCTTAAAAGAATCTCAACAATCAGGTATTGCCTGCATAATAATTCTATGCGGCTGTATCGTGATCATGGTAATAAGGACACGGCTTCACAGTAAATATGCTTTTTCTTTGCTATATCTCATCTTACTTCGATCCCTCTACGGATACGTACGTTCACATTTCCCAATCCCCTATGTCAGGTCGGCTAGAAGGACCCCCTAGACGCTATTGTTTCGCACTAAGACGAGCATGATGGGTACGTATCATGCAATTACACTGAATCGCATTCAAGATGAAACAAAATCTTGGACATCAGTAATACATACATACTTGTTCCTGTGTCGAGCCAAAGTGAGTTCGCGGAAAGAGTGTACCTAGTCTAAGCCCTACAAACGGCTCTTTCATGTTGTTGAGGCTTTTCAACGATGTTACAATTGCGACAGGGCAGCAGCGTGAGAAGCCGTCCTTGGGGACAATGGCACAAACCGTGAACTGATGATGCTGGGTAAATCCCTGAGCTGGTTTAAAGCCTTCCCTCTGCACATAAGCGCGCCATTGTTACACAGTTGAGAGACAAGTGTGTGTCATCGTTGTTTCGCTATTTCTGCGGCTGGCATAAGGAGCCGCCCAGAGAGCAGGGCCAGGAGTTGTGAATTGTCGATGGCCTGACGATTGCATCTAATGCGTCATAACATTTGTTTGTTTTTGGAGCCACTCTCAGCCTCACGGCTTAGTACCATATACAAGTACCTAATAACCCTCGACATCAGTCGTGAAGTGACTGCGTAAAATGGTACGTATAGTATCGAGATTTGAGCTCCACTGCGGCTGTCATCTGGCGTTACTCCATAAAGTCTCCAGGGTCTGGTCTGGGATAGGGTCAGCGGTCTGCGGTCTGCGGTCTGCGGTCTGCGGTCTGCATTGTACTCAGTGCCAGAGTGCCTCCTCGCTCGTTCACCAAGTAGTCTAGGTCAGTTGCATTGACTTGGTGCCGGATCCTGGGTGATTTGGCTGGCATTATTATGGGGCATGGCATGCCGAAGCTAGGATGCGGCTTGTACATCCCAATAAAAGTGACAAAGCCCTCTCTGGGTGGCTTGCATAGAACGATGCTCTTTGTTGAGTGAGTGTTTCGTTTCTGCAGCTCGCAGTGAATTTCTGGTTTCGCTTGAGCGTTATCTGTTGAAGCAGGGCTTTATTTGCGGCCAATGTGCCCGTCTCACTTGTGTTAGAGAAGCAGATCAAGAAACAGGAGCAACAGAGCGCATAAGAAGTCGTCTGAGGGATGAGATGCTGCAATGCATGGGCTGTGGAGAGGCCAAGATATTAAGTAGATGATGGTGGCAGAGAAGGCAAAGGGGGGAGGAAGCAAATAGAGAAGAGGGAACAATACGAATGCCCTAGGCCATCACCTGCGGTAATTAATAACGCAATACGGAGTACTCCGTACGTCAAAAGGGATCTGAAAAAAGGCAGTCTCTTGCTGGTTTATGCAGGTACACATCAGCATCAGGGCATCCATATTCCAAGCCCGCGTAGGTTGCCAGATGAAACAAGCCAGCCTACCTGGCAAGATGGTCATTGGGCAATAAACTGGTAAACTTCCTGAGTTGTGCTGTGCTGGACGCTAGTACCTGGCGCCAGTAGAACAGTAAAACCCCGCCCGCTAGCAACCCTATCCCGGCCCTGAATGGCAGCTTTCTTTGCTTAAACTCGCCCTAGATAGAGGCTGATTGGTCCCCTTTATTGGGGTACGGAGGTAGAATAAACGTTGATGGCAGCGCTTGTCAGTTTCATGGCATCCCCATATGAGTGTCGAGTGTCACATTGTGGTTGTGAATGGTGCTGCAAAGCCTCCACAGGCGCACCTACACAAAGAATTTACGACAAAGAGAAATACTGAATATGGAGATGCAGAGGGAACAACAGAGCATTTGATTGGTAGTCGCCGGAGCTGAGGAGGGTCCCTGGCCGCCTGGGAAGGATCTGATACCCGTTGAGCTGGGTCGCCCTTGTCTATACATAACTTCCATAACTGCACTGAACTCCGTGTTTCATTCTTCACTTCCGCTTCCATTATTATCATTCTCCTTCTTCTTATTTTCACCTGCCCTCTACTACAGCACTTCCAGGGCCCTGCATTCTTTCTGAACTCTGTGTACACTGTAATCTTACCAGGTCCCCCGTTCTTTTCCCCAGTCGCTGTCCACTTCATTCCTCGGCCAGGCCATTTCGCTCACTCCAGCTCGTCTCATCTTATTATTCCATTCTCCCTTTGCTTGTGGTCGTCACTCGTCACTCGTCACTCAAACCACGCAAACCCACCTTTTCTCTCGCTCCTGTTCTCCAACAGCTTCTCTTCTACTTACGTCCTTGACGTGACTTTATTCAACTTCTCACCACCACCTTCTTTTGTGCCGGACCCTTTCACTCTTTCAAGTGTGTCCCACGCCAACGCTCACCGTCCAACTCAGTCATTCCTTGTGGTCAATTCTCTTCATTTTCTTTTTTCTCTATCTCGCCCAATTTCAAACCGTTTCCCAGGCTTGGCCGACGACAACGGATCCGTAAACACGACACTTTCATTCGTATTCTTCTCGGGGGCTTGCATCTGATGCTGCATCGAGTACCACGTTAAACCAAGCCACTGCTGTTACCTTGCACGACATTACCCGATATCTCGTCTTTCCTTTCCACTTGAAGGTTTCTTTTCCGACAATTCTTAGTGTTCGTTACTTGATCTGCCTGCGGCATTTACTCTTGCTTTCGCCAACGTCAGCCATTATTGCCGCCATTCTCATGTTCAGGCTTGGTATCGAATCTCGCGCCTGACTTTACTCGGCTTGTCCATTATTCAACCACCAGCAAGGACTCATTCCTTACTCAATTCGCATTTCTCACGATATATTTAAGTAACGAGGTTTGGTCTTGTTACGTACTTTCAACATGCGATTTTCCCTTTCAACCGTGGTGGCGCTGGGCGCCATGCAGACATTCGGTGTCTACGCTCAGGACTGTGTTGTAAGTGACGAGCGCTTAAACATTCCGTGATTCAACCCAAAGCGGGTGCTGATGGCCTCCAGAACGCATGTATCGAATCAGTCAAACCAACTGTGGGCTGTGCAGATGCTACTCAAGCCGGGTGTATCTGTGTTTCGACCGAGTTTGTGAAGGGTGTCGCTGAGTGCGCAAGAGCATCATCCTGTAGTGCTGCAGATGCCGATATCACCAACACTTTGACCAACGGCTTTTGCGTTGGTATGTCCTCAGCATTGGATTCTATGACATCTGGCAATGACGACTAACACCATCCAGGTCAACAGGTGCCAGCTCTTCCGGAAGCTGCTACAACACCAACTGCGGATGTAGCAACGACATCTAAAGCAGCAGAGGCGACATCTGAAGCATCAGAGGCGACATCTGGAACCCCTGTCGCCCCTGAAACTACTGAAGCTGCCGAAACCACCCCTGCGGTCGAAACTCCTGGAGTTGTATCAACCCCTAGTGCTCTCCCAGAGACTTCGGAGGCGCCAGAGGCTACTCCCACTGATGCAGCCGAAACGGCTGAGCCCACAGTAAGTTCAAGCTGCTCAAGCTTGATAGAGTCCGATAGCTGATATCTCAATAGACCACTAAAGCATCCGCTTCTGCCACTGATGCCGACAGTTCGTCCGCCACTTCTGAAGCTGCTGGTGCTGCTGCCACTTCTGACTCTGATGAGAAGGAAGAAGACTCGGCCGGGGGCGGCATGTCCGGCTCTGCAAAGGCTGGTGTTGGTATTGGAGTTACTATTGGTATCCTCGCGCTCATCGGCATTGCAGGATTCTTTTTCTGGAAGAAGCGTCAGAACCAGAGCAACTCACCTAGCGGAAATATGAGAGGAATGTCACCACCACCTATGGCTACTAGAGATCGCAGTTACCCTTCACCCGATCAAGGATCAATCGGCGAAAAGCATGGATATGATCTCGAGCTCATGTCTCATCGATACGAGGACATGCTTCCTCGAGAGGAACCACGACACATGGTTTAAGCTAGATTGTGGGGGATATTGGCGTTATAATATGGCAACCGCGGATTCAATCAATATATTGCAAACGGCTCTTGCGCAGTCTTTTCTACATACCTGTTGCCACATGGCAAATGCTTAGTTGAGATGTATCAATTGTCTTTACTGCGACCGTGCTCCATTAACGTGGAAGAGTGAGTGAAGGTGACGTTCCTACCGAGCACGCTTCTTTTTGCTGTTGCTGGCCAAATACCCAACGGCCAAGACACTACATTCGCTTTGAAAGCAAGCTCATATGGCAATTGAAAAGTCACAGCAAGTAACCACAACATGTCTGTAAGAGTTTACGTCCGTCTTGATCAAGTGTACATCCCATTCATTGTACATATCTTACACGTTTCTAAGAGAAATTACATGGTGGCCTCTTGTGGCATCTCACTCCCACGCGTCTTTTCAAAATCCAATGTTGCAAATGGCAGGCTCTTAATTTACCATGAATAGTATGGTCTTTGTCCATATACTGGTCGGTTGGGTAGATGCACCCAAGGTCCCTTTTTGTTCTTCTTGGCCACTCGCTCCTCATATTCTCGTATTCTTGTCTTCTCCTCCTTCAGTAGAACCGTTAGACCTAGTTTAATCGGTTAGTATTTCCCGGAAGAATACAGGAACAACTGCGGAAACATACTTGTGCTGGGATGCTTGATGATACCCATACGTCCACGACCCTTGTAATCGATCTTCTTTCCTCGCCAAGGACCTCTTCCAATCCATGACTGAGCAATGTACATGCGTGTAGGATCCTCAATCTCAAGCCACTTGCCATCGACTGTTTGAATCTTCTTAGGGGTTCTCAGAGTTTCGTTGTTGACCTTTCCGAGCCCCATACCACGCTGGGCAATGGCCAAATCGCGAGCCTCCTCGAGGTAGTATCCAACCTCGGCCGCCATCTTCTTCTTGGACCACTTCATTTGCAGAATGGCATCGTCAACGTTCTTACCAGCGATCTGGCGGGCCAGCATGACGAGCTTCTTGAGACTTGTGGGCAGGAATTCGCTCTTGTGCAAGAGTTGTCGCTCTGTCATCTGAATACGCTCCTCCCTCGTCAGGCGGCCATTGCGCTGAACCATCTGGATAACCTTCTTCCGTTGCCAGCGTACACGGCTCCGAGGGTCGGGGTCCACAACCAGGGCCATGTTCTCTTTGGTCTTTTGCTCAGTCTCGGGGGAGCCAGGTGCGGCTTCGGTGCTGGATGTTTCAATCTCATCCTGGAAAATGTTGTCCTCAACACCGCTATACATGCTCTTCTGGAGATATTCTTCACGACTCTTAGGATTGTCGAGCTGAGAGGTGGGGTCCAGGCTCGCTACTGTTCCGGCGTCCTTGTTTCGAGGCTTGCCCCATCCCTTGAAGAGATTTGAGGCCCATTTGTGTCGTCGCTGTACGGAGGGCCCTACTGTTGCAGAGAAGACCGGGGCGGGTGTGCTGGATACAGGTTGCGCGGTCCTTGCTATATAGAGAAGCTCTCAGTTAGTCTTTGCGAGTTTGAGAGCCAATTGAGCGGCAAGGAAAGCGAGCAGGGTATCGTCGTACCTGATACTGCCAGCCGCCGGGCGGCTAATCGGAGATTCATGGTTGCAGATGTTGTCGGGCTCTGCAAACCAACCAGTCTTATGAGTCGCTCTCACAAGATGTGTCTTGCTACTGAGTGCCGTTCGATAGGCGAGATTCTTTTCCACAGATGCTATCCGTATTTTACCGCCGTTGACCCGGAATGCTGGTCCAGCCGTCGAGTAAAAGGCACGTGACCTTGAAGCGCTAGCGCGATTAACATCAGCCCATCTCCGGGATCAACTTGGAACTGCTTGACCACATCGAAACCCTCCAATACCTCCGCACCCTCCCGAACGCTTCGCTCCCTCGCCCGAACAGCTTCGCAAAAACAAATCAATCACAATGGCCGTCCGACCCATCACTGGTGTACGTTTTCCCCGACTCAATGGCTCGGTTTTCGCATTCGCCCGGACCAGAGGAGCCCGCCCTCGGCACCAGAGCTTTTCGTGGACTGACACTTACGCTAGATGCTCCGACGAAACCTCGTCCTGGACCTCAGCATCGCCCTCGGTATGTCGCATTATTCCACGGGCTGAACCGAGTTATATGAACTGGCAATTGCCCATTTAAGAGGAGGATCTTCAGGGAGCTGACAATTCCCGTGATGTGGTTGGTTGAAGGGTATCAGGACATTGGGCTGACTAGCAACCTCCAGGCTCCGGTTTCGTCATGGCCAACTTCTTCTGGTAAGGAATATCACCGCCGAAACGATACGACAGCAAGACGGAAGGACTTACCGCTGCGATACAGGTACGGCTTCCACATGCCCCGAACCAACGCCCGCGACAACTACTACATCAAGCTCGAGGAGGAGCGAGCCGCTCAGAAGAGCGAGTAAAAGAAAGGAGCTGCAGAATCGAGATTGCGCCAGTTGAAGCAAGCAAGCGCATCGACAGAGATGGGGGGGTGCACATAGATCCGCTGAGGCGACTAGCCAATGTTTCGTTTGTCGTGTAGCTGGGTAGAAAGAATAATACCATGAGGCTTCATATGAGACGGTCGCCTGTCAACTTGTACTTATGGGCCAGGATAACCCAGTCATGATGCACTTCGGACAATCTTCGTGAGTTAATGGGGTGTAATGCGTGATCAACGAGTATTGATGAGATCAAGCGATTGATATCGTCAACTCTTTGACAAGTAAATATTAACCTAAATCTGCGAGTATACAGCATCGCTTCTATGTTCCTGTTTGCATTGTAGCAGATACCAGGCGTTCGTAGCCAACATCCAATAATTCGATCAATGTTGATTTGAGAGCACCTCGGCCGATTCCGGCAATGCCGTCATCAAGCTATTGCAGCTTTTGCAGATGACTCAATCCTCCAGTATTCAAGCATGTAAACACCATCTTATAATGATTTAGTGGAAGATGCGATATTGTTCGCTGGAGGATTGTTTCATCTTGCTGTGTCGGGCGAATTCCAACTCAATGGCCAGTGATAGTGCTGAGGAGGCGTCTTGTCTTTGCCATCCTTTCCATCGTCGCTTTTCCGTCCCACCGTAGGATAATCTTCGCCCTCCCACGCCGTCGTCTCAACCATAAACAAACCCTTCTTGTCTGCACATCTAAGCAAGCAGAGCATATTTTGTTAGAACTCTGACACCCACTGACACCTTCAAACTCAAAAGCGCCGGGCGAACATAGGGACTTACTTTCGAAACAATCTCTCAACGGCAAAGCATTGCACGGGACTATCCCATTTAGCAGGCTCTTTGATCTCGCACTTATACTGCAGCATCCCAAGGAGCTCGCAACTAGAGAGATCGACATTCTTTGGCCCTTGCTCGAGTTTGCGCTTGCGACCGCTGAGGTTCGTTTGAACATGCTCAGGAAGCTCTGAAGCGTGGAAGACTTGGCAAGGATATCCCATTGTGGTCGATAATATTAGCCGCGGCCGACGGCCAGATTCTGAAAGGAGAAGCTTTCTCGAGGTGGCCTAATATTTTATTCTCAGCAATGGAGGCTTCCACTGGGAGTCGACTGTTGGGAGAGGTTGAAGAGATGAGTCTGGAAGAGGTAAGTTGACAATTCGGGTCTAAGCTTTTTGCTCCTTCAGGTCATTCATTACCTACCATGCAACATCACCACATCGCTATCAATCACTTTGGAGAATCTCTTGGAGAGATACTGCTCAGTTGTTCCAATTTCCTAACAAGTCCGCATTCTTCATCTTGCTTTTGTCGCAATACCCTAAGGAGTTTCTTGCACAGCATAGTCCTCATAGTTATGAGGCGACTGTTAAGCAAGCTAGTGCTTTCATAATATCTTATCGGATTATACTGCCCAAACGTGTTTGCGTTTTTTACTCAACTGCATGAACTACATTCTCGATCATGTACTGAGAAGTAATGACAGATGCTTCGGAGCCTGCGCTCGTCACTTACCTTTGACTCCAATGCTTTTGGTGCCCCGACCCAGGCCCAACATCAACCTCACGTACAACGGACAAAGTCGACACATATATCCTCGCTCGACGATATTGCTGCTGCTCATTTTCACACCACGAAAGCCCCAGGCATCAGTATATCTGGCCGCCATCTTCCGCTCCTCTACACGCTTATATCAAATCTCATCAGCCCACCACACCTCTATGCCGTGCTGGTCATTGACGTCGAGGGTCGTTTTGACGCCACTCGACTGACCTGCTTATCCACCCATATGCAGCATGTCTACATTCAAAGACCAGCACGAGGCGATCTGGAACAAGTACGTGCTCTTGCGGCTGAGGTAGAGGGCATTCTCCTGTATGGCGACGTAGCCCGAGCAAGTGCCAGTCGTGAGTGGTGGGGAACTATCGTCGTGGGCGGACTAGGAGCTGGTGATATCGCCACGGGCTGGAAGGGATGGTTGCGGGTCGAACGCGAGAATGTTCGGGGCTTTACATTGGGTATAAGTGCCGAAGAAGCTGTGAGCCAGAAGGAACAGAGACAGGATGTCGTGGACTCTGCTGGCTGGGCGGCTACCTCACAGTGGGGAGGGTTTGTCTTTCAGGAAGTTGACAGAAAACCCGAGGATGGCGTAGGTCAAGGAGATACTAACGGCGAGTAATGACAATGATGCCTCAGCATGAATCCGCAAAGCTTCTGGTAACTGAACTTGGCCTCCAGATCAAGATCCGGCTCCTGGAAACTGACATAGAGCCCATGCCGGGTCATGAACACCGAGGCTATCAGTGAAGTTGAGCACAACTTAAGAGATTACTGGCTCGGAGAACTGGAGAATAAGATTGGCGCTTTATCATGCGGTATCAAACACGAACCTGTCCCACCGGAGTCGTCATTCTAAGCTTCTCTTATATCCCCAATATTTGATGTCGATCTCTACAGATACGCACCGCCTCAAAACAAAAAAAAAAGGGCTGAGGGCTTTCTAAAGGAACAATGGTCGGTGACATTATGAAGATCAGACTATCACAATCGCAAATGTGACGCTATCTGAGCCACTTTTGAACACGCTTTGGCATCGAAGTTGAGTCTCGCCATCTCGGCCTCGGTCTTGAAATATGGGTACATAGTGGACTCGGGTCGTGAAGTACGTTCGTAAGGTGGGACTGATAGAGAATCAAGACGCGATCTCGATGCTGGCAATCGAAGAATCGAGAATTGGATTTTGCTTAGTAGGTACAGTAGTTATGTATTCATCCGAAACCCCCTTGGGGTAGGTAACTTAACCATAGATTATGTATGTGCTTACTACGTGCTATCTTAATCATATTTGTAACCAAATGTCAAGATATCAAGATTAGTCTCATCAATAAACTTCATGAACCACACATCACGATGTTAAGGTGCAGGCATAATAGTCATTGTAAAAGTCTTGATTTTTTTTTCCTATCTTTTTGCTGTTCTATAATGATGTGATGCGCATCAAGGGTATAGTTGGGTGGTGCATCAGAGGGGTGTTAGAATCTAGCTGGATAAGACGAAAAGCCTCGAATCTCGAACTCTTCAGTTTATCTGAATAATGTATGTTCTATCAGATCTTCAAAACTTAAATGTGTAGTGTGCTCATGGCACCTGCAGGGGCCGTAATGCAGATGCATGCGTAAAAGACAGTTCATATCGCATGGCTGTGCTGTGACAAAAGAAAAAACAATATCCCAAACTCCGCCTGAATCCAAAGAAAAAAAGTTCTTATCCCGAAGTGTAATGTGTGAAGAGAAGAAGATGGCTCGGCTTAGATAGTGATGCCGTCCATATCGACTGCGATATCAGTAATAACGGAGTCAGGAATAAGAGCAGGCTTGGTGAGTTGACCCTTGGCTGCTTTCTTGTCCATCTCGCGCTTGATACCGTGGTTGACAGCATCAAGTACGTTCTCAACAGTGACGCGGGGCTTGAAGGCGGGCTCGGTTCCGTCTTGGTAAACACCAGTTTTGACAAGGATGCTGTACCAATCGTTGTCGGCAACCTTATTGACAGCGTTGGTACCCTGAATGTCACTCTCAGGAGTGTCACCGACGAAGTATACAGTGTCTGGGGGAGCAACAAGGCCATGCTCAGTCTGTCGCCACTGTCCCATCAAGCGAGAAGCAAACTCAAAGGTAGAAACCTGAGGCTTGCCGAAGGCGTGGGTATGAAGGACACCGTTGCCTCCAGTGAGGTCCTTGAAGGTAACCTCGAACATGCGGCGGAGGGCACCCATACCGAGACGGACGTGCTCGTGAGCAGCAGACCAAACAACATCGTTGTGAGAGAAATAGAATGGGGGGCCCTCATCGTTGGTCTCGCTGCGGGTGCCGAGACGGCCACCCTTGGACATAGCAACATCGAGCATAATTTGGATATCGCCAGCCCAGTCGCGAGAATCGGCGAAGACAAACACAGCGTCGATGACAACATCTGTAAAGTCTCTTTCGCGAGAGTTGGCATGCTCCTCAGGAGTGAGCTTGCGGAAAGGAGTGGTAGCAGCGTTGTGCTTGATAATATCGCCAGGGGTCACGACGTCCTTGAAGCCATAGCCCTCAGCGACGTGTCGGCACTTCTCGCCTTCACCACCGACAACAAGGACGGTGCCGTACTTCTCAGCCATCTCCCTCATGGGAGTGTGGCCACAGATGAACTGGCCAGGCTTGATGTCGCAGTTAAGCTGGCCGGAGAGATCACCACATCGCTCCTCTTCGGTCTTACCACCACCGTTGGTAAGGAAAATGTGAGGCCTAAGAAAGGTAAGTTAGCACTGCATGGTTCAACATTCAGGTGCATATCACGATGCTCTTTATTTTGTGGACCACCCCAGAATAAATCTGGGGGTGGTGGATCGGTGACTGCATATTGTGGGAATTGACTTACACTTGAATGCCATATTCGTTTTCGCCATTGAGGACCTTCATGGCCTGGAGGGCCTCGGGGATGGCTTTTCCGCCACGAACAAGGACGCCGTCAATGTCGAAAGCAAAGACAAATGAGTCGGCAACAGGCTGGGTGACGGGAGGGGAGAGGGGAGAAGCGGGAGATCCAAGGCTAGCAATGCTGTCGCTAGAGCTAGAGCTACCAAGCTCAGGAGAGCTGGGGATAGAGTCGGGAGTGGTGACCTCGCCGGGGGAGGGGAGGTTGTCCCTGAAGAACTCGGTCTGTTGTGAAGACATGATGTTGGTGTTGATGGTGTTGTTATGGTTAAGAACTGGGATGGTCCTGTTCAGGCGCACGCGTAACGATTAAGACGCGTGAGGTTGGTGGTTGGATGAAAGATTCGAGGAGACTCAGGTAGATAGATAGATATCGAGAGATGTTCGAAGAACTTGTCGGGAGTATCGAGCTATTTGTGTGTTTGAGTGTTGATGGTGATAGTGGATATTGAATCTGGGGAATGCTGGAGGATGATAATTTCTACCGTCAAGAACGGTGGGAGAAATCTGGGGCTTTATAGATTTAGACCTCAAGCGGAGGGTAAGTGGGCAATGCGTCAGATTCCTTGGGACTGAGGGTACCGGTACAATCATCGAGTAGAGCGTCATCTTGGCCCTGGCCGTAGCCATCCATGGTTTCCTCTGATCGATATCGAATCGATGGCTTCTGCTTCTGCTTCTTCGGTAGACGCCCGTCGATACGTAGCTCGGGCCCAATAACCGAGTCAGGCATTGTCAATCAAAACCGTGGCAAGCCATGGAATAACTGCCCCCTTACCCACAGTAAAGGTTCCACAGAATTGATTGCGAGGCATTGTTTTGGTTACAGTAGAAAAACCTTCAAGAGGTATGAGGTAAGGGACGGGAAGGTTGATGACGGTGTTGCTTTCGTGGCTGGTGTGTACCCCCCAGGGCCCAGGTACCTGCCTGCGCAAGTTAGGCGGGTACAGTATACCTGTCGTTCCCTGCTTCCGTACCACAAGACCCATTGTATTGACTACGAGAACTTCTGACAGCGTGCTGTTCTTTCTCCTGCGGCTGGGGCGGGCCCATATCGCAGTATCCTGGCCTCGCGAGTCGCAGCCTAGGTACCTTAGTAGCTTGGAACTCTGGCACCTGGTTTTCTAGACGCCGTCGCCGCACTAATAGCAAGTCGACTCCATTCTCAACTTCACCTCGGGTCTGTTCGCTGAACGTCATGACCAGACATGGAAACAAGCAAGTCCCAAAGATACGAAACATGCCCTGTCCTCATTTGTCAACCATGAGCTCGTAAATAACGCAACTGGAGCTGGCATAATCGGCGATACAGAGACAGTCAGACCAAGAGTCACAGACGGCATGGAACGCTCATTATGACATTTTTCAGTCAGCACTTTGTGGTTTCGTCACACGTGGGACGTTAGCCGTGAGATGTGAGACGTGGCTTGGGATCGCCAATTGATTCTCATTCTCCTATCTAGCTTTCTTGAATCGTAGCAGATAGCGGTCGAAACGGTACACCACCGTAGCGTCTGCTAACGGTAAAGATGTACTTCGTGCCGCGAGAGAAGAAATCTTCTTTGGTGTGGACCCTGACGCTCCCTGCCAAAGTCCACATCACCAATCAGGGTCTCTGCATCGGCCATTTACAGCCAGTCTCTGACTGTCTGATTATCTGACTAGCCATCCAAAGGACCCTACCATGTACACGACAGAAAGAGGCTTGCATGTGTCTCGACCATGCGGTGAAATTCTTCAGGGGTTCTTTGCTCAAGGGCTAGGGCGCAAACTCTGTGTATACTGGGATTGTGTCCTCGGCGTAAGAGCCAATGCAAGTTCGACGACATCAAGCGCGAGTTCCTCCAGAGAAACAGGATTCAACACTAATAGGGTATCCACCGTCAAGCATCTTCATCCATGACGCCAATACGGTGACCGTCTGTAAGAAGAGGTATCGTCCACGGTGGGATTGCATGCAAAGATACTCTACGGTCCACTACTATCACCCTACCAACGTTACGCAACAATTGAACTCGAATACCTAGCAATCCAACCATACTCTACCGAGACTTACTTACAGTATGACTCTATACTTAAATTCGGCAATTACCATGTATCTTTTACAAGATATCCGTAAGATTTTGAGTAATTCTCAACTCTACATAAGCTCAATCAGGCAAAGGGCCTGTTCATTCCTTATCAGAAGCTTACAACCCAGTGTAACTTACGGAGTAGGGCCCCCCTGACTTGGTACATCCAGTCCAATACCCGCACAAGCCAATCCGCAACTCGACTTGAATTGGATTGCAAGGGACGTTGACGTCAAGAAATCGAGAGTCGGTTCGTTGATTCAGCGCAAATCTAATTCCCGTTTAGTAAATTTTCTTCTTTTTTTGCGCACAGTTTCGGTCCGTTGTTTTGGGTGACGTCAAGCTAGCTCCGCTCAGGGTCCGCCTGTGCCCCGCCAGTCCGGTCCGAAACCCTATCAGCCATGCCGTACGGACCCTCCGGCGGGTCCGTCATCCACCTACTGCTTGGACGGCCACACTCGGCTGGCACTATCAGCAAATGATTATTCATTGCCATGCCGTCTCACAAGTGCTACATTGCACGGCAATCGACAATTGTGCTGAGATCTGGACAACATTAGATCAAAACAAGAGTTACGAAATAACGCAATTGCAATGCATGACATGCTGATTGCGACAGAGGAAGTCATATAGTTGCACAACATGTGTGCCGCAACAGTTTACACAAGCCATTTAACGCAACAAGATCTGTCCCTGAAAGCATGTGAAACGCGGTCAAGAGATAACGGTTATCACCCCTATCGGGATTAGATCTGCATAAGGCGGCAGCACGCACACAGGGTCCTCCAGTGCTGAAGGGTTCGGTTCATTTAAGGGCTGAGCAGTTTGGTACTGGGCTTGCTGCAAGTCACTGCGCCGGCCTGCCATTTCAGTCCAGCCGAGCTTGGCTTAACTGATCTTAGCTAAGCTCAACTCATTCTTTACTGTTATCTTGATATGGTAGTCATCGTCATTCTCACCGTACCGTTTTTGACATCTTTCAAACAAACATGCATATGATTCCACTGCCTGTCTTGTTATCTCCTTGCTCATTTATCCACGGTTTGAAGGACCGATGTGTTGTTGGTCTATCATGTGTCATTTGGCGGCCTCTTGAGACAACTGTCATGAATTTGGTATTATTATTCCTACTGGGATCATGGATCATGGATCATGGCGCTTGGCATCCATCTCCTCGATATCCGTATGTCTCGATCAAATGTTCGCGGCGGGCGCGGGGCAGGCGCGCGATTAATGCCATATTACTCCAGCCATCATCCCTGTGTTTGATGGAGCACAACGTTGGATGAAAGTCAACGATGAGGGGATAATACTGGAGAAAATACGGAGTAGTACAGTACTGATGGTAAGTCGAGCGTTACGGTGATCTCAACGGTAGGAGGGAAGTTAATGCAACAGAATGTTTACCTTTTTCTTTGTGGCTGGATCTTTTGAAGTTGACATCAACCATTGATGTCACTACTTCTCTGCAGAGAATTTCTAGAAAGAAGATCTACCAAATAGAGTTCAAATTTCTTCGAAATAGCGGTGTTTGGTTTCGCCGCTTCCTAAAATTCCCAAGAGATTGGTAGGAAGTGGCTTGGCTCAAGTATAGTGTACAGCTTCGGTCGACTCCCGTCAAACATCCTAGCCACCTCCTGCTTATCATTTACCAGTTACGTTGAAATCTCCCGCTTAGCACTACCGTTCAGCCCTCTAATGCTGAATCGGACGGAATATCTCTCACGTTTTCCTTGGTCTGTGATGGAGGGTGAAAGCAACGATAATCCTGAACAGTGAGCACAAGGGTGTGACGGGAACGGATACAGTGCAGGAGAGATCTACAGTAATACCCTCCATGCACTCTGACGTCTCAAGGAAGAAGGGGAAAAGCCGCGATATGCGAATTGATTTGGTGTCTGTTAAATTCTCACAAACATGCCTCCTGTCACCCGCGTTTTCTTTTCCCCTCAAACGTGCCTTAGTTCCCCTGGGCGTTTCCAATTTGGGCATCGATCAATGCCTTGTATGCGCCCCCTTGAAGTAGAACGAAAACTGAAGTCGCCGGCCGCCCGTTGTTGAAGCCCGGCCCCGCGACCCCGGGTCAGCCATGCGTTAATAGCGCCGCCCCCGGGGCTCCGGTTACCCCGTCGCATACATGGGCGTCCAGTTCCGATACCCAATACATTTGTGACAAAACATCGCCAAACTCCACGAGTCAATAAGTTCCACGACTCAAGAAGATATATCCCCGCCCGACTAAAAATTGACTCATATCCACAATGAATCTCCTGATTCCTGGTTTCCGTCTCATTTCTCCAGGTTTCGGTTGTGCTTCGTGATAGTGCTCCGCCTCCGCTTCTCCACTTCTCCATATCCCCATTTCTCCCCACGAGCTTAATCTTCTCTCCTTCATTGAAGGTTGACAAACAGACCGCCGTCGACGAGAAGTTGTGCGCCCGTCACGTATCCGCTCAGCTCTGGACACGCCAAGAAGACGGCCGGGCCAGCCATATCAGAGGGTGAACCTGTTCGTCCCAGAGGGATACGTCCTTCCATGTAAGTTCTCTTGGTATCATCAGCCAGATCGGCGTCGTTGAGCTGCGTGCGGATTGTGCCTGGCAGAAGAGCGTTGCACCGGATGTTGTGTTCTCCTAGGGCACACGCTGTGCTCTGCATCAAGCTCAGGACACCTGCCTTGGTGGGAGTATAATGTGTTTGCTGACCACCACCGACAAGTGCTGAGATGGACGAGACACCGATAATACTTCCGCCCTTGGGCTCTTGGTTGAGTGCCATCTGTCTTGCAGCAGCCTGAACTACGTAAAAAGCGCCATCCAGGTTCGTTCTCACTGTAGAATGAAGCAAGTCCGGCTCGAGTGTCAAGAAATCGGCAAATGTGCAGATTCCCGCATTAGAGACACACACATCAAGCCTGTTCTTGGGGGAGTGCTCAACGGCTTTCTTGACCAGCTCTGTCGCTGTCGCTGGGTCGCGGACGTCGCCTGCTTGATGCTCAAGGTGGCCAGCTGTTGAGGATGCTTTGCGAATGGCTTCGGCTTCGTCAATGAGTGATTCAAGGTGGCCCTTGTCCTTTTCAAGGCCCAGGTGGTTGACCACGACATGAGCACCTTGTCGTAGGAACTCGAGGCAGATCGCACGACCAATGCCAGTTGTGCCACCAGTGATGATGGCGCTCTTGTTGGCTAGAAGACCCGCTGGCATCAACATGATTGCTTGTGAGAATGTGCAGTCCGCTGTAAGTATTGATCCCAAATATCCTTGCAACGCTGCAGTATCCAATAGATGCTCGTGAGGGTTCGATTCGACTTCAACCTCTTGCTGGTTCGTCAAGAGAATTTGATGCCTAGGATGAGGGGTCGTTGGGTCCGTAGGAGGGGTCTTGAAAGGTGAGAGGTAGTTGGCCTGTATGCTATGGCTTTGCTTAGAGTGATTTCTACAAGTATTGAAATGATCGCAAGTTCAAAGTCCCCTTCATCATAAACCTTCCCCTCACTTACGGGAAACGGCTCTTAATAGTACCGAGCCCTCCTCCTTTGGTGGTGAGTATCCATCATGACCCGCGCAAATGGTGGGACACATCCAAAAAGAAGGACGCGACTCTGCTTGCGGCAAAGCACTCAAGCCGAATCCCCGAACTGATATTATCTTTCAATATTTGTGGTAGAAAAGCCTCGGTGAACCAGCCAGCGAAGGGCCGCTAGCAAATCAGATTTATTCCACATGGTGAATTTTGTTGCCGTCTCGGTGTGCTTTAACACGAGAATCCGGCGGGGAAACGCCAGTGGTTGTGGGATTGTGGAGAAGCCTGGAGCTAAAAGGTTTGACCACCTCAGGCCTAAGACTGTAGGTGTAGGTAGTGTTCGGTACGTAGCGGGGGGGCCTATCGTTCTGGGCGGTCAAAGTTGCAATTGAATCAAAACACCAATTTATAATACAGAAACGATCGTGAGCTGCCAATATTGCGCTCTCTTAGTCAATGACAATCGCAGCACGCCTCTGTTACACCAGCGGTTCCCACAAATCCCCAAAGTTCGGTACCGGACGCTCAAGCCAGCAGCTTCTTTACTGGAGCCTAGGGGTATTGTGACGGTGGCCACGATGTGGGCTTACAGAACGGCCACCGTCTTGAGGTGGCGTTGGACCCTCTGACGGTCACCGTTTAACCCCAGAAAAGGGGACTCACGATGCATGTCATTTCTCGACGTCGCATCTACGTGGTATTCCTCCCTTTCTTCTTGGGCTGTAGGGTGTGCACACACCTCTGTGTGGACCATGATGACAAGATCGTGCCTGATCCTTTCTGTGACATTAATTGCAATCCATTAGGTTGTGTAGGGTACGAAACAGAAATCAGCTTGGGTTCTCGATAACTCTAATTATGGCATAAGGCCGCCTGGTAGCAATTGTGCTGTTCATGCTATTAGCTTCTCGAGTTTTACTCTCGATTGGATTCTTCTTCAACGCAATCATATCACAAGTGCGACGAATTTATGATTTTGAAATGTTTTTGTTCTGTAGGCTGCTTAGGAATATCCTCAGAAATGATGTAATGTGGAACCACAAGAAAAATACCCTATATTTAGTTTAACGCAACAACCCATGGACAGTCTACTTTTCTTCCTTAAATTCTACCACGCGGCCACAAAAATGCAAACACCACTGTGGCCTTTGCCTAAGGTACGAGAAGATAACAATGACCTGTTGCAAGACAGTCGTCTTCTAGGAAGTTGATGAGGTTGTGAGACTCTCTACCTTGGCCGCAAGCGAATCAAGGGTTCCGTTGGGTTTGCTGGTTTCCTCACTCTCCTCTGAAGGGTTGGGAGGTGGGAGAGAGCCAACCTGGGGCATCTTGAACAAGTAATCACTAGGGATGAGCTTATGTCTAGCAGCAGGGTTGATAGTCAGGCCAAAACCAGGCTTATCCAGGTCGGCGGTAGTCAGGAAGCCATTTGTAGGGATGGGCTCGTCGGTGAAGAGGTCTCCAAATACAGGCAGTACGCTGCGGCCATCAGGAGAGTTGGCCAAGTACTCCTGGAAGGGGGTGTTTGGCTGAGAGATCTGGAAGTGGTAGCTGTAAGGACCACTGGCGTGGGGGACAACAGGAATATCGTAGGCAGCAGCCAGAGCCGCAACCTTGAGTAGTTCAGTAAGACCACCAAGCCACATGACGTCGGGTTGGATGATGTCGAGGTTGCGGCCCTCGACAAGCTTGCGGAAACCGTATCGGGAGTACTCGTGTTCACCAGTGGTGAACTTGACTGTAGGATGAGCACGCTTGATCAGCGCAAAGCCGTCGGTATCGTCGGGTGATAGGCACTCCTCCCACCAGTTGATGTTGAGGTCGAGACAAGCCTTGACCAACTCGATTGTGTAGGTGACGTTAAGACTCATGTAGCAGTCGACCATGATGGGGAAATCCGGGCCAACAGACTCTCGGTGCTTTCGCAGGAATTCGACATTCTTGCGCAGGCCCTCATGGCCATCGTCGGGACAGAATGGTAGTGGAACTTTGGCTCCCCAGAAGCCCATGGACTTGGCGGCTGTGGGCTCGGGGCCGGTGCAGTAGAAGTCAAGACGTTCCTTGGTAGCACCGCCAATAAGACGGTAGACGGGCTCGTTTCGAACCTTTCCTAGGAGATCCCAGAGGGCAAGATCGATGACAGAAATGATGGCAATAGGAAGGCCCTTGCGACCATAGAACATGGAGGCTCGGTACATCTGCTCGAAGAGAAGGTTGGTATTGCGAGGATCGGCACCGATGAGGAAACGCTCGAAGTGCTCGTGGACGAGCCAGCAAGCAGGAGGACCTTTTGATGCTTTGTTAGTATTCTGTCATACTCGCTATCAAACACACACACACACACACTGGTGGTGCGTCTTACAGCTTTACTATAGATGTAGAACTCACCTCCAAATCCAGTTGCAAATCCGACGGTTCCATCTGTGGCCTCGATCTCAACTAAGAACGAGCCAAGGACGTTGATTCCCCAGCTGGTTCGCGACTTCTTGTATTGATCCCATTTTGAAGCTGGAGTTGAGATATCGCTGTCGATGAGCCTATGATTGTGAGTGTGAGCGATACGGCGCAGTCAGTTTCATGAAGGTTGAGTGAGCATACCAGTGGCCACCTTTGACGTTGTGATAATCACCACCTGTTTTGAAAACGGTCAATAGCTGTTCCAAACTCTCTCTTCCTAATAATAGGACTGCAGCATGGCATACCTGATCCTACACCACCGATGATAAATGACCTTATGGCCTTGATCTTGGGGAAGTCTCTGACAGAAGTCATGATGACGCTGACAGTCGATTGGCTTATAAGAGGGCAAGGAAATGGAATGGAATAAAGCCAAGCTTGCGAAGCCTGAACTTGGAGGAGAGATTGATGGAGAGTTGGAGAGTTGGAGAAGAAGAAGAACTGCTACGAGCTGGGGATGAGCCTCTTTACAAAGGATTGGCCGGTGGCACTACCAGGTGGATTAAACATATCATGGAAGACAACGGCTACCCAATGACTTTGGTCGGAAAGCTCATGAGTGACTGGACAGTCAGTCTCGTGATGGCATAGACCGGTAAAGCACCCGCCGGGTTCCCGTCTGATAAACCAGATATCGGGTCAAGATATACCGAAGTTGGTGTTGAAGAATGGAGGCGTCCCCAATTACACTACCATCTCCACATTTTCTCGGTGGTTCTCTCGCGGGAGTCATGATCGGGAAGTGCGAGTGTTTGCGGCTCATGGCTTGGTCCCAGTTTTTCTCATCGTCTTTTATCCTCCAGAGATAGATATTGGCGGAATCTGTTATTGGATAATTATTTATTGTCTACCGGCTAAATAGCACAGGCGCGCACGACTCTAACTATTCATCTCACCGGACAACTTTTCTGTTCTAGTGATGCTCATGTTGAATATGTGTGCATTCAGCCATCTTGAATTCTGCCACAAATGTTCAAAGCCGTGTCCGGGTTTCAATTGCGGGGTGACAGGGGAGGTAAGGTACAAATACAATCATTTGGGTTTTTGGGGACGGGAATCCAGAGGTAGTCCGGCGTTCAACGAAGATATATGGATGCCAGATGTTGGTGAGTATGTGTATTAATGTCTCAGGCATATAGTATTCCCTACACTCTATAACTCACAATAGGTGTCAACTCTATCCAAACCCTTGAGCTTACCATTCCTCCGTAGTCGACTCGCTTGATAAACAGTGACCGCTCTGAGGCTGAACACATCCCATCAAAGGCAGCACTAAGTTAGCGAGGGGGCTATACCCGTCTGGGGCATACTTGGCGATGCATCCATATTAAACTCGCTTTCCACGAATCAGATTATACCGCTTCTCTCATTTCCCCGCCTTCCACGACGCCCCTTGAGGAAAGAGCTTCGTGCGGCGTCCTGCGCCAGGCGTGAGGGCCAGTTCCTTCTCTCCGCATTTTTAGAAGTTTGGGTCCGTTCCTGGAAACTTGATGGCATGTGCAAGTCGACTGCCTCTTTCCTCAAGGCTTAACCTTACCTTACCGTCCTTCCTCTACGGATACAGTCCCTCACCTAGGTAGCCGGCTAAATCTCTAGATTTATTTTACCCCTTGAGCTTCTCTACAATTCTTTGTGTAATTTCTTCCATGGCTCCAACCCACGGAAATATACCGACGAAACCGGGCAGCTTGAGCCTAGCTACCGACCGTATTTAGCCCCCCGAGTCCACCTCGGCCCACCTCAAATTGGCCCGATCATCACGGCGCCACTACCCATCCGTCCGAGGCACAAAGCCAGCAGAAAGCGAGCAAGATCGCAAGAAAAACAGCTGACAGGCGAAGGGGAGGGAACAGCTCATAAATAACATTTATCGAACGTATTTATGCCCGTCGGCAATTCGCGGTATTGGCTGAAATTTCTGATATCACCCTGACCACAATAGGATAGGGCATTCCTAGTCGCAGTGCAGGTCCTTACACCCATTCCTTTTGTACGTACTGTATCCGTACTTTTAGTCCAGTGCAGGCCTATTTATCCTCGGGCGATCATTCTCCTGATCCCGCTTGCCTTTATCCCGGATCGCGAGGTCCTCTTTGCAGCAAACACGGACATCTCTTTCGCGCGCGTATCTACTATTGATTATTTCGTCGCATACTCGCCTTGGCTTGGCGTACCCCTGTTGTTCGGCCTCACTATTCTCATCGCTCACACGACTGCTGGTGAGCTCGTTCTTGCATCGTACCGACACACGAGACCAGCGGCAAGGGCTCTGGAATAGGCACCTGAAGCCCAACATCTCACTCTCGATGCAGAACGGGGCCAGCAAAATGTTGGGCGATGGCTCGGTAGAGAATCGTCCGCCATCTACAGAAGTAGACAGTGATGAAGCCAACCAATTCCCTAGCGAGGATGAAGACCATGGCGACCACGAAACTCTCTCTCATAACGGGAAAAGGAAGCGTCCTGTCTCAGTTTCGTAAGTGCAGCTCTGCCGGTCTTTGTTTGTTTCCTACACACTTTGTCAATCATACTGCCCCCTCAGCCTCTTATCAAGTCCATGTCTCAAACCAAGGATTTCTTTTCTCCTCTTGGCAGGCTTCCGATCTGGTAATCATGTTGGAGTCTTATCTACATTTCCTGTACACTGTTATCAAGACCATGCCGCCATCCGAGGCCACTTCAGCACCCCATGCTTCATTCTCCCCGCCCTCCCCAAATCCAAACTACTATACCACGTTACAACTTCAATCTGCCTATTCTTCTAGCATACCAGACGTCGCCGACGCTGAAGCTAACAATACTGTTCCTAGATGTGAGCTATGTAAGCAAAGAAAGGTATGCTTCTTAATACACAATCCTTTGTCCCGATGTTTCATTTTGTTCACAGCACTAACTCCTTCTGCCTCTTAGGTCAAATGTGATCGTGGCCAGCCTTCTTGCGGTTGGTGTACCCGCAATGGCGCTGTGTGTGAATATAAAGAGCGCAAGAAGCCTGGCTTGAGAGCGGGTTATGGTCGCGAGCTTGAGCAGCGCCTTGACAAACTTGAAGAGATATTGCGCTCTCATGCTGAGATCCTTCATGGTACCCTGGCGTCCAACACAAATCCCATCCTCGCCACCAGTATTCAGCACAGTAATCCAAGCCTTCCTAGCGACCAAGGAACTCCGCGAGACACCCATCCAAACCTTTTCAGGCCTTCTGAACCAGTTCGCACACCTCAAACTGACACTGCCTTGTTCGGACAGAGAGCTCCCAGCTCAAACTTCGCTCCAAGTACACAGAGTCTTGAGTTTAATGTAGCTCCTACCCCCAGGATGAGCGATGGGTACCAGGGCCGGAATCGTGGGTCGATGTCTGTTGCGCCGCCTGCTCAACTATCACCTATGCAACACAACAATACCACTCAAGACTATTACAGTTCTGTACAGCCAAATATTCATTCACCTACAGCACCATTGTCGGCAGCTCCAGGAACCTCGACCCCGGATCGAGACATGCCGCCTTACGACCTTCTCTACGCACTGGTTGATCTCTATTTTAAGCACATCAATACTTGGTGCCCGATTCTTCACCGCAAAACAACTCTGGATACACTCTTCGGGCCATCTGCCCTCGATGAAACAGATCGAGTTCTGCTTCATGCAATTGTGGCAACGACCATGCGTTACTCGACGGATGCGAGGCTGACGGAGGAGCGGCGGGAGCACTATCACCGAGTTTCCAAAGAACGGGTTCTTCTTTACGGCATGGAAAACTCTTCTGTAAAAGCGTTGCAAGCTCTCGTTATTCTTGCACTCGACCTTTGTGGAAGTAGTAATGGTCCACCTGGGTGGAATATTATGGCTCTCATAACCCGATCGGTGGTGCAGCTTGGTCTTGCTGTGGAAACTACTTCTTCTACTGTATCGCCTCATTATCTTTCGATCTATACACTTCGAGCAATGACACTTTCGGAACCCAAGGATTTTATCGAAGAAGAAGCCAGACGTCGGTTATTCTGGATGATTTACCTCTTGGATCGATATGCAACTCTTGCAACCGCCTTTGAATTTGCTCTGGATGACAAGGAAATCGATAGGACATTGCCTTGTCGCGATGATTTGTGGATCAAAAACCAAAAGGTCGATACTAGATGGTTTAGTACCGATCTACACTCGGGCTCTCCAGGGCACGACATCGACCAACCAGAGAACTTAGGTGCATTTGCCTATTATATTGAGATTCTTGGTATTCTATCCAAGATACACAAGTTTCTTAAGCAGCCTATTGATATCAGTGCTCTGAGTGACGTGGAACAATGGCAGATGCGCTACAAGGAGCTCGACAATATGCTAACCTCCTGGAAGTTTAGTCTTCCTGGTGAGTTTGGAAACATGGCAAAGCTCTTCCACCCAGGAAGTAAGAACATCAACTGCGCATGGGTCATGCTTCATGCTACATACCACACAGCGGTCATCCGTCTTCACTCATCAGCCGCTTACCCCACAACGAGGTCACCTATATTCACACCATCGTATAGCGCATCACAGCGATGCCACGGGGCAGTTGAAAACGTGGCTGCCCTTGGCGAATTCGTTGTGAACAATGGAATGTTGGCAAAGCTGGGGCCCCCTTTTGCTTTTACTCTCTGGGTTTCAGCACGCCTTCTCCTTGTCCACGGATCTACTGTTGAGCATAAACTCTCACCCCAACTTCCGTTCTTCGTCGATAGCCTGCGGGAGATGGGACGATACTGGCCTGTTGCGGCTCGATATTCCCAGCTACTGCAGAGAGTGCTAGAAGAGCATCGTGACAGCGAACGACAGGGAGATGGCATCACCCCCAGCTCAGTTAAGATACTTTCTGACATGCGACGCACGGCATTTGACTTGGATTTCCTCATCTCGCGACAGCCCAGGCAACCAGGTGGCTCAGCGTTGAGTAGGCTACCAAGCGTTACGCCGGCAAGGACACCAGCACCCAACGAGCTTGAATATCTCGACGTGTTCGATTTCTTCAATGTGCCGCGTCTTCCACTTGGAGGCGAAAACATCTCTGCCGTTAATGGTACACCTGGGCCACCAGGTACAGATATGGACACGTCTAATGACCACGGAACAAGCTTGGGGGCATCAAATGAGTTCAATATCACCAATTTTATGGTCGATGCCAATAGTGACTGGCTTTTTAAGCAGGAGGGTGGCCCAAAATATATGGCAGCTACGTAAAGCAGGAATCGAGGGCTTCGAGGCAGGACTTGTGGCTCAGACATACCGTAGATGGGTTTGAGTTCTGAAGGATGTTTAATTATCAAGATACCCCTTATTTTGCATATCGGCGGATTGGCGAAGTGGAAGCACGGAGATATCTCGGACCAATGTGTTCACTTGCATATACTTGTACAGACGTTAGTTAGGAACCCCCATATTGGGATCAAATTGATGGCCGACTAGTGAAACAGAAAGAGTGCTGATTCAATTGGTGTGGTACCAATGTGCGGTCTACTGCCATATATAAAGTGGTTTCGAGGTTAAAACCAGTAAAATAAGCTTTTATATACGGATATCATGAGATGAATATACACACATAGAGAAATCAGTTCTCTACTGCTGTCTGATATGTGTTTCCAGTACAGTACATGACCCAGCCGTCGAGGTTCATCTTCTTGATGACAGTGCTGAAGCTTGTAGTACCCTTTGCCTTGCCCTTCTTGGAGCAGATGACCTTGCGATCGGACTCCTTGACCTTTGGCGCACCTTTGGGATACTCTATGTGGAATACTGGCTTCTTGGCCTTGATGAAAGCGGCAAAGGTTTCACACTCAGAATACTCAACACACTGTTCGTTGACCGAGAACTGAACGTAGGGAAGGACAGAGCCGATGATATCGCCAGCGTTCTTGAGACCTGTTGACATGTTGTATTTCGCAGCTTCGGCAGCGAGGAACTTGACGTAGTCGATAGAGTCTTTCTTGGTCAAGCCGAGACCGTTGTCGTTTTGCTGTTGAACATGTTAGATTTCATATTCGAGGGTTATAAGGCATGATAGGATATGATGTGACTCACATAGCCGTCGATATTGTCGGGATCAATAGCATCACATCCCTTCTTAGCAGCAAGCTTGATACGCTTCTTCATGATATTGCGAACATTGGCGCTCTTGAGGTTAATCCACTTCTCATCAGGCCATCCATCCATGGTCTTGCCAAGGTCAGCCTTCTTGAACTGGTTCTTGTCATCGCGCCAGTCCTCCCACGACCCAGCGCTGAAGTAACAGATGACCTTCTTCCCGGCCTTGTGCAGCGCTGTAAAAGTCTCGGCATCGTTGTCGTACAGGTCCAGATCGTAGATACCGACATTGGGCTTGAGGTCCTTGGCGCTTCCGTCCTTGTTGAGCTTTACAGGCTTGAGGAGAACGATCTGCCACTGGGCGCCGACCTTTGGCTGCCAGAGACTGCCACGGGCTTTGAGGTAAGGTTCTGTCGAGTCGTCGCTCTCTGCGTTGGCGGTGTCGTTGCTATCGTCTCCTCCCTTTCCTCGAGTGAGGCCAACGCCAAGTCCAATGGCCAGAGCAATGATCACAGCAAGGGTTACACCGATGGCAGTAAGCTTCTTCCACATCGGCCAAGATGTTTTCAGCTTTGATATCTCTCGCTTTTCCGAGGCCACAGCCTCTGTTGTCTTTGTCGCCATAGTTGCGGTTGTGTTGGATGTAAGTGAGTGTGGAATAGAGGGAGCAGATCAGAGCAGCCATGCAGGGACTGCAGAGGGCCTTTAAAAGGTTGAAAAGACATAAAAAGAAATGCTGATTACATGCCAGGCACTCAAGCTCTAATCCTCATCCGGCCCCATGAGCAGGCGAAAAGGGTTTCAAGATTCAGGGCTGAGCAGAAATGCATGGATTCATTGAATTAGCTGGGCTAGGTAGGCTGAGTCTCTGTAAGCACCAGGCCACTAGCTTATGGTCTAGAACGAGCTGAGGATTCAGTACAAGGACCAATTTCCTACGCTGCAGGTTGCTCAAGCTCCTGCGGTATTTGCCAGGTCAGGCCAGGCTGTGTCAATAGATAGATACATGGTAGATATATCATATATCGATGCTATTTACGGATACAAGACCGAGTGATTTTGGATCGACGATGTTTTGTTTGACGTCCTTGTTGTAGATATCACTTAAGTTATTGGGTCCATGGTTTATCATGCTTCGCTAAGAGTACCTAAGGCCTACAAATATGATAATCCAAAATTTTCTCATCGTAATGTCCGCATTCCAAGGTTCACGCTCCTTCAGTCGTCACAGCACGAACGTTTCGTTCTTATTGCTCACCCCGGTTAGTGCGGCATTGTGGTAGAGGCTTAGACCACACCAAGCACAGCATTCAAGGTCTAATATGTCAATATGACCTGTTTCAAGCTGAATCTTGGACCTACTACTATCATGAGCCTCGTCACTTGCGCAATGAAGCTGTCGTGGTGCCATACCCTAAACACGCCGTGGTGTTGCGTGGTCCAATGACTGATATGATGAGAACAACACAGTGTTTGGCTATGAGTAGGTCCAAATCATCGGGTCCTTTAGCCTAAGAGCCTTCTTTCAGACAGATTCCTGTTACTCCGCGTGATAGTCGCCGAGATGTGAACCTGAAAAGGAAATTCGGCGACCAAGACTCCGAAGAGGACAACAAAACATTAAAATCAAAATAAAATACTCTCAAGCATAAATATCGAGTTCTTGGACGAGATGTTAGAAGTAAAAACAAATCAATCAGTACGCGTGTTGCTATACCCAGCAGCGTTCTTTAAACAGAGTCGATATCATTCACCATTACTCACTCCACCATCATGAAGACATTCTCGACTCCATTTGTGGTCGTGTCGGCTATGTTGGCTGGACTCACCCAAGCCATGGATAAGGGGCATCTGCCGCCCGTCGAGCGTGTCCAAGGGTTTGACTGGAAGAGCCCCTTCACACCTGGTGCCATTGCCGATTTTCAGTCAACCTGTGAAGCCAAGGCCCAATTCGAGGTGCACGAGTATACCCTCCACGACTTGATGCAACCACCGCCAAAAGGATTGAAACCCTGGGCCAAGGGGTTAAAAGCGGTCTTTTCCAATAGAGAATACCCTGGAGGGTGGCTTGGCATGGATCCTCACGCCGATGGCCGCAGTCTCCTATTGATGAACTACGATCAATTCCCTCTGCTAGTTCGCGAGTGGATAGAAGAACAGGAGCGGACCGATGGGAATGGCAAGGCGTTGTTTGCGGTTCTTGATAGTCCAAAGAGTAGTGAGGATGAGATTGAAGAAGTTGTCCAGTTTCCCGAGGCCAACAAGATTGATCGCGCCAGCGACAAAGACAAGGTTGTTGTCTTTGCACCAGGCGCATTATATGGTATCCTTCCTCTGTGGGCAGCGGAAGCAAGTGAATGCAAGGGTAAGTTACCTCGTCCACCTCCGATATCGTATGCAAATACTTACAGTGGTGAACTTAGATCGACTTGTCGACTTGTCCAAGTACGGCCCGAAGCCCTCAGATGGCGGTGTTGTTGCTTGGGTTGAGCATAGCAAGCCTGAAGACAAGAAGACGAAGCTTGATATTAAGGTCCAGGCACTGAAGAAGAAGGAAATCAAGGGTGGTCATGAACAAGGTGAAGCAAAGTCGGCATCGAGGGAGGAACTGTAAAGTTGATAGAGGAATAGTATAGTCAAGGCGTTGGGAAGTCATTGCGAACATATTACGGAGTACAGCAGCACATGATATCATCACCACCGTAATCCGTAATCGCTTTTGTGATATAGACTAGGTGCGGAAGTATAATAGCGATGATCGGGAGTAAACAATGCACAAAGGGTCTTGCATTAATTACGTTAGTATCTGCCTTGAGTTGGATTGGATGAGATGCAGCATTTACGAGGCTGAGAAAAAGCAATACCGGGTAGGCAGGCGTCAAAGTTTAATTGTTCCTGACTTGGGAATAATATGCATGTAGCCCCAGAGATATGTGAACGCTACTATTACCTACTGTGATCGTTATCATATCTACGCTTGAGTAAAATTGTCTATCTACCTTTGTAGAGAATTTTGCATGGTGAAAACTTCTCCTTGACCGCTATTCTCATGTTCGACTCACATGCAGGGTAAAACAATCCTGGCTTGGTGCGGCTCGCTGGGCATCTATACATACCTACAGTGCAGTACTTGTAGACTTGACTTGGGTATACCCACACCGCCTTCGGGGGGTTCAACGTTCGATCGACACCAGTTTCACGATGCGAGACTGAGTTGTCATGATATGAGTGAGGCTGGTTGTCATGAAAGGCCCTCTAACGATGCAGGAAGATGCGGTGGGCGTTGCATGGCATGATATAACAATGCTGAGGAGAGAATGTCGGTACTTGAACAATAATGAACGCTGGTCACTGACAATGAGACAATGACAACGAGACATGACACATAATAGGTATCATGGAACTTGCAAGATACATCGAATCACATTTCACTGACCTCCCTCTTCAGTCTCGAGTGCTTCACCTTTACAACAGTAGCCTAACGTTAGAGGGCTCCATCGCCAGCAACGGCGAGGTTTAGTGACTCCCGTCTAGTCCAGGCACTCGTGGCAATACGACGCTACTAGTCCACCCCCAGTATCGCATCCAATAGCTTCCGGTGAAGATGGAGTTGCAGACTTAAGTTCATGGCCAGATCGCGCTATCCGTATATGTCTCGAGGATTTTGCAATGTACTGCAGGAGTCGAGTGCACGTGTTGGATGATGCTGTATGTATCGAGTAGATTGTATTTTGAAAACACTTAATCATTCGTTGTCAGCCACTATCATCACCATCATTTGACAAGTAGCGACTTCAATATTCCGGATGCGGTCTGTTGCAGACATGGATGGATGGACGCTGAACGGTTGGAGAAACCCACCGCTTAGCGAAGCCGACCGCCAACAAACGCCATGACACGAATTGCCATGTCGTCAGCGACTCGCGAGATCCCGCAGCTCTCGAACTGCATCTTGCGTGTCCACCTTGCAGATTTAAGACTGCAGGCTGCATAGTGTTCTTCATGGGTGCTTTTTAGGGCGCCTAGTATTTCAAGGTACCCAATTCAGGTACTGATGATGGATATTTAGAGCCGTAATGCGAATCAGATGGACCTGAAGGTGTTCGAGTAGACGTACGGATATAGCAACAATTAAACTAAGGACGAAAGCATCGTGTCCAAATTTCACCAAAACACCAGAGGTTGGGCTGGGGGTGATGAGAACAGGCTGGGTACGGATACTGGGATATTGTACTCCGTACCTTTGTCACCTCTCAAAATTCAATGCGTTGTACAGACTCCGTACAGTACATGCCGACTGCGGGAGCTTGGCTGATCCATTGAGACGCGCTCATGCCCAGGGCATCAGAATCACAAGCTTTTTTTGATACCTGATAAACAGCCTCAATTATCTTTTGCCTTAACTCGCTTGAGCTGCTTCCGCTCTTGCCTCTGTTCTTGCTCCTGCTCCTGATCCTGCTCCCGCTCCTGCTTTCGATGCACATCATATGAATCGTTGATTGATTCTGTTGCTGCACAGAACCCCAAATCGAAAAACACCCCCACGTGCTGGTCATTGGCTTCTCTTTTTTTATAACCTCAAATCACCTATCTACCTTTATCTCTTCCTCATTATCGTCATTATCCTTTCCGCTTTCGATCGAATCGAAATTCTTTCTATGACCTTCTCTCATATTCCTCACCTCAAAACCTATCTCCTCACCGTATCAACCTTGCGTCTCATTGCGATACTCGCCCATTTCTGCATCCGGCGAAGCCATCCTCTCAAACCGCTTATAACCAATCCCTGCATCGATCGGTCCGGTCGAAGCGGTCGCAGCGCGCGCGATTTGTACCGCCTGTACCTATTTCTCGTGTCGCTACTACTGCCCCGTAGCCGTAGCCGCCAACAATCTTTAATTTCGCTCCAGTCCCCCCCAGCCTTGTCCAGCGCCAAACCAGTCCTCTCTTGGCCTTGGTCTCTCCCCGTGCCGTCGACGACCTGGCTCTTCTCCCAACCCAACATCTCTCCCACAAACAAAACAAAATCTCACTTGAACTCAATACGCAACAAGCACAAACGTCGCCCGCGCTACCTCGACTCATTGCTACGATCTCTTGGCCCACACGCGCAGAATCCCTCGTCTATCAAAAAACGAACTCCAGTCATGGGCAGCTTCACCTTCAAGTGGTAAGTCGCAATTCACAATTCGCTGTCTGGTGTGTGTGTGTGTATGTGTTGCGCAGCGCAGCACGGCTTTGACAAATGCACCGCGATAGACTCGTCTACCCTCCCGAGTCGCACTTTGCCTACCTCCGCGCAAGACAATCCCATTGAGCTCTGTCTCAGAATCCCTCTACCCCGTGCATGTGCCTCTCAGATGTTGCTGTTACGGACTGCGACACTTCATCCATGTCTGAGACACTTGAGACTGACCCAAACTTCTGCAGGGAGCATCCCGCCGACGAGGTCTACGTGACCGGTACCTTTGACAACTGGACTAAGAGCGTTCAGCTCGAAAAGAAGGGCGATGTCTTCTCCAAGACAGTTGACCTGAAGGAGCCTGAGGGCAAGATCTACTACAAGGTGCGTTAACGTCAGCGTCAGCGTCAGCGAGTCTCGACCTGCAATCCCAACAGCTTCCCCCAATTTTCCCAATTTTGCGAAACATTCACTCTGCATTGGGTACTGGTGGAAAACCACCCGTCATTGTCCTGCCATTATCGCCAGCGCTGGAGTGGAGATCTTTCTCAGCTCTTCAAAGTCATATTCGGATGGCGGGAGGAAACATTGTTACCAACCCCAACGTCTTTGCGACTGCTGTTGCTCAACCAAGCTGGATGTATGATAGATGCGAAGGCTGCGCTGCCCGGGAATCCGTGCTTTCGCGCCCATCACTATCTTGCAATCTACAGGGCTTTTTAAGCCTAAAGAGCTTGGAGGCATAATGGCGGTGGCTGCCGTAATCCTAAGCTCCAGCCCCTTGCTGCCCCATGGGTTTTTTTTCTTGCAAGTTTGCTTAGCTGCCAGGACCGGGGATTGAGCCCCTGGTTCATTTCCCTATCTGTCATGTCATGGGTTCTCTGCGACCCATCAGCGTCTCGCGCCGTCCCCAACCAAAGACCCCCGCGGTTCGGTATGACGCAAGGCGACCACGATCGCGACAGTTCTGGACTGCTGGAACCTCGTTAGTGAGCGGAGAGCGATGGAAAATCTGCTTTACCCAGCCCATACCGGGTCGTTTCCCTGGTCATGCCAATGAAATCCTGTGGCGCCAGGCGACGATATAGCGTCGCGCAGACCCAAAGTCCCCTCGTGCTGCCAAGGCGTCTTCAAATCAGCGCTTGATTTGCTTGCGCGCTAGTGTGCCTGCATTCCCGACCCGCTCCTGCTCTTCAGCTCCGTCCTTCCCTTCGTCATCGCACCAGCTCATTAAACTCACTTTGTCCCCTCTTTTTTGAAACCAATTGCTCTTCTTACACTTGCACACACTTGTCGCGAACACAATTAAGAACTTCTGCTCACCATCTTTTGTTTAGTTCATCGTCGACGGTAACTGGATCATTAACCAATCAGCACCCAACGAGCCTGATCTCGAGGGTAACGTCAACAACTTCGTCACTCCCGATCAACTCACAAGCAAAAGCGCAACCACCGCTATCCTCAACACCGTGACTCCTACTTCCACAACTGCTGCCATGGCTAGCGAACAACCCATTGAGAACAAGGCCACTGAGCCCAAGACTTTCGAAGACAAGGTAATTGACGAGAAGGATGGTCAAAATAGTAGTATCAGCACGCTGACTTTCAGGTAGTCTGACCATGACGAGAAGCTTCCTCTCGAGACCCCATCTGACATTCCTGGCGGCTTTCCTATCACACCTGCGAACGAGCTCGACAAGGTTTTCGGCGTCAACCCTCTGCCTGCTTCCGAGGGTGCGGGAAATCCCATCAAGCTCGAGGCTGGCGAGAAGATTCCTGAGTCTATCACCACCCAGAGTACTGACAAGTACGTCAAGCTCGACAAGGAGTCTTACGAGAAGAGCGACGCCCTTCCTGGCATTGAGACTGACATGCCTCCTGTGCTTCCCAACACCATCCCTGAGTCTGGTCTGCCCATTATTGGTCCCGATGTTACCCTGAACTCTGTGGCTCCTACTGCCACCACCGCTGGCCTCGCTGCCGAGGTTCCCCTCGAATCCAACGGCGCTTTCGTCCCCGAGGTTGTGAGGGAGAGCCAGGAGAAGGCCGGTGCTGTCACTGAGGCTAGCACGGATCCTACAGAGGTTAAGGAGAAGACTATGGTTGAGGAAGAACTCAAGGGCACTGTTCCTGAGGCACCCGCCACCTCAGTAGGAATCGCTGGTCTTGGCACTGAGAAGTCCGAGAACACACCCGAGACCGGCCTTGCCGCTCTGGCCGCTACCGCCGGAGGTGCTGTCATTGCCGCTGGTCTCGCTGCTAAGGAGACCGTGGAGGGGAAGGCTATCCCTGCCCTCAACAGCGCGGCCGATGCTATCACTGATACTGCCAACAAGAACCTCCCTGACTCCGTCAAGGAGCAGCTCCCCATTGCTGCTCAGCAGACTCTGGCTGCCAAGAATGAGGAACAGATCCGACAGGAAGTTTCCCCCGAGGTTCCCGTCGAGGTTAAGGAGTCTCTCATCGAGGCCGGCAAGGCACCCGAAGCTGCTGCTAACACTGCCGCTGTTGAGGACAAGAAGGAAATGGAGGCTGAGCTCCTTAAGGAGGTCAAGCCTATCACTGGTATTTACGACTCTGTCGTGGAGCAGCCAAAGGAGGAGCCCAAGGAGGTCTCCCCTGAGGTTCCTGTCGAGGTCAAGGACTCTATCGCCGAGGCTGGCAAGAGCCCTGAGGCTGCTGCCAACACCCAGGCTGTTGAGGAGAAGAAGTTGGTCGAGGCCGAGCTTCTGAAGGAGGTCAAGCCTGCTGCTACCATCGACGAGACACCCCAAGTGGCCCCCGAGGTTCCTACCGAAGTCAAGGAGTCCATTGTTGAGGCCGGTGAGCGCCCTGAGGCTGCTGCTAACACCGAGGCCGTCGAGAACAAAAAGGAAATGGAGGCTCAGCTTCTTAAGGAGGCCCAGCCTGTTCCTGCCGCTGATGAGGCCAAGCCTGAGCCTATTGTCGAGCCTAAGGAGACCAAGGTTCAGGAATCCGAATCTGTCATTCCCGCTGTTGTTGCACCCACTGAGACCAAGGCTGAGGAAACCAAGCCCGTTGCTGTGCCTGTAACAAAGACCGAGGAGGCTAAGCCTGTGGCCAAGACAGAAACCCCTGCGGTCGGTAACGGCACCTCAACAACTGGCAACGGCACCTCAGCACCTGGAAATGGAGCCAAGGCTGCCGGAACATCGGCCAACGGCAGCAGCCCTGCGGCTAGTGGTAAGGAAAAGAAGAAAAACCGACTCAGCTCAATCTTCAGCAAGATCAAGAGCAAGCTGTCTGACAAATAGATGAGGGAAATGGGCAACTAGGCTAATGTCGCAACGTTGTGGTGTCAGAAATGTCTCATGGGTTCTTTTGTTTTCTTGCGGTTGGTGTCTTCGTTTATCAATGATTCCCCTGGATCCATGAGAAAGAGGAGAGTGGTAGAGGTCACCGAGGGCATGGATCTCCGTCATATACCTAATTCATAGTCTGTTTTTACGCGCATACTTTTGATTGATACCGGGTTTCATGTATGATAGCTCCTTTGAAGTCAAAAGAAAAACGTCCTTTTTGGATATATGCACATTTATCTTTGTATGTGAAGCTCCCTTGGTGAACAAGACAGTATCATGTGATATGGATGAATGGAAATGGTCAATACGCCTCATGACTCAGCTCAGTCTGATATGTCGTTATGTAAGCTACCCGATCGCGAGCAAAAAAAGCAGAAGCTGTTAACGCCATTCCCCTGCGCCTGGTCGTCCAGTCCGTCAACTCCGTCACGATTTGCCCCGCCAGTGACTCGCTCGATCCACCTCCGTCCTCCATCCATCAACGGGGTCCGTCCCAGCTGGACCCCTTCGTTATCCTTCTTTGTTTCTTTCCATCTCAACTACCTCAATACTACGAGCTCTTTTACCTACTATTTTCTCCTAGCCGCGCTCTTTTCTACTTTTCACAATCCTGAGGCTGCATACCAGCCAGACAACTGCCCTTTCGTGTCATCCCCGCCACCGGGGATAAAGCGCAAGCAATCGAACGACTAAGCCGATCCCCGATCCCGATCTTGATATTTTCCCCTCGCCGACTGCGATTGAGAGTTCCTCCAAGGCTACTATTTCGAACATGAGCTCCTCTTCATCGAACGTGGGAAAGTCTGTCCCCGCACCATCGAATTCGCCGGCCATTCAAGCTGGCACAACAACTTCAAGCTTCGAATCCTCTCGCCGACCATCACAGGCCGGCTCCTCACATCCTCAATCGATGCCTCGAAAGGTTCAAGGCTCTCGGAAGCAACATCGAACTCAGCGTCGACCCGCACTTGGTGAACGATCAAACACTGGTCCCGACGATGAAGATGCTATGGCCGAACTCAGTGCTTTTCGAAACCCCAACAGCAGACGGGGTCAGACTTCGATTACCCATCTTCTCAACTACTCTATGCCACGCCCGGTTTTAGATAACCATGCGCATTCGAGATCTTATAGGCGAACACCGACATGGGGGCCCGGATCAGGGTACCATGCCAGCGACAAAGCCAGATACGTTCATGCAAATTACCGATTTATACTCTCGCCAGAGGGCACATATAGCAAACAAGCAACAGACGCCGATACACATTTGGATTGGTCTCTTGTGATGCAGATTATTGCGTCGAGTGAGTCGCAAGGCTCATCATGCCCCATTTGCCTTTCGGAGCCTGTAGCGCCTCGAATGGCGAAATGCGGTCACATCTTTTGCTTACCCTGCCTAATCCGTTTCATGAATTCGGTTTCGAGCGATGATGAAGCAAAAGGTCGGGGCCCAAGGTGGAAGAAGTGTCCTATCTGCGAAGACTCGATATATATGCAAGACGTTCGACCTGTTCGGTTCTATGCGGGTCAGGAAAGTCCCTTCCCTCGCATTGGCGACGACGTGGTTTTACGGTTGATGGCACGAAGCGCACACTCGGCAATGGCGCTTCCACGCGAAAGCGGCGCTGAAGCGCTATACTCTGAAAACGATATTCCGTGGCATTTTGCTGCCAACGTTCTAGACTATGCGCGTATGATGAAAGGCACCACTGAATATATGACAGCTCAGTATGACGAAGAGATCGCAGCACTTGATCAACAAGCAAAGGAAGATGAGACCCTTTTTGGACAAAATGACGAATGGTCCCAAAAAGCGATTCGGGCCATCGTGGTCGCGAAGGAGAAGCTGGCGGACCTTCATGTTGCTGAAAGCCCAGTCACGGCAAAGCCTTCTTCAGACGCCGATTTCTACTTTTACAGTTCTCCGCCACATCTATACCTCTCACCGTTGGATATTCGCATTCTGAAGACGAAGTACGGATCTTTCTCGTCGTTCCCTTCTACGCTACTTCCTCGTGTCGAACACATCTCTACCGGTCACGTTGTAGATGACACAATGCGCCGAAGGGCGAAATACCTCGGGCATCTTCCTCGCGGATGTGTTGTCAACTTTTTAGAATGCGACTGGACTGATATTGTGCCAGAAGAGACGCTGGCATCGTTCTCGGCCGACATTGAGCGAAGAAGAAGACGCAACCGCGACAAAGAGACACAGGAAGAGCGGGAGCGTCTTCAAGCTGAGCGCCTTGAAGCTGCAAACCTGCGCAAGACGACTGGATACCAGAGGCTTCCCGAGGCGTTGGAAGAGGATAGGGCCCCTCGCATAGATCTTGAGGAGTTCCAGCCATTGAGCGGTCATTCCGGCACCACGCCCCCTGATCCTCGACCAGGATTCGAGAGTTTGGCTGATATGTCAACCAGCCCATCGACCCAGAAGACAATCTGGGGCACCAGAGTGGTCAACGGAGGGTCACCTGAGATGGTAGCTACACAACCTTCGGACGGCAATGACGGCTGGCTTAGAGATGAGGACTTGTTTGATACGGATGACCTTACGATGCAAATACAGGCCATCGAGGCGGCAGAGAGTAGTATCCGTCAAGATAGTGTCAGTGGAGCAGGACCAAGTGTCAGTGGTGGAGGAGGTAGTGGTGGCGGTGGTGGAAAGAAGAAGAAGAAACAGAAAATCACACTCATGAGCACTGGTGGTCGGAGAGGTAACTAAGGTACCGTCTTGGTTTCTTTCAGTCTAGATGTATGCGTTGACGGATTCTTTGGAGGCGCAGCATAGTATGTCGTTTTATTAGTCTTTAGGTAAAGAGATGGAGCAAGGTTTCAATACCAACATAAATACTGAGGATAGTCGAGTTGCATGGGAGCCTGAGCAGGAGTTTGATCAACGGCTCGACTAATTGAACCATGTTTTGTTCTTGAAAGTCCGGATTCTCCCTGAGTTGTTGACATATGTTTGATTACAACAGTCATTGGGAGACACTATCAAGCTCTTGTTACACTATCAAGCTGTATGAGGGATGACTGGCCACTAGGAGGTAACAGCACTGGAACAGTGAATCGAAAAGCAGGTGAATCATATCCATCAAGTGGGCTATTCGGGACTGTTCCGTGATCCTTCCCTTCGACCAGTGGCCAAAATATATATTCCCAATGTCGATCGAAACTTCAAATGCAACATGAAACTCAACTTTGACAACTAGCGAGAGCCGATAGGGCGTGATCGGCGCAACAGAACTGCCCACATGGTCATGCATGACCAGTGGGAAACTTCTCCACATGAGATCGACTGGAGACGGGAATGCCGATGCCAATAAACCTAAGCTGCTAAAGCACCTTACGTACGGATGGTGAAATTGACAGTCGTTGGGCTACTTATACTTTGCTTACGCCCCGATAGATAGTAGACCAAAGAGTGCCGGACACCCGTATAAGCGCTCATAAATAGCTGAGGGGCTGGACAGTTTCGTATTGTGTTTGTTGCTTACAAGGTGCGTGCAACTTGCAAGTGAAGATGTGTGTGGTTATGTCGGGTCGAACAATTACGCACTGGCCTATTGGAATACACAGTTCATACTTTAGAGGCTGTGTTGTTCCCCACCACTGGCGTCTGAAACATGGAAATCCGAGAATCAACATTGAGAAATACCGTTACAAGTTGGTTGCAATTGCAGTAAGAAGACAACTCCCTAGTCTTGGTATTGTATCCATATACGTCCATATTATTTGCTTGATCTTCTGGAATAGGCACGGCGCTTCGATAGCGGAGTCTCTTATCATTGAAGGCTTGGCAACACCGCCTCCTATGAAGCCAAGCTACAAGGCTACACCGACGTAAACTCTTTTTAATCAGATCCGATACTTGATATTTGTCGTGACAACAATATCAGAGATTTGTTTATTTGTTGTTGTAGATCACTTCAGGTAGATGCCCCTAGATCCAGTGCCGGAACAAATAAAGGACGGGCAGAATATAAAATTGGGAGGGAGCCAACTCTATCGTGAAGTACATAGTTAAATGACATGGACCTATCCTGCGGGAATTAACAGGGGATTGAGCGATGGCGCTATAAAATTAGCGGCCGGATGCCCTGTGTTTATGTTGAAATTACGGATACCTTCTATGACTGCCCAACGTTGACTCGGGCTGGGCATAGGGCCAAGGACGCAACATGAGTGTCGATGCGATCCATGGGATACTTGAGGTAAGAATACCAAGGGAGTACCTAAGATGGGCAGCGCTTAGAGAAACAGACGAGTGTGTAATATGCACGTGATGCTGCGGCCAAGAACGACATGTTGCAATATAAATCGGGAACCCCGCCCCCCAAGATCCAGTGCCGTTTATCCTGTGCAGTCACTTACGAATCATGCGAAACCTGAACAATAAGAAGCCTGCACGTCTGTGGTTGGCGATGCCGTATCCGGTGCGGACGGAGTAGATGACAAGAAGCGGGCACCTTGGCCTGGGCTAACTGCTTGGCGAGCCACTGTAGCCACCGGAGCCACTAACACTGGGGCCTGCGAGACAACCGGCTGAATTTCCAACTGCACGGTCCGGCTTTGTCGTCATGTGTCCGGGGGTTGTTCTTATTTGACCTTCTGTCTGTTCTCCTCTACTTCTGTACTTCTGGGTATATCCTAGACCGTTGGGGGGCCAGTAAGAGAAGGAGGGGAAAAGGAAAAACCGCTTGGTCGGCACAACTCAGGCGCTAGAGGCTGGAAGTGATGAATGAAGAAGCAGAACCAGAGACATTCGGCCACCATGTAAAGTACTAATCTATCTTGTGACGCTGATAGTAGCAAGGTGAAGTGCTGTTGGTATAAATAACTCAGCAAAGCCCAGTCCACGATGAAGCGGCACTCAATTCTGAATTTTCATCATTTTCAGCCACTGGATTACGTTGAAATCCGAGGTTGCCTATTACTGTACTGATACTGAGGCGCATGTCCATTAACACGCCCGGGATAATTTAGTCCAGTCAGTAGGTACATGTTTACATGCTAGAGTAGTACTCTGTACTGAGCCTCCACCAGCGACGTTGCCCTTTTGCCCAACAAAAATCATTCCTATCGTCAACCCCAAACGAGCCCAGACCGAAGCCCAAACTACCAGAGCAATCGTTCTCGGCTGACCCCACCATAACTTTAGCGCTTGAGCTGTGCCGAGCCTCACTACCTACCTCCCGCCAGTATCTTTTCAGACGGTGCTGTGCTGTAGCCTGTAACTTAGGTGGCCTGTACCCCAGACGACGCTTGGCTTCTTAGCGCAACTGAACTGCTGAAGGGTCTACTAGCCTCTCCAAGGTTGTAGGTGGTCGTTGGGTGTAGATTGCAAGTACGACAACCCAGGCGACAACGAACAAAATTCGCGTTGTGCAGATCTTAAGCTCTTTTAATCTTTTGGTCCTTGGATACTGCTCATCACAATCCATCTTTGGGAGGGATCGGAGAGTATCAAAGCAAAAAAACAAGGTGAGTTGCGATGTTCATTGAATCATGGAATTATTCAATCGCCTCTGTTCCCCTCTCGTTTTTGGACCTTCAACCTGCTCTGCCCCCCTTGTCAATTACGCAGTTTTGCTCGGGGGGGGGGGGGGGGGGGGGGGGGGCGTTTTCTGTAAGGCCAGGGCCACCTCACTTTGCCATCTGTGACATAGTGACTTTTCTGCCCGTAACTCTCTTGGCCAAGGTGCCGAATAGCGAGAGCCAAGCCCTGTGGGTTAATATACTCCAAGTTGTGTTAGAAGCGCCGAAGATCCGATCAAAGCACCCACAGTACGGAGTACACACACAGCGCTTCTGGGGTCTGGGTCTGCATGGCCAAGCAAAGACCAAGAACCAGTCGTCGTCGTTCGACTCGAATTGAATTGCACAAGGAGAAGGCAAAAGGCTAATCGTTCCACGTAGCTCATTATTCTAAGTCTCAATATAACCCTGGCTAATCCCCCATCCCCCATCGCCCATCGCCCGCTACTCATCATTCATCGCTCAAATCTCCTACAACCCCCTAGCAACTTCAGCTCACGCTATCCCGCCCAAATCTGTCCCCAAGACCCCAGTATTGGTTTAATTTGACCAGAAATCTTCCGAACCTCTCTTCACTGAAGCGAGAGTAAAACTCTCCTTTTTCTCTTATTCCCTTGATTCATTTATTTGACTCAAGTGACGGACTTCTCTTCTCTCTTTCTTGTTTTGCGTCCTCACCTAAACTGAAAGAAAGATTGCGTGCAACCGCTGAGGCTTTGCTCTGGCGGCTGACGAAAACGGCATCGCGCTTACACGCTCACGTCCATCTGAACCTGCCCCATATGGTACTTGCCATACTCTAAGGTTGTCGAGAGTCGATGTATTGTATTCAAGGCTGAGCGAAACCTTCATATTTCTTTACTTTTATTTCAAACTTTCTTCACCGTCACCCAATATTTAAATCTCGACCCACACACAATTTCGATGACTTCCAACACCAAATCCGAGCATCACCACACCGAAGCAATGGCAGGCACTACTGCTACTACTACCACCACCACTGGCACTGGCACTGCCAAGCCTCGACGGGAACCCAGAGACACAGGGTTCCCTGAGCCATTGAACAACCGTCAGTATTATCGAACCTCAATTTCAGTCACAAGAACTTTATACTAACCATTCACAGTCCGCAACACTACTCTTCCACACCCTGATGCGGATCTTTCACCAAACGCCTGTCTCACTCAAGAAGATATTGATCCTGAATGGTCACTTATGAGAACCCGACGATCCTTCCTAAGGAAGAAGAGACGCACACTCAACCATGGACGTATCACACCGACCTCTGAGGCTCTATACAGCGCCTTTTCTCTGGTTCAGTCTGACATCACAGACAACGAGAGCACGAGACAAACCAACTTATCCTCGACCAGCCTCCGACCATCTACGTCAAGCCTCCGACTCTCCAAGGACGAAACCGATAGTCTCGCATCAAGGAACACGAGGAGAGACGACGAGGACACGCCACCGACTTCGCCCGACGTCCCTACGCATCGCTCTAAGAAAGGAGGATTCCTGAGCAAGTGGCGAAGGAGCTAGGAGTGCTTTAGCCCAAGCCTGGCCGAAGAACGGTATAACAACTCGCTCGACACGACTACGACAGATGCAACGACATGATACGGCCGAATTTGATGACCTGCAACGACTGCATCACCCTGATGCATTGCTTACACAACAAAAAAAAACCACTCCTTTTATTTCCTTTGTGACAGCGCGGCGTTTAACTGGGATATCGGATTGGATTGATATTCATTGGATGGAGTATTGCCTTAAACACAAGGGCACAAACTTGGATACTACAGTCCCTCTGGCAGGGCAAAGGCAGCAATGTCACTCGAAGAGTCAGTTGGCTTGGCTTGGAAAAGAAGCAACCGACACAGACACTCATTAGGAATTAATAACTAGCTTCATTGCTATTCTCACAATGCTGTTATCATTATCTGTCGCTCGTGCTCTCATGATGCTAACGTTCCTCATATGATGGCTTTTGTTCTTTATATATAAAATCACCGAGCCAGTTGATTCGGCTTCGGTTCTATTTCAAGACATCTGACCCATTGTTGTGGCCATTCCGTTCTAGCTAGTAAAAGATACATCGCTATTCGTTCAGCTTCCACGGTAAGAAGTGTAGCTGTAGGGGCTCAATAGCAGAGGCACATGGTACGTCTGTCCCTCTTCGACGCGGAATGTAACCGAAACCTCAGGGAAGAAGGTGTTCTCCTCGCCAAAGTAGGCACCAGTATCGAAGCGTAGCGTCCAGCGCGATGAGCCCTGCCCCTTGCGATCCTCAAGTACATCCACAAGAGTCTGAACGGGGGGGTCGCCAGCAGAATCCTCGGAAAGATAGGGCAGCCAGGCGGTAACGCGGCCGTCGTCGTCAGTGATGGACTCGAAGGTGTTTGGCCGGGGCTGGGCAGAAGAGTGCGGGTTGGTGGACGCTGGGATAGGACCCTCGAGACGAACGCGGATGCCACGTGCAGGGCGACCAGCCTGAGTATCAAGCACGTGGCAGGTGATGGGATCCTTGGTGGGTGAAGCCATCGTGATGGGAAAATGTGGTGAGCGAAGTGTCTTGTTATGTTGTGGTGGATGAGGTGTGATCCGATATTTGGTGAGGTTGACGTTAAAGGTGGGGGAGATTGTAAGCTGGGAGGGTGTGTGATATATGTGATTAGAGGCTGAGATGAGGCTCAATAAATAATCTTATGGCTTGCCCTATTTTCCGGATATTCGCAAGCCGCATAAGAAGGAAAGTAGAAATGCGAGGCGGAGAGGGGAATATCAGCTGAAGTGAGGTAAGACAGCGAGCGAGTGTTTGCGGTGCAGAGCACAGTAGCACAGCAGCACAGCCTACCTACCTACGGCAGATAATCAGCAACTTCACTGATGAATGGTGATTATTGTCTGACAAGCTAAGAATAGATAAGCCATATGTGATAATTAACAAGGTAGCCTAATATTGAGACCAGACAATAGAACTCAAGCTATACTATTAATTTACGCGTAGCTCCGGACGCTTGACGCCGTTCGCCGGTGCTCGAGATCCTTCCTATCTTTTGGACGGAGCCGGCCTGTGAGAGGTTGATGTTTAAGAACAATTGTATTAATATCACGAAATGGGAATATTTGACTCGAGTTTCATCTAGTTCTTGATTGGCATTAGTGTTAGATCTAATCTTATGTATGATAGTCAAACTGCTCTCATGTCCTAAGATTGAGCTCTACGTACTACGTAAGTAGTACCTAGTCGTTGTCAAAGTTGTGGCGACTCGGCCATGGGTAGTCATGTGGCGTATCGATAAAATAAAACAGTCAAGACTACACGCCAAAAGCACCATCTACCGGCCAGCTATTATGTCGCTAGTTACCCCTCCAAATCAACCACCAACTCCACCATCCAAGAGCTTCTAGAAGATGCCCAAATCCTGATTCTGGCTCTACATACCCCGGACACTCTTAGCACCTACAGCAGGTCATCGACTCTACGCTGCACATCTTTCTCTTCATATACGCTTATTCCTCAACTGCTCGCCGCTCGCAACCTCATCGCCACTTCTCCCGAAATGTCCACCGCCGTCATCTCCGCCGAGGACGCCCTCGAGCCCTCCCTTCAGACCCTCCTCGACCAGCGCAGCCTTCGCTGGATCTTTGTTGGCGGAAAGGGTGGTGTTGGAAAGACAACTACCTCTTGCTCTCTCGCCATTCAGCTTGCAAAAGTCCGACGCTCTGTCCTTCTTATTTCGACCGATCCCGCCCATAACCTATCAGATGCCTTCTCCCAGAAGTTCGGCAAGGAGGCTCGTCTCGTCAACGGCTTCGACAACCTGAGCGCTATGGAAATTGATCCCAATGGCAGCATACAGGATATGCTCGCGGGCCAGGGTGATGCCGACGATGTCAACGCTGCGGCTGGTGGCCCTCTGGGAGGCATGATGCAGGACCTCGCTTTTGCGGTATGTTACTATGGATCTTTCCCCAAAGTCCAGCACTAACTAATACTATATAGATCCCCGGTATTGACGAGGCCATGTCGTTTGCCGAAGTCCTCAAGCAGGTCAAGTCCCTCTCCTACGAGACCATCGTTTTCGATACGGCTCCTACAGGCCACACTCTGCGTTTCCTCCAGTTCCCCACTGTCCTAGAAAAGGCCCTTGCAAAGGTCTCCCAGCTGTCATCGCAGTACGGCCCTCTCCTCAATGGCTTCCTCGGTTCTGGTGGCCAGCTCCCCAATGGCCAGAACCTTAATGACATGATCGAAAAGCTCGAGTCTCTGCGCGAGACCATCAGCGAAGTGAACACACAGTTCCAGGACGCCGAACTCACTACCTTTGTCTGTGTCTGCATCGCTGAGTTCCTTAGTCTTTACGAGACGGAGCGCATGATCCAGGAGCTTGCCGGCTACGGCATCGACACCCACTCCATCGTCGTCAACCAGTTGCTTTTCCCCAAGAAGGCCAGCGAATGTGATCAGTGCAATGCTCGTCGCAAGATGCAGCGCAAGTACCTCGACCAGTACGAAGAGCTTTACGCTGAGGACTTCAACGTTGTTAAGATGCCTCTGCTTGTCGAGGAGGTCCGTGGAAAGGAGAAGCTCGAAAAGTTTAGCGAGATGCTTGTCACACCTTACGTCCCTCCTGAGTAAGCGCATTTATAGAACGGCTTGTGAGAGTTGGAAAGATAGAATCAGAGGTGAAATGAGGACAAAAGGAGGTTTACATAGCGATACAGGAGCACCAGCGGCGTGGAGGAGTTGCTATGGACTGTTTGATGGTTTACGAGAATACACGTCGGACGATAAGATGCACGTGCAGTCACAAAAGAAAAATACCCAATTGTTTTGAGCAAATATTTGTTTGATTGTTTGTTTATTGACTGACTTTGACTTGACCCAAAGTCTCCTAAAGTAACGTACTAATGCACCCGGCCCCAAAGACGTTCCTAGTACTTGGATATGGAAATCCTGTCGTGAAAAATCCTCGAAGACCTTGTTCTTCCTTAACGCCAATCCGTCCAGCCTGACGGTAAGCATGCTAAATAGCAAAGCATGCGTGACCCCTAAACTCCGATCCAAAGTATAAGAGGGTGGTAAAGTGTGATACGACACTCAGATGCGGTTAATGCAACTTCTTGTTGATCAAGATAGTAGCGAAAAAAAAACAAAAACAAGTAAAGACAAAAGCAATCGCTGGCAGGAACGTGGTCGAGTCGAATCATAGCCTAAAGCTCTCGGTAGTCGCTGGGTCGTACTCTTCGCTGCTTGTTCTGGTGTCGATGAGGGTTGACTGGCTTGCGGAAGTAGGCGTCCTCGTCAGGACCAGCACCTTGTCCAAAGTTGCCGTTCTGGAAGCCGTTCATGCCCGCGTTCATGTTACCCATGTTGCCATTCATACCATTCATTCCGTTCATGCCCATGTCCCAGCCGTTCATGCCACCAAATCCACCGCCCATCCCAGGGAAACCAGGCATGCCCATCATGTTAGGCATTCCCATCATGTTCATGTTGGGCATTCCCATGTTCATGTTGCCCATGTTGGGCATATTGGGCATACCCATCATGTTGGGCATCATGGGCATTCCGTTGAACATCATGTTGTTCATGCCCATACCGTTCATAGCCATACCGTTCATGCCCATGCCGTTCATCATGTTTTGTTGATTCTGCTGATTCTGCATGGCTTTGGGACCCTTTGGAATTCTGGGATTGTCGAGGATATCGTCCGCAGGCCGCTTCTTAGAATTGACGTCCGCCAACTTAGCACCGTCTACTTGTTTGTTTGCATCTTGGGAAGTAGATACGAGACTCTTAGGACCTGTGGGAGGGGACTTGACAGTTGCAGACTGCGACATTGGTGACTTTGACTTTGACCTTGCCGTCACGGGTGAATCCTGAGGCTTGTCACTAGGTTCGCTTTCGGACTTTTGTTCCGAATTGTCAGCAGTCTCGTCAGCAGGCTTCTCTTGTAATTCGCCATCTGTCTTGACTTCCTGAGCCTTGGGTGATGGGGGTGGAGGGGTCTTGGCTGTTTCCTTCTCCTTCAAGTACTCTTGAATCTTCTTCGAGGTCTCTTCATCTGGCTGAAGGTCATCGATCAATACACCTTCCGATTGGCATGCAGGGCAGACGAAGTCGCTTTCGATGAGAGCATTGGTTATGCAATCATTACAAAAGGTCTTCTGGCAGCAAGGTGTCTTCATTGGCTCTATGAACATCTTCTTGTCGATCGAACATTCTAAGCCCTGTTCCTGAACCTCCTTGTTCTCAGCCAACGGTGCGTTGGCTGTAGACGAAGAGTTGGCCTTGGCCTGGAACTGTTCCCATGATGCCTTATCAGGCTCGGCAATAACAAAATCACCCTCAGCGTTAACCATGATACCTGCAGGTCGCTTGGATTCATCGCCATCAGTTTGTGCGAGGACAACAGACTTATCAACCTTTTGCAGGAATGATCGTGGGATACCCGTTGTTCGCTTGACACGCGGACGGTTATCGAACTCAGGGTCATCGTTGGTTGGGCAGAGTTGAATCCAGTGGCCCTTGTTGCCACAACGGTAGCAAATGTATCCATTGGGAGGATCGTGGTCAGGGACATTTGCTGGCCTCTTTGCGCCCGCCTTGAATACTGGCGTTTGGCTGATAATGTGTTAGCTTATAATGTGACATTTATGAGAAATGTTGTAACTTACTGGGACATCTCTTCTTGTTGAGCAGACCACTGCTCGGTCTGTGCTGCAAACATGGCGGCCATCTTCTCTTCTTCAGTCATGGCGTTGTTCATCTGACTGATTGCATCTGAGCTCGGCTTGGAAGATGAGGCCTTCGCCGCTTGCTCTTTGCGGCCAGCATTCTTGGCCGCCACAGGCATTTTACCGGACACATAACGAGCCGCACGTCCTGCACCTGGCTTCAGAGCAGGCTGACGTCGGGCGATTACTGTCGTTGACCTAGGAATGATGGTTGTATCATCATCGTATTCTAAAGAACATTAGTAAACTCATTTTGCTACATGATGGCATACAAACTCACCTTCGCTGTTATCATCGGTGTAGATGTGCAAGTCAAAGTCGGTACCATCGCCGAGGCCACTCTTGGTGATAATCTCACGCTTCAACTCAAAAACCGAGATACCGGTACCATCAAACTCGACTCTAGTGGGCTCCCTTTGAGATTTGAACTTGAAAAAGACTGAAGATGTCATTTTGGCTGACTTGTGCTTGATGTTTCCTACAGGAACTGATAAAGCAAGGCACAATAAATAGCAGAAGTTTGTTGAGATTCAAATATCGCAAGTCGAGAAAAGTCCAACAGGTCAGGCCGGTTCGGTCGCACAAAGCACTATGTAAGTATTGATTGATTGATGGTTCTTGTTTGCAAAAGAAGACAATCCTAGTTTTCTTTGTTCGTTTCTTTCTTGCACTGCCGTGCCTCTTTCAACTCTCAATGTGAACGGAAATAATCAATTTTGATTGTACTTTGAGGGAACAATAGTGGCAATAGGGTCAAAAAAATGAAATGGGTGCAATGAATAGGAGTACAGCTGGCCAAGCCAGAAGAGAGACAACCCTGAAACTCCACCTCACTTTCCAGTCACCACGCTTGTAAAAACCACGGAACCAGCGACCTTGATGTTAGCCAGGCGCCCCAACGTTTCCACTCTATCAAGAGTAGACCAGCACCACGTGATACGGGAGAATCTTAAGCAACGTAAGGGAGATGCGGATACGGATGATCGGGGCTTGCGTGAGAACAACGAAATCGTGACAATAAAGCCGCGTGTCGTCAGTTGCGCAAATAAAGCAGCTATTCAGGCGATGAGAAAGCGACAAAGATAGAGAGGGCGATCGAGCGGGCTACGTTAACGTCGTACGCCAAGTTGTTGATGGCGAGGAAGAGTGTCGACGATGGATGGATGGATGAAGGCTGGGGAGAGTGGGGAGAGGAAGAGTCTTCGACAACAGGATACCTACTAGTTAAGGTGAGAGACGGCGACTTGCCCCTTTGGCTTTAGGGTGACTAATCGTGTCAGATCTACCTACCTTAGACATGGTGGCCGCATATAAGTTAGTCCGGATGACTCAGCGATGTGCTTCCAAGCATGGGGTTTGCGCAGCTGACAGGTAGATCGACTGACTACGCCTGTGGTTCTCCTCATAACTCTAACCGTTCAATAAACTGACTAATTAGAACACGGGCGTTTTGCCATTGGTTGCCGCAAGTAACCGGTCTGCTGGTCCCTTTGTTTGGCGTCCCATTGTTAAAAGCTGCCCCGCCATTAGGTGAGTGCAGTGCCTGCTAGGTACGGAGCTGTTTGCATCACTGCCCGCCCGATAGAGGCAGGTCCGAGATAACTGGTGTAATGCCCCGCACCATCCGCCTCAATAGGGCAGCTGTGTGCTGTGCTCGAGTGGTAACAGCACTCCCCAAAAGGCCCTTTATTACATTACGAGGATCCATCTCGCAAACTTTTCCTTCCAAACTCAACCTTTCCTCCCGGAGCTATCTCACAGACTCTATTCGTTCTCATCAAGCAAAGAAGATGGCTCCTCAGCTCGACGGTTTCTTCAAGCAGGTCGACAGCTCGGCCGACCACTTCATCGAGCGTCTGCGCAAGGCTGTGGCCATTCCCTCCATCTCCGCCGAGGATGCTCGCCGACCTGATGTTGTTCGCATGGGAGAGTGGCTCGGCGATGAGCTCAAGTCCCTTGGAGCTTCTGTAGAACTTCGACCTCTTGGAAAGCAGCCCCACAAGGAATACCTCGACCTTCCTCCTGTTGTCCTTGCCCGATACGGAAGCGACAAGAACAAGCGCACAATCCTTGTATACGGCCATTATGATGTGCAGCCCGCTGAGAAGAGCGACGGCTGGGCCACCGAGCCTTTCGATCTCACTGTTGACGAGAAGGGCCGTATGTTCGGACGTGGATCTACTGATGACAAGGGTCCTGTTCTAGGCTGGTTGAATGCTATCGAGGCTCATCAGAAGGCTGGCGTCGATTTCCCTGTCAACCTGCTCATGTGCTTTGAGGGTATGGAGGAATACGGTTCCGAAGGCCTCGATGATCTCATCAAGGAGGAGGCTAAGAAGTACTTTGCTGATGCTGAGGCTGTCTGTATCTCGGACAACTACTGGCTTGGCACTGAGAAGCCCTGTTTGACTTATGGTCTTCGCGGTTGCAACTACTACTCAGTCGAGATCTCCGGCCCTGGTGCCGATCTGCACAGTGGTGTTTTCGGCGGCACTGCCCAGGAGCCTATGACCGACCTTGTGAGAGTTCTTGGATCGCTGGTCAACACTGGTGGCGAGATCCAGATCCCTGGTATCAAGGAGCAAGTTGCCCCTATCACCGCAGACGAGGAGGGCCTTTACGACGGCATCTCCTTCACCATGGATAACATCCATGAGTCCCTGGGCAGCAAGACTACTATCTTTGATGATAAGAAGCGCACTCTGATGGGCCGCTGGCGATACCCATCTCTGTCTATCCATGGCGTAGAGGGTGCTTTCTCTGCTCCTGGAGCCAAGACCGTTATTCCTGCCAAGGTTATCGGAAAGTTCTCCATCCGAACTGTCCCTGACATGGACATTGACACGACCAACGAGGCCGTGTTCAAGTATGTCAAGGAGCAGTTTGCCAAACTCGGCAGCAAGAACACCCTCAATGTATATGCTCAGCACACTGGCAAGTGGTGGGTCGCATCACCAAAGCACTGGAACTTCTCGGCTGCTGCCAAGGCCGTTGAGCGAGTTTGGGGTGTTGAGCCTGATTACACTCGTGAGGGTGGAAGGTAAGCTATTTGATCCGAGCATGCAAGGACGCCGCTAATGATATACCCCTAGTATCCCTGTTACACTGACCTTCGAAGAGGCTACTGGCAAGAATGTGCTTCTGCTTCCCATGGGGAGCTCTACTGATGGTGCTCACTCTATCAACGAGAAGCTTGACAAGCGTAACTATATCGAGGGTATCAAGTTGCTGGGAGCTTACCTTCACTACGTTGCTGAGGAACCTCAGTCTTAAGGCACCTGTCCCATCATAATAATTACAGTTAAATATACCATGTGATGAGAATAAGAATCTAAACTAAGAACAGCCCAAGAGGAATCTTGAGCGCAGTCTATCGCAGCCTCTGAGTGGCTCTCATCCATCATCTGCGTTGTCTCGTGGGATCTCATGATGTGGCTAACCCATGCGCAAAAAGATAAGATACGTACCCTGTCAGCTTGTCTTGTCTAGTTGCAGGTGGTTGGACCCCTCATTTCGCCCTGGTCTGTGTTTGTCCCTGGTCCCGCCCGCCCCAACCGCTATCGAAGAGCTACTGGAGACCTGGTTTTGCCCCTCTATCATCACTGGTCGTGAGTCTGGTGATCGCTGTTCGGCTGAGTCGGGGAGAGTGACCAAATGATTGCCGGTATCTGGCCCCGTATTACTATTAATCTTATCCATTCCCCAGAGGTGGCCTTGGGTCTGGTCATAACTCACGCATCGCCTCAAAAACGGTTAACGATTCTATTTTCAACGTTTCGTCCTGAATGACACCATTGACAGAGCCAACGCTTCTCAGCTTCCATCTGCAAGGACCTTACGCCACTTGTGGAGCTCCTCGTGTTTTCAGTGGAACTATTATCCACAGCTTATCGGACCCCTAGCCCTTCGATAGAACGTTCCAAAAATCGAAGGGACATTTCCTCTCTTTCAAGACGATAAACTTGAGATCGCTACAAGGGTGTCACTATTACTACCGCCGAGATGGTTCGCGAGAGTGGGATTTCGGCTACCAAGCCTATCTTCCCTAACTTCTTGCTTCCTAGCATCAAGCTACCATTCACGCGTCGCCAGTCAGGCTCCTCGAGTTCGGCATCATCGGCGGTGACAACGCCAGCAAGCTCACCCCCGAGCGGTGGGATTTTTGCAAGAGTAGAAAAAGGTCGAATATCCCGTACCGCACCGAATACGCTACGCTGCTCGACCTGCTCGGCCGATATCGCTTTTGCTTCTCAGATTATTTCCAAAGGCTTCACCGGCCGGTACGGTCGTGCATTTCTCGTCGCCCCTCCTGCACTCCCAGCACCCCAGACGTTGAGCAATATTCGGGTCGGAAAGAGTGAGAATCGACAACTCGTAACAGGATGGCACATTGTGGCAGACATTAACTGCGGGTCATGCTCAACCAAGCTTGGCTGGAAATATGTTGATGCTAAGGAGCAAGGCCAAAAGTACAAAGTGGGCAAGTTCATCCTAGAGGTTGAGCGGGTGGTCACCTACCGAAGCTGGGAGGACGCCATCGACGAGGACGTCTCAGAACCTGCCATGATGAACAGGGACGGCGACGAAGACGAGATTGTGTTTGATTCTGACGATGACGATGAATGTGAGGATATTTTTGCGGGAACATGGGACGCTGAAGTAGTAGAAGGGAGACGAAGGAGAATGGTGGCACGTCGAAGTCAAGCCGAGAACAACGAGTAGTCTTCGTTGCTGTGGCGTTGTCTCGAAGTCATGAATTGGGCTTGAATTACACACTGTATTGGCGTCAAGGTATGAATGTCGATTTAGAATCTTGAACAGGACAAATACCCCGAAGATGAGGATGGGGAGGGGGGCATAACAACAGTTCACAAACTGGCTACTCTACCCCATACTTTTAGATTGCTACGAATTGAGTTTTGTGTTCACTTGGCATGAGAATAGTGACACTGTTACCTTGGTGGCGTACGCGGCTATTCTCACCCTGGCATCTCGACCGTGGATTGAAGACAGTTGCTATGATGAGCACTGGGGTAACTGACTCACATTATGGCTATTGGATCTTGCACTGAAACAAGACGTGCGTTTGTTGTTATTATGTTTCATTAGAGAAAGGTTACTTGACTGTTATTCAACTTTATCTTTGGAAGTAAGGTTGTAGAAGCGACCCAACAGGACGGTACCTTTATGATGATGCAACAGTTGATGATCATGGGATAGACATGAGGTGTAGAAGGGAGGACATATGAGGAGTCTACAATTTTGGCCCAGTGAAGATATGCATTGGCTTCACGTTCTGGAGAAGATCACATCACATGTTGTGTACTATCAAGACCAAGCTGGGTCACTACCTCGTTCCCCGGAATGCCCTTGGTATTCCCACAATTGATTGACTTTCAAGACCACGTATCACCGAGCGAGAAGAATCCTCCTCAGACTTCGGTAAATAATCGAGTGACCAAACGCATTGTGTGACAGTATCTGTCAAGATCTGGGGCCCTGGGATGGATATTGAGAGGATGATTGAGCTGCTGGGCGTGGGATGCACAGAGTGGGGTTTGGTGGGGATAAAATCTACATGTCACGTACGTACAAGCAGAGTCATCCTAAACCATGGAAATACGGACAGTCTATAAAACTGCCGTCTGTATTGGATTGAATAGAGGTCAAGCAATAATTTGTTTTATTTTGATATTTGACGGGCTGCGACGAGGGTTGCTAATTTTGTCATCGCCTATCCTACGCAGAGGGAGGGATGTTGCACGGCATCTGGCTTCAGCAGTCCATGTAAGCCCATCAACGCCAACGCGTGGGGCGAATACCCTGGGATGAATGGAGTGGAGTACCCCTGGTGTGCGATATCGTCACAGCCCGTGGACAAGCACGGGCAAGTAAAAAAAAAGTTAGCTAGAGGGGGGGTGAGGGGTATGGATTTCTAAAACACCTCAGAGACGAGCCGCAAAACCAAGGGACCGCTCGCACGCTGCAGCTCCAGGCACCTCACTTCAGGTACAGGTGATATCCAGCATCTCTCACCGAATAATTCTGCACGATCTCGCATATCAATTGTATGATGTGTGTAACCCCCACGTTCCCTTCACCGCTCTGGGAATTTATGTATGTCCCCTTTCCCCTTAACGCAGGAGAAACTTGGTGAGCGAGACCGGAGTGAACTTTGGATCTCAAATCTCTACTGCTGTGAAGTTGTGATTGCCCATCTCCATTGTCTTTCAGTGGAGGACCACTTCCTCAATTCCATGCCCGTCACTGTCGTCACCCTAGGACTGCGGACTCCATTCCTCCACTCAAAACACCCTACGGCAGCCAAGCTAATAAGCTCTTTGCCCGCCACTTTTCTACAGTACCTCCAGCTCGCTCCTCTCCACTTCTACCTTGTTCTCGTCTCCTCTCTCATAGCGGCCCCCATATTCTGCCGTCATACTCGTCCTCATCCCTACAAATCCTTTTCCTACCTTTCATCGTCTTATACCTACTCGTGGCCTGTCCCAAACTACGCTCCGAGCATACTCCTACCCCTCCATCTATCATAACCCTCTTGTTCATCGTCACCTACAGTACTATTCATCGCTCACCAACTAGCCGGCGTAATTGGGCAGTGCTACAGATCCTAATCAGCTCCTCTTAGTTGCTTGTTCCCATCTTCCTACCCCCGCTTTGATCTCCTGACCATACGTTCGATAATTGAACCATCGCCATGGCCGAGCCCTCTGGTCACCGCTCTCGCGGTTCCGATGACATGGGAGTCTACGACGATGCCAAAAGCTACTACACAGAAGAGCGTCATCAGAACCGTGCTGGTCCCCGTACCCGAACTTACTCCCAGGTAAGTAGTGACAAACCTGACAGTATCATGACGTAAATTGACATCGAAAACCAGAACAGCTTGATGCACCGTTTTGAACGAACCAGCCTTCGAGAGCCTTTTCGACGTGGTAGTCATGGTTAGAAGCCCGGGAAGCGTCAAGAGACCAACCGTCAATACTAACACGTTTCTCCACAGATGAAAACTCCCAACACAACCGCCGCTTTCTGATCCAAGTCGACTCGACGTTGGAAAGCCTTTCGCTTCAAGAAGACCCCAATGGCAACATGCAGATTACAATCGAGGACAATGGGCCCAAGGTTATTTCTCTGCGTACCGCCGCTTCAGCTGGTCACAACCGCTTCGATGTCCGTGGAACTTATATGCTGTCCAACCTCCTGCAGGAGTTGACCCTGGCCAAAGAATACGGACGAAAACAGATCGTTCTGGATGAGGGCCGCCTCAACGAGAACCCAGTCGACCGTCTGTCCCGCATGATCCGTGATCATTTCTGGGAGAACTTGACAAGACGCATTGATGCTTCGACCGTCGACATTGCCGCTCGAGACCCCAAAGATTGGACAGCCGACCCTCGCCCGCGCATCTACATCCCATACCGGTGCCCGAGACAATATGAGTTCTACAAGAGGGTCGCCGAAGAAAGACCCGAGATGCGCTTGGACGTCCAGATGCTGCCTGAAAAGATTACCCCTGATATTGTTCGTGACATGAACGATGCCCCTGGTCTTTTGGCCGTGGATGTGCAAGAAGTCCCAGAGCCAGAGCATCCTTCTGGGTGGACCCTCAAGGGCATGCCCTTTGTTGTCCCAGGTGGCCGTTTCAACGAGCTTTACGGCTGGGATAGCTACATGGCATCTTTGGGCCTCCTGATCAACGATCGGGTTGATCTGGCTAAATCAATGGTCATCAACTTCTGTTTCTGTATCGAACATTACGGCAAGATTCTGAACGCCACTCGGTCGTACTACCTTTGTCGGTCACAGCCTCCCTTCTTGACAGACATGGCCCTCCGTGTCTATGAAAAGATCAAGCACGAGCCAGATGCCAAGGAATTCCTTCGACGATCTATTCTGGCCGCCATCAAGGAGTACCACAGTGTGTGGGTGTCGGAGCCTCGACTGGACCCCCAAACAGGTCTCTCGAGGTACCGACCAGAAGGCCGTGGTGTGCCTCCTGAGACGGAGGCTACCCACTTTGTGCACATCCTTGACCCTTACGTCAAGAAGCATAACATGAAGTTTGAAGATTTTGTGCGAGCGTACAACCACGGTGATATCGAGGAGCCTGAGCTTGACGAATACTTCATGCATGATCGTGCCGTGCGAGAGTCAGGCCATGATACCTCGTACCGCCTTGAAGGCGTTTGTGCCAACCTGGCTACCATCGATCTCAACTCTCTCCTATTCAAATATGAGACTGATATTGCCCGAACTATCCGTAGCGTTTTCAACGACAAGTTGACTATGCCCGAAGAATTCTGCGCCGGCACACCTTACCAGCCAGGAGAGGTTCTTTCGTCGGCTGCTTGGGACCGACGAGCGAAGCGACGTAAGCTGACAGTTGACAAGCTGATGTGGGATGAGAAGGAGGGAATGTTCTTCGATTATGACACCGTGAAGCGTGAGCGTTGCACATACGAGAGCTGTACAACGCTGTGGGCTCTCTGGGCGGGTATCGCCACGCCCAAGCAGGCGGCCGAGATGGTCCGCAAAGCTCTCCCCAAGTTCGAGGCATACGGTGGCCTGGTTTCAGGAACAGAAGAATCTCGTGGAGCGGTCGGCTTGGAACGGCCTAACAGACAATGGGATTTCCCGTATGGCTGGCCTCCACAACAGATGCTGGCGTGGACTGGCTTGATCCGCTACAGCTTCAATGAAGAGGCAGAGCGAATTGCCTACAAGTGGCTCTTCATGGTCACCAAGGCCTTTGTTGACTACCACGGTGTCGTAGTCGAGAAGTACGATGTGACACGGCCAGACGATCCTCACCGAGTGGATGCAGAGTACGGTAACCAAGGTCTTGGTTTCCGAGGTGTTAACAAGGAAGGGTACGTCGAATCTTCACTCTGATTCCCCCTGAACGCAGTTACTGACAATGATATAGATTCGCATGGGTTAATGCCAGTTACATCTACGGACTGCAAATTATCAATGCGCATATGCGCAGAGCACTCGGAGCCCTCACGCCGTACCAGACATTGATGAAGGCTATTGAGCAGAATGAAGAGAAGACGCTGGCTGGTCTGCTTGCTTCATAGGGTGTGACTGCTTTTGTAGACTAGGAAGCTGCTCTTTGCAAAAGAAAAGTGGTGTAGCTGCCAGTATCCATAGGAGAAGAATGTTACTGTACCTGCTTACCCTGCCTTCCAATCCAATGATAGGAACAAAGTGAAATTAGGAGCAAAATGCAGAGTCAACAAATGACTTCGAGAAGATGACAATTTAGAATAAATATAGCGGTTACAATCTTGTGTACCTCGGGAAGTTGCCGAATATCATGACGGCTGATGGGGCACGTGAGGTGAAGCCGAAGATGATAATGATGAGGATCCCGGGAAGAGAATGGCCGAGGTAACGAAGGTTTAGAATTGGAGAAGTTTGGGCCGTGGTGGGGTGAATCCTAGAGAAACTGGATATTGAAACCCAGTGATATACTCCGTTCTTTTTTAGAGTCATCATGAGGACATTGATTGCCGAGCTCATACAGAGGAGACTAAGCCAAATCATTCAATAGACACATCGAACGCCGGCTTCACATGCCAGCAACCTCCGCTGCCCCGGAGCTGAGAGCGGACCCAGAATTCGGCCAAGTTCCGTCATTCCGGGGACGGACAGGTACCGATAAACGGAGGAAGGCCGAAGCTGATAGAGAGGAATTGTATGCGCAGCAGGATTTCTTAATACGAATACATGCTGCTTGCACTGATTAGTCAGTTGCGGATTCATTATTCGAATGTTGATTGAAGATTTTATGGACATGGGCCAACGGAGCGTTGAATGGCGATGGTGGTGTTGTAAACGGTGGCTGTCGAGGCTTCTCTGAACAAGGTTTATTAGAACAACGATGGGCAAAGGTGAAATCCTAGGTGAGCCAAGGTGAGGGGGCAGGTTCCCCAGGTTTTCCAAGGGAGCGATTCTATCTTGCAAGGATTAGGTCGACCAAGTACAGTACGGGTACCGTATCTCAGATTTGGGGTTGGTTCGAGGGGCAATAGCTGTTTACGGTATTCGGCATCTCGGGCTAGGTAGGTAGTCAAGGGAGCCCCGGATCTGTAATATCGAGCCTTTGAGCCGAATCTGCTGTAACAGTAATAGTAACAGCAACAGCAACAGTAAAGACGTCACATATGGTAGTGCTACTGGGGACAGTTCATTGCAGCGCAGTAACAGACTCTGCAGGACCGCATACTCCTACACAGACCAAATTGCCCATCGCGATCATGCTGCACCTCGTGATTCGATAGAACTTCACTTACCATCTACAGGGGAAAAGAATGAAGTGCATGTATTGACGGCTGTAGGCCAACCCTTGAGGCGCTCGGTGACTGTCCGGAGGTACATGACCATTGACCTTTGCGGCTCGTGACGGCAAATAGGTGAGAGATCTGACTTGACTTGACACAAGCATGATGACGGCCGAGGTGAAAGAGAAGAGAACATACTCGTGCTTGGCTTGTGTTCGGTAGAAGACCGAGCTAGAGAAAACACAAGGTACTCGCCAAAAGCGGAAGTTTTTGGTTTGAAGTTCGACGGCTGTTAATAGCCATGCTGTATGTACGCAGTGTAGGTAAGTAATGAACGTTAGGATTATATATTCTCTTTACAAAAGATTATTTAGACTATTCCATTATCACTGTATGCAGTCGAATCAATAAAACACATTTGCTGCTTCCAAAGAGAAGCTTGAACAAATGCCAACTCATGAGTCTCAACAATAAGGCAAGAGGTATCGTCTAAGTTAGTGAGTGCCAGGTCCATGTCTCGTGGGTTGCGGGTTGCGGGTCCGCTAAGTCCTGGATCCCCCTCTTGGATGGGCAACTTCCCCTCCTCATCCTCCACTAACACGGCAAACCAATCGAACTCTCACTCCCCCAGCTTCTCCCAGCGTTCAGATCCAAGGCTTTCCCTATCAATTGTACCTACATTTCGCCTCCAAAAATCACTACACAGACCCCAGCGTGAACAACAATGGTATCCACTAAAAAGTCATAAACGTTTCCTGCCGGGTGCGGAGAGTTAGCCAGACGATGGAGTATCCCATCTATCCATGGGGGATGGACCGCCGGGGAACGGGAGACCCAAGAGTGACTCAAGATCTAGGGTACCGGCCATTGCAATACTTAATAATAACTGCTTCTCCCATCTTTTTCTCTGTTCACAAAGCTTCGATCTATCCTCATTCCACTCAACATTGGTCGTGCCATTGATACCCTTGGCCACTGAACTTACACACAGTCAACTTCTTCAGCCACATACACACATACAGCATACATACCTACACAACAGTCACAATGGCGTCAAAAAATATGGCAAACCCCTCCGTCAACCCTGATATTGAAGACGAGCTCTTCCAGAAGGAAGTCGAGGCTGTCAAGACCTGGTGGTCTGACTCAAGATGGCGACAAACCAAGCGACCCTTTACCGCTGAGCAGATCGTCTCCAAGCGTGGATACCTGCCCGTCGACTATGCCAGCAATGCCCAGGCAAAGAAGTTGTGGAAGATTCTCGAGCACCGTTTCGAGGTGAGTATTCCTCTAAGTCACCATTTCGAAAGGCGTGAAACTGACTGCTGATTACGAAGACCCGTGACGCTAGCTACACTTATGGCTGCTTAGAACCTACAATGCTCACCCAGATGGCCAAGTACCTCGATACTGTCTATGTTTCTGGCTGGCAATCATCATCAACAGCGTCTGCTTCCGATGAGCCCGGTCCTGATCTGGCTGACTACCCCTACGTGAGTTTGAAGGTCATCTCTTTCTACATGGTCATTATCTAACATGCATATAGACAACCGTTCCCAACAAGGTTGGCCATCTCTTCATGGCCCAGCTCTTCCATGATCGTAAACAGCGCCAGGAGCGTCTCAGCGTCCCCAAGGAACAGCGCGCCAACTTCCTCAACATTGACTACCTTCGCCCAATTGTCGCGGATGCCGACACCGGACATGGTGGTCTCACTGCTGTCATGAAGCTCACCAAGCTCTTTATCGAGAAGGGTGCTGCAGGAATTCACATTGAGGATCAAGCCCCCGGCACCAAAAAGTGTGGTCATATGGCCGGCAAGGTCCTTGTCCCTATTCAGGAGCATATTAACCGTCTCGTTGCCATTCGGGCGCAGGCTGACATCATGGGTGAGTTTTGCCTTTCCCCAGATTTCTCCAACTATCACATGTGGATGTTGGTAGCACAACTCCAAAAATAACAAACTAACATGTGAAAGGCTCCGACCTCCTCGCTATTGCCCGTACCGACGCCGAGGCCGCCACTCTTATCTCAACCAACATTGACCCCCGCGATCATGCTTTCATCCTCGGCTCCACAAACCCTACACTCAAGCCTCTCAATGATCTCATGATGGCCGCTGAAGCCGCTGGAAAGAGTGGTGCTGAGCTGCAACGCATTGAGGATGAGTGGCTTTCCAAGGCCAACCTCAGTCGCTTCGACCATGCCGTCGCCGCTGCCATTGACGCTGGCTCTTCATCCGATAAGGATAGCCTCAAGCGGGAGTATGCCGCCAAGGCAAAGGGCAAGAGTAACCTTGAGGCCCGAGCTATCGCTCGTCAGCTGCTTGGGCGGGATATCTTCTTCGACTGGGATGCCCCTCGAACACGTGAAGGATACTACCGGCTTAAGGGTGGCTGCGATTGTGCCGTGAACCGTGCCATCGCTTATGCTCCTTATTGCGATGCCATCTGGATGGAGTCTAAGCTACCCGACTTTGCTCAGGCTAAGGACTTCGCCGACGGTGTTCATGCTGTCTGGCCTGAGAAGAAGTAAGTTTCTATCTGCCACACGAAAACATATTAGGCTAACAATAATTCCACTAGGCTCGCTTACAACCTTTCCCCTTCCTTCAACTGGAAGACAGCCATGCCTCGTGACGAGCAGGAGACTTACATCCGTCGCCTTGCTAAGCTTGGCTACTGCTGGCAATTCATCACACTCGCCGGCCTACACACAACAGCACTCATCAGCGATCAGTTTGCCAAGGCCTACAGTACCGTTGGTATGCGTGCCTACGGCGAGCTCGTCCAGGAGCCCGAAATGGACGAGAAGGTCGATGTTGTTAAGCACCAGAAGTGGAGCGGTGCTACCTACGTCGATGAGTTGCAGAAGATGGTCACAGGTGGTATCAGCTCCACAGCTGCCATGGGCGCCGGTGTGACAGAAGACCAGTTCAAATAAGCGCCCTCGTAAAAAGAGAATGTTGGTCATGAAAAATGAATGACGCTGTATCATGTTGCATTAAGAGAAAGACGGATGAAAAGAGTGGGAGAAGGAAAAGAAGCAGCGACTTATTGGTAACCTTCGAGCATTTGATGTCATATTGCGGGCTAATTGTTTTACCATTTTTGCCATATTACTTTACACCAGTATATCATATGCTGGTGGACCCGATTACTAGAATATACGTTGAAAAACATATCTAAATCTTAGGAATGCTTTCTTCTGGGCCGACTTCACTGCTTCACAGGATCGGAAATAATTGCTCTTCAGTATAAGCAGTATACCAATAAGGCCCGTTGCCTTACATCTAATCCATGCCTTCCTTGCATTGCTATCCATTCTCAGCAACCCCATGATTCATCCATACTAAACAAACCAGCAAAGCATTCACCGAAACCTCGTAGCAACATGACTGTCTATATGACCCAAGAATTAAAATAACACAAACGCTTCGTTATTAAGATCAATTTTGTAAAGAAGAAAAAGGAACGAACAGCAAAGACCCAGTTCCACCTTTTTCTATAGCTCTCCAGCTCCTGGTTCCTTCATCTCAAGACCGCACACAGAGTTGTCCGGCGTGACGATACCTGAGAGACCTGTGGAGCGTAACGATTACACTGGACAAGAATGCATGTATGCCCTAAAACACAACTCGGGGACAAAAGTGAGCATTGATATGCATGATTTGATTGTGTAAATTTGGTCGATGCAGATTATGTGGTGCTTCACTGGCAGCACCCTCTCTTAATCGGCCTCAGCAAGTTGCATGATCAACTTGGCTGCCATGTCCAAGAAGGGGAAGGGGCTAGTAACGTCCTTCTCCTCAAGTAACCGGCCTTGAGCTGTCTCGTAACCGGAACACTTGAAGTCGACCAGGTAAACGCCAGACTCCATCTCGTAGATCTGTATGTCCAGGTGCAGTGCAACGAAAGGCTCTTTTGTATGATGGCCATCCGGCGTACTTGGTGAGCTGGGTGTGCTTGGAGCGCTTGGGGCACTGCCCGACTTTTTCTTGATAGCTGAGGGAAGTGTTAGTATTGACCATGCAAATACAAAAAGACTCTGAACCTACCGGAGGTATCCCAGCGGACGTTGATATGCCAAGGGTCGGCAGGAAGATTGTAACGTCTCTTAGGATCAATGCTTGAGCTTGAGCCCCGATGGCCATCATGAGAGTCCACGAAACTGCCTTCGCCAGAAGCTTCAGCTCGCTCTTCTGCGGTTCTCGTCTCATAGTCCTCGTCAGGGGTATACGTGGCTCCCAATTTGTAGAGCGCCTTATGAATACACAACAAAGCTTCCCAGGGCGAGTTGCGAGATCGAATGCCGAACTGCCAACGTACTGGTTTCGTCTTTTTGGGAGGATTGATAGGTGTCATACCCTGAGGCCTGTTGTTGGCTTCGTCCATACGCAACTGGCTTCTCGAATGGGGTCGGAGGCGACGCATGGTCTCTTCTTTCTCTGCGTCTGTTCTATTACCCAGAGGCTCGTCGTTGATGAGAACCTTGGGCGGTGAGTTCTCGACACTGCCGGCCTTCTCTCGCTCCATATAGTCCTTGTGGTAGGCTGGTAAACTCGAGGGCAGAATACCAACCTTGCTCACGTAGGGTCGAGGGGTAGTGGTGGCCTGAGAAGTTGTAGAGCGGGCTGAAGACATGCTAAGCATAGGGCTGGATCCTTCTGGCTCTGCAAGGAGTGCTTCAAGTTGATTGAGTCAGTTTCACCTGGCCTAGTTTGAAGTCGATAACAGAAGATAGTGGGGAAACTCACGATTCACTTGCATCATCTTGTTTTCTCTCACGATCATGTAGGCATCCTTGATGGCGGACGGCTCGGCAGCCTGCAAGGCCTCCTCAACATCACTCTTTCCGTAACCCATGGTCTTACTAATCTTTTCTGTAACCTCATTGTGTAGCCTTTCTTGAACCTTTTCTGAGGCGTTGGGGGCAATGTCGTTCTTTTTGATCGCCTTGTTGGGATCCACGCCGGTGTTGAAGAACTCCTCGACAGGAAGTTGGAGGTAGGCGGGAAGCTCGGTGGTGAACCAGGGATCTGCTCGGATATCTTCAATTGTAGCACGGTGCACAGGATTTACCACCAACATCTTCTTAATCAGGTTGGCGGCGCCAGTGGGCATCCACTGTGGTATGCTGTATGTACCCTTTGCGATCTTGGCAAACAGACTGGGAATGTGCTCATCGTCAAAAGGGAGTCGGCCAACAAGAAGAACATAAAGAATAACACCACAACTCCACACATCTACTTCAGGGCCAGCATACAGCTTACCGCCGATGACTTCAGGGGCGGCGTAGTTTGGACTGCCACAACTTGTCTTGAGGAAGTTACCGTCCGTCATGATATTACTCAGGCCGAAATCGGCAATCTTGACATTGAGGTTCTCATCGAGAAGCAAGTTTTCGGGTTTCAAGTCACGGTGAACAATCTTGTGGCGATGGCAGTACTCAACAGCGCAAAGCATTTGCTGAAAGAAACGGCGAGCCTCTGGCTCCTTCATTCGGCCGTGCTGAACGATATAGTCGAAAAGCTCGCCCCCGGCGTATTCAAGAACCATAATGATTTCATTCGGTGTCTTGATTACAGTGAAGCTAGAGGAGTGATGTCAGCTACTGGTATACAATTCCAACAAGCACATTTGTGCCAAGAACTCAACTTACAGCTTGATGATATGAGGGTGGCGTAGTAGTTGAAGGTATTCGATTTCGCGCTCAACGCGACCAGCCATATCGCGGCTGATAAGCTTCTTCCTGGCGATTATCTTGAGGGCGACCTGCTGACCGGTGCCATTGTGAATGGCAAGCTTGACCTTTCCAAAGGAGCCTTCTCCCAGGGTTCGAAGAACCTTGTAGGCGCCGATACGCTGTTCCGTCTTGATCCTCTCTTTGAGCGGCGCATCGGCGGGGCGAGAGCCGACCGGAGGTTGCGCTTGGGCTGCGTCTTCAGCAGCTTGTTGTTGCTGTTGCTGCTGCTGTGTCTGTTGGGGGCGGCGAACGTGGGACGAGGATAAAGATATGGTGAGCTCCTCGTCCTCGAAGCCTCGGGGAGCCATCGTGAGGTGATATGATGCCTTGACCAAAGGCCAAGGCGGGTTGGGTCGAAAAGAGAAGGGTCGGCGGGGTTTTCGGAGGGTACTGGAGCCTTGATTTCGGCTGTCAAGTATCGGGAGCGAAGATCAGAGGGTGGTATCGAGAACGATGCAATAAATTTCAGAGGCCGACAGAGAAGAAAAGAAGAAGAGAGAAGAACGGATGAAAACAAGACGCCGATCGACGGGATGGTGGGTGGTGTAGATAGAGCATAGAGCCTGAGGTTGATGGTGTGCACAGCTCAATTGCGGGTATTTTGACTGCTGTGGAGGGGTTGTTTTAGTGGAACCCAGCCAGGGTGTGAGCTCTGTCGACACTCTAACCCAGGCGATTACTCACTTATTAACTGTTCGTGTCTTGCTGGTCGTCATGTCAATCAGCCCATCATAGCGGCCTCGTAAGCAAAACTCCCCAGACTTTAAGCACATTCAACCAACATTCATATGTTCTGATAACGTTGAGTTCCCAACAGCCAAAGTCTGCGACAAGTCTCTCCTGATAGTACAGAAACTCGAACCGACAGGCATGGAATGAATCGTAATTGACACCAACGGTCAAACTATCAGCTTTTAGGTTACACTATAAACTTACAGGCATGATACACATGCAGCTTTTGTACAGTCATGGAAATCCTCCCCTTGAACCAGATCAATTACTTTGTCTTGGCTTCCTCCTGTTGCAGCCTCTCAATCAACTTTCCTTGCAGGAATGGACCGAGTCCCAAGCTGAACCTTTCATTAGCGATAGAACATCATTGTAGCCAAACCTCCAAACTTACATTCCCTCGTTCGTGAGAATTCGATACGTTCCACTGGGCTGAACCTTGCCAATGATTGTGCCTCTATCGTCGACTTCAACACTTCCCAGGATATCCTCTGGCCAGGCTATCCGCCCAAAGTCGGGAGGGTTTCTTCGGTCGCTAAGATGCACGTATCCTCCTCTTCCGCCGCCTCCAGCTCCCCCCTGGGCACTTGCACCGCCGTCTCCTCCAGTGCCTCCGCCGGCTCCCTGGTTGCGGTTTCGAGCTTTGTTAGGGCGTTTTTGAGAAAACAAAACTCCTCCCGAGCCGAGATTGAAACCTCCTGGGCTTGCGAATGCACGAGCTTGGTTTATAAGGTCCTCGTCCTCATGGCCGTATTCCATCACCACCTCGTTGAGAATCTTCACAAAGTCCTTGTTCTCATTGAAAGACTGGGGCGTAGGAGGGACTTCGCTGGTGGTTCCAATTACCAGACGCTCATTTGGTGGCTCCTTCTCAAGGTAACTTAAATAATTCGTAAAGGGAGATTTGGTGCTTTTCACAACTTTCTTTAAATCGTCAGCAATCCCAGTCTATCAAAGTGTAGGATGCTGTAGTAATTCGTATACACTGACAATCTTTGGGTTGCTTGAAAGACTTGAGACTGCCCTGAAAGGTACAGTCCTCTGACGACTGGCAAAACGAAACGTTGTACCCAGCATTGTGTCGTTAATTCGAAATTCAATACAGTTCTGGTGGTATATCTTCAGGTCGTCACCTTTAAAGCTTCGATCATGGATGAGGTCAGTGGTATCCGTAGGTCAAACGCAGAATATGCTTGTACGGGGTATATGTAATAATGCAAGATCAATTAAACGCGTCGACGCGGTCCGCGCGACCCCTTCATTGGGCCCCAGACAAATACAAATTAATGGGATGGGATAATCAAGTGGAATTGTCAAGACAACGTCAAGCTACAACACCACTATAACAAATTTGACCTTTTTAGCTCCATAATGTCAAATCGATAAACCGAACGCATCATGGATAAAACACCGGCTCCCATATTTCGAAAGCGCGGCGCTGTTCCTCCGTCTTCTGCGATACCCTCCTCTTCTCCTGCCTTCGGCACGCCTGTCCATCCTCTCAAGCCTTTCGCTGTCAATGCCGCCAAGGCTGCTATATTACCCATAATTCTTCCTCCGCCGACACTTCGACCGCTCGCATTTCGTACATTCACAAAGAAGCATTCACTAACACTGACATCTTCCGCTCTGCAAGAACTTGCTGCTTTCATCGGAAGGCATTGCGGCTCCGGATGGCGTGAAGAAGGTCTGGCGGAGCGGGTGCTTGAGGAGGTTGCGCGAAGCTGGAAGAATCGAAATGGGGGTGTCATTGTCGATGGTGCGAGCAAAGAGCTCCAAGAGATTCTCAAAACTCTCGAGGGCAACATGAGCGGTGGCAGGATTACTGGCCAGGCCAAAGGACTCCCCCGCGGAGACAGCATGCTCGATCTTAAAGAGAACGATACCTTACACACACGATTAGGATTAAGACCAGCAGAAATCACGAGGGAGGATAGCAACACAAGTTTCGGAATATCAGGACTTGGAGTGAACGAAGAGCAAGAGGAGACGGAGGCAAACGACCCTCGCGCATGGCTGAAGGTCATAGGTGCTTATGAGCAACCAAGATTCATATACAATGTCGCTAAGAAACACTTTGAGAAGTCAGTGTCCCTAGATTGCCCGTTTAGCGCCAACTAACACATTCCCTAGGGATGGCTCAACGCCTTCGTTACTGCCATCAGCATCGCACAAGACCGCCGTCTTCCGTAACCGCTACAACGTTATTCACCAACGTCTTCTCCGCAACGAATCATTCCAATCCTCAGCTGTCTCCTCCTCTCGGAAACGCACCCTCGAACGTTCCCTATCAAGTCAGCAGTCACTTAAACTTACACCGATTGCCAACCTTCTTGGTCGTCATGGCAGCAGCCACATGTTGCTTGGTCTCCTAGTTTTGCTTCCTACCGGCGACCTTGCAATTAGCGACTTGACCGGTACCATTGCCCTGGACCTCTCTCAGGCTGTTGCTATTCCCGACGATTCAGCATGGTTTTGCCCCGGTATGATTGTGCTTGTGGATGGTGTCTACGAAGAGGAAGACGAATCGGTAGGCAAAGGTCTCGGCGGCAGCAGTGGTGTTGGCGGTACTTTGGGCGGTCGTTTTCAAGGCTTCTTTATTGGCCAACCCCCGTGTGAGCGGCGCAAAGCGACTTTGGGCATCAGCGGACCCGATGGCGGCCAGGAGCAAACTATAGGAGGTGGCTTTGGCTGGATCGATTTCCTAGGTGTTGGCAGTGAACGTGCCCTTGGCACCAAGATGCGCAGGCTCGAGAACCGTCTCCTCCGAACCAGAGCAGAAGAAGACGAAACACCATCTCGGGGACGTGTGGTCATTATAGGCGAGTTGAACCTCGACCAACCCCGTACTCTTCAAGCCTTGCGCAAGATTCTTTCCACATATGCTTCTGAGCCAGAGGGTTCAACACCACTGACATTTGTGTTTATGGGCAACTTCACTCAACATGCTGTCCTCGCTCGTGGAGGCAGTGGTGGCAGTATCGAATACAAGGAATACTTTGACGCCTTGGCTTCAACCTTGGGTGACTTCCCGACCCTTCTTCAGTCGTCCACCTTTGTCTTTGTGCCCGGAGACAACGATGGATGGGTATCTTCATTCACAGCTGGCGCCTCTGTACCCTTGCCCCGAAAGCAAGTACCAGACATGTTCACATCAAGAATCCGACGTGCTTTTGCAGCAGCCAACGCCGAAACAGGAGGAAAGTCAGACGGCAAAGCTGTTTGGACATCAAATCCCAGCCGAATCAGTCTGTTCGGCCCCAACCACGAGCTTGTACTTTTCAGAGACGATGTATCCGCCCGCCTGCGCCGAGCCTCTGTCCGTCTAAAGCCAAAGGTCAACGACTCCAACGCAGAAGAAACACAAGATTCAAGCATTAACCCTCCTGAAGATGTTCAAGCTATGGATATCGACGCTGCTCATCATGATGCTCCTACCACCACTGCTGCAGGCTCGCCCGCCACTCCTCTCGTTCCGCATGACACCCATGCCGCTCAGAAATTGGTGAAAACTATCCTCGACCAGGGCTACCTCGCTCCATTCCGCCAGTCCATTCGCCCAGTGCACTGGGACTATTCCTCGTCACTGCACATATACCCTCTACCCACGGCCATGGTACTTCTCGACACAACAGCGCCTCCATTCTGTATCACGTATGAAGGGTGCCATGTCATGAACCCAGGCAGTGTGCTTGTACCAGGACGCAAGGGCGTTGCTCGGTGGGTTGAGTATGAGGTTGGTCGCTTGGGCAGGTTACGGGAGTGCACTGTGTAGGATGCAATCTCACTTTATATAATTATGGCTGTTATCCAAGGAAAAGGAGGCGTCAGGAAATAGGGAATATGCTAGTTAATGACAGATATGAGATAGATAGTTCAAACCACGAATGGCATTCGATAATCTCTACATGTCAATAATCTATTCATATGTTCTTTGGTCATGGAACTTGATTGTATCATTTATCAATACATACGAAAACCGTACCGAAAACGCGCCGAATCCGTCCTACTGTAAACACTTAAAAATCCGATATCATGGCTACTTAGGTATACAAAACGGCCGATTACTCGCTGCCCAATAGCAAAGTACCCTTTATCTACTGTAGCAATAAAGATTCCTCGTGCAGAACTCCGTACAAACTCTCAATCTCTGCTCTGACCTTGTTCAACTCAGCTGCTACCTGAAGAGTCACAAGTGTATATGCGTACAACAGCGCGTAGTCGCTCTCCTCGACAGTGAGAGGGGACTCATCGCCCAACAGATCGGCGTTCATGTGCTCCTTGCGGAATTGGTAAATCTTGCCTAATAGGCGATCCTTATTGTTCTCGACAGTAGGAATAGCGTCGGTCAGAGGATACTCCAGCATAAGGCACGATGCAATGACCTGGAAGACGTGGCAAATACGCTGACAAAGAAGGGCTCTCTCTGCACTTGTGTACTCTAACAATGCTCGTTCGCCCTCGGTTAAAGAGTTTCGCTTTGATGTAATAAGACGCATGGCGTAAAAGCCATTGAGCATGTTTTTGGTGGATCGCATAATGCGGCCATAAGCTGCGTCTGGGAAAGGACCCCGAAGCTCAAATTCAGACTTCGCAGCGGTACGGAGAGCTGCAAGCTTGAAGGCTACCACGGGATTAGCAACGATGTGAGAAATACAGGGATGAGTACTTACCGTATCGCTGAAGAGCTGCCTGTTCGCCCTCACGCATGTAGTCGAGTGTATTATGTGTGCTATCCTTAAAAAGCGACACTGTGAGCGGACCACGCTTCCATATGAGACCCATCTGGAGATATAGAACAGAAAGCCCTTCGCGGAACTTCTTCCTGCCTGAGATGGGCCATAACACTCGACAAACAACAATACCCCATATGATGCCCAGAGTGACCGCTACCACTCGATGCCACACAATGTCAAAAATCAGGGGGTTGGAGCCTCCTTCATCGTCGTCGTCGTCGTCAACATCCTGCGAGATACTGTAGGCGTATAGGGTGCTCACGTTGTATGCAAGCAGAGCAATTCGGCCGAGGGGTGCCTTTTTGATGACCAAAATCACATAGAAATTGAACAAAGCCACAACGGCACCCAAGAATACTAAGGCGATGCCATCCCCTTGACTGGCTGTCCAACAAACTATCGCAAAGGTTGCACCTATGAGTGTACCTTTGAATCGGGCAGTGCCAGTAGTATTTGCTGATCCTGTTGTCATGGCAGCGACGATCATGAATGAGAGGAGACCCCATTCACCTCTCCATTTCTGGTAAATAGGTCTTGTTGCTGGTATAAAAGCAAGCATCGCCCAAAGTAGAGCACCAATACCGACCTTGATACCGAAGAGAATATCCTCCCGGACAATGAAGCGAGAAATTTCGAGCATCTTCTGGGCAATTCTTCTCTTGAGTCTACTGGCCTGGGGAGCAGCATCCCAGTTGAAGGTGTCTCGCCGTGCTACCATTGTGTCTGGGATACCCTTCGGCATCTGTGATTTTCGAAGTCTGGGGACAGGTGGTTTCTGGATCAAGCTCTCACGCTCCGGGTCTTCGACAACGTTCTTGTTTGAAGATTCGGTCCGTCTGAAATACCTCCAGAACTTGAGCCAGCCCCAAGAACGAGGCGCAGTCTCGGTAGTGTACTTGATGTCTTCTAATACGTCCAAATAGGCATCAGTCTCTTCAGCAACGGCTTGCAAACTGAAGGAAAAGTGTCCACAAGCAGCAGCAACCTCTTCGATGTCGGCTTGGATCTTCTCGGAACGAGTTCGCCCAATTTCAATTGAACGATAAAGTTCTTGCAAAGATCCTGATCTCGCATTGTTATAAAGATTGAGGGCATCACGGAGACTCTCTCTCAGCTGTTCATTAACATCGATATCTTTGTTCGGGTCGTCACCAAAGGCAGGCTCACGCAGAATCTCTGATAAGGTATGAGCCAGCGACTTGATCGAAGGGCCAAGCATGCTGATGAAAAGTGCAAAGATATCTGAGGGTTCCTGGAAAGCAGGAGCTGTGTTTGGAGCGGGCTCGGATCTGTTTCTCATCGCTTGCCGTTCTTCCTCACTCTCTCCGGATTCATCAATGTCAGACAGTCTGTGTACATCACCCTCCATAAATGCAGTAATAGTGCGCGTCAAAGTGGGCGAGTGTTCAGCGGTTCTGGGTGAAGGAAAAGACTCTTCCAGATGTGGTACCTCTCTGAGAAGGGTAAACTGGTTTTCGAGGGCACTTCGCAATCCCCCTATAGCCTGGGAGAGTGTTTCGACTGATCTTGATAGACGTCTGTCAAGTGGATAAAAGGATTCCCGACCTAGGAAGTAGTACTCGAATTTCGCTTCGCGGAGAGTTGAGTTCATCGTCGCATACGAACTGTTGTAGCGAGCAGAAACCCGGCCATACTCATTTGTCCAGAACTCATCTTCGGTGCCACTTAGGAAACCTTTTGTGATGGACGATAGTTTGTCGCCCAAAGAGCTGGTAGCGGTCATGATAGACCTTCGAAGGACTTGCCTTGCCGAGACCCTCCAAACCAATACATTGACGGCAAGAGTGCATGAGATACCAACAAGAAGCAATTTTAAGACCTGAACGATCTTGTCATCATCGAAGTATCCTCCTTGGACGCCCTCTTCTTTGGTAATTACGGAAATGATTGCAATCGAGGCCAAGGTGGAACCGACATTAACGAGGGGACTATTGAGTCTTTGCTTGACCCATCCCACGAAGCCCAACCCTCCACCGATGCAAATGATGAGGATGAGAATGTGGGCAGCAGCAGCCAGGCCGAACTGGGTTTTCAAGGCGATAGCGATTCCCATTGACAGTAACGATATGACTTCTGCGTAGAACACTGCGACAACTGCAATCACAGTCGCCTCGAGCATAGAACCGACAGTTCTTGCTGGGTGGAAGTAGACAGTAATCGTAGCTGAGACATGTTTTCCGTCTCTATTACCGAGAAAAGCAGTCAAAGGTGGGAAAAAAGTGCCCATACTTCCAAGTACGTAGGCGAGTGTACATTTGAGAACCCCGTGGCCCTCTTCTGTATGCAGCCATAGCCATACTACAACGAAAGCAGTTCTGATATTATTTACGATAATTCGTAGGCGGTCAGAGACCGACTCGGCGTCCTCGAAGGATTGATAAGTTGGTTTGTTTTCGTCATCGCTAGTTGACAACGCGTTGGTCCCGGTGTGCAGTGAAAACTCTTGTCTCGATCGTTCGCCAGTCCTGGGGATAACGAAGGTTCCATTCTTCAGTTTCTAGTCGATACGTCAGATTTTTGCCCACGAGCTATAGCCATTGTACACGCTTGTATATGGAGTGACATGCATACCGTTCTCTGATAATGACGTTGTTTAGGCGGCCAGGCCAAGTTAGAAGGGCCTGTGGCAGAGCTCATGGTTGTTTGGTTTGGGTTGATGGGTAATACTCGTCTTCAGAGTATTGAAATGGTGATCCGGCGCGCCTCATTCTCGTTTGTCTTAAAGTTCCATACCGGAGAGGTAATCACGACGGGTTGGGTAGGAGTATTTGGGTGAGAAGTTCTCTATAAAATTAGAGAGACGAGAGAAGCGGACTGGCGATCGTTTGAGTGCGAGGTATGAAGCAGAATATCCTAGAACATGGATTAGAATTAGGATTAGGCGGAAGGGGAAGCAATGAATTGTATGGAAACAGTTTACGACAGGGATAAGGATGACGCCGAGCATGCACCCCAGCTCAGGTGGAGCTTGTGTCACTTATACCCGCTGTGCCGTACAGCAATAGAGGTAGGTAGCATTAGCATTCTAATAAGCCCATGATTGGTCCAGCTTGCATCATCCAGGGTAGGTTTTAGTTGGTGTTACATGCACCTCGACGGTTGCGCCCGCCGTTAGGTTGTTGGCTTTCATTACCTACTAGGTACTACCTATTAATGTGTTTATTCTGTATCCGTAGTTGGGCTGAATATGAGATCTGGAGAGCTCCAGCGATCAACCCTTTTCGTCCAGCCGTTCTAGCTCGTGGCCAGTCACAAGATCAACAGGAACAAACATTTGACCGAATGAATAGTCCGCAGCAAGCAATTTATCTAACAAACCCACTTTGAATACCTAATTATTCGCTCTTACGTATATCCATCTGGGTGGTCTTGCTTTATTTTTGTCCCGAAATTCAAGACCAGCAAGAATTTCTATCCGTTTCAAGTTAAGATTTTGCTACAAACGCCCTCAATCATGGATCTTCCTGAGCTGGACTCACAAGGAGCACCCGTTCGCTTTCCAGTTTGTTGCCTCAGCATCTCAAGCAAATTACTTCAGATTTTAACAAATATCTTTTCCAATACTACTCTCTCAGACGAAAATCCAACTGTACTCTCTATTGGAAGCGGGACCGGTATCCTCGAAGCTCTTTTACTTGCCCACTCGCAATCGCGATCCCTACTCAACATAGAGGGCGTGGAAGTTCAGCAGTTGGGCGGGAAAGCCCCAGTCAATAGATATCTTCCCGAGCAGGCTATATACACCGTCCGCGGCACCTGGGATGTTGTTTCGAGACTGCATGATCCGGATGTGACAGCCCTGATGTTTGTCTATCCACGTCAGCCCGGTTTGATCTCCGAGTATATAAAAGTCATCTCTGAGCAGGATCTGAAAGTCCAAGTCATTGTGTGGCTGGGCCCAATGGCTGACTGGGAGGTTTTTGAGCCCTGCTTCAGTGCCAGAATTGGGACCAGTCAGTTTGCTGTTAGCGAGAAGAGGCAAGGCGCGGAGGCTGGCCTGGATGAGTATGAGTTGTTGGTAGTAGTGAGAAGGACAGTCTATGGCATAGGTGAATCATCGTTATGAGTACGCGCGGAGAAGTGACCATATTTTATTTCATCGTGATATAGATGAATTGAAGCCACCCAGCGTACTATAGAATTGAGTATAGATGCAGCTTCGATTCTCATTCAGGTAACGGGGCTGTTCGATCCGGTCTTGGAACCGCATTTATCAAGTCGCATCAGTCGTGCTGCAATGGATCGTAGGTGTCTACCTAGCTAATGAGATACTGTACTGCTTAGTTAGTTCCTGTCTTGCTCCTAGCCCCCCGTATTCTTGTTGTCTCCATGTCTCCACCCCCAACCCAACTCCAATTCAAAGTAAGGGCGTCATCTCTGGTTCAAAACACTCATTTCTCCCTATCAGCTGCTTCTCTTCTCGTGGACTATAAAAACGAGACGATAGAGCTGCACTGACATCTTCCGCACAAATTGGCTTCACGAGGACCATCAGAATTTGCACAACTTCTGTCTTGTCAAGCTCTTCTCTTTTCACACACACACACCCCCCCAAGCTCAGCCCTATGCTACGTCGTGTCGTTTCCATCATGGCATCGTCATCTCCGAAGCGATTTATACCACTGAAGAAGGGAAACCATGACCTTCCTACTGGCACTCCCACTCTTCGGGGTGTAGTTTTCGATATGGATGGCACACTTTGGTAAGATCTACAATCCCCTTGTCTCTCTCTATTTATCTTGTTTCTGGCTCGAATGCCTACCCTACACAAAGACTGAAGCGATACCTGACTTCCTTCATCCATGATTGATATTTTATGGGGAGAGGCATTATTGTCTTATGTTTAGATTATCATTAGTTCACATAAATATTTCGTTTACTCCTGCTTGAGTGGCATGTTGTTGGATTGAACCATTTGCTAACAATACTTACAGTGAGCCACAAACGTATATGTTCAAAGAAATGAAAGATGCCCTGGGAATTTCAAAAACAACAGACATCCTTGAGCATGTAGATACACTCCCAAAGAAAGAGCAATCAGAAGCTCTCGAAAAGATCCGCAACGTTGAGCGCAAAGCCATGAAGGCACAGACTCCCCAGCCAGGCCTCATGACTCTTATGACCTATCTTGACGCCAAGGCAATTCCCAAGGCCATATGCACTCGCAACTTCGATGTCCCCGTCCAGAACCTCATAGAGAAATTTCTCGAGGGCTCCCGTTTCCACCCAATTGTCACGCGGGACTTTCACCCTCCCAAGCCCGACCCGGCAGGTATTCTGCATATCGCCAAGGACTGGGGCCTGCAGGACGAGTCTGGCAAAGGAGATGCTAGTGGACTCATTATGGTAGGGGATTCAATTGATGATATGACGGCGGGCAGAAAGGCGGGCGCAGCTACTGTTTTGCTTGTGAATGATGTGAATCGGGCGCTGGCGAAGCATGCGCATACCGACTTGATCATCACTACGTTGGATGAGCTCGTTGATGTCCTCGAACATGGTTTTGTTGGTAGAAAAGTTGACTCAGAGTAGAGCATCTTCGATCCTAATATATTCTACAACGTTTCTCATCGCCAGTTAAGTGATAGTCAAGATGGCTACTCAAACACGGATCTGTTTCATTTAAGTTTCCTACGTGAGCCCAGTTTCTGCACATGACCCTCTCCTACACTGCTAAATACAGGATATTAACCCGGAGGAATCGAGATCGATAGAGGCCGTCGTATCCTCAAATAAAGTAGAACATATCTAGCTAGGGTTTTAAGATGAGATATGTAGCGATTCAAGTATAGTGATCTGTCCAGAGACCACATTAAAGGTTTCAAAACAGTACGCCGAGGTATGCTAAATGACTTTCAGGGTTGGGCCGCTGCTCCAATATGTTCGGGAAGGATACTGTTCAGCGTGGATCTTTTTGGAAACGACTCAGGTGCATGTGCTTTAAGGTAGGCCATAGCTTGGGTTGGGAGGCAATCCAAATGTAGCCTGTCTCCGGTTCTCCCTTCGCAGGTCGTCAGGAGTCTCCTTTCGAGGTGGCGGAGGAGGGAGAGGACCGCCTGGAGGTGCCGGGCGAACAGGTAAGCTGAATGTGGCAGCATTCGCGCTTACAGGGCCAGCACTGTCGGGATAGCCTGAAACCTTGGGGATGGAATTTGTGGTAACATTTCTGGATCCTAATCCAGGGTGTGCGGAAGCCGGTGTACGAGAAGAGGCATATCCGTTACGAGGTGGCGATCGACTTTGGTTTGTGCCATATTGATCCCGAGGAGAGATGATACCAGCACCACCGATAGGGATCTCACCAGATGTGGGAGTGTGAGAGCGATCTTCGGGTTGAGCCTGTGGTTGGGACTGGTTCTGGGTAGGCGAATCGCTCGAGCGAAGCAGATCCTGGGTTGAAGGAGAAAGCTGGGGTGCCAAGTGAGACTTTCTGTTGTCACGCTCCATCATGCCAACAGCCCACTCTCTAAGATCGACTGGTGTACGCTTGGCGGCTTGCACGAAGTGGTCTCGGTCCTGTATTTGTCAACAATCCGCAAAAGTAAAGATAGGGGGCATCTCTTACGAAAAGCTCCTGAGGAGTCGGTCGGCGCTCAGGCTCCTTGTAAAGACATTTCTGGATCATGTCGTCAAGGATACTGGGGAAAGCATCGCTCTTGGGAAGTTTGGGGGCCGGCTCATGTACAATCTGCTGGAGTAGGTCCAGGATACCAGCTGGTGCACACTCGCCGTCTGATAGCTGCTCGCTGGCCGCAAAGGGGAACTTGCCGATAGCAAGCTCCATAATACTCAAACCAAAACTCCAGACATCTGACTTGACTGTATACTTTTCACCCTGAATTCTTTCAGGCGCCATGTAGGTGGAAGTCCCGACGAAGGTGTCGGCGATAGAGTTGACAAGCTCGCCAGAAACACCAAAATCGCAAAGCTTGATTCCACCCCTCGAATTAACCAGGATGTTAGACGGCTTGATATCGCGATGCATGATGTGGTGCTTTGTGTAAAGATATGTCAAGCCTCCTAGAGTCGCCTCTGCAATTTTACCAAGAACATCGACGCGAACCGGGCCAAAGACCCTTGAAACTCGATCGAGGGCACTGGACCAAGATTAGCTAATGGATTCCTCCGAGGACTCTAGAAGTTGAACTCACCCAACATCCATGTACTCCATACACATAATGACATCGTTATTCGGGGTCAGGAAAGCACCGTAGAATGTCACAATATAGTCGGAGTGGCATCCATGCATAATTTGAAGTTCTCGAACAATTCGCTTCCGTATCTCACGCTTGGCTTCCACATGGATCACCTGTTGGGTGAGTTAGTAGGACACCCACGTTCAAGATATATAGACATACCTTGCGAGCCATGACAGTCCCCGTTGTAAGGTGCCTGACCTTGCTGACAGTGCCACCGTTACCGGATCCCAGTTCCTTGAGAATCTCAAGATCATCAGGCTTCAAATCCAACTTGTACTCAATACCGATCTCCAGCTGTTCGTCTTTGCCTGCGTCTTGGCTCCCGCTATATTCATGGTTGCTTGTTTCGGCGGTTGGTGGGGGGCGAGGGGCAGCTGCTTTAAGAGCAAGACCTTTGACATTCTTACGCTTCATAGAGCGCGGGGCAAAGGGATCGGCCATATTGAAACGAGGATGAAAGCTCGCGCTCAGTTGATAAGATGTAAAAGGGGAAAGCTGAAGAGTAATCAGATGCTGTAGGGTCGAAAGTTGGTCAGGCTTCAGATCAGGTGGGGGTCCTGTTCGTGGAGGACAATCGGCGAAAGCAGAAAGACTGCAAGCAGTTGGGATGAATGATGTATGTGCCGAGACGCACAAAGTTATTGATATGGTCGAACTGGCCGAAAAGGAGTTTGTCGCAGTCTCCAAGCTTGAGTGGATGCAGATTCCGGTGCAAGTGTTGCGGTCGGCGTTGAGATGGGTTCGAAGCCGGCGCACGTTATGCTCGGGCCGTAGCGGGAGATCTAGACTGTGTCGCCAAGAAGATCCAAGGAAGGACCTTTTTGATGACGGAGAAAGGGAGAGCCCAAGGAAATCCTTTCGATCAGGTCTGATCTTGGATTGATCAGGAGCGTCTATGCAAGGCGTTGCCCAAGATTGCGAATGGGGGATTTATCCAGGTCTCTTTCACGTCTTCTGGCTGGTTAGGCGCGACAGTGGAGGGCGGGGTCTATCGGGTCTATCCAGCGACAACGTGACGGGAGTGGCTGGAGATGCGCTGCGACGGAGTTGGAGGGCGCAACTAAACACAAAAGGAAGACGACACTGGGCGGCAAATCAGGAGGGAGAATGAGGGGGCAAAAAAGACCCTGACAATGCGGTTCAGAGTTCTTTATAACCGTGGAAAGAACAGGAGTTGCAGTCACTGGCGGATTTTGAAATTATGTACCTGGAAGCTAGTGGGCCACTCATTCGCCATAAGGAGAGGCTACGGGGACGGGAGGCAAGCATCCATTAACACGGAGTAAATTATACCTACCTACCGTACCTGACGTGAGGCCCAAGCCCAAGCCCAGGAGGCGATGCCCTTGTAGGCTGACGCTGGTAGGTTGGCCTGCTTGTTCCTGGATGTACAGTATACCGGGGACTTGAGACTTGAGACACTCCACGCATCAAGCTCTGTGCAGTTATCGAACGAGAAACCATGATAAGATAACGTATCATGTGGTCACAGGTGATGGTTAATCCGTCAGTCTGTCTGGATGTCGGACTGATACTTAATACGATGTGTCAACCCCCGTACTTGGCTCCGTTGTGCCTATCAACCGCCCGCCTACTAATTTTTACAGCTACAGGGCAGTACCATATCTTTGGGTGTGAGTGGGAGCCCAGCAAGCATAAATATCATTGAATAGGGGGTCTCAAATATGCATGGGGCAAGAGTAACAAACAAAGCATGAGAACAGACGATGGATCAGACACCGGGCGATTCAAATCAGTCCAAGTCCACACTTGGACCCAGCACCAATAAGATTAGACTAAAAATCATATCAATAGTCTTGTACAATGGGAAACACAAACGTTCATACGAAAGATATGGTTAGAGAGGTCGGTGATAGCTAGGTTAGTAGGTACTATGCGTACAGTACTTACATCCGTCCTTACAGCATGACTGGTTATTAACGAAATAACTCATGAAGTAGCATAATGAACCTGGAGCTAGAGAACCCTGAGGTATGATTATGTAATTCATGGAACGAGTCGGAATATCTTATACCCGCCCTTGCATCCGTGCCAGGCGCGACCAGGCTGCACGTGTAGCTCTGCTATCGCATCGCCAAAAAATCCTAAATATCAAAAGCTTCCGCGGGAAGGCAATTAACATAATTCTTTCTATTCCACCGTCTTTCCAATATCTTCGCGAGATAGGAGAGGAATAAATACCATTCGAAACCGACTTCACTGCCTCGCACTCGCATCGACAACCAACGCCGACAAAGAAAAGAAAGCTTTGTTGCCTGTGAGGCAGCATCGCGAATCGCCAAGATGAGCAACAGCATGCGCGACTTGATCTCCGGCGAGGCTGAACTCGATGATGAGGAGGAGGATGAGTCCTTTGATGAGGGCGGTCAACAGCGCAGACGTAAGACTGCGGTGGAAGACTCTAGTGAGGAGGAAGAAGATGACGATGATGAGGAAGAAGCTCGCAAGGTTGGTTGCTGACGAACATTGGACAATTGGAAGGGATTCAACTCACTGAATTTAGGTCCGCGAAGGCTTTATCGTCGATGAGGATGAAGACGAGGAGGAAGGCGGCGACTCCGATGCGGACGTGCGCCCTATACACAAACGAAAACGGGAACATCGCGACCGCGAGGAAGAGGCGCAACTCGATGAAGATGATCTGGATCTGATCGGCGAACAATTTGGCGAACGACCCAAACCTCAGACACAGGTAAGTTTCCCCTGACGCCGGTTCAGCGGTACCAGTCTGGCGACGGTTCTGACATTGAATTAGTCCAAATTCAAACGACTCAAGCGTGGCTACCGTGACGAAGACCGAGGTCCACAGCGACGTGGCTTAGACGATATCTTCTCGGACGAGGACGAGGACGCAGGCGAGCAGCGATCATACAACAGATCCTATCGTCAAGCAGACGAGTTCGACGACTTTATCGAGGAGGATTTCCCTGAAGACCCCGAAGAGCTGGAACAACAGCGGGAAGATGCCGAGGTTGCTCGGCCTCGGGATCGCGTCATTGGAAGTATCACTGATGCCACCAATTTGGACAAGGATACCCTGGATGATATGGAGGCCATCTTTGGTAACGGTGAAGACTACGACTGGGCGCTACAAATGGAAGAGGAAGAGGAAGATCGCGAAAGAGAAGAGCAAACCATTGAGTTGAAGGATGTGTTTGAGCCTTCACAATTGAAGGAAAAGCTCCTTACCGATGAAGACAACGAAATCCGTTTCACCGATGAGCCTGAACGATTCCAACTCGATCGAAAGACCTTCAAGAGCCTACAGCTTACGGCTGAGCAGTTTAGAGAGGAAGCGCGATGGATTACTAACCAGCTGTGGCCGAAGAAGGGTCTTTCCTCCGAACTCCAGAGCCCATTCGGCAAAGCTGTAGGCAAGGTCCTCGAGTTCTTTATCGTTGACGAAGTTGAGGTGCCCTACGTGTTCCAGCATCGTAAAGATTACTTGCTACATACTCGAAAGACGAGAAATCCGAACCGCGACGACCCTGATGCACCAGAATACATCATCAGCGCCGACAAGCTCTTGAACCAAGATGATCTTTGGAAAATTCTGGAATTGGATATTAAGTTTCGGTCATTTGTGGACAAAAGAAATGCGCTGGAGAAGACCTTTGAAAACCTTAAGGGAATGGAAATCCACGATACGATTGTGGAAGAGATGATTCCGGAGGCAACGACCATGGAAGAGCTTCAGGATCTACAAGATTACTTGCATTTCCAGTACGGTCCACAATTGAAGGATCTTGCTGCCATGGCTGGCAACCTGTCGTTAACTAAGCGGCCAGGCTCAAAATCGAACTTACTTGAGAGAGTCCGCCAGGGCAAGGCGTATAGCTTTGTACGCGCCTATGGGATTTCAGCTGACCAACTTGCAAAGAACGCCCTGCGCCAAGGCAAAAAGATCACTCCCGACGACGATTCTCAGTACCCCATGGATCTCGCGGATAGCTTGATCGACGATAATTTCGCCACAGGCGACGCTATCATCAACGCAGCACGGCAGATGTACTCGGAAGAGCTGTTCGCAAGTCCAAGGATGCGTAAACATTTCCGAAACTCCTACTACCAGGCTGCCGAGATCAGCTGTCGACGAACTGAAAAGGGATTGCGCAGAATCGACGACTCTCACCCCTACTACGAAATTAAGTATCTGCAGAACCAAGCTATCCCCGACCTGGTTCACCAGCCTGAACTCTTCTTGAAGATGATGAAGGCTGAGGAGGAAGGTCTTGTTACCATCAAGCTTGACATGCCTGCTCGATATGATTTCCGCAGACAGCTCTACCAGGAGTTCGAGTCTGAGAACTTTAGCGATCGAGCTGAGCAGTGGCGAGAAGAACGCAAGAAAGTACTTGATGTTGCCTATCCCAAATTGGAGAAAATCATCGCAAAGAATGTCAAAGAGGTTATCCGAACTTTCTGTCAGGATGAAGTGCTCAAGATGTGTCGCGAAGAGTACGCAAAACGGCTTGACCAGGCGCCTTATAAGCCCAAGGGTATGATCCTGGGTACTACGCCACGTGTCTTGGTTCTCTCTAACGGCCTGTCTGATCCCGCCCGCGATCCTGTTTGCTGGGCTTGGGTAGAGGAAGATGGACGAGTGATCGAACAAGGCAAGCTTGGAAATCTTGCCCGAGATGAGCGTCAGCGAGAGGAATTCGAGGAGATCGTTAAGCGTCGTCGACCTGATGTGATCGGCGTTAGTGGTTGGTCTGCTGAGACAACCAAGTTGGTTCGCGACCTGGAGAGCATTGTCAACGAGAAAGGCCTCATGGGCCCCGAGTTCGAGGACCCTGACACCAATGACTACCGAACCGAGCCATTGGAGGTTGTGGTGGTCAACGACGAGGTTGCCCGCTTGTACAAGGACAGCCCTCGTGCGCTTGCTGAGCACCCAAGTCTGAACCCTGTCACCAGGTACTGTGTTGCTCTGGCACGATATATGCAGAACCCTATGAAGGAGTATGCAGCTCTTGGCAAAGATGTAGCCTCCCTGTCATACCACCCGTGCCAAAACCTTCTGCCTCCAGAGAAGCTGGCTAAATACCTGGATTCAGCCATGGTTGACATGGTCAACCTCTGCGGTGTGGATATTAACGAGGCCATGAACGACTCATACACCGCGAACCTTCTCCCTTATGTGTCCGGTTTGGGACCTCGTAAGGCCACAAGTGTCATTAAGGCCATTAATGCCAATGGCGGCGCTGTGGGTACGAGAGATGAACTCGTCGGCGATCCCGATAGTGGCAAGCTACCAGTTGTTGGGCCTAGGGTTTGGAATAACTGCGCAAGTTTCCTCTTTATTGAATACGAGGCCACGAACCCATCCTCGGACCCTCTAGACAACACGCGAGTACATCCCGAAGATTACGAGCTTGGCCGCAAAATGGCTGCTGATGCTCTTGAGCTTGATGAGGAGGATGTTAAGGCCGAGACGGACGAGAACGGACCTGGAGCTATCGTCCGTAAGCTCTTCAAGCAAGATGAGCAGGACAAGGTCAACGAGCTTGTCCTAGAAGAGTATGCAGAGCAGCTTGAGAGAAACTACAGCCAACGCAAGCGAGCTACTCTGGAGACAATCCGTGCCGAACTCCAGGCTCCTTACGAAGAACTCCGCAGGAACTTTGCTTTACTATCAGCATCGGAAATCTTCACCATGTTCACCGGCGAGACCAAGCATACTCTGTGCGAAGGCATGATCGTCCCTGTCAACGTACGTGTTGTCAAGGAGGACTTCGCCATTGTCAAGCTTGACTGTGGCATCGAGGGACGAATTGAAGGTCACGAGGTCAGCCACCGCTCAACCATTAAAGAAGTGTTGAGCTCTGGCATGACGGCACAGGCCAAGATTCTGGACATCAACTACAAGGACTTTATGGCTAAGTTGACAATGCGAGATGATTCTATGCGTATTCCCTACAAGAGGCCTATCAATTTTGGCCGTGATGGATGGGATTATGCCCTTGAGTCAGCGGATAAGGAGGAGTTGCGGGAGAAGGACAAGACCACTGGACGAACACAGCGTGTCGTGAAGCACCCCAACTTCAAACCCTTTAATGGTCTTCAAGCCGAGGAATTCTTGGGATCCCAGCCCAATGGAGAGGTCATAATTCGACCCTCATCCAAGGGTAACGATCACTTGGCGGTCACTTGGAAGGTTGCGGATGGTGTGTACCAGCATATTGATGTGCTCGAGATGCAAAAAGAAACAGAGTTCTCGGTCGGCAAGTTGTTGCGTGTTGGCGGCAAATACACGTACACCGATCTCGACGAGTTAATCGTTGAGCACGTCAAGGCCATGGCGCGTAAGGTGGAGGAGTTGATGCGACATGACAAGTACCAGAACCGATCTCGGGGCGAGACAGGTAAGTTGCCTTCGCAATGTTGGGATGTAATTGGACACGATGCTAACTTGGAATGTAGAAAAATGGTTGACGACGTACATTGATGCGAACCCTAACAGATCGGCATACGCTTTCTGCATCGATACCAAACATCCTGGGTATTTCTGGCTGTGCTTCAAGGCCAGCAGGACAGCCACGGTAATCGCACTACCGGTGCGTGCGATCCCGCAAGGTTTTGAGCTGAAGGGATACCAATACCCCGACATGCGAGCGCTCTGTAACGGTTTCAAGCTGCGTTATCAGAATGAGTTCTCAAAGATGGGCCAAACGGGCCGTCGTTAGGGAACGGGGGACTATCCTGGTAGCGCAGAAGGGAGAAGGGTATATGTTTGATTACACGGAGGCGACATTTTTATGGGACGAGGATGAAGCTGCAATTGTATTATTGAGGCGCAGGTTGACGAGATTTCTTTTACCAAACCAGCAAAGGGGATGCTAGATGTCGTATACACACGACAAGGAGAAAAGCAGCAATTAAGAGAAGCTAATTTGATACAACTTTGACGAGTTTGATTTCACGTTGATGTTAATCATTCCCATTGCAGAAGCTGCTGATACGATGATAATGCAAGACGTATAAACCTCTCTTGGCTATGCAACAGGTTACTATGTACATTGCTGATCACCAGGTTGCAGATCCAGGCGGTGTACATCAAGCTGCGATGTGAGAAACATGGCACGTCTCGATATGGGCCGATGCTCATGTTGACAACAAAACGATGTATATCTTACCTAGTAAGGAAATTGATACGGTGGCGCCATCACAGCAACCAAACAGTGCAAGGACTTGGTGAGGGTCTCGAAAGATCTATATAAGAAGGGAATATTGATAGTCGTCCTGCTCTTGGCAACAAACTGATGAAGAACCGAGGTGCTTCGCAAACTCGGGGTTCCACGCATCAGTTTGCGTAATGCTATGGAGTTGTGAACACTTGTCCTTTACGAAAATAGGCAACAGAAGATATCATGAGCTTGGCTGTGCGAATGGAGCAAGACTGAAGATCATGGGACCCCCGGCTGACTCTGTATCGGTGCTTCGAGAACAAAGCAAATTCTGTTGGGGGAATCGCGAGAAGCGGCGCACTATGAGTGGCGAGTCGTGACTACATCGTTGCCTATGTACGTATGGAGCAGTAGATCTCGTAGTTGAAGTCCCCCAAGAGGACACCCGAATGTAAATATGGATTCAAGACCTTTAAGACTCCAAGCTACAGAGTCAATTGATGGCTGTGATTGGCGAGTCTCTGTTGGTGAACCGGATGGGCCGATGAGAAGTGGTCATGTGCACATGAGCTCCGTCCATGTGGGCGTTGACGGTCTACGGTTGAGTCAGTTCTGCTAGGGCCCACTGATGATTGAGTCGAGGAGCGGTATCGGACCTGAGGTGATGAAGCTGGAAACGTGATGGAACTTGTTCTTGCTGCCTACTAATATTCGAGATTGGTTCTGGGGATCTCAATCCACTTGGTTTGATTGTGGACTTTTTGGGCTTAACGGTAGAGTTGAGTTCGGCAGATGCGGGAGTATCAATAACTGCAGTCATGAGAAGTACCCAGTTGCGGGCAGCTGCACTCTGTATATTTTAGGTGGCTATCTTCAATTGAGTTTGCTTGGGCCATTCCATCTCGTTCCTTTCCTTCAAACGCTGTTATTAGTTGTTCTTCAGTATCGGCATTCGGCAGGTCAGGTCAGACAAAAGGGACGCCGGGGCCGGTACCTGCGTAGTCTTTTTTAATCTCTACCCCGGATCCCCACAATTCCCAGCGGGGTCAATGGTTTGGCTAGGTGTGGGAAGCTCCCGCAGTGCGTATACCGTATTCAGACTGCAGAGTAGAAGCACACCGACGTCAGTCAGTTTCTTGCTGCAACAATGGGCAGGAGAAAGGCCATTATATTATAACGGAAGAATACTATGGACCTGTGGACAAACTCCAGGGTGTTGGAATACCTAGAGTTGACACATTGGGTGCACAGTAATAATCCAACGTCAGACAGCTTGATGAGCATTGGGGCACGTAATCACACCCCTCCGTACTCCGGTGTCCAAACTCCATACTCCAGAGTCAGTTCGTTATCCTTGCCAAGTCAAGAGCAGGCAAGATTCGATTGAGCACACATTAACCACAAGAAATGGCAAATGGTAAATTGCATGAGGAAAGCAGCAATGTATGTACATGCCTCGAGTTTCACACAATTTGCCTTGCATCATGAATGTCCTCAATCGCGGTTGAAATTAGACAATTCTTGTACTGGAATGCTGCGGAGGTGCTCCCCCGCAATTGTAACGTGCTTTCTCTCCTTCTGTAGCAATAATAGCTCCTCTACCTAGAGGTAGGTAGCCATTGCTGTTTGAGAGTTTTGGCAAGCGGCTGCTTGCGCAAGGTCACGCGATGGACGGCAGGATGGGACATGCGAGACCCCGCTTTATTGGGGTCACTAGATGGCTCCACCGGATGCAGGGAAGTGGATCCATCGATTGAGGCGCTGTTGCACTTGCACTGATACTGTAATAAATCATCTCGATGTGAAGGAAGGTACGGTGCTGGCTGAGTCGACATACGCCGTCCATGAGCCGACTTCTTCAATTGTCCAATTGAAATGCTCTCTTCTGTTGAGGAAGCCCCGTAGCTTCTTCCTTTGCGTCCCTACATTGCCTGAAAAGAGGTTGGCTACATGAAGTTGTATCCGTAGACTACTACGTAGGAGGTAGGCGAGAACCTAGGGGTTCTTGGGACCGCAATGACCTGATTGGATACAAAGTGATGCCATCACGCATTGTCCCTCGCGTGACCTTCGGGATATAAATGCATCGAAGCTCCCGTTCCAAAAAGTTGAAGCTTGCCAGTAAATTGCATCTTGCTTTGCATCTCGCTTTACATATAAACCCCCTCCCTTTCTATCTCCTCCATCTAAACCAGCAAACACCAAATACCAAACACCAAATACCAAACACCAAAACCCATCGCTGCTTCACGAACCGCTCAGCACCCATCCTCTTACACCCTCTCTCCTCCGACAACCACTCGGAGATTTCACTGCGTCCTTAGCCAATTCAACATCAGAGCTACTACCTATCTATCTCCTCTATTTACAGTGCCTCTTTCCATTTGCAACTAAAAAGGCAAACTCAGCCAGAACAACAACATCCACTCATCGTCTCACGCATACCCAAATTCTTAAGCAAATCACTCGCATTTCGCCTCACACTAATTCTACACCCTCTTCATCTTTCAAAAGTAAGTTTCTCGTGTCGTTCTTCGCCGTTTCATCTCCTTTACCGGTTTCTCTTTCTCCGTACATCGGCGTTTATACACGGAGTACTTGAATACACCCCGCATCTGAACTCACTCGCCCGGCGGGCATGTTCTTGTTCACTGGCGATTGCCGTTTAGTGACGTTTGGCGCGCCGTCCAATCCGTTTAAAAGCCATCGAGCTCCCCCTTGAATCCGAGCATATCTTGACCCCTCTTTCCATCGTTCATCATCTTGTTCATCCTTCTACATCTATCATCGCCTTATATCATCGCAACAAAAGTCTCCTAACCTCCCCATACTAATACACTTCCCGTTCATATACATTTACCAGTCAGCTTGATACCACTCACCTAGTCTGATAAGGTATACTGACAAGCCTCCCTGCAGTGACTCGATCCCACAAAGCCAATGACCGTGACCACAAGGGCATTGCCGAGGGGACTATCCTCCCCTCGGAAACTGTACCTCGCTTCTTTGGCAAGAATGGCTTTGCCGATGTCGACCCCAAAAAGGTGAAGAAGGACGGCTCTGGTCGTGGTAATTGGTATGTTACTGTTGCCCCAACCTCACCCATGCCTGCTGTCTCCACAGTACACTTACACGGCCTGCAGGGGAACCGTCAACGATGATATCGCTGACGAGCAGTTTACCTTTACCAACTCTCGTCGTCGCTCCAACAGCAGCAGCTTCTCTCACCACGTCTCTGACTTCAAGACCAAGTTTGAGGTCAACGAGCCTGAGCCTGTCTTTGAGGAGTCGCTCCACGGCCCGGAGGAGGAGGATCATGAAGACCTCACCAAGACCGACTCTTCCGAGAGCGGTCGATCCTCGACTTAATCTAACTATTGAATCCTCATTGAGAGATCAGTAGTCACTACCAGTTGCCTCTATATGGCGGCAGCGGTATTCTCGAAGGGTCCACGTGTATTGGAATTGGGATGCGAACTTGATCTTTTATTTATAGCTACGAAACGACATGAAATGAAACGAATGCAACAACACAAATAACAACAGCCCTTTGGGATCAAGCGGCTTGGGAAACAATCAATGGAAGGGGACATGGATGGAGTTGAAGGACCCTCGTGGCTTACGGATCTCTACGTGGATCATGGCTTTACGGCCCCCTGCAAGATTACTATTGCAGAAGAACGATGTATTACTGTATCACTATCTAAGCTTTCACACTGAAGCGAACAATCAAACTGGCTGCTGTTAGCCCGAACAGGCACAGCTAATATTGAATGAAGCCAATTCAACATGCAACGACACACGTGATGAATTGGAATTGATATTGATATCGACCGCTTCGCAGTATCTGTTGACCTTTTCACCTTGTTTACTAAATAAACTCCTCTCGAGATACCTACCCCGCCCGCTCTTTGAAACTGGTTGAAAGACGGCAGTCCGTCTCCTTGATAGCGCAGTGCCGATCACTCTGGGAAAGGTAAGCGGCCCAGTGCTGTCCAAAATATGTCTGGCACTGGGAAGAACCTCTTTTTCTTTGGACATGCTGAGGTATATGCAGAGCCATTACTCAGTTACATACAGTTATAGTACCTAACATTTGGCTAGCCACTATACTATACCTTGGGCAGTCTGGTCACTCTGGTGTCATAGCGAAGGTACTTATTTGCCAGAACTCGGATGATATTAATCTAATTCTCTTCTAAAATGCCGTATGTCTCTCAAATCAGTGAAATGAAATAATCTTGCTACTATGTCGATTCATCATTTTTATGTACTAGACTAGGTACTTCAATGCCATTGACGTCGTTCTTATCGCTATCAGTTAATGCCGGACTTCCAGTGGAGCACATCCCCATGAATAGGTGAATCCACCAAATTGACTTGATCCGCTGTGACCGCTAAACTTACAGGGGTTGATGCTAGGTTTCTTGCATGGAGCTTACCTAGTACCTTACCCAAACCAATCAACCCCGCGTGTGCTGCCAAGCAGGCCCAAGCCACCAAGGCTGAACAAGTTCGAATTGTGTGAGGCTGCGCTGTACTGGTCCGTGCGCGTTCTTTCCTCTTTCGACAATTCATCGAAATTTCGCGGTTGCGAGGCTGTAATGTAACTATTGGTACTTGCATCTTGAATCTTCTTTACACGACATTATCAAACAACGACAAACGACGCTCACAGTAAAAGGACAGCACGTCAGAAGCTATTCGAATCACTCTGCAGTTTCATCGAGCGGCTCCCTCCGCCAAATCTACCTTCATCGCATTACAACAAAGCGCGTCGCAATACTATATCAACCGCCAGCATGACCGTCGCACCAGCATATCATGAATCTCTCCCATGTGAGCTTCAACCATCCTCCTCCCCCTACGCGCAAATATATCTTAATAACCCGGCCTTCAGATGTCGATCAAGAACCAACACCCGAAGCTCTCGCCGCTGCCCGAGCTCTCGTCACCGCAGAAGCATCCTCCCAACCGCCCCAGCCCTCCTCCAACCCAGAACCCTCTTTCACTCCCGCCATGACCGTTGAAATCGAACGTGTTTCTACCTCTGCACCACTTGAGCCTCTCGACTTGAGCCGGTATGAAGCGCCCTCCCCTAGCGCTCCTCCCGCGACTGCCCTGCCCGCTGCCGCCGTCGCACAGAGCTACCTCTCCTCGCGTTTAACGAATCTCGAGCTCCTCGAGAAGTGGGGAAAGAATGCATGGCTATTAGGCAACCATAGCCTTGAGGCAGAACTTCAGGCACTTGAACATGAGCTGGCAGCTACCAAGCGCGAGGTCGATATCGTGAACCTGGAGAGGCAGAAGAGGCAGACAGCCGTAGGGGCTGAGATCAAGACATTGGATGATACATGGCGTGCTGGCGTTGGCCGTGTCCTCGAGACCGAAGTTGCGGTCGAAGAGTTGAGGGGCAAGATGCGCGAAGAACTCGCTCGAAGGGCTACGCAGAGCCAGGAGCCGTAGTCACATCTGTCAGATATTGAGAGGTGTGATTAGGTTAAGATATAGCCATATTCGGAGCTTACTCCATCACTTTAGGCGTTTTGATACTGAAAGGTTTTATGTTTGCTCATTGGTATCTTGGTAGAAAATTGATTATGTTGACTCTGCAACGTATTTTTTACAATAAAGGAACTGGTCTGAGCACTGAGCTACTATTTCTGCAAAACGTCTCATATTTCCTATTTTTCATTGCGAGAGAAGCTACATCATGCTAATAATGATATCAAAAGGTATTCGATCACTAGCGTTTTTGTCTCAGGAAAGCGAAGGTGGGAGAATACCTCTCAAACGCCAATTAAAAGGGAATTCCTCCACGTCCATTTACCAATCGAACCTTGAACGCAACCGCGTTCCAAATACACACCCGAACAACAAGACACCACTGAAACAAACACATTGATAAGGGTAGTTTGTTCGCAACAAAAGAGCCGTCCGTTCCTCATTCTAACCAGTATGAAGAGGATCCATCTCCTCCACACCAGTTACGACATCTCGATACTTGGTCCTTCGCAGAATACCCTCTACAGGACCCAGCAGTCGCTGGAAAGCGTTCTTGCCCAAGCTGCCCACCTTGACTGCCGATGAAGCGACGATACTAGCTGCGCGAGGGGCGTCGTTCAACAAGGCAAGCTCGCCAAAGTAGTCGCCCTTCTTATAATGGCGAACCTTGTTGTCAGGTTGGCCGATATAAGCGTCGGCTTCACCACTCTCCAACAGATAAAATGCGTGACCAGGGTCTCCCTCGTTGATAATAACCTCCCCTGGTGCGAATTTCTTGGTTTCCAGGGCATCAGCAATCTTGGATCGTTCGTATGGGTTCAAGCTTGAGAGGAGTGGCACTTCTTCCAAGAAACTCTCATACATGCGTCTACGAGCAAAGGTCGATTCCATGAGGATGCGTCGGAAAGTAACACGGTCGAGTGCCCACAGGGTACAACCAGACTCGGCCGATACAACGGTCGCAGCTCGGGGCGCATTGTACATCAGTGCCAGTTCTCCAAACGAACCACCAGCCTGAATATTACCAACTTGGTTACCCATACCATCTGGGCCAGGCTGGAGCGAGCCGCTAGGGTTGACATATACGTCGAAAGATCCCTTTTCAACAACATAAAAATAGTCGCCGGCATCGCCTTGGCTGATTACCTGCAGACCCTGTAAATATGGCGATTTAATGTTGTTTGGGGAAAACTTACCTTGATACCCTTGGCTGGTATCGGCTTTTCAACAAGAGCTCCTAGAATCTGGGCACTTTGCTCATCTTCTAGGTGACTGAAGAGGAAGTTGCCCTCAATGGCACGTTTGAGACGCTCAAGCTGATCCGGGGTCTTCTCGTGTAAGGGAGGTGTCCAATTATCATAAGAGTCGGCACTGGGCTTCAGAGATTCCGCAGATACTGAAGTTCGGCGACCAAAGTTGTACTGAGCAGGGTAGCTATCAGGGTTGGGAATGTTTCGAGAAGGGGGAGGTGCATCAGCTGAGGCATCACCGCCGAAGCCGCCACCGAAAGGGCCCGAGAACATGGAGGCGGAGTTTGGTGATGATCCGAACCGGGGGTTTGTAGGGGATGTGATGGTGTCGTTCTCATCTTCTTCAGCAACGCGGTGGATGGCGTTGTTTGTCCTCTTTCCCCTATCCGTTCCAAAGGGGTTGCTGTTCTCCCCAAAGGGGCTAGAGAAAGGACCAGACATGACGTGAAGTTGAATGAAGATTCAAATGTTTATGAGGCTGTCGTAGAATAAGCACAAAATCGGTGCTTATTGAGTAACGAAAGATCGTCGTGAATGAAGATATCGTAGGGCGAACGAAGAGGGGTTGTTCGTGGTTGGTTGTCTATGTCTATTCTTCGTAAGCTGCCTGTGAGGATAAAGCTGATTGAAGATGAATAACTGCCAATATTATGATGAGAGCAGAGATATGAGCCAGGAGGAGAGTCAAGAAGGGTAGGTAGCAAACAGAAATACAACATGGGGTGGCAACGCGATGCCGTCACAGGAACGGGGTGGGTGACTTACAGCTATTGCGTTGCTCTTGTAGCTAGATCACAAAGTGACTAAGCCCAGTTGTTATGTCAGTAAGAGCTGCAGCTGAAGCTAGGAACAATGATCAGAGGCATTGAAACGACAAGGGACGTTGCGTGCAGGAGAAGCTCCAGGGCAATGCGTTAAAGGTGAAGCTGGACGTGGGCTGCAATCCACGCTTGAAAGTGACGTGTTGTGGCGGGGCCCAGATCAAGACCCTGGTGCGTACATGCACAAGTCAAAGGAACGAAGTTGTTGTGGACATGGTGGAGAGAAACCCAGAAATGCTCACGAAGTAAATTGGGCTGGGTAAATGGGGATGGGAACAATGCGAGGCCTGACAATTCACGTTTGCAAAGATGAACCATCCATTGCGGTCTGTCGTTGAACAAGGGAGTGCTCCAATAACTGCGAAGCTAAGCAATTTGGGTGACAAAGCTCCCGGTGCAGATGGGAGGATGCAGGGCATAAACAAAACAGGCTTGACTTACGTTGAATCCTGGTAAACTGGACCCTACAGCATGAGATGTGATCAGGCAGGGCGGTGATATCCCGTAGGGCTTTATCGATCAAGGGACTGGCAACGGGTGAGGGGTCCAACGCAGGGTTGAGCTGGAAGGCCAGTGACAGCCCAAGACGATGAAAACCTAATAAACGCTTGTTGATGCCACGCAGCTCCAGAGGTTTCGAGATGTCGTAATGTTGAAAGAGATGATGAAGATGCCGAGTCGAGAGGAGTAGCAAAGGCGAGTGGGGTTCTGCTGCTCCGTTCCCCGCCTTGTCGTGAAAGAGAAAGAGGGCGATAGAGAGATAGACAGGCTGTGGTGTTGTTTTCGTTGTATAGATGGCCAGCTAACAGGAGAGAAAAGGAAGTAAATGAGGTAGGTGAAAGTGAAAATGAAGATGGACAGAAAGAAAGAAAGGCAGCGGATGGTTCCTGTCTCGTAGCGTACAGCAGAGTAGGGCAGAGCAGCGCAGAGGGAAGGAGCTCTTCTCTCTCTTCGTCCCAAAGGGTCTGACCAACGGAATGGGGAGAAGTGGGGGGGAAGGTAGCTAGGAGGGTTTGGTTGCCGCCCTGGAGCCAGGGAAGCTTTCTAGAAAGAGGTGCACGGGCCAGTCGATGGCTCGGGCTGCTCGGGCGCTTGTTCCACAGACACTTCTGCTACTGTTCGGTGCAGCTCCCAGACTAAGGTAGCAATGTAAGCTTCCTACCTCATAAGACAAGTGAAGAATGAACGTACTGTGCAGATTATACTGTATTGAATACCTTATGTTGCCGCGATGATGTAGCATGACATCGGCGAGAAGCACCCTTCTTGGTGGAGATCTGCACTCTCTCCTTCTTGACCTCTTTGCTATTTTGCTTTTCTGCTTTTTCTGCGTGATCGAATGCAACCTCGTCACCGTTCATGCTATTCCACTTCTTCTTCTTCTTCTTCTTCTTCTTCTTCTTCTTCTTCTTCTTCTTCTTCTTCTTCTCTCTGCGGTAATCTTTCAGATTCAGCACAGATTTCTAGCAGCCAGGACAGTTCAGGTATCTTAGTAGCTGCTGCCTGTACATACGACACAGGCAGATATGGACATTACGATAAATAGCTCTGATATTGAGGCTTGAGCTGGGCTGGCTTTTAGTCAGGACTGTCAAGCTTAGCGGACGCCTTTGGTTCCCGGAAGCAGAATCACCCAAAGCAACACATGTGAGCTCAGGAACTCGGAACGCGGGGCCCCACTCCGATCATCTCTTTCTCTATCTACGTGCGACTCTGGTATGTAGGCAGAATGATGCTTCTTCTCTAGCTCTTTGCCACAATTTTAGACGTGGATAACAATTGCGTTGCTTATATCCTATACTCCAAGTTCAACTAACTCGTACGTAGTACTGCAAGCTTCTGCCAGCCGTCTCCTACTACATAGCGTCAAAACTGCCCTAGTGGCTATCAGGCCATGCAAATATACTTCACACCGGTCATACAGTACTTGGATCAGGCTAGTATTGTAAACTCTTTATTGCGGAAATAAGACTCCTTTAGAGTTATTATTATGGTCGGCATGCATTGTTCAAATCCTCTTCATTGAAGCCAACTACATATCTAAGCCGTTGGCTAGACTAAACCGTCCGCCTCATCATTGGTACTGAGCAGCTTGACCTCCCATCAAGCTGATCGGGTATCGTTTCTGTAGTGACAAAGTACAAAAGTCCTCCTCCTTCCTGTCTTTACTGTCCCCATCATCGTCCAATCCTTTCGGCCAGGTAAGGTTGACGATTACCCCCTACCAAGCAATACAAATACAAACAAATATAAAGACAGCAAACCAAGTTGCCCAAGATGAGGAGCGAAAACTAAAACAACCCAAACCCCGCTGCGCCAAAGATAAAGCCGTCCTGTTATATGCATTCGTCTGAACCCTCAAAATCAGAGCCTCGCGCCGTGAACACGAACTGGTGCACTGAACCATGACAGTGCTTGTCAAACGCCGGCTCCTTTCGCGCCTTGCTTGTCCTAAACGTATTCCACTGTAACATGTCTATCGTCTTCGCTTCTTGGGGTGCCAGCATGCACTCCACATAGCCTGGTGATGACGCCTCACCTATGATATATGTGACAGACCACGATACTGGAGGCGTTCTTGTTACATCCAGCTTACTCTTAATCCACGTCGTTGCTCTCGCTTGAACACTCCGCTTCACGTTGCTGTCCGCATCCATTACCTTAGGCGCTGCCTTCTTTTTAATGCAGTTCTCCTCGTCGCTGTGGTCTTGCGGGACTGACTAAGATCCTGCCGCGAGGCACGAGTCCAGAACGCTATCAAGCATGTCGGCATCCTGGCTCTCTGCGCCTTCCCACCAGGCTTCGGTGTCGATATCCATAGCATCAGGATGCCCATTGGGAAGTTCGTAAACATGTCCTCCGTTTACCTCTGGGCCATGCCTTTCCTCTGTGGTTCTTGGAGGTGCCTGGTCGTAGACCCAAGTGTAGTCGTCCCAATTCTCCAACTCACCTTCTCGGTAGCCGTATATCACTTGGGTCATCAATACGGGGAACTGGGCCATCCCTGTTTCAGACATCTCCAAGGACAGACGAAGGTCAGACATTCCCAGAGGACCTCGTTCACTTGCAGCCTTGGACTCGATCGGGAGAAGTCCACCCTTATCTCGGGCAACCTCGCCCCGCATCGCAGCTTCTTCTTCATATTCCAGTTGTCTCTTGTACTTTTGCGTCTGAATCCATGTTGTTCCGACACCGAATCCAGCGCTGCCCGAATCGCCAGGCCCGTTACTCCTTGTGCGACTGAACACTTGCGTGAGGACTTCTTTAATGAAAGTTTCCACGGCCACCGACATGAATTGAGGAGCATCTGTTGTGTGGCCATTGACCAGTCCTGCCTCGTAGCATGAGGGAAGCATTCGGCCTGAAATCATATTGATGTCGGGGAATTCTCCGGATTCGATCGCTAGGGGTTGGGCATATCGTTTTCGAATCTCCAAGTCGAAATCTTGCTATTGTCAGGGCCTCTGCGTAACACATGCGTTGGACAAAATACATACTCATGTTGTTGATACCCCCAACTGTTGGGGTGGCATCAGTCACCGTGGAAGGCTTGCGATGTGTGTCTGCAAATACATTCGATATGCTCTCGTGCGGATCCCACTTGTAATCGGTTAGCAAGTAAACTGGAGGTAATTCGGAAATACCAACATCGTTCTGAACCAGATCCTTGATGCGCCTACGATCTCGTGTTGGTAATTGCATAACATCTCCCTTCAGCCTCCGTTCAGCAGCATCCCCTGATACTGGCTTAGTTCCCGTCGTCGCCGCAGGCTTGTCGTTAGCGCTGACCCAAGGCGCCAGTCCTTGGTCAGGCATCTCTCGAGTAACATTTCCATATATAGCGGCGATAAGGTTGTTATGTAAGTGTTCTTTGTCGCCTGGACCCGCGAGGATAGGGTCTATTCGTTCCGAGTATTCAGCCTGATTTAAGCGTCCTTTGGAGGGGTAAGCATGCGCATACAAACATGGAAGCTTCCTGATGAGATCTACCTGTTAGGAACTCGCTGGTAGATTCCTTATATATCGCCCATTTCTCGTTGCCAACGGCGGCCTTGAGCGCAGTATATAGCGGTTCCAGGTCAATTCGTGCAGGGATGATCTGACTCGACTTCGCAATCTTTGGCACGCCAGATAGAGAGCCTGCAAGTGTCTTGTTGGATAGAATAGGAGTCGTGAGGCTGACAGATGGACGGCTCAAAGCCGCGGGGTCGATGTCTGGCATCTTGATAGGAGGAGTCGGATAGGCGACAGCGTCGCGTGCGGCAGAATAGCGCGGCGCGACGCAGAGAAAAGACGCATGAGTTGGATGAGACGAATGAGTGCGTTGACGCGATCACAATGCAGTTATTAAAATGATAAAAAGTGCATATTTCGTTGTTTAAGTTGATGGGCGACTTATTCTGCTGTTGACGTGAGGTTCAAGTTAGATGTAGTGTAGTTCGTTTTTGCCGCGAAGCATGCATAGCTGTGGTAGACATTAGCGTACTGTTGTTGTAGGTAATGTATACTTGATGTTCCCTATCTGTTTAGTGGCTGCCAAAGTCCCCGCTACTTTCACACTTTTGAAGGGCACTAAAGCAACTCGCCCTGCAGCACGACCTCCAACTTCTACAGTCGCGTTTGTCGCGTCTGAGTCTACATCAGCTCAACTTGATATTGTCATATAACAAAAGCTTTTCCCTGCGCAAGTCTCATTCCTTGATGGATTGATCGCCCCTGAACAATAAACTCATTACTCTTAGCGCTCTATATCGTCACAGTCGCCAGCAGCCTCCGACGATGCCGTCATGGCTCCCGACCGCATTACCAACGCTATTGACAGTCTGATAACCCACATCGTGCCCAGTGATCCCAATGATCCCGATGAAGTTGCGCAAGAGCGCCATGATACTTGTTTCGAGATTGTCAGATCCATAATAGACAGGTTTATACCTCCTCCCCAGTGTCGACTCATGCTTCAATCACACTGACTATTCATGGTCTAGTCCAGATTCCCCCGCTATTTCTTCCGATGTCAACCACGCTTCCGATCTCATAAAACGAAAACTCATTCAGAGCAATCCCCCTCAAGCCCTCCGCTTCTCCAACCTCTACACCCGATTACTGTCTTTGCCTGTGCTGGAGCATAAGTGGGCAATACTGTACCTTCTATATCAGCTCTCTGATTCTCCAGACCCCAATGAGCCCCTCCCATTAAGCCCAGTTAAGCCGTCGGCGCCCAACTATCGAGATGCTATTAGTCGCGATGCTATTAAACGACAGGGCCGAGAACGTAACACCAACTCGTCCAGGTTTGAAGAGGAGCAATTTAAAGAAGCGTTTCAACCAGGCGGTCTTAAGAAACTGCCGCAAAAGGAGAATTTTCAACCAAGTAGAGAAGGAGAACCACAGCCTGAACCACCTAGGAGAGATGTTTCCCTGAAGTCGACATTACTGGCAAGTAACTATTCGGAAATAGAACCCTCCGAATCTGTCATCCTGAGAGACCTACCATTCACCCTCCAGGGACTCTCGTCCACAACACTACCTTTTGCGAAATCGGACATCATCAAGTTACCATCAACACTTCCTTTACCGATTATCTCGCTACTTCATACTCTGGCAGAGCCCTCGTTACTTTATCGTGGCCTCGACGGATTTTGCAAGACTCCCGCCAAAGGACTTCTAGGTCAAAGTCTAAGAGCAGCCATCCACGGCGAGCTCAAATCTTACTTGAGTTTGATCGCAACATTAGAAGGCCAAATCAGAAGAGCTCTTGCATCGCTAGATGACGAAGCACCAAGAGCGGGTATCGGAAAAGCAGGAGTCACTCTCAAAAGATGTGTAGTGTGGACGCGGGAGGCAACCATGGGCCTCCGGTTGATGAGCTTGATTGCTGAGGAGTCTGAAAAGAAGAGAGGAGGTCAGCTTGTCTCCCTCATCCACAGTTTTTCTTCTTCTCATGGAGACCCTGTCGTTGCCGCATTCGCCGAGAGACTATTGGGAAGTTTCACACGACCATTCTATGACATCCTACGCCACTGGATATATGACGGCGAACTATCCGACCCTTTCCATGAATTTTTTGTCAGAGAGCAGTCTCCCAATAAAGATCAGTCAAAAGCTAAGGGTGCAGGCAATGTTTGGGAAGACAAATACGAGATCGCTCCAGATATGATCCCCAGCATCATCACGCAAGACTTTGCCCAGAAGGTCTTTTTGATTGGAAAATCCTTAAATTTCATCCGGCATAGCTGCGGCGATGCCATGTGGGTGGAGGACTACTCCAAAGCTGCCTCTAAGGAATTGAGGTATGGTGATACTGCCACCTTGGAAGCTTGGATCGACGAAGCGTATAAGACTACCATGAAACGTCTCATCGACTTGATGGCCAATAAATTCCATTTATTTAAGCATCTGCAGGCACTGAAAAACTATATCCTTTTGGGGCAGGGAGACTTTATTGCGCTTCTAATGGAATCTCTAGCTGCTAACCTCGACCGCCCTGCTGGAGCGCAGTACCGACATACGCTGACGGCGCAGTTGGAACACGCTATCCGAGGATCAAACGCCCAGTACGACTCTCCCGAGGTCCTGCGACGGCTAGATGCCCGTATGTTGCAGCTATCTCACGGCGATATTGGATGGGACTGCTTCACACTTGAATACAAGATAGACGCACCTGTGGATGTCGTTGTCACAGAATGGGGCAACCGACAATATCTCAAGGTCTTTAACTTCCTCTGGCGTATCAAACGAGTAGAATTTGCGGTACTTTCAACCTGGAGAAAGTGCATGACGGGTGCCCGTGGAGTCCTTCAAAATTCCGACCCTGCAGTCTCCCAGACATGGAAATCAACACGTGGTGTCCTCGCTGAGATGATTCACTTTGTGGGCCAGTTACAATACTACATCTTGTTTGAGGTCATTGAGTCGTCATGGGGTGAACTCCAGAAGCGGATCCAGAAGGAGGATTGTACTCTGGACGATCTCATCAAAGCACATACACGATACCTTAACGATATTACGCACAAGGGTCTCCTAGGAGCTAAGCGGCGTACGCACAGTTCTGATGAAGATGACCGCACAACATACATGATGCAGCTCGGTGAGATCCTTCGGTTCATGCTCAGCTACCGCGACTCAGTTGACGGGCTCTATAGTTGGAGCGTGTCAGACTTTACGCAACGCCAGGAGGCTGATGTTCGAAGCACCACACGACACACCGACGACCACGACGGCCTGGATACACCGACAGCGGGATCTGGCGCTGTCGCCTCCGAGTTTCCAGTGCTGCAGGAGCGCCTACGACACTTGGGTGCATCGTTCAAAACCCGCGTACAGATCCTTCTTGGCGATCTTGCGTACCAGCCAGATGTGGACATGCGATTCCTGGGTGTCGCCATGAATTTCAACGACGTTTATCAGCCGACACGGCGGAAGTCCAAAGCGGCTCCCGGGACAGCGGCAACGACGCGGAGTCTTTCTACGAATAGAGCATGAAGGACATGCGAGCAAGCGCTGGGCGTGGTTCATGAAGTTCCAAAAGGGATACCGTGCATAGCGATATGGACCATTTTTTTAGGCAGGGAATGGAGTTCAATACAGATGCCGGTTTGGTTCACTTGTAGGATTGTGTTGCTTAATATTCTTGGGTCTTTGCTTGACGACGTGAACTTGAACGTATACCGCGGCTTCATGATGTGTTTTGGAAAGTTATTGCGGCCAGCATGACTCTCGGTTCTCTTCTCCACGTCAAGTTGTGTACATTGTAACATTGAACACGCAGTAATAGCAGGGAGGGGTGCCTAAATCCATAGATGCATCAGAGTTGTTGATTAATACAGCAGTACACCTTGTTTGTGGGATGGTTACCCTATAGCTTTAATGTGCTCGCCTGGCGGCCTCTCGATTTGTGGTAGACTCGACTCTCTACTAGTTATATTTCAAATTTGACGGAGGATTGATGAGGCTTTGGAAGATGTTGTGATGGTCCCTTGCTCGTGGTAGCTATTTTACCATGAAAGTAAACAACATGAAACATTCACATGCGCTGGCACACTACTTATCTCATCAACACACAACATGCTACTTTACTATAGACCAAATCATTACTTTTTTACTCGATGATTCCGTGAAACATGACAAGCAATCAAATACAGCCAAAGACAAAAAGCCTGAGCGTTGCTTGACCGGGCTGACAACTGTTTTTCATTTTACTTGAAAGCACGTAATGATGAGGCCACCAAAACATATCATCATTTGCCAAGTCATTGCGCATACCAATTTCAAACAACGAAAAAAAGTATTATTAATCAAGACATCATTGAAACATGAGATAAAACATGCCCTGGCTATCATACTTGGGCGAACGGTGAGGCTATATTTTTGAGGTTCCTCCTCAATCGTACCGTATAACTACAGTTACCACCTCTACCTCAAAGGAGTGCTAGACAATCCAGCTAGGCTACCTAGGCTACGCATGAAGATCTGGCCCTAAGCTGCAACGATTGACAGGGCAATTGACGGGGCGCCTGCCGATGGGTCTCGGGGATGCAAGGCTGTTTACTGTCGGGTCTGATAAGGCCTCCGAGGTGGTTGTTGTGAAGTATTTGTTACGTGGCAGCTTCCACTATACGATGATCGTCCTGTAGAGTGCAAGATGCTAACAACACAACCTGACATGTAGCTTTGCTGCGGTGTAGTCGGCCTGCCAAGTTTTAATGTTTTTCAGTCGTAGCTGACCAAATTCGTTCTCATATTCGCCCGACATCATATGTACTCCGTAGCAGCCGTCATCAAAACAAATTGGCTCGTGGGCATGAATATGTCCCCCCATCACCCGAGAACCCTTGTTTGTGGGTGAATAGACTCCAGCCGGAAATCCAGGAACATGGACGTGGCGTCCAGACTCCAGATTCATCGTTTATCATCCATGACCATGACTGCCTCCACAATCCTTTCAACCTTTCGACCTTAACCCCCACACAGGCATCTCTTCCGGCGTCCCACCAAGCCATACGGATATAGCCCAACCAGTTACCGAAATCACCCAAGAGAGTTATGGATAAGGAGAGAGGAGTGTTTAACTAAGTATCGGCTGGGGTAGAGAGCCAAGCCAGACGTCGCGGGGGTCGCCGGAGCGCTAGAACGTGGTAGAATTACTAGAAATATGTACTGTAATTAGACGTTGCATTACTGGTATATTGGGGACCATGCCATGTCCCCCTTTGACACCCAAGAAAATGAAAAGGCTAGGTCAGTATCAGAATCAAGGGGCTGTAATAAACGAAAAACGATAAACGTCAGCCACATATCGGTGAGCTCTTGATTTTCATGCACTGTTCTAAGCCAACTACCCTTCATCCCGTTACCATATGCAGTAATGGCGAAACAAACTGCTTCTGGTTTGATTTGATACGTATTAATAAGTACTCCGATAGTACTCCGTACAGAGTACACCACCTCCTCCCGTCGGTTCCGATGCCCTTCGCCTGAGTGGGCATCTGATGATACTTCCCAAATCACTCCACAGTCCTACACCATGGCGTTTCACTCCCTTCAAGAAGCAACGAGCACTTTAGTACCCCTTAGTCTCAAATATACCAAACGGGCTTATTGAGCGTAATGTCAACTTCAAGTTCGTTGTTCACCAATACCCCGTATCATTGCATTCTTTGGTTACCTATCAGACCATCCTAGTATCCCAAGCATGAATTTCCCACCCCTGCTTGGCCTGCTCTGGGGCTTTCCTTAGGTTATGCAAGAAATACTGGGGAAGCAATGGCACCATTAGCTCCAGTCCCAACCCCAGATAAGAGGAATTGAGTACTTTCGTTTCATGTACCGTCTCATCCTGCTCCCAACTCTTTGCTTGGGGGATAGTAATACCTATCCGTGATATGTGCTGAGCATATTCGGGCACCTTTATCATCGCCGACACTACCCAATCGGCCTATTTAACTTACGCAGTGCTAGGACTCTCTCTGCTAGGGTTTATCAAAAGTGTGTCTGCCTCCCTGATATGGCAACCAGGGCATTTCGACCACCATGTTGGTTACTTGTTGCACAAACATTCCTAACCGTTACTCAGCGAGTGATAAGGTACTGTGACAGACAACCTAGGGCCGCAGCACATCCCTCACCCCGATAGGATAGAGGGCAGCAAGCCTGGATAGTGGTTCACCAACCGGTCTAAGATAGGCATGTTGCAAACGCAGAGGTACAGTAGATTACGGTGTTATTTTGCGCTTGACTCTACTTGACGTATATCAGGCCTAAAGGCCAAGCTGCAGTACCCAACAGGTCCGTCCTGGCCATTCTGTTTTAGTTTGTGGCCCACTGCTATCAGGGGGGAGGAAGAGGAGTTAACCATCGCCGTATTAGTTGTAATTTGATATGGGACGCCATATATTCTGACTGCTGATAGCAAGGTTTCGCGTCACATCAGCATTAAATACAGGCCCATGGTTTGTTGCATGAGACGAGGAACACCTTGGACCAGATCCAAACAAGCATCATTAAAAGACGCGAAACGGGCGAACTTCTAGAATATATTGGCCGGCAGGGATGCTGTCTGTGTATAATCCGACCCTGTGGCAGGCGGCCCACACATCAATTATGAGGAATTGCGTAAAGCCACGCTTGCTCGTTGGCCAAGAATATCGTGCTTGTAATTACTCCGTACTGATCGATTCATGGCTAATATTATACCGGATAGCGGTGCTTGCCTTGCCGGCTGTTTTCCTTTTCCTTTTCCTTTTCCTTTTCTTTTTGCTCCAGCATTCGGGCTCATCTGGACCAAGATTGGGTATGAGGCTGGTCTTGATGTTTTGGGTCAGTCATCACCCAAGGAGGTTCCTTGCCCTTCATCTTTCCCCTTTTCTCTGATGATGCTAAACTTGTTATTTTTCTTTTTTTTTTGTCAGGGCATCGACATGTCAGAAAGGACATATATTTTCGAGAGGGGAGCTGAGTAAAACATTTGCTGACTGGCCCGATTCCTTCCAATGGCATTGGCGTGATGCAGTGCATTTGTAGTCCAGGCAGATAGTTATTGGCGGTGGGCTTGAGTAGTCACAGTCACCCTTCCATCCTTTATTCTGTTGGGCCGACTTTGCTAGGTTGTTGGTAAGTGTCTGCACGTACTTCGTACTCAGGGCCATGTATTGGAAGTAGAGACCGTGCATTTCCTTCGCAATCTTTTCGTGGCGCTTGTCGAGACAATTTCGACGATGTACACCAAGATCCATGATGATCGGAAGCAACGCGGTACTACTAAATGTACCGAGTCACTCTCATACTCATAGTACGGGTAGTCCCCCGGTGATTAACGGACGCCAGAACAAACCAAAACTTCGTCGACGTGGATCGCGGGAGTTCCGGGGTGAGCAGGTGAGGTAATCGTGGGAGTGCGACTAGGTCAGGGATTATCTTCTCACAGCTGGGGGTGCTTGTACGGATACTGTATCCGTACTCTGTCTGCATCCCTGTGCATGGATACCTGGCCATGCGAAGTACCTGCTTCACTAGTACCAGAGCCAAGACATGCCTCCCGTCCTGTTCCCCAGATTTTGTCGCTTTGATGCCCTTGTTAGTTATGTCGTAGTCTCACAGGCTGCTCACTGCCTCCGTTTGGACGGGCTCGCCCTGTCAATGCCGTTGGTAGTAACTATTGGCGGCGGCATCGGTATCGCAGCGCCCTTGTTTGCCCCGTCTTCGAATGTGACTTGGGCTTGAGTTGTTCAGTTCAGGCTCAGGTTGGCCTGTGAGACGGGGGACTCATCTCATCTCACCTCCTTCCTGCTTCCCTTTAAATAACCTCCTTCTCCCTCTGTCGAGTCCCAAGTTCTTGCTTCCACTTTTCTTCCTAGACGTTCATACCTTCCGCTAATATTCCCAATTTCTTATCTCAGGCCACGGCTGCCATTTGAGTCTTCAGAAGCTAGGACTTTCCAATCGTTACCGATTCTCCAGGAAACACGACCTTACCTTATCTTACACATCTTGGCTCTAATATCTCCAAACCACGTCGAGTTATTCCTGGCCTTCGAACTATCTCTTTTCCTGAGGCATTCACTTCGAACTCTAAACTCGGCCCGAGGCATATCATAATCCTCTCTCTCTCCACTGCCGCGCACTCGTGTTGTATCATCAAGTCGTCTTGGTGCTAGTCTCCATCACATACCCACAGTTTACGCAAGCCGTTCTGTTTCTATTCTCGTACGTTTTCAATGAACGCCTTATTTATATATAAGTCGGGTTTGATCTAGTCAATGGATTCTTCTAACACACATTTCGCAGAGTACTTCAACCATTCTTATCGCAAATATGCCCGGTCCCCACTCATCTTCGATTCAGGCCTCGCCTCGCAGCATGAGGTTGGTCACTTCGCAGGATCTCTATACCAGCATTAATGCCACCCTCTCAACCAAGTCGAACCGTCCATCAACTCCGGTACACCATATTCAGGAGGATGACTATACTGTACCAGCACCCCCTCCGCCAAGCCCCGTCAGTTTTAGGCCTGAGCATTGGTCCGCATCAAGCCGCCGTTGAGCTGCGAGTTTTGCACACAAAGACGTTGTATGGCATCAGAGACGCCTCGTTGCCAATGCACCCCACCAATCTTGAGAAAGTGGTGAGGAAAGAAACGTCTGTATTAAGCAGCAATGTTCTTCTCTCTTTGTTAGTTTCCTTTTGGCGTTGCTATTGTAATATCATGTTTGAGCGCTTTGGAGTCCGGGGTGTAATCGAGTGACGCATATGGCAAGGGTTTCTTTGTGACGCAAGCCACTATGGAGGTTGCGCATTTCGGATACGGCGTATGGGTTTGACGCTGGATGGCAGCAAAAGCCCTATGTTTGGGGTTTCTGTTCACGTCTCTTTCAGGAGGCCAATGGCATTTGCAGCTCTTAGATGTTTTCTTGGAGGATCCTTTCTAATTAAGCCAATGGTCAACGATGACCAAGGTTTTTGTACTCAATGAATACGACGCTTTCTTCAGACCAAACATGATTATGTGTGTCGAGGTATTGTCCAAAGGTCCAATTGAACAGCAGCAAAGGTACTATTCGGGCAGCACGTATAACAACGCAACAACGAGCTTCCCTTTGTGTCCCAGGGCGCAGGCAGCCAGACCGCTGTTCCAGGAATAGGAGGCTTAAGGGACGTCAATGTCTGTACTGGGAGGCTTCTGTAAGGCAACGTCAGCAGGAGTATAGCACTCACATGTCATATCCAGGCAACGGGAGCCGAGATGTAAAGCTCCCTTGGTAAGACCTGAATCAAGATAACCGTTCCGTAGCGACCGACAACCCCCACAAGCCATATTATTAAAACTTTACGGGTATGTATCTTAAAAGAGAGTTAGAGACGACCACATTCTACTCTATACACTACGACAGGGATAAATTCGATATTACCGGAGTGACGTAGAGATGAAAGGAAGTCCTAATTCTGTACGGAGTAGGTACTCGCAGAAATTGGTCACGTTGCTACCTAAGTAGGTATGCCTGCCATAATGGGCCACTTTAACTCTAGGTAACTAAGGTAGTCGCGACTTTCAAAGACACCACTCTACGCGAAGAAAAAAACACGCTACACGCGTCTCAACGCGTCGTGGGCATAACGTTCCCCTTGACGACGGAGCACATGCCTACTTTTCTCAAGGCGTCGCTTCCACCTTTCTAGACATCATTTTAGCACTTTCCCGGCGACTTTCATAATTCTTCACTGCAACTTCCGTGTCTGTCTCTTTCCCAATTTTTTATTCTCTTCTTCGTTACTCTCTTTGTACAAACACACCAACATAATCACCCGTACCTTCCACAACAGACTACTTTTTCCTTGCGTTCCTGCTCCTCAAGAAACCACAGTTATTCAAGATGCCTCGACCGGCCAGGCGCAAGCAAGCAGTGCCTTCCGTTGCTCAGTCCATTTCCAACTTTACCCGTGTATCAAAAGTACAAATCCCCAATGATACTGCCAAGAAAATCACCGAAACTCGATCTACACCAGTTACCAGGAAGCGAAAGGCGGCCGAAGATGAAGCAGATGCGCACCCCAGAACTAAGGCCCGAACTACATCGTTCGCTCCGAGTAGTGAAGATGAGCTTGTTACTCCTGTCAAACGCTCTCTTCGACGCCAAGAGTCCGTCATCAGCCCCGCCACGAAGGATTTGCCTGCTGGGAAAGGGAAGAGAACAGCCAAAACGACCCCTTCAAGGGCCAAGGCTGCTCATAAGCCCGTTGGCTCTACGCCTCTTTCCGAAAGCAACCGACAAGGAAAGACTGTGCAAACCAAGCTTGATGGTGTGTTCAAAAAGCTAGGCAAGCCCGCTGCAGACAAGGATGCTTTGCCTCCTCATCTTAGCGAAATGGTCGACATTCACAAAGCATTCGTCAAGACTATTATGATTCAACTTGCTCACAACGGAAATAACTCACCTATCGATTTGCGTACACTCACTCCGCATGTCTCACAGTCCTGGGGGAAACGCCAAGTTTCCATAGAAGACATTCGACGATGCATCGCCGTCCAAAGCTCAGCCAAGCACAACGTACACTCCCCTTTCATGATTGCGGACTATGGCCGCGGGAAGATTTGTGTTGAGCGTTCTTCTGCTGATATGGCACCTATCCACGAACAGCGTCTGCTGAAGCAATTCGAAATCAATCTACGGGCATTGGCCACCGAACGCTCTGCTGACGACATGGACGTCGACCTCCCCTTGGGAAACCTCTCGCTGAACGAGCTGCCGCAGGTGGACATAAAGAACATGGACAACAGAACTACCGCAAACCCTATTCTAAACAAAGGACAGCGTGCACTGTCAGTTCTTAAAAACGACATCGCGAACAAGCAGCAAGAGAAGGAGGCACAACAAAACCTGCCCTCCAACAACAACCCGCTTCTAAACCCGGATGGTACGAAGATGAGTCTGCTTGATCGACTTCGAGCAAAGCAACTGGCCAAGGCCAACGGACCGCTGCCCCCTTCAGGTCCTGAGATTCAACGCCGCGCAGCCCTCAACCGTGTCGCCGACATTGCAGCAACCATCTCTATGCTGAGCTTGTCCAATCCAATGTCTCTGCCACGACAAGCTTTTACCATGGCAGTGATCATGGAGAAGCTCAAAGATTCTCTCCGTACACCAGTGTCGAAGGAGGAGGGTGCAGATTGTGTGCGGTTGATTGCACGTGAAGTTGCCCCTGAGTGGTTACGTGTCGTTACGATTGGAGGCAGGGAGAACGTGGTTGTTCAGCGCAACAGCCAACCAGTGGATAGAGTGCTACAAGATCGTGTACAGAAGCTGCTGGGTTGAGGAGGAAAGTGGGAGAAGTATGGGACATTTGTTTGAAATGAAGAATACCCCGTGGAGGAAGGTTCGTTTTTGTTTGAGAGACGCGAATGTGCATTTACATAAGCATCGGAAGGAGTTGGCGTTGTGGCATTGATAACCATGGCAAACAAAGCTTGCACAGAAAGTTCGTATTGACTATTGAGATGTAATAATGAACAAAACAATACAAAAAGACATGAACCGCGTGATTGCTAGTGACAAGAAATCGTTGATATAATGTTTGGTAACATAACGAACGTTCCGCAGCCCGGCTTTGGTGTGCGGGATGGTCGGCCGACAGCCCCGAATAAAGAGTGGATACAAGGGCCGTAATCGGAAGCATCATTCCGACCCGGTAGACCGCACCCGAAGGTGATGTACCGATGTCCGGCTTGTCCCTCGTGAACCAGGGGTTCACCGCACAAAAGAAGCGCCAAGGCTAGCTCTACAGGATCAGAATTTGTTACAGGTGCCCAGACTTCTCCGCTGGATAACGGATATTGTTCACCGGCAACGGGGGTTGATCGGGAATAATGGTGAAGTGGATATCTCAGACACACCGTAGACCAAACTCTGACGATGATTGATCGATTTGAGTTAGGACGCGATGTAGGAATGGGGAGGGGAAATGCCCATATTCGGAAATTTCTTTGCTGGGATGTAGAGAAAAAAGGTTCATAAGTTCCGAGTCTGCTCGCCGTATCGTGTGGGATGCAACCGTGTATGCTTCGTATGACTATCTTTTGATCCTTTGATATTTTCTGTCTTGCTCACTGACTACTATACGTTCACAAAATTAAGAAAGTGACCTTACCCTTCTTCTTATAGTTAGGAATAGAGATTTACACTGCAAGTTATCCTTGAAAACCAACGGCAATGCTTAGGACCCGACGACAGCCACAATGAAAACCACACGAGACAGTTTGATCGATGAAGCACCATCGTCATCGGCATCATCGACTGTGAGCGACACAGAAGTCTCATTGCACATTGTGAATCGAACAACAACTCCAGAAGTCATTCACCGCTCGATATCACACGTTTCAGGCCATGACGCTTTTGAGCCGGCTGCCACACTCGCTGACCCAGAAGGCAGAGAGCTTTATAGAGAAGCAGGCGACGAGATCTATGATAAGGTATCTTCAAAACGCAAGATTGCCATTGTGTCAGTCTTATCATTTGGCGCGTTCCTGTCTCCGATCTCGAGCACATCGGTTTTGGCAGCCACTCCTGAGGTTGCTGAAACTTACAACACGACTGGAAGCATCATCAACTTGAGCAATGCAGCGTATATGGCGGTCATGGCGCTGTCTCCTTTGTTCTGGGGGCCCATGAGTCAGGTTTATGGGAGACGTGTTGTAAGTGATGTTCATGTTGCGTCTTGGCTGATGTGTAGGAAACTAAAATGATTACACCCCTTGACCGTAGTACACTCGGATCTTTAGATAAGAATTTTTCTTCTAATACAGCATACAGTCAGCGCTATACTCGTCAGCCATGTTCTTCTTGCTGAGTCTGGCAACTGCTCTGGCGCCTGACCTGGCCTCGTTCATCTTCTTCCGGGCTACCTCAGCATTCGGCGGAACGGCTTTTATTCTCATCGGTCCAGCATGCATTGGGTAAGTAGTTCACATCTCTGAACTCGAGAACGATATTGACACTCGACAGTGACATCTACCGGCCGACTGAACGTGGTGCAGCTATGGGCTGGTTTCTGACAGGAACACTTATAGGTCCTGCCTTTGGTCCGTTCCTGGGTGGTATCATCGTGACATATTCGTCCTGGAGAAGTATCTTCTGGCTTCAAACAGGGCTGGCCGCCGCCGGAGCCTTGGGTGTGTATTTTATTGTCTTTGAAACAGCTCATCACCTTAAGGTTGATGATCTGAAAACACTGCCGCGCAAGAAAAGAACCCTCAAGATACTGGGCATGATCAGCCCGATACGAGTACTGCGACTGTTCCGGTACTGGAACCTTGCCCTGGTGGCTACCGGCAGCGCGTCCCTGACATGGAACATGTACAGCCTCCTAACACCAATTCGCTATGTTCTGAATCCTCGCTTTAATCTTGAGTCGCCACTGCTGTCTGGTCTTTTCTACCTGGCGCCCGGCTTTGGTTATCTGGCAGGGACATTTGTAGGCGGCCACTGGGCCGACTACACAGTGAAGCGATGGATCAAGAAGCGTGGAGGTGTTCGCATACCCGAAGACCGACTCCGATCGACGTTGCCTTTCATGGGTGCAATCATACCAGGAAGCATGTTGGTATACGGGTGGACTGTGGACCAAGAGGCCGGGGGCATCCCAGTACCAGTCATCGCCATGTTTGTACAGGGCGTTGCGCAGTTGTTCTGCTTTCCCTCGTATAACACATATTGTCTTGATGTGATGCCGGGCCAAGGAGCAGAGGTGGCTGCTACGAATTTCTTTGCCAGATATCTGGTTGGATGCCTGGCGTCAGCTGTAGTCCTACCAGCAGTCGAGGTAATTGGTATTGGCTGGTTCACGACTATCTCAGCGATGTTTCTGTTTCTCTCAGCTCTAGCGACTATGGCTACTGTGCAATGGGGAAAGGGCTGGAGAGAACGAACTCAGGCAAAAATCGAGGAGTCGAAGGAGAAAGAGGTCGCAATGGAGGAACATAAGGATACGGGACTACAGGTCGAAGCAAAGGCAACCAGGACTTGAGTGAAGTTGTTCAGAACAACAGTGCCGAGACATTGGCTGCGAGACGTGTTGTAGGATGATTATTGGCACATTATTTGATAGTGACGAGTCACGAGGACATAATTGGCTAAGATAGCAATGTACACTTTTCGAGATGGTTCGTGTATAAGTAATGATTGGTTCTGTCCATGCGGAACAATTTGACTTGACACAACATGTCTTCTCGAGATGAGGCATGCATTTGGGATATTAACCTCGGACATACAGATGTGATACGACACCCTCTGTAGTCTGTACTCGTACGGAAATACCAGCAGGATTGTTTACTTTCCATCCGTCATTATTTTAACTGAACGGGGTAAGGAAATCTCGACGCCAGACCCAGCCCAGCCCCAGCCTTACGAGTTACACACCATGGCTACTTGCAGGAGCACTAGCCTGCCTTAGTTATCACGGCTGAATGCTGACAGAAAGCGCCATAAGTTATTTGTTGCCGTGAGCCGTAACCGATGGGATCGAAGTTGAAGTATCCTATCCCTACGAGTGCGCTGCTTTTTGCATATTTTGTGGCGTCCTCGAAAGAGGAATGGCGCTGGTGGAAAGATAACGCATCTTGGATAATCATTAGGGTTAGACTCAGACTTAGACTTAGGCTTAGGCTCAGCCGCTCAAGCTCAGGCCTAGGGTTAGGCTCGGAGTGTTTCCTTTTCGCTTGGTGTTAATGTTAGACGATAGTGTTAGTACCACGTTAGCCTCAACGCTCTTTTAGCTAGGGGGTTGACGTTTTGTTGCTTGGGATGATAGGCACATCAGCTACTTAAAAGAGCATCAGTAGAGCTACGATACACGAACGCGGGTGAAACATAAGAGAGGAAAAGAGAAGGAAAAAAGACACTTCCTATGGCCTGCTCGCGTCGAGTTTCCAGCGTGTGACTGTGACGGAACGCAACATGATAAGTAGAGTCGCACAAGCTGGAGTATTTTGGGGGTGAGATTTTAGACGGGAAAACCGGCCCGGAAATCAATCTCAATCTCAATCTCTCGGTCTCTTTTTTTGGTTGAGATGTAATGAGATGAGATGAGAGATTGGTTCCTGGTGCTGATGCATGCAGGCCAGTAAAGCAAGGTCAATTGACTTTCCTTTCCCTAGCATTGACATTCTCATAGCATTACGGATACGGATAGCATAACCAAGGAAAAGAGACTTGATGAGACCCGCTCCATGGGGGGAAATGAAATGACTTTGGAGATTACTTGCCCTCAAAAGTGATGCCCTCTAGTATAAATCGGGAGTGGTCAATTCATTCTCAAAGTACGGAGTAGGTAATTAATGATTAGATCACATCGGAACGGCACGACAGTACGGAGTACGTACTTGGAGAATACGAACGATATCGGGTTTTCCCACCCCCAGTTTTCGATCAGATCTTAGCAGAGCCTACGGATAATAAAGAACCATAAAGTAAAGGAAAACATAGTGGATACATCATACACGACAATGTTCTTCTTGCAAAACGACATCAGTAGTATAATCAGTTATATATCCGTAGACTCGACGAACAAGAACAACGTTGTCTCTGGCGTCGAGAGCACTGGATATGCGATTGGATTGACCTGGCCTGTCACTAACGACACGTTACACGTACGAAACACAAGACACGCGGGGGACCATCGCTGAGCTAGGAGGGCGTTGACGGCATCTCCAAATAGCATCATTACCAACGGCAATGCCATAGTTTGTCACTGGAGCCTCCAACTCCATTGACCAAAGTTCAAAGTTGAAAAAGTCAATGAGCTAATTAACCGAGTCATCAATTGCCATGTGTAATCTGCATTGTCAGCAAAGGAAGTCATATCCGTAATACATCCAATTCCAACTCAGAGCTGGCAGGGCTGGGCTGGGCCACTTACTGGCTGCAGATTTGGCTTCGCTTTCTTCGCATTCTTCCTTGAAATGCTTGGCCCCTGGCTCGCACGAAAACGCCCAGTTCGTGTCAGCCAGTGAGTAATCCTTGGCAATATCCCCGTTAATTATGGACCTGCAAGTCTTCCTTTCTTCCTCTGGGACATGACAGGATAGGACAGAACAGAACAGAGAAAGAGCACATAGAGTATAAATGGTTAATTATTATTGTCAAGCGTCTTAGGATCATGTCGGCCACCCCCTGTCTTCGTTTAGAGGCCCCATCGCGATATCACCCAGGTCAAAAGCTTGATCAAGAAACAAGTCAACTCCAACGGTTGGTTATCAGTATCGCCATTGACCAAGAGCTGGCAAGCTCGTGTCACTAACCTTGACTCAACGATACTGAGCTTGGTCCAGGGTAGAATGTTAATATAATCAGCCATAATGTATATAAATATAAGTAGAAATCGGCATCGGCATCGGCATCGACATCCATTGAAGTGTTGGTGCACTATAAATCATGGCCCTAGGCAAGGCCGGTAGTGGGGGTCAAACGGTCAACAATACTATTCTTGTACTCAGTACGACATCCGATGTTGGAACAAATGCAGGGCTTTTCCGACTAACGTTACAGAACGAAGCATTGGCATATATCTCCAACAGTTCTCCATCATCGAGTCCGCTGCCATTGACCATGGACAACGGACAATGGACCACAGTAAACTTCTAGTTAGGGGACGCGTGGCGGGAGAGGACCCTCTCCTTGTTTGACGCAAGCAACCGAGTACGTGGAGGCAAGATTAATAACGGGCCCTTTGCCCTTTGCAAGATGAGATGTCGGGCTGGACTTCAGCTGTCTGTCCTATGTACCGCAATAAATATTCCTTAATTTTCGCTGACATTTTTGGTCGATTCGGGAACTTGTTGAGCTTCTTTTCGCGTAACCATTCAGATGGGATGAGAACAAGCATAAAAGAGTAGGGTCGCTTCGGATACTCATTTGCCAAGTGTATTGAGTTCCAGGCCATGTACGCTTCTGATCGGTCACCTGGAGATCAGAATCCCAAGTGACAGTCAGCGACAACGACAACCGCCAGACACACTTACGAATACTGTACCAGGTTTGATAAACTGATACTCACTGATGCCTCGGGATGTGGCTATGCGACCGGCTCAAACCGCCCTCGTTGGCTGCGTGGCAATTGAAAAGCGGCTCAACCCCATGACATGATCTGTCTTAATTCTCAGATGTCGATCAGGAGTTACAGGACGCGCAACCAGTGATGTTTGATGTTTGAACTCTGAACTCTGAACTCTGAACTCTGAACTCTGGACGGTGAAAGCCTCCAGCTTCCGTCTTGAAGCCACGAGAGCCTCTCCCTTCTCTAACAATAGGGGCGGACTAGCCCTCGCTCCAAAGACCCACGGACCCCTTACCCATGTCCATGGATGATGGAGGCCCCCCTGTGCGCTTTTTAGCCGCTCTGATTGGGGGTTGTATGAGCGACAGAAGTTGCTGGGATATGGCGCAATGCAAGGAAACGCAAGGGCTGAGGTCCAGGGCTTCGAGGGCTTCAAGGCGTAACTGGTAACGATTGTCAGTGATTATCCTCTGCGCAGAATGCGGAACAGCTAGTGAAGCCTCAAAACATCGTCGCCACGGCAGCGGCAGTGGCAGCTGCAGCTACAACGACAACAGAAGCGGCCGATGTATCAAGACGATGCGATAATATGGTGATGGCATTGTCCATGGCCTATGGGCTACAGTACAAGTCACGCTCCTGTCTACTCCAGCTGTTGATTGTTTACGGACCTGGACCTGCAGCGGGTTAATTGATTGATTGATTAAAGGCCATTCGATATGTCAGATCAGCGGGGACTCGGCCGGGCCCAGATCCAACAGCCAATTGCGACTGATGATAGCCCCGAAAGCTTTTGAGATTCGTCCTTTGGTTGGATACAAGATGCGAATGGTGTTGCTCATTGGAGGTTGGCCCCCCACCCCGGCAACACCGTCTTATCGAGCGTTGAGAAGACAAGTCCTCAGGCCCTGTCGCTACATTCATCTGGTAAGGTTCCGGTGATAAAACAGAAACGAGGGTGGTAATTTAGCGAGATATGGAGACCATTTCTTACTATATTTGGAAGTCCCGGGACCCGTTCTCCAAAGCTTGTATGGAGCCCTTGTTCCAATCCGAATTCTTCGGTTTTCCAAATGCCTGACCTTGACCCAAGATCCCTTGTCAGCAGTAAAGACTTGGCTTTGGGATGGGATGTACAAGCTTCCCTGTAGCAGAGGCTTAGTCGGAAAGTAGATGAGGACGGGAGGAAGAAGACACCTTGCTATACCTTGACATAGTACAAGTACAGTGCAGGTACTGGCTTTGGAAGCGTGCACGCACACACGCACACGCACATATCACCATATCTCGAATACTTGACTCGATCGGTATTTGTGACCACCAAAGTATCAGTGAGTTTGACACTCCATACTTCCATTTGTACCAACGGCTTTTTTCTTCTTCTTGGCTTTTCTTAGCACAACACAGCCACTGAAGTCACCTACTTGTGAGGCGCCAAGCGTTGCTGTCTAAAAACAACATCTATCTATTGCCTTTCCATCACCTACCTCAGGTATTATGTGTTTATCCAGTCCGGGCTCCCCGGGGCAGCGAGGTAAGGCTAACGTTACTGTTACTGGCTGCCTCGGTGACGGACCGCCACCAGATGCAGGTCTAAATTGGAGTGTCAGAGTATGGACCTGCTGCAGCAATGAATGGAACAGGCTGAACACTGGAGCAATTAGTTAGGTTAGTAGTTACCTAGTACCTTAGTAGTAGTTAGTGAGCACAGTACTCTGTATAGTACATTGATTTCTCTCCTGCTTCCCATCGATTCCTGGTCGTCCTGGCCGTCAATCAGTTGAGTGAAATCTCATAGACAGACTATCACAGCTAGGTAATGGAATCAACCCCTAAAAGCTCCCTCCCTAATAAGTTCCGTTCCATACCTAACTACTACCGTTCCATAACTACTAAGATATTAGTGGTATGGACCCCTTCCGCTGCCCACGTCCATTCCCTCCCAGTCCTCTTAGCGGGACCCGTAGCGGGCCCCCTTCTATGAATGGCTGCTGTTTGTACCGGCTGGCTAGGTGTACTGTGCCATCCACCACTGGTGTGAGTAGATACCTGTAGCTCTTTCCTCCCTCGTCCCCCTATCGCCCTTTTGCAAGGTACCGCCCGGATAGCAACCTACCCCTTGTTCTTGTCTGGGTGTCCCATAATCCCCTGCCTCTCGCCGCTCCTCTCCTGGCCTGGTCTGGTCTGGCTTCGCTATTTTTTTCTCCCTCCTATCTCTTCTTGGTCAACTTCTTTTCTCTTATTCTCCCCCCTCCTTTCTTCTCCCCCCTCGTCAACGCCTTCGCTCACCAACTCGGTCTGTTCATTGCTTTCCGCGACGCCATCTTCCATCTCGCGAACTCGACAAGCACCGGCACCCCCCCGTGTTGCGTGTTGCTTCAACCGTTTGCGTTGCTTTGCGTTGGTCGCGTCGCCTCCTTTTTTATATCTCACTGCCGCTGTCTCATGACAGGGTAGTATCTTCATCCGCTTAAATCCTGCTATTCAACGGATAACATCTTTCGTCGACTTCCCTGACAGGATATCTCGACGACTACCAGTCGTTACTTTCAATTAATCTACTCGGCCAGATCCGTCTGCACCCGCAACCTATTGAACAAGCTCTTCGATGTCGGCCGGCTCCACTACGACTCTCGCTCCGTATACATCTTAATTTTCGCATCCGCTTCTCTCGTCTGCCAAATTTATTCATTATACGCATCCGCCGCATAAATTCCTGCGAATTGACATATTACCGGCCTAAGCGTGCCAGACTCTTCAGCCTAGTATGCAGCGGCGCCATTCAGTCAGCATGGCCGCACGCAACAATAACAACAACAACACGCGAGGCCCCTCGGGCAGGAAGATTGATCCTCTTCTTCCCTACTCCATCATTTCCGAAAAGACCAAGAAGCCCAGACTCCGTATGCGTTCGCTTTTGGGTCCCTGCCATGCTAGGCGAGTATTCACCTGGCTTCTCGGCATCGCCTTCCTCATCACCCTGATTTTTGTCAAATCAAGAAATTCTGGCTACAGTGTCGGAAAGATGAGCGGAACCAAGACGCAGCAGCCCATTGCGACTGCGACTGTCGTAAACACGCAGGGCGAGACTGTTGTCATGCTCACTGGTGACATGGACGGCGATGGAAAGCTCGAGACCGTTCCCGAGGGTGAATACGTTACTGCCGACGAAAAGAAGGAAGTTGCTGCGCAGCTAGAGAAGATGCCTTGGTTGAGATTTCCTCAGTATGTTGGTTGAACATGTTTTACGAGTGCTTTGTTGCTAACCACCTCCCTAGCCTTGACGGTTACTTTCATGGTCTTCGCACCATTGTCAGCAAGGCTGCTCTTATCCCCGAATATCCTAACATCACCGACAAGGCTCCTCTGCCTTCTCCTGCCATGAACGACCATGTACCAAAGCCTCAGAAGTACATCCCTTACGATCATGGAAGCGATGTCAAGACCTGTTATCTCGACTCCAAAAAGACAGTAGCTGCCCCGGATTTGTATGCCTACAACGGTGTACCTCAGCATATGCCTGACCCTGCGATCGGCTCTTACAAGCTACTTGGCATCAGGGATGACGTTTGCTTCGATCGTTTCAGTCGGTACGGACCTTACGGCCTGGGCTATAGTAGAGCTCAGGGCGGTCTTGATACTGGATTGGATACTGAGGCTTCTGGAAACGAGGCTGTCTGGGCCGAAACCGGACAAATTAACTATATTGACGTGAACTGGGCCGACGCGCAGGAGGATTGCTACAAGACGAACAAGCACCGATTCAAGCAGGTCAACCCTGAAACCGGAGAGCTCACAGAGACGAGTGAAAAGAAGGGACGTATTGCTGTCGTCGTCCGTACATACACTGGTTTCAAGTGGACCGAGCTCGCCGTCCTGAACTTCCGTGCTCTTATCAGTGAGCTTTCTCTGCGATCAGGAGGTGAATATCAGGTTCATTTCCTGATGCAGGTACGAAACATTGATGAGCCCATTTGGTCCGACAAGTGGACTGTCCAGCGAATCATCAATGACAACGTTCCTGCCGAGTTTCGAGGCCTGGTTTCGCTCTGGAGCGAGCCTCAAATGAGACTTATGTACCCCGGCCGGTTTGGTGAGACGATCGAGAACCCCAGCGGTGCTGATATCCATGGCATCTACCGTAGCGCCCATTTCCCTCTCCAGGTTTTCGCTATGCAACACCCCGAGTACGAACATTACTGGAACTGGGAGATGGATATGCGATACCTGGGCAGCTACTACGAGTTCTTCGACCGTCTTGGCAAGTGGGGTAAGGAGCAGCCTCGAACCCTTCTCTGGGAGCGCGGTGCTCGTTACTACATTCCTCCTTACCACGGCACCTGGGAGAACTTTTCTCAAACTGTTCAGCATGACACTCTTGCCTCTGGTCGCGCTCCCATTTTTGGACCCGTGTCCTTCGAGGGCAAGGAGCAGCTCCGACACGACGAATGGGGTCAGACTATGATGCCTCCTTCTTGCAGCTCTGACGCTCCCGATCGATCTAAGTGTGGTGTAGGCGAGGATGCTGATCTTATCACTCTCAACCCACTGTTCGATACCGAACAATCGGGCTGGGTGTTCTCGGATGACGCTACAGGCTACAAGGCCCCTCCTCCTCGACGATGCGCCATCATTACAGCCTCGCGTCTCAGCCGACGTCTGCTAATGTCTATGCATGAGGAAGTCTGGCGATACCACCACACTATGTTCTCCGAGATGTTCCCACCTACCGTTGCTCTGCACCATGGTATGAAGGGAGTCTACGCCCCTCATCCCATCTTCCTGGATCGTGCTTGGTACCCTTTCAGCGAGATCGACGCTGCCTTCAACGCTGGTCGTGACCACTCAACATCCGGTCCTGGCAGTCCCTTTGACCAGCTCAATGAGCACAACCACAAGGGCACCAGTTGGTACTTTAACAGCGAGTTTGCTGGTCTCATGTGGCGTCGATGGTTGGGCTACGCTCAGTTGGACGGTCGTGGAAAGCATGGTGGTCGTGCTAATGAGGGACGAGAGCGAGGTGGCAAGACAGAAGAGATGAGCGATAAGAGCAGCGGCCGGTTATGTCTACGTGGTATGCTGGTGCATCCCATCAAGTTCGAGCATCCTTCGGAGAAGCCCTAAGCTGATGAGGCGCAAATTAAAGCCTTCCTCTCTACCTCTTCTTCCTCAATCCTGTCGCCGTCATGAGCAAGGCGACACTACTTGTCCTCCCTCGACTAGCGCACACGACAAACATCACCACGCACATATGCATTTGCAGGAGCATCTGTACAAATATACCCATCCACGACTACTGAATGCCAAGACATCCGATTACAACACCAAAACCAGCATCATGATGAGAGGGGAGATGACGGAATTCTATGCATCTATTTTATCCAGTTCCTTCCTTCGCCCGGCTTGCATTCCGTTTACGGACCCAGCGAACTTGTCCTAGACCTACCTAGACACTTTATTATTTGAACCTTATCATACCTACCTTACTTATTTTTTCGCTTCCACCGTTTGGGTATTCTGTCTCAAGCCAGGGGTTTCCAGAACGCCGTCCTAATCCATCACTCATGTCACGGCTGGGGATCGCCTCAGGTTGTCTGCATCTCTCAACTCCGAACCCCCCCCCCTGTTGTTACCTCATGCTTATTCTCTGTTCTCTTTCTTATTTTATTTTTACCAATCAATCAATGTGGCATGTTGTTTCTGGGTATGAGGCATCCAGAGCCAGGCGCGGAAGGGTTTTTCGCTCATGCTACGGGGCGTTCTGGACCGGGGGATTTTGGGAAGACATATGTGACCATGGTGCGACTTGTATAGATTCGATAGTATTAGAGGTGGCAGTTTGGTGTGTTTTTATTAACTAGGTTTGAAACCAATATTTCAGCCATGCCTATTTATGCTGCTTCATTTGTGACTTGTTAGCTTTACCCTGTCTTTGAGGAACCGACAACGGCTATCTGTCTACTGTTTGACGTAAGCTTGAGAGATCCTCCAACGTCGGCGGTGAATATGTTCTGATTCTGCTGATCTCTTGAGTAAATGTCTTCGAACACTGGCCAAAACCCGACGCACTGATGACAAGAGTGAGGTTTGTGGCAGCAGCAGACGCTGTCAAGGCCGTATCATGTTGACTAAAAGGCCGAAAGCTCAAGTACCTACATTTGTCACACACGCATATGGTCCATTGTTCACTGGGAAAGAAGTGGGTTTACGCTGGGTTCCGAGTTGGACTTCAAATCTTGCCAAGGGCCAATGTTATAAGTGCATATGGAGTAATGATTCCAACTTGGGGATCCTACAAGCTCATCTACAGGAAGTGGTGAAAGTATGGATATACATTACTTGATGACCAACAAGTTCAATCACAGGCTTAGCCAAGTTTGATACATGACCTTGTCCTTTAGGCATGTCACTTCACCACCAACACTAAACAAGCACACGGAATTCAAATACGTTCACTATCATTCAATAGGCCCTCTTCTCAGCTATCCTGCTAATCATTCGCTTAGAAGACGCCTTCATCCAACCAACCCGTTGAATTCAATCTACGCACAGCCCTGCCCAGGAAAATTCAGGGTAGTATATGATAAACGCCCCAAAGATAAAGACCTAGGGCCGACCCCTCAACGTGGCATAAAGCAATATATGCGATTCAATCGCATCAATTTCAAAGGTTCCTAGCCCATCCCATCCTCATTCGTTCAGCCAAGAAACTGGACCACAACGTTCGAGCCCAAGAGGAATCGAAGGGCGCGTTTCATCGGGTTCAACGGTGCAACAAAGCTGGCAGCAAAAACTGGATGTAGCAGGTGCAGCATAGAGAATTAAAAATCATCCCTGAGGTATCAAACTCCTCAACGCCATCAACGCGCAAAAACTCCAACGCCGTCACACCCAGGAATGCAGAAAAGCGAGCTATACGAAGGCTCCTGAAGGCAAAACCCTGTCCCCAAAATGGCAGAGCATTGCCTGCCTCTGTTGTTGTGTTGTTTCTGATGAAGTATTGCCAGAAATCCATGTCGGTGAGCCAGCTTGGCAACCATGCACCGACTCATGTATCGAGACATCCTACTTCCTCAGGACGGCGTCGTAGATACTCACAAGAGCAGTGATGGCAGTTCCAGTCAGAATGCCCTTGTAACCACCATAGATGGCGTTCTCGAGGCGCATTATGGAGAGATCACTCAAAAGTCCACCAAAGTTGACGCCTTGGCCGTAAACAACAAATGAAATCAGGGCCTTGACGATACTGAAGGTCAAAGGGTCAACCACATAGTCGGCATGGTTGGGGCGAGGGCGGCTACGCGAAGGGGGAGGGCTCGTCGCGCTGAGGTTGAAAAAGTATCCAACAAACGAAGGAACAATGACGCTGGTCAAGATCCAAGTCAGAGCAGGGGACCAGAAGCTGGAAGACAGAAGCAAGAACATGTCGGGAACATAGACAGGGTAGTCTGGTGTACCGAGAGCGCTGACGGCGGGGATCGTGAACGCGAAAACGTTGCCCAGAACTTCGCGACGAACGTTCCACAACTCCCAGCCTGCGACGCAGAAGAGAATGCTGGTAACAGTGCTGAGAGTATCGCGAGTGGCATGGCTGACTTCGGTGATACCACTTTCTTCATACATCGACGAGACACGCTGACGCACGATACTAGTTGAGCGATCAACAGCGAGAGCTACGTCGGCAGGTGTGGCAGGCAACGCGATGCGCGACGCGGCCTGAGAAAGGCCACGGCCCGGCGTCTCGACAAGCGCAGTCGATGCAGCCAAGGGAGAAGGAATGTCGTCGCTCCTATCGTGGGAAAGTATTTGTTAGCTGACTTTCCAATATTCGCGACGCGCAGCGCATCCTCTCAATCATCTCGGCATCTCAATAAACACGAGTAAAAGACGCGCTGCTGCATAGAATATGGGACGATGCTGGGTAACTCACTCAGGCGTGACTTCTTCCACAGCCTTGGAAGGTCGTCGTCGGACTACCTTTAGGACTTCTTCGCGGACCATCTCCCTTTTCACTGGAGATCCTTGGGCCTTGGAGCGGCTGTTGAAGTAACCAGCGAGGTCGGGGTTGGCAAGGAAGCGCGACGAGTTTTCGGTGAGATAGTTGTCGAGGGCCATACCAAGATCGTCTTTCTTGTATCCATCAATCCTATGTCGATTCATGTCAGCGTGAGGGGTTCATGATCGTATGGAGGGGTCGTGGTGACATGACGGCGCGTCGCGAAAAGCGCTTAAACACGACGGGCGCAAACAATGAGAACAAAGAAAGACAATGCGCCCAGAGTTGTTGCGCTTGCGAACAACGTGCAGACAAACATACGCAGACGGGAGAGACTTACTCTGACAGACCGACAGACTCAGCAAGGGTCTCAAGTTCGCCCTTCTTCTTGGTCTTCAACCACGAGTTGTATCGGAGGGTGGACATGTTGGATAGGTAGATCGAGTTCAGTCGCGCGAAGCGGGAATAATGTTGGATATTGAATTAGGTAGAGTGTGGCAGTCAAGCCCGGGACTCAGAAAGAAATTTATAAAGATTTAGAAATTGGTAACACGCGACGGGAGAGTGCGCAAATGAAGCTGGTGATGGTGACGAAGAAGAGAGGTACAGGCTTGTTTGTGGTGTTGGGGGGGTCCTAGGTTGGATGGGGGATGAAGAAGGAGTGGAGGGCCCGCGTTAGGTGGGCCCTGTTCTGGGGCTTGTTTATTGTTTTTTTTTTCTCTCCCGTGGCTTCCTTCGATCTGGTGCTTGAGTCCCCGCAGATCCTTTTAGTGAGAGTGGATGACAGTGCCTAGGCTTAGTACCCAATGAGAGTGCACGATTTAGAGCTTGCAGGAAGAGCTTAGGCACTGGTTCACTGAAGCTTGCATACGTACGTATCTATGCTAGAAGTCAAACGACCTCACACTGAGCAGTCGAAATATGTAGAATATTAGGCAAAACACCAGCTCAATCGGTACGCAAACTGTCCAAGTATTGATGTCACCTTTTCGAGAGCTGCTTGACGATGATAGATAGGTAGCTTTTGATTAATGGAAGCATCTAATTAGTTGATTAACTTGGACTTTCCTTCCTGATAAATTAATCACCGATGCCATGAGCTGAACAGACTGCCGTATTTCTCATCGATTATCAATTTCAAGAGCTGTTCTAGATCCAATCTACAAATCTCTCGTGTCCTCTCTTAACCAATCTCACTGGCACATCCTCGTTTATCTTCAGTGTCAACATCGAGGTCGCACCTATAATTCTCTCCCGGCTCACGCTCTGAGCTTTGGTGTAGATGCTGCGTTTCTCTTCGCTGTCCATTCTCTCAAGCTCGTCGTCGCTCGCCCACTCGTCAACAGCCAACTCCAAGCTGTATTCTCGGAAAATCACCGCGAGTGCGGCGATGATTTCCACCTGCGCAATTCGACGGCCAAGACACGACCTGGGTCCATCGCTAAAAGGTATGTAAGAGCCTCTTTCTGGCCTGAAGAGCTGTGCGCTTGTGTCGGGGCCCCTGTATCCACCAAGGTCTTCATTCTCAGGGCTGGTGGTCTCCGACTCTGTTGATAATGCTGTCTTCCGGTACCATCGCTCCGGGACCCAGTCGTTGACGTCGTCTTCGCCGGCGTGGAGTTGACTGGGTCGCCCAGGCCAATATCGCGGGTTCCGATGAACTGACACAGCGACCAATGAGACAATCGTGTTCCTAGGGATCAAATGACTCTTGCCATCGATAGAAATCGTCTGGTCTTGATATGCAGGAACCTTCTTGGGGATTTCCACAACTGCGGGTGTCATCCTAAGAGTCTCATTCATACAAGCTCCCAGCATGCTGGCCATCATGGGATTGATCAAGGTGTCGTAATCCCATACGCTCGGGTCTTTACCCTCAAAGATCTTGTCAATGTCCTCTTGCAGCCTTCTCTGCGATCCTGGGTTATTTGCCAGTTCCAGTAAGATAAAGTGTATCGCGTTAGCTGTGGTCTCATGTCCAGCGACGAGCATAATGAAGGCATTTCCCCGGATCTCGTCTTGTGACAGCATTCCCTTCTTGGGCTCGGCTTGCTCGACACGGTCTGTCCCGCTCCCGTAGCTGGACCGTACTAGTTGGCCCATGAGGTCCATGCCGTCGATACGTTCGCCTGCACGGGCTTCCACGATCTTTTCATCAATGAGTTCTTGCATATACTTGCCAAAATCCTCATGAGATTCCGCTGCTAGTTGAGTTTTCTTGAACGGCACGAGTTCTACTCTTTGTTAGCATCCATCATGCCAACACTTCTTCAGACCAGACTTACTGAGAACCCAGCGAGGTACAAGTAACAGCATAAGAATGTGCTCCAAGACAGTCGCGATGGTGTCCACAAAGCTCATTTTGTGGCCGGCAGTAGGTTTCAGAGATCCATACTTGGCCATTTTCGGGTCAGCTTTCGGGGGTAAGGCTTCACCTGGCCACAGCAAGTTGAGTCCGAAACCAACGTAGGCAATGATATTGAGGGCCAGTCTCATTGTGTCCCCGTCGAGTGTATCGATGGTACCACTATCTTCCTCATTTGGCCCCATCCACGTCTTGACCAACCCTTGAGCCTGTTGAATGGCTTCCCGAAAAACGAGGGCAGCATTCTTCTCGTTGAATGACGCAGATGTGACTTTTCTATGCATCTTCCAAATTGCACCCTCGGATGCCAAGACATTGTCGCCAAACTGCCGTAGGATCTCGTAGGTTTCTACCCACTTGGGGAAATGCTCCCGCCTGGAGGTGACTTGATGAACAGCCTCAGCATTGCAGACCATCATGAAGATCATTTTAGGTGAGACGATAAGGAATACATCGCCATGACGCGCAAACGCATCATGGCGTGTACGGTATGAGAAGCCGGGCGTGCATACTCTAGTGATTCAACGTGTCAGTAATGCTCCAACCCGTGGATAGTTTTACATACTCCAGCCATCGGTCCCACAATGGTTTAGGAAGCAATCTAACTATTGGAATCCATGCTTTATACGTTAATATCCACGGTAAGAAGACCGGGGAGAAAGCTATGATGGCAGGTATTAGACACGAAGTATAAAACGGGGGAGGTCGACTTACGGGCAACAATGTAAGGTAACCCGCTCTTCTTTGCCGCCGCAATGTTTCCTTGCAGACCTGAAATATATGTATAAACCAAATACGTTAGAGCTGTGAGGCCGAGTAGAATGATGGTTTGCATTATGGCAATTGTTTGGTCAACCGAACATGAGGTTTAGGGTGGCCGTGTTTCAACGAGTCTCACCTGTAATGCTGCGCTCGACTCGGACGAAAACTTAGCAATAACAGTTCGTGTGAGGTTGATAGAAGTTGAGGAGAATAAGATGTAGATTTCAAATGACCTGAGTTTTATTAGTGGCATAAAGAGAACCCATTTTTACTCCCTTTAGGCGCCTACGCTTTTGGTCAAACAAGCCGGGGGTGTTTGGCTGATACAACCAACGCCTCAGCTCGATTGGCAGTGGTGTTCTCAATGATATGATCTGGCTTCTATATTTGACAAGGTTCGGTGCTTTAACAAACTGGAGAGTTGCATCGGATAGAAGAACTGTGTCTTGTTTCCGATCTCAATCCATGTATGTTCATCCAGCATTGGCCATTAGTATTGGTTATCTATGATGAGTGCGATGAGAGAGGATATGGGATGGGCTAGCTTATTTTGTGTTGTTTTAGCGTTCCTAGAGACGAAATTCGCTTTCTGTTAGCCTGCATACGCAGGTAGTTGTGCACGTTAGACATGCAGTGTACACGGATATACAATTGGCTTATAGAAATTAGCATATGCATGTGCGCCTTATTATTCCTACTTTCTTATTACGAACGATGGTTTGCGGCAGTTCATATGCGTGAGGTTGTGATAAGGTTTGCAGCTAGAGGATACTCCAGGTCAGACAGGATATATAATACACCATCCAATGATAGCCTATGGCAAACCTAATTTTACGAGAATCAGATGCTCTACTGGGTCATATATAGTTGCCGCGACAATTGTGAGTAGGGTCATACGTTACTAAGCTACATACTCACCTCAGTTTTCAATACAACAGAACTTTCTCTTCCTCGAAAGGTGGTCAGGCAATAGGGGATTGTATATCCGTAAACGCAATTAGATAAGACCTTGAGGTTCTCGAATGCCTGCTGATATTGGATATTGATAAGCTGTTTATGATATCGTTTTGTACATCTCCGTTCCTGTACGGATAGACTCTGTGAGTTGACAAAGCTATGAACCAGACCAAATGCAACCTCTTCTCAGACCTCGGATTTTATCCGTACATCCAAAATCAACTCGAGCCTATCAATGGCTCACTCCTGTGCTAGGAGGCCTTAGAGCGTTGCAGGCCTTGGTAGCTAACTTCCGAAGATAATTCAATTTCAGTGAGTATGTAATTTCCCTTGACCTGGGCCCAAAATGAAGCTTCTAGAGTCCACAACGTCCTATCGGAACCGTTGAATCTATAAATTATGGTTTAAACGGTCGATACTTAGGTTCTTGGTCAACATTGAGCTCGAGAACTAACAAACGACCAAGAAAGCCCATCTTGAATGATGTAAATCACTATTTCTCCTTGAAACGTTGAAGATACGCGGGAGGCGCTGTAGACGTCGTCCCACCGGCTGGTTTCAGGGCCCCCGGCCTAGTTAGTCTAGGGGAGGGTCCTCAGGGAGCATCTAGGTTCCTAGCTCCACATGCCCCTACTGTGGCCCAGTCTATCCAATGACAGTAGAAGACTTCTAGACGTAGCTTCGAAATTCAGCGTCTAGACTGCCGTCAGAGTCAAGCTCCGTCTCCATTGACATTCCCACATCCGCGAAGAGGTAACCCGGTCGGATCGCTCAACACCGCGACTGACGTGACAAGGATTTGTCCTTATCCCAAAATTTTGGGATATTGATTATCTTATGGTTAAGGGATTCAAAATCACCCCTCGAATCCTGACTCCGAATTCCATTTCCCGTCAAATGTCTCGTTACTGAGATAAAATCGCTGTAAACTTGTTTTTCCCCTCAGGTTCCTTTTCCATTTCCTTTACCAAGCATGTGCTACTAAAGCTCGGTCGTCATCCATCACCCTTTTTATCGACCGCTTGTTTTAGTTCGCTGCCATATTGCAGCACCAGCGCCCAGAAGAACGAGCCCCCTTAAAAAACAACCACACGCTTACGACAAAAGAACGACTGTATACAAACAGTATCTTACTATCTTGATCTGTTTCTGGTTCCTTTCAGCATGTTACATTTGATTACAACAATTGAACAAACAACATCGTCCTTTTGCTCGCTTCTCGTGCTTGCCAATTAGTCTAGAGCTGGCCACCACGCCATTGTTAGAATCGAGCGCGAGACATCGTCATGACACAACATCGACCAGACGGGGACGTCTCGCCCATGGACGTTAGTCCTCGCTCTGCTTCGCCATCGAACCCTAGTATCCTACCTACTACTCCTGCCCCGAAACGAAACCCCGATACTCTCCAGCCTCCAGAGATCAAAGTCCCCGATGCCAGCGCAGAAACAAAACTGGCTTCGGAGGGGTTGACGTCAGGCCAAGAATCAGTCCCTACATCGGCCATACCGAAGTCGACACCCGCTTCCACCAAATCGCTCAAGGACCATGGCATCAATGACCGAGACTTCGGCCATGGAAACAATCAGGTCCCTTCCAGGCCCAGCATACAGCTCACATCTGCTGATGGCGTCGACACTCCTTCATTCGTACGAGGCAACTCATGGGAAGAACCAGAAACTCCAGGCAAATCCCGAGGTGCATCCCTGATGTCAAAACTCAAGGCGCTCACCAATAATGGTGGTATGCCAAATCCAAAGCCACCAACTGTCGCTGGACCTTCCAGCCAAGGCACCCAATCCAATATCAATTCTCCGACACGACCGAACCGCGGCGTTCCTGGAACTTTGACGGAGGAGGATACCGATGCTGATGCTGATGCCGAGGAGACAGCAGACGAAGGCAACCCTGAAGGCGATATGTCAAAAAAGAAGAAGCAAAAGAGGAGGATGCGTCGCACAAAGAAGGCCAACACCTCAACACCCGGAACACCCAGGAGATTTGCCAACGATACCGACGTATTGGATACCTTTGATCAAATGGTCAAGCGCCGTGCAAGTATGCCCGATACCACCACTGCCCCCGAATATGGCGTCTCAGAGGGTGAAGGCAGAGATCGCTTGGGAATGACCTTCCGCAGAGGTAACTCTTGGATGACCTCAAATTTACGCCATGCTAGTGAAGAGGCCGACGAGGTCGAGAGTCCCGGAACTGTTGGAAGACGAGTGGGCCATGTTCGCCGAATTACTGTGTTTGGTGGTGGAGGTGTATCGGATGGCGACGCCATGACCCCCAGACGTCCATTCTTCAACTCCGAACGGGCGTCAACGTTTGGTGCGCAGAAGTGGAAGCAAGTCAAAAATACCCTCAAATTACTACGTCAGAAGAAGGAAGATCGTTTTGATTACTTCAAGTCGGCGGAACTGATGGCTGAATTGCGGGCTGGCGCTCCCGCTGTTCTTATGCTTGCCAGTATGATTCAAAGGGACGAACACGGAAACAAGAGGATTCCAGTTCTCCTTGAACAGCTCAAGCTCCGTATTACGGACAGCTCTCCCATGGAGGATGACGATAGGGATCGACACTGGCTGTTTACCTTTGAGCTGGAATACGGAAGTGGACCTAGCAGAATGAGCTGGATCGTAATTCGGACACTTAGGGATATCTACAATCTGCATCTGCGGTACAAGTTTGCTATCAACAACGATAAGTACATGCCTGGACGTATGGACTTGGGTGGCCGACCAAAGCAGCCCAAATTCCCCTACTCAGCTTTCCCTTACCTTCGCGGTGCCCGTAAGAAGGGCGAGGAAACCGACGATGATGATCAAGCTAGCATTCGTGGTGAGGAGACGGCTGGCGAAGGCACAGCCACAGAGGCGGCAGGAGACGGCGTCTTCAGTGACCCTGAAACACTTGGTGGACTGCCACGAAGAAAGTCTCGCAATTTCTTGGGCATGGGCCCGAGACGCAGATCAACAGGCATAACCGATCCTGGTGAGATGTCAAACACTGAAGGCACTGGATTGCCTCTCGTAGATATGGCCACGAAGAGGCAGCGTTATGTTGACAAGCAGCGACGTATCCTGGAGAAGTATCTCTCTGAGATGATAAGATGGCTCATGTTCAGAGCTGATAGCAACAGACTTTGCCGTTTTCTGGAGCTCTCTGCCCTTGGCGTTCGCCTCGCTGCGGAAGGCAGCTACCACGGAAAGGAATGCTTTCTTCATATTCAACCTTCGAAGGGTCTCGATTTCCGTCGTGCTCTAGCGCCGGCCAAGGTCATTTCCCGACAGAGTAGGAAGTGGTTCCTGGTACGACAAAGCTACATCGTTTGTGTGGAGTCTCCGGAGAACATGAACATCTTCGATGTGTATCTTGTTGACTCGAAATTCAATATTTCGTCTAAGCGAAACAAAGTTAATGCAATTGGTTCTGGCGAGAAGAAGGAGATCGATTTGACTGTCGAGGCACCTCCCGACAAGCACCACACTATGACTTTGCGCTCATCCGAACGCAAGGTGCGCCTTTTCTCTCGAAATCAATCTGTCATGAAGCAGTTCGAGGACTCCATCAATCAGATGCTGAAGCAGACTCCATGGTATAACAACAAGCGATTCGACAGCTTTGCCCCGGTGCGAACCAATGTATTCGCCCAGTGGCTCGTCGATGGACGCGACTACATGTGGAATGTCTCTCGAGCTATCAACATGGCTCGCGATGTCATCTACATACATGATTGGTGGCTAAGTCCTGAACTCTACATGCGAAGACCGGCTGCTATCAGCCAAAAGTGGCGACTGGATAGACTTCTGCAAAAGAAGGCTAGGGAAGGTGTCAAAGTCTTCGTCATCGTTTACCGAAACGTCGAAGCGGCCGTTCCCATTGATTCGGAATATACCAAGTTCTCACTGCTGAACCTGCACCCTAACATTTTCGTGCAGAGATCTCCCAACCAATTTAAGAAGAACCAGTTCTTCTTTGCCCATCATGAGAAGATCTGCATCGTGGATCATGATGTAGCATTCGTTGGAGGAATTGATTTGTGTTTTGGGCGATGGGACTGTCCTCAGCACCCAATTGTCGATGATAGGCCGACTGGTTTCGAGATGTCCGAGACTCCCAAGGATGCAGAGCATTGTCAGCTGTTCCCTGGTAAAGACTACTCCAACCCTCGAGTACAGGACTTCTTCAGACTCAACGAGCCTTATGAAGAAATGTATGATCGAACCAAGGTGCCGCGAATGCCTTGGCATGATGTAGCTATGCAAGTTGTTGGTCAGCCAGCAAGAGACTTGACACGCCATTTCGTTCAACGTTGGAATTACCTGCGCCGAGGACGCAAGCCGACTCGTCCTTTGCCCTTCCTACTTCCTCCACCTGACGCCAACATGGATGAGCTGAAGGAGCTTGGGCTTACTGGCACTTGCGAAGTCCAAATTCTCCGATCCGCTTCCACATGGTCGCTAGGCATCGAACAGACTGAACACAGTATTCAGAATGCCTACATCAAGATGATTGAAGAATCGGATCATTTCGTATATATGGAGAACCAATTCTTTATCACCAGCACTGAAGCATATAACACCAGAATTGTGAATCGCATTGGTGATGCTCTAGTGGAGCGCATCATCCGGGCTCACAACAACGACGAGGACTGGCGATGTGTCATTGTTATTCCCTTGATGCCTGGTTTCCAAAACACAGTCGATGAGCAGGAGGGCACAAGTGTTCGCCTGATTCTGATGTGTCAATACGCAAGTATCTGTAGAGGCGAGCAGTCCATCTTCGGCCGACTTCGAGCCGCTGATATTGAGCCAGAGGAATACATCGGCTTCTTTTCGCTGCGTCAATGGGGCATCATGAGCAACGATGTCCTTGCTACTGAGCAGCTTTATATTCATGCCAAGACAATCGTTGTTGATGATCGTGTGGCCCTCATCGGATCTGCCAATATTAATGAGCGATCAATGCTCGGTAGCCGCGATTCCGAGTGCGCCGCGATTGTTCGAGATACTGATATGATCAACTCTACGATGGCCGGTAAGCCGTACAAGGTCGGCCGTTTCGCTCATACATTGCGACTTCGACTGATGCGAGAGCATCTTGGTCTGGATGTTGACGAAATCCTTGAGCAGGAGCGCCAAGCAGAGCTTGACCGCCAAGATTTCGAACAGGAGATGGACGATATCTATCGCGAGGAGACTGGCGGCCCCGGCAACTCCTCAAAGCTAGCGGTGCCGCGCCCTGAGGCTCAACGAGTTCCAAGCATCAACCACGATCTTGACGCTGCCGTTGAAATTGAGGAGAGCAGCAGCAGCAGCAGCAGTACCAACGGCAGCAATGCGGAAGCGGAAAGCACAGTCGTTATCGGAACAGAGAGCAAGGTGAAACATGAATTGGATGTAATTGGTTATGGCCCCGATCATTGGAAGACTGCCGAGAAGGCTGGCCTTGATGCAGGTCGCGACTCTGTCATCATCAATGGCCGGGAAGTTCTTGTCAGCGATATCGGCAACGAAGGCAAGGGAACTCTGCAATCGCCCAGGGAAGCGCAGCCGCACGCCCCTCAGCCTGATAACAGATACCTCGAGCCTGGAAACCAAAATGACGGTCTGCCCCCGATGCCAGCCTTGAACCGTCGCACAACAGATCAACTTGGCCTACCTCGTGCCGCCCAGCTACCAACTTTGCCAGTTAGTGACGATACTGATATTGGTGGTCCTCCCATGCACATCGACCCCGAAACAGGAAAGCCAGTCAGTGGTGGTTTCCACCCTATGGCGGCAGACATACAGCCTGCACATATCGACAAGGACTGCATGGTAGACCCAGTCAACCCCAACTTCATTGACGATATCTGGAACCTGGCTGCTGCAAACAATACTAAGCTCTACCGCCGAGTGTTCCGCTGCATGCCCGATTCCGAGGTAAGCACTTGGGCAGAATACCGCGAGTACACAAACTATAGCGAAAGGTTCCGCATGAGCATGGAAGGCGGCGGTCGATCCAGGGGTGAAGAGTCCGAGTTCCCCCCTACTTCAAGACATCGTAACTCGACTGCTGGTGGCGCAGGTGTCAGTGCACCCGGACCAGAGGTCATTGCCAAGGCTGCCGAGACAGAAGCGGAGAAGGCGGTTGGGAAAATGACAGAGAAACTGCCTGGACACCATGATGATGACAGGATTAGGATTGTCATTCCTGATGAGGGACATCGAGGTGTCGACGAGAAGCAAGCGATGAGAGATGGTGAAGCTATCACATCACGACCCAACACCGGATTGGAAAATGAGAGTGCTGTTGATACCCAGCACCCTGCTGAGGCACCATCTCCTGTGTACCCAGCTGGTGATACTCCATTTCCTGCCTTCGACGGAGGCAACAGTGGAAGATTCTTGGATCCACAGACAGGAACCAAAGATCGAGAGAGACGAACTACTTTCTCGACTCTCGAGAAACCATCCTCAAGGGATACTAATGCCCCTCCACCGGGACATATCGGCTCGGTAAAGCGCAGACGCCGCGCAACCACTAAGAACAGTCGACGCGGCTTCAGTATTGATGAGATGCCAACGCGAGGGCAAGCCGAAGATCTTTTGAACATGGTTCAAGGCAATATCGTACAATTTCCTTATGACTGGCTCCTCACAGAAGAGCAGAATGGAAACTGGGGATACCAAGTCGATGGCGTTGCCCCCTTGGCCATTTAGTAAGCGAAGACCTCTTGACATGAATGACAATAATACTAACAAACCATAGTAACTAGACTTACCCTTAACCCTTCTTTAGTAGCAGTGTCTTCACATGAGTTTGCAAAAGAGCATGGGAAGGAGTTGGTATGGTGATTTTGCTTATTATGAAAGAGAATAGCATTCGACGGGCGCGTCTGTCCAACACGCCAGACTCCTTTGTATGGTTCTGGCTTTGCTGCGTTATATATACATGTTTTACCCTGAAAGCCACGCATATATGCCTATATTACAATAATAATACAACTAGTCGCAAGCTTCAAACCTTTTCGCTCACCCAAATAGCACCACGACAGCCTGCCCGAATAACCCCAGTGAGGAGCCAATGCGGCTCTGCCTTCTGGGCATCATGCTTGACAGCATGGTCGAGATGCTCGAGCTCTTCGTCTCTGATCACCCTAAGCGTCTTAACCAGGTCCGACAATTCCTTACCGACCTCGTAACCTTCAGACTCCCACTGCGTGATCATTTCCAACAATGTCCGGATCTGTTCGTTGTAGTGGCCGCCAATTTCCGTCTCAACAGCTTCTGTGCAGGCCATGGCAGCTTTATAACCCATCATGGCGGTTGACCAACCCAGGCCAGTAGCCATGACAGACCACAAGGGATACATAGCAGTAGGTCTGACACGGTGCTTATGGATGAGGCTGTTGAAAGTTTTGAAGTGGCCATCTTCCTGGTCGTACATGTGCGCCATCAGCTTGCGAAGATGCGGCTTTGATCGGACAAGGATGGGCGATTGGGCGGCATAAATGAGGACTGCAGCAAGCTCACCAGCTTGATTAACACGGAGCTAACAGCACGTCAGTCGTCAATCGGAAGATATCGAGCTTGTTAACCCTACAGTAGAATCGAGGTAGTCACGCTGCTCCTGAGTGAGTGGTTTGAGCTTCTTGGGAGACTCGGGGGATGCGATGGTTGCATTTGGTACAGAGGCTTGGGCATTTGACGATGTCGCAATTGCACGAATGCATGGCCTATAAAGAATCTGCGTTGACCGCGCTCCAAGAAAGCGCATTGGCTTCATAAGAGCCCTAGGTGAAGCCATGTTTACTACAAAGTCTTTAGACTGCTTCTCGTCACTAGGTACTGTAGGTATTTGATAGCAATCAAAATCGAACCATAACCTATGACGGCGCCGTTATTCTCGGTGAGTATCTGCACCTCGGTGTGCTGACCGAAAGCGGACTAAAGCTTCCCCGAGGCACGCATCAGCCACACACGTGCTGCAGCATGACATAGCCTCGACCAATGAGATAGTGGATGGGAACTACGAACTTAGAACAGGTTATGAAAGTGCAAGTAACTCAGCTCTTTCACTTTTGGCTCAATCGCTTTTCCCCATCAACAATCCTCTTCTTCATCGCTCCGACCCCCCGCGCGCACGTTTGCGCATCTTCTTGAACCTATTTTCATCCCCAAATTCTTCGTTGCTTCCTTCAAAGACGCGTACAACGCGCCTACATCTCGCTATACGATCATCGACCCCCTAAACGCATTGCGCTTCACATCGTCGCGAGCCTGCGACACTTTCCGCCATGTCTGACGTTGACGATGAACTTCTCGCCCTTGCGGGTGGAGATTCAGATGATGAGGGCTCTGGCAACGAGAGCAGAGGTGCTTCAGCGTCGCCGCAGTCGGCGAAGAGGAGTGGTTCGAAGAAAGGGGCAGGAAATAAGTCGCGAAGGGACGGCGGCGATGATTCCGAGGAGGAAGGCGAGGCGTAAGTGCTTCCTCTACGTTGGTGACATACCAGTCTGGGGGCTGAGTGCAGGGTGAATCTCTTGATTTACTTTTTGCTTGCCCTTCGCTTTGATTGTTGGATCGATTGTTGCGTCGCTTGTCTCATGCTGACCTGTCGTGACTTAGCTCATCTGCGCCAGGAACGCCAAACTCACTCGAATCTGCCCCAATGGACGAATCTGACTCTGACGCCGAGCCATCCAGAGGCCGAGCTGCCGCCGCGGATGACCATGATGAAAACTACCCAGTCGACGGCCGATACAAGAGCCAGAAGGAAAAGGCACAGATCATGGCCTTGCCCGAACTCGAACGTGAACAGATCATTGCCGATCGCATGACTGAAATCGAGCGTCAGCGCCAAAACCGTCTGCTTCGCCAGATGGTCAGCCAGATGGAAGGTGACGAGCGCAAGCAGGTCAAGAAGAAGCGAAGTGCCGGGACTGCCGAGTTGGAAGATGGCGATCGAAAGGCCTCGCGACCGCGTACCGAGAACAAGAGAGAGACAGCCATGGATTCGCTGCGCCAAGCAAAGGCCGAAAAGGCACGCCGCCGAGAGGACCTCGAGAGACGAAAGGACAATTACTCTCCACGGGGAGGCGATTCAGGGGCCGATGACAGCGATGACGACTACAACCGTGGACGATCCCAAACACCCGAAGACGACGAGATTCGCGATCAACCACCAGCTGAGCTTCGTGATTACGATCGTGTTCGACTGGGCCGAAATGAATTCGCTCAGGTCTGTTTCACTCCTGGCTTTGAGCAAGCTATTACTGGATGCTACATCCGTATTGCTCTCGGCCCACATCCTGAAACCGGCATCGAGCAGTACCGTATGGCAGTTATAAGAGGTATGCTAATCATGACCTCTGATGATGTTCTAGTCGATATTGACATTATTCATAGGCTTCGCAACCAGCCGCCCATATGCTCTTCAGGGGCCTAATGGTTCGTTCGTCACAGACCAGTACGTTAAGGCGGCGCACGGAAAGGCAATCAAGGAGTTTCCTTTCATCGCCGCCTCAAGTGGAAAGTTCACAGATGTATGTTGATCGCAGTGGTAGTATTGAACTGGCGCTAACCCAACTCTAGAGCGAACTCAACCGATATAAGGTTACCTGCCACAATGAGGGTGTTACTCTTCCTACCAAGGCCTTTCTCATGGACAAGGTTGACGAGATTAACAAATTGATTAATCATTCATGGACCACCGAGGATATCAAGGCGCGTCTCACAAGGATAAAGGAACTGAAGCGACGATTCGATCCTGCTGAGCGAGAGCGTATCGCTCAGTTACTCGAAGAGGCAAGACAGCGTGGTGACGACGACAAGGCAGAAGAGCTTCAAGAGGAGCTTGACAACCTTGGCTCACAACGTTTGGCGTTCAGGACGAGCCTGGGACTATCAAAACACTCCGAGGCCCCCAAGGGCCAGACTGAGCAGGATCGACTGGCTGAGCGCAACCGAGAGAATCGCCGTTTAAATGCGGAAGCAGTGCGCAAAGCCCAGCTAAAGGAGAGGGCGAAGTCGAAGGATATCGAGGGAGCCTTGAAGCGTGGTGAGACGTACCAAGGCGACATGTCAAGGCGATTGAGGACCAAGGCCAAGTTTGTCCACGATGGCAATGACAAGGCGGATCAGCAGTCAGGAGGAAATGATAGCGGGACTAGTACCGGCACACTGAAGCCGTCAGCCAAGTCTCAGTTGGTATCTCATCTTGCAAAGCTGCAAGAGGAGAAGCATAATGAGAAGGGCATTCCGACTATCCATAAGCCGCTTATGGACGACGATGTGATTGGGTCACTGGATCTGGATATAGATGTTGAAATTTGAGAGGCACGAAAAGGGAGAAGAGGCAATGACACAGAAGCATCACGAGATGCGAATCGATTGCTTTTGATTTGATGTTTTTCATGCTACGGCTTTGGAGCAAAAGAATGCAGGGCAGGGCAGGGCGGTTTGCACTCATACCTTCGCAAACTTTTATCGAAGGTGACAATTATGTACTACTGGGTAGATTTTGGTAGACGAGCATTATAATTATGACGATTTTCATATTTTCAAAAGATGCAATATTGATACACAGCCTTTTCAGACGGGGGTTGCATGAAGATTCTGTAAGATCATGTCCAACCTCATAAAGACGGTTCTAGTTCTCTTGTTTCTAAGCGAGTTCTGTCATGTCTAGTATCATATAAGTCAGACGATGTGGTGCTCTAAATCGCAGGGTCGAGTCCGGCCATAGCCATCCATCATGACAACACGGCCTTCTTCACCGCTATCCCTCTACTGTTCCACTACCTCAGTATAAAACTCTTCGCCGGCAGATATGTTTCAAGCAAACAGGTGTCATAAAGGACCGCAAACTTAACAAGCTCAAGCGCAAAAAGATGTTCATCAGTACCGTTTCGCTTTCACCTCGCTGCATCTTCTCACTTGCCGGCAGTTGCATTCTCTATCGTTTATCTAACGTCTGGCGGTCTTTGAGAAAATCAAACTTACCCTGCCACCTCCTCAGAATGTGATATGCCACCATCCAGGATTGTGTGAGTAGGACGAATGCTAAAGTCTCGGCCTTGTTCTTTACTGTCTGGGTGAAGGCCAGCTTTGGTCTGATAAACTTGCCGTCCATCTCGTCCTCGAACTTCTCGCATATCTCTCGATACAGCCGAGGGTTATCGGTGATGACGCCATCAATAAGTGCCGGCCCCTCGCTGTTTGTGCGAGGGTGTCGTGGATGACCCAGGTTCTGGCGGATGCACCATTCCATTCGACGGGGCTCATTAACTGTCCATGTCATGAGCAGCTTGTCAGTCCGTTGAAGTTCGCGCAGAAAGAGTTTGCCCGCGGGACCAACAAGGGTCATTTGGTTCAGACTGAAGCCGAGGTTTGGGACTCGTAGAAAGTGGTGTGAGTAAAGGAGAGATATGCCTATGTGAGCGAGAGGATATGATGGGAGCTGGCTACGTGCGGCCTGCAAAAACGATGCCTATAGATTCATGTCAGTTACAAGTCCAAGTAAAATCCACAGGTGGGAGGTAGAGTGACACGACGAGGGGGCGTAAGCTTAGGAGAGCGACTCACGTTCCAGCATCCAAGGACAATCCGCTGATCCCATGGCACAGGCCCCTGAACGCTATCTAGGGCTCTCGCAATTGCAGCCATCAAGTCTGTTGGATCATTGTTAAGCTGGAGCACCTGCATTAGCTCCCGTCCAGCATCACATGTTTGAGTTGATATTGATGAAGCATACTTTAATATCTAAGACGACCCAAATCCTTTCTAGTTCGGGGTGAGTCAACCACTCTAGAAAGTCTTTAAGCCGCGGCATAGGCTCATAAGGCTCGGCTACTGTACGCAATGTACTAAGGTATTCCCATGAACATTCTGAAATATGATTGTCGACGCCAAAGCAGCGCTTGAGTGACGGATCCTAGCCACATGTCAGCCGAGACAAGTCATGATGGGGGTTTGCGGTATTGTGGTGTATGGCCAGGCTCAGCCTCAGGCTCAGCCTGGGGGTTCAACTTGCATGTGATATAACAGCAACACCATCAGCCGACAGGTGAATATCGGTCTCTATAGCGTGAGCACCTGCTTTGACAGCCCCTCGAAAAGCAGCCATGGTGTTTTCGGGCCAATCGAGCTTTGCGCCACGATGAGCAATCGCTTGCGGGAGCCGACGGGAGGGATCCCGGGGCGAGGGTTGAGCAACGGCCCATGGTGCTATCATATGACAAGAATATGAATTAGCGATGCTGGGAAGCTTAGAAGTTGGATGACTGTGTTGATGGTGCATTACCAGTTGGAATAGCCGCCGATTGGGTATCCTTGCCGACTAGGGACTGCCTCTCTGCCGCCATCGTCGTTGTAGTTATCGTTTGTGGATATTGATGAAGCCAAGGGACACGTCGGTCAGAGAAATAGCCCCGACCATTAATTGACCAGACACAAGCAAAGCGAGATGAAAAAACGTCTTTGTTGAGGAACCTCGTCTTCATCGATTCTAATAACAAGACACAGACATTCTTGCCCTGTCATGTGCCATGCATGTTGAATGGAGTTAATGGAGCCTTCTCCATTAGATCCGCCGCTAGAATGGAGTTTGGAGAGCACGACACCCCGAGCGGCAAGTAGACCCAGGGAAGGTACGACAGGCTGAAGTTGGAGACGTCATTCATACTTCAGGCCTGCCCCTGCACACTTTACTTTACTTTACCTACTATCCGTACGTACTGTACCTTAACGTCGGTCACCCCTCGACTGACCACCCCCCACGACCGACCACCACATACAAAAACGCGTGATGCCTGAGGCTCAAACGCTCTTTTTACTTATTAAAATCCCAAGTGGTCGGTCGTGGGGGGTGGCTAGTCGAGGGGTGACCGACGTTAGTACCTGGAGCATACCTAAGGTACCTACTAGGTACTAAGGTTGCGTTGTGATGAGCACAGCCACACTTGACTTGCACCAGCCTCACTTCATATCTGATCATATCATCTCAGCTACCTTATACGACTACTGGTAGCCAAAAAGACATAGCATTTTGAATCACACCTCTCAAGTATCTTTCTCGGCGGTCTTGACAACACCGAGGCAACACGCGCAAGACAGAACAAGTATATCATGCACACCCGGAATCGTTTCCCGAGGCACACTCACTGCAGGTGATGCATATCATAAAACAACCAATCTCATTCTTCTCTATAGACACCGGCAACGCAACCTGTCAGATCTGGCCGAGGCTTTTTTTTATGCTTGCTACTTCATCTCAGAATGCCGGAGTAACCGGTCAAGCATTCATAGGCTAAGTTGTTGCTGCAGACAGATACACGCTTGTACTTGAAATGCCAATGCGATGCAATGCGACTATGTTGTGATACTCACCCCCACGTCAGAAGACACCAAAGCGACACATCGGCCCAGAGCTGAAAGTTGGTGCCACGTCACGATATGTTGGAATGTTATAGAACTTTGGGAGAAGGTAAGTGTTGACTTGAATCTTTATTTGTTTTTGTTACTTGCTTGCAATTCAGGAACCAGGGGCTAGATACAAAGTACTCTAGCTTGCTTCGTATTGCGAGGTCGGTCTGGGACTCTGACCATCATCCTTGTTTCCCGTCTCTGTCCCCTTCGTAAAGGAAGGGATCGAGGCATACTCCAGTAATTCCAACAAAAGGGCCGTTTTCCAATCCCAGATATCATAATGTAAATCAGACCAAAAACGCAATCGCTCAATACAAAAACCCATAGCAATAGTTGCTTTCATTCCAATATAGTCTCATCATCTCAAGACCTGAGACACCCATAATAACTCCATAAAATCAAGCTGCGGGGTGTCCTACCCTTGGAAAAACACCCGCTGAAGTATCATTTTGCTCCCGTCCTTACAAGACCGGGTATGTGTCCATACGATCAGACATCACATATCCTTCATGGTTGTGCTGCTGAGGCACCATATGGTTGCGGTAATCGACACTCTCGACACTGAGTCCAAGTTCTGAGGGGCCAACCTCCTCACCCGAGCTAAGGCTCTCGTCACTCATACTAAGGACGCTTTGGGGAGGCTGCGGGTTGTTTCCAAACTCGTTGATACTGAAACTGCCAAGCTCCCAGTTGTCAGGAGGCCAGTCACCGCAGTTACTCACGGCGATCGTGGTCTCGTTCACAAGGCCCTGTCCACCATAAATCGCATCATAGACATTGTTCATGCCGCCGTCTAATGACCCGAGAAGAGTCTCCCATTCGTTTGTTGAGACGCCATGCGTCTTAGCGGCGGCTGTCATAGACGAGTTCATCATCATGTGGTGCCCTTGGGGTGCACGGCTGGTGTTCTGCTGGGGAGAAGCCGGCTGCGGAGACTGCGAGTGGTGGGCGAATGGCATGAAGTCCAGGTTCCTTGACAAAGGAGAGCCCCTGCGGTCAGGATTGGGAGACATAGACATGCGATGGCCTCGATGAGCCACAGGAACTTCGCCCTGAAGATTATCAAAAGACTGGTGTGCTCGGGCACGGTAGAACTCGGACTTTTGGTCGACGCCGCACGGCATCGTCATGCGTCGCTGGTGATCGATCAGGTTGCTGTCACTAGCTGCAGCAGCCGGGAGATGGCCGAAAGGATAGGCTGCGCTGCCCTTCTTCCTAGACTTGGATTTGGACTTGGAGACCATTCCGGTTGGCGGCGACCCTCGGTTGGAGATTGGCGCGGGGGGCATCGACGCTTCATGTGAATTGTGCATTGGCGAGGCAGCGGACTCGTCGACTGTGACAAGCATATTGGCCACACGCTTGAAATCGAGCGAGACAGAGGCCTCGGTCTTGTCCAGGATGCTGATCACAGAGTTCACCAGTCGTTCATCATCGCGCAACACCTTACTGTCTTGCTTAAGATCAATTGAGTGGTAAAGCAGCGTCATACCACAAACAACTAGCAGATCAGATTTGTTTAGGCAGAATGAGAAAGTCATGCCACGTTCTTCAAGGAGTTGGATGATCTGAACAATGTGCTTGCTTGACGTCCCAACTGACATCAGGGCCGAAGCTGCCTTGGGACCAAGGCTGGAACCGACGGCGGGACGGTAGATGAGGGTGCGGATGAAATAATAAGCCAGGGCCAGCAGAGGTGAACGGCTGCCAGTCATTTCAGTGGACGGCTTATCTTGAACAAAGCTGAGCCTGAGGTGAGGAGGCAGCTGGTTGTACCAGTCATCAAGCTCACTCTCAAGAGCACCCATCTGTTGCAGAGAAATCTCGTAGGAGCTTGCGGCCGGGTAGTTCTTTTCGAGGACCTTAGCAAGAATTCGAGTCGCACGGAACAAAGCTAGAGCATTTGACAAACGAGTATATTCACCAGGAAGGGTGGGTTGGAAGCCTTTCTCGGTAATGTATTCATCATCAGTATCGCACGGATATTCAGTCTGAATATCGTCTTCCTTGAGCAGCTTGGGAAGACCAAGAGTAGCAGCAGAAAAGCAGTCGAGAGTGTAAAGCGTCCAGAAAACCTTCTTGCGGGTCTCGATCGTGAGAGGTCCAAAGGAGAACCTTTTCTGGCTCTGGTGCAGGCCCAGACGGTGGGACAGGCTGATAGCAACACCCTTGTAGTGTTGAAGCCGCTTGTAGTCGGCGCGCATGGTGCAGTAGAGAAGGGAAAGAGCAAGGCATTGGAGAGTGTTCATGGTGTTCTCCATAAGAATGGAGTCGAGGGCGGTTTGCCATTGCTGCTCGCAACCGGCAAGTTGAGGGAGGTCGGGGTTGTCAGATGAGAGGCCAGCAATATTGAAGACGAGGTAAAGTTGTGCTAGTTTGTGGTTGCTCTTGATCTTCTCGGGGTCGGCAACAAATTCCTCGTAGACATGGAGGAAAGTGGGCTTGTGGAGGATGGGGAAGAGAGGCGCCCACTCTTGGAAGTAAACGTTGACGCAGCGATCAGAGAACAGGCGAGGAGGGACTCTTAAGGATTGCTCGGGGGACTTGGAGCCGAGCGATTTGCAGCCCTGGATATGTAAGAAAGCCTCTGGGTTAAAATCGGCGCTGGGTTTGCCGGTTTCTTGAATCTTGCGCTTGAAAGTATCTGTTTTCGGTGTCAGTCAGATCAACAGACTTGAACCACGTTAACGAAGAAGAATTACCAATGAATGCTCGGCCACTTGACGCGCCCATAAAGTAAGAATCAGAATTCTCAACTCCAAGTAATAGCGGCGCAGCTTGTACACGGAAAGTATCCTCTTTAGGGGCCTGAGTTTCATTCCGGGACTCGATTGCGGCCGGGCTGCTCATGGGCATTGACGGGCTTCGTCGGTTGCCGTGGATCTGGGAAAGCATATCGATCTTTTCGTCCTTCTCATCTAATAAATCCTTGAGTTCTCGCACTTCGCTCTCTAGTTGTCGCACACGTTCCTCCAGAGATTCGGTATAGCCACGAGGGAATGCGCGGCGGCTGAGCTTGTCACTTGTTCGACATTCAAAGCCGACATTGGCGCACTGAGAGCATGTTGGGCGGATTCCGTCACAGCGGATCTTTTTACTTCTGCAGCGATCACAAGCCTGGGCAATCCGGCTCTGAGAGCTGGTGCCCACCTTGATGACCTTCATGGGAAGAATTCCGGGCATTTCGGTAGTTGTGAGATGTGGATGTGAAAGGTGAGTTGTGTGGAAGAAGCGGCTAAATTGCCGAGTGAGAGAAAGTTGTCGATAAGAGAGATGCCGGTGCCGTAAACTTAATTATCAAGATTTATTATATCTGTTCTGTCGCCAGTTGGATCGGATCGTCCAAGTCGAAACGGCCAAAGTCCGAAGTGTCAAATGATGATAGCCGAGGTCTTGCTGCTGATTTGGGTGCCAGTGCTAAGGGAGAGCAAGCGTATAGAGTGATTGGTGGGGCTGATGGACTAAAAAAGCGCGAGGATATAAAGCTGGGTGGGTTTGGGTATCTTAAAGCGTGGTAGTAAGAAGTATGAGGAACAAGGTAGGTATATGCAAATATGTATGAGTCCAAACGGGGGACAAGGTGAAGAACAGAATGAATGGAAAAGATATAAAGATCAGGAGGGAAAGCAGAGGAGAAGTAGATGCTCTAGGGGTGGGAAAGAGGAATATTTAGTAGAAATGGCAATGGGGACCAAGTCGACGCTTCGAGGTGTGGAGAAAGAAGTGGAAATCCTGGGGGAAAAGCCCAGGGACAGGGACAGTTCAACCTGGGCCAAGACTCAGGACCAAAGTTCGAAGTGGATATGGCCAGTGCCATGCCTGTCCATGTTTCTTGCTCTTTTTGCTCTTGTTTGACTTGACCATTGAGATGTGTGAAGACCTTTACTCGAATCAGGTTGTGCAAAGTCTGGGGATGGGGGCGTGCTCTTGGCAATGGAGCCCTAGCACAAATTCCAAGTCCCATCTCATCCCATGGGCGTGGGCCAGCGTGGGCCAGCGTGGGCCAGCGTGGATCATGACGATGAGGTACAGTGCACAACGTTGTAGAGCACATGGCACCTTGTCGTGCACTTCAGGGATCAGGAGGGGTGATGTTCAAGATATTGTCACGGCTGTCAATCTCTCCGTCACAGGACGTTGCTTGCAGATGCCGAGGATCAGAGTGTGTGGTGCTGCTAATGATGCTCTCTCTCAGGCTCTCTACTCCGTTGTATTCCGTACAGCAAACAGCATATGCAGAGAGAGTCCAGGCCTGATACAGTGTGAGGCCAAGCGCGGCTCCCACTGGGCATCTCGAGTCGCTCACTAGGTACATCTGGAGCATTATAGGATGGATGTTGTATGAAGCACGTTGTTTGGAACTGGCACGCCCTGAAAGGAAAAGGGTGAGGTAGCGCAGCTTTTGATAGGTACCGAGATGCGTTGCGAGCAACCCGAGTCTAGTTGGAAGGTACATTCGGTACATACAGCCGCAGCTGCCGTCTAAGACGGTTTTAGTGTATGGCATGCGCGACTAGGTAGGGGGGTGTCTAGTTCTATGGTTTCCGTATCGGGATGGGGCGTCTTGATAATGATTTTCACACTCATCACCATCAAGATTGGTTGGTAGCTGGAGTCGAGGCAATACCTTACATATGGATGGAACTTGGGGGGAGTTTTGAATTCCCTTTTCTGTTTGACTTTGCCTCGTATGGAGATGTAAACCTCTTGGAAAGACTCAAGGACTAGGTGACTTTACTTGTACAAGGGTTAAGCGACAGCCGGATGACAGATTTGTCCGAGAAAAGGAGATATTGAAAAAGTGATACTAAGTGCGGGAAATAAGCTGAGATGTTTGGATTCCCCATTCATGGGCAAGTCCAATTTCGTAGAGTAGTATTGTAGGAGCAGAACCAGGCGGCAATCTGCAAGCTGCAAACGCTTTGTCGTTCAAGCTCCAACTGCAGTCTGTGTCCAGGATGCATCCCCTTTTAAGAAAGTCCATCAAAGTCTTCGGGGACGATAGTATTGTTCAGGAATGCTAACCTGTCACATCTAAACGTTGCTGTCTGCCAAGTACGATGTAGTTGCGTCTTATATCCAGTCCCCAGTTTTAATATGTCTTCTCTTCCTCAACCTTCTAAACTCATCAAAATTCGTCTACCACAGACGCCTCTGGATCACCGAGACCGCAAAACTGCTACGTGCAGAATCTTCTTCTTAACTGAATTTTGCAACAAAACAAATACATCAGTCTACAAAGCATGTGCAGTCATATTTATGCATCTTCCTTCAGCTCCTGCCCGCAGCCGGCGCTGATGCGTGGCTTGGGATTCGGTGCGTGTTGGAGAATGGCACCACCCATAGGTAAGGCTCTAGAACAATCTCCCACGTGAATAACGGCCCATGGCATCACACCCATACGGCCACGACCGCCGTTGCCTTTCCTATCATGGCTCTACGTGGTGCGGTTTTCTTTTACCCCGGATTATTCCAGAATACTATTGTTACCATAGACTTTGAATCCATGCGCCAAACACCGGAAACCTGGAACCCGGAATGCGGGGGAAACATGTTGTGATATCACTTGTTTCGAAATACATAGCTTGAAGTTATTGAACTTCATCTTCTCTGTCTGGCTTATTTTTGGGTTATTTGGTGTGTAATTAGGTGCTGTAGCATTGTCAGAAGTGAGCCAATTTCAAGAAATGCTATCAACTTCACCTGTTACTTCTGAAGGCCAAGCAAATACTTCAAGACTAGTTGTCTGTTTTGGTGCTAAGATGAAGATGATCAACTAATGTCGTTAATGTGTTCCGTATCTAACCTTGACCTTGATCTTGACTCCACTCCTTTCACCGGCTTCAGTGGCCACACCAATGATCCTTTCAACGAAGGTTCGGTCCCGATTTGATACCAAAGGCCTTCATGTCATACTAGCTTCAAGGTACACATGGTTGACATGGTCAATGCTCTTCCTTCCCATCCCGGGTACGGCCCTACCGCCCTAGCCACGAGGCAGATGCTAGTGCTGGTACGTATCCGTACATGTAATTAGGTCCAGTACTGTACGCACAAGCGTTTCTTCCCACTAACTATTTTGAGCTGATACTCACTCTTGAATGCCATGGAACTCTGATTGGGCTTGCAAGCGGAACCGCAATGATTTACGCCGCAGCGTCAATATACATACAGTATGTAGGTAGTATGGCGTCCCCTTCTACCACACAATCCAAAAATGCTGATACCCAAACAAGCGACGACACCCTAGTCTACATGCTTCTGGCCCATGAGACAGATCGCACCCATGGTGGGTGCGTGTGCCAGTACTCCGTACCATGATCGTAGATAAGCCCTAGATTTCATCCAAATTCCGCGATACCCCAGGTTTGATGGCGTCAAACTGGCCACAATGCTTTGCATGTTGGATTCTGAATGCTGACCATCCTAGCACTTCCTATGCCCATTGACTGCATATTCTAGAGTTCAACGGTTGGAACCAGTGATCTAGTTCGCATACTAGACGGTGGCTAGCCGTGATGCAACCTCCACTTACAGGGCCGTCTCATGGGGATACCTGACTCGACTGCTTCGTTCTGCTGTACCTGTGAGGGTGAACGCGAATGTGAGCTTTGTCCGCGTAGATCCTGATACTTTAAACCGTATCCAGATACCTACACTGAAACTGTATAACTGCGGCACAGGTGAGCCTAAGGTCAGGTCAGGAGAAGGGAAAAGCTTAGCTAGGCAGGGCTGGGGCGGCCGATAGGACATGTTCACCGCGGTGAGAGTCCCTCTCGATGCGACTGTACTGCTGCACTACGTAGGTGAAGGCTAATGAGCATCATTTACCGGACAGCGGGTTCATTCACGCGAAGCCTGCACGGACCTTTCTCTTTGATCTCGAAGGTTGAAGGCTGAAGTGTCTTGAATTGCACGTCACGTCAAACGTTGTAAGCCCTACTAGCCTCCCTTGCGCTCACTAAAAACCCAAAACCCCAGCGGACTTAGTTTCAAGCCTCACGTCCTGGGGGAACCGCAATAGCCCCACGTCGGAGCCGCAATCGTTGAGATGCCCTGTGGACCTGACGCAGATCACTGATCCGCAGCTAGAGGGCACTAGTCCTAGTCCCGGTCAATCTTTGGGGCCCTGGAATTGATGGACTTGACTCTCTTTTCTTCATCAATAGCCATCCATTGATTGCTTGCAAATTCTCTTCGGGCATAGCATACAGTAGCCACTCACTACGAATTATTCGGACTAATTAGACCTCTTCTACCTGGAGTCCATATCCACCAAAGGGGCAGCACCATCAGTCTCAGATCTCAAGCGCGAATAGCCGCCCTGCCATATCAAATGTGGCCCTGCATTCAGGCCTCATGAATCGCAATCGCATCTAGATTGCCTTGTGTCTACGCATTCTATCCTAAAGTCTAACGTCTCTGATACGTTCCTGCAGCCTAAGACCAAGACTCAGATCCATCCAGAACCACCAACCAGAAGGTCGGGTTCATCGTAGCCGTACTGGGGACGGTCCAAAAGTCCGGACAGAAACTTCCTATTGATGCGTTCCTAATAGCACATACGTGTTAACACGTATCCGAAGAAGGATCCAAGCTTATGAAACTGTGCTTACAGCATGTTTTGACGCAATGTAATATCCCCTTGATCTTATTTTAGTCTCATTTACTAACACAGCATTGTCCTCGCGTCCATAAGGTGCATATACTTCCCCTTAGAATCAATCTTTGTAAGAATTCATATTCACCGCTTACACATTCTCACAACAGCCACATGCAATTGATCGCGTGAGGAGTCTGTTAGAATTTTGTACTCGGATTGCATTGATATGGCGTGTATGTAGAACGCAGAGGGGGTGGACTGAACGAACGGGCAGCTGGCCCTGTATTTCGACTTCTCCGCATTTCCCCGCGAGAACAACCCGGGAGGCAGATCGTGGTTTAACGGAATCTGGGTTCACGATGAATTCCCTTTACTAAAAGCCCGACTATTGGTGCTTGTGCCTGCACCTGTGCCCTTCTCATTTGATCCACAATCACAGTCCGGGTCTGTGACGCTTTCGACAAGGTCAGCAGCTGTACCATAGACACGCACACATCTTGCAGGGTCAATCCATGTCTTTAGACATCAGTCAATTGTATACATTGGGTTACAGCAAGGGTCTTTGTATATTATGGTAAGTCTGCCATGCTTGTTGAAACATAGGACAGCAGGGCTGGGCTTAACTCGCCATGCCCTGTATCGATCTGATCCGAATCTGCTCGGAATCTGTTCGTTGTTTACATATCGTTCCAGGCAAACATCGAGCGACTCATATCCCAGATTTAAATACTCCAGGCATGCCAACTCTATAATGAATCCTGGTTGGGAATATCAGGCTTAGTTGGCCGTCCGTGTTGTTGAAAGAGTAAATAACGGAAACAGACCGAATCGGTTCTGTCTGTAATCCTGGTTGGTTTGGAAAACCAAACAAGACCATGCTGCACCACATCTTACTTGGCAGAACGAGAATGGGCCAGGGGCTGAGGTTACAAAGAGTGATATGGCATATCTGAGTACACGGGAATTCTCATGGTCTTGTCGACGCACTCTATAATTTGTATGCAGCTTTTTTTTTCCATCCTTGTAGGCTGTCAGCCATCTAGAGAAGTAGCAATTGAGCAGCTGATCGCCCTTCGGGTTCATATTCGAGCCCAGCTGTAGTCAAAGAGACAACTCCTTGACACAAAAACTTAGATCGTCATAATCCTGGGCCAACAAAAAATCAAGGAATAAGGAACTATCGACAAGTAGATACAAGGCAGTTGAAGCAATTGCCGGTTTCCCCACAACCCTAAGAAGGAATAGCCGATGAATCAGCTGAAATCGTCCTCCTCATTGGAGGTTGGCTCAGACACTTGACCACCTTGGGAAGCTTCCATCTCTCCGAGGTATGCTACCACGTGGTCATCCGCAAAAAGATGGGTCCTCTATACGCCTTTGTTAGTCGTTTTATTGTTTCTGGGGAAAGGTACAACAAAGAGGGCGTAGAAATTGACTAAAAGGAAAACTCGGTGTGTGACCGAGCATGTACGGGGTAATTGAGCTAGCAAGCTTAAATGCGGAGGAGGTCCCTTGGCTTTTGAGGGGAGACAAGGGGAGTGTCTGGGGTGATGAAGAGGAATCTGGGGAAGATTGACAAGCGTGTTCTTGAAGTGCAGACTGGCCAGGCCCTTGTTCCATGAACTACATGAACTCTGAGAACCGGAGGGGACAATGGTACATTGCAGCATGCCAGTATCGTAAGCGATCCTGGCGACTTCGCCATTGACGCAACGTCATTCAAATCCATCGATGTAGACTTATGGCTGAGGAATAAACCACGTTTAATAATACGTACCTGTTCATCCAGAGCTGCAGCTGCACTTTCAAGCACACCAGATTCAATGCCTCTTAGCATCTCCACCGTTTGGAGGCAGTCATCTCTGACCAGTCCGGCCCGGCGCAACGGCTCAAGCTGCTCATGGGAAATCTCGGAGGAGAGCTGCATCAGATGGTCAGACACTACCTCATGCAAGACGGAGACAACTCGAAGCCTAAAGATTTGACAAAGGGGGTGGTCTTTGAGGAGATCTTCAAAGCCATCCGCTCGCGTTGTTATGTCTTCTTCTTGCCAGAAAAGCTTTAGCTCCCGCCCTCCGTCCTCTTTCTGGAGGACCCTGAACTCCAGACCATCCTCCTCGTTCAAGCACATCAGATATACAAACGGGCTATGCCAGCTTATTACCCCGCCCAACCGGGATAGCTTGAGCGATGGCGGCCCTTTGAAAATGTGAAGCTTGGCCTTTCCCAATGGGTCGTCGGGCAGTACTTTTAGAGGCAGTGTTAGTCCCTCGACTGTGGATTCGCTGTCGATGAATCCATAGCTAAACAGCATCTCTGCGGGGGGCTTTTCTCCGTAGGAGATATTCACCTCCTCCCCAGCTGACACCGCCGCTCCCGGGCGTGCAAGTAAAACAACATTATCCTTGTCATCTTCATCGTAGTAAGCGGTTGGGGTATGCGAGTGGTTGGCCATGTCAAGACCAGGAACCATAGCGTGCCCTGCCCGTGGTAGCTCCAGGCAGCGGGAACGATACCATGCATCAACCAAGACCCATTCTTTGATGGTCACTGTTTCCTTCTCCCAGAAGAGAGAGTTCCAAAATGGCAAGTCGGCAGATTTCTCTTGTAGTTCATTAAACTCCTTGTTGAGAGCTGCGAATTTGGCATCCAACGCGGTCTAAAGCACTGTTAGGGTCCGTTGTCCTGTTGCGGGGAAGCTCCTCATCCTCCTCCGCAACCAGCGGGAAACAAGTGCGGCTCCGCAACTATCACGCCTGGAAGCTGGGTGTGGTCGCGTGTCCGTGTGGTAATACTGACCTCTAGCGAAGTGCCTTGTAGCAGAGTTCGCTCAACTTCCGACCACATCGTTGGGACGGGGACATGACGAGGAAGAAACTTGAGATACTCTGTCCATGGTGTTGATGCGGGGCCTCTTGGGCTCGATTCTTCCCGGGTAGATAGAACGAGGTGAGTCAAGAGATATATCAATATATCTCCTCGGGTTGACTTCGCAATGTTAAATGTTAGCTGCTGTTTGTGCTGTCCATGGACCCATGCCGTTGTCGCTGCATCACGAGACCGATGCACTCCGGTTCCGGAGCCTTACCTGATGCCCTGCAGAATCAATGAGTTGACGGAAATTTTGATCGACTTTGGTGTACTCTTCGATAGCAGTGGCTGAAAGAACGAGATCATGAGGAATTTGTAGGAGCTTTGTCGAATTGTGGTTGGTCTGCCCTTGAATCTCTCTCCTAGCTCTTTCATCTTCTTGTCCTTCTATGACTGTCCCTTGGACTTCTCTGTTCTCTGAGATATCCACTTCTGTTGCCTTCTCACTTGCCGGGGTTGTCGTTAAGCTGCTTGCAGTCACTAGACCAATTCCCTTGCCATTTGTCTCTTGCAATTTGGCGTTGATGAACTCTACATCGTTGAAGCGTGCCCAGACGGGAAAGGCGTCGATAGACAAAGTTGGTTTTGGTGACATGATCCGAAAGGAATAGCCTGCAATAAGAGTTGTAGTGGGAATCGGCTTTTTAAAGCAAAAACGTACTATGTTGCCGTGCTCTTGTAGTATCGAATGGTGGATGGACGAATTGAGGCAGATACATACGGGCTCAGGCATATCCGGGCTATTACCCCCGAGCAAATGTTCGACCCACTTCAGCCTCTTTGGGCCGAGAATCAATTTTGCGCCGTGAGTCTCTGATTCGATGTCATCAGAGTCACATAAGTTCATTTCTCTACATACAATAAACATCAATCTCAGGACCATTTCAGTTCCAGCAAGAACTCAAACTAAGGCCAGAGAATACTCGTAATTTCTTTGCAGCCCTCGAATATCTATTAACCAAGGAATACCATTTTCTTGGCATCATCTCCAGTGCTCTATTCACTCACTCGCTCACTCACTATTGTGGAAGCAAACCCTGGTCTTATAACCTCAGGGCTCATCTCAAAACCCTTAACCAAAGTCTTACAACCCCTCTACGATGCCCCGCGATCCCCTCATCGGTCTCGTGGGAAAGCCTTCAGCTGGCAAGAGCTCGACGCTCAACAGCTTGACTGATGCTACGTCCAAAGTTGGTTGGTAGAAAGACCCTGGCCAAAGCTGCCGCAACTTGGCGCTGATCGCAAGTTACATAGGCAATTTCCCGTATGCTTCACCCTTGTTCCATACTGCTGCGCATTCCTAGTGCTCTGCATTAGTGAGCACATGCGCTCCCGTATCCGTAAGCTGGTGTCTGTCGTGAGAGCTGACTTTTCCTGTTAGCTTCACTACAATTGATCCTCAGCGCGCTATCGGCTACCTCCAGATCGAATGTCCGTGTGCCAGGTATAAGGTATCAGACAGATGCAGGCCCAACTATGGTGCTTGTATTGAGGGTCGCCGCTCTGTTCCTATCGAGCTTCTTGATGTCGCTGGTCTCGTCCCTGGGGCTCACGAGGGCCGTGGTTTAGGCAACAAATTTCTCGATGACTTGCGTCACGCAGATGCTCTAATCCACGTTGTCGATGCTTCAGGTACCGTTGATGCCGAAGGCAAGGAGACAAGAGGGTACGACCCCTCGGTAGACATCGCATGGCTGCGAAGCGAAATCGTAGCCTGGGTTCTCGGCAATCTCATGCAACGATGGGGCTCTATCCGACGAAGGCATCAGGCTGTCAAGGCGACTGCTACGGAAACCCTGCAGAATCAGTTCTCTGGTTACGGTTCAACAACGACTACCGTGAACCGCGCATTAGATCGCTGCGGCATCAAGGAGCCTCTCGAGGATTGGTCTAACGACACCGTCGAGATGGTTGTCAACGCTTTTATCGACGAGAAATTCCCTACAGTCATCGCACTCAACAAAATTGACCATCCAGATTCTGACAAGAACATCTCTAAAATCGCCAAGCAGCAAGATCCCAACACCATCGTACTGTGCTCCGCCATCTCGGAGATCTTTTTGCGAAAGATGGCCAAGCAGGGCTACGTCAAGTATGTCGAGGGCAGCGAATTTGTTGACACCAAGGAGGACCTCATAGAGCAGGGCGACCCTACCGGAGGTGGACTCAAAGATCTCGACGAGAAGAACCGCACCCGAATCGAGAACCTTAAAGACATGGTCCTCTACCGGTTTGGTTCCACGGGCGTTGTGCAAGTTCTTTCAAAAGCTGCTGAGCTGCTTGGTCTGGTTCCAGTCTTCCCAGTACGAAACGCCTCCACCTTCAGCTCTGGTGCCTCAGAGTCCAAGTTTGTCTTCCGAGACTGTGTTCTTGTTAAGAAAGGCAGCACTGTCGGAGATGTGGCGCGCAAAGTCATGGGTGATGCACCTATTGCTTTTGTGGAAGGGGTTGGAAACGTCCGAGTATCTGAAGACGACTTTGTAGCTGTTGGCAAGAATGATGTATGTTCTACTCACACTTTTCAAACTTCCCATGCTAATTGACCGGGTGCAGGTATTGTCGTTCAAGGTCGGTAGAGCTTAAACTCACAAGCGCAGCCTGTCATAAGCTCTGAGCTACAAGTCAAGCCGTAAAAGTCTGCAGATCTATAGGGGTGACCATGGTTCTTCATCTTGAACTTGGATATCGAATGTCCATATAGATATCACGGACATGCTTGGATCAGATAATCAATTGACAGCGTGCTGAATGACGTAGCTTGTCAATGCATATGTGCATAGTCGTGATATCATGACATCAACGAAATACTGAGTAGGTATATAGTAATCGACGTGTAGATATATAAAGTCGGTGCAAAACCACAGGCTGCGTCATGTTCAGGCCTAATATGATAATAGTTATTAATTTCTACCTACACAATGTCCAGACTGGCGAATAGGGTCTTATTCCTCAACCTCAAGTGGCCATTGCCGCGGCCTGTCTCCCCATACGAGCTCAACCCCATGCTTGCCAACTACCTTGCGAAGCTGGTCACCCCACTCGCCATGAACTGTCTTCTGGTAAATCTTCTTCAGATGGGTGACCTTGAGTATAGCCTCGACAACAATACAGAGCTCGCGGTGGTCATAATGCGACGAGTTGATTTCGAGTACCTCAAGATTCGGAAAGCTAGCGAGGAAACTCGGTAGATACATTTCGTCATCGGTCTTTGGGTATGCACGGAACCTGAACTCTGAGAGGCCGATACACCTGATGCCAGGCTCTCCACGAAGCCAGGCATGATCGTGGATATGTCGAGTACTGGCGGCTCCTTCAGGGGCTCCCTGGGGATCGAGAGGAAAGGCAAGATCGAGGGTGTGAAGCTTGTTAGACGCAAGGGCGTCACTGAGCACCTTCTGGAGCTTCAGCGGGGGTATCATTGCTCTCCGGAGTCGCAACGAGCGTAGATCTGTATACTGGCAGTGCTTATCAAACCGATCTGTGGCCAGCAGCTCGGGCTCCTGGTTTAACATCTCTGACAGCACTATCAGGCCAAGTGGTCCCTCATCATTGGGTTTCCACCGGAAGTCAAAGTCGATGTATTGCAGCATACGTCCACCACGCAACGAAGTAAGCTGCTGAACGGTTTGCGCAGTGTTCAGATCGGAGTCATTAGGTCCATGCACTGTAAGCGCTTTGAGTTCTGGCCAGTGGTCGTCGAGTGTGGCATCTGGGGGAAGAACCCCCGAAAGCTGCACATCTTTCAGGTACAGCTGCTGCACTCGCGGTGTCTTCATAGCCAGATACCACTGTTTCAGGTCAGTCTCGATGTACATGTCTCATAACGTGGGAAAATAGAAACTAACTGTGTTTAATCTGAAGGGGCTCGGTTTGCTATGTTCTTCGAGCCGTAGGTATTGTAGCTTGGGGAGATGAGGAAACCAATTTTCGCTTGGCGAGCTAGATTGTGGTAGACCGTCAATGTGCAAGCTCTGCAGGCTCTCGGAAGCATGCTGAAGGAGCGGTTTCAGAATTTGAGGTTTGCTGATAATGATGTCTTGAAGAAATACGTGACTCAACTTGCTGAATATACCCTTTGCTTCTGGGATTGATAGGTCTTCTTCGGTACTGCCTCTCAATTCGAGACGCTCGAGGTTCTTTGATCCTTGTATTAAAGCAAGAAGCTTTTGCTGACTGAGTCGAAATCGCAACACATTTTCGATAATGATTTGACGGACGTCATTCCCCGAATAGGATATTAGCTTCCTGAGAGATTTCGTGCCAGGAGGACGGGCAGGGCCGATATTCTCTACAAATATCAAGGTGCGCCAGAGCCGCTCATTGCCGCGACTGGCAAGGTACTGCCTCCAATCTTTGGAGACGCCAGTACATCTCACAAGAGAAGCAAAGTCGAGGTAGTTAAACATACGCTGAACAATCTCTTGTGGGTTTCTCAGGGGGTCGCGGCGGTAGTATCGGGTGTGCAATGGTTGTCTTGCAGCCCTGAGTTTCTACAGTTTGGTTAACACGGTGAACTAGGATACCAAAATTCGTTCGAGGGAATTCTGCTTACCTGGAACTTCGGTGATTCGGCGAGGTTGTGCTTGTTTCCCACCTCAATACCAGCACTGTACACTTTCCATGCGAATTCGTTCTTTTTCTGGAGACGTGATATCTTGCCCAGCCGGAGATACCCCTAAGAGAGTAAGTATAACGCATGATATGCAGTGAATTCTCATACATCTGGCAGTCTTGGAGCGAGTTCCAGGATCCATTCGGCGTCCTTTTGGGCTCGCTCAAGCTCCTTGATCTCTTCAAAGGTTGCTGCACGATAGTCAAGAGCTTGTATATGTAGCTTGTTGTCGCATTTACTGAAGGTCTTGCGCACCATGCACTCGCAGGTGTACATAGCTTCATTGAAGATGGAGCCTCCCTCTGCAGCCACTTTCTCGAAGTTCTTGCAGCTGCAGCGTGGCCGCCTCTCTTTTCGACCGCAGGCACAGAGCTGCATGGCCTATGAGTAGTCAGCTATCACTAATATTGTATTAGTGGCGCCGTGGTCTTACCTTTGTGAAATGCATAAGAGCAGGCTTGTATTGCTTCGCGCCGTACAGTCGGCGACCTTCAGCAATAGCTGATTCTTGAGATTCCGAAGTCATGACTTCGACTGGTACTTTAGGCTGACGACCAGATAGCTTTACCCAGCCTTACTCTAGGTGTCTCTGGTGGGAATCCAGTTCGTCGTTTAGCGTAACAGTAGAGCCTATTTGTGTTTGTTAGTTCAAGTGCCTAGGTAGATTGAACTGCCCCCTTTTATAAATCATATCTGGAACTACCCAAGTGGCGAGATTGGGCAAGAAGAGCCCCCCGGGAGCTAAATTCCCAATATTCTGTTTGGAATTATCACGATTGGAGGCGTTGATTGTCTCACCTACACGGTCTATTGAGAATCTCCAGGGCACCTTATTTCGTGTCCCACCAAAGCGCCTACTGATGGAACCTAGGCTGGGTGCGACCGAGGCTGGCTCCTCGAGTATTATCCCCGATGAGAGATTAATGACAGCTGGATGTATCGTTATTTCCGATCAAGGCGGAATTTCCGTTGTTCTATGGACAAGCAAAGCATGTATCGTTCAAGTTCCTTGATAAGCGCGCCTTGTTTGCTAATTGAACTTGTGGTTCAGGCTACCCTATACAGTGTTGTGAGTTAACCTGGCAACTCACAGGGCCACCTTGAAAGAGCGTTAGTTTTACCGAATAGATCAAATGTATTACTTCTGTAGTTCTTTGCATATACTTATGATGGCATCGAAATTACTTCATACTTAGTTGCTGACATAAAAGAAATTTAAGCACCATACACACCTTAAAATTCCACCAATATTTTGAAAGGGTCACATCACTGCCAACCACCTTTTCGTTTTTATTATGTGACAGTTCACAGTGGCAGTGACTTACTGATACTTGATTCCTATTACGATTTATGCAGGTAGAATAAAGTAGAATGCAGATCCTAACATTCGACTTTTACGCCAGATGGACCCCTTGCGTATATGCGATCCAGGGTGCCATAAAACCTCCAGACATGGGGGTTCAAGTAGAAGTCATCTGCTTTGTACCAAACTATTTATGAAAAACTCGATCTAAATAAAAAGAATTCTATCTATCAAATTAGGACTTACTAACTGTGATGGGGCTTAGGAGTTTAAGTACGAAAAGATTCATCGAAGTCATCTGAGGTTTCGACTAAACCGGGTAATCAAACGATTGCTTTGACTATTGCTAGATCTGGACCCAACCTTTAGGATGAATGTGATCGCATGGTTTATGCAGACGTGAAGATCAATGTTTATAATTTGATTCGGCAGACGATGGTTTGTAGGGATATGCGCCGTAGTAAGTGGCGAGCCAGGGCATATGAGACAATGGCTTGATATTGGTAGAAACCCCCAGCTTCGTAAAGCCTTGCCGAGCCGTTATTGGCTAGAAACAAGTTATCGATGGCGCTCTAGGTTGTGCTTCGAGTTGAATCTGTCTCTAAGGCACGAAGACTGAGGTGGCAATTCATGTAATCTAAGTGACCTGTCTTATCAGCCACGTTCTAGTGATTGCCACGAGACAACCACAAGAAGTCATTTAGCCTCTCTGTTGATGCCCAAGCTTGGTGATATACAAGTTATATATGAGCTTTCCGATACATGAGGAGGAATTTGTCGATCGCGGCTTGCTCATGTACCAGGATCGTTAACACTGTGCAGTAACACAAAGTTCAACAACATAAAGTTGATAATCCAAGCTACAAAGTGTTCGGAGAAACTGTGTTAATACCCAATTCGCCACCAAGAGCGTTTGTCATAGCCGTAACCATGGTAGCCAACAGCGTAGAATTTTTAATGTAATTTGCCTGATATACATATCGCATCAAGGAAGATGAATAGTTGCTGGGATAAACCCCCTGACCCCATTACTGATCCAGCACTCTTCACCATGGACCAGAGACTTGACATCGACAACTTGCTCAGAGGCCAACCCCCTAGTTGCAGATCAGTATCGAGCCTCTCATTGGTCATTAGTTAACAGTGGTACATACCGTTCCAATGCCCAACGTCTCGAAGTTCCATCTTGCCCTCCATCGCCTTCGTCCTGGCTGAACTGGGCTGCAACGGGTGGTGTAGCCCAACGGCCGTCCCTCCAGAAATAGGGCGTAGTAAAGGTGCCTTCCATCACAAACCCATCATCTTGGTTGACTACTAAGACTTCGATAGGATCTGCGTAGGTAATACCAGCCCGTCGTCGGGCAGCGTCGTACATGTCTCTCTTTGTGGTTTTGAAGTGAGTATACTCGGACCTTGATGTTGGAGCCTGATCTACAAGAAGAGTATAGCCAGAGGTTTTCCTAGGTTCATCATCTAGTGGAACACAAGAAGGATGTGGGAGCCGAACTGGCAGGAGGTTCTGTAGAGGAACTTCAGGAGTGCTTGACTGTTCAACCTTGATATCACCTTGAGACGACACTACTATTCGCACTTTCAAGGATGATTGCGGAGCCGATCCAACAGAGTCCGAGATGAGTTGAGCCAGAGTTGAAAGTCCATTAGCACCCGAAAGTCGGTCAATTGAAGGCTGCCATTTCCAATGCGTTGCTGCCCGGAGAAGCCGATCTCGGTGAAAGTCGAGCATGTAGAGAGGGGACTCGTTCTCAAAATTCCAACCTTGGCCATCAAGTCCATGACTTTGGAGCTGTTGGAGTTCTGTGTCGTACCTCATAGAGGTGAAGAGAGAGAATTCATCGGCCATCTTCTTGAGCGAGGTAAAATGATTGGTGAATTTGGGAAGTGAGTGCCGGAGTACCTAGACATGACAAAGACAGAAGAAAGAAGCCCACAGGAATTATATATAAAGATCAGAATTAGTAATGTAAAAAAAAGTCGCATCAAAAGGGGATATGTCGTACGTGATAACACGAGAGGTTGGTGTTTCTTAGACAGTAATCCCTACATCTGTTCAAATACTGTCTAAAGTGAATATTAACCAATTTCAAATCTAAGTGATCAAGATCTATTATTGTCATAAAAGTGAAGCCATACACTCATATTGAAGAACAAGATGTTATCAGCCAAGGACCAGCAAATAAGCTACCCAACCAAAGTTTACCTGCTTCGCCTCCATATTTTCTATCATGAATTGACCGAGCAGGCCGGAACCGTATATGTCACCTCATTATTCTCAAAAATCACCAGACCCGAAGACATCAGCAACCGCCAGGGGTCACGAACTGAAGCGAACACCCCCACCTCATGCTTGGAGCTCAGGCCCTGGGTAGTTCTCGTTACCTGTTTACATGAATTGTCCAGTGAAGAGACAAGAGGTATATTTTATTTATGGGCTTTTGTTTACAGGCCTCCATTGTCCGTGTGAACCCGTCATCGTCCACTCCCGAGTCCCACATGCCTCAGGCATTATCAAGCGATTCCAGGTTCTTCCCCAATCGACGTCACCTCCACCTGCAGCAGCCCACCACTCTGCCACTCTGCCACTCCCTACGAACGAAGTCGAATTCACTAAAGTTGGTGTGGTGATGATCGGAAAAACTTTCAGTGGAACCCCCCCCCCGGCCCGCGAAACCTCCACTGTTAGCGCGCCAAATTTCAAACAGAGCCGTCAGCTTTTTCTGCGCGTACCCAGCCCAGCCCAGTCCAGTCCAAGTCTCAAGTCCAAGCCCAAGCCCGCCGAAGCTACCTACCTACCACTCACTGCCACTACCACTCACTACCAGTGTGATCTGTGATCTGTGATACCGGGACGGCTTTTGCGCACCTACATCATCGGCTTCTCGAGTTCTCGGCTTCTCGACTCCCCCTCCCTCTATCCCGCTTCGAAGGCCCTGCTTCAATTCCCACCTCTCTGTCTCTCGCCGATCCTCTTCAACACCTCATAGGCTTCGTAATGTCAGGTCCAACTCCGTCAATGGCTCCGGGCCAGCCAACCTTCGTCCCTGTCGAACCTTCTTCTGGTCTCTGGGAGCGGTTAACACAATGGGCTTCCGAGAACAAGACTGTCGTCTACACTATTGCTGGTGTCGGCATTGCTGTTACGGGTGCCGGTGTTATTTACTACCTCAATGATAACGTATGTCCCGCTATCTTCAAATTTGATGATGTCGTCGCCGCTGATAATAGTCGCCCGAATCTTGCGGCTCTGTATCGGACCATGTCACAACCAATAAACATAAACATTGGCTAACTTTTTCTTTCTCATCTTACAGAGCGCCAAGGACACAACACCAAAGCTGAGCAAGAAGGAGAGGAGAAAGCGAAAGGATGGCGACCGCAAAGTTGATAGGGAAGCACCCTCAACTAGCCCCTCCCAACCAAAAGCTGCCTCTGCTGAGACCGAGCCAGAGCTGCCCGATGTCGATGAAGAGATAGTCTCTACCCTCACCCAGGATCAGCGTGAAGAGTATGCTGCCAAGTTGAAGCAGGCCGGTAACAAGGCTTATGGCGACAAGTCATACAACAAAGCCATTGAACTTTACTCCAAGGCCATTCTCTGCAAGGCCGACCCTGTCTTCTACTCCAACCGAGCCGCCTGTCACAGCGCCATGAGCGAATGGGATCAGGTTATTGAGGACACCACCGCCGCCATCAACATGGACCCTGACTACGTCAAGGCCATCAACCGTCGCGCCACCGCCTACGAGCACCAGAAGAAGTACTCCGAGGCCCTCCTCGATTTCACTGCCTCGTGCATCATCGACAACTTCAAGAGCGAGTCCACCGCCCAGGCTGTCGAGCGACTTCTCAAGACCTTCGCTGAGCAAAAGGCCAAGGAGATGATGGAATCCCGACCCCCCAAGCTGCCCAGCCCTATCTTCGTTGGCAACTATCTCCAGAGCTTCCGTCCCAAGCCCCGACCCGAAGGACTCGAGGATTCGGAAGAGTTGGATACCCATACTGGCAAGGGACAGGTGCAGGTTGGTCTCCAGGCTTTGGAGAAGAAGACTGGTGATGGTTACGAGGAGGCTCGACAGGCATTCGAGAAGGCTCTGGAGCTCGGCGATCTTGGCGAGTACGAGGCTCTTGCCTACAACATGAGAGGTACCTTCCGCACTCTGCTGGGCAACCATGCCGAAGCCACCCAGGACTTCGACAAGAGCATCGAGCTCGACCCCTCCATGACGCAGAGCTACATCAAGCGTGCCAGCATCAGCCTGGAGCTTGGTGAGCCCGAGAAGGCCGAGCAGGAGTTTGCTAAGGCTCTCGAGCAGGACAACAACGACCCCGATGTCTACTACCACCGTGCCCAGGCCCACTTCATCAAGGGTGACCTTGCCGATGCCCAGAAGGATTATCAGAAGTCAATCGACCTCGATAAGGACTTCATCTTCTCCCATATTCAGCTCGGTGTCACTCAGTACAAGATGGGCTCGATCGCTTCGTCCATGGCTACTTTCCGACGATGCATTAAGAACTTCCCCAAGGTGCCCGATGTTTACAACTACTACGGAGAGCTGCTCCTCGACCAGGGCAACTTCTCCGAAGCTGTCGAGAAGTTCGACACTGCCATGGAGATGGAGAAGCAGACCAAGCCTATGTCCATGAACGTTCTGCCCCTTATAAACAAGGCCTTGGCCCTTTTCCAGTGGAAGCAAGACTTCAAGGAGGCCGAGGCTCTCTGCCAGAAGGCTCTCATTAGTGAGTAATCTCCCAAGAAGTGCCGTCAAATTACGCTCTAACCAATCATTTAGTCGACCCCGAGTGTGATATCGCTGTTGCCACCATGGCCCAGCTCCTTCTCCAGCAGAACAACGTTCCCGCTGCCCTCAAGTACTTTGAGCGTGCGGCCGAGCTTGCCCGAACCGAGGGCGAGATCGTCAACGCCTTGTCCTATGCTGAGGCGACCCGAACACAAGTTCAAGTCACAGAGAAGTATCCCAAGTTGGCAGCCAAGCTCGCTGGTGGCGCCGGACCCGGCGGCCTTCGCATGGGCCCTCAATAAACCTGTACGAGAAACGAAGACCAATGGCCAGAAAGGCGTGTAAAGTGTACGAATTTGGAGCCGGAGACGAGAAAAGGAAGGCGTTGAATTAGGGTGGGATGCGGGACACAACCACACTCTGTCCGTCGAGGGAGCTCACTCAGCGACCGAGCTGCCTCACCTCACCATCGCGTGGGGTCCAATGCTCTGCAGTTGGGAACTATAATGCACACAACTGAACCCTACTGTACCTGTATATAATAAGCACTTCTCTCATGTTTTTATTAAGCATACTGGGGATTTGTGAGGATGGACGCAGGGCAGGTACTCAGCAGGATTGGACATCTTTGGTGTATCGGAGGAAAAAAAAGAGTCGTTTTTTCGTCAACTACGTTCACTCATGTGTTGTGATCACTTCTTTGCTCAACCTCATTATGATGAATCTTTATGTTTAAATGGTCCAAAGGCTTGACATTAATTCCTCTGGAATACCCCCTTCCAATTATCTTATGCACCCCAGAACCTTTTCTGGATCATGTTTCCACGTAAATACATACAGTCCTGGTGATACTGCTCTCACTTGTGTTCCCTCTCCTACATCACTGTAGCAGAGCGGTTAATCCTACAAGAGAAGCAAAACGACACGAAACGCCGCCAAGCCAAAAAGGCGACCAATAACGAAACATCCCCGAGAAGCAGGCACGAGACCCAGATTTTTCAATGAACTACAAGGTCTGTTGAGGAAACCTCAGTTCCCTCCGCCATGCCTCCAACGAAGAGTCCCCCCAGCGCTTGGGCACCCTGAAGAATAAGAATTAAGTGCAGAATGCGGTATTCGAACAAGAGATGTCGTATACTCTGGTTCTGCGAATAAGGGCAGAAAAAAGAAACTCAAAAACGGCATCGAGATATCTATGAGCGGAAAAGGCGTAACGAAATAGGCAGAACATCAAAATCGTAGCATCGGTAGCGGTCATGGATACGACGGGTCCATCTACTTCTTGTTGTTGTTGGCCACACTCACACCGACACCAACACCGACAGCGATGGCGATGATAATGAGAAGCACGACAAGAGCACACCACCACTTGAGCTTGCGACGGTTGAGCGCGTGCTTCTTGGCGACTTCGACCTGTTCGTTGCCCTTAATCATGTGGTCGTTGGCACTGATCGCATTCTGTTCGGCGGCATTGATAACAGGCTCCTGCTGTTCGACAACGGTGGCAAGCTCCTGGAAGAGGACGGAGAGCTCGTTAAGAGTCTGCTCGATACGCTGAAGCTCGCTGTGGCGGGCGCGGACGTTGCCAAGAACGGAGCTGGCATGTCCAGTGCGGTTTGTTCGCAGCTAAGATTGCACATTAGTAATGATTTCCAAATGAATCATAAGATCGCTGTTGGGAGAAGGTTACTCACAGCAGTTTGGAAGACACCCTCATTGCCCCAATCGGCGCTGGCAGCTTCCTGAACCTCCTGCTCGGAAGCATCGGGATTTACGATGCGGTACTGGCGGGCAATTTGATCGCGGTAGCGTTGCCTGTAATCGCTCTCGATGCTCTGGTACTTGTTGAGCTCTGACTTGAAGAAGGTATTGAGAGACTGCAACTGGGTGGTCTTGGTGGTGCGGGTACTGTCATTGGTCTTCGCAAGGTCGCGCTCTAGTCCCTTGATTCCGTCCTTGATGGCGGTGTTGCGGATCTGAGTCTGGGTAACATACTGCTCGAGATCATGGTTGGCGGATCCATCGGTGCTGCTGAGAGTGCGCTGGTGGAGCTGGCCGATGTAGTCAACATCGTCGGTCAGACCCTTGATCTCATCGCGAAGTTTTTGTACGCGGTTCAAGAATTCCTGCTGTGAAAGACTTGACGTAGCAGCGGGAGCCTGTTGCGAATAGTCTTGCATCTCATATTGATTGTTGCCCGGGGCTGGCGCGTCTTGCGCATAAGGATTGGCCTAGAAAACAGAGTATCCGGGTCAGCACATTTGTGGTCAGTTCATAACGAACAGGGGCGCGTACCTGGCCATAACCGTAGGAACTGTCCTGGGTTGAGTCCTGTTGATAGGGGTTCTGGTTGTACTGATTGTAGGACATGATGCTCAATTATGCCCGGAGAATAAAACAATGGCGGGGAAGATATGATTGATGATGCGAGAAGCAAAAGAGACTAATAAAGGCTGGTGTTGGTGGTGAGAAAGTGACCAGATGAAGCTACCCAATCGAGCTTTAGTTAGATTGCTTTGGCTTGCCAGGTTGAACTGCCTGCCTACCTAAGAGTGGATGATCCTGACGCTGAACGCTAAAACCCAGTGGCGTTTCTAGGTTACTGTAGACTTTTTGCACGTTTTAGCGGATGGCGCACGGCTCCTTCAATGGAAACAGGCGCTGAATTGTGACGTAGGAAGAGATTGATGGGACCCAGGTTACGGGTTTTCAAGGTTGAAAAAGCTTGATCTCGGTTGTCGGGGAGTAAACAAAACGCTCGCTCGCTTATTAAGATCGTCAATTAAGAAATGCTGACTGAACCTTTGGACCTTGACCTACCTATGAGTGAATGGCAATGTTATATCCTTTGGATTCAATCGCTGACAGAGTGAGAATTTGCTCAACTTATGTATGAAGCCCGGCATCATCGGCTCACAAACCTCGGAATCGTTAGACAACTAACTGCAACAGTGCAACTACGTACGCAAGTGGCGGGTGCAGCCTCAGACCAAAACGAGGATAGGCAGGCATGTCTCCAGAAATACCGTGCATAAGCCCAGTTCAAGGGTCTTTGTCTTCTCATCTTCTGAGCGATCGGCTAATCAATGTGATTAGTCGTCAGCTGTTGAGGCTGTGATTCCCTATGCGAATCTCAATCTCTCTCATCGAGGCTGAGTTTCAATCAAGTGCAGATACGACTGCAAGACCGACAATGGATTCAGCAGCATACGGTCAGTACACGCAAGTCCTTGTCCGTCGGACTATGTTTCTCCAACCTATCGAGTTGGGCTGGCATGTTCTGGTGGCTGAGCTGTTAGAAGTTCCATTTTAACGCTGCCAAGACAAGGGTTCGACAGTAGATAGTTTCAATTATGCTAGGCTATGGATAAACGTAAGTTGAATCCTCACACAGATATGGATTGTAGATTGCTGCACAGCTGTCACCTTGAAGAATGCCTTCCAAAGTGATTCGACACACGCAGCCTAAGAACTGCGTCTGCCTGGATCATCTTTGCCATCTCACCCATTTCCATGCGAATGGTGACTGTCACGAGCCAATTACCATCATCCACTTTCTAAGTTTGGCCAAATTTGCCGTCTTGAAATAGTCACTCTTCTTAAAGCCGTCGCTTTATGGTTTGATATTTTGCACCCAAAACTCCAAACGCCCGTTTTCCGTCCTAGGCTCCATTTGCGTCATCGCATAGTATATCTGCCCTGGCGATAGCCGGTTGTCCAAGAGATTGTCAAGAACATAGGTATTCAAGGCTTGTCGCAATGGGAAGGCTGCATACACATGTGACCCGTCCCAGTGTTCAGTTATCAGGCGAACCAAAGCTGACTGCGAACCGAATATCTTGATGAGTTTCGATGTTTGACTTGCAACTGCATAGCCGTTTCACAGATAGTTCTTCTTCTTGGCGGTTCGTGTGTACTGCGTGAGATGCCATTCGACATCGCCTTCCTTGTTCTCGAGAGTGCCATTGCGGATCTCGAAGACCCTCATTGTCATCCGTGGTCCAACCTCGGCCAACTCGACGCTGTCATATCCGGTCCTGACAAAAACATGGTGCCTGACCTCAATGCTATCCTCGATGTTCTTGAATGTTACCACTCGGTTGCCGACCTTGTTCTTGGCTGTAATAGCTTCGCGAGGAGGGAAAACGTGCTTCAAGACCTTCACCACCCGCTCACCCAAGCGACTGGTAAAGCCGTCGAAAATGAGGTGGGGATACGACTCGCTCACAGTTCCTCGGACGCTTCCAGGAATATCGTGACGGAGCACAACATTATGTAGAGAGAAAGAAACGGTGGGACCGTGGGGGAGATGCGACAGGGTCAGTGCTGTCGGAGTACCTCGATGCTCGTGGAGAAGGACGACGTCGGAAAGGCCCGCTGACTGGGCAGAATGTACTAGGTCGGGCAAGATGAGATTTCCACGATTCAGGCGAACAGCAGTGGGAAGAAGAAGTCTGATCTCCTTGGCGAAAGCCGCCAATCGAGCTGAGGGATCTCGAGAAGTTGTCACAAGGACACGCGGGTCGACAATTCCAGAAAGTTGAGCATACTCGTCGTCGAGGTCGAGTTGTTCGTTGGTGGTGAGGTCGGGTCGAGATTCATCGTACTGGTAGTCCTTGCGCAAGGTCTTGTCATTCGCAATCGTTGAGTCAAGAGGCTTGCCAGAAGCAAGAGAAGATCTCAGCTTGGCCCGTTTCTCGCTGATCTCGGCATCTCGTAGGAGAAGAGCTCGTCGGTATAGGTAGTCGCGCCTTTGGCGCGCTTGTTTGCGCTGCGTTATAAAAGTCAGTTTTGTTCGAAACCAACAAAGTAAGTCCCAGTTGAGCTTACAATCATCGTATATTATGGTGTCTGTCCGCTATGTGGTGTTTGAAACATTGGCAGTCGGTATAAAATTTCCTGGCTGTCGCTTCGAAAGTCTGAATGGAAAAAGTTCCTTATCTGATAGAGCTGATAACGAAATCACCTATCACGTGGGCGCAAAATGTCCCACCAACTTCACCCAGCAAAGAGGGTCCAGCTGTTCACCTGGATATAATTCTGGCTCACCAGAAGCCACAATTTCTTGCCGCCAAACTTTGTGACGTGCAATCAGTCGGTATTTGTGCTACTCGTGATCTGGCTTGACTCCGAGTTTATTTCTCGCAGCCTGCCCTACCTTCGCTCGGGCGCATTTGTTCCCGCGATGATGTGAGCCTTACCAGCGACTTGCAACTCCCGATCACTTTCCACAATCCGACCCGAGTCGCCCCTGGGCCTTCCCATACGGATCTTTCGAAAGAAGAAACAGCTGTAGGTGAGTCGCGCCCATTATTGGCTTTGGCAAACGACAATCCCGTTGTTTTTGCCCACTGCGTCACCGCCACCCTTGCTGTTTGATTTGACGCGGGGCATTAGGTGCTGATAAGTCTCTGTACAGGAAAACCCTACGAGCCACCAACAAACTTAACACAACACCAATATGGAAGGCGCTTTCACCCATGTTGGGAATCATTTGATATCCGACTCGGCTGCTGCTATCAAGGCTGGAGCCGATGATCTCACTACGATCGACCCCGACGAGAGCTTACTCTATGGCAAATATGGAGATCGAAATGGCCGCCGCCGAGCCGATGATGATGATAACCAGACCGAGGCTTTCGAAGAAGATGACAACGACAGTCTGAACAGCGTTCCGATCGATGGACTGACTGGACTTAAGCTGAAGGGTCAGGACGAGGAGAAGGAACTTCCGGCCCATGCGTGCGCGTAGGTTTACTGCTGGTCTTGTTCTCGACGTTGGCTGACATGATGCTAGGTACTGCGGCATCCACTCTCCAGGATGTGTCGTGAAATGCCTCAGCTGCAACAAATGGTTTTGCAGTGCGAGAGGCAACGGCACTTCGACCCACATCGTAAACCATCTTGTTCGAGCTCGTCATAAAGAAGTTCAACTTCACCCCGAGTCTACGCTAGGCGATACAGTGTTGGAGTGCTACAACTGCGGAACCAAGAATGCCTTCCTCCTGGGTTTTATCCCCGCCAAGTCCGACACCGTTGTTGTCCTCCTCTGCCGACAACCATGTGCCGCCAATACCTCGAACAAGGATATGAACTGGGATACATCACGATGGCAGCCTCTGATCGAAGAACGAGCATTTTTGCCTTGGTTGGTGGCAACCCCATCCGATTCCGAGCAACTTCGAGCCCGCCATCTTACACCAAACATGATTGCCAAGCTGGAAGAGATGTGGAAGATTGAACCCAAGGCAACAGTGGTTGACCTCGAGAAGGCAGCCAGTATCGATGACGACCCGCAGCCTGTCCTACTAAACTACGACGACCCTTACCATTACCAGAACATCTTTGGCCCTCTGGTCAAGATGGAATCTGACTACGACAAGAAACTGAAGGAGGCGCAATCGGAAGATGGACTTCTCGTCCGTTGGGACTATGGTCTGAACAATAAACATCTCGTTAGCTTCAATCTTCACAAGATTGAGTCTGGAGATGTGAAGCTTGCAGTTGGCGATGAGATGCGATTACGTTACAAGGGCGAGCTTCGATCTCCCTGGGAAGGAGTCGGATATGTCATCAAGATCCCGAACAACCAGTCTGACGAGGTAACACTGGAATTGCGCAAGACAGGTAACGAGAAGCTTGTGCCTACCGACTTGTCCCACAACTTCTCAGCCGACTATGTCTGGAAAGCGACCTCATACGATCGTATGCAGCTTGCCATGAAGACCTTTGCTGTTGACGACATGAGTGTATCTGGTTACATCTTCCATACCCTGCTCGGCCACGAGGTTCAATTGCAGGTTATGAAGACGAACTTGCCGAAGAAGTGGTCCGCCCCTGGTCTACCCGACCTCAACCCTAGCCAAGTCGGGGCTATCAAGGCAGTTCTTCAGAAGCCCCTTAGTCTTATTCAAGGTCCTCCTGGAACCGGCAAGACGGTCACCTCAGCCACTATCATTTACCATTTGGCCAAGATGAGCGGAAACCAGGTTCTTGTGTGCGCACCTTCCAACGTTGCCGTTGACCAGCTCTGTGAACGTGTCCACCGCACAGGACTCAAAGTTGTTCGCCTCACAGCCAAGTCTCGCGAGGATGTCGAATCATCTGTCAGCTTTCTAGCTCTCCACGAGCAGGTGCGCATGTCAGAGCACAACAGCGAACTTGTCAAACTCTCACAGCTCAAGAACGAGTTGGGCGAATTGTCGAGTCAGGACGAGAAGAAGTACAAGCAGCTTACCAAGATCGCCGAACGCGATATTCTCAACAACGCCGATGTTGTTTGCTGCACTTGTGTGGGAGCTGGTGATCCTCGTCTTTCGAAGATGAAATTCCGAAACGTTTTGATCGACGAGTCGACTCAATCAGCAGAGCCTGAGTGCATGATCCCGCTTGTTCTTGGATGTAAGCAGGTTGTCCTTGTTGGTGACCACAAGCAGCTCGGTCCTGTCATCATGAACAAGAAGGCAGCCAAGGCAGGTCTTAACCAGTCGCTCTTTGAGCGCTTGGTCAACTTGAAACTCTCCCCCATTCGACTCAACATCCAGTACCGAATGCACCCCTGTCTGTCTGAGTTTCCCTCCAACATGTTCTACGATGGTAGTCTGCAAAATGGTGTCACTCATGAGAACCGTCTGCGGAAGGATGTCGACTTCCCTTGGCCGGTAGGTGAGATGCCTATGATGTTTTGGTCCAACTTGGGCCACGAGGAAATTTCTGCCTCGGGAACATCTTACCTCAACCGCACAGAAGCATCCAACGTCGAGAAGGCCGTCACCAGATTTTTCAAGGCTGGTGTCAAGCCTGCTGACATTGGTGTTATTACTCCGTACGAGGGCCAACGAAGCTACATCGTAACAACAATGCAAAACTCGGGAACCTACAAGAAGGAGTACTACAAGGAAGTCGAAGTTGCTTCGGTTGATGCTTTCCAGGGCCGTGAGAAGGATTTTATTGTCCTTTCTTGTGTTCGATCCAATGACAACCAAGGTATCGGTTTCTTGTCTGATCCCCGTCGTTTGAACGTGGCTTTGACTCGAGCCAAGTACGGTCTTGTCATTCTCGGTAACCCCAAGGTTCTGTCCAAGCACGAGCTCTGGCATAATCTGCTTGTCCACTTCAAGGACCGCAAATGCTTCGTGGAGGGCCCATTGACTAACCTCCAGGCATGCCTGCTTCAGTTCAGCCGACCTAAGGTTAGCTTCCGACAGAAGAACCAGCAGCCGCAGTTTGGAGCCGGCAGCTATTCTTCCAACGGGGGGCGGTTCAACCCGCCTCCATCGGCATCTGGTCGTGATTTCGACCTGGGCTCTATGGTGTCGTACATCCCTGACGATGTCTCTTCTGTTCACGGATCTGCATTTGGCGGTGCCTCGCTTAACAGCGCCTTCCCCCCAATGTTCTCAAGCTTTACCCCTGACCAATGGCCCGGTCTACCAGGCGTTGCGGCTCCTAGCCGAGGCGGCAAGAGCCGTGGCCGTGCTACAGAAAGTGTTGCAGGAGAGAGCGTGGCCAACTCGGAGTATACGGATGCATCTTCAAGCGTGATTGGGGGCAAAGGAGTTGGGCAGGGCGGTGTCAGTCTTGGGGCAGGGCTCCACGATGCTGTCACAGGCATGCGACCAGTTTCCTACAGCCAAAGCGACCGACTCAAGCAGTACGTCGAAAGCAGCGGACGCATGGCACCTAGCAACGGTTACGGACGACGTTTCGACGATGACGAGAAGAGCGTCAGCACCGCATTCCATAGCCAGATTGGAGGAGGCTACGACTGAATGACGACGTGAGCGTTACTGGTAGATGATTCCAATTTTGCATCCCACAGGCTCTGCTGCACGACTTGCCACCACCGCCGGATCACCAAGCGCGGGGGGCAAATCCTCGTCACCTTCGGAAGTCTTTCCAATAAGGTCTACACGGTCAAGTCCGCTCTTCATTGCGGAGACCGTGTCGTGTCCGACTTTTGGACGATGCCTGGCCAGACAAGCCAGGACAGACACACATGCGTTGCGTTGCCAGTGGGACGACCTACGACGGCCTTTTATAGGACCATAGCGGGCCGGGCAGTTGCAGATTGTCTTGATCTTTGACAATATTACGATAGCGGAGGAGTTACTTGAAGAAGGTGGAAGAAATGGCGAGAAGGTGGGCAGCAACGACAGATAATGTCCCAGTATCGTCGTAAAGGGGCTAGATTACGGAAGAGGCGTCATGTCATATATCATGACGGTAGAAACCAAATCGAAGGAAATGCCGGCCACTTGGTTGTTGGGATGCTTTTAGCACCGTAGGTTGAGGATTTTGAGCATTCGAGCTCACCCCAGTCAGTCATTACTAGCTAGAAAAATAAACTTGAGTCGTTCTTTAGATCTGAAGTGCAGCACGGAGTAGGGGCCTCATGCAGGAACGTGTACCTTGCATGTTACGGGGTTGAAGCAAGGGATTCGATGGAATGCTATCCGTACAACACACCAGGAACTCTGTTAACGAAGCGGTTGTCGGCAAGTTACGCGGACATGAAAGACACGTCAGCGCAGGGGTTGAGATATAATATTATTCAGGGGTCGTGGTATTAACTTATTGCTTGGTGTTAATGGCTGACGTCCAACGACTCCAACCTGCCACTGGGTGGACTAGACCGTTTGCGCTAAATGACCCTGTCTAGGTTGATCTAGGCGACTGTTTTAGCTGGGCTTAGTGGCATTGAATGGAGAGTTGGGTGGTAAGGTTGGTACTCTAGTAGTTGAAGGCCAAGCGCAGATACAGGTATAGTAACGTCTACGAATGTAGACGGTTTGTACTCGGTACTCGATAGGTATTGAGTTGGACTCAATTAAATTGTGGGGAAATTTAAACATCAGTTGATTAGAAACTGTCAAGTGGTTACAGGCACCTTTGAACTGGTATGTACACAGCGTAAGCCTCCCCCCTATGGCTGCATATCGCATATCATCCATTCTCTTCCTCCCTTGAGCTTGGGAGCTTGGAGCTGGACTTGGATCTTAGACCTGGTGGGCTTGGCTTGGCTTCTTCCCACTACGGAACCCGACTATTGGCTCCCTACTCCGTAGTTTTTGTCTCACCTCTTACGCCGCCCGCTTAGTTGGGGACCAGATCTACTTTAACGGGGACAGTTCCAGGTCAGGCTATATTAGTTAGATAAACAGGTACTTTGGTAGGTAGGTAGTAAAGTACGCAGTACAGACACATGTGTCGCCCTTTCCACCTCTCCTTGTCATCGCTCATTACCTGTCTCTTACATTCACATCTCTCGCTGTCTTTTTCTTGGGCTTCTCGCTTCACGTCACTCTTTTGCATCAATTGACTGTTATTTCCCTCCAGAGCAGGCGAAATAACTACACAGCTCAAACTTTTGAAATCTCAACCTGCAATGCGCCCATCATAATCACTATACAATGTTGGCCTCTTTCCAAGGACGACCAGGTCGTCGCTACATCAGCCTATTCCTCTTTATCGGCATCACATGGTTCCTCATTCACAACTTCCGTCCCTACGAGCGCTATCGCACCGTGAGAATCGGCGTTTACAACTACCTCCCCAGCAGCTACGACTGGAGCAGGCAGAAGATTTCCCACCCGGTCGAGGACATCCGGGCCCCCCCGAACGGCACATTCAAGGTGCTTCCCCGAATTCAAAAGGAGCGTTCCGACGACTACAAGGAAGATACCGAGACAACCGCTAGAAAGGCGGCTATCAAGGAGGCTTTCACCAAGAGTTGGCAGGCTTACAAGAAGCATGCCTGGGGCCGGGATGAGCTCGCGCCTGTCTCCCTCCAGGGAAAGACGACCTTTTCTGGCTGGGCTGCTCAGATTGTCGATGCCCTCGACACTCTCTGGATTCTCGACATGAAGGATGAGTTCAAGGAAGCTGTCCAGGTTGTCGCCATGATTGATTGGTCCCGCACCGGAGACGACTACCTCAACCTGTTCGAAGTGGCCATTCGTCACCTGGGAGGTCTTCTCTCTGCCTACGAGCTCTCCGACGAGGCTGTCTTGCTCGGCAAGGCCATCGAGCTTGGTGAGATGCTCTACGTCGCGTTTGATACTCCCAATCGTCTGCCATCCCACTGGCTCTATTTCCAGGCTGCCAAGAGCGGCACTCAGCAGGCCGATGAGCAAATGTCTGGTGCTGCTGGTGGCTCCATGTGTCTCGAGTTCACCCGCTTATCCCAGATAACTGGCAACCCCAAATTTTACGATGCTACCGAGCGCATCAAGAAGTTCTTCTACCGCAACCAGGACAAGACCAAGATTCCTGGTTTATGGCCTCATGTCATGAACTACCGTGACGAAAAGGTTGGGGAGTCTCGATTTACGCTCGGAGCTGGTGCAGATTCCCTCTACGAGTACTTGCCTAAGATGCACGCTTTGCTGGGTGGCTTGGATCCTGAATACGTCGAGATGACTGCCAAGGCTCTTGACACCGCCACGAAGCACATTCTTTACAAGCCTCGTAACCCTAACGATCTCAACATCCTCATGTCGGGCAATGTCCTGGCAGGCGATGAGGGTACCAAGCCCGAGCTTACCGCTGAGATGCAGCATTTGACATGTTTCATCGGCGGCACTTACGCTTTGGCTGGTAAGCTACTCTCACGAAGTGACCTCCTTGACCTCGGTTCTCGTTTGACGGCTGGCTGCGTGTGGGCGTATGACGCTTTCCCCACCAACATCATGCCTGAGATTGCTCAACTAGAACCTTGTGATTCCATCACCAGCAAGTGCCGCTGGAGTGACAAGCCTGTGGAGAAGAAGGACAAGCTACCCGATGGCTTCGTCCGTGTGCGCAACTCTGAGTACCGACTGCGCCCTGAGGCTATCGAGAGTGTGTTTTACATGTGGCGTATCACGGGCGACGAGGTCTGGCGCTCTGCTGCTTGGCGCATGTGGGAGGGCATCGTCAAGCAGACTGAGACCCAAGAGGCATTTGCTACAATCAGTGATGTCAACAGGAAGGGCAGCGACAAGCGGGACAAGATGGAGGTAAGTTTCCCTGGTTCCTCAATCATTGACAAATGCTGACAACTTCCTTTAGACTTTCTGGATGTCTGAGACAATCAAGTACTTCTATCTCACCTTCGACAACCCCAGTGTTATCAGCCTGGATGATTGGGTGCTCAACACTGAGGCTCATCCCTTTAAGCGCCCCAAGGGTGAAGAGGTGGAGGCGCCCGAGAAGAAGACATCATGGTGGAAGTTTGGACACTAAGCTATAGGCTTTCGTATGATTTGGATCGGTGTTTTGGTGGGCCAGACGAATAGGAGCCTAGTGCTCTGGATATATGAAGTCTGCATAATAACGACATTGGATGTAACAAGACAATTTTAACTGCAATTTGGCTATTTATTCACGCGCACATACTTGACACGGGGGACGTTATCTTCGGAACTGAGTTGTCATATGATAGAGATCCATGCATCTAAGATCCATGGTGTTAATATGATGAGGTAGCATCGCCAAATTTGACACACTGCCAGATGTGATATCGATGTCAGTATCCGTAGTCTCAGAGAATGAATTATTTTTGTTGACCATTTTTTATAAAACCTTGATGTCATTGACTTTTGCACTTGCTCATCATGGCTATGAAACGTCCCGCTAAACGCATCGCCCCGCCTGGCGCATAAGAGCTTTGCCCCTCGAGACCTTTATAGATTACATCACCACCAAAAATCAATGTCATAACCCATGTCTTCCACCCACTTACACCAGCCTGTAACATCATTTCACGATTCAATCCCGAGCCCTGTCTCTTTCTTCTTCCCTATTCCTGTTTATACTGCCGTAATGCGGCATGCCGCTGCGTCCCTTTCTCCTCTGTAGCCTGCGCCCAGCGTCAATTCCTCCCATCTGCGGCGCCAGACCTCTCCGGTGTCGGACAACAGCTCTTACTAGGCATGGACTGCAAGCTCAGCAGCGAAGAGGGCGGCATGATGAGGTTGCGCATAAGAATCATTATGAGCGGCTGAACATACGGCATGATGCTACACCAGCCGAGATCAAAAAGTAACCTCACAACTCTTGGATCTTGCCCTCGATGAAGTAGCTGACACCTCCCAGATCTTTCTACTCACTCTCAAAAACCCACCATCCCGACGCAAATCGATCGGACCCAAACGCAGCCTCCACCTTCTCCCTCATTTCCGAGTCCTATACTGTTCTCTCCGACAAGAATCGCCGCGCAACCTACGACCGAGATGTCCTCCGTCTACATCACCACCCGCCGCAAACTCACGCCCATCGCGGCTCTTATCACTCCCACCAACCCGGTGGGCGCGCGCCTTCAGGCCTGAGTCGCAGAAGGGGCACCTTTCGCGGCCCGCCACCTAGTTTCTATCGTAGCGGAGGGTGGGGGGATCAAGCCGACAAACGCCAGAAAGCGCATGAGGAAAGCACTGGTGGTGGTGGCGCATCGTCGTATGAGCGGAGCGCATCGCATAACTCTCAGCAGAACCCATGGGGAAATCCTTTTAGTCATGAGTCTTCTTCTCATGGAGGCATGGGACCAGGCGACGACCCCTTTGGACACCATGACGATGTTTCTCACTTCGACAGGGACGGGCATACACGAACTCATCGACGAGAGGACCAACGACGGAAGGACCGAAGACACAGACGTGCGGTGGGTGACGATGATATCGAATTCGAGCCGCAGACGACCATCACAGGGCATTTTATTATAATATCAGGCATTCTGGCCACTACTCTATTGGCACCCCTCATATATATTCAGTTCATGAGCATTGGGCAGCAGCCAAAAAAGGAGAAGGTCTAGACGGCTCTCGTTACTCAATTACGAGGATAGATCATACACAAAGCGCAGACATACATATGTCAGTACCAGCGGAGTTCGACTGCATGGGTACGTAAAGCACTGTAGAGGATTGGTTATTTGCAAGCATAAGGATATAAAACTTTTGTCGACAATCGTGCATTGAAACGCGACAAGATATGGTCTTTAGGAATTTTTATTTGAGATAATCTACAACCTTTGAGACCACCGCAATGCAAGCCTGTAAGGTACAAGAGCTGCTGAGGGTGGGGCAACTCTAGAGCGGAATATTCTAGCGATAATTTTGGGCTAGATTATGGGAGGAATATTGTTTTTAGAAGCAGTTTAACCCTCGAAGGTGAAGCTGGCTCCGAGCTTGTGGGTAGCCTGGTCGAGCTTCTGGGTATCGAAAGAGCCACCAAGACCCAGGGTGACACCCTCGCGGAGGAGAACGTTGTAGGCAAGGGCAGCGATACCACGGTCGTTGATCTTGACCTAGAGTTCGGAACACGAGTCAGTTAGAAGTCCCATGATCGTTAAGATTTGGATATACGGACCTTGGTGAAAGAGACGGGGTCGATACGGTACTTGCTGGCAACCTCGAGACCGACAGCGTTACCGGTCTTGGAGTTCCAGGTAGCCTTGGCACCGGCCTCAACCTGGGAGTTAACCTTGTGGTAGTAAGAGGCAGCGAAGACGCTGAGGTTGTCGGAAGCGGTGATGGCAGCGCTGTACTGGGGAGCAGCGTAACCGACAGCGGCGCTGTAGGCGGTCAGAGCAGCCTTGTTGGCATCGTAACCGGCGGAGGCACCAGCGAGGAAACCCTCGTGGCCGACAACAGCATCGACGTTGGCGACGGGGCCCTTGAGGAGGTCGAAGAAAGCACGGCCGTGGAAACCGGGCTGCTTGAAGTGGAGGTTGAACTTAGCACCCTTGGCGGCGGTGGCGGGGAGGAAGTTGAAGAGACCCTCGAGCTTGAGGCCCTTGGCGAGGGAGTCGGCAACCTCGATCTTGGTGTCGAGAGCGTTGGCGGTGTTCCAGGTCTGGGTGAGGGTCAGGCCTGTGTGGGAGTAGAACATTAGCAGCTGAGCATAGCCGGGTTGAAAAAGTGTCGCAAATCCGATCGGCCAACCAGATTTGGGCCCAAGGATTCGCGATACACTGAGAGAGGGGAGATTTTGTTTTTTGCGGCGGGGTTTGGGTATGGGTGGTGGAGACAGAGACGGAGTTTCAGACGGTGAAAGCAAAGGTGTTGAAGGAAAAGATAGTGAAGTCGTACCGGTAGGCTTGTCGGTGTATTTTCCCTCAATCTGCGAGAATCATGTCAGTAATCTGAAGCTGGAGACCAAGGTCTTTCCAATCTCTACAGGGGTTTCGGTTGAAGCTTAAGTGAATTGAGCCCACAACGGCCAGGGAAAGCCGCGGTAGACTGAACACTAGCTTCCGAACCCCCGAGCATGAAAAGACGGAATGCCGTTGCGTTTGCTGGGAGACCAAGACTTACAGCAGCAGAGGTGGCCTTCTCGTGGCTGGACTTGCCAGTGACCTTGAAAGCAACGCCGTTGGGGGCGGTGTCCTTGAACTCGAAGGTGGTGGCAGAGAGGTGGTAGAAATCCTTGTTGAGGAGCTATGGAGCGGCGCAAAAAAGAAGCGCAAAAGTCAGCAGAGTTCATAAAGAATCTCAGGGTAGGTATAGCAATTCCCGTTGTTTGATTTGTTGAAGCAATTGGTATCTTAGAGCTGTATTGTCTGGTCCACTTTCTCGGTGCGAGGTCCGAGAGAGCGAAAAACTGACTGGTAGAAGCAGTGATATAGTCACAGCTCGAGAAATCAAAATAGAGCATAGATGACCCATAGCTATCAACACAACGTGGGGGAGGTTTAGAGAAGGCATACATCGTTGGCCGGCTTGGCAATGTCGGAGAAGGCGGGGACAGACATGATTGCGGTGTTTGGTATCTTGAAGATTATGAGTCTCAAAGAAAAGATGTGATGAAGATGGAGATGAGGAAATGAGGATGGGAACGGGGGAGAAGGAGATCACACCCAAAGGCGGGAGATGATGGGAGGAGCCTGGCAGAAAATGTTTGGGCATAGATTTACACAGGGTTATCATCCTGCACAGGGCTTTATTGTTGGGGGCCCCCGCTGGAACAAGGGTCGCGCAGGTACAACAGGCCAGCTCCACACGGCCTGAGCTCTGGGGTGCTGGACTGCTACGGGCCCTACCAGGCCTGTGCAGCGCTTGAGTAGAAGGAATTGACACAGGGATAACCTAAGTCGGCTGATATCGGGACTGTATCAATATGGCTGTTATCCCGGTGACAGACGGCAAGACCTAGGTAGACAAGTTTTTAGCTGAAGATCATGGAATTGATTTAACCAATGTCCCCAGCACAGAGCAGGGGCCCACGTGGAGGGGTAATTTCAATGAATCAACGATGGCTTCAGAAAGAGTTGGTCAATCAATAAGACGGGAGAGTTAATTGGATGATGACTTCTCACTACCAAGTCGACGGGTTTGCTATTAGTCGCAACACCACCAAGCACGCATTTACTTGTCATGATCTTAGTTGACCCCTCATGTTCTCAATACCCAATTACTTATCCGCAGTATACTACTGCAATACCGCATAAGGCTTCTAGGTTGTCCATCTCATGCAATTTGGACCAGCACACACCAGTCGCTGCCCAACATGTTCTGAATATATCCAACTTTAGCTTGCATTTCTGTCAACGCATGAACAGCTCAGAGGCTAACAACTCACAACTCGGGTGACTCCATCACTAATGAACCACTCCTATAAGCAAACGGAATGCTCTGGCCTATAACTGCCCAAAGGAGATAGTACTTAACAAAAGTAGTCTTATTCTTGAGGAGAAAAACTACACTGATGAACTGGGACGTTAAGCCCACGTCTAAGAATGTCATTTTCCTATTGGCCATTTGACCACACCCTTTCACTCATAGCTTCCTCGTCCATCAAGACCCTTCATGCATAAACAACTCAAGCGGCATAATCCAAAACTGGCTACCTTACGTGGGATCCCATAGGAAGCATTCACCGACACTTGTACTAAAATGCACAATCCAATTCTTTCTTTCTAGAACTTTTATGTTTATTCTGCATTCCCGTATCCATCCCATCCGTCCATTTTGTCGTCATCATCATTCAGAGGAAGTTAAATAATCCCAAGACGCCCTTTTCTCTACTTCCAAGAAAACAAGACACAGAGATAGTCCTTAGATCAGGTTCACGACAGATACTCCAAATAGTATAAGTTACAAGAAATCAGACAAGAGATATCGGCTTGACGTCTTGCTTGATTCGTTAAGTCATTAAGCCGCGCTGTCGTACTTGGCGTTGTGTGTGGAAATGGCTCTATAATTGTATATCAGTAACCATTTCTTCCTGCTCTTTCTCCAAGCGATTACTTGGAGTAATAGAAAGCTACTTACCGGCCACTGGGGTCACTCTGCTTGGACCAAGTAGGAGTCCAGCGCATGACTGTTGAGGCGCAGTGAGGAGGGAAGTGCTCATCGAACATGCATCGGTACCAGTAGCTATGGTTTGTTAGCCTCATTTTGATAATCCAAAAGAACGGGTGACAACATACGCCTCCTTGGTATCCGGGATATCGTTACCCCACTCAGGCTTGGGGTTCTTCATCATCTCGTCTGTCACCTGCTTCTCGGCAGTGTCCTTCAGGGAGTCAATCCATCCGTAGCCGACGCCATCGGAGAACTGCTCCTTCTGTCGCCAGAGGATGTTGTCGGGAAGATAAGGTTGCTCATCGGGCTCATCTGTGGTATCGAAAGCCTTGCGGATGATGTACTTCTCGAGTCTGTCCTTGGTGATCATCTTCTCTTGAGGGTCAATGTTCATGGACGTCTCGAGGAACTTTTTCTTGTTAGCATCAAGATTCAAATTACTAGGATCAACGTCTGCTTACCTCCTTGTCAAGGAAAGGAACACGAGCCTCAAGACCCCAAGCAGAGGTAGACTTGTTGGCTCGGAGGCAATCGGCCAGGTGCAGGTTCTTAACACGACGGACGGTCTCCTCGTGGAAAGCCTCCTTGTCAGGGGCACCGTGGAAGTAGAGGTAGCCACCGAAGATCTCATCACTACCCTCTCCGCTCAGAACCATCTTGATACCCATAGCCTTGATCTTACGCGATAAGAGGTACATGGGGGTGGAGGCTCGGATGGTGGTAACATCATAAGACTCGAGGTGGAAGATAACATCGGAAAGGGCGTTGAGACCATCCTCGATGGTGAAGGTCATAACGTGATGCTTGGTACCCAGGAACTTGGCAACCTCAAGGGCAGCCTTGTTATCGGGAGAGCCAGGTAGACCAATAGAGAATGAGTTGAGCTGAGGAAGGTATGTGAGTGTATCGATGTGATCGTCATCATCAATACCGACAAGACCCTCTCCGGTGTCGGGGTTCTCAACAGGGAGGACGTTGCCGTTGGCCTCCAGGGCCTGTTTTCGAAGTCTGGTCACCTCACGCTGAGCAATAGAGGCTGTCAGACTCGAGTCAAGACCACCAGAGAGCAAGACACCAAAGGGAACCTCAGCCATGAGTCGCTTTCGAACAGACTTCTCGAGGGCATGTCGGAGCACCTTCAAATCCACAGGGTTGCTGGGAACCTTCTTGGGATCCCACCAAGAGGGGTTGAAGTAGCGAGTGGTCTCGCCGGTCTTGGAGTCGTAAACGTGGCCAGGAGGGAAAGCAACGATCTTGTCACAGACGCTGTGCAGGCACTTCAGCTCAGAAGCGAAGTAGACAGTTCCGGGCTCCTTGGTGGACCAGCCCTGGTAGAAGGTAGTGATACCGATGGGGTCGCGAGCGGCAATTGTGCGGTCCTGCTTCTTGTCGTAGAGAACGAAGGAGAACATGCCATCGAGGTGGTTAGGGCAGTCTGTGTCAAACTCGGTGTACTGTACAGAAGCGGTTGTAAGCTTGGTGCTCCTGCACAATTCATGGGCCAGGCGCATATCTTACCAGGGGAATGATAACCTCACAGTCGGAGGTGGTCTTGAAGTGGTACTGCTCCTTGAGGTTCTTTCGGATGTGACGATGGTTATAGATCTCACCGTTGACGGCGAGAATGATGCTGTCGTCGGCGTTGGTCAGGGGCTGAGCGCCAGACTCTGTAGAGAATTGTTAGTCGGGAGGGCACCCGAGTAGGCGCATAGAGTTGCGACTTACCGACACCGACAATGCTGAGACGCTCATGGCAAAGGACTAGACAGGAGAGTTAGGGTTTGTGATCCCACGGGGTTGCAAGTCAATTGGCTTACTGGTGTGGTTGGCAATAACGCTTCCGCCTGGACATGTGAGGTTAGTTTTTGCGGTTTCGGGATAGCGAAGATCCAGCCAGCATTTTCACTCACTCCAATCGGGGCCACGGTGACGGATTCTGCGCCAAACAAGTCAGTCCTGGTATTTATTTTCTGTTGGAGGTACGGGAAACACATACTGCTTTGCCAGCTTCAGGGCGGTGGGCTTGAACTTTTCGACGTCGGGATGACTGTAAGAAGGCGAAATGTCAGTCGCGCCATGATCCTGCAACAGCTTTTTCCCCCTCCGACCGCGGGGTGATTTCTCAATTCCGTTTCCCAATTCCAATTCCAACTCTAATTGATGGCGGGGTCCTCAATGCTCCGTGCCTTGCCCCTCCAAAACACCAAAAAAAGATCCATGTCCCATGTCCATGTTCATGTTCATACTCGCAAGGGGGGGGAGGGAGCATACCGGTGACAGGCGAAGATACCACACATGATTGCGATTGCAGAAGATTGCGCACGGTATGTGTGTACGGGTAAAGAAGTGGTTGACGGAGGATAGTGGGAGGGAAAGAAAAGGCCGGGACGAGACAAGATTAATATTTAGTAGTAGCTCGCCTCAGAGGGTAAAAAAAAGAGGAGTCATACCTAACCAAAACTCCACCCTCGTTCCGCCGGCACAGGACATGACAGGCGATAAGTAAAGTACGTAGACGGTACCTGGAACCTGGAAGCTGAAAGGCGCAAGGTTATTCGCGGTTATGGCACGATCCAAAATCACTTTGTCTTGGTATTTGGCCCGTTAAGGTTATCCACAAAGATGCTCCGCTGCGGACGCGGATGGATATCTCTCTCCACTGTGATGATGACCGGCATGAGTAATAAGATATGGATGCTAACTCAGCTCGCTCGTCACGATCTACATGTCTTAATTCTCTTGCTCTTGCTCTAGCACTGGCCCTCAAACTCAATGGCTTGTATACCTACCTAGTTACGGACACAATGGCCTGTCCGTTGATAGATAACGGCTCTCTTTATCGCGTTATCAACGTTTCAAAGCCAAAAGATTTTTGGGTGTGAGTGAGTCGCGTGCCGATTTCGGCACGTAATTCGGTCGACTTCATTGGCGGCCAAAAGCAGCTGAGCCCTGTGAGCTTGGAAGTTCCTGGATGAATTACATAACTCGAATAAACTTTGACATTAGGTGCTTGATAAGGGGAATACGGCGGATATACGTCGTGTTATCGTTGCGTCACAACTGACAAGAGCAATGGTTGAGGCTCTGATTGACGTAGCATTTATTATTAAACCTCCAGATGGAAGATGACATGCAGAGATGGAAAAAGACCTACTAGGACGAAATTTTACACTTGATCCAGAAGAACCCTTACAAAAGCTATTTCATCTCTCCCCTGTATCGACCTTTCAGACTCACACAAGTCGTATCAGACCAGCACGACACTGCAACGTCTCTCGTGTCAACTGTCAACGGTAGAGAATCAGATATTGTGGGGGCAGATCCTAGACATATCATATTCCCACAGCGCAGCCGCAAGTGATTCACTCGCCGACATAAATCCTTGAGCGTGTGGAACCAACAGCAGCGTCTACTGTAACAACTGCCGAGAGATGTGACCAGGCATGAAAAAAGAAATGAAAAAAGGACCTTCTCAAGATTTGGAGGAGCACGCTCTTGCCATGACCTGGCCAATGCAGCCCGTTCTTGATACGCTACATGACCTATGCCTCGTGCCCATTCCTCGTCATGTTGTAGCATGCCTCATATCATCTTGTGTTACAAAGCATCGCCCCCCGTGGTTCCTGCACTCCTCCTCGCGGGCTCCAAGTTGATTTCCGCCTTGGTATTTCCCTAAACGCCATAGCCTAAGGTTCCCTACAAAGAAAAGTCCCGTCTAAATTGTCTGCCTGCTGAATATCTTCGAGCTCTTCTCTCAAGGTGTAGGGTTTTCGCGGACCGTACGTCGAACCCGCTTCTCGTACTCGGCACGATCTCTCTTGAACAGATTGTACGCTTCCGCCTGGGCAGGAGACTCGGGGTTGGGGTCGTTGAGAAGATCCTGTATACCTAGCAAAATTTGCTTAACGGTGATGGCAGGCTTCCAAGCCTCTTCTTCGTTGAGGATGGAAAGGCAAACGGTGCCGGAGGGGTAGACGTTGGGGTGAAACAAAGGAGGGACAAATTTGCCTAGGTGTGTCAGCGCATAATTCTTTATAATATCTGTCTTAACCCTGATTTCTTACACTTTGGAGGCTTTGTAGGATACTCTATTACGAACACAGATTAGCACAGGTCTTAGAAACGCCGTAGGCTATGGGTCGTAGGATGTGAGAAGTGCTAGTACTTGCCGTCAGGAAAAGCAATAGTCAGCTTGAAGAGTCCACCGGACCAAATTGTATTGTCCTTTCCAGGAATCCCGCATTCCCAGTTCTTGACATCAAGGACGCCCTCCTTGGTGCGTTGAGGCTTCGCATAGAAACCAAAGGGATGGTCTCGTCGCCACTGCTTCCTTCATAGGGTTCAGTATATTCCAACGCCGTGCATGCTTTCGAAATCTCACCTCTCCTCTTGTAAACGGTTCTGGCACAGCGCCATGGTTGGTTTTTTTTTTCTGTCGATATCGGTCGAAAATGGGAGCTGTTTACGGGGAGAAGGTATGCGAACCCGAGATCGTCGAGTCGCGCGAGAGATGGGAGAATGAGATGCTCCGAGACTTTATGATAGCGATGAACGGATGAAAAGTCACTACGGAATCTTCGCTAAGTACACAAGATCGCACTGTTCTTGATGGTTGTTGGAGAAGAGTCGGGTTTGCGGAAACCAGGTTGACGGAGGAAGAAGCCAAACAGAAGTTGCCTCAAAGACTGTAGATTGTTTGCGCGGGCGTGCAATTCACGAAGCGACCTCTTTTTGATGATTCGATGCACAAGACAGGCCAAAACCTGGGCGCCGCTGTCGTTGGTCAAAAGGTGGCGCCAGCTGGAAGCACGTCCCTTTTCGGCAAGCCCCGCCAGGTGGCCGCCTGTGTCACAGGGGTGATTCAGGCCTGAGGTGCCCGGTCAGCAGTAAGTAGGAGCAACGGCGCTGTTTCTGGCGGGGTAAGCCCCCCGAATTACCCAGCGATCTAGCGCAGTGAGGGGCTTTCCCGGGCACCGTCAGAAGCTCGAGGTCTGGTCGGGTGCGAAAAAGGTGAGGTGCCGCGGGAACCTTGACTGCTTAGAGCGCAACTAGTAGATCACCTCGGCTCAGTGGTTAGGCTGCTTTAGAGCGGACAACCCGCCATTCACCTCATTGTTGAGTGGCATAAATTACCTACGGCTAAGCTTATACAACACAGTCTGACGCTTTTACGTTTCTCACGCCTGTCACGAGTATACAACCAAGACATCATTGGAGTACTATTTCTGTCTCCTTGCATCTACGTCTGTCGGCATAAGTAGGGGTGTATGAGTAAGTTGTGCTGAGAAAGTCGAACTGGAAACCATCATGAGCGCCGATAAGGACACAGAAGTCGCGCTGAAGGAGGAGATCAAGGAAGCTGTGAAGGAGGACGTCAAAGATGAGGTGATTCACGATGAAAAGGCCGATATCAAGGATGCCAAAACTGAGACTGTCGCTGCTCCCGCTTCGTTTGACTCTCCCATACCTGATGTTCCAGCCGCCGACCCTCCCGTGTCTATTCCCTCGACAGTAAATCCTGCTACGGTGGCAGAGCCATCTGAGACTGCTCTTCAAGAGCCCCCTTCCCAAGAAGCTCTCCAGGCTTCTAGTGAACAGGAGCCAATCAAGATTGCTCCCCAAGAGGCTGCCACCCAAGCAGCTACTCCTCAAGAGGCTGCTGCAGAGGTTGACCTGCAGAAGACTGCTACTCACGAGGCTACCCCTCAAGAAACTGCTCCTCCAGAGGCGGTTAAAGAGGTTGTCTCTCAAGAGACCGTTTCTGAAGAGGCTGCCACTCAAGAAGCTACCCCTAAAGAGGCTGCTGCAGAGGTCGACCCGCAGGAGACTGCTCCTCAAGAGATCACCTTGCAAGAGACTACCTCTCAGGAGTCTGTTCCTAAAGAGACCACCGTGGAAGCGGTTCTTGCAAAGAATTCTCTTGAGGATCCTTCTCCCAAGAAGGAAGCCCCCCAGGAGATTGCACAGGAGGCTGTTTCCCAGGAGCCACCCACAACTGCTCCCCAAGAAACGTCTCCTAAAGAGCCAGTCAGAGAGACAATTTCTCCAGAGGCTGCTCTTCAAGAGGCATCTCAAAAGGAACCCGCTTCGAATGCCGTTCCTACAGATGCTGTTGCTGCTCTCACTGCTGCTGCGACGGTGACCGCAGCCGCTGCGGTAGAGGTTGTCGTGGAAAAGGCCGCAACCCTTCCAACGCCAGCTGCTGAGACCGTACAGCCTGTAGACGAACTGGAGGACGTTCCAGACCCGGACGAAGACGACCTTGATGATTTGGATGGTATGTTGGAACCGAGCAGGAGTCTTAGGTGTATTGTGACTGACCATTTTCAGATATGTTGGATGAATTCTCTACCGTCAAGCTGGATCAGGCCAAGCCATCTGAGCCCGCTGCTGCTTCTAGCAAACCAGAAGCCCCCAAGGACTCTGCGGCGTCTGGCAAGCAGCCTGAAGTTGAAAATGCTTTCTCAGAAGAAGAGTTCGCTAAGCAGCTACAGGCCGGTATGGCTGATCTACTAGGCGAACTTGAGCAGTCTGTAAGTTCTATCTCACAATGTATGTCTAACGCGACTATAATTGCTGACATACACAGCCGGACATGCAAGCACAGTTCGAGGATATCTTCAAGCACATCGCTGCAGCTGAAGGTACCGGCGACGCACCACCTCCAAGTGCTTCAACCGGACCAGCCCCACAGGCAGCACCAGAGGATGCATCCTTTCAAGACAAGATCAAGCGCACTATGGAGCGCATGCAGGCGTCGGGAGATCAAGCCACAGCTGCTGCCGCGTCGGGAGCTGGTGATGACTTCATGTCCGAGATGCTTAAGCAGCTATCGTCCGGTGACCTTGGTGACCTAGGAGGTGAAGGCAGCGAGGAGGAATTCTCCAAGATGCTCATGGGCATGATGGAGCAGCTTACGAACAAGGAAATTCTTTATGAGCCTATGAAGGAGCTCGATGAGAAGTTCCCCGAGTGGCTCATCAAGAACCGCGACTCAACACCCAAGGAGGACTTGAAACGCTATGAAGAGCAGCAGTCGGTCGTGCGTGAGATCGTGGCCAAGTTTGAGCAGAAGACATACTCTGACTCTAACGCAACGGACCGCGAGTTCATTGTGGACAAGATGCAAAAGGTTTGTTGAATTCTCCTGTTCTTTTCGCGAAAGTTCTTGTCACTGACTAGCCATCCAGATGCAAGCAGCAGGATCGCCCCCTCCTGATCTAGTTGGAGACATGCAGTCGGCACAAGATGCCCTCAACCCCGGAGATGAAGCCTGTAATCCTCAGTAGATACCAAGCCTGGATGTTTCCTCCAAGTCATCTATATACCCTTGCCCAAAATTGTAGCTATACACATCTGATGATATGCCATTGGTATTTCCCAAGCGCCGGTTCCCTTCCCTTTTGTTCCGATTGACCCCAACTCCAAACTTGATTAAGATAAGATGTAAAGCACAGAAAAAGCAAATGAATTGAAACACATTATTGCATCTCTATATCCCCTGACGTGTCCATTTGGTCTTGTGGACGGGATTGTGTGTTCTGTTGAGATTGTTCCTGTGCAATAAGCTCAGCAAAGATATCGTCGTAGTCTTCGTCTGATAGTGTAGGTGAAGGTCGTCTTTGTAATAAAGCTGTCTGCTGTTCTTCATAAGATGCGAACATAGCCTCGAGCTGATCTTCCTCATCCATCATCTCGTCATCCTCGGGGATTGGGGGATGATCGTGGTGAAAAGTCATAGCCTCCTCGATATCTGCCTCAGTGATGTCAGGAGCATCATGGGATAGCTGACCCCGATCGGCAAGATAATTTGTCTTCAAGAACTACGACTCGAGTCAGTGATGGTGATATAGCGAACCAGTAAATTTGTCTCACCTGTCCCTCAATATCTCTACGTTGCCAGGCCTTGTCCTCGCGACTCTGTCGCACGTTCTGGAGAAACAGCTTGCGTCGTCCTTCATGTACTTCCTCTCGCTTTCGATTAACGGGATTCGGCCGCGCTGGACGCGAAGCGAACTTGAATTTTGAAGCCTTGATAGGAGAAGACTGGATCTGTCGCTGCGCGAACGCGTTTCGATCAATTGGTGAAAGTGGTGATGGGGCGCGCACAGGTGAAGAGGAGAGTGGCGACGAGACGACTGGTCGATGGTCCCAAGAACCGGAGAATATGGGAGAAGAAGCAAAAGACAGCATGTTTTTTGCTGTTTGGTTTTCGGAGTTATGTTGCATAGATTGAATTCAGGTGCTCAGTATCAAGAAAATATCGAGGAGAGAAGCTTGGATGGTGGGAGGGTTTCGTATGGCAATGACGAGATAACAAGGTCGTGTAAAGAGCTTTAGAGTTAAGACGCGGTTGCAGTCGCGGTCGCGCGATCACGTGCCGAGGCGCATGACGACTGATCCTACGTAGTACGTGCTAATCTAACAAAGGCCAGTGGCCAATTCGCCCCCCGAAGATCGCACCCGGGCCAAGCCGAGCGATGGGCCTGATCGGACGGAGGTTTATCGGAATCGGCACACCCAAGCAAAAAAACTGTCGACTTGATTTTGGTTGACGACATGACCTAAACGTTAAAGCCTGGCCTCTACAGTGCAGACCTGTATTCGTTCTTTCCTTGTTGTATACTTCTCCTTTAGAATGAGTATCCCTACCTTGCTTCCTAATACCTTACCCTTTTAAAGTCCTTCGGTGGCCAGATGAACGCCTTATCTGTCTCAGCCTTTGCGACCCGCATCGCCCCTCGACCATGGACTTGCTCATCTTGTAGAAGTCAATTGCTTCATAGCAAACCCTTCCGGCAAGTCAGCGCAAGAGGGTTTGCTTCGGGAAGGGGCTCGCGGGGGGGCAATGGCCAGAAATCGGGTCCCAGGCGGCCCCTATTATATGCCTCGGCAGGTGTTGGAACCGTGGGCGCAACCGCGCTTGCGTTCACTGACGATATCAAAAATAGCTACGAGGCGGCAGAGCGGACAGGCAGAGTTGCGGTTGCGCTCGCCGTATGTATCAATGAGTAAGTGGTCACTGGTTATGCCACTTCAGAGGGGGGGGGGGCTAATATTAAGCTTGATAGTTACCGAACAACGTTGAATGCGAGAGAGACGACCGCGGACTATGACGAACAAGAAAACATGCTAAAAGCATGCCACAAACGATGCGCCGAACGGACTCTTGTTGTTTTGGAGAAGAATGGAGGCATCTTTATCAAACTCGGTCAACACTTGGTATAAGCCCTCAATCTTGGCATTCTGAACTGTTGGACTAATAATAACCTTGCTAGAGTGCCATGAACTACCTCCTACCGTCTGAATGGACGAACACATTTATACCGCTGCAGGACAAGTGCCCAGTATCTTCGTTCGAGTCGATAGAGGACATGTTCCGCAAGGACACAGGAGAGGAGCTTTGGGATTACTTCTCCGATTTCGCCCCTGAACCAATTGGCGCCGCCTCTCTTGCCCAGGTGCATCTGGCGTCTATCAAAGGTTCTGATCAAAAGGTTGCCGTCAAGGTGCAGCATCCAGAGCTACAGAGCTGGTCGCCCCTGGATCTCGCGCTTACCCGGTACACGTTTTCCACACTCAAGAGATTCTTTCCCGAATATGACCTCGAATGGCTCTCGTCAGAGATGGACGTTTCTCTTCCCAAAGAATTGGATTTCCAGGAGGAAGCTAGCAATGCTTGCCGCATGAAAGAGCACTTTGCAAAGATCCCGCAGTTGCCCCTGGTTATCCCCGAAGTCATCTGGGCTAAGAAGAGAATCATTGTTATGGCGTGCGAAGCCGGGAGCCGGCTTGATGACATTGAGTACTTGGACAAGAACGGGATCGACCGCGACGAGGTATCAGCCACATTAGCTCGCATCTTCAACGAAATGATTTTTGGTGACGGCGCACCGTTGCACTGCGATCCTCATGGCGGAAACATTGCCATTCGCAAGAACACTACCCGTCGCGGTCTCGGGCGTGGCCCCAATTTCGATGTCATTTTGTACGACCATGGACTTTACCGGGATATTGAGCTTCCCCTGCGAAGATCATACGCCAAGATGTGGCTTGCAGTGATCGATGGCGACATGGACCGTATGAAGAAGTATGCCCATGAAGTTGCTGGCATCGAGGATAAGGACTTCCCCCTTTTCGCTTCAGCAATTACTGGTCGAGACTACAGCATCGTTAGCAAGTCTGGATCTATTCTCGAGACAAGAACAGCCGATGAGCAAAAGACAATGAGCGGTGCTTTACAGGAGGGTCTCATTGTCGATCTCGTTCAGCTCCTTAGCCGTGTCCCTCCCATTATCCTCCTTATTCTCAAGACAAACGATCTCACCCGCAGCTTGGACGAGAATCTCCAAACGCGGCAGGGTCCCATCCGTTCTTTCATGATTCTAGCGCGGTACTGCACAAAGACTGTGTTCCATGAAAAGCTCGAGCAAATCAGCCAAAACGGATCACTCTTTTGGCCCCCCAACGCCGTGAGACTATTTGCGGCGTGGGTTGGCTTCATGCGCGTGGAGATCAAGTTGGAGGCGTTCGAAATGTGGCTATCCACCAAGAGAATGTTGGGTCTGGGTGATGTACAATTTTCGGGGGCGGCGTTCCAAAAGTGATAATACCGAATTAGAAGACATCCGTATCAATATAGAGCGTACATGGTTTGTCGATCTCGGCGATTGAAAAGCAATAGAGGTCGATTTATGAGCTTGAATCCATTTTATTCTTAATTAACTACTCCTAGGAGCTGAGTTGCCTAGGAGAGCTACACGATAACCTGAGCTGGGGAAAGCCTCAACCTCGGTCACGTATCCGTAAACCGACGTCCATTATACATACCAAGCAACATCTACTTGTTGCAATGCTTCTTCTAATAAAGGGAAGGGCAATTATTACCGTCCTATCAATCATCACTTTCAAAAGCAGTCGAGACTTATAGCTTTGCATATAAACACTGTTCGCTACCTAGGTATAATGCCATTATCGTGATGGCTTATGTACCCTTCCTTATCCAAACCAACTCCGTGCCAGGATATTAAATCCACAGTAACACATTTCCGTCATATCAATTCAAACTCCGTTGCATGCCAGTTTACTCAAACGATCCCTTGCCCAACAGACCACCCACAACTCCAATTCTCCTCTCAGCTCCCTTAACCTTCCTTTCCTCTCTCTTTCGCTCGTTCTGCTCAAGCTTCGCTCGTCTCTCGCTGTCCCGTGCAAAGGCGTGCACGCCGCTCTTTTTGCTGGCTCCCTTCTTGATCTTGGCCTCTTCACCGAATCCGCTGGCCTGTGTTGATGACGCTGAGCTTGTGGTGGTAGAAGCTGTGCCAGAAACAAAGGAGTTGGTGGTCGCACGACGTAGCAGCGCGGGCACCTTGAATGAAGAGCTAAATGCTGTGGCAAAGGCAAGGCGGCTAGTGCTAACATTTGAAGAGCTGTTGCGCTTGAGGCTGATACGGTCAACGATGGCGACGCGTCCACGGCGAGCATTGGATCCGTTGTTTTCCTTGTCGCCTCGGGCTTGCGAAAGAGCGCCTCCTTCATCCTCACTGTCTGATCCAGCTTCGGTTGCTGGGATGACTGAACCATGAGGTTCCTCGAGCAGATCAGACAACGTCTCCCGGACCTCACCAATGTTGGAGGGCTTCTTGCCATCTTTGGTTCTGCGCAGATGAGCAGGTGGCCTGTTATCTGCAGAACCAAGGACCTTTTGTGGTTGGCTGTCAGGAACGGTCTGGGTCTTGCTGGTCTCCTCTCCTTGAGACTGAGATTGAGACTGTGAAGACTCGTTGATCTCTTCAGGTGCATCGAGGAAATCCATTTCGTCGTCGCTGCCACGATCCTCGATCGTCTTCAGGAAAGCCTCATTTCCAGGTTTCTCGGCCATCTTCTTCACACGTTCATCAGCGAACAAGGCTTTATGCATCTTGGCGAAGTTTCGACGCTTCATGCGGCGACGGGCTTCACCATCATCATCTGAGTCGTCGAGGTCGTAGCCCTCGCCTCGCTTGCGACGAAGCATACCATTCGTGACGTCTTTGAAGAGTTTTTCGATTTGCTTCTCATCTTCCGCGCGTTCTCGATCACTGAAAGTTGTTAGCATACGAATATGTATCACTAGACAGGTAAAACTTACGCATAGAACCCAGCGAGCTTAGCTTCGTCAACATCGTTGCCGGCATCATCGTCGATGATATCTTTCAGTGATGCGGCAGACTCATTGTCGCTGTCCTCGCCATCCAAACCTCCGAGACCAGCGTACTCGTCCTCTGATTCCTCAGCCTGTTCCTGAACCATCTCCTTGGCCTTACTGTTCTTGTAGTCAAACTCAGCCTGGAGTCGTTTCTTCTTCTCCTTCTTTGCGCCTTCTTGCAACGCGTGGAAGGCTGTGTCAGGTTTGTCTGAGGATGATGGCTCTGGGGTCTCTTCAATCCGCTGAGACGTCTCCATCTTACGACGAAGACGCCCACGACGAACTAGTGGTGAGGCCTGGGTTGGGTCCTCAGAATCAGCCATCATTGTCTCTATAGTGGAAATCGGTGCTTCGATGAATCTGTCCTTGAGAGGTGTTTTAGTCTGCAGACCCTCGTCCTGGGTGAAATCGATCATGTCGGAGAGTTGAGTGCTCTCTTGACGAAGTAGGCTGTCAAGACCACGGGTTTGAGATTGCGAAAAGTCGAGTTTCACACCCTGAGTAGTCTTTTGGGTGTCATCATTCTGGCTGTCCAGAATCATATCCTCTAGAGGCTCATCCATGGTTGCAGAGAAGTTGGAGTCGGGGAAATGGTCGAAATCGGGCATCATGGACTGAGTTGGGCCGTTGGCAGAATCCATCTGGCTATCATCCATGGTGCCAGCGAAGATCTGGGTCAACCCCAGTCCGGCCGCCCCTTGCACAGGTAGACCAGGGATGAAGTTCTTCTTAGCTGAGCGTAGTACTGATCTGGGTGCGATCGGAGATTGGGTGTTGGACACCATAGGTGATGTATGTACAGTGGTGGTTTTGGGTTTAGGTGTCATTTTGACCGCGTCGTCCTCTTCGTCATCGGAAAGAACAACGGGTTTTCGTGTCCGCCGTCTCCTCATGACCGGTATCTCTTCAGCGTCGTCGTTAACATCTTGGCTGGCCACAGGAGTTGAGTCACCATCTTCATCCGCAGAGACCTCGGACTCTCCATCCTCGGCCTCGCCCTCGATCATCGGGTTGTCCTCGTCTTCCTCCTCGTCGCCCTCTACATCCTCGTCTTCAGATCCGGAAAGCTCAACAGCTGATATCTCTCCATCAGCTTCGTCACCGGATGCCTGATACTCTTCGTCATCACTGTCATCCCAAGCCAGGGGATCAACTTCGCCATTGGCCTTCTTTTCCTTCTTGTCGGCCGCATGTTCTTGCTGCATAAGCTTATGTGCCTCTTCCTTTGCTCTGGCGAACATGTTATCGGCCTCCTCCATTTCGCGCTCGCGATCTTCCGCAGTCTGGATGACATGACCTTGAGCCTTGAGCAGTTCAAGTCTGCGATCACGCTCTACCTTCGCTTGTTGTCTTGCTTTCTGCTGAAGATATGTTTGAAGCTCGCCTGCTGTCATGCCGTGGTTTTCGTTCTTTCGTCTTGTTTCCTTTCCAGGAGACTTGACCTGTGCAAGGGCGCGCAGCGCCTGGACAGAGCTGTGCTCCTGAGCTTTCTTGGTTGGAGCCATGTCAAACACAGCTCGAACTTTGTCTTTGCTCGTCGTCGTAATTTCCAACTCGTCATCTGAATCCGACATAGTGGCATTGGCTCGGACGGGTGGAAGAACGACACGGAATTGGCGTTTAGGCTTTTGAGCTGGTTGTTCCTGTTGTTTTGGTGTATCAACCGCCTTTCCTTTGCCCTTGTCTATAATCAGCTTGGTAGTCTCAGCTAGAGTATCTATTGTTGGTAAATCAAAATCGTCGTTCTCAGCAATGGCTGCCGGGACCTCGGTGGTCTCGGGGACTTCTTTAGATCCTGGCGGAGAACTAGGGGGTGTATCGGCGTCCTGCATCTCGACATCACTGTAAGGCGTCGGTCCCCTACTCGAACTAGCAACCTTGAGTTGCGGTTCGCCCGCTGGTCGGAAGTTGAAACGCTCAAAGAGGCTGTTCTTGCTGATCTTCTTTCGTGTCTTGGCCGCATGTGCCAGATGCATGTTTCTCGACATTCTTTGGGTTTCTCTGTTCATCTCCTCGATGGCTTTCTTGCTTGCTTTCCGAGCACTAGGTTGATCCGTCTGTGTAAGTCGTCGGCCACCTTCGTCATCGGTAATGCCCGAACCGTCATCTGAGACCATCTCCTCGAGCTCTTGAGTGAGCTCCTCTTGCTGAGCACGTTTTTCAGCATATTTGGCTTCTTTGGCAGCATCTTCCGCTTGACGCTTTTTTATGTAGCGATCAGTCATTGCCTTGAAGCGGTCAGACTTGGCGACAGGCATATCATCTTCAAAATCCGAGTGGTTATGCATGGATTCGGATGGTGATACAAGGGGTGATGGACTGACACCTCGAGAGGTGTTCCTAACAATTGGTGACGAAGGCGCCTTGCGAACTAATATTCGGCCTACAACGGGAGTGCCGTCGTCTTCCGATTGAGCGTCTGTCATATCGACATTGTTTTCTTTGTGTTCTTGCTCGAGTAGACTCTTTCTTGACCGGTCCCAGGCGGTTTCGTTCTGATTTGAAGCGTCTCCATCCTTCGCTGTTCGAGTGGCTCCCTGCATTCGAGCTGCAAGCTTGCCTCTGGGTATGATAATATCCTCCTCTGAATCTTCTAACGCGTCGTCATTTTGTGTAGACTGTTGTGATAGATCGAGATGATTTGTAGGTTTATCGTTCGTGGACTTTTTGGAAGGAGATGCTTCATCATCACTACTCTCGAGAGGAGCGAGTTGAGCTTTGAATTTATGTCCCATCAAGAGTGGTTTAGGAATTCCGCCCGATGATACGGGGGAAGAGGGTGGAGAGGCGGTAGCCATTGCAAGAGCAATGGGGGTATATAAATTAAATGGCCTAATGGAGTCGATCGGATCAATGAATAATAAGTAATTCGGCACCTCAGAAATCGAAATTCAGAGTGAGGGATGTTGATGTTGATGTGGGAATGGATGTTGAACAGGGACAGACTGCGAACGAAAGGTCTCGTCTAAGTGGTAGTGGGGAGCTTTACGCGACGCGCGGGCCATGGAAAGCGTTGGCGTGGAGAGACGCGTTACAACGCATCAATCCCGCGTAAAGTTCATTATCAGCCACGTAAAATTCAATTAACACCCCTGTAAGGCTGGCGATGACGATCCTTGTCAGTTTCGACGGAAGATCTACATGATTGGCATGTCAATGAAAATCAACGATATTAATATCGTAGCTTCACTACAGACGCATACTGAGACCTCGGGGCTTGATATTAGGGAGAATGGCACATTCAACTCGGTAACTATGACAGTGTAACTAATTTATCTCTCTCTCTCTTCTTTTTGGGGGTTTTCTTGTTTTTACATTGCAGCTCAAGCATCCGGTAAAGACTGTCCTAAGTATCCTCCTCCTTCAAAGTATCATTTGAACAGCATCAAGCACAGGCATTAATGCCTAGAAAAGCTTGTGCTCGAGAGTCATATCGGACTCAGGCTCAAGACCAACGCAGGCACGGAAGATGTTGGTCAAGGCAGCACGCTGCTTGGCCAGGGCGTTGACGACAGGAGTTCCAGGAGGGGTAAGAGGAGCCTTGAGCATGTAGCTAAGGACACTCAGGACACTGTGGAAGCTCTTGTACTCAGTGGTGGCAGTGCCGTCAGAGGACGCGGCCTTCCACTGGATACGAGACATCATCTCAGAAATGATGACCAAGTCAATGATCAAGGGAGAGGCAAGGAGGGAGTCCTCGCAAATGTTGAACATCCTAGAAACTATTAGTCGTCACTCACATGTTGGGGGCAGCACTTTCAACTTACGAAATGGTCTGATGGCCGCCCATGAAAATCTCGGCGTAGTACTCGTCAAGAGCACGCTTGTTGTCAGCGACAGCAGGCATGTACTTGATGACAACGCAGTGGTCGGGGTGCTCGCCCTTCTTGTAAAGGACGTGGTTGGCCTCAACCATGTCATCAACAACGTTAGACTTGGAGATCTCCTTAGAGCGGAACTGCTTCTGGGAGCTCAGGTTCTTGCCATCATTGTTGCCAAGGTGATTGTAGCTGGCAATCGAAGTCAACTTGATACCAGCGTTGATGAGGAAGTCAACGAGGGCAGACTTCATCTTGGTCTGGCCAGACTTGAAATCGTCGCCACCAATGAAGGAGTTGTGCTTCTCGGCAAGCTCAATGGCTCCAGGGACGAAGGTGTTCTGAGGAGAGCCGTTGATGAAAGGGGCCTGTTCAAGGATACAAGCAACAGCAAACACGGTGGAAGGAGAAACCTCCTCGTGTCCCTGCTCAATGGCCTTGAGAAGGTTGTCGGCAGTATCGTTGACGCCCTCGATCAGATCGGCGTATCGCTCAGTGTTGGCAGTCCACATGATGATGACCTTGTCAAGGCCGTTGTTGGCCTTGAAGTCGCGAATGTCCTTGCGGATCTTCTCGACATGGGCCCAGCAAGCCTTGCTGCCCTCGAGAACGTTGTCGGCACGATCCTCCTGGTTGGCAGCAATGAAGTCAGGGTAGTAGATGGAGGGAAGGGGAACCATCTCAGCCATCTCCTTCTTGACCTGGGCCTTGAGGGTGGGTTCAAGGACCTGAGCGCGGTCCATGGCCTGGGCCAGGTTCAGCTTGCTAATATCCCAGCCTCCGATGATCAGGTCGTTGGGGTGGACCATGGGGAGGATGTTGTGGAAGGGGATGTTGACCTCCTGGTGAGTCTTGGCATCATGACCGAGCTTGAGGGTTGAGCCCATGACAACAGAGCCGTAGTAGTTGGACTCGCGAGGACCCTCCTTGGTGTCCCAGGCGAGCTGGCGGCGGTTGGCGAGGATACCAGCGGTGACGGTAGTTCCGTTGTTGCCTCCGAGACCGACCAGCATCATGCCGACCTTGGGGACCTTGCGATCGACCTTGAAGTCGTAGAGGGTCTCATTGGGAGTAGCAACATACTTGCCGTTGGCACCAACTTCAACCTTGGTGGTGCGGTAGGTGTATCGAGAGCGAATCTCCGCATCAGTGTAAGTAACGTTGGGGGAGTTGACGGTGAAGAGGTCCTGAGCAGCCGAGGAGGCTTGGTTGCTGTAGACCGCCCCGTTCGAGGAGCCCGTGCCGACTTCCGCGTGAGGAGCCATGGTGATTGAGTGGCTTTTACGTGAAGCTTGCGGTTTGATTAAGATTTGACGGGTTCTGTTTGTAGTTCGACCTTTACTGTTCAAAGGTCGAGTCCGCTGAGCCTCCGGAATCGGATGAGCAGCGGGCTCCTGCGAACGGGTGGTGCGTCCTGGTACAAGGTTAGCATTTCATTTCTTATTTACTGCTGTCTATTTCCAAAGACGCAATTGAGTTGGAAAAGTGCAACTTACGAGTTAAGGAGGTTGGAAAACGTCTTGACGACTGTAGTGACCAAGGGTCAAGGCCTCGGTCGTTTTGATAAGATTGATAGAGGGAAGGAGGGGTGATTTGGCGGGGTAGCGGGGGCAGACAGATGTCAGAAGTTGGAGGTTTTGGTAGAGAAAAGGGGTTGAAAGTTTTGCAAGAAGTTGCTTTTAGCTGATTGTAAGTTGAAGATGATTGTTGGTGAAGGGAGAAGAAGCAGAAGCAAGAGATTTGCTTGGGGATGGGGAGGGTTCAAATACCGTAGTGTCCAGCGCCTAGGTGTCTAGTACCTACGGGCCTATGGTACAGCTCCCTCAAAGGCGTACGTACCTTACCTTACTGTACTGCCACTTTACCCTCTTGGCTGCTATGGACATTTGGGCGGTGAGCACCACGACGCCAGGGAAGCGCAGGATAGTGGAGTCTTTCAATATTCTAGCGGCTGGGAAGACGGAGAGCTCGGAAGTGAGGATATCGCTCTACTGTAAGCTACTGTACGTTACTGTACGTTTCCATGTATGTTTGTGGACACATGATGTGCAAGCGACTGAGCGCAAAAGGTACCATCTCCATCCCCCATCTTCCCTCCAGCTTTTTCCCACATTTCTCCCACAATTTTAACCCGAGGGGATGGGGTTGGTTTGGCGGAGACAGCTTCAATTTTGACCTCATAAGCGTTGAAGGGTCTATCCTCAACCAAAAAACCGGTGACTTTAATACGTTTTCTCCGCAAACAAGCAAAAAAGTTGAACGTCTATTTGTCGAATATTTTTTTGGACTAGTTATCTAAAGAGTCACTCTTCGGAACATAACCGCACACTCATGCAGCTTGACCCTGTCCTAGCAAATAAATTGCTCTCCCGAACCATTGGCCTGAGCCCCTGCCATGGTGCATCTCTCAACATTCGACTGATGCGCAGTCAGTATGACCCTCTTTGATTGGCTCTACCCGGGACCTCCAAGCCATCTTACAATACTATCCCAATGTCGTTGGGACATTCGGCAGACAGCCAAGAAAGAGGCTGCAAGACCGAGCCTGAACCTGGACCTGGACCTGGACGGGTAAAAGGTCTTGTGTGCGATAAGTCGCTGCAGAATCTTTTTATTAGCCGCGATAATGAACTTGTTACAATTGCTTTCCAATGTTTAGTGTCATCGAAAGAAAGAAGTTTCAAGAATAAGCAAACAACGCTCGGGTTTCGTTTCAGCCGTGAAACCGCATCCGACAAACAACGTCCCAGCTTTAATCCTTATTTCGTCAAAAATTTGAACATGCGGTAACTGAAACCTTGAGATGCAGAGGGCTGATGATCTCAGTCGATGGTAACATCTCGATGGACAACTCTTATCAAACACGTATACTTGCATCGACCGGGTATTCAGGAGAAGGGGAAACAATTGGCTTACATCCTTATCACTGCAGGCCGCCAATGTAGTTTGTACATTAACGTGTTTTTGTCTCCGACTGGTGTTTTCAATTGATCAGCAGCAGCAAGCATTGGTGATATGTCCGGCACCATGATATTGCGCACAAGTTCCAGCGGTTATAGCGATACGACGGTTAGTTTGTATTGTTGCATCATACGTTCAACCAAAAGCATATCCCTTTTGCGTCGCAGATCTATAACGACTTCCCGAGCACAAGAAACTGCTCCATTCACATGTAACACGGCAGTGCAACAGACGAGACAGGAAGCTTGCATGCCGACCCGAAGATCCACATCGGTTCAACGCGGTGTTTAGATCGTCAGAAATCCCGGCCTCCGCTCTCACCGTCTAATGCGGGAGAATCTGTCAAAACCATTCACAACGATTATTCTACGGATGGCTCATAAGAAGACGTAACCGTTTAGGTGCAAACTAGGGTTTGGGGAGCTAGAGGTTGATTGATACCTGCATGCCATGGACGCCTCCAGCTTGGATACCGAACCAGGCGTTGGAAACATCACAGACAATGTGTATTGGCCATCTGGCTCAATCAGAATACCTCACAACTCAAGTATAGCCGATCAACATCGGCTCTCGTGATTAAAAAAATCCAGAGCTGCACTTGTTTACGTTCCTTACTTTGGCTGTTGAGAGGTCCGATGCATAGTATTCGAGCGAAACATGGCGTTGTAATCCCGTTGCTAGGACTGCATCGCAGCTTTCCATGCCACAAAGACGCCGTGCAAATTGCAAGCAGCGACACCATTTACCAGGAAGACAACAGTAACGCCTCAAACACAGGGCCTAAGAACCGTTGCCATAGTTAGCTGTCGATTACCGGCGGCGTTTCTACTGTCAAGCTTATATGCCCGAGACTGATCACGTTAATCAGATAGCCGATCGATGATCATGCCTCCGAAATTGGTATGTTTAGTGTCAGCCGCTATCATAGTAGATCATCTCAGCTGTTGTTCTCGATTGAAAGAGAGGCATTCAGTGTCTAGAATCGATGAGCTGGGAGCGAGTTCTCCAGCTCATGACGAGCTTAGCTTGCAGGATCACCCAACCAATCTATTGTGAATTTGGCAGCATGAAATGTCAGACAGTTGATGGGAAGAACTGGCAATTCATCAATCAACTTATGGGCCAGGGCGTAAATGTCAACTGACTGTCACGAGTCGTGGGAAGCTAGAAAGTTGGAAAGTTGGTTTAGTTCAATGAAACGGCTGACATTTCTCGGTATCCCGTGCTACCGAAGAGTAGTACCCGTATCTCCAGATGAGTATTGTTATCAAGGGCATTGGATCTATCGCAACAAGTCCACTGAGGGCGTCCGAGGGGACGTTGCCCTCTTATCTTTGATGATCGCCAGGGGCAGCTCTGGCATGCTGACATATTGATTGGGCCTATTGAGCACCAATATACGTCAATCATCTTGCAACCCTTTTTACAACACCGAGAGTGACTGGTGGAAGCAAAATGTGGCGCTTCCATTACCGATCTATCGAATATTAGACCGATGAGTGGCGTCCATCTTCTCTGGTCCCAGGCAAGCCAGGCCAAGGCTCAGCAGTTCAACACCACGGTCCATCCGGGGCTAATATGTCTGAAGCGGATTCCTGATCTCCCGATCAGTGACCTGAGACAGTGGATCATCTTCTCGGCAACTAGACTAACTAATTGCTTGCCTTGGCTTTTTCTTGTGCAAATCAGGCCCTGTAGATCTTCTACCCGTGAGCCTGTGACTGATGATGGACGGGGGAGGGGAATGTACTGTAAATGACGACCAAACCTGAAGCAGGTGCGAGCGCCTGCATTGAGCCCTCTGCATCACCGAATGTCACTTCGAGTCTTCGACCACGAAATGGAACCTGCTGTATCTGGTGCGTGCCGTGAAGATCGATCATGGTCCCCCACGGCGTAACCACCACATGCGGGCAAGCAATGCTCTGTACACGAACCGAGACGGGGGGGGGGGGGCTAATGTTGAGTTCATTTATTGCTAGGGAGTCTAGGAGTTAGCCCTCCAGTCACTCGCACGTACCAATCGGAGAGCGACTGGGCCATCGATCGCATAATTAAGCCCGCTTGCAGGTTATATCCAGCCCTGCTAAACCCGGACTATATGTTGAGACTGAGGCGGGTATGTCTCACCCGTAGGGTTGTCAGGCTGAGGTAATGTTGTATGAAAGAAGGGAAAAAGCCAACCGATTAGTGCAGCTGGATTAATTGCTGTGGTAGCTATAGGTAATTCGAGGCGTTGACTGGTGGACGTCTACACCACACCGCGCAAGTAATAAAAGCATCGTTAAATGAGGCAGATCCCCTTTCAGTGGATGTCTGTCTTCAACAAGGCTAGCGCAGCAGGGGAGCTCCTCCATTGGCCAGAGCTTTCTGCAAGGTACCCGAGTTGTCGACGGTTGTCAGTGGATCATTTCTATTTTATTTCATCCATGGGCCATGAGCAACGCAGCCAGTGCTGTAGCTAATAAAGAACATTATGTGGCGTCTCAACCCCCCCCATGACCATATTCGGCTGAAGCCGGACTTGATACGGCTCGTTTCTTTGGTTCTTGTCTGTTGACAGTTGCGGAAGCAGTTTAATGATAGCACTAAGCTTTGAACCACTGAAGTTGACGCACGCATTCAGGAAACTGAACAAGTTGCAGATGATGGAATGAGAAGGAATCTTGCCAAGAGCCAATTGCGGGCTGTCATGTAACTTAACAGCAAGAAATCTTCAGCATCTATTCGTACGGAGTACGGAGTAACGGGTCTGGTTAGGTCACGTCAATCAAATCTCATGCAAGCAAGCGGCGGATAATCCTAACAAAGGCTTGTTGTCCTTCCCTTGTCTCTACGTACCGGTATTCCCACAAAGAGACGTTACACGACAAGCAAGGCAAGACATCCATCCATTGGATGACTGAGGGCACCTTAAATCAGTGAGTTACTGAGCTTCTTCGCAAATGGGAGGAATGCTGTCAATTTTAGTGCCCGTTTGTCCCCCTGCCACGTTGTCAGTCGTCCCTCAAAGATAGACGATTCAGTCCAACCAACACACCCGCGAATCGTGGCTTTTACATTTTACCCTCTCTCTTTCGGCGGGACATTTTCCAGGTCCAGAAGCTTTCAAGGAAGCCAACTCGCAGTCCGTGGCGGGTTGCACGGAATGTTGGTTACCTTGGAACATATGATGCAGCCAAGACAATACGATTGAAGACTGTTCAATGCAGTCACGGAGTATCCGTATATTTGAAGCCACCTGCCGAAGCAAATACTGTCTTTCTCGATCCTCACGACAAAAGTCAAAAAGGTTGCAAATGCAAACTCTCGCTCCATGATTCTCGTGTTACATATTCCACACCGCACCCACCGCAAACCCGTCAGTTTGCAAGCCTTTCCTTCACCAACCAGGGGGGTCATCAGAACAGCCCGGGGTCTACACTACAGTGCAGTTCACTAAATGAGCATGACCTAGCCAGGGCGCCAACGCCAACGCCAGCACCATCACCACTAGGGGTTAGCCTCCACTGGCTCTCTCTGCCTGGGATAAGGCCTGCAGCTCAGGTCTTTCTAGTTCGGCCCAGGGTCCCCTTTAGCATCAACACACCCACTCTCCCTCCACATTCGAGACACCATATGCATCGTCCCTTTCTTTGAAAGTCGACAGCTGATCTTCTTTCTATCTTTCCGCGTCACAGCCGTTCTAGTGTCGTGTTTCGAACTCTTGAATCTAGTTCTCTTCTGCTTTTCCGCTGCCAGAGCCAGTTTTGAACTCTTCATACTTGCAACAATCTTCCATCCAACTAATATCGAAATAACCGGGCCCTGTTTCTCATCTTCAGCAGCACCACCAAAACGCCTCAGCGGTAGTTACCGAGACACGAGCTCACGATAACTCTCTCAACGATTTCACCACCCGAACAGCACCGTCAAATTACCAAAGCTCTTCTTATGCGACCGAAAAAGGCTGTTGCATCGACTTTTGGCATCCTCAATTCACGTCATCAACCCCAGGGACACCGGTCGCAGAACGGGCCTGGGGTATCGAATGTAAAAAGTCTCACATCAAGCGCCATCTTTATTTGAAACCACCGCGACAAGGCCTGCGATAATTCATTGTCTCCATACGTCACTTTGTCGAAGGCGCTTTCAGACCTTCGTAGAGAAACCGAGGCGACAGATTGATTGCATTCTTCAGGCGTCTTATAAACTTGTCGATTTCTCCCGCTCAACACTACAACTCACACCGCCACAATGGCAGTACCACGAGAGTCTATGTTTCTCCCGACCATCAAGTGCTCATCATGTAGTCGGGAGGTGGAAATTTCTATGATGGGCGATCACATTTGTGCACCACCAGAACCTGAACGTAAGAAAAATGCCAGAAATGTCTCGTCTCATTAGTGAACTAACTGCCCAAAAGTTTCTCCTCCACCAGAACAATATGAGGCGTACAAACCATACAGTCCAGCGTCTCCTGAGAAACCAGGACGCATACCGTCATCACTAGATGTCGGCGCTGCTAGTAAGTAACGATTGTTTAATAAATATATATCTCGCTAACCGCATCCAAAGACCGCCCTTTTTTGCACCAGGGGCAGTTGACACCAAACAGCGAGCCGCGCAGCATATCACCAGCTAATCAAATGGATTGCCTTTTTGACGATGTCATTACACCTCATGAGGATGATCTCATCCTCCCATCACCGCGTCCAATTGACCGTCCTGGAGCTTACGGAGGCTTTGGGGAGAAGAAGCATGGCCCGGATTTCCAGCCTCGATCCGTCAGTCCGAGTGGTGGAGTCAACAACACCTTATTCAAGAGACTTGATACAATCGCCCCAGGCCCCTTCGACGCTATTCGCAGCCCTTCAGCAACTTCGCCATCCTTTCCCAAGGAAATCACAGATAGCCGAGACAAGTCAGAGGACTTTCTGAGTGCATCGCCAAGGGATTATTTTAACGCGCATAGAAACGAGAGGTCCCCATCCCCGACAGGCAGAAGCAGTAACAACAGCAGCATCTCCGCACCGCCTCAGAGACCAACACGAGATGACTACGAAGGTTTTGGTCGACCTTTTGAAACGGACGAGGAACTCCAGCCTCCCCCTCTGGGAACGGTTCACCGTTCAGACACCTTTCCTAACCTGCCTCTCCGATCAGAACCTCCGTTGCGAACTCCTTCTGCACCTGGCACAAAACTTGAGGGCAAGGCGGCAGGTGGTTTTGGTCATGCCAAAAAGCCGTCAATGGGACCAGACACCTCAAGGGCCCCGCCGCCACGAAAGAGTCTTTTGCATCCGTCAAAAGTCACTAAATATTCAGCATCTGTTGATCTTGCTGCTGAGTTTGGCGTCAACAACCCTTACCACACACCTTCAGACTCTACGTCCTCTGGTTTTTCTACCTTTAGCCGTCAGAGTAATGGCAGTTCGCAGACCAGCCAGACAAGATCTCAACCTCGACGCGATCCTTCCGACCTATCGGCTATGGATGGTCTGATGGAAGATCTCGAGAGCTCCATGGAGGCTTTAGGATCTAAGGATGTTCATGCCGAAGCCCCTCCACAGGCCCCGTCGCGCGCAAGATCACCACTTGCAGAGTCGCCTATCCAACGCCCACTTAATATCGATCGATCCAGCTCTGCCGCCCGAGACGAGCCTCGGGCCTCGATGCCTATCCAGCGAAGCGATTCACACCCACAATCACTTTACGCGGCATCACCCCAAGAGCACCATCATTTTGATCAAGCTCCGCAAATAACACGTTCGCACACCCTCCCTCCGCCATTAGCACCTCCTTCTCGAAAGGCATCACAAGATCCCGTGCGATCTCGAGGTAACTGCAAAGCCTGTGGCCTAGCCATCACAGGAAAGAGTATATCATCTGCAGATGGAAGATTAACGGGCAAATACCACAAAGCTTGCTTCGTCTGCACGACATGCTCGGAGCCCTTTGCATCTGCCGAGTTTTATGTCCTAGAGGATAAGCCTTACTGTAACCACCACTATCACAAACTCAACGGCAGTATCTGTGGTAGCTGTGAGAAGGGTATCGAAGGGCAATACCTCGAAGACGAATTCTCGATCAAATACCATGTTGGATGCTTCCGTTGTCTCGACTGCGGCCGATCTCTTTCCGATGGCTACTTTGAGGTGGACGGCAAGTCATACTGCGAGCGAGACGCCTGGCGCCGGGTGCAGCAGTCTTACCCGCCCATGAAGCCCCCTCCAGGTCGACCCCCTCCCGGCTCACGACCTCCCATGATGGGACTGCCCGGACATCCGTCACAGCGAATGGGCCCTGGCATGGGACTCCCACGACCTCCATACGGCATGCCGCCGCCTGGAAATCGTCTGGCACCAGGCCCTCAAGGACCTCCTGGTCCTCGACCACGAATGAACAAGCGTAACACTCGACTTGGTATGATGTAACGACCTGATTAATTCACCTGAACCTCGACGTTGATGCATGGACGATTACCCTATCTTTTAATATCATCTCGCGCATCTAGAACGCGATAAATTTTCCCCTCTGATTTTGCTGCTATTATGCTAGGAGTCGGCTAGCATGTTTTTTTGTTGTTATTATACCCCCCTTGTTTTTTGGACACCCGCTGCACTTTGCATAATGTACACTTTCGCAACACGACGGCATCAACATTGGTGAGTTTGATGTTTGTGTGGTGTATTGCTCACCACCGATGGAAATGGTCTGGAATATGTACTGGTTATTATGTGCGAGATATGGGGTAGTATATGCCACTGGTACAGAGTGTGCGACTGAGAGTCTCGTTAGGAGTCTACTCAGAATCTAACTGTGTCAAAATTTAACATCCCAAACATTGCAATTGTGCTGTGATAACACAACCTGAATCATGCTCAACTCGCAATCACCCTGGAAAGAATAGCTGCCTTGCAACCCATGTCTCGGCTGTGGCTTGCGAAAGTGCCTGTTCTCTTGAAGACTCATTCAGGGGTTGACGGGAGCTTAATTTTGAGGGAAGAGTGTTTATTCTTATTTTTTGGTACAATGTTTCATCGAATGTCTTCCATGTCAATTACTAGTAGGTATGGATTACAAAGGCAGATAGGCTCATGTGGTTGTTATCGATCAGAAGCCAACGGGGAAACTGCTATGAACTATTAGGGAGAGCATCTTTAGTGTAATTCGACTAATGACATTGACGTCCTTTGCTATTATAACATGGAAAAGCATACGGAGTAGTTAAGATGAAAGAATACCAGTGACCAGTGGTATGTTTGAATAAGACAGACTGTCACACTCTCACAACTTACCGTTACCTGGTAGTTAAATGGCGGATGAGCGAAGCCACGTGTAAATGGAGCGAGATTTAGGGACCACCAGTTCTGGTCAGGGGAATCGAGACACAAAAGACATAAGGAGATAAGAATAAAAGATAACCATTCCTGTGAATATTGCATAACATGAATTGGCTCCCAATCTCCCTTCAGTAAGCAATTTCGTGCTCTTCATTCTGATGGAGAATATGGACGGATAGTTAGGTTATCTGACTTCCATCTGTGGACAGCGTGGGTTAGTGCAGGCCAGACTACTGTACGCCACTATTACGCCACCTGTAACCGTAAACCCCCTAAATTGAAACACAAGCTACAGCGCCATCCAATTACGACTAACAGTCCCATCCTGATCCAACGCCTCGTCATCCACACCCATTCCACGAACTCTCCCTTCCTTCAAGACCCTTCTTCTCCCTTTTCCTTATTTTGTCATTCGCAACGTCAAGACGCAGCGTATGAATTGCTTCTATTCGCGCACCTTTTGCTCCTGTTTGAAATAGAATCATCCTTCTTTTGGCTGTCTTTGACAGAAGCCGCACCACTCCTTCAAACATCGAGGGGCCTTTTACGCTGCGACCGACCGACCGACCGATCGAATAACCTTATTTGAACTTCGCATACTTACACCAGACCGAGTCTCCCTGCACGCCGTATCCCTTGCGTCGTTGCGACCAAATACACTCGTCTCACAGCCCAATCCACCGAGCCATGCACCCCTGATTTTAATCGGCTTTGTTGACCACATCATTTCCAATTGCGACACCCGCCAGCTTCGATCTTCCTTTCGCGGTACCTTTTGGTTGCTCTATAGATCCGTCGACTGCGAGATCTTTCGCCCATCATGAAGAAATGGCATCCTCAGAGCCGGCGTTTGTTCGGCGCCAAGCTGCGGCCTCGATCAATGCTCATATTTGTATTTGCCATGCTCGCTGCCTACTACATCCTGTTTGCACCAGGCACAAGTATTCAGGTGGTCCCTTCCAACTCCCAGGGCTCCGTTCCGCCGCCGGCAGTCCCTGGAAGTGAAGGTAATGCAAAACCAAACGGGGAGTCTGATGCAGAAGATCAATATTCCTCGATTCACAGAGAGCTCTGGGAGCTCACGGCCGAGGATCTCAAGGATTGGCGTGATCCCACTGATGGCGAGGATCCTAATGATATCGAGCCTGGTTTCGAGATCGATGGGAAAGACCGAGGCTTTGGAGACCTTGGCAAACTTCAGCATGAGAAGGACATGAGGAAAGAATGGAGACACGCTTACTCGGTCACATCCAAGTGAGTATCACTGACGTCCCATATTAACATATTCTGACATGAATATAGCTTCCCCAACTCAAACCACATCTATGGAAAGACCCTGGCGAATCTGGAAAACCACGAAGCTCGACCCGAAGAATTCAGCAACGATCTTAGGTTCGACCCAGATGCAGACGTAGAGTACAGCTCTGAGAAGCCAGTCCGCTACGACCCCTATCCCAAGTACAACAGTGCTGCATGGAAGGATGCTGGATACGCCCAGTATTCTCCTTGTAAGGGCGCTACCGGAGAGCCTATTGAGGATCTGCTTGTCTTCAAGGGTAAACCTCGCGAATGGCCTCTGCCTCGCTTTGGTAGCTACGATGCTCTGAACATGGACCCCAACCTCTGCTGGGAGCGAGAAACTCGACTCGGCCCCTACGGACTGCATCGCCAGTTCAAGAAAGTTGGTGGTGAACCACAACCTCTCAATTTTGATAGCGTCAACTGGGGTGACCTTCAGCGGAAATGCCTTCACAGAAATGCTCAGCGGTTTGACATGAACCGAGAACGCGTTAACGAGTATCTCAACATGTATCCTGAGACTGTCATTGGACCTCAGTTGCCTGAAGAGCAAGAGGAGCCTGCGCGGCTTGCCGAAGGACAGATTTCGAAGCGGGATATCCTCGTGGAACCGGCAGCCATCAACACGCCAGTTCCAGTCCAAGCAAACTCGGTACCTGTCATGGCTAACCCCCAGCCGATTAGCCAGCCCTTGGGCCAACAGAAGCATGTCAGAACCCATAAAAACCCAACGACTGGCTACATGTCCGAGCCACGAACTGCCATCCTCCTTCGTTCTTACACTGGAAAGGACTATACTGAGAATGATAAGCAAACCATTCGCGCGCTGGTTTCCGAGCTGTCTCTTAGGACCGGAGGCCAGTATGAAGTCTTCTTACTGGTCCAAGTCAAGGATAACAACCTGCGCATTTTTGAAGACGACACAGTATATCAAACCGTTCTGTCGCAGAGCGTACCCCCGGAGTTCCGCAGCATGACGATCCTGTGGAACGACGATATAGTCTGGAAGCTTTACCCGAAGCTCACAGATCCCGAGTCAAAGAACGTTCACACTGCTCAGTGGTTGTCTGTTCAGAAATTCAGTCAAGACTACCCGCAGTTTGATTTTGTTTGGAACTGGGAGATGGATTTCCGCTTCACCGGGCACCACTATCACCTTTTGGATAAGCTTGGAGAGTTCGCTAAGAAGCAACCCCGAAAGGGCATGTGGGAAAGAAACGAGAGATGGTACATTCCTACGTTCCACGGCGAGTATGACGTTGAGTTCCGACAGGATATTGAGAAGCGCTATGGTGATAACGTTATCTGGGGCGCTCCTGAATTCTCTTTCATCAACCCTATCGGCCCCAAGCCTCCGGTCGCAAGCCCCGCTCAGGATAACTACGAGTGGGGAGTGGGTGAAGATGCCGATGTGATCACGGTCTCGCCTATGTTCAACCCTATCAACAGTAACTGGGTCATCGCTAACCAGGTCTGGGGCTACAACGACTCAACTCATAAGTCTCAAGACATCCCCCGACGAACGACTATCGTGACACAGTCTCGAGTGTCGAAGAAGCTACTAAACATCATGCACGTTGAGAACCTTCGTGGTAATCATGTTGCTTCCGAGATGACGCCTCAGACGGTCGCCCTTCTGCATGGTCTCAAGGCAGTCTATGCTCCTCATCCTGTCTTTATGGACCGCGATTGGAAGGGCAAGTTCCTGAACAAGTGGTTCAACCCTGGTGAAAATGGCGAATGTGGTGGTCGCGGTAGCCCCATGGGCTGGGGACGAGAGCGAAGATACATCGGCTCAACCTGGTACTACCGAGCAGTGCCCCCGAACCGACTGTACAACAACTGGATGGGCTGGCAAGACACAGGTATTGGTGGCCCGCAGTGGGAGGAGAAGCATGGACGGCCATGCTTACCGCCCGTTATGCTGCACCAGGTCAAGAACACTGAGTCGACCAAGAATGGTCACGAAACGACCTTTGAATTAGCCTACGGTTAAGCTTCAATCATCAACACGCTTGAAGCCTGTCCCCTGGGCATGGCTACTAAGGTTCAATGCTATTTTTTTCTCGTTGCGGATCTGTCCAGATCCTTTTCATGAATATTATCAGTAGATGATAGTGTAATTTGATAGGCAAGACACCCTGTTGCATTGTGTATTAGATAGAAGGAGGTATGATAGATGCACAGGCTGGGTGTTTATAGGAGTCTAGGGTATCTGTTTTTGCATATCTCAGTGATGGACGTCAAGATTCTGAATTAAACGTTCCTTCTCTCAACCAAGTCCAACCCGTTCAAATGATGTGATTGAGCCCTTGGCTCTTAAATAGAGTAAGAATCTATCTAGCTTATTAGACATATTTGTAGACAATGTTCTTTGCTACCTTTCACCCGTTCCAGTGGCGCATGGTTGTCTTGATCCGGACTTTTACCGTTGCTTAACAATGTCATCGTGAACGTCACAAACTCATCTCGTAAAAAGAAGTTTTGACACCAACACTCATTTACTGATCGTTATTGAAAGTCACGCATGGGGCTTTTCTTATTCGAAGCGGAACCCGTTGTGAGAGTGTTGATTTTACGGACTGTCTGTTGAACCACACAGCCACCATGTGTGTTCACCCTATACCATGAGCCCCCCTCCAAGTGTAAGATTTCTCACGCTCGAGACACTCTCAATTCTCAAATGAACGTGAACCTGACGAGAACAGACGCAGACACCTACACCGAGGAGATTTCTTCTACCAAAAAGGGATACACAGTCTTCTCAAACCCCGACAGCTCCACCGCGCTTTCATTCAACTCCTCGCTTCGCCTCTTCTTCTGTTCCTAGGCCGACACAGGCAAGAACTGGCGTTGATATTGAGGATGTTGAAGAAGTTGGAGATCATAGCCAGGAGACTTCCCAGCATAGTGGTGACGATGAGGACGAACAGCCCGTGCATAAGAAACACGATCCGCTCCATGACTCTATCGAAGTAGAGTCGGATGATGCGTTACCCTCGCAAAATGGTAGCCTAGCCATTTCAGATCATGAGTCAGATACTCAAGAGCCAGGGTTCATTGACCGTGAGATGTCTACATCTCCAAGTGCGCCTTATCAATCTTCACCTATAGAAGAGAGGGAGGCGAAACGGCGACGGTTATCAATCTCGCCAATGCTGGAGTTAAGTCCAATAGAGGAAGAGGAGAACTACGCGCCCGGCGGTATCCAGGAAGGGATGCACCGGCGAGACCGCACACCAACCCAAGACTCGGCGCAAAGTATTCAAGATGCTATACCTGTACACGATGAGTCAAAAGCCCTCCAGCAACCAACTTTTCGCGCGCCACCGCGCTTTAAACCAATCGAACTCGACCCCACCATGGAAGGTCTTCCAGCAGCATTCTCTCCTCAGCGTCGGGGAGCGAAGTACATCGCTGGAGGACTCGCGGCTGAGCTCCAAGCATGGCTTTCTGAGGTTAAGGGTTGGGAAGGTGTAGTACCCGCCACCACTTCCACAACAAAGGTGACTATCGAAGAAATCCGGCCAGGGCGGCGTATGTACCTAGCCAGGGGTCGTACCATCACCGCGGAAGGGAAGAGATACATGCTTGCAGGTGAGGGCAAACTGACAGGGCTCGGCCAAAGAATGCATGTGGGCGTTGGAAGTGTTGTCGAGGTGGGACAGCCAGTGTGGGATATTGAGTTAGATGAGGAGACTTGGACGGTCGCATGCGACTGGGGAGTATGTACAGAGGTGGGAGAACAATGATATAGGAGGAGTTTCATATTCTTCCATTATGAAAATAAGAAAAGAGTGTGTTTGATTATGCCTTAGCGACTGCTTCATGAATATGGCTGGCTCGTTGAGAGAATTCCTGAGGTGGAATGGACGGAAGCAGAGCTAGAACTTCGACTCGAGGATTTGCTACTTGGGCTATCTCAAAAGAGTGTATCTATCTTCATAGACGCCCTTGGTGAGCAAAGGTCGGATTTCAAGTAAGATTCTGGAAGAAGCGTGTCGATTGGCTTGAGCTCACCAATCTGAGAGTATGCCTATCCTGTAGACATATTATACCACACATTTGGATCAACAACTCTCTTGAGCTAGTACCAGAGGACCAAAACCGCTCTAACGTTTCAGCTTGTGTGGACTTCGAGCATGGTATGCAGATTTTGGCCGAGGAATCTTTATGGGAAGCCGAGATAGCAAAATGAATATTGATGCTGTCGAACGGGGGTTTCCTCCGGGTTATTCTGGTAGTAGGCACTATTCCTGCCAAACACGATGAGGGTAGCAGTCTTGTTACTAGTCTCACCCACGTGGATCAAATAACATCAAAGCTTAGAGAGCTTTACATACAGATCATTCAAGAGTTACTGATAGCAGACGAAGCAATCACAAACAAGATGTTCCAGTGGCTCTTGGCTATTGGCTCTTGGGGCAGCCAGGCCTCTTCGACTTGACGAGTGGCATCACATGTTAGGTTTTATCAGAGAGCCTGCTCCAAAGTCTCTCCAGGAATGGCGTGCGTCGAAGGAATTTACCGGGGGTGACCAGCAGCTCGAGAGACTGGTCAGGACCATGTCCGGGGGCCTCTTCACAGCTGCTGCCAGTATGTTCACAAATAGTTTGGGTTCATATTTCATTCTTGATAAGGTTCCAGAGGTGTTGCAAGACTATCCGGCTTTGCTTCTCTATACGGTCTCGAAGTTTCGTACTCATGTCCATCTTGCCGCGCGGCCTGGAAGCCGTCTCAAAGAGGATATTACTGAAATGTGCTAGGGAGCTTCCTTCTGGGCACGTTTTGTAGCACTTGATGAATATATTGTAAGAAATCAGACCTTCTGCGTACTTCTCAAAGGAATACAGACCTCTTCTAAACCATGATCGCCAGAGAAAGCTTTACCGTAAGCGTCTAACTCGAAACCAGCATCAACGGAGAGCTTACGAACGCGCATATAAATTATATATGGTATTCTCGCAGATCCAAACAAGATCTAGAAGTATCGTGAGCTTTGGTTCTGCGAGCAGCTACGGTCGTCATACTTCGGTGGCAAATAGGTCAGATAATGGGTATTAAGTGGCATCTCATTCATGGATATATTGAACGCGGAGCGACTTGAACGTGAAAGGCTCGATAAACGCAGCAGATGACCTCAAGATTGCAAACACACTTGGCTATATAAGATCGTCAGCGACCCCATGCTGGCATGAAAGGCACTTCAGTGTTTCCTTCTAGGCTCGCACGTACATTCAGCGTAACATACCTAAGATAGTCATGGCGATGGCTGCAGAGGCCTATGATAACGACCTCTAGCTCAGAAACGTCCAGCAGATACTTGATTTTGTATGTTTCTCACCTTTTATTTGCCTATTTACGTACTAATAACTCATGAGATTGCAAATATCAGGCTCGATGGCGATGGTGGTGTGGTTGAGGCTCATTTTCTCACAATATCTGGTAGATTTTCCGGGGAAAGGATCAAACAACCCGATACATGCTTGAACCTTGTAACTCACCAAGTATCGAACCTTAGTTCTACATACACCAACGAGGTACAATCGGACCGCTTTATGCCCACGCAGGGTGTATTGGGTTTAGGAGCACTTGAGTATAGCACTCTACTACGCTGGCTGCATATGCGACGGAACCGAAGCCACTTGCTACACGTTCTTATAGCACGGTACGCTGAGGTGTACGCACAGGCATTTATACTGGTATATATGTATGACCATATCGGATGTATGTAAAAATAGGCATTGCTTTCATCCCGATATCTGTCGATTAACCCTATATTATATGGATTAATGACCAGGAGCTAGTAGGCGAATGGCACACCCCCTTGTCAAATAATGGTGCCATCTGGCTTGAAACAAACACAATGCGAATCGATACTCAGATGAAACAGATAAAGAGTGGCCCCTTTACTCGTCGTCCGAAGCATTTCTCTCCACTTATCCCCCTCCATGGCCCCAGCCCAGTCGACTTGATCAGGACTGACAAAGCTTCATAGCACAGAGTTCTTGGAGGCCTTTCCCCCACTTGAGACATGCTTGAAGATTCATCCAGGCGACAAGACGTGGCTTTGTATTCGAAACAATGGCTTGCTCGGCCAAAAATACATTGCCCTAATCACCCATTGGCTTGAATCTTCCTTGAGGAAGTATTGAGAAGCATTGTTGAACAGATACTCCAGACACGCTCATGATTCCCGAGAGTGGAGAGTCATCCAGGCTACTACAATACTCCGGTAATCAGATGAAGCCAATGGAGTCAAAGTCGTAGTAGGAATAGGCCTTGGGTCCCTCTCAAAGATCATTCCTCTCGGTATGCGCCCTCTCAAGACCAGAGTAGCCTGTCACAAATCGTAACGGGCACCCTGAATGAGACCGTAGATGTCAACAATAGGAAATATAACTCCTCAACTCACCGAAACACGTCCAAGCACTCGACTGCAGAGATCGACCTACACTCTTGACTCGTTGGTTTGTTCCTGGATGGCACTGATAACCCACAAGACACCGCTATAGCCGCGTTTCTTCGGCCCCCAGAACGTGAAGCTTGGATCAACTCGTCCTCCACTTCTCGAGGGCATACGGATAGAAACGAACTATAGACTGTATAGTTTGTGGGGTCGTCTGCGTCTGCGTCTGCAGGGTAGGTTATCGGCATCTTCTGTTGCCGGGCATAGCCCTTTGTGATCCAGAGTTGCGACTGGTCGAGAGTGAAGTTAGGATTCCATGAGTGGCTGATCTTGTTAGGTTTTTCGGTTCCACAAACTGGTGATCACCGTTGTATGAATCTTCTTTAGTGTCTTCATAACCTCCCCCATCCTTGAAAGTTGGAGTCAAACAGACCCAGTCTATGTGCGGCTGATTCTTAGCAGTTCAGACGGAAAGAATTTCCCGGCTTCTAGTTAGAAGACTTGATAGTGTCTGTCCTGAACCAAGTTGCTCTTGAGTGTGGGAGCTGTTTGGCAAGGTCGTACTCTAGTGAGGTGTATACACTGAGGTGAACACATCCAATGTAAGCTTTAGCACTTACACAGAGTTACCCAGGGGCTTTTGGCATAAACAACCAACTAAGCTTTTAGACTATAAAGTTGTTTAGAAATACTGGACTAGCTGCAGTTTATAGCCCTTCAAGTATCATTATGTTGATAGCATTGAGAAGAAATGCCTTTCTTCCTGTTTCTTTACGCACCTTGAGACTAGCCTAGCCACCCCACATGAAACACGTCTCCAGGATCTAGGGTTTTTTTCCTTCAAACCAGATTGTCGTGCTAACCCCAAAAGATGATCGAGATGCGAAAATCCTTCAGAATGGGTAAACAAGTGCGATGCCAGATCGCTTTGCTGTTCCCTTGCCACAAGTTTGAACATACATAGTATGCTTCTGCTTCCTTAGCTCAACGCATAATCTGTCCACATAAATACAAAGGCACACTTGTGCCTGAACTTGGTACCTTGGACATGAAATTCATATGGCAAAGTTAGCTGGAGACAATGAATCGTGTCTTAATAGACTGTCTGTTTGAAAGCGGCACCAGTACCCATATGGGGAGAGATGTGCATTGTAGACATCGGGGTTCTTGCCTTCCATCGACTAACCTGAAACAACCTCTCGATCCAACTGCAGTTTCTAAGTTAGTGTCGTGACCTCCCCATCAGCTTGAAAGGCACCTTGTTTGATACAGTCAAGGCTGTCGAGCCCCGGGGCAAGGTGCCGGGAACGCCCAGAGCGGTGGGTGAAAGGACCTGCATTAGTGCCAGGCCAAGTCGCGATGGGCAATTGACGGTTGGCGGCCTAGCAGGTAGGGTGGACTAAAACAATGCAAGCCCAGAATGTAGATTAAGTGCTTTGGATATGCAAGCCCAAGTAGTCCAATGCCATCAACATGACAGTACTTTCGAGTTTGCTCCATACTTATTGTCCTGGGCTTTGTTTATTTTTGTTGACGGGATGTATGGCCGGCACAGCCAGACTTCGGTCCGTCGATGCAGAGATCCAGAAAACCCCAAAGACCTGAAGGATGTGCTGCACCAGGACGGTGGGTATGCCAGGGTGCTTCTAAAAACAGAGGCGGAACGTCACCAAACTGTCAAGGCCAAGAGATTAGAGGATCTGCCAAGAGTGGCCGGGGGAAAATAAGTAAAAAACGAAAAGATAAAGAAGAAACCAATATTAATAATAAAAAAGCCGTTGGCTGTCAAACACGCTCAATCATGACAGATACGAATATGATAGGTCAAAATTCATAAGCATGTGCCCTTGTTGGCCATCCTCTTGCACCTAACAAAGTTAAGCGTCATGATATGCTTTGCCGGGACGGTTGCCCAGATGCAGACCACCTTGGTCAAGGGTACTGAATGGCTGCTCATCAACCTTGACTGAGAACCCCTGTCTGTTTTGCATGTAGGATTCCTCATCGGATCGACTTTCCGAGAGGTGTCAGAAATGTTTCGAAGGTGGATGGGCAGATTCGTGTTAATGCAACTCGTCTAAACAGTCAAAGCGAAGACGACATCAGCCTGGGCTTTGCGGGCAGCGCAGCCGCGGTGGGCCGACATGATGGGATGGGATGAGTTGGTCGACGGATGACAGATGCGATGGGGACGCATGGTGATCAAACCAGCGCTGCGGCCATGAAATTCTAGTCGTAGTGTACCGCGCTTCTGGCGATGTTTCGTCTCTTCCACTTCCACTTCCACTTCCACTTCCATCCCGGCTCCAATGACCTCTCCAGGTATTCTATATCCGGTCGTTAATCCGTGATAGGACAAACACCGCACACACATTAGAAGAGGGGGTCGGGGGTACCCGCGTTTGAGATTTGGTGGCCTAATGCGTGCACAGTCGGTGTTTGATTTGCTCACAATCAAACCCCTGGTAGTAGAAAAGCACCGAGACTACTTCACATGAAAAGAAATGGGGGAGTTGGACCAGCGCGCGCGGATCTTCAATGAGTCGAAGCGTGTATCAGTAGCTATCCGTGCAACACTATGATAGCGGGCCCGCTCGCTGTGGCTTGACACTAAGAATTAACGCGGCTACGCCAAGTCGAGAATTAAGAAACATCTGGGGAATTGGTTTGCTATTTTCGTGTAGAGGGAGGGAGAGATTAGAGATGGAGATCCATATGAGAACCCGCCAATTTTACTCAGCTGTTGCCTCATAAGCACTCGACCTGACCTATTACCTAGTAGGTACTTACCTAGCCTACCTAGCCTACCCACTCAGGTAGCGCCAGATGTTAGTGGAAGTCGAGCAACGGTTCGGCCAAAGTATTAAGCTAGAGTAGGTAGTCGCGACATCCATTTCTGCTTCTGATTAATGAGGCAGGGACTAACTAGTTAGGTAGTTAGGCACGTACTAACTGAAGCAACTACCTAGCTCCTGCCCTAAGAACTGCAAGTGTTGTTATCAAACAACCATCCGTATGAACATATTCGCTTTCAAATGCAAATGACACACTTACTCTTATACCAGAGTCCAAGGATTGTCGTGCTGCAGTATCCAACGATCGTCAACTGCATCTGGCCATCATCCACTTGAGGGTCTGAGCCTACACCACACCACACCACACCACACCCCCATCTACGAATGTCTAACAATAGATGGATAGGAGCCGGACCGAAGAGACGACTGCGAGCTATTTACCCTGGCTACCGGCTGCCTTTGGAGGCTGCGGCTAAATCAGCTCAAGCCTGCGCATGAAATAGCCCCGTTGGTATGATAAAGCTTCCCTGTCACCGGCTCGGCTGAAAGCTGAAACTGCTTAGCCTTGCTCTGGTTGATAACCCAACCATTGAGCCTCTTCCACGAACCATTCAGCCATTCCCTCTCGAACTTCATCCCCCATTGCACATCCATGATAATCTGGGTCTGCGTCTCACTCCAACGCGCTACGACGTCGCGCCAAGATGGCATGGGGCATGCTATCCCGACTTGGAACGAGCTGCCACCCCTTGTATTCCTAACCTTGGTCACCGCTGCTGGTGTAATGCAGATTGAGGCTAAAGCTTCAGGGTTTTATTCCATACAAGTTATCCGTGCAACAGCTTAGGTCTATTCGAGGAGTCCTACCATTGTGTGTCGCTCTCACGTTTCTCCCCTCAGCCCAATCAGCTCCCACCGAAATGACCCGCTTTCCAATCACTCAACGACTATAAACCGCTAATGAAGGAAATGCACACCAATTTCAACCACGACCCGATTGTCAACTAATGTGAGGCCTTAAACAATGTAACGCGATCGCTCCGGAAATCACTGACAGCATTATCCCGGCTCGCCTCGTCTTGGCCCAGCTCTTGAATAGCCGCCTTATGCGCAGCAGCTTTCATGGGGAACTGACGATGGGCTTGCTACAACGCTTCAGCGTCACCGAGAAGCAATCGTGTTGCTTGTTCTACCTCTCAATCAACAGTCGATCAGCTAGTCAGTCGTAACTTCAGAGGTCGACCCTTTGACAAGTCACTCTCGGATACTGTCCAGGCGAGCCGCATCCGGTTTTAAAGTACTGCTGTCATGTCAGATGGCGAGGCAACCGGCGGAACAACCTCAACACCATGGCGAGATGGCTACTACGTATAGTGATATTTGCACGGAGTAACTGACTATACCACATTGTGTACCTCGCTATTTGCTCGTCATCTCATCCTCATTGATCTGGCTGATCTTCTAGGTTGCAAGGTGCTACCTACCTAAAAAAGTCCATCTGGTATCATCCACCCCCATCCCAGTGTTCTGCCTGGTCTCGGCATCTCCCGATCAAATATCAATAATACACAGATTGATCGTATGCTCGTGAGTATCCTGGAGAGGTTCCTGTCTGTCAATCCTTTCTTTTGACAGCATGGGTAACATCCCCAGACTCCCCGGGTTTGTGACACAACCACTTTTAGGAAGCTTATTAGACGACCAACCCCTGAAAGAAGTTTTCCCGTGCTGGGGTATGTATCAACCTGCAGCAACATGCGGCTGCGCCTCTCGGCGACCCTCACCGACCGTAGCAGTTTTCAAAAAGGGGTACAGTTGCTGCTGTGGAATAAATATCCATTCACTGATTTCATGATTAGTTCAAAAGATAGGCCCGCCTATCCTGAAGTACCCTGGTCGAGTTGGAGTTCGCCTTTGGAACTCCTGGACCCCGGTACGGACAATTTCTCCCCTTGTGGAGATCATGGTTCGGACGGGGCTCAACGCCATGATCTACACCAACCCGTCATACTAACCAGCAAGGGCGAACCGTTGCTCGAAACTGCCGACAAGACAATGGAGAGGCTTGGCTCGACTGCTTCTCGAATTCTTCAGTGCAGACTTCCTTGGCGCCACATTGCCAGGGCTGTTCCTTTCACGGGTCGGAAGCCTAGGGCCCATCCTAGTCGACCTACAGTACGGCATTACGGTTGTTGAGGGGACTTGATCACTCGTGGACAGCTCGATAATTGGTGTAAAGATGCATCCCTTCGGTCATCATCGCCTAATGCATGCGGCACTGTGCCTGTGCCACCGGGCAAGGACCGACTGCCGCTCTCCTCGTAGCCAGCCTAGCATGTTGACAATGATGATGTTGGTTCCCGCTGCAAGCCTACGTTTTAGTTTATCTGACTCTATCATCCCCAGGAATACCTTCGCGGTCTTCCGTCTTTCTCTGAAGACAGAGCACAGGCCCTGGTTAACCTAGTCTACTAATCCATACGTCGTGTAAAAGCCCCTGATCCTTGTGCTTTGTCCCTTTGATGTACACCCCTTCAGCCCTCTATTCTCAAACCCCCCAGACCCCCAGTCGCAACCCCAAACGACTACCGTCTTCAAAACCCTACCGACCACTTCATGCGCTTTCCATCTAGTCATAGCTCTTAGTGACCTAATTTTCTTTCGTAGTGGATTCGTCTCATCTCTTTCCTTTCCCCTACATGATACATTCTCGCATGTTACCAAGCTCAGACGTGTTGCATGCGACTGAATCCTGTCTTCGCCTTCAGCCCTCCTCTCTGTCTCCCCCGTTACTAATTAAACTCTAGGTCTTCAGATAAAGTGGCACCAATGAGCTGAAGTAGCTCAGAGCATCCTATTCAGCCAGGAGAAAACCTGGTCCCTGGCAAGATCGGCAACCTGAAATCTTCGGTTCAGCGGGTCAGACTCGATCTATCTGACACTCCTGCTACTATTGTCATCCCTTCGCTCTACACCGAACCACGGACGGGCTTCATTCTAGTACCTAGATGCCAAGTTTCATATAATACAGCCCCGAACCAACACCCTGGTCTTCTGGAAGACGTACAAGAAACAGACATCCCCTGGCAGTCAAACGAATTGCTTCTCCAATCACTTTGTTTTTTCCATCTTTTTCATTTCATTCATTCTCCGAATCTGTGGAGTCTGTTCCCAACTTAATCGTTAATTACCCCGGAACGAGGTTGATCCTGTTTCTAGCGTTTTTCCACAATTGCAATAAGATTGTAATCGGTTGTACCATCTATCACCACCAAAGGACGACACTAGACCTCGATGCTATAGTCATTGGACACATATACTCCTTTCAAGCCTCTCTTCAGATCAATTGAAACCATTGCTCGAAGTCTGAAGCTCTCGGAATTACCCAGATACACGTTTCTTCGACTACATCTCCACATCCTCCAACATGAAGATCGAGTCTATTCTCAACCAGTTGAATGAGGTGGAACCGGAAACGAGAAACAGCCCGGAAAGCATACAACAGCATAATATGCATGGGGAACGAAGAGGTTCATCGTTTTCACTCTCGACGCCATCTCCCGACTTCGCTCAATCCAGAACACCAAGTGTACGATCAGATAGTCGAACTCGTACGCCTTGGGATGCCGGTGGCTATTCTCTACCTAGGGATGCTGGCCCAACCACGGCTTCACGATCTAGTTTCTCAGTAGTGTCTTGGGGGGAGCAACAAGAATCAGCACGACGACAAAATGTGTCCAATTATCACTCCAGACAAGTCTCGGTCGATAGATTAGCGAAGATGAATCTACAAGGTGCTGGGACGCCTTACACTCTACCAGTCCGGTAAGTAATATCGATTGCATAGCCTAACTGCGTATGTAAAGAGCTGGGACTAACACTGCTTCAAGCAGAATGCCTTCCACTCCAGAAGTTAACCAAGATGCTTGGACACCGAAAAGGTATGCTCCATATATCTGAGCATGGCGTTACCCAATAGTTCGATTTGACTAATAAATCCTAGCAATTACAGCGACAGCCGCCCTTCCCAGCACATAAGGAGGTGAGTTTGCAGCTTAGTCATGTTGGTGGTGTTCTAGTACACACACTATGCACTGCAAACAAGTTCCGGCGAAGACGCATACTGACACAAGTAAAGGTCAAGCCTCTGGACCGAGTACAATACGTCTCCCGCTACCGGAAGCCACAGAATCTCAGACAGCCGAAGTAGCTTCTCGTCTTGTTGCTCCTCAACATTCTCTGCCAGCCACTCGAGAATCTCATCAGTCTCTACCATTAACGGAAGCAGTACGATGAGTGCTGGGATATCAGATTTGGAGGCTAAATTAGAGCGTCTTCCGAGACTGACAGCGCCGCTGCCTCCTGTTGTCACTGCTCTACCTGTGATGCCCGATATACGCTTGTCTGAGACTGCCAATGCTGGTGAGTCATTGTCTTTTGGCAGCCCATCCGACTCGATTCTAGAGGCAAGGATGATGAGGAGAAAGCACAACCACTTGTCAGAAGACCGAACGTAAGTTGAACACATCCCTATCTACCAAACACCGGACATCGTCATGAAACCTCCTGCACTTCCCACTTTGCCGAGACCAACCCCTTCCTACTATCTCTAGAGTAGGACATGACCTTGTTGTTTGTTATGCAGCTCTTCACCAGAAACGCCGTGAGTGTTTCTTGTCGGGATTGAGTAGTGCTCCCTCTACTCCCTTTATTCATGAATCACGGATGGTACTGTTTGTCTTGTCAGGGGAACAATGGCTGCCTGTTAGGGACTCCGCTTAGATGGATGGCGCTTAGGCATAACCAGATCTCTATAGCTCGAAAAAGTCGTCCCGTCAAAGCATCACTGTCGCACTGCGAACTCGATCTTGAGACTGTGAATCATACCGTGTGGGTTGATAATCCAACGTCTACTGGTTCATGCAGCTTTGCAGCAAACACATCTTCGATTCATTTGGACCCTTCGTCCGACGTTTACTCCTCACGCCCTATCACTCTTTACCTATTGTCTACTGTCGTTTTCGGCCTATAAATTCCAGTTGAGGATTTACTGACACTCCTCTTCCTCCCAGCTACTTGAAGCCAAAAGACCATCTTTTGCAATCCCTGGATCGCGCACACAAGCGAACCATTTCGGCCCCAAACCCCGCCCAAAGCTCTACTCAGCCCTTTCTTCGGACTCCAACTGCTTTACCATCACTTGCGTCCAGGCACTTCGAGACCGCAGCTCTGCCATCACCACAAATCAACCCAGTTTACAACCGCCCGGACCTCGAGCAGTATCCCTGGGCCGATCGAGGAGAAAGCTCCCCAGTCCCTAGCATGGCGACGAAATCTCCCTTGGAGCCTCAAAAAAGTGCTAAGGTGTTGCCTGACAGAAGTCTTCAAGGTACGTCTGTGATAGCTGCGACCATCTTTCAGGATCCACTAACATATTTGTTTGCGTCAGCAAACACAGTATCTCAGGCCAGCTCAAACGACCGTGTTGTTACAGCATGCCGCCGCTTCAGGAAAGTGGATGTCAACGCACCTCTTGAGGGTGGCGATATTTGCATGGCTGTCGAAAACTGCACCACTGGATCAGTCCCTCGCAAGGTCATCTCTCACCTCTTCGGCCGCAATAAGGTCTGCACCCGCCGCATCCCTGAGCGTGTCTGGGTGTGCATGTGCCGTAAGCACTACCAGCGAATCCGCTACCGCACAGGCGCCGACTTCAGTTTGACACAGATTGGTATGGTATACGAGCAGATTGTCCGAATGATCTTCTGGAGCCGAGGCCTGGAGAATCCCAACAGGACCAACCAGGAGGGTATCGCCATTCGATCATGGACATTCTCGATTCGCAGGCGTGAGGTTAAGCGCCTGGCCGACGCCAACGGTCGAGACCTCGTTCCTCGATGGATCATGCAAAGCCTTGGTGAAGGTAAGACGCACGACGAGATCCTGGACGTAGTAGAACGCCTGCACCAAGAGATTCAACAGGGGGTGCTGAAAGAGGTTCCCCCGGTTGAGTTTCTTCCAGAAGTTGTCGACGCCTTCACAAATGCACCTCCTCAACTTCAGACCCATTTCTCGAGCGGAGGAGAAACTTCATTTACTGGCCAATCCAGTCGTTCATTGAACCCCGGGGAATCAACAGAATCCCCTGCCTCGTTTGTTAAAGACTCCTCACCTCTCGAACCAGTTCAGGAAGAAGGATCTATGAGCGACCGCAACAGCGAGCAATCAGCTTCCTCGCCTACGCCTCCGGCTGCTTACAATGGACATCGCCCTGTTCACCACTCTCAGTCTCTTAACATCGATGCACCCAACCGAACAACTACGTACGCCTCCGGCGCACCATCTCCTCTGGTGGAGTCTGTTATAAGACCAGGTATCGATCGACGACACAGTCTTGCCTACCAATACAGTCAGAACCCATTACCACCTCCAATAAGCTATTCCAGTATTAATCGTCAGATGCAGGCGCCAGTGACCGATCACCGAGGTTCATACGATAACAGCCGTCATTCACGCGAGGCTTACAGTGGTGATTACCACTATGGCCCCAGTGAATTTGTACTAACTGGCAGAAACTCCTCGATACCTGCGGCTGCTATGCCAATGATGGACGGCGAAGACCGGACATCACGCATGGTGGGCTATGTTGGCCAGGGCAGCCGAGACAGCCGCAACGATTATGCTATGCCAATCAATCCCCAAATCACTTCGGCCTATCCTCATTACCCTCCTTATGGGTCCGGTCCTCTTCAAGGACAGACCGGCGGTTACTCGTGGCAAGATGCAACAGAACGTCATTCTCAGTTTAGATTGAGCGGCGCAGACGTATCAATTTCTCCGTCGATGCCCGATGAGCGGTCTTGCCCTGATATTCCTCATCCACAGAGCCATGAGCCGTACTGGTATGCTGCCGAGACTGGGTCAAACACTAGGATCGGCCGCTCTGTGAACCAATACCAGCAGCACACATTGGCTTTCGCTGGGGAGACTAGCCTCCATTCTTCGCGCCAGTACCCAAGGGAAGAAAATTCAGAGTCCTGTGGTGCTGGCCTAGGTCCTGGAGAAGTAATTCCCACCACGTATTCAGCATCGATGTACGATCCGAGATACCAGCATGGTTACGCACCTACGGGTTTGTTTGGCGGCAATCACACTCGTGGCAACCATCAGGAATTTCAGTACAATCATGCGACCAGTGACGGCGACGAGGACTGGCACGGTACTCGGGCTTCCGGCAAAAACAACCATCAAGGGGACAGGTTCTCTGATTAATGCCATCCAATGCGATACCCAGAAGCGGTCTTGTGTGTCGCGTGTGTAGGTAGCTAAATGCTCCGTCTGTCTATTGCAGGACCTTCACTGGCACAGGCTGTGCGCCAAATTGCGATGACATCTGGTTCGGAAGTGTTTTGTACGATCAAGGCGTTTATCTTTGCCGAATGCACGAAGTTGGTTTGCTGCTTTACCCCTTTTGATTGGCATTCCACGCCCGCAGTCGATGTTTGGGGCATATCGCCCATGAGAGAGAGGGAGCAAGGCAACAAGGAGGTGATTTGCTATATCGACTGGTGCACGAGGGGATTTGACCAGTTCGGACACGAAAATTATGATTTGCTTTGCGGTTTAGGGTTTGCTATGACAGAGATGATTATGATAGGATCATAGACCTTGCTGATTGAAGGCGCATACGTATAGCCAGCTTGATAGATAGAGAAGAAATGAAATGAATCAATTACCTGAATGACATTGATACTGGTGACACCTGGTACAGCCTTGAAAGGTGACGCCATATAATTGTCTTTCTGTGGCTAAAATGAGGTGCGAGATGTAGTGACGGGCGCAGACTCGTGATAGTTATTCCCCCCTGAACATGATGACACCGCCGTCCCAGTCCTTCAACTCTCCAATGTTGGCTCTGGCCACTTCGACAAAACCAAAACGGTTGTAAAAATTATCGAGCCCACGCAATCCCACCAGCCAAGTGGGAACATCTGCACGATCGGCCGCCTCTAAGCCATGCTGGAGTAGCAGGGAACCATAACCAGCGCCCTGAACATCAGGAGACACACCGAGAGAAGAGAGATACCAAGCTGAGCGACGTCGAGGAGAGTTGAGGACGTCTGGTTCGATGGTACTGAACACACGATCATAGATACCAAGGCGATGATTGTCAACACCGCGGATAGGGAAGAGGAACGAGTGCAGCTTCAGCACAGCCCTCACTATAGGGGTCATCCAAGCGTCTGAAAAAGAAGGGCGGGTCAGTAACTTGATCATATTCTGAAACAAGGCAGTGGACATGAAGATGGAACACATTGCGGTCTGATAGGGAGACGTACGAAGCGAGAGCCACCGCTGGCGGAAAGACAAGGACTCGTCTGGGATATGCCACCAGGTAAAGGCTACAGGTCTGCCCTTGGGATCGTCGAGCATAGTGAGGACATAACCGGGCGTCCAGTAGCGCAATAGAAAGCGCCGAGCTATCCACATGCGAAAGGGAGTTGAGTCGGTGTGGCGGCCGGGGAACATGAAGTCCAGGAGTTTTTCTTTGTCGAAGCTCTGCATATAGAGGTTTGTAGCCGCTGTGATATCGGCGGTAGTGCCGGGGCGTATACGATGGAGTGTTTGAGTTGTGGCCATGTTGGCGACGGTTGACGATTGATGGTGAGTGATGAGTGACAAGTGATAATTCTGGTGAATTGAAGTCGTGCTGAATGGAGATTTGGTGTATACACAGTTCTTAGACCCGGTTTCGGAAATATAATTGAGTCCTCCTATATCAAATGTAGTCTGCAGAGTTGTGTGAAAATTGGTGTTGAGTCATAAAGATCCCAGTCGTATAGAGGCGGTAGAGAGGCAGGTGGTTACCTAGGTATTTAGTAGTAACCACAATCAAGCAACTTCAACTCATATATATACACTCTATAACGAAGCCTACAATGACTTATATAAGGATCTTCATTTGAGTTTTTTCGACCTTTTTAGGCCATGTTTGAGGTGGGGGATAAGTTAATCGGATCGGCCTGCCAAAAACGGGATTTACGCCGTGTGAGTCAGTCGGCCACGTTAAAGCCGCGAGTATTAATTAACTAGGCATTCAGTTTTTACTACGTTCGGATGTATATCAATCAGTTATCTAATCGACAGGGGGCAGGGGTCATATGTTTTGTTCAGCTCAGCTACAAGTATGGTATGGCATGTAGTTGAGTTGAGTATCGCGGGAAACTTTATCTAGTGTTTCGGTCAGGATGTATCTCAACGGCTGTGCATCTAATAGAGCTTTGGTGAGGCTAATTTAGAATCTTGCCAAAATGGCCAAGTACAAGGCGGCCATAAGACCATAATATCATAATGCCGCGAGGCCATACAAGACTAGACAGGGTTAGACGAGACATAACAAAGCAAAGAAGAGGGCGAAGCAACAATCAAGAAGGCCGAACTGAGAAGTCCACATCTCGTATTCCTCGCAGCCGCGTCAGCCTCAGACTTGATTGGAGTTGAAGCAGAGTCAGTCAGTCAGTCTCCCGTGCCGTCGATCGTCTTGCCCAAGTTCACTGATGATCAAGTTCAACTTCATGGGGAGGTGAGTCTGGTGAGACAATCTTGCCGCATTAGTTTGATGTTTCTTTGTAAGAGAGGAGTAGCTTCCCGATCCAGGAAAGGCCCTTGTCTAGCTCATATCCAAATGTTTCTTTTATTAGATTGACGGATTCTCGTGATATGTACGAAAAAGTCGCTTGACTTCGGATGCTACCTTAGCTTGCCTTGACCCTTGACGTTTGACCTGTGAGAAGGGGCGTGATGTCATGCGCGTTGAAGATTATCTCCGATGACAACCTATTAGTCTACCTTTAGTCTAAGCTAATTCTAGAAAGATGTCGAGAATTCCACTTGAGCGCTTTGTAAGTGATCTGATATGATATGATTTGATTTGATTTGCATATATTTGGAATGCGACCTTGATTTCCATGTGCCGCAGACCATGTGAGATCGAGATCTGCCCGTCTGATTATACTACTAGTGCTTGATAGCATGTCATCAGCTTGCTTAGGTAGGCATGATTAATGAGGGTCGTCAAATTCCGACCCCAATTCTCAACTGCCCCAGCTCCCGGGGCATCCATCCATGGCGGTCTGAGCATAGGTATGGTAAGCTAGAGGTAAGCTAACCCATGGAAAGATAAATGCATCCACCCACCAACCAACCAGCCGCTAACGCTTATGTTGAACTGGTGGGCGGGCACGACATGCGACATGGCCTCACTGGGCTGAAGATGTGCTAAAGATGTGCTATTCGAGGTGCCCGGACTGGGTAAATTAATGTAAAGTTACGTAGCGGTAGCGGTAGCGGTAGCGGTAACGGTAGTGGTAGTGGTAACGGTCTCCCCGCGGAACGGGGGCCAAACCCCACCAAGCAAGAGGGATTTACATTTACAGTGTATAACGGGCCCGACATTGTGGATTTGAGATCCATTGTAAGCTCGTTGATGCCCGGAATTGGTCTTTTAGGGTCGACTGGACCTTCCTTGTGTTCTTCATCATCTACCTAGTACCTAGCACTGTACGTACTAAGTATGTGGTTCTTAGGTACTGATCAACCTTGTTAAAAGTCTATGCATGCATTTTATAGTATCGCACTAGGAAGTTAATCACCTCTTGAGGAAACCCATGTCTGCAGCCATCGTCTGGACAATTTTTAGTTAGGGCTGCACTTTAGGTAGTGGTTGTGTTAGCACCTACTAACCCAATATATTGGATCTACCTTAGGTATTGTATCTTACCTGCCGGTAGGTACTAGGTAAGTAGGTAGTACCTAAGATTAGATCTGTCAGGGACTTCTTTCCCTTCCACATTCCGTCACTATTACCAGAGTCTGTACCCTCTCTGACAGTCTGAGCTCATGTCGTCTTTCCCTTTCTGGCCCAATTGGCGACAATTACTGTATACTTGAGTTTTATTTCAAATCAACCCTGTCTTTCATGACTAGAGCCAAGAGGTAGGTACGGGACCCCTGCCTGCCCTACCTCACCTCGCTACCTGCCCGTCAACCGTGAAGGAGGTGGTCCCCCGCTCTTTCCGGTTTGCTCGATCTACTCCGACTTTGGCAAGGGTCCATTGCTTGTTCCTAATTATCTGCCCAATTTCCAATGCTTTACCTTATCCTTTCAAATCAAAACTATCTTCAGCCTTCCTCTTCATCCCGAACCCCGTAGCCTTGGACCCCCTGTCAGCGGCTGACTAACCGGCTAGACGTCATCCGCGATCTGGTCCCTGTCAATCTTGCCCTGACCAAGAAGGGAACCTGGCTTTTAGCATCCATCCAAGCACCCACCACCTGGACCAGGCACCTGGAACCCATCTCCCGGGCCAGGTTCGCCATCTACCGTCCCCGAGTCTACTCCGTAACGTGCCACACAACGGCCCTGCACCGCCGGTACAGCCAGCACATCATATCCAACGTCCAGCGTCCAGCGTCCAGCGTCCAGGTTAGAGTGCGGGTGCGGGTACGGGTGCGTAGAATACATCGCCCGCTATAACGTATCATCTACTCCTACCAAGTAGGTACTCTGCACTGCGTTCAGTGTTGCCCGCTGCGCTGCCGCGTAAGGTATCTATCTGCAACCACCCCTCAGCCTATTCTGGCCCCAGGCCTAGAAGCACCAAGAGCCCCATCGACGTCTATCCAACTCTGTGGCCCGGGGGGGCATCATCTTCTTCCTATTCCTCTTCTTGAGGCTCGACGTCAAATAGCCCTCGTTCCCGGGCTTCAATGTCTCTGTTTTCTCTCGCTCTCTTCGTCTCTCACCATCGATATAAACCATCACCATCACTATCAAGCAACAGTCCCGGTTCAGTTCAACTTAGCATATCAGTCTAACATACAGCCAAAACCACATCCACATCCACAGCAACTACCACATCTACATTTGCATCCATATCTATCCATACCCATAACATCCATATATCTACTCCAATTCCAGCTGGGTTAACAACTACCACAGCCTTCTGCCTAGGTAGTTCATATTCCTCCACTACCCTTTCACTGTCTGACACAATAAAAGCCTATCTAGTTAGCACAACTCTGTCTTCTGCTTGCATCTACCAAAGCCCCCGAATACTCAAGATCAAGCCCATATTACGGGCTACATATCACCCACCACGGATCCCAGAAGAAGAACCATCATGTCTCGCTCCGTGTCATCTTCACGGGGCTCTGAGTCTCCAATGGAGCCTGAACGTGCTCACAGAGCCTGTGAAAAGTGTACTCGCACTAAAAAGAAATGTGACAAAGCATTGCCTGCTTGCTCCCGCTGTACGAGGTGCGCAACTATTCCATCCCTTTGATACTCTTTCCTTCTCTCTCTCTCTCTCAGGGTCCCGACTAACTCACCAGACTTGCAACAACATGCTCCTATGACTTTATTTACACCGCACCAACTACAGCTGTTGTGGAACCGGGTTATCTTGCAGGATCTACCCCCAAGGAAGCATATGGACAGGGTATATTCGACCCTGCCTTCGATATTTCTAGCTCCATGATCATGGCTTTGCTATCTTCGCGCAATATTCCCTGGCGTGAGGCAACTGAACGGTACTTTGAGACTATGAATCCCTGGTTATCCGTAGTCCACCCGGAACTCTTCTCTATTCGCACCGATAACATCAGCTCTGGTTCAGCTTCTGGTGCAGATCAAGGACCTCGCGATCCCGCGGTCGCCCTCTTGATCGTTTGCATGCAACTCGTATCTCAGTACGACGACGAAGCTGCCGCAGCGAGCACCAGTGTCAACGAGGGAAAGGACATGATTGAGATGCCCGCCTACCGGGCTGCTAAGCGCTCCCTGAGCGTCCTTCGTGGCCTTTCCGCTCCCTGCATTGAGCTTGTCCAGTGTTCTATCCTCCTTGCGCTCTTTGAGTTCGGTCACGGTGATGTGATGCGTGCCTATGTCAGTATTGGAGACGCCAACACCATGGCCATCGTCCTGCGTATTGGCCCTGGAAAGTATGTCGAGGCCGAGCGAGAGGCGAACATTCCTTACGAAGAAGAAGAGCGTCGCTGCGTCTATTGGAGCCTATTCGTGCTCGATCGTTTGATTCATGTCGATTGCTCTCTTATCCACATGCCACTTCAAGTGCCATCTCCGGCTGCAGATGACCTTTTACCGACGAGCAATTTGATCTGGCATAATCAAAATCAGTCGCCCACACGCTCGGTTCAGCGACATCCAGCAAACGTTACACCATCAGTGCCCCTTGGCCCTTTCCAGAGGAACTGCCAGTGTGCAATGCTCTATACAAGGGCATATTCACCCAAACCCCCCGGAAATCCCAATGCTCTGTTGGACGAGTATGTTGAGCTCGATATTGCCACACGCAACCTAGTAGAAGCTATGATCATGCAAACCTCTCGCTGGGGTGACTTTTACGAGTGTTTTGCCACTTGTACCTGGTAAGCTGAACCTTGAGTTATGAAGACATAACAATATCTGCCTGTCTAGCTGTCTTTAGAAAGCCGAACTGACAACCCGCTCTAGTCTTCTTCTATTCCTGTACTGTCGCCAACTCCGCACTGCCAACACGATATCCGCCTCAGGCCCTTTCTCTCCGTCCGCCGACGACATAGCTCCGAAGGCCATTGCTGGTTTAAACTTCACGATACGTATCATCGCTGATACCACCACCGATCTGAACGACCAGCTCGCTCACCGCCCTCACCTACTTGCTCCTTGTTCACCCGTCACACCCTACTCGGCTTATCATTGTCTCATGGTGCTGAGTCACCTTGAACATCTCATTCCCGAAGCTGACACAAGATTCCATAACATTTTTGCCTCATTGCACTTTTTCGCCAAGAGATGGGGAGTTGCTGGTAAGTTCTTAGATTGTTGGCAAACCACCCTGTCAAACATCAAGTCATGGAGCAGAGAGAACTATAACGGACCGACTTCTAACTCTGTACAGGTCAACTTGTTAACAAGGTTGAACTGTTTCTAGCGGACGCGGATGAGACACAATGGAGCTTCATGAATGAATAAGGCACCGGACCGAGGCCTGCCTATGTCACCGTGCCGACAACAAACGCCAAGCTGTTGATTAATATGCCACTCCAGAACGAACGAAAACTATCAACTCTGAATCTTTGGGACGAACTTGAAAGCTCTTGGAAATTAAAACTTTTTTTCTTCTTCTTCTTGAACTACAATTAGATGGTTTTTGTTTCGTGCTTATCAGTTTGCCATCAACTTGTGGGCATATATCAAAGCATGTACCTCAGGGCACTGCTCGTTACTTTCGGCCAAACGGCCAGCTTTTGTTCTGCCAATACAGAAACAGGATGCACGAATCTTCATCGTCCCTCGCAATTTCAAAGCGCTCAACGCTCAACGCCTAATCGAAGAAAATCGTTCACAAAAATAAAAGACGTCCAAATCGTGGCTCAACCCCTCGAGGGCAGAACCATCAACAAAATAAAGATAACCCCAGGGGCATCATGGGGTGTTTCCCACGACAAGAACTAGTAGCATGCCGTTAAGGGTGCAAGATGCGATGAAGGTGGCCCAAACTGCCAGTAGGTGCGGTAATGAGAGTTGGTCATTCCGGTATAGCGTCATGCCGAGGGCACTGCACGCAGTGAATAAACTCGCAACTACGCCAACAGTAACGCCCGCATCAACTTCGGCTCGGAGCTTGTGTCGGCCGGTGGAGATGAGCGTGCCTGCAACAAGGAGGAGGAGAAAGGAGATAGCGAAGGAACCAACGGTGCCCCAGAACAGAGTCTTCTCGCGGTACAAGTGTGCCTGCTGGTGGCTGAGGCTAGGGAGAGCGTAGTGAGTAGCATATCCGGTTGTGGGGAAGCCGTCTGAGCTGGCATATCCTGCCTCCTCATCTGATTCACTGCTATTAAAGGTTGTGCTGGAGTATTGGCAGGGCGAATGGTCGGCACCAAGGAGAGCCTGCCGCTCCTCAGCTTTGTTATGCCTGAACCAACACTTCGCCTTGTTAAGAGGTCCTTTGAAGATACCCTGTAAATAGTCGATGCCCGGAAAGTTAGTGCTTTCATCCGGGTTGATATAGATAGCATATCCGTCATCATCACCTCCGCATTCACTTCCATCATCATATTCATTCCAATACTTAGTTTGCTCTTCCATCTGCGGTGGAGGCAAAGGCTCGAAAGTAGGATGTGAGCGGTTGGCAGGGTGACGATTTGCCGAGTAAAGAGACCCAGAGAGGGACTGACGCCGGTAAGAATGTGCTGGGGAGTCTGGCGAACTAGGCTCGCTCATTGTAGGAGCAGCAGCGTTGAGAGTACAGGTGATGTCGTCATATCGTTGTTGTAAGGATGAAAAGTCTCGGCGAGTAAAGCTTTTGGGATCAGAGAGGATATTCTCGTAGAGACGAGTACCAAGTGTCGTAGAGCCAGTCCATTTCTGTAGATAGGGAGTCGATCAGCACATGTGTCAAATATCCAAGCTTGTACCAAGCAGCCACGATGACGCACCTTGTATTTTTTGGTGATCTTCCGGAACGCGACGGTCTGGGCGTTGACGAAACGCTCAAGGGCATGAATGTCACCGCCGCAACGAACCAGCTCACGTTCATATTTTGTAAATCTTCTCTGATGTTTTATGGCAGAGTTATCGGCGAGTTCATCTTGACTCTTCGACGCCCACCGATTGATGTTCTTGGCAAGATGCTCTAGTCGGGTGTCAGTTTTGGCATGTGGTCGCGTGCCACCCAGGTTGTGGCGCAGAATTGCAGGCCCGAAGCGTACCTAATCGACGTGAAATCTCATCTGCCTTGCTTGAGACAAAGAGCTGCAGCCTTTCATGCTGGCGACCAAGTTCCATATACAAATCGTCTTCAAACCGAGACAAGGCCTCATCTTTGTGTCCAGGGATGGCCATAGCCGTGGCCTGGTCGCGCGTCGTGTGCATCTTGATCTCATGCTTGATGGAATTGTAATCGAGATTATCTGCGCGGAGACACAATATGTTAGTGAAATGCAATTGAACCAATGAAGAGAGAACTGCAACATACGTAGATTCCATTCTGGAACGGATTCCCGCTCCAAATGCTCACCAAACTTCATGATGACGGATCGTGATTGAAATAGCCCAATTGAACCTGATACAAAAAAGAAAAAAGAGCGGGTGATCAAATCGTCTTCCTCAAGCGCGTCGCGATCTTTGCTCCCAAATTGTATAATAACTTAATATCACGGGGAGTTCGGACACGAGTTGCAGAGGAAGAGTCAAGTCGAATCGGATTGAGTTGGCGGGTAAAGTAAATGGGAAGAGACTGCTCCAACGTCGCCGAACTGAAATCTCTGCCTGCGGAAGGCGGATCCGTCTCTTTATAGGTATCTACAAAACAGACGAGCTGTAAGTCAAATGCGCAATTCAAGACAATCGCGATAGTTGCTGCTCGGGTGTAAAAAATATATATAGTAGCTCGGTTGCTTGCGAAAGAGAGACAGAGACAGGGAAGGACATAAGGAACGAAGGCGTCAATAAGAGCGGAAAATGACGTACCCAAAATATGAGGGACACCCAGTATGGTTTGAGACACAGCCTGCCTCGAGATCCAATTTAGAGATTAAGGCCTGTCGTGGTAGGACAGGTAATGGGGCTTCAGCGCCTAAGCTGCAAGTGTCTGGGCTCTTTAAAGGAGGCCCTAGCAGGGGGTAGCCAGGTTGTTTTAGTGATTGTGGAGACAGGAGAGTCACCTCACTTTGACTTTGGCCTGAACGTTTCTGTTGCTGCGGGCGTTGGCAGCGTCGGTTGCGCTAAAGTTGTTGCAGACTGATACCTTGCAAGTGCAATGTCAATAGTAGCTGAACCTTTTGTCCTGGGAATGAAGCACCGATAAGAGTCGAAGGACGCGGGTGGTATCGGAGTGATCAGAGAACCTTTTTATCTATGCTTCTGATTTGTGGCTGGTGGATGCTGATGCTAATACGGCAGTTGAGAACTCAATCCTTGGAATGACCCGTCGTTTCGAGATAAGAGTTTCAGCGATGCGGGCAGAAGAATTTGGCCAAGGTTCACCGCAATCGACAAACGAAGCACTGTCTCATGGAGATACAAAGTCTCTGGGTGAGTCTGGGCTTATCAGATGATCACGGTGTCAAGAACAAGCGCCGTACAAGCGGGAATGCGAGAAACGTAAATTTTCAGGCTGCCGGGGGCTTCTCTCTGAATATGACCTTTCTGGAACCGAAAGCGTGTTATCAATTGATAAATTGTTGCTGAAGTGAAGTATTCGTTCTAGGGAAGTCTAAGCGAGAGAAGCTAGGAGAAAGTTGTGAGCGAGGCGTAGGAAACTTTGCAAGTTTATATCTATCAACAAAAAAAAAAAAGTGATTCATCCTTGTCGCGCCTCTTACCACTCTTGTCGAGTCCATCCACTCACCTCGTGCTTTGCATGCATCGGTAACACCAACCCGGACAAGATCCTAGACTTGGCATGATCCATCCATCGTGCAGTTAGCAGCGGAGACAATCCAGTCGCTGCAGTATGTACGTATAGCCACCCCCGGCAAGGTAAACCTGACGGATGGGGCGGTGGGCTCCAAGGTTCTGGAGAGGCGGAGGGGAGGGGAGTGGACGATCAAGGGTCCCCTTACAGACGCTGTCTGTACAGTACGTTTCGGCTTAGGCTTCGTAACGGAACAAGTGAGGTTCAGCAGATAATGCCAGATTCTGGAACTTTTGTCAATGCTTGCGAACAGGCAGGGAAGCAATTGTGCCTCGGTTCCTTGATAGACCAAAGAGCTGCATACGACTACCTGAACTAGAACGCGTCGGAATTGAAATTGACGAGGGAGTTTGTTAGCCCGTTACCGAGGAGAACTTCTCTAGTTGGTGGTATAGCGGCTAAACTGGGTAGTCAATGTCAGTCTCGGCTGTTATCGTTCGGCATATAGAGAAATTGAGTTTGGTAGAAGAATTAGAAACGCCACGTTCTGAGACTTCCAATATTAGATTAGGCACTGTAACACACACACACCTTTCCTTTGCTGAGGTTCGTGCATGTGGTTGCAGAGCGCTTTGTCCGATAAGAAGGATAACGCTTCATCGTTAAAGTTACCCAAACTCTTGGATCTTGTATTTCGAGGTTATCAATCCCAGTGTTAACATTCTTATCCTGGTACTGTATGCTAGGCATGTTCCTATTCAAGCAGGTGCGGGCGAACTGAAAGGCAACAGTTGATAAGGTTAACGCACCTTCCGCGGAATTCGTTTCATCAGAAACACCCACTTGCCTTGGGTTAGGTTAGGCAGTTGTCCTCCCTCCCGTCCCCTTGGACAGGTACCTACGGCAGCCCGGTGGATCTTTCTTTCCATAGGAAGGTTAGTAGCTATCTCAGCTAAAATCATTATAAGGGGACAAATCAGAGACTTCCACGCCGGTGCTTAGGTAAGGTATTCAACAACATTCTCCACGAATACGGTTTATTGAGCGGCTATCGAACGCTGTGCAACGAGCCAATGCAGTAGCGACTTGTCGTGCATTCGACTGTTCTTATGGAATCAACAGTTCGCGAATATTGCAGATCGAAAATGTCAGTGCCCATTATGGTGTCTGTCACATACGGGTATTAGCCGTAGCCGCAGCCACTGTTGTCTCAGACGAAACACCAAGCCAGCTGGTACCTGTCAACCCGAGCAATCAGCAAGTCCCGGACCATATTTCGATGCACTGTGCTGCACCTCGGAGGCACGTAGTTCTGTCCTAAAATACGTCGGCTGGTACCGTCACCAACGACGACCATTGTAGGTCTCAACGCCAATTCAAGCAGCGAACACAGACCAAGACATAAGAGGCAGTGCGGCGTAGGATTCACCAATCCAAAACATTGGCCAACGACTCCTGGTGCTGCTGGTCTGCCATTTCCACTGGTACAGTACCAGTACGGAGTACTGGGTCGGTAGGTATTGTCGTGTATACGGCCCGTCTCCAATCAGCCAGCAACCACCTCAGTGCAACAGTGACGAGCCATCGTCACTGGTCACGCGATGACCTAAGGCAAGAACAGGGAATTCATGGGTATTTTAGAGCACCAGCTTGACCCAGCACAATGGCCAGTCAACAGCTGGCATCGACTTGTTAAGTTGTTGTGTTGAGCTTGCAAGTTTATCCCCGTGTTACTAGGAATTCGTCGCGTATTTCCACGCGATTCCCTGAGCCTCGACCTATCGGCCTTATCCTTCATCAGTTCCTCTTCCCCATGCCTTCGTTTCTCTTCGCTTCTCCGGCTCGTGAAAACCTGGAGTCTGGACATAACCCATGCATTACGGATATATGGACCCTTGTCTCTAACATATTACGGATCGTTTTGGCCCGAACAGTGGCGTTCTCTCATCATTTCCCTGGCTAAACAAGATCACTGCCATCATCGTACATACCCAGAGCTACGGTGATTTCATTGTGGGAACTTGAAAACAGGCGAGCGCATCGGCGAACAGCCGAACAGTCGAAACCACCTGGTTGAGTCTTGTGGTTCAGCCTTAGAGTTGAGGTTTACTCCGTCATTGTGCTTGGCTGGGAAAGATTTAGCGCTCCAGCTCCTCCATTCTCCAGCCCAGCATGGACCATGTGCTGGCTCGACTGGCTGTTGCGTCGACGACGAGAAAAGCTTGGCAGGGTCTTGTCCAATAGTAAGATGTTTGTGGATCAGGGGGTGACAGAATCCTGGCAGGTTTTCTCAATAGCCTAATTCCTGTACTTTTTTCTCTTCTGTTTATTGGAGAATTACCCACTGCACAGTGAAATCTCCATATATTCCCCTCACGCCTTATGAAGATGAAGGGCTTGGCTATTTTGAGTCGCTGTGGACAGAAACTCTTGCCTCTCTGCCTCTACTCCACCATCAAGACAACGTTGTTAGCGACGGTTCGTAGGAAACAATACCCGGCATGGCTACTAGCTATGGGCATCTAGACTACCCAGCCCATCAGCTAAGCCCTGTATCCACTTGGCAATTCTATCTCACAACCTATGTCTTTTGTGCCGCAAAGACCCTACTGAGTCGATTCTCATTGAAATATTGAGGCAAGGTTGAAAATGTCCAGCTACTCGATACTGCACCTGCGTGGAAATACACACACGGATAGCACAAGCCAGGAAGCGATGCATAATTGAATCAAAGGCATCATGTTGACAGAAGGTTCTACAACATATTATTGGTCGAGCTGTTTACCGTGGCTAACGGTTGGTACGTAAACCTTGGTTATGTGTACTGATATGCCGAATTGGGAGCTCGGTCTGGCAACAAGCATTTCTTTGCCCCAGTCCCATATATGACACAACAAACGAATATCGTATCCGCTTCTCACCTAGATCTAGTATGACTTTATCACTTTATAGCAGAAGCGGATATTTTGCTGCATTGCCTAATGGCTCCGTATCCCCGTTCTGTACCCAAATCCACTATCATCCCGGTTGTCGGGAAATTTGAGCCATGATTGTTATGGATACAGGGCGGACCCTCAAGCTGCCCCTGCTTGAATTCTGTTTTTCGAATACGGAGATCAAGAGGCTCGCCACTAACTACGTTGGATTCAGAGGAGAGGCTAGAGGGAGGCTCTTAACAAAGGTCCCTTGTGGATTAAGCCTTCAGGGGTCTGTGACTACCTACTTATGCATATCCACAACCCGCTCTGCCGCTTGACAGTACGTACGTACATAGTATAGCGATGGGGTCGTGCGCATGAGATGCTGAAGGCTATTGAAGAGGTCAAGTTACGAGGATGTTAGTTGCAGTCCAAAAGCGGCAATATGTCACGCCCGTCTTCGCAGAATCGAGTCTTTCTCCCCGTAAACGTCGGATAAAACGGCATGTGTTTGAGGTGCTAGGGTCGATATATCTCATCTGTCAGTGGCCTTTCATGCAAGTGTCACGTTCTAGATCATTGGCCTCGGTGGACGTTGACAATCCAGAATTTCAATTTTCCCTCCATGGCCAGCTTGACTCGGGCTGCTGAAGGGCAATCCAACCTCTGACTCGAAGGATCCATCATTGTGACCCTAGCACCAAGCATGTGAATTTGCAGTAAGTTATGTACATGCGGCCCTTTGTGTTGATAGGTAGTAATAATAATAATAGGGAGTACATACATATATTGCTGGACAGTCGAAGAAAAAAAACCCAATCTTCATTACACATGCTTACATACATTTTGCTGACTCAAAGTCTCCAACCACCTGGTCTGAGTACAAACTCAAAAGTGATAATTACAGTTAATTCTCCGGTTTCGCCTTTCTACAAGCAGTAAAGGCCTGGAAAGTCTTTCCTCACGCGAGGGAGGGGGAAGCACGACATGCCGAACGAGTCCCGCGATGCGACGTAGTATTGCATTGCATACGTCTGCATCCATCATAATCCACGGCCTGGCTACCTAGCAATACACAACAGGAAGGACATCGAGTGACCAGGGTCAGAATTTGGGGCCCATACACAGAAACCCCATAATTCTTGTTGTTGTCTCCTACGGGGTACGAGTTTCAAGGTAGGGTAATGAGAGAAATCGATCTCTGGGTAGCCAGCTCGGCATGGGGTCGTGAGTTTATGTAGGATAGACCTGCGACCGGATACTAGTCCGCAACGCAGCGGGTATGACAAGGGGCCATCTTCTCCATGAGGCTGAGTTTAAGTCAATACGCTTGGTTGACTGACGGGCTGGACTTGAGGTAGAAACATGGGTATTATATACATTAGTGGATTACACGTGCTGTCTCTTATCTCTTTGCGAGTTGCATGGGCCTTTTTGCACATGTATGAGATACATGTTATGCGTGGCTACTAATACTTTACGTACAAGCTACAGGGTTGGTTTCCTTATGGTCTTTCCCAAGTGAGGAGATAACAATATTACCACAATCATGGTCTTTTATCACGCCAATAACAACTCGATAACAACCACAGCGTCTTGCTATGACAATCATCGACAGAATAGGACATTGCGATCAACACTCTCTATGTCGCCGTAAGACCAAGCTGGAAGGTGATTAAGATTTAAAACTTACATTGATTCCTGTCTATAGCTCTGGCTTGTGGTGTTTTGACTCCTAAAACAATATTCTTTCTGTTGAATAATAAAGCGAGAAAGTGAACAACAACTATTTTTAGAGCAAGGTCAACCATGGACTCCCATAACTCAATGTCAACTTGGGGTCTAACCACTATCAAGCACGTCAATGTGTCGACTCATGATAAGGCGGAGTTGAATACTACGCTCCGGCAGCAACATAGGTAGCAGTTGGAACTATAGGGTAGTACGCCAACCGAACCAGAGTAAGTGACTTATTCTTGTGACATTGTATTTTACCTATTTTACGCAATTGTTCAGTAGCCTTAATAAGTAATTATTCATGTTGTAGAAAAATTGCTAAATGATAGATTCACCATCGACACGAAATGTATCGGCCATCCATGCGTGGGCCTGGTGTTAAGACTATTGAAACTGCTAGCTTAACAAAGCCTTTGTAAGTACTTAGAACTACGGTATTCCTTCACTTAGGCAACATAAGGGACGACTGTAAGGGTAGAATAGCACTAAAAGGCAGAGTGCTGATGTGCGTCGTGAGCCCACGACATATTCCAATAATTGCATACCTGTCTACAAAACGCCAAAAATTCTTGAGATGTCTTTGCTGCAAGACATCCATGATAATTCCCCAGTCCTAATCGCCAATGCGCTGCCATAACACGTCAATACCAAGTCCCGCCAGACGTAGCCCTTATTCTGATCATGAAGAGCGAAATGTCGTCCAAAAGGTCATCCTCTATGCAAACAACAAAGTGCCCTAATCCTTGAAATTTAAGATGGTGCCAGCTTCCAGTACACCAACTATCGCCCCCTTTTCCATCACAGCAATAACAGTCTCTGGCCCACATGTTAGGTCCTCGTCGACTGGCGACAGCTGCATGTTATTGAATATGTCGCCTACTTGGCGGATGGTCGTCTCCGATGACATTGGGAGCATCTCGCTCTTAGACACAAGGGAGTTGGAAATATTCGCCAAAGTCCTGTTAAGGTCATGCCTGCTAATTCCCCGTATTATGCTGGGCGAGGCGACCTGATCTTGTACCCTGACCCAGCCAGAGTCAGAGTCGAAACCTGCGCGGAGCAAGTCGAAGCCCAGGCTAGTTTCGGCTGTCTCTGTCGTTACCGGAATGTCGTGCCAGGTAACAGCTATATCCTTGATGGTCCGAGGTTGTCGAGCTGCAGCACCAATCGCACCACCAGGGTGATTCTTCGCAAACACAGATGCGATATTTGCGTTGATCTCCTTTGCGGCCGTGATCGCAATCGCATCCCCAATAGCTAGTGCAACTGTTGTTGATGTAGTAGGTGCAGAAACGCCAAATGATATTTTCTCAGGCTCTGGAATCGGGGCAGGGAGCAATATGGTATTGGGCCGGTGTTTAATGAACTCGCATGTGTCAGATGAAGTGTGTGATGTAAGAAGTATCGTCGGGAGGGATTCGTCGAGATGAGGCAACATGATGAGTAACTCCTGAGTCTTGCCCGAAAATGTGATGAACATGAGTGTATCATTAGACCCGATGATACCGAGGTCACCATGTAAGGCCTCTGTGGGATGAAGAAAGACGGCGTGAATAGCGAGACTCTTGAAAGTGGCCACAAGCTTTTGCCCAATGTGTCCCGATTTGCCTACACCGATGACGACTAGTTTGCCATTTGTTGTCTGTTGTCTGGTTATAGCCTGAACTGATCTGCTGAATCCGTCGCGTGCTACGGGGTCCATCTCATAAAACCGCGACAGATTTCTCAAAGCCACTGCCTCCGTGTTGAGGACATGAATTCCATCTCGAAGGCGTTGATCCTTGACGGGAGACTCTCCTCTAAGTTCTCGTTCCAAACTCAATGGGTCAATGGGATCACAGAAGGCATCTCCTGGTGGTGATGAAGATGGTGTAGGAGGGGAGGGAGGAGGTACGGCAGGACACGAAGAGGCTCCAAGGACAACAACTGCACTCGTCTGCACTGGCCCATGGGCATTTTGAGACAAATTTGCCATATTGACAAGATTCAGAATGTGAGTTGAAGTAGGAAAAGGTGAACCTTTGTTGAGATGTCGAATGTATGAGGTGATCAAGGCGTCTAAATGCTGAACGTGAACAGTTCTTTACAAGTAGTAACTCCCCGCCTGTGGTGGGTAGCTGATCGTTGGCAACAGTATTAGTGCCCGTGATCGACTGCTGATTCGAATTCTCCTATGGATTCGATCCTTGTGTTGCGACTTGGAAACCCACAAAACTTTTGTCGTTAACACAAGTCGGGTCGGCAAAACCTCTAGCGATGGTGGAGTGATATGTTATGAAGATGATGAAGAAGAATATTAAGAGAAGGAGGAACAGGAGAGAGACCAATGCTACTCAACAAACAAAAAAGAAAGGTGGACTGCGTCTTTAAGAAATTGCTCGATCCCCGGCCAGAGTCATGGACAGCTTACGTTTATAAAAGTTGGATCTGGGGAGGATGGGAGCTGGTCCCTGTCCAATTGGTCGTGATTCCGATTGCGAGCAACTGTAGTAATCCCGATCTAGACATAGTCTCTGAGTCGAGTGGGTGCGATAGGAGCTCGGCTCTATCCGGAATACCGATCTATTGTCTCATGAGGCTTCAGGTCGAGAAGTATAAACCATAAACATGTAGACGGATAGTGCCACCTCCAGGATTTGCGCGTGTTTAAGAAGTTATTCTTGACTGACAGACCACTCATCATCGATTCTTGCGCATCATTCTGATAAGAAGGGTCCTTTCATGGCGCAATAGCCGCTCGATCCATGTTTCTTCTGTCCGGATCGTTCCCTCGATTGGGGGGCGGGGCTTCGGGACCCTGACAGGGTATTGTAGGTAAACGAAAGTCTATGATTCCATGAAGACAAGCTGGACGAACCAGAGGTCGGCTCGGGACCACTTGGAAAGAATGGCGCAAGCGGTGCGATTAAATGCCGTGCTGAGTAAAACCCGTTCGGTCGTTTACCGTCTGGTTTGTCGCTGCACATTGGATATGATGCCTTGATCGGCTTGCGCAGATCGAGCCTAACGACAGGCACAATCCGGCAATCTGGTGGTCACGAATGTCATTGATTATGTTGTTGGGTTTGTCACCGTAGCATACAAATCTCGAGAATGGGTTGATCTAACGTTTCAACAGTGTCGACGGTGAGTCATGTTTAAGGTGTCTCAAAGAATGAAGCAAAATGTAAGAGTAGGAAGGTATCTGGTGGTTCGCACCTTTCCTGTCATGTCATGCACGTGGCTGTTCTCTAGACGCGACTTCCCCAGTGGTTGATCTTTGCTGCTCTTGCCAGTTTGGTGGATCGAGACAAGGACCTCTTATCAGTTGACAGTCGCTTATCATCTTATCAATCAGCGACTTAGGCAAGAGCAGGCAGGTAATGTATCTAGGTACAGCAGGGTACCTATTGCACGACAGCAGGTACTATCTCAATGCGGATATTACAATAGACCCAGTTACTCAATGAAAAGAAACAACCACCTGTCTCATTTACCCAGATGTTGGTACTTGACGGGACTGAGCTGCATCACACAATTATGGATGGTTGACACATTGTACCACCTTTCTACATTAGTACCTTATCCTGCCTGCAGACTCTCAGCACGGCACATGTCAAACGGCCTGCTACCCCATGTTCCTAGACCTGCGGTACCATCCAAGTCCATGCGGATAATCTCACTCTAAGGTAAGACACAGATCGCGCCAAGCACTTGCATCAAACATCCGCCTCCATCACCAATCAGATGTGTTTGTCGGCAGTCTCAATTAGGTAGACACGACTTATTGCTGGTGATCATTGACGAAACAGACAGCACGATGTAATTTTCCCCCGGGGCTTGGAACTTCAGACCCAACAACAAAAGCTCGATGGGACTTCAAACAAGGTGCCATGGTCTTATAACGCAGCTTGACCACCACCAGAATAGAATACCGACTAGGTAGGTAGGCGACGGAGAATCCGCATCACAGCAACTTCAAAAACCGACAGCGAAGCCAAGAAGAACCGCGATCCACGACATGTTGTCGCTATCGAGTTCACTTGATAAAATAATTACTTTCATTAACCATATCCTGATCACCTTGGTTGAATCAAATCCGGCGGAGCCGATAATTAATTAACCTTGCCTAAGTCAAGGACCTGTGACGGATTCAGACTGTTTCAGGCTCTGTCCGAAACATGAATTTCTTGACCCATGAGGGAATCAATGACGAATATCATCCTCTTGAAACATGGGACAGTGCCCAGTCCAGTGTCATAATGAATACAAGCCCTAGCTCAGCGGCTATTACCTTCACCAGTCACCACTGCAACTTCCGGGCTGACAGCGACAGCTTACGCTTGTGGATGCTGCAAGCCTCAGGGGTGGAAAAAGTTATATTACGCTTGGTGCAAAATGTTCACAGCTGAAAGACGAATACCTAAATCCCCACCCAGGTACTGCATCCCAAAGCCTGCCTAGAAAGGCGCTACACTGCACTATTGACGGCTACCATCATAAACGAAACAATACTTGCCATACACTATTGACGCCTGGATTTGGGGTTCGCTCTTTTCTTTTTTACAAAGGACTACTTTGATAAACAAAATATCCACATACCGTTTTCGAAAAGGGGCAAAACTCTGTTGATGGGAATGTCCGCTTCAGGAGATGGGAAAACTGTTACTTTAAGCCATAGCCTCGACTATTGACTTTGGGGCGACGCCCTGCGCTATGAGCAATTTGCCATACTGCCATTTGGCCGTTTACTGCGTGGTTGGAGCAAAAGTTTGGATTCCAATCCGGCGCGTCGCCCTGATTGAAGAAACCTTATCAGGTATCTGCGTTCCAGGCACAACGTCTGAGGCACGCACGTTTGCAGGTTTATCGGCAATGAGTTGTGGGAACCCACGTAGTACCTATCAAACCCAAACGGCTTGGAATGCGGGCGCTCACCCCTTCAGAAGAGAATCGACAGATCGGCCAAGACCATTCCAACGTTCAAAGCCTGTCGTTACCTTTTACCTGTTACCTGTTACCTCTCGCCTGTCACGGTGGCAGTCTAGGCAGTGTGCCGCCTATGTACAACCCCTGAATCGTATGCAGACGAATTATCCACTTCCGCCAGCCTCGAGCCATCGGCCATTCGTTTTCCATTTCCTTCAGCGGAGACATGGCTAGCGGCTCGCCCACCCATCCGGCTTGTGCGGGACGCCGCGTCAAGCCTAGGCCTAACTAGCGAGTAGCGACTGGGCTAGGGAGGGCCCTGAATGAAGTTGTGCTCTGTTCGAGAAGGACTTGAAGTTCGCAAACAGCCAAGGGCAGATACGGCAAGGAGTAAGTTACGATCTCAGTACCTTACTGTAGAGTACGCGAGAAGTGGAAGAATAAGCTGATGTGGGGAAGATAGGATCTATCGCCACGTTGCTAGACGGAACGAGACCTGTGGCAAGAACCATGCCAGCTTAGCTGCACAAAACGTGATTCCAGTCCCGTTCGTAGAAGGATCTCTTGGGTCGTCGTCACATTCTTTTACCCTGGCCTATCCCACCCTCACTCAGCCTCCATCTCGTTCCCTCTCCCTGCAGCTTACTTCGTACAGCTCCAGCTCATGCTTATAGCCTCTCGGCACCGCTCTGCCTTTCGTTTTCTTGATTTCGACACTCCTGCCCATCCTTTCTTACATGTTTTTTTAGTCTTTGTATCAGCATCCTTTTCCCAATGGGTCTTCACTTAAGTTCCGCTTGGAGAACTCCCAGGGGCTGGAGGTTAATTATTGTTACACTCGCTGCCCTGACCTTGCTGCTGGTTATACCCCTCCATCAGCTCAGCGACGACACCCCGGGGCTATACGGACATTTGACAAAATATCTCAGTCATGAAGGTGCCGCATACGATGTCGAAGAAGGCTTTGTCGCCAATCTCAACGAAACAACCACCAACCAAATACTAAACGATAAAGAACCCGCCGAAAAGATCCCATATGATACGGACTCACCACAATACACTGGCGAAAACGGAAAGCAAACCCCGGACAGCCCTAAGGTGCCGGCTGAACCTCAACAGTCACCAGGTATCGAGAAGCCTGAAGATGATGAGGATGATGGATCAATTCTCGAGATCGACCACGGTACCGACGATGAGCTACATCACAATGAGCAAGCCCACAGCGAGGTGTCCAGCAAGACTAGCGAGACTAGCAAACCTCAAAGTAGCGAGACGAACTTGCCCAAGCCTCAGGTCGACGAACACGAGTCGCAGGAAGATGCAGCTAAGCCCCAGGAAGACATGGACGAGCAGAAATCTCAGACCCATGAGCATAAGCCCGAGAGCGAACAAAATAAGCCACAGCCTGATGAGAAGAAGCTTCAGAGTGACGACAAACCTAAGAGCGACGAGAAGCACCAGAGCGAAGAAAAAATACAAAAGGACGCCCAGGACAAGTCCCAAGAGGGCGGAGACAAGAAACTTGAGGGTGTCGAGATGTCTGACAAAGCGCAAACCCACAATGACGATCATGTCGAAAACGGCGACAGCGCAACCAAGATCATAGCTTATGAGGACAGCGCGACAACCAGTTTCGCAAGCGAGTTCACACCTTCTCAGACCGCAGAACTTGATGTCCCCTCGGGTCCTCTGTCCAACTGGACCGGAGTCTGTGATGGATTTCCTAACACAGACGGCATCATGCTCGTTATGAAAACAGGTGCCACCGAGGCATTTACCAAGCTCCCAGCTCATCTTCTGACAAGTCTACAATGCCTGGACGATTACTTGCTCTTTTCTGATCTGGTAAGTAGCTAATATTACCTTGCAAAGGGAGAGATGCAGGGGGGACGCTTGTGCCACCAATGGAACTCTACATCAAGCCACAATTTTATAAGTGACCGCAGCTAACCAATTCGGACAGGACCAACAAATTGACAAGTACCAAATCTACGATGTCCTGAAAGACGTCAAAGACGACGTCAGACAAGGGCGCAAGGAATTCGATCTTTACAAAGCACAGACCGAATGCCCTATTTCTCAGCAGTACTGCACTGCCGATATGAAGGAAGGTTGGAATCTTGATAAGTACAAGTTCCTCCACATGGTAGAAAAGGCTTGGGAGATGCGCCCCAATAAGGAGTGGTATGTGTTTGCCGAGGCCGATACATACGTCTTTTGGTCGAATCTGGTCTGGTTTCTCCGTAACAGGGTCAACGGTACAGAAACTCCTTACGTCGGAAGTGTCGCAATGCTCAAGGGCAAGCCATTTGCCCATGGCGGTAGTGGCTATGTCATCCATGGTGATACCATGAAGAAGATGGTTGAAATTCCAGACTTGGCACACAAGTACGATCTAATGGCCCATCACGAATGTTGTGGTGATTACCTCATGTCCCTGGCTGTTATGGAGACCGGTAAGAAGGTTAGGCAAGCGCATCCTATGTTCAACGGCGAAAAGCCTGTTACTCTACCCTTCGGTAACACCCACTGGTGTGAGCCTCTTCTAACTATGCATCACATGAACCCAGAGGAGGTCAGTGATGCTTGGCACTTTGAACAGACACGACAGAAACAGGTATGTTCATGAAGAGTATAAAAAACGAACCGATCTGACTTTGTTATCAGGGATTTATACAAATCAGGGAAATGTATCATCAGTTCTGGGAACCCCATCTACAGGCAGAGCAAGAGGATTGGGATAACCTATCTGACGATGTCTGCTATGTTGGTTTCGGCCCTGAAGCACAAGCCAAGGCCACTGACAAACAGAGGAACAGACAGAGAAAGGAAAATGAGAAGAAGGCTGTGGAGCAGCATGCTCACCGCTCTAAGGAGCATTGCGCCATGGTTTGCGAGAGTGAGAACCTTGACATATCCGAAAACGATTATTATGGTCTCAAGAATGACAAGGAACGCAACGAAATGATCAGATCTCGATATGATGAGAAAAAGGGCGACAAGGTTTGGCACTCGGGTCGCCGCTGTTTCCAGTGGCGCTTCCAGAACAATGTGTGTTGTATTTCCAAAAGTTTCAAGAGAGGCAAGCCTCACAAGGACCAAAAGTCTGGACAGAAGTCGACAAGTGGTTGGTTTGTCAAGGGCATCAACGACTGGATTGATGCTAAAGGTGATTGTACACCCAAGTGGAAGAATCCTAGCTAAGGAGTGGATAGCACACGACGTGCATTTTCTAATACTATGAAATGGGAGTAAGGCAAGGTTGCAAGTGGTGTTTTTGTTCCCTCTTATGGGAACGGCGTTTACGGGCCAGGGTAGCCGGCACTCTGATAAAGGGATATCTCTTGGGGTACAGATGAAGACTATTTATTTTGTATTTTTGGATTGGCGCAAGGTTGAATACTAGAGTAGAGTAGACTAGACCATAGGGGAGTACCATACCACTGGATTCTCTACTGTCAGACGAAGAGCTCTGCGTGGTTGACGAATTCATACATCCTATACTCAAAAGCCCACCAATGCTACCGTGTTGATGAGGTGCTCTTAGTTTAATTGTGCAGGAATGAATGCATATGACAAGGATCTACCTCTTACATCCTAATTTATTGGTCGCACTTGAGATGAGTTGTGATTGGCATTCTGCTAATATCGTGTAACAGAGGGGAAGCGGATATGACGCGTGAGATGCAGGTACGCAAACTCTGTTCTCGCAAAGAACCAATATTGCCCCTGTGATCGTTCTATTCCATATTCAGAAGAGTTCATACCTCGTATACGTCCACGATTTTCGACTTTTCGTCGTTAGGTAATGACGAAGACTGTTGATATGAAGAGCCATGACGTCCCAACTTAATTTGACCCATGTTCGTCTGTAGATCCCTTATCTTTCCCTCGAATTGCATCATAGGTTGATTGTTTACCTCCGCCCAAACCCGTTTCAAGTACTTTTGATCGAAGCGCCACTTTCCACATGTTTAAAAGCAACAGCAGAATGTTATTTAAAGAATTGATATTGCGTCATATTACCATACAGGAGACTCTTTTCCAGAGCTCACCTTTTTAGTGCCCCCTTCGTCCAGGTGTTTATCTATAGTCTGATCATGACAGATTATGAATTGCCTTGCCTGCCTTCGTGTCATTATACCCTTTCTGGGTTGTAAAGTTATACCGTCTCGCTTGTCCTTGTTTAAATATGCAAATTCAATGTGATGGTTCTTTCTTTCCTCCATGGCGTCCACATCGGTGTGGGTTCTTGGGGGATTTGATGTGGCAGTATGGTTTGGCGTCCTCGCCAGCGGGCCTGCCATAAACTTCCTTGACAGAACAGTACTCGTAGCCGTCGCCCATCCAGTCCTTGAGATGGCTGTGCAGCTCACAACGTGAAATACCGCACTTTCTGCAGTAAACTTGTCCCTTCACTCGCATCTGCTTCACTGGGTTCTCTGCCTCGGCATTTCGTTCATGCCGATGGACAAGAGGGCCGGCTCCTCGCCAGGCCCATTCCATGTCATTGGGGCCCGAGTAACGGCTGGATAAAGGAACTGTACCATGCAGTCGTCGGTGGATTTCGTAAAAGTTGGAGTTTGTGAGGCCAAAGCAAACGCTATCAATAGGGTCGAGGTGGTCGAAGATGGTGTAATGAAGCTCCGATGGAAGGTCCAGAAGGGTGTGATCCTTGGGAGGCTGTGGTTGTGTCTGAGGAATTGGCTCATAGTCCATAACAGAGTATGAACGACGAGGGGGAGGCAGCTTAGGTCGACTGGCAAGCTGAGTCGTCTTAACTCCAGCGGGCGCCTGAGATATCGAGGGCACGGCGAGTGGTGGAGAAAGTTCAGCCGCTGAAGGGTGTTGAGTCTCGACTGGAGGAGAATCATTCTCGGGAATAGATGCCTGTCGATCAATATAAGAGGCACCTGAGTGTGATCCAACATGGTCACCTTGATAATCCGTCATTGACCATCCGCGTCTGGGTGCCTTCATCAGTCCTCTCTTTTGGTTGATCTCTTGCAGCCGCTTGGCATGCTCCTCCCGAGTCATCGACGTTGATGAGTCAGTCCTACCGAAGCCAGGCCTCTTGATGAGAGGGCCACCAGTGGCCTCGTGAGTAGGTGTTCCCGCAGGAGAGAATGTAGGATCAGCCAGTAGTTGAACCATGGTTGATTGGTGAGTATGGTACTGGGTATGTGCACTTTATAAGTCTGGATGGATATATGTGGTTGAGGTGGAAAACCTGAAAAATTGCCGTTGCTGACAATCTTATGGAGGGTTTCAATGTTTGATGTATGCTGTGATGTAATGTAGATGGAGAACGCGGTGAATCAAGGAGGGGGAGCGATCCACTCTGTGACTTGGGTTTATGTTGTGTTGACGATGTTATACCGGCGTCGGTTGTATGAATATCGATGAAGTGAGAGCCTCACTAGCACGTTCATGAGAAGTTGAAGGGGTATAAGTTTGAAGTTTGGGTCGTTGAAAGATCAGGGCAGGGTTTGAGGAGTGGCGACCCAAGTCGGTTATAAAGACAACTGACGATGGGATAGACACCGGGAAGTTCTCGAAGAACCGGTCGGAGACCGAAGGTTGGTGGATGCCGTTGGGCGAAAGGCGAGTGCTGAATGGTCAGTGGTTAATGGTTAATGGTAAAAGGTGGGTGGTGTGATATGTAGGCCCCGACCAATTTGAGATCTGCCTTTTGTGCTGCCAGGGGTTATCCAGTGCTGGTTGTAGTCTGGCCCCCCAGGAACTCAACTCCGAAAAAAAGCCATGATGTGGAAGCTAATGCTGGCACGGCTAGTCCATCTGAGGCACGGACAAGACCTGTGTGCTTCCCACTTCTTTTCTTCCCTCTTGGCTTCTCTTACTGGCCATCTGGCATGGTGATGCCGAAGCCAGTCTGCCACGATATCAGAACCCTGATTCAAGTTTGGTGGCAAGGCGGTTAAAATTTCAAATCGACGCGATAGTCTAAAGTTTGGAGTAAACCCCGATCCATGATCAGGACCTGCTGATCATATGGTCTATTAAACGCAACACCAACTACATGCAGCTTAACCAACGACTTGGCCATAACCAAAGCCATTGCGATAATGAGCGCACCGGCCCGGTGCACATACAGTGTGTTCGTTATCCAGCTTGCGTCTACCTTGTCATCGTACGACGGGAAGAAGCGAGAAACCTTTCCCCAGACGATTTGATGGTGAGGTCGCTGAGTATGTCATGGTCATGTGGGGGCCAATCATGTCCAGATTTAGCCTGACAGGCGCCTTTTCCAGACGTTCCAAGCTTCGCGAAAGCACGACAAAAAGTTTGTCTTGTCTCGGGTGATAAGCCGGCACGATGATGACGGACCAGAAGACAACTAATATCGCACAAGCTGTATGCAACTGCGATGTGCGTTCTGCTGTAGTACAACAACAGCGTGAAGTGCTCTCTCTGCGGCAATCTCGCAAGAGACGAACAGGCCAAGAAAGCGTTGCTAGTTAAACCCCAGCCTCAACGTCATTATGGATACACATCATGGGAACTGCACCCTTGAATTGAGGGGCTGAAGACGGGGAACTTTGAGCGGGACCGATCGTCAATCAGGGTCGTTTCACATCTCGACCGTCATCCGCTTCTGTTGAGATATCAACGAAATGAATAATGTCCAGGCTGGAGTCCTAGGATTATGTGAGTATACTGAGACAATGATGGAAAAAGAATTGTCCATGCATCGGATTTTACCTCTCGATATGGACTGCCACTAGTCTCTTCATCGGTTTCCCCGACTCTAGGTGGTCTTTGTAATGGTGGTGGTGGTGGTTGCTTTTTCTTCCTACCATGTTGTTTGGTGTCTGGCATCTGGCATCTGCGATGCACTTACATGCGGCACATTGTGATTAGCCAGCATGGATTCTCTGACTCGGCCGTGTCATGTCTATTGCTATGCTGTCAATCCGACGATGAACAAGGAGTGGCCTAGGACCCCCACGCAGGCATGCGTTGGAGTGTTGCAATTGTCGTTAGCAATATGTTTGCAACAGCATGTGCGTGTTATCGCCATCCTTGAGGTTTTCAGGACTCTTTCGATCGTAGCAGATAGTAGTTACCAATTTTGCATTCCGGCGAAGGTATCTTCACCTCCTGCGTAAGTATGCAGCAAAGTCGCATCTCGGCGTCTTCCTTCTCGCACGATCATGTAGTGACTGTGTAACTCTAACGATTTGCGTTGTTTGGCTTGTGTGCATCCATTATGCAGGCATGGATCGTTGATACTCATAGTGTGTTGCATTGATGGACGGTTTCAATCGGGTGGCTTGTTCTGCCACGTTATGATCTGAGGTGCCCCTTCATTCACAGTACCTCTCTCAGGTTAGGTATCGTTCAAGGATCAGTTGGTGCAAGTGTAAGAGCTATCACGTGTGTGAGATCTCCTGATACTCATGTGAAAAGGTAGGTACCTTGTATCTCGTATCGTCCTCTATTTCCCAGTGTTGTATCCCTCAACGCCATACCTGAAATAGCAGGAGCCCTATATTACACCTACTATGTTGCAGCCTTGAATCAAGATTCCCAAGCAGAAGATACCTGCATCCAATGTTGGGGGTGATATTTGATAGTTGCTTAAGAGAAGAGAAACCCTACATATCAACCAATTTATATCCGGTTTACATCGAGAAGTTATCATGGAGGGTCAAGTCGGGGACACCCCGGGGCGAGTCCTGCCGAATCCTGTTCCTCACCTTGACATACCAGGCTTGATTTACCCAGCAAAGACGTTGTGTATCATCGCAACACTCCAATTTAGGCACACCTCAGATCATGGTCGCCCAAGGCCAGGCTGCATAGGACACCCGCACCCTGGAAGTTACAACGATGACTATGAACTTAGTGGTTGTCTCAATATTGATTGGTAACCAAATATCTTTCGAGATACTCACAATACATGTCTTTGAAGTGCTTATTGAGTGTCAACTATCTGAAACTAGTAGACTGTAAGTTCGCTCACTATATATGTTGATGAGATGTCTACCTATGATTCATACTGTACATCCCCGGTCTACTGGGTATTTGGGCTGGTAGGATTCAGAATCTTTCGTGATTACCAGATAGTCTGATTATTTACCGAGAGTAACTGTAACTAGAACATGGAAGCTCTATGCTCATTAATAAATCAGGACCATATCGATTACAGCTGCTTGACGCCTCTTGACACAATAGCTCAAAGTAGCTTGTTGTTAGATAGATACATGGCGGCATATCGTCAGCAAATGGATATATATTAACCAGCAACCAAAATTTTATTGCTGCACAGACAGACTTGGAACAAAGCACGATTGGTGGAATCAGGAGATAGCGACTCTGCCTTTTCCAGGTATATTAATTTGCCCCAGGTCAGCAAGGCACATAGCACCACGAATAAAAGAATCGGCTTGCTCCAGTGTTCTGGTATTGTAGGATATTGTCGAGTCCAGCGCATTTTGTACATCCAAGGTCTGCAAGAACATCAAAGTCGTCGGCTGATAGCTTAACCGGAAGCTCGACCGTACCCTTCGTTTTCCTAATGTCACGCTCCCCAAGTCCCTCAACGCCATAGCCGAATCAGAGTGCCATCCACGTCTGCAGGAGTCTGACTCGGTTCAGAACGAGGCGAAAGCGCCTGATTGTCCATCTCTTGGTTCACAACTCAAATGGCGACCCAGATGAGCATGACAACAACGTCCAGGCCCTTGCCCTCGCCGCCGTCGTACTTGAAGGTCCACATGCCGTCCTTCTTCTCGTCCCAGTAGGCACCGGTAGCGCTGTGCATTCCTCGTCGGCCGACGTGAGGCTTGCCATCGGTGGCAGTAGCTTCGGAACTGGTGGAGATGTGAGGCTCCTGCGACTGGGTTTCGGTGCCGCCACGGGCCTTGTTCAGGGCGGATGTAGGGACGAGATGCTGCACGATGGTACTGTTGCAGGCGAACTTGAAAGAAGGAGCAGAAGCGCCCTCGGGAGTGGACTCGGAGATGACAGCCTTCAGCACGGAGCTCTGTAATTGCGGTCAACATTTGGGCAACGAGGTTGTCATAGTGATCTGTGCATTCCACCTACAATGATTGTCGAGTTCCATTGCTCAGTTTTAGCGTGGTCGTAGAACTCAGCGTTGCCGATAGCACTGTTGCAGGCCTTTGTTTATCAACGTCAGTATGCGCGTCGAAGAGAAATGTTTGCTCGTCACGTCGGCGGTAAGCAACAAGGGGCGACGTACATCGGTAGCGATCTGCTTAAGGCGGTTGGCGGGAATCGGCTGGATAAAATGTTAACGCGTGGACATTTGAAGGTTAATTCAGCATTTCTGCACGTACAGGAGTGGCCATCTTGAAGGAGGATAGAGATATGTGGTTGAGTGGACAAAGTTTAGAGCTGGGCTTGATGGCGTGGTGGAGGATTAGGATGTGCTACGGAGGTAGGAGTAGAAAATGGTCGGTAAACAAAACAAGCGTCACAGTGGTCGCCTTGTTATCAGAGGAACCAGGTTATGCATGTGAGCTAAGGACATTTAGTATCGTTACCAACAGCTCTAATTTATTGACTATCATGCATTGTCCTTTGCAGCCAGCAGAAGACGTTAGGTAAATGCTTAATTGTAGATTAGTAGCAGAAAAATGTTATGATTCTTGTTGTTATTTGATTCAACCGTGTCTCAGTACTGGTTTTTCTATTTCGGGCGTTACCCAGGAACTGAGGTGAGCACGTGACCCTTCACAGCTGTCGATGCCGTACGTGTCAAACTTGTCAAAGTATTATCGGTCTGGAAGAGAATTTGAAAAGAAAAGTGATTTGCTCTGTAGTCAGCATGCAGTCTGAATAGTATTCGCGATTTGATTTGCTTTTCTCATACATCGAATATGGTATATAAAAAACGTGACATAAACATGGACATTTCAAGGCGAATAAGTAGTTTAGTACTTTGACAACCAATGATAGCTCGAACTTGTAATAGCTCAACCCAAGCTACTTATCAGTACTTTCTCATTGGATGAGGAAAGCGGATTTGTTGCCGCATACCTAGTCAACTTTTAAGCCTCAACGGTCAAAAAGAAGGAAGGAAATATAGGTGCATATTGAAACTCTGTCATTTTGAGGCTTAAAGGAGCGCTCCCCAGCAAGCTTGAACATTAGCAGAACGTTACACACGCTGCAGCTACCTAGTAGAATTACCTATTAGATGCATTTACTATCGAGATATCACACAAAAGAGTAGGAGCAGATTCAGCTCTTGTCCGACTGTACCTGCTTTTGCGTACATATTCATCGAAGAAAAAGCTGACAGCCCCCGGGCGGGTCCCGTGCAAGCAACTAACATCCAACCAATGAGCCACGTGCTCGCGCAAGCAAGTATCAAGTTTGCAGATACACAGACCGAGAAGTGGGGCGAACGCCCCTGCTCCTCGTTTCGGCAACACAGTACCCAGCCAATGTCGTACATAAACAGACCAACTTCAACCTTTTCTTGATCATCAACAGTTCTTGCCAAGTGAAATCCATTCGCCAATCATTTGCATCATAATTGCCAATTGAATATTGCTTCATATCGGTTTCGATAGGAGAATAGCAGTATACCAGGCAGAGGTCCACCTACCTCGACAGCAATTGCTTCTTAAGCTACCAGAAGCTATCAACAACAAACATCGCAACCGCGCAGGTTTTTACCATGTCTTCCCAACCTCTTCTTCAGACCACCCCCGGTATGTCTACCCGCGATACCTGCTATCTGCAATTGACTCTTCGTCGATGCGTATTCTAACGTTCTCTATAGGTAAGCGCATCGCCCTGCCAACTCGTGTCGAGCCCAAGGTCTTCTTCGCCAACGAACGAACTTTCCTGTCATGGCTCAACTTCACCGTCATCCTTGGTGCCCTTGCCATTGGCATGCTCAACTTTGGCGATAGAGTCGCCTTCATCTCGGCATTCCTCTTCACCGGCGTCGCCATGTTGACCATGATCTACGCATTGGTAACATACCATTGGCGAGCCAAGTCTATAAGAATGAGGGGCCAGGCCGGTTTCGATGACCGTTTCGGTCCCACCGTTTTGGCTATTATCCTTCTCCTGGCTGTTATTGTCAACTTCGTTCTTCGAATCACCGACAAGCCTAAGCACCACGGCAACTAGAGCCATAGCAACACAGCTGCGTCAGCGGCACTAAATTGAGATCAGGGACAAGAATCGACGAGGTGGATGAGTACGAGACGGAACGAGTGGATGAATCTTGAGGTGCATTGGACTATTGGCGTTTAAGCCGGGACGTTTGGGATTTCTCTACGCAGTATTGCAGGGTCGAATGAACACAAATAAAACCAGAACGTTTGTATTACGTGCGCCGGGTATCTTGAACATATGCTCTGACTTTTCCGTGGCCGTGAATGGTCCCTATTCCTTGACGCCGAGTGGTTCGTGGCTCCCATTTCAAATAAAATCAAAACAATATTCACAACCGTTGCCGCGGATGCACCAGTAAATTGTCAATCACGTCTGTTTTGCAGCGCCAGACTGAACCGTGATCCCATCCCTTGACTTCAGCTCCTGTATAGGAGTAATAGAAAGAAAAACTCGCATGGATTTCACCAATCTTGAGGAAGGGCGAGGTAAAACAGCGTCTTCGAACCGGCTGTGCATGACTTCGAAATCATCACTGTCGGAATCGTTGTCTTCTTCCACCCTCCTCTCAAGTATTGTCTCCTCAATGATATCTTTCTTTTTCGGTCGGTCTGGTTGGTCGAATAGCTGGTTGTACTGGTGGTATGACTTCCCTTCCTCACTCAGAACCCGTTTGCATTTTTCCACCACTGTAATAAGCTTGCAAACATCGGCGGTTCGCGCATACAGCAGCGCAACGCTCGGTCGATCGCCTTGGGCAAGCAGATGACTAGTGATATATGTGATCCGTTTCTTGATTTGTGTCGACGAGATGACTGACGCAGGCAGGATGTCGTACTTGGGTTTGAGCTCAGCGATGATAGATTCGTGAGGAGCTACAAGAACTGGTGACTGGGTCTTGTTGTCGTCGCTTCGAGATCGCTTTTGGGGCTGGACATCTTTGGAGAGTGTTTCGCTGGGCTTTCTCTTCCCAGAACCATGGTTGAGGTCTGTGACGGGCATGGTTGCACGCGGCAATGTGAAAGGATCGAAGTTGATATAGTGGATGGAAAAGTTGCGGTCCGGGGTTTAATTTGGCGGGGCATGCAGGTGGTTCCTTCGTGTAAACCGAGATGGGCGCTATTCGTTGGTCCGCATATTATGGCAATACCTAGGTAGGTAGTACTTGGGTGGCTAACACAAACCCCGATCTCATTACTCTGAACTTTACAATCAATACTTGTTGAAAATCTATTGCTGGCTTAATACTACAGTTGTTGGTCTTGACTAAGAGGGAGCTGAGATTGGGCGCCTCAGTTGAATAACGATTCCGGTCTAGATATGGATCAAGGTAAACTATACCTCTCCCTTCGTCGAATAATCCAGATTTTGACTATTATCGCAAAGATTATGTCAATTTATCTCATTGAAGCGCATAAGACCACAGTTAGGTACCGGGTTATATTGACTTTAGCGACCTGTAAATCTTGGTGTTGCCATAGGTATCTATGTAGATAGAAGCTAATAAGAGATATATTCAAGCAGGGATAAATTGTATATAAAATGACGATCTGATAGGTAGCTCTTATCTTTGACTATCTTCTCTGACGGAAAGATAGCCGATTAGATTATCGATCTTGGAATATTACCCTATTTACTTAAGAAATCTCTGTCCCTATAAAAGGTATAAACTGTAGTCTTATAAGCTTTAATGAGATCAGATTTAAATCCCACCTCAAATGAATGATCTGACAAAGAAACAAGTCGATGTAAATTTAGAGAAGAATGCAGGAACGCTTGGAAGATTTTAACACTGCGTGAGTTTTGATCTGAAGCAAGCTTTTGAGCTTACAGGTCTTTTGGATACGTTTGTTCTTATTAGTTTACTTTTAGCCCTGTAGCAGATTACATTTGTGAAAAACTTTGAGGTTATTACTTCCATAGGTATGGATGCCATGTGTTGAATACCATGTCACGTGACTGATGGAAGGAGTGTTTCGAAATTGGTACATGGTAGATGTGGCTGCAGTGACTTTGCGCCACATCGGACCGGAATTCCTATCAACATTCAACACTGATGGTCTATCTGAACTCAACTGTCGGCTAGCCCCTCACCAATTTAGCTCTCAGCCAGGTAAGACAGGAGCATTTTATTGGCATTTTGTCTCAAACCAATTCGTGCTCCCTCAAAAGTTCTTTCAACTGACCAACAAAATCCCGAAAGTTTACGAGCGATTCCATTTGACGATGTCATGGATGACGATACTGACCAGAGTCAGTGGGGCCGAGTGTGTGGTTCTGTGATTATGTGGTTCCGTGGTTTCGTAGGAACTCTGGAGAATGGTTTCTAGGCTTCAAAACAATACCTATTTCCCTTCATCAACTTGCATCGCGGCATCCTGCATGTAGTGCTAAGGATCACCCGGTAAGCTCCCCGGATATTAGTCTAGCTATTATCAGCAATAGACGACTAGCCTGGTTGTTTCATCAATGCTCACAGCTGAGGTGTAGAAGCTTGGGCCCAGGGCTTGCACACTACAGCAGATAAACAGCCAGAGAGCAAGCCCAGGAGAGCCATGACAAGTTAAGGTACAGACATTGCATAACATTTCCAGCCCGGTTTTCAAGCTAAGTGGAGAATAAGCAAGCTGGTTGGAAGTGGCTGCAGCATCTTTAGAAGGGAGCCCCACGTCCCACACACCAACTTGTCTTGTTCTAACCAAACATGTCTCAGAGATGGTTGCATTGTCAGACCTTCAAGTCTGATCCCGAACCCAGGCGCAGGAGTGAATGCCTGGTGGAATATCAACAGCATGTGATGGGAAGGATAAACGTAAAATAGGCATCCAAGAGACTGTATAATATGAGAAGAGAATAAGATCAAGGTCCCGGATCTGGGAGTTCCGTTGAATGTGCGAGTAGAGTCCTCATTCAATGGCGTGGCCACTAAGCTGAAACGATGGAATGACCCCAAATGGTGGTATTGGTTTATTGGTCTCGCACCTTGTCTTGGCTCGATGCTTTGCGTGTTTTGGTGTCAATGTTTAAAAGAAAGTCAAAGATGATTGTCTTGTTGTTGCTAGGACCGCTTCCCAAAAGTGACAGTGACTGCGCATCACTTTCCTTAAATGGTATTTTGAATTTTGACCTTCAGCAGTCGACTGACTCTTGTCCTGAGCGAGCTAATGGGGTAGATCGCGATGCAGATGTGAGGTTTTCAATGTGAGTAGAGACGATGATACACCCTTACAGAAACAAGAACGAAGTAACTTGATTATTGCATGGCTATCATATCTACAGCAGTATTACAGCAGTAAATACGGGCACAAGTGACCTGTTTAAAGTCGGTCACTCATAATGGATCCGCTGCCTTTGACGGGTCTCTTCCTGACCTACGGATATCCTCGAGTCGATTTGGCACCAAGCAGGGGAGCGACGGGGAACATAGTTTATTTACTCGGGTTCGGGTGTAAGCATACGAAACCTGTTTGAAGCAGTAAACAAACGTATAACCGTGTCGTATCAGAGAAGATTTCAACTTTGTCAGGCGTATAAAAATAAATAAACAAATGTTGCTTATCCAGGAGGCACATCACTGCATTTATCGTCGCAGCCTCTCGAGCATGGTGTTTGCCGTAGTCCTCTGTATTTCACTGACATTTGTAAACCAGTGGTGCCCTCCGTGTGTGTGATGGTGTTTCAATCTTGTGGATGCTTCCAAGGCTTGCTCATGGAAGCTTGGTTGCTGGCTGGTGGTCCACTTCTCCCATCCCACCTCAATCTCGCCCCGGCGCGCCCGCCAACAGCTTTCCAGTGCTGGACCCCCAGGGCACCCCCTTGTCCTCTAGGCTTGTTTAGCCTGGTCTCCGGCTGCCAACAGGCTTCGCCTCAGGTCTGCGTTTTGTGGGTAGATACCTAATCAAGCACTCAATCAACACAATCACCGCCAAAACAAGTCTTGTAGGTGTTGATAGACGGGCGACGGGCGACGGGCGACAGGCGACTGGCTAGACTGAATGGGAAGACCCAAGCGTCACCCTCTCTCTCCCACTCAGGCTTGCTCTCTCCCTCCCTTTCCCTTCTGGTTCGTTAGTTTAGCTCACATCACATCCCATCAGGCACTCGCTCTGCAAGTGCCACCTGCTTCCCCCTTCTATCCTGAGGTGTTCTGAGAATTGTTTGACTTTATCCCCATCTTGTATTTTCTCTGGACGCGGCGTCAGACTCCCGCAATAACAATTCCACTTCCCTTCCACTTTCCCCTTCGACGCTTCGACGCACCGACACTTTCCCTCTCTCCCGTTCCCGTTACTGATTTACTCTTCGCACCTTCCTTTGCGCCTGCACCCCCGTTTTCCTGCCCTTTCCATTCTTGCCTCACTACCACAACCTAATCTTCCCTCTTACACGCTCCCTCTCGTCTCATCCAATCTCACCTCCCTCCCTCGTACATCTACGCTCTCTGCCTCAAAGAAACACTTCTTCTGTTGGCTGTTTCTACAGAAATCACCACTCGAGGCTTTTGTTAGCGCTCGGTTGATTCTTTCTTCTCCCCTCCGGCTCATCTTTCTCGCTCTGAGCCCTTGTCGCCGCTGTCGCTGGTTGACCCAAACATCTCTCCCGGTTCTGGCCTGTTTTGAGGGGGCCACATCATCACCCCTTTTGCGCCCGACTCCGATTGTCCGAATTTCAGGCCTTTCAATTACGTCAGCCTTGCCTGCGCCACACCTGCGCCAAGCTTTGTACCAGTCCCATAATTCACACCAGCATTCACACCCACCTGCACCTCTGTCTGTGACTGCACCTGCTGCTGCCTGTTGCAATCATAAATCATACAAAGGCTGCTTACGACCGCATTCCGTCGGTCGTTAATTTTCTGCTCACTTCCTTGACTTCTTGTCAAGGCGTCCTCATGTTTCGATTCTGGACATCCGAATCACGGGGAAGCGACGAGACGCTACAGGCACCACAACCGATCACTGATCTTGTAAAGCCACTACAGTCGTGCTTGTTGCCAAACACAACAACAATAGCGTCACCCGGCGCGCAGCCCCCCAAAAGGAGGCGGTTAAGCACTGACGACCATGATGAGTTGTCAGGAGTGAACATGCCGATCAAGCGCACAAAAACAGACCAGGACGTTGTGGGTAACATTTCTTCGGCAACCGACGCAAAAGTGCAAGAAGGTGCCACAACCCCAAGTTTGGACAATGCTCGGGACGAGATTCGCCACCAATTTGGCCTTGAGATTTTGCTAAAGCATGATGAACTTCGACTCATTAACCAGGAACTCGCCAAGTGCCAGGTTGCTCTGGAGCAGTTGCGTCGTTGTCATCTCATTCCTTTCCCCGTGAATTGCCCAACCCCTGAACAGATGTTGAACGTAAGCGCCGGAAAGGGCCCTGCTATTCAGTCACGTCCAGGGGAATCTGTACCCAGATGGGCACCCCCGTTTGGTGTTGTCGATGGCCCATATGCCAGACATTATGCCAAGTGGCTCATTCCTGATCCTTCCTTTGACGGCATTCAGCCTGAGTGGCAGTTTACTCCGGAAGCCACACGCGCAAGAGCTTCGTTTGCTGAAGGGCGCACGACAAGGAATAGTCTCACCGACACTGGGAGTACTCTCAAGAGTCGCTCAGCCCGAGGAGTGGGTAGTCAAAAGCTGCACTCCTTGTCGAGCGGCTATCCGCAGCCCAAGGACAAGGCTGGCCCATGCATATTGAAGCGAGCTGATGGGCAGACAGTCAAACTGGTTTGTCTTGATTGCAATCGTGAGAATTTTTCAAGCACTCAAGGATTCATCAATCACTGCCGTATCGCTCATAAGCGAGATTTCAAGAGCCACGAGGAAGCAGCTGTGCAAAGTGGTCACCCCATCGAAGTTGCAGAAGGAGGAGCGGCTGGGGAAGAATCAGCGTCGGTACCGACTGTACCAGCTCCAACCTCCGTCTCTTCCTCTATCTCGACTTCTGTGCATCCTTTTGCTCGTCCTGACATGACTGAACAGCAGGCATACGTCGCTCTCAGGTCAAGAATTGAAGATTCTTTGAAGCTTTATCGTCAAGGCAAGCTGCCTGGCGTGACTCGTATTCCTTCATTGCCTGACAAAGCCCGCCAGCGCGCAGTGGAAATGACTGGGTCGGTTAGTGGAACTTCCGAAACTCCCCATCTCTCACGGCTGCTACAAAGTCGGAAGTTCGACGGTAATCTGAGTGAACTGGTCGCAGATGCGAAAACCAAGATTCCTCTGGATGATATGGCTTCCAGTGAGGAGTCAGAGCTTGCTGAGACACCCACTGAGGGCGATGAGCTGAAGGACACTTCTGCTGTACGAACTCCTATCGTCAGGCGCGTACCGGCAAAGGCTACCAAGTCACCGGCTACTGTGGACACATCAGTCCATTTAGCCAGTAGCAAGGGCCGTGCGCCTTCATCTGCCTTCCAAGCACCTGCGAACAGCGGCTCGCATGATGCAAACTCTGTGCTTTCAGATGACGATCTTGACATGGAGGATGTTGATATGAGTCCTAATACTATGGTCAGCAACAACGCACCTTCGCTGGTTAGCGACGATGGTGATTACGACGATACAGATGACGGGTCCTCTGTCTCTGGCGTTAGTGACAATCTCGAGACCGAATCCGTATCGGATGTGGCAGAGATTACACTGGACGACGATCAAGATTCCCGCTCATTGCGTCGGGAATCAAGCGGTGTATCAGGTGCTGTGAGACTTCGTAAGGACGACACTAAACATGTCACCCTCATGACTCCCGTCAAGAACAATACTAGGGAACGGCGGCCACGCCAAGTCTGACCCATCGTGTACTTGCCTCATTACCACTTCGTGTTCCCAACTCCCTGATCAACACAGGCTGTATAGCCATCAAAAATTGGATTCACCTTTCTTCTTGGAACCCCACCTTTCAACAATATCACTTTTAGTCAACACTTTACGAACACCACCTGGAAGCAGGTCACGATTAAGAAAACGACGGCTGCATGGTTTCAGCCTATTGCGAACAGAAACCTGGGGAATTGGAGGCGCCTTGTGGGTTTACAGAGTCGGGGGAACATAGTCATTTTGTGCGGTTTTGTTTTAACTAGAGAAGCCGGTATATGTATTTCGGCGTTACGGGACAGGTCATTTACTTGGCCTGGGAATGTCCTTGGCTTGGTTTTGCTAGTTTTTGAGTTGTGCTGTTTGTTGAACAATTATTCTGAGCGAAGAGACATGCTGTATGATTTCGAGAGCTTGATAGCAATGGCTCACCTTGTTTGTACTATAATGCCAGAGGTGAGGTGGCTCAAAGCCGAAACAAAAATATAAAAGGACGAAAACTTTACGAGCTATTGCCCTGCAACCATTGATTCGGAATCACTGCTGCATGAAGAGAAGTTTTAAGGTAAAGTTGATGGTGAAGTTTGTGAGGATGATGGGTGGGGCGCTTCTAAGGTGAAATGGAAGAGGCTAGAGTCCTAACTATAGTTAGACCAAGACGGGATGGATGATTCGAGTGATTAGAGTTTCAGGGTCACACAACGTGGGTGATGCAGATCTAGTCTACTTGAACATGCAGAAGGGGACGTGATTGATTGATTAAGTACTGGTCAACAGGCTCAAGTGTTGACCCAGAATTCATTAATAAATTAAGTGATTATGTGTTTAATAGCCATTAAATCCGTCAATCCATACATGCATGATTCGCTTTTGATCGTAAGGTCAGACCCAGTCTTAACTCCAAATGTGATTCGTAACTTCTTGAAGGTGTGTGTGTGTTGTTGTTGATTACAGAATAGCAGCAACAACACCAGCAACGGCGAGGAGGACACCAGCAGTGTTGCGGGCCTTTTCGGCAGCGTTGTTTGTGTTCTGGGCGACGGCAGCAGAATCAGTAGCTGTGCTTGTCTCATCAGCAGCATCGGACTCGGTGGCGGTGGCATCAGCTGTGGTTGTAGCAGAAGCGGTCTTTGTGGCCTTTGCCTTTGTGGCGGTTCCGTAGAGAGAGGCGTTCTGGCAGTTGATCTGGACCTGACCCTTGGCAGAGCCGGCACGAGTGTCGTCGGGGCAGTTGTTGAAGCAGCTGAGAAAGCGTTAGTGAACAATGCTTGAGCGATCAGTTGAGCGTTTATAGTTAAAACTTACGTAGCAACAGCCTCGTACGCGGCACAGAAGCAGTCCCAGTCGTTGGGCTCGCAGGCCTCAACCTTTGCGTTCTCGGTCTCGAGACATCTCTTTACAATGTACTCGGCATCACAACCGCCAGAGGCTGAAGGAGAAGCAGCGTCTGAGTCGGTGACGGACTGAGCAGAAGCCGCAGCGGCGAGAAGAGCGAGAGACCAAAAGAACCTCATGATGGTGGTTGTGTAAGTGGTTGAGGTCAAGGTTAAAAGTGGACTAAGAAATGTCGATGGTTGAAATGGAGGATGAGGAGGATGAGGAAAAGGCAATGGGGGTATTAGAGATAGACGTAGGCAGGAATGAAGTCAATATATAAAAATGAGGAGCACGAGGCGTTTTTTATTTTATTTACTTAATTATACAGGCGAGAGTACGGGGGATATTAGCAGCAAGGTCCTGTTTTAGTTAGTATCGTGCCTTTTTTCCTTCCTCTGGTGTGGTCTGTGGTCCGTGGATGATTATCCATGCTAGCTATGGGCGCTTCTGCGGCCTGCCGTCCCACCCCCAGCCATGACATGACAAGGTCAATTGCAAGGGTAAGAGTAAATGTTGAGGACGGGGAGCAGTTGAAGAAACCATTCAAGCTTTTGGAAGTCTTTGGGGTTAAGATCTGAGGTAATGAAAAAAAGGAGTGGGAGGGGATGGTAAACGCTTGGATGCAAGTTCCCGTTAAGGGCGTTTTTGTGGCTTGAGCTTTGGCTATTTTGTTTTCTATTATATTGAAGTTGATTAAGGTATGAGCATTAATCCCAAGCTGTAACATGAGCAATATGTACATGTACTGTAGTGGAATAGACAAAAAACACGTCAACTGCATCAGCAAATGTCCTCTCCCACAGGCTACCAGCTCACCTTGCATCGATTCACCGAGTTTTTGTATGGAGAATCTACACACGCGATGGGCAAGGGCAAGGATAAGGAACAACGACGGTGCATTGCATTAATAGACTGTAGGTATTACCTAGCCCGGGAGATGTCCCTGCATGGATCCATGAACTTTGAGGACGGGGAGCACTGACTAGCGCGGGCTTAGGGGAACCAGGAGGCTGAACAGTGTGAGCCTTCAGGTGATGTTGTGCTGTTTTGTGCTGTTTTATGCTGTTGTGCAAGTTATGAGTGTTTTGTACCGAGTATCGTGCAACATCGTATGCTTGCCATCGGTTGCCCAGCCAAGAGCTTGACCAGCGTACTCTGTAGACCGCCTAAATCACCCAGGGGAAGCATAGCATGGGTCCTCAACATCCAAATCGTTTTTACCGAGGTAGGTTAGCAGTTGTAAGTTTTTCCTCGGGTGGTTGGAACTTGGTGGTTGGACAATTGCCCTGGCCTGGCCTGATCTACTGAACCGTCTTGAAGAGTCAAGACTAGGGATGTCTGATGGAATGGATGCATTACAATATTCCGTAGTCTTGAATCAAAGATGTCGTGCATTTGCGACACCTCAAAACCCCGTATCTCCTGTGATGCACATCACACATTAAATGCAACATACGTAGTAACATTGGGGACAAGAAGGAGGGATAGAACAGGCCACCCGTCAACAACATGATGAACTACAGAGTAACACATTGTATCATATCTAAAAGCAGTGGCTGTTCTGTTCTAAAACCTGTAGTAGCAAATAGCCATGGCTTTTCAGCTTTCAGCTTATTCAATGCTGTCAACAGACCTAACGAGATCTCACGAGGTGACGACGCTTTTGGTGGTGCTGTTCCATCTTGACAGACTGTATCACCTGGGCTTGGTCGAGACGGGAACCGAGTCACGAGAGAAACGTCATACTGCATACAATGGATGATGGATCGAATTGACTTGGCTTGTTTCTATCTTCGTGTTCGAATTATAGTGTCTGACAAAAGTGTTGCTGCTGCTATTCCGATGCACCTTGTGAGGTGTTGTTGCATGTAAGTGGCCCCATCGTGATGACGGTTTCGAAATATCCGAAGCAGATGACTTTTGACATATTTCTCGCAATTATTTGGTCTCCGGACTAAAGACGTATTTAGAAGGCTAACGATATGGAGTCTAAGTGAATGATGATTATCGTTTAGTCATCGTCTTTGTAGCTTCATGTTGCCTGTTGAGCTACATGACAAAGATCGGCAGGCAGTACGTTAGTAATGCCAGACTAGGTAGGCAGAGACAAATACAGCAGATATAAAGCATGTATCTTTTAATAACATTTACCTACCTATGTATTTTTCTACTTAGTCTCCATGAAACAAAATCTTGGTTTCTGTTATAGGTCTAATCGACGCTACAGAGCTTCCTTCACCGAGCGTTGAAGAGCTTCATGTAAACGGCATTGCCCCACACCAGCTCAGAGGCCCAAAAGTACCCCTCCAACCATCATATCAACCCCACGTTTCACAACAACGCATCCTATCAGGAGCTGACGACATCTCGACTTCCAAGCCTCTACTTGCGACTACAGCATCGTCTTCTTACACCTGCATCTGCAGCTGCATCTTCTCCTTCTTTTTCCCCCTGTAACTTATACTCAATATAACCGCCGCTACTGTCATGGCTTCTCCCTCAATCACCCTCGACCGCATCCTCGCGGCGAACCCAATTACAACCCGTGGCCAGCCTACTCAGATCTCGGCCGACTCCAAGGGTCAACGGATAGCTTATCCTGTACGATGAGGCTATATAGTCCACAGTCCACGCAGTAGAATACAACCGCTGACCCTTGTAGTGCGGAAAATCCATCTTTGTTCGCTCCATTGATAACCTCTCCGACGCAAAAGAATACACTGGCCACACCGCCCCCACCACCGTCGCTCGCTTCTCTCCCAATGGCTTCAAGGTTGCCAGTGGTGACTCGAGCGGCATGCTCAAGGTTTGGGAGCCCGAGGTTATCGGCAGCACCAAGGGGGAGTACGGTATCATTTCTGGCCGTCTGAACGATATCGCCTGGGATGGTGAGTCTCAGCGCGTTATTGCTGTGGGCGATGGCCGCGAGCAGTTCGGTCGCTGCATCACAGCCGACAGTGGAAACTCAGTGGGTGAGATCATCGGCCACTCCAAGTCAGTCAACGCCGTGGCAATGAAGGCCCAGCGTCCTTTCCGCGCAGCCACTGTCGGCGACGATGGAAACATGGTCTTCTACCATGGAGCTCCTTATAAGTTCAACAGCAAGAGCACTCAGCACACCGGTTTCGTTTTGGGCGCTGCTTACTCCCCTGACGGAAACACACTGGTCACTGTTGGTGCTGACAAGAGGATACAGCTTTACGATGGAAAGACGGGCGAGCCCGTCAAGGCTATCGGAGAGGGCGAGCACAAGGGAAGTATCTTTGCTGTGTCGTGGTCGCAGGACAGCAAGAAGTTTGTCACTGCCAGCGCCGATCAGACCGTCAAACTCTGGGACGCCGAGGCAGGTAGCGTCCTCCAGACCTGGAAGTTTGGAGAGGATGCCAGCATTGGTGATCAGCAAGTCGGTGTTGTCTTCGTTCCTGGTCGTAGCGACGGCCTCATTATTAGTCTTAGCCTTGAGGGTCAACTTACATACTTGACTGAGGGCAAGACGGAACCCACCCGTATCGTTCATGGTCACAGCAAGAGCATCACCGCCCTCTCTGCTGGATCCGACGGTAAGGGTGCTGACTTATGGTCTGGTAGCTTTGATGGTCGGGTGTGCCATTGGGATGTTAAGTCAGGCATTGCTACAGTTGTCGATGGCCAGTCTCACACCAACCAAGTTACTCAGTTTGCCACTACCGATGGCAAGGCTTTCAGTGCTGGCTGGGACGATGCCCTAAGAATCGCTGACGAGTCGGCCAAAACCTTCTTAGGTGCTTCCAGTAAGTTGCCAGCGCAGCCCAAGGGTGTGAGCGCAGCCAATGGGCTTGTTTATGTCGCAACATTCTCCGGTGTCTCTGTATACTCTGGCGAGAAGCTGTTGGGCGAACAATCGTTGGACTATACTCCTGGTGCTATCGCTGCGTCTGGCTCCTTCGTTGCTATCGGGGCTAATGAGAACTCCGTGCGGATTTACAGCGCTGGCTCCGATGGTAAACTTCAGGAAGTCAAGGCGCTCAGCAACCCAACTGGCACTATCTCGGCCCTTGCCTTCTCCAAAAATGGCTCTCATCTGGCTGCTGGAAACAGTGTCGGAAAAATCTACGTCTACAGCGCTGGTAGCTGGGAACTGGCAGCAGACCGCTGGTCGGCTCACACTGCCCGAGTGACATCCATCGCTTGGGACGACACGGGTGCCTACGCTGTCAGTGGTAGTCTCGACACCAACGTCTTTGTTTGGTGTCTGGAGAAGAAGAATCAGGGCAAGCGCATCAAGGCTGCTAATGCTCACAAGGATGGTGTTAACGGTGTAGCCTGGGTTGAGGGCGGCAGGGTCGCCAGTGCAGGAGGAGATGCTAATGTGAAGCTCTGGAACGTCCAGAATTTGCCTTGAACTAGACGAGATCCTAGACTAGATCGTTGGTTTTCCCACAAGCAACGTCCAAGCCCGATTATTACATGGAATAGAAGTCCCTCTCAACAAGCTGCATATGAAACAGCAACGCCCAAACACCAAACATTTACCATCCACATCGATTCGTGAATACATATCTCCTCATTAGCCGTAGCTTGTACTTTGTCTGTTCAGAACCCGAGAACCCGCTTGATAAGCTCCAATACCTAATCGTGTACCATCGTCGCGTTCTGTTCTCTGGCGACTTCCTCGGGAGCGAGATCCCACAGGCTAAGTCTGTCGGGCGCCTGGGAGGGGATATTGTGAGGAGGCCATCGAGTCTTGTTCTCTTCCCAAAGGAGTCCCACCTTATGGATGGCTTCCTCGAGATCCTCGGCGCTGAAGCCAAATTAGACGGGTTCCCTATTCGGAGCATAACAGCTTGACGTACCTCCCGGAGCTCATGATGGCATATCCCTCCTTAGAGAGATGCTTCGCCATCTCCGTCTGGTGATCATTCAATAGTTGTGTGTTAGGCACCACGATGATAGGCAATCCCATCTTCCAGGCATCCAATATGGTTCCGGTGCCTAATGTGTGTCAGCCGGTACGTTTGAAGTGTTCATCACTTTAGCATACCGGCATGTGATATAACAAGTCCTAGTTGACGTTTACCTGCTACATCTTTGCACAGTGTCATTTCTTCCTTCATGAGATTCTTCTTCACATCGAATATGTCTATAGTTAGTTCCGAAGGGATATCATTTTTGACACGTCTGAGTTGCTTGCTAGCCCATGCGACATCGGGGCCACACTGGATATGCAACTGTGTGAATCCCTGGGAGGCTATGTACTGCCAGAAGCTTGGTAGAAGCACTGTATCAACGAGTTTCTTAAAACCCACTGTAGCGCCTACCGTAACAAGGCAAGTACGTTCAAGCTGTGGCGCTGCCATATCGGTTGGAAGACTTGAAGAATGAAGAAGAAATAAAAAAAGTGCCTGGTAAGATGTTGAATGTTAAACCTTGACATGCTTTCGCAATAGGGTAGGAGAGGTCGTGTAAGAGGATATGCCGGCTAATCACCGGGCCTGATTTACACAGTTGCGCTTGGTGGTGCAGCCAAAAATTTGAAGACTCTCCAAGCCGACTCTTGATCTGACGACAATTCGACGCGGCCATTGCCCTTTTGAACGACTCGCAATGGCTTCAGCATCGGCAGCCGTGAGGTTATGTAATCTAGCCTGCCGCAGGGCATCCCAGATCCAACAAATCCCTCGGACTCAGCACATCATCCGGCAAAAGCCTATCGCTCGGCGGGCATTCACCACTTCGACGATACGATGGGCTCGCGAGGAGGACCAGCGCCAGGACGACGTTGAGGAGGAGGATTTTGGCCCAATAGAGTTGAAAAAGCTCGAGGCCGCCCTGGCCGAGGCTTCTACACCGGAGGGACTGAAGCAATTGGACCTCTTGGCCAAGGCGAACGGCTACAACTCCATCGACCATTACTTGAAGAACGAACTAGAGTACCGACCTGGCTGGGCGTCGGAGGACCGATCGACATTGGAGGATATTCAGAAAGATGACAAAGGAGAGAAGCCCAACAAGCAGTCGTTCTGGTTCGACGAAGAGGACCCCGAGACCAACACCGAAGAACTCGAGGAATTTGACGAGGACGATATCACATCTATGGCCCACGGAAAACTTGACGAGATTCGAGATATGCGACAATACGCCCGATTGGCAGTATGGGAATTGCCTCTTCTTTCGAGTGGGTGGATCGAGATGCAAGATAAAGATGTAACCATATACTAATGCTATAGCAGAGTACGCCAAGCCCTTCGAACCTCCTGCCGAGAACCAGGTCCTCCGGTGGCGATACACTTCTTATATGGGCGAATTCCACCCTGCTGAGAAGAAGGTGGTGGTGCAATTCGCCCCCGACGACCTGAAGCTCACGGCCGTCCAAACCGAGAAGCTCAAGAAGCTTGCAGGACCCCGCTACAACCCCGAGACGGAGATCATCAAGATGAGCAGCGACAGTTTCGAGCACCAGGCGCAGAACAAGCGCTATCTCTCCAACTTGGTGGACGACCTTATCGCCGCGGCCAAGGACCCCAAGGATACATTCGCAGACATCCCCCTCGACACCCGACACCACAAGGTCCAGCCTAAGCCGCGATTCCCTAAGGAGTGGCGCATGTCCCCGGAGCGCCGCCAAGAGCTTGACGAGCACCGCCAGCGCATGGCCATAGAGGATGTGAAGATGGCTGAGGGCGGCCAATTGGTGGATGGTGTCCAGGCCATCGATCAGTACCTGATGAAGAACGCTGGTGAGGACCAGAAGAAGGCCAAGGTTGCGGAGCTTGTTGCTGCGGCCCCCGCCAAGGGTGCCGGCGCCAACCGCGCGAGGAGGTAAAATGAAATAAAAAGAATAAGAGATTCCCTGAGATGTTTGGCTTGGGATGATATGTATTATACGCTAGATCTGGTGGAGCATGTGCAATTGTACGATGTATGTTTGAAGAGGACATTTGGTCAATGAGACACATGTACAATGAGCCACTACATGTAATTTCGAAGTAGGCTTCTCATGGCAGCGAATATTACGGCTACCAGCCATGTTTCGATCCAAGTACAATGAAGAACGCGAAATGAATACTACGAGAAATCTGTCATCGAGGAATGATTTTACCAGCGTTTGCCGTTGTGTAGTTTCTCTTTGTGGCATTGGCTACTCACTGGAGCTTGGCTTACGCTCAGACAGCATCTGCATCAAGTATCATCCTTCAGTTCCATTTGACTTCAAGCCCAGTTCGGATTTTGTTCTCATGATGACCTGGAAGTGCTGACTAAGAATATCATGACTGCCAAGAGATTGGATATTAAGAGAAGACACATGCTTGATTGCCGTGACTTCACAGCTAACTTCCAAACTTGCTTCATATTGATCTCTCTTACAAGAAAAATCTGTAATTGAAAGGAACCCATGTACAATGGAGACTGCATATACTGCCAACATCATTATCCTTGGAGCTCCGGCTTCGGGGAAGAAGAGTTTCATAAGAAGGGTAAGTTAGTATAAGGGAGCCATGCCACTGGGCATGACGTTCAATACAAACCTATGCAGTGGTCTTACTCATTCTGCGTGTAGTATTGCGAAGACATCTTTACAAATCTCTACGATCCCATCACCGAAACATCTGGGGACCGCCGCCTAGCCAATATCTCGGGCATCGCAACGCTCATCAATCTTGAGCGCATCCCGTCGACATTTGTCCAATCCGCATCCGAAGCCCGCCGCATAGAAGCCGAAGCAGACGCCTTGATCCTGCTATACGACGGCTCCTTGCCGGAGAGTTTGGAAGAGCTTCGGCGCATGCAGCTCAAGGTGCTAGCTCCGGAAGTGAGAGAAGGAGACGAAGCGCCGCCAATCGCTGTGGTTGCGAGCAAGGCCGACCTCGCGGAGGCCGCGGACACGGGCACGGGCACGGCGTGGGAACAGGGGATAGGAGAGGGGAGTGAGTTGGCGGTGCAATTGGGGGCAAGATTTGGGGTTACGTCGGCGCTTTGGGGTGACGGGGTTAAGGATGTGGTGGAGGAGCTGGCGGCGAGGGTTTTGGAGATGAAGGGAGTTGAGAAGGAGGTGTTGATGGGAGCAGGATCATGAATATGATGTGAGAGGTTGTAAGTTATTAGTGTGGTGCTGCTCAAGCTCAAATCGAGGTTAGCAGGGATTGTGTTGCTGTTGCTGTTGGGAATTGAATATTGGGAATCATGCCAAGTGCTAGAGTCGGAAAGAATGTAATCCTCAAGTTTTGCAGCATCATCAAGTCGTTTGAACTGAATGCTATACCGATGTTCGAGATGTAGTGACAGACATGTCTGATCCGGAGTCTGAGACATGCAGGTACAGTATATGATTGTGTTCCACCGACAGTAATTCACTGTAGTGCTCAGGAGAACACAACAACTAATAACGTTAGCTGCAAATCTAATTCAGCACGAAACTGTAGCATGAAGAGAGAAATATCGAAGGGCATGGTAGGGTTGGTTGTCACACAACGAAAGAGGCCTTATGCCACTAGAGGTATCTAGCTGTAAGGCCATATTTACCCCATAGTTAGCGCTTTGGGCCTCACCTAGGCATGATCGTATATCAGTATCACCAATTAGCGATTATGCATTGGACCATCATTGCCTTTCGCCGTTAGCTGGCAATTATTATATACTCCGTATATAGGTAGGTAATAAACTAACTTCATGTTTGGATGATGAAGCTGTGCCTCGGCAGGTTTCAGCACGTGGAGGGGGGAGGATGCCGAGGAGAGACTGATACTACAAGCCCCTCATTCGCATTCGCATTCCTTCAAGTGCTGTGAACATCTCAACATTTTTTTTTATTTCAGGTTTGGTATTCACATTAATTGCTGGCGAGCTGTCTATAGAGCACGTGAACTTATCGCTCGGATACCCGAATCAACCGAATTCCGTCCCATCACCTTCATTCACCTTCACCTTCCCCTTCTTCTTCTGGGTGGCCTCCACTGATTAATCAGGAGAAAGGCTCGCATCTCCTCTTCAAAACACAAATCAAAAGCGTCATCGCTCCCTTTCAAACAACAAAATACAAATACCCTTGTTCTATCTTCTTCTTCTCAAACTCAAACCCCACGTTTTTAACTCCACATAAATATTACCTTACTTTCCTTTCTAATCTTCGATATTGCATCTCAACCAAACAGAGACTCCAGATAGAGACGTCAGCACCTAATTTGTTCTGACCCAACCAACGACGTCTCAACATCGCTTATCAAAAATGGCTGACGATACTCCATCCTATACTATTGCTCCCCTGGAGCACACGCCTCTCGATAAGATCGCAGCAAAGGTCGACCTCGTGAGGAACACCTTCAGGTCAGGCCGTACCAAGGACATCCAGTGGCGCATGGTCCAGATCCGCAAGCTGTACTGGGCTATCGTCGACAACACTGAGCTCATGCAAGATGCTCTCCTCAAGGACCTTCGCAAGTGCAAGTATGAGGCCGTTTTGGCCGAGATTGATTGGTGCAAGCAAGAATGTCTCGATATGGTCAACAACATGGAGAAATGGCTGCGCGATGAGCCTGTTCCCAATGTTCCTCTCCAGTTTCGCGCCATGAAGCATCGCACCCGTTTCGAACCCCTTGGCGTTGTTCTCAACATCGGATCCTTCAACTTTCCCTTCCAGCTCAACCTCCCCGTTGTCATCGGCGCCATCGCTTGCGGCAACTGCGTCGTCATGAAGGCTTCTGAGTCGTCTCCCAACTGTGCCATGGTGCTCAAGAAGATATTTGATGAGTCCCTGGACCCTGAGTGCTTCACCTACGTCAACGGTGCTCTGAGCGAGACCCAGCTTCTGCTCGACCAGAAGTTTGACAAGATTTGCTTCACCGGCGGAAAGGGAGTTGGCAAGATTATCGCCAAGAAGGCTGCTGAGACTTTGACCCCCGTGCTTCTCGAGCTTGGTGGCCTGAACCCGTCCTTCGTCACCAAGAACGCCAACCTCAAGTTGGCTGCTAGGCGACTTCTCTGGCAGAAGTCCCTGAACGCGGGCCAGGTCTGCATGTCCCACAACTACATCCTCGTCGATCGAAGTGTCCTTTCTCAATTTCTAGGAGAGCTCAACAGCCAGATGCGCACCTTCTTTCCCAAGGGTGCCAAGAACAGCCCCGATCTCTGCCGCATCGTCAACGCGGGCCACTTCAACCGCCTCAAGAAGATGCTTGACGGGACCAACGGGAAGATTGTTCTCGGAGGCTCCATGGACGAGTCTGCTCTATTTATGGAGCCAACAGCGGTGCTTGTTGATAGTATCGACGACAGCATGATGGTTCAAGAGGCGTTTGGTCCTATTTTCGCAATGATGGCGGTTGACTCTCTCGACCAGGCCATCGATATTGCCAACTCGGTTGACCCGACTCCTCTCTCGCTCAGCACTTTTGGCAGCAAAGCCGAGAACCAGAAGGGTATGTATGATCCACGCCTTGAGTGATAAAATAACTAACACATCAAAGTCTTGGACAACGTCACCTCGGGCGGCGCCACCTGCAACGATGCCTTCTTCCACTCTCAGATCCCACAGTCCCCTCTGGGAGGTGTAGGTCAGTCTGGCATGGGCAACTACCACGGAATCTACTCTATCAGGACCTTCAGCCACCAGCGCACTATCGCTGAAGTCCCATACTGGGCCGACTTCCTGTTCCGTGTGCGCTACATGCCATATGAGTGGCCCACCATGAACCGTCTCAAGGCCATCTCCGATGCAAAGCCCAACTTTGACCGCAACGGCAACAAAAGCAAGGGAATTGCTTATTTCCTTGGCCTGATCTTCGGTCTCGGATCCAGAAAGTCAAAGGGTGCTCTTCTCAGGTGGGCACTCCTCGTGGTCGCGGCCGCCGTTTTGGAAGCCAAGAAAGGCACTCTGAGCCAACTGCTCACACGATAATGGTTATTTAGTTGATCTCTCCAAATTGTTTGTTCTACGTAAAATGCAAGGAAAGGCGGTAATGCAAGGATACCCCTCGCGTGTGCTTTTGCCATATGAGATGGCTATTACTCCGTACTCTACTTTTTGGTTGCAATGTACTATAGCTCAGCCGCTGCCTCAAGTTCGTGTTTCAATTACATTTAGCCAATATTGAAGATCCCAAACAAAGAGACATCGCATTTTGAACCCCAACTCAATCACTAGTAGTATATCAAGTAATTGTATTTTGTATTAGAACTATCATTGTCCATAAATGACTCTTCGGAATCTGAGATATCTTAGTATCCAGTCAAAACAGCTACTAGGCGGCGGCCCTTGTCGCCTCCCAGATATAGGTCATCGTCAGTTGAATCCCGTGCCATATCCACCGCCTCGCTGTAGCCTCTGGTCACCGTGTCTTCGTCCACCTTGAGCCCGTTCTCAACAAGTGCCAGGATGACACTGCGGATCCTCGCAATTTCGCGCATCGTCGTCACTTCCATGGGGTCGTTCTGGCTCGAGTAGACCTTGTTGCTGACACTTTCCTCCATGCGATTGATTCCAGCGGCCTCAGCGGCTGTGTCACCCTCGATATGCTTGCTGATCCAGATGTATCCGTTCACGCCGAGGAGAACATCAACTTTGCCGCCGGAATTAGCTGCGTCCATCGTCCAGACCTGTCTCTTGGAGCGAACAACACCGCCGCCACCACCGGTTCCAGTTACAGCAACAAAGACGCCGTTGCGCAGCTTGCCGTACTTCAAACTACGGGTGTGCAGACTCGCCGCGCCGTCCTGATGCAGCTGCTGAACCTCTGCAACGACGAGGTCTCCCTCGGCGAAGAAGCTGCGGATCTGCAGTTCATCGGTCTCGGTACGCTTACGGAGGATACCACCGGGCAAATTAATGGCTGAGATCTGGAGAATGGCAAGCTGAGAAGCAGCTACGTCAACTCGCCACCGCTTGGCCTGGACTTCGACGATGCGGCCGACGACGAGGTCACCAATCTCCGGGGTGTAGCGAGCGCGAAGAGGCCGCACGGAAAGCAGTTTATTCGTCTTTGTGAGGGTACCAGCAAGGGAAGATGTGATTGCTGATGATCCTTGGGGCACGTATGTACCATGTCCACTATGAATAATTAGGATTGAAGTTCATAGTCGTGACGTCTGAGATGTTGAGACCTACCGCATCCATTGAGGGTTCGACGTTATCACACTGCCTGGTGTAAAAATATCATCGCTATCGACGCCAGCTCCACCTTCAGAATCCGAATCCGAATCATTGTTCGTAGTAGCTGCTGCTTGTGGCCTCCGGGGCGTGGGAGGCTGAGGGCTGAGGATTGTGATGGGCATGGTGAGATGAGAGGGCAAGGGTAAGGCTAGATACAGGTCAGATTCAGCGGTCAAGGGACCGTATGAGGCTGCTTGAATGAGTATTAAGCGTGTGAGAGTCGGAAAAGGTAAGCAAGTGGGTGTTGTATAAGGCTGTTGGGCCTGTTCCTCTTGTCGTCGTGTTGTGGTTGATGAATATGAGTTTGGTTAAAGATTCAATGTGGGGCTCGAGGATTGAGATTTTAGTGTTTGGCAGCGCATCGCAGCGCAACGCAGGGGCTTATGGATCCATGGAGAACAGAGCTTTATCCTCTATCTTCAGGCGTCGATCCGCCAACAAAGGGTATTGTGTTATTAAATTGTTGTGAAACATTTAACTAGATACGTTTTATTCGAACTATTTAATAAAATGCAATATGAGCGGTAATTGGCTGCTCAGGTTTGCTTGTAAGCATTACTTAACTTACAACTTCACAGTTGGTATGACAAGGGATCTAAGACCCCCAATTTGATGATATTATATTCTCTACAACAGAAGAATACTGTATTTTCGTGCAATGCTGCGTGGAATGACAATTCCGTGTCATATACTACGTAATTCAAATTTATGATATCTGTATCACAATATCATGAGTATCCAAGTTCTATAGGTGTCGTTTTGAGGCCAGACTCATATGGTGTCGTACCAGGAAGTAATATACAGAGACAGGAAGGTCAAGGCTGAGAGGAGTTCCTTACGTCGTTTGGGTCGATTTTTTTTTCTTTTGATTATTTGAACGCTCTCCAGATTCCCATCCATACAAGAGCAAGCGAAATAGAGGTGATGCCGAATTTGCGACTTCTCATGCCAAAAGGTGATTTGCTCCGTAGAATCAGGTCCCTTTGCTTATCAAGCTGTGACATGCCAGAAAAGTAGCTGTAGGCTCCTAGACCGAAAAATGCACCGCTGCCTATCACCATGTTAGTCTCTGAGCCCTGAGCTCCGAGATGTTCAGGCCTGGGGGCCGAGTGCTGAGTGCAAGGAACTGACCGACAACTTTGCAAGGCAAACAGTCATCGCCTCGGTCCTGGCGCAGAATGTTCTCAAGCTTCTCCGGCTTCTCGAGAGAATGCACAGTCGGTATCTTGTCTCCAGACATTGTGAGGGTTGTGCGGTGCTGTGCGGTGGAGTGGTATTTCAGTTAGTATTTAAAGCCAAAGATTGAATTATCACAAGCTTCAACTGTAGAGAGTCGCGTGATAAGAAACGTTGATTGGGCGGAGGAGGGAGCTCTTGATCGCTTAGTAATGTTTGCCAGGATCTCGCTCGGTCTAGGTGGTTTTAGTTTCGTCATTGCATAGGTAGACATGGATTTGTCCCGCGTTAGCTGTCGCAAATCAAAGCTACCTTACCTTTAATATTAATTGAGCCTACTACTCTTTGACTCGAGGGAGGTGTTGTTCGTGACCATGAACGGCGTTATTGAGGCGCTTCATATCTACGATGATAACCGGTGCGTTCTCTGCCGTCGCTTGCAAGCTCTCGACTCGACCTAATCATGTTTCGCAGAAACCCTATTCTCTCACATACCTACGCAGGGAGGCCGCTCTCGGCAACTCATCTTCTACCCCTCTACCTAGAACATCCCGCACCGAGACCGAACCTCATCTACCTCCCCAACACGAGTCCTCCGACACTCGTCTTCAGCATGATACATGCGAATCTTTTGTTCCTTGCTACATCATCAACCGAGATCGAACCGCTGCTGGTTTTCGAGTTCCTACACCGCATAATCGATGCCTTTGAGGACTTTATGGGCGCGCCTATCCTGGCCGTCAAGATCGAGAATAATTATGACATCGTTGCACAACTGCTGACGGAGATGTGCGATGCCGGCACAGTGAGCACAACAGAACCCAATGCTCTGCGAGAAGTGGTGGAGCAGGAGGGCTGGGTTGGAAAATTGCTGGGAAGCATCAATCTTCCAGGGTTTGTGAACTGTCGACTTTTCTAAATAATGATCTCGGGGAGCTAACTCATGACCAGTAAAGCACCTTTGAGCGCCATGTCGAATTCGAGCACCCCTCCCTTACTGCCATCAAACTCAACTGCTCTACCATGGAGGAGAGCCAATGTACGACACACATCCAACGAGATGTACGCCGATATTGTCGAGACCCTATCCGTTACGCTCGCTCCATCAGGAAGACCACTAGCCGCATTTGCCAACGGCACCATCGCATTTACCTCCAAGGTGTCAGGTGTTCCAGACATTACACTGAATATCACCAGCCCATCCGGAAAACACAATCTTGGAGGTATCATGGAGCTACCAGTGTTTCACCCATGTGTACGACTTAACCGATGGAAAGAGAGACCGGGAGAACTTAGCTTTATTCCACCCGATGGAAGATTTATTCTGGCTGGATACGAGGTGGATCTACTACCATTCACGAGTGGCAAGAGTGGAAGTCTAAGTTCCAACAACCTCAAACTGCCAATCAACCTGGAGGTCAAGACAGGACTGGGTGTAACAGGGTCAGATTTTGAGGTTCGACTACAAGTCAACAAGATCCTTGGAGCACCTTCCCCAGCATCATCAGGTCTAGGAAGAGGCGGCAGCGGAGGTCGGTTAGGTGGTCCTCATCCTGGGTCACCAGGAGCGCCTCTGATGGACGACTTGACTGTGACGATTCCACTCCCAGCAGATGTTAGAAACCTGTCTGAGATCCGGCCAAGCAAAGGTGATGCCAGCTTCAACCCTGGCGAAAGATTTTTGGAATGGTACATCCCCGCGAAGGAACTGTCCGGCGGGACAAGCTACTTTGGTCTTAGGTGCACTGTAGTGGGACCGCTGACAAGTGATGGCGATGAAGGATTCGATCCTAACGGGTTTGGATTTGGAACCGACTACACATTCGACGGCCCATATCAGAGCGTACCTGTGGCCAAGGCGGCACAAAACCCAGAGAGTACGGCCGATGACAAGGACGCTAAGAAGATTGCCCAGAACAAGATCCTGATGCCAACATCGGCATCAGTGAGCTTCTCAGTCAAGGGATGGTTGGCAAGTGGGCTAAAGGTAGAAAGCATGCAGCTAGACACACGCAAGAGTAGGGGCCTGGGAGAGAGTGTCAAGCCTTACAAAGGGGTCAAGTACTTGACAATCAGCAAGGGAGGTGTGGAGATACGATGTTAACTAAAGTGACGAGACGCGACAGGAGACGGAAACGCGAACGGGGGTCATGATGTTGAGCGAAGGTGGCTACTGTACCTTTATTTGCGAGCCAATGGGAGAAGGATAGAAGTCAGAAGTCATGACAGAAGCAAAAGGAAAGCATCAAAAGAGGGTAGACACGTGCCCAACTGCCAAATGCATGTAATGTAATAAAACGCATTTCATTGCACCATCGGTCTTGTTGCCGAGTGAGAAGGAAGAATTAGGAGCCAATCCAACAACATGTATCTCCTCGGGCGAGGCACCAAAGGAGCGACGGAGCTCCGAAGCCGGATCAGTTCGGGGCATCGGCTCTAAGGTGTGGGGTGCGGAGCCGGTGCCCCAAGCCATCGACCGCGATGGTATGCGATTGCGATATGATTGGACCAACTGAGAAGAATTGAGCAGGACTCCCCCAATTCCGAGGAGTAAAAGTACGTACTGGTATCTTGTCCCACTAACATTACCCCGACGTCACGCAAACTCCCGAACCCCAGAGCTAGACCCAGACCCAGACCTAACACTAGAGATCACCCCAGAGTGGGAGCCCCCAAAGGCTGATCATTCTCGTCGGTTTGGCTTGGTTTGGCTCCTTATTTTGTTGAATAGCAATAACGAATATTACATCTTCTCCTTATCCTCTCGTCTCCTCCGCTTCTCCTCCGTATCACCCCAGAATGAAACCTTCACTGCGTCCATCTTGACCTCTAATCCTCTGCCCCGCCGCTCAGACGGCAATGGATCGGTTCATCATGTCCACGATGTGCCGCCGCACTTATACTCTAGCTACTCACACTCACACTCACACTCGCATTCGATCTCCTACCTATCCTTCCTCGACAAGCTACAGTCGACCACTTCCTCGGATATTACCACAAAAGCAAAACATACAACTACCACTGCAGCGAAGATGGCGATCTACACATCGAGGCGGCACAAGAACAGCCCTCTTCTTTCCTGGCCAAGGCGTCCAGCGGGTGGGCATGTTGACTCCGTGGCTCGAGGCCTTCCCTTCAACAGCATCGCAGCTACGGGACGAGATAGACGAGCATATGGGCTATAAGCTCTCCGACATCATCCAGAATGGGCCATCCAGGCTTCTTACCGAGACACCAAATGCGCAACCCGCCATCATGGCTACCTCGATATTTATCTTGCGCATTCTTGAGCGGGAGTTCAACTTTAGAGTCACCGACCACTTTGATGTCACGCTCGGTCACTCATTAGGCGAATTCGCTGCTGTCGTCGCGGGCGGCTACATCTCCTTCCAAGACAGTCTATACCTCGTGCGCAAACGGGCGGAGGCTATGTCTCAGGCCACAAGAAATGCGATCGAACAATACGGCGGCGAATACGGCATGGTGGCAGTCATTTCACACCCTGAACACATGGCCAGTCTGATCGAGGCAATTCGGGAATTTGTCGGCATCTCGGCCGAAGACTCAGCGGACCTACCGCCTATCGAGCAGGTGTTGATAGCCAATATAAACAGCAAAAACCAGATCGTGTTGAGTGGAAACATTGAGCGCATCAAGACACTTATTGCCCATGTCCGCCAATTCCTTGGGTACGACCCGCGCGCCGTTCGTCTCAAGGCCGATAGTCCGTTCCACAGCCCAATCATGAAGCCTGCTGTCGCTGTGATGCGCCAGCTCCTGGAAGAGCCAAGCAAGGTCAAAGGTCGCGAGAACGAGGACATGATAACATTCCCCGGGCAGTTACCGATTGTGAGCAACGTATCTGCGCGACCAGTCTGTTGCGAAAAGGAGCTCAAGGACTTGCTGGCTCGCGGCTGTCTGGACACAGTCCGCTGGTGGGACAGCATCAAGTACCTTGATCAGGAGGCGCGGATACGGCGGTGGGTGGGCGTTGGACCAGGTAAAGTCGGTCGTAACCTTGTAGGCAAAGAAGTTGGTATGCGCGGCAAAGATTTGGTCAAGGGCGGAGGTGTATGGGCCATCACAGATCCATCAGATGTCGAAGAGGTTCTGAGAGGACTGGAAGATACTGCAGGTCTTATGGAAGATGACGAATATTCAGAGTAACGCCAAAAGTGTGCTCTGATTTGAAGTTTAAAGGGAGATGACATGAGCTTAAAGCGCTTTATTCCATGGGAATTATGGGAATTATGGGAATTATGGGAAACTACCCACTACCTACGTATCATGAGTTGGAATATACACTAATAGGGGGTTAACTTTGCATAGGGGGTAAGCAGGTTATGGGTTAGGATTGGATAGTTTTGATAAGTTTTGAATAGCATTGACGGCATTCATTCTTGGGAATTATAGTCACATACTTGACTTGGGGTTCAGTTAAGCTTATACCGACGTGTACGGACAATGGATTCTGTGTTAATGGCCGGTTTCAGACAATCGAGCTAAAGAGAGACATTCCAGCCTCCAGCCTCCAACCGCCTTCATCATACTCAGACTACGAATGATAAATAAAACAGATATTTCCGACATTTGAAACGTAGTATTTCCTTTCACTTTGTCACAATCTCTGGTCTATTTCTAACCCCCTCAAAAACAAATCACAACATAACTCATCATGTTGACCCTGGAAGTAGGAGGTGGGGATTACAAGTTAAGGTTGCCTACAGGCACCAAGCGAGCATGGAGGCTCCCACTAAGCCGAGCATCCTCTTTCAACCTCCACCTTCGTCAACAAGCTGTTATAACCATGTCCACCGCGATACCCTCAATCGCCTGCTTAGGCGTCATCGGCAGAAATGTGAGTATTGTGTCTGTACTGCTGTGTATTTGTTCCTCTGAATACGCTCCTTACTAACACTTCGCCTTTCCAGAATAACCCCCTCCACATCTCCATCTTCCCCTCGCTCGATCCAGTGACAAACACATTCGCTCCGATCCGCACACCTCTGCAGTTCTCCCTCCTGCTATCCTCCACCATCGATGTTTTCGACCTGCGCGCAAAGAATAACGCCGTCTCGGGCGTAGGCCTCTCGGGCGACTTTGGCCTGCTGCACGCTGTCGACGACCGCCTCGCCGCCTACGGCTTCGAGACCAACACAGGTGTCCGCATGGTCTGTCTTGTCGACATGCGCGGTCGGCGCGTAGATGGCAACGCTCCATTAGTTGCTAGTAGAGGCTCTGCTGCGGGCCTGCGCGACGCCGAGCTCAAGCCTGTGTTCCGCGCGATGCAGCAGGCATATGTCAAGTTACTGCAGAACCCGTTTTATGACCCCGACGAGCATGCGCCGCTGGGTGGCAGAGGGGGTAAAAAAATCACGAGTCGAAAGTTTGCCGAAGACATGAAGCGGATAGGCGAGGGCTGGACACCAGGCGTGACGAGTCTCTGAGCTGCACAGGAAGGAAACAGTGTAGTACTAAATCAAGATACAGGTGCATGGCGTTTTGGAGTATGGCATAACGGGATATCCCGTCATAGACTAGCTAGATCCTGCCCTCAAGTGGGCAAATGATTATTTGACGAAATGACTTGTGTCTGTTTGGTTTGCAAGTTGCTGTATGCAAACGCGCATGTGTGCTCGCTTCCCAGCCACTATCCAAAGGGGGTAATGCTTCTCTACATACTCTTCTCGTTCTTCTTCAAATCCTCCACCCTCCACTTCGACAGTCCAGCCAACTCATCAACCTCCAGACTCTGGCCCATGCCCTCATCCTTGGTCAATCGGCTTGCACCAATCTGGTGTTGAATGCGCTGTGAGATTGCACCACCCTCCCAATGCCTTGCCTCAACGGGCAGTGGTTGCCACCATTCTCCTGTCCTAGCATGCCATTGTGCGCTGCACAGTTCCCACAGACGGGAGATTGCCCGCTTATATGCGAAACGCTCGTCTTCTCCGGTAAAGGCGCTGGTGTTTGCGAAATCGACTGGTTTCGTTTGTATTCCAAAGTCGGAGTCCTGGTCTGGATCGTATGATGCAGTGCTATTCTTCGTGTCGTAGTATGCCACATTGGGTCGGAATGGAGCCATCTGATCTTGGTACACTTCGGCAATAGTTTCGGAAATGAGATCATCGGGCTCGTTGGGATTGTTTGACTTCCCGGCTGTGGTTGCCTTCTTCTTTGGAAAGAACAGAGTATCCGGTGGGTTCTGGGCCCTGATGATCAGTTTGCAACGGGCTTCGTAGAGCGCATCCAGGAGCGTGATGAACCGTCGAGCCTCGTTCTTCTTTGCGTGCGTAAGAATGGGAACATTATCGATAATGAAGGTATGATAGGTAGAGGCCATCGTGATATAATCAGCTGGGCCAAATGTTTCGACGAGCTTCTCAAAATCCCAGAAAACATACCCGTTGTAATGACGAGGCGTGTGGACCTTTCGCCCATACACCACGACGGTTGATGGCTCCCACGGTAGTGGCTGAGGGCCTTTCCATGTAAGAGCAGTCTCTATTCGCTCTCGCCATGGATCCTGCTCATCTGTTGACAGGTAATAATTGACCGGCTTCTTCGTTATCCTTTCGGGCTCTTCTTGAGTGATGACTTCTTCCACCATGGGTTCACCCTCAACGGCTTCTCCAGTCATAACAGAAGGACTGTGTGTTTCTTCCTTTCTTCGCCAATCTGTAGCGCCTTCCATTTGCCAAAAGTCGCATCTAGCCTTTAGAACTTCGAGGAAGTTTGCAAAGTCGCTAGTTGAGCCATACAGCTCGCCTTGGGCACGCATTGCACCACCGAAAAACTTGCGAATCAACCCCTTTGTTGGGGCGGGTGTGTAGTCGACGCCAATAGCATTCTGAAGCTCTTCCGGCATGCGGTTTGAAGATGCGATGAGGACGCCGCCCATCTGGAAGAAGGCGATGAAGAGATGGCTGAGGATCTTGCTGGCTGCTTTATCGGGCAACTGGAACTCGTCGAGGAACAGAATGGGCGACTCGTCGACCAGCTTCTTGGCCATCCACAAGATAGAGTAATCGGTTTCAGTCTCTGTTGCTCTGAAGTTTGCTTTTCGGTGATGCTCGAGCTGGGAGATGGTATAGAGCATAAACGTATTGAAGTGCCATCTCCGCTTCCGTTCAGTTGGCAGACCATCAGCAAGTAAGTCGAGAAGCATTGACTTTCCAGTGCCTACTTCTCCTGAAAGGAATAAACCCTTGGGCGAGTCTATTTCAATCGCCGACTCATGGTTCATCAGTACCCTAGTCAAGGCGAGACTCTCTTTCCCTTCAGGCGTTGCGAGGAGGTGTTCGAACAGCGGATTTCGCCATATAGAGTGATTGCGCAAGGCAAGAATATTGCCCTTGTCCTCGTCATCTTCCTTGGGCTCCTTCTCAGTCAAACGGGCGACCTGTTTCAAACGTTGGCGATACTCAGCTTGAGGCGAATAGTCCTTGATGCGAAGATATATCTTATGTAAGTGCCTGGCAAGTCGATGCTGAGACGGATCCGGGGCGTAAAGACCAGCGGCTACATGAGTTTGATACTTGACGAGGGGATCTGTGATGATCACCGCGGTCGAAAATCGTCTCATTTTCAACCCGTTTTTTTTTATGGTAACTCTCTTTGCTGGTGAGTCAATTAGAGATGAATTTAACCTTAGTAGTGTGTTAGACGTAGGGTAGACATTGATCGAAATCTTGCCTGACCGCGTGGTACAGAATAAGGATGATTCAAGCAATGTTGGGGTGAATGAGAGTCAATTGGAAAGTAATTCAGTTTTCTGACAATTGCATGTTGGAGTTGATATGATAGTAGTTGGCCATTGAGTTTTGAGTGGCGATCGGTTCCATGTCGCGATCTACTCATCGAGCCGGCCGTTATCAGATCGTGAGCGAGTCACACGCATCATCGACTTATGTAAGTCGGCATATAAAATTAACGCCTAGGAATACTGCAAACGAGAACTAATTGAAGAACTCATTTTACACATTTAAAATGAAAGCCTGACTAGACACTACCTAAAAACAAAAAGAACTCTAGGTCGTTGTAACTACCTTATCATAACGGTACATAGGAGGTGAATTCATCTCTCATCGTTAGATCGATATATGTATCGAAATGCTGAATATACCTGACCACAGACCATTGTCTCAACCCCAGCTCTCACTAAGGCAAGGTACCACGAGCCCAAAGATACCTCAAACGGAGGCTCTGTCTTGAGCTGTCTGCATGCGATCTTCAGTGGGGCGAATGCCTCTAGAGGCTGAACATGAAGGCTCTGGTTGGTGCATGCGTGCTGAGCAACTGAAGCTTTCAAGGGGTTGCAAGACAATGCCAGCTCAGCACAGCAGCTCTAGCCTCTAGCAACCTCAAAAAAAGGCACCAGCACATTTTGAGCCAACCACAACGCGCCAAACACACCCGCAGCTAGGTGACCCAGCGACCTACTTCGTTGTTCGATTGGCTCCTGATGCACGCTTCGTCACTGCTCTCTACAGGCTTCGACCAGCACCAGCCCAGTTTTCTCTTCATTGGATCCAACCCAACCCATCCCATCCCGTCCATCACCTCAAAAAAGTCACCGCTCACACTCTTCCATTCACGTCAACGATCCATCACGATCTTCGTCACGTTTACGCCGCAAAATGCCTCTATGAACACGCGGCTGATTCCATCGCCATCTTATCCCGACACGCCCTATTTCGCGACCTCCTTCTCTTTTTCACATACAACAACAACCATCGATATCGACTACTAAGTTTGCGATCCGCCCAAAATGTTTTCTCCGCCCGTCGCCCAAGGCGGCCCAGCAACGGCGACTCGTTCACGACGTCGCCAACGCCCCGTGAGCTCCGAACGTGCTACTCAGCAGCCCAAAGCCAAGAGACAGAGGCTTCCTTTGACCGAGCAAACTTTTGTCAATCCTGATGCCCAGCAGGATATGATCGAGGTCAAGACTGATGGCAAGGTCGCGACTTTACCAGTCAAAAACAAAAACACCGAGCCACCTGAGACTCTGAGCCCCGTCTTGCGCAAGGAATTGAACGTCCGCGCAAAGAAGGCAAAGCATGGCGACCGTGCCGCTAACAAAGGTGACGGAAGTCTTGTTTTGGTACGAATTGATGATACTCCCGTGCACCAGTGATGTCGCATACTAATTATGTTCATGTTCAGACAAGCACGAACGCATACACAGTCAGCAAGCTTCCAGCTCTACCTGACAGAATTCGAACCGACTGGTCGGGTAAGTCCACCACCACACTTTAGCTACTCAACAGTCCGCTCACTTTCATCGTCACAGCGTACCAAACCGCCGATATCTTCTCCACAGGATATGCACTATCCCTAACACAAACCCATGCCCTCGTTTGGCCCTACGCTTCGACATCGCAATCACCCGAAACATTCTCCTTTACCCTCCCCTCAACATCTAGACCGAACGACGCTCTTCCCGTAGGATGCCTTGTATCGCCGTCCGCATCATCAGCAGAGCCTGGCCTGGTTGTGGTTATGGGAGGAAGCGGAAAAGTCGTATACTGGGAGTCTATCGCGAGTGCGGCCACATTTGTCTTCATGAAGAAGGACCGTACTGGTGTCGAGTATGCCATTTCGGGAATGCAGTCTGGGGAAAAGGTCGTGGCTATTACCAATGCTGAATCCGCCGGGTTTATTCTCACCTTCAACTCTGGACGTCTTGCATACATGAATGTGCGCGACAGTCAAGGCAGGCCCGCTATATCGGTGCAATTTTTGCGCAACAGCCTGTCGCCCCCTGCAGGTGGTATCTTTGGCAGCATTCGACATGCCTTTCAACATCTATCCCTCAAAGGAGATGTTGCAGCTGTCCGAGCCGATAGGTCCGCACGAACAGGCGAGAGGAATGTCGTGGCCCTCACAGGCAAAGGACGACTTCATGCTTGGAGGGTTCATCGCGGAGGTCATAACGAGATTATTGGTGATGCAGACGTGCGTGAAAATATCATTGCTGCGCTCCAAGAGACCGATCCCGTATCTCAAGAATACCCCGAGGAATCTTTCGAGGCGATTGACTTCACCTACGTCCCCAAGGGCCTGGAATCGAAATATCTGGAGTTGAGCAGACTCAGCGAGGCTATGGCCACCGATAATTCCTCGGTGCAACACCTGCTGCTCCTAGTCAGCTTGACCTTGCGAAGCACTTCCCGCTATGCTTTAGTTGAAGCCATTCTGACACCTCAAGAATGTCGTATCGGCATGATCCGCCCCATAACCTCATACAGTGCCCCTTTCTCGTCTCAATTATCCGAAACACCTCGACCACGTCTATATCTCCCTCGCCCAGCTTTGGTTGCGTTCGTTGTCTTTGACCGCGCAGCAGTTATTGCATCGATTGCCGTTCCTCCCCAATCTCCCGAATCGCAGCTCCAAATCGACAGTCACATTCTGCCGGCCGCCTATGAAGACGTTGTCGATTTCCGTGAAGATGATGTCCACGAGATCATTGGCTCTGGATTTGAGGAAATGGCACCTGTCTCTAACCACGAGGAGCATCGACCGCACCGACCCAAGACAAAGAACCCAGCCGTGGTTCTTATGGTTCGGGGGGCCGGTGCGGTGCGCATCGTGACAACTGACGTGGACAAGTTCGCTAGCGATCAGCCACCAAAGGTTTCCGCGAAGAGCAAGATCGAGCAGGCTGTTTTCTTTGGTGCGAAACAAGACAATCCCCTGATTTTTGACGGCCGACAGGAAATCAAGTTTTCAAATGAAGAAGTCGCCCAAGCTGCACTTGAGGTCAGTCACGAGATCTTGAGTTCAAGCACTCCCTTTATCTCGACCCTCCCGGCTTCATTGGAGGATAATCTACGAGCCCGATCAAATGCCCTGGAGAGGTTGATAACCCAGCTCAGAATAATTGGGGCAGATCTTGACCGTAAGACGCGGTGGAGTCTGTTGTACAACGCCGAGAAGATGCACGTGGCTACCATGCTCTGGAAGCGACATGAGGCCTTTACGGCAGCACGACCTGCAAATGACAAGAAGAGTCTAATTGGTACAATCGTCGAGTTTATTCACCAAGACCAGAAGCACAACCCTGTTGCTAAGATTGGCGAGGTTGATCGAGTCCGACACTGGTTTATCAATGACGTCTTCCGTCTCGAACTGTTCGTCGCCTGGGCGTATGAAGTTATCAAGACTTTGTACAAGGACCAGTTGCTTGACGATGCCAAGGTCAATGTTATGATTTACGAAGCTATTCAAGTCAACACTTGTACACATGCATCAGCTCTTGAATTCCGGAAGAACAATCTCAGCTCTTACGGCCTTGGCTTCGAGGAACTGCGCATGGGAATCCTCCGTGATGGATATGAAGATCTCCCCGAACCTTGGACTAGTTCCCAGTACGTTGCAAACAACGCCAAACGCCTCGTCGATCTCTCGGATCAATGGGTTCTGAAGAACCATGATGCCGGGGACTCGACCAAATCGTCTAATCAGCCCGATCCCAAGGTCGTCTCCAAGATTTTTGAGGAACTACCGGCTCTTATTGATGGGATGCTCACTTCAGTCCTGGAATATGCCCGTTGGTCATCAACGCAACCTGACCAGAAGACCATGTCGCAACATTTCGCAAAGGTGTATGCGACAGATCGATTTGAAAAGCCTCTCGCTCTGGCACGTTCAGGCAAGTGGGAAGAAGGCGCATCAATTGCTGAGAAGCACGAATGTCTCCGTGCCCTATCCGTCATTTTGCTGGACCATATCCAGGCACTTGAAGATCGCCTTGCCGAGCCTGGACTTTCTCCCACTGAAACGCAGAATCTTCAACGGCTCAGGGATAACAAGAAGGCCAAGCTTGAGAACAGTTTCACGACTTATGGACAGGCTTTCGCGTTCCCCGCTTACGAGTTCCTGCTTCAAAAACACGGAGTCGAAAATGTCTTGGAATTTGACCTCGATAAGCACAGTTACAAGACTCAATTCCTTCGTAGCAAGCCTGAACTGGCACGAATCTCGTGGATCAACGATGTGCAGCAGGAGAAGGACGTCGGTCATAGTGCCGAGACGCTTGTGACTCTTGCGCTTACCAAGGAGCAACAGGTGTGGAACAAAAAGATCGAGCTGAGTCTAGGAAAACTCGCTCTCCTTGCCGAACTTGAAGAGAAAGCCACCACAGCGGGCGGTCTTAAGGTTAACGCTGATGAGGCACGTACCGAGGAACAGCTCAAGAAGGTCGATCGAGAATTGGTTTCGATCAGGATTCAAGATCAATTATACCACCAAGTTCTTCCCAGCACCTACGAAGCTGTGGATGAAGCAGCTGCACTTAACTTCGCGATGGAGGTCCACAGCATGAACATCCCCCGACGTCAAAAGGCTCAACACCAGATCTTCGAGGATGGAATGAAGCGACTTCTTAAGCATGAGGCTCTGGATGCTATGACACTTATTGACCTGCTCACCTTGATTTACCTCAAGCCTGAGTCGCGAGCCGAGATCCCTAATCCATTTTGGCTTGCTCTCTTGGTTGCTGAGAGTAGCTGCCATAGTGACGAGGTTAAGGAGGCTAAGCGAATGATCTGGAGGAGGCTATTCATCCGCGATGATTGGGCCAGAATCAACGACACGCAGCTAAAGGATGATCGCGAAGTTGTTGAGAGACTCGCAGACACAGAACTCTATGCCATGCTCACCGACTGCATCAGCTTTCGTAAGTCTAGCCATTGTTTCTGTTTGGAAAAGATTCATACTGACCTGAACCTAGAAAATCCACGAGAGCCTTTCCGGCCCTTGTCTCCCCACGAGGCCCTGGGTGCTTTTACTGAAAACCTAGATCGCAGGTTCCGTGATTTTGAGTCGTCTTTCCGGACGAAGCTGATCGAAATCATGAAGCATGAGGACAAGATTCTTCACCAGTTTGTCGAGAAGAACCGCCTCGGCGAGTGGCTTCGCACCACTCTTGAAGCCGCTCGAGCAGAGTTGGATAACACTATGGACAACGTCACTAAGAATGCTGCTGTCAATGATGTTGTCGAACCCCACAACCCCTTCGCTGGCTCCATATTTGACGATGGGAAGCCACCTGCAGTGAATCCCATCGGGCGAATCTAGGTGACTCGTTAAAGCTGGTACTTCACCCCTTGCTTTGCTTTCCAACAATTATTTTACGTGTACAATACAACACTACATGGCACCGCACTACGATGTGAGCTGCTATCATGCCATCGCCATGGCATACACAAACCCGAATTACGTCGATACAAATACAAAGTAACACGCATGCATGCATAACAAGAAAAAAAGGGGGCTATATTGGATTGGTTTGGGAGATGAACCCGGTCATGGTTTTTCTGCGTTATGGGAACCGCATGTTATGCTGCCTAGTTTCTCCTTTCTGTTTAAACATTGTCTCTCATATTTGAGTCTTGTGCATAGTTTTCCTCATCTTATAGAGATGAGAGTAGGGGGTTAGTTGGTAGTCTGGCTCCGTCCTAAAAGCGCGCCGGAGTTGGATTGTCCTTATGTTAATAAAGACTTCTTAGGCATGCAGCTCCTTGCATGCTATTCATGTACACATCTACTTCCCGTCTCACTGTTGTTATTACAATGCCAGCCATGTCTTGTCACATCAAATTACCAATTGCAGTCAGTCATCTGGATAAGTTTGGGTTGCAGTGTTGATTCATTCCGGCATCATGTACATAATCCATACGCCACATCATAACCCCGGCACCTGATTTCATATTTGATCGTGTCCGACATCACTCCTTTTGACCCTTGAGAACATAACGTGTGGGAAGAGGCAACTGCTGGCGACGCCTAATCCAAAACCCGAAACCTGTATCCATCGCCAAGACTACGCAGCTCAAAAAGGAAGCCGTTCATTCGTTTGCAGCATGGACCCAGCTGCGCAGCCAAGACAGAACACCGCCAAGATACACATAACTGCCCAGTGGCCACAAAAACCAAGGAAATTGTTGGCGTGGTCCGGGCAGAATCGAGAGGGAGAAAGAAAGGTGGGGTTTCTTAACCCTGCATCTTTCTTCGCTTGCCGACCTGGGCAGAGAAACCAGTCTTGATAGCGGTAACACTTCGTCGAGAACCACAGTTGTTGCAGGTAATGAAGTACAGACGGTTCTCACCCTTGTTGAGCTCGGTGTCAGGAGATTTGCAGGTCTTGCAAGTGACATACTCGACTAAGAAAAACTTGGTTAGAGAGCACATTTACGCCGGGAATGGGCTATCCAGAACTTACTGATGTATTTTCGGACGACGTTTTCAATTTGCTTTTGCTGGAAACGACCCTTGATGACCAGTCTTCGGCTACCGTCTACGGAACCACTGGTACCCAACTCAGCGAACAAGTAAGCAGTGACGTGCTCCTCAGTTCTCTTCATGCGCTTGCAGATATCGGCAATGTTGGCGAAGACAGTCTTTCGGTTGCCTTCTCGCATACACTGAGGAGGGGGAATCTTGTAGCTCTTTGTTCCGGGGGAAACGTGGTCGGGGTTCCTCTCAGTGAGTTGGTTGAAGAAACGTCCGAGGAGCATACTGTAGCCAATGGTCTTGGTCTCATCGTGGGCCCAGATACCGGTTCCTTCATGCATGTCACCCTCTTGCTCTTGAGGAACCTCCTCAACCTCATCGCCTTCCTTGAGCTCGAGCTTCTCAAGCTGCTTGGTGAAGTCGTCCTCCTTAGGAGCCTTGACCTTCTTCTTCTTCTTCTTGAGGGTCAGGTCGAGACCTCCATCCTCGGCGGGGGTAGCATCGTCGGCAGGAGCTACGTCGGCATCGGCGTCGGCATCGGCATCTGCGTCGTCGACCTTCTTGGACTTCTTCTTCTTCTTCTTAAGCAGGGAAAGGTCGAGGGCACCGTCCTCAGGTGCGGGGACTTCCTCAGTGGCTGTCGTTTGCGAGTCAGTAAAGGACTCAAGGGCGGCAGAAAGCGGCGGCGTACGAGGCGTGTGGGACTGAGCCGAGTCCTTGGGTTCTTCGGTAGCGTTGACCATGGTCACGGAACCGTCAGCGTCGACTACTACTTGTTCGTCGGTAAAAGCAACGGATTTGCGAGATTTGCGTTCGGTTGGTGCCTGTAAATGAAGGAAAAGAAAGATAAGTACGTTAGTAGAGAATTCGATTGAGGGAGGTGAAATGGGTTTGCGGTCGTGGAAGATGACTGGTGATGGTCAAGGTGGCGGTTGGGAAAATGTGAGTCAAAGGCCCAAAAGGTGAAATAATCGAATGGAGGTCAAATCGCCTGTTCTCCCCCCCAGAAAGTGGTGTAGGATAGTACAGAGGTACTTTCACACCACAGAGTAATAGTGGGGTAAAAAGCGACATTGTGAAGCATGATAGGTTCGTTGATAGGGTGTTGGAGGGTTATGGAGGGGTAAAAGATTGGGCCTGTGCGGTTCAGAGGGTACAAAAGACACTGCCATGAGAGCCTGGCACGAGCAATTTGAGGTTCAAAGTCAGGACGCCTTATGCGTGATGTAGTAGCAGGTAGGTCGTATTTTGTATATCAGGGCTTTCAGGCATGGTCGATAGGAGTGTATGGGTGTTGTGTTGCAGACTAATCACTCACCTCGCCCTCCATGATCGTTGGGACTGTCTCTTGGCCTGCTACTTTGGCGCGCAGTTATTGTACCGGGGGATTTTTTTTTGGGAACTGGATGTGGGTGTCTCAAACGAGCTTCTTCGTATAAGGTTGTGAAAAGCTTCCCTCGTTCAAGGTTCCTCGCGCAACTGTCGTAGAGGATTTTTTTCTAATCGCTGATTTTTCGCGCAATGTCGGTCTGTTTCTTCTGATGGTTTCTGTTGCGGGTTTACAAGGCAGAAGAGAAAGATGCTGGTTCCCAAACGTCATGGGCCGGAGGATCGATACCTGAGTCAACCGCAGGCGCAAGCGGACCCCAGGTTGCCTCACGATAACAAGTCACGCGCTGCATCACGTGAACTTCTGTACAGACCGCCATGACCAATCAGCTGTGAATGTTGGCATAGCTTCCCCCAGTTCTTGTCGGAATATAGCTCCGGGCCCCGATGTGCGGCTACGGTTCTGACGATGGTGACAAGCATCACCTCGGTCAATATTCAGTTGCCAATTGTCGCAATCCAAAGTAATTTTGTGTCGCAGGAAAATCAACTCGGTCATTTCTATTTCTACCCAAAACTTGAGATTTCCTGCTCCATGCATAGAAGCTCTCCCAGCTAGGCTGCTTCACTTGCCAGGTTGTTGTCTCGACCGAAGCAACCCGTGATCTCAACACTGCCATCATCCATTCTCTCGCTCCGAGCACGGTCTCAACGAATTCTACTATTCGACTCTATTACAGCGCGCCTACTTAATACCTTGCTTACTGCCCGAACATCCGACCGTCAACATGGCCGCCGACTCTTCTCTCGTCGATCTCCATGATGCTTCCATGTCGGACGACAAGGACGACATCGATTCTCTACCCTCCATTTCTACCGACGACATTTACTCCGATACTTCCGATTCAGACGCGCAAGCCGAGTGGGAGCGCAGTCTCGAGCAGCTACAACTCATAATGACGATGATGATTGTTCCTTGGATGGGCAAATACTTTGGTCGCAAGTTTGCATACTGGAGTGAGTCTCCCGAACCTGTCTTTGACTGGCTGACGACAAGGTTTCTAACTATTCGCTATCTAGGCTGGTCACGGTACATGGAGTGGGCACATAACGTCGACGTTCGAATGACAAATAAGACGGCGTTCAAGGCAGCGGGTGTTGTGGAGACAGCCGCGACGTTATAACGACATGCATTGAGAATGAAGAGTGATTTAAGGGTACGGAGTAGATACATGTTTAACGTTTCGTCTAGGAACCTCGCGTGGCTAAATTTAAAAAGGTGTTGGGTAATGCATATTCGCATATTTTGCAATAGATGATACAAATCTCAGGTTCATATAGTTAGTGTCCTTGCATATATGCTTGTATTGAAAGCCTGAATTACTACATAATAATCGTTATCCTTGTCCAACTCCTGTGCTGAACATACGTCTCTTTCTTCTCTCATACATACAATTAATACATTCAAACATTCTTGGTATAAAAATTCCACACCTAAAAGGATTCTCTTGCCCTGATATGGCTCGATCCTTATCCTCACGAAACTGTCGTGCCTTTCCGATACCTTCGTGTAACGTTCTGTCCAAAACGGCCAACCTAGTGCTCCTACCTTGGCCCTGAGTGGCCATACTGCTTGCGCTTGTAGGGCTCGGCCAAACAACCAGCATGATCATGTTCGGCGCACCGTTCATGCAGCCAAGGGCTGTATTGTGATGTGATCTCTCGATGCTTGTGTCACTCATCAGACACTGGATGAAATCTGGGACATTGATGGTCTCGAAGCTGCGCTGCGCAGAGAGCCAAAAGTATTACGCGCGTTTCGAATGGTTATGAACAAGCTTCCAGATACGCAAGCGAACAGGAACCATACGAAGACGGTGCTCGCCTGTAGCCGACGACAACGTCCCTCGTCGCTTGCTGAGCCCCATGCGATCCAGTCCGATGGTAGAGCTTTCGGGTTGATCTCTCCACAGTTGACGACACGCAGCTTGGCAGCAAGAACAATGGCGCCGATGAAAGTGAAGAGAACAGCTAAACCGTCCAGGGGTAACTGCATGAGCGGTTTGTCGAGGGCAGAGACGAAGAAAGAGAGAAGGCCGATGATGCAAACGATCCAACAGATAATTGCAACAAACATGATGAAGTTGACAGCGGCAGTTGCGGAGCCTGCAGCGTCAATGTTGGATGCAACAACGCTGCCGGTAAGAGCCGTTAGGAGGAGCGTCATGAGCAGCGCGGTGCTACGCAGGACCATCTGGATGAGGTTGTAACGCATGATGGGCAACTGATGTTGAGTATCAGAGCTATACTATGGTGGAGTTGAATGGGCCGTAGTAGCACAGTAATTGTGACACTACGTGAGGATTGGTGAAGCCACTGCGTTATGGCTGTGCAGGCAGACAGAGAGGGAATTTGTTCAATGGGTATCTGTTAGTCTGACAGATCGATCGACTGAAGGGTCAAGCTATTGTTGATCGATAGCAAAGCTGGAGCAATGCGGGGGGTTGACGATATCTGGCTACCGTTGTAAGGGTGCGATATTTGGTGGAGGATGCATGTGGAGTTTGAATCGATGTGAAAATGGTTGGGATTGTCCTCGAGACGCTGGTGATGGGGGCATGGCTGGTTATCACCTCATCTGTCATTGCGCGTCGCCATTGCCCAAGCAACCATCTTAAGCTCAAGCCCAAACCAGGGTCGCTGTTGCGGTTTGCGGTTTACAGTAGGTAGGTTTGCAGTTTGCAGTTACAGTGGAGGGGCCACTTCTGCGGCGCATGCAGAGTCAAGGTATCAAGCGGGTGTGACTGGCCAATCATAATGGCCGAGAATACATTTCTAGCATTCCATAACCGCTACAGAATTACATAAAGATCAGCAACACAAAAGCAACTTTATTAATACTGGCCATCGATGTTGATACAGTGTTTGAGGCTCTATTTCTAATTGCATCTGCGTGCTCTGTCAACGGATGATGTTTCACGAAGCGCTCATAACCAGACTATCACTTTATTCTTGATCCTTTATAGGCACCTAATTAGCCTGATGCGCCTATGCTGCGCCACAAAATGCTACTGATAATGATAATGGTTGGCTGGTGGACGATGATCCAGATGGGACCCTACCCGTGTGCCTGATCGTACAGGTACCGAACAATTTAGCTATTAGTCCAGCCTGGGCAGCGGCTACATACAGCAATGGACTTGCTTTGGCTGCTTGGCATTTACATCAGTAGGTGCAGCAGCTTCCTAGAGGAAATTGCTGTTTCTTTAGCTGTATTCCATTCGTTCATGATATCAGGTCCAATAAGCTAGGGTGCGTTTGATGGATCTGAACCGCTTCACACTTTGTGGCTTGTGTCTACGCATCTATTACCCCAGGAGGCTCTAGCACGTAGCCCATGGATGCGGCGGCAGCTGCAGACAAGGGTCCTTCCGCCCCTCCTTCTTTCCATCAGTCTTGCCAATCACTGGATAGATCGCCGCCTTGCTTTCTTCAACTCCATACAACATTATCATTCACATACCAGCCGTCATCTACTAGAGCTTCATAAGCCTTCTGCCAACCAAAGGCTTAAACAAGGTTTCATCAAACCCCCGCCATGAGTCAACCATTCACCGCCCTTTCATTGACACCGTCACGCAAAGCCATCTAATTAAATCTCACTCTGGGCAGAAAAGGCATATGTCTATTCAACTGCCGTACGCCATAGGATATCCTATCCATCCTCTCGGGACCATCAAGCCTTCTACGGATGGTCTACATAGTTCCCTGTTAGAACCCAGTGGCGCTTTTGCATTTCAAGCCAGCTGGTTCGAGAATATCCGCGGAATGGACGCGCCATTACCAGGGATCCCGATCACAAAGCTTTACTGGCATTTTCTCCTCCTGAACCGCTGTTCCAAACCTTTTCGAGAACCAAACGTCACTCGTTTTACCCTAAGACACGCGCTTATTTCAGAAAAGGTTCGCCACAACATCTCCGACGGCACCGCATGCTTCTGCCGTCATGTCGCAACGCGGCGCGCAGATCTACTCAACAGATCGTGGCCCCCGATAATTGACGGCAATCTCAAGACAGAGGCCAAGATGCTGGCCGTGAAGGGTTACCTGGAAGACATGTTGGTAGCTAGCTGACCTGACAGCCCCACGATCCCCTTCAACTCACTAGCAACCTCAACTACACCATTCCATCAGATCCACAGGAAGTATCCGTAGGAGGGCCTCGTATCCCTTCCTCGCTGACAAGTTGCAGCCCCAATGCAGACCTCACCGCCACTATGATTGGTTAAAATTATCCTTGTTATAGCTGTCAATTGCATCTCGGGACAGGGATTGCTGGATAGATCCGCTGTCAGTGTCTGTGACGAAAGAGCTGCAGTAAATTATCAGTCTGAGCATTCTGGTCTTACAAAAATCGCATTTTGCTAGCATCGTCAATAATCGACCTCAATCCTCACCGCTTCGATTGACTCAGTAGAAGTGCTCCCACGTACCGAGCCACTGGTTCCTCCACAAACTCTATTCATGGTTCTCCTTGGCAAAATCACAACGGATGACGGCAGAATTGCCGACACAGCAAATTCTTCCACGCTCGGGTCTTTGCTTTCAAGGCCTCAGGATATTCGAATGTTCATCTCTACCAGATTGGGATTAAACATGCGGACCGCGAGGAGCCGTCTACAATCGATATTACCCCTTTCTCTAGGCCTCCTATGGTAGAGTATGCTGTTGCCGCGCTTCCATAAACCTGATGTACCCGATACTTAGGCGTTCTGGGGCAACGCCCTTCGTCAGAGGTGTGGAGCAGAATAACGTTTGCTTGGTGCAAGGCTACTGTTCTTCTCACTCTCACCGTCTAATCTTTCGCACCACCCTGAATACCAGATGGTTGGCCTTGCCCCTTCGGGTAGCACACGTTGCTTCTTCCGGAAATCTTCTGGAAGCTCCATAGGCTTCTAACCCGGCTGCTCAACGCGACATGCTTTTGCACGCCTCTCCAAGGGTTTTAGAGTTTCAAAGCCTCAACTTACCGACTTCCTGGACTGCCAAAAGGGCCCGTCAATGAAAATGGCACAAGGGCGCCAATTCCAAGACACCATTCTCTTTGATACCGTTCCGCTGCGGTAAAGCAGGCGTCATACTCAGGACAACGGGCGAGATGACCATGGCACAGTGACAGCAAGATGATCCAACGTTCGAAGCTAGGTATCTTTGTCAAGCCTCGGACCACGATGCCTTTTAGCTGTTGGAAGATGCCGTTCATTACCGTTTTTCAATTATCTTGAGATAGGACGGAAAATAGACTCCTGGTGCAGTCAGACGAGCAACAGTTGAGATTTTCGCGCTGGCGACACTGTCTGCTCTGATTAGCCTTACGTACGGACTTTGCCATCAACGAGCCTCCGCGATGTTGAAGACACTCACCTGCTGTGGCCACCCAGAAACATGCAGTAGAGCGTTCAACGCTGGAAGCTGCTAAAGAACGCCATTTGGTTCCCGAAGAGAAGTCGGTCACATTGAGCATCGTGATAACCAAGCTTACCTTTCCCACCTGATGGTATCTCTTCGGTATTAGGTCTACTGATAGTTTGAAGATAGAGTTTCTTGGTAGACGCCTATAACGTCCTCTATCCAGTCCTGGGATGATTAACAAGCGGCCGCCGTCCTGTTAGGGACAACTGTACTACCGCGAGGAGCATCAGCGGCTCCGATCCAAACTCTATTTGTCGTAATTCGACCTAGACAGGACGAGGAGATGGTTGCTGGACCTCACGCTATTCCCCGACTTGTCTCCGTTCTTAGACGGTCCTGCCCTAAAAGAAAACCCGCATCTCTATAGCCTCTAATCTCTTTGTGATGATGAGTTCTGAAAAAGGCAATATTGTGGCGCGACGTTATTGAAGTCGGCGTTATGTTCAGAGCTAGGCGCTTCCTTCTGGCTAGGATCTGATACTATGTCAAGGCCTTCGATGTTGATCTTGATAAATCGCCAAGCCTCGGCTCACGAGGACGAAGCAATGCCGTTCACGAGAAAATTGCCTTGCACAGCCACGCGCCGAATTCTACATGGCCTGTGTTCAGAGCTAGGAGATGCGGAGGATGCGGAGGATGCAGGCCGTTTTGTGGCTGTACAAATGTCCGCCAACGGACCATGATCATCACGAAGCGTCAAACTTGCTCATAATTGCGGACGTTTCAGACGTTCGGATCAACCCAACGGCTTGGGAAGTGAAGTGGGGATAGACGTCGGCCCCGGGATCAACACGGGGCGGCAGAAGTTATAACGGGCGGGCGGGCGCTGCTGCCGCTTCCACTACCGCTACCGCTACCGCTACCCTGGCCTACCGATGAATAATTAGCTTCGGCCACGCTCGGGTTGCCTGAACAGTCCGACGAGGATCTGCACGAGAGCGTTGAATAGCCCTTAAAGAAAGTGACGTGCTTGCTTGACACATTCTTTCTTGCACACACTTTCTGACTTTCTACGTGAACGTATAGTATCCACACCACAATATCCGCTTGAGTGCTTGGGTCGTAGTCCAAGCCGGCCGCACGAAAACGCAGAATTTGGTGCACTGGCGGTGTTAGTGAGAAGCTATCGAGAGTTAGTGATAGGAGGACAAACTCAAAGACACAGCACCCAACAGCCGGCGGCCTGCATCATTATCACGAAAGCATGAACACGCACATATGTATCCAGTTGCTTATGCGTTAGCTAAAATTACCATCTTTTAATCGTTTGCTGTGTTATGGCGAAAGCCTACAGGAGCGTTCTTTACGCCTTGCATGGATATACACACAGTGGCATGCGGATATGTGGGCATGGTCAGGGAGAGCATATATCTCCTTGAAGGTCAGAAGGCTACAGTACGTATCTCTGACGTAACCGGACCAATTAAATAATCTTCCTACGACCGAGTATCCATATTGTCGGCGCGGAAAAGCTTCATATCCATTCTCACAGCAAAAACTGGGTCAAAGTACGTACTGTAGCCTTCTGACCTTCAAGGAGATATTATCACGTATTTTGCATTTCAGCACGGCTAATGTGTGTACTGGTTAGATATTCAACGTAATCTGACCAGGTTTCAAAAGAATTGCATCAGGAACAGATACTGGGAACAAATTAATGATGTATTCGTGTATTCGTAGATTGATTGCTCTATGGCCAGTGGTTTCCAAACCCCACCGAGAAACGCTATGTAGTATTTCTATAGTACATTGATGTTTGGACAAGAGAAACAGGAAAGGGCAAAAAAGTAAAATGCCAGGTCGAACGAAGAAGACAATGCAGCTCTAAGCTAAGACCGAGAGGTATCCATAAGCCATGACTCACAGGTGGAAAGAAAAGATAAGGTTGTAATTACAGAATAGAGCAACTTCCAGAGCCGCACATGACTAACTGACTGCCAGCAGCCAAAAAAAAAAAACAAAAAAAAAAGATCATGAACCGGGTAGAGATGCAGCATGGGAGAAGAAGGGAAGTCAACGAGTCAAGGACTAAGCTTGAAATGGCAAATTGGAGCAAATAAAACAGTCCCAGGCCTAGAGGGCCTGCATCCTCGCCAAAAGGTTTGAGACGATGCGACGCGGGGCTCCCACCATGAGTCAAGGTCTGCCGTTGGGGCCGTGACGGGAACAAGGACGGACGAAGAGGAATAAGCCGAGGTTGAACGCCACTGCAATGGTCTTCTGCAGCCCTGCAAGATATGACGAGATAGTTTGCATGAAGTGCAACAACTGCAAACGTTGTCGGAGATTGGAGCAAGACGGCAATGAATAGCGGGGCGCCATGCGAAAGGAACCCACTCAACTAACGGGCCACGGACTCAGGAACCGAACCGGGATCTTGGTGGCGGATCTTCCAGGGTACCTTTCCAAAGAGTGGAGTCGTCTAGTCATTCTCTTCCTCTTCTTCTTTGCTTCCACACTATTGTGGACATAGCATGACTTGACACAAGTCCTTAGGGCTGCCATGACTTGTAAAACGGTGCCATAGGAACACCTTATAGCAAGCCATGTTATCGGACCTTGTCGGGCAACTTGCTCCGAGGAAAGTTTCGTCAAATTTGATGGACCGCATTTGACACGAGTTCGTAAGTTTCAGCTTTCGATCCCCAGCAATGCGTCCATCAGGCTGGCCAGCGGGTAGTTATAAGTGAAGACGGATATGCGGATAAATATAGTCAGTTTTGGATAAGATTTGATAGCCCTTGTGGGCATAGACATGGGTATGGGTGTGGGTATGGTGGTGGTCGAGCATCAGGTCGTCGATGGCGAACAAGAAAAAAAGAAGAAAATTCGATCATTCTGCATTAAATGCCTTCTGCGCACGAAAGGCGATATATGCGCCCAAGTTTGTTTGTACAGCGAGTGGTGAGCGAAATAGAGAGTGTCCAACACATGTCGATGGAATCCTAGCGGGCGATCAAGCGTGGGTATTGTCCCAGTATCGCTTTCGAGCGCTCACTGCCGTCTTGTTGCCGGTGAAGCGATGCTGGAAAAAGTTGAAGACGGCGAATTCATCTCTCGTCATAACATATGAATCGGGACGGTTTATCACCTTTTCCCAGGTTCGCTTCAGCGCAGCCTCGAGTATTTTGCTGATGGTGGGATCCGAGGAGCCATCAGGACTCTCGCGGGCAATCTCAAGAGCTTGTGCGACACTGGCGTCCTGCTGGGACTGAGCGTTGGCGGCGGCAGCAGCGGCCATGGCGGCGGCGGTGGCAGAATCGAAAGTTTGGGAGTGGTTGAGGTTGTTAAAGTCAAAGTATGAAATGTCCTGTTGAGATTGTCGTTGGGAAGAGACTGGGCGGTATGGAAGATAGTAGTATGGCTGGGACTGGAATTCTTGGGGAGCGACGGACATCATGGTAGTACTTGTAGGTCTAATATAAGCCGGCGAAGTGGATGGGGTTGATGCAGGCGAGTCGCGCATGTATCAGAGGGAGATTTCCAGGCTAGGAGCTGGAAATAGAGCTTCCCTTGTGGAAAGTAGGTAACTTAGACAAGTGGGGAGGGACAGGATGGGGTAGGGTAGGGGCGAGTGGCTCGTGTGGGTTGACAGGCTGGGTGATGATGATGCTAATGCCTGTCCAAGATCTGGAACAACGTCTCAAGTGGATCGAAATAGCAGGGGTCAAGAGGTCGCTAGGTAGCCCTGAAGGTTTGCTCCAGAGAACTAAAGTGTAGCGCGCGGGATGTATGTATGTAGAGGTAGGCGGATGAGTAGTGTACAGTATGTGATGGTGGTGGTAACGGTACTCCAAGCTAATGTGTGTTTGTATGCATGTACAGATATGTATGTGACAGGACAGTCTCGCACGGGTTCGTTCGATCCGTCAGTTTCGGGAAATTTTGAGTTGGCGTGTGTCTTACACCGGCGTAGATGGTGGTCCTTATTATGTCCAAGTAGGGTCCGAGTTGTATCGGGGTGTGGAAAGGGTCCTTGTCCTTGTCCTGTTTTTGTTCTTTTGGTCGAGTTGAATGTAGCCCTTGTCAGTTTGACCCCGGTTGAAAAGCCCTGGTCCTTGTTCAGTTCTGGTCTTTTATTTCCTTTTTGGTCTTGTCTGTGTGACTGGTGGCATGTGTATTTGTTGATGACAGGTAAAATATGCAAGGAGGGTGATAGTGATACCAGTCTATATCAGTCGATCGATGCTGAGAAGAAGAAGAAAAAAAGCTGAAGAAGATGAAAGCGATGAAGTTGAGCTGAGTGATTGGGATAGCCCTGACCCAGGAACCCGGAGTAAACGGCTTTCCTTTATACTCGGCATAACGACTAACCCAATAACCAGCCTGACGGAACGGGGTCTGGTCTCGGCTCGAAGAGGAAGAAGCTCGCGACCACCCTCGTGGTGTCGGCGCAATACAGCTGTCGTCGTTTGAATGTGTGTTTTTGCCATTGACTATGCGTTACGTATCCGTACCATGTAGGCAAGCGGGCAAGCTTCCTGGGCGTATTCCATCATCGTCTCCACCTCTCCTACGTTCGTCTCCGCCACCGCAGCCATAGTCGTGAGTACTAGGGTACCTTAGCTATGATCGCCCTGGTGCGCCAGGTTTGAGTGCAGGGGGGGTGTGCAAATGAAGGTGCTGAATGTTTGGATGAATACGGATATCTTTGTGGGAGAAAACAACAAAGCAGACCAAGACCAAGCTGGAAGGGAATCGAGGAAAAAGGCGACGACAAACCAAGGCAGGGGTGCAAAAAGTCTAACTTGGCCGGGTACAGGTACAAAGTGGAATGGGTGTATTATGGGCAATTTTGGTTTTTGTTTAAAGTTTTGGTCCCCTCCGGGTGTTGGGTGTAAGGTGTGCCACGAAGCCGTGGGGCTTGAGAGAGAGCATTGAGCCAAGGAAAGGACAGGTAGGGTAGACAAGCAAAGGAAAACAAAAAAACAAAAGGCCAAAGACCGACTGTAGCGCACTAGGTGGTGGGCCTACCTAAAGTCTATTTGCACAAGAGGTAGGCGAATTGACAGGCTTCAGATCCTCGTGAGCCCTGGATCGATTCGGCGGCGTGACTCGGCTTCGCACGCAAATCACGGACTACCTGAGTAACGGTCTCGGTGATTAATAAGGAGCCTGGTCCTGGTCTGGGGTGCTAGTTAATCGATTATTAAACTGCTGTGTGTGGTGCTGTGGTTTATAGATCTGCTTTAGATCTGAGTGCTGTATCCGTACATAAGTTACATGGACAAAATGTGGCGCGAAACAATGCGCTTCGTATCCTGGACCCGTCCTGTATTATCTCGATAACGCAGTTGCTGATTACCTGTTTAGGCGACACCAACGCAGACGGAGCTGGCATATGTGGTATGGTCACCAGCGTCTAACAGATCCGGTCTGGCATTAGAATTGACGCCGATGCTGACACTGACACTGACATTGACACTGACTGATATTGGCATGATTAACAGTTGTCAGTTGTGGCGGAGTGGAGTTGACAAGGCAAGGCCGTAAGGAGTGCTCTGTAACACGATGGAGCAGCCCAGCCGTCCCGTACAAACTTGTTTCAAATAGGGAGTTGAGCTCATGTCAGTCAACCTTGGAGGATTTTCGGTCGTTTGGACGGAGTACGGATACTCCGTATTTCGTAGCATTGATCCGTGGGCCCTGAAGTCTTAGTAAGTTCTGTGTAATAAGGTATCACCGAGAAATGCAAACAATGCCGTCTACCAGCCCCACTCTGTACAAGACAGCTTCGCGTTTTGCTCTTGAAGGATGTTGGTGCTATTTTTGGGGATGCTTCAAAGCAGAATACCTACTCTTGGTAAGGGTAGATATTGAACCAATCTGCTTGCAAGATTGGCAGGCAAGAGTGAGGAAGGTACACGACGCTTATCCTATGACTGCACTGCAACATAGAGCAAATACAACATGACAGCCCATGATCCAAAAGGAAAGAGCCACACCAGGTCAGTACGTAGTTTCCCTGTCGAGCTCGATAGACTTTAGGACCAGGACCTCGTCTGAGGTTAGGTCCTTCCTTAGCTCGGGTGGGCTCTTTCTCAACCCCAATTGGGGGGTGTCTGAATTCCAAAAGAGACTTCAGTCTTATTTTCCTCTGCAATGACTCTTTGGTGTTGGTTTCGTTATTTACGTGACTTTGCCTGTCCAGGTGCACTGGTCTTTTCTTACCAGCCTTTTGAAATTGCGGTCAAGACTGTGAGTTGGTTAGGGTTTGGATAGTCGCGGAGGCAAATTACTAGGTAACTAACTATCACAAGAACCTCAACAACCGGAACCTCCGTTGTTTTTTACCGAGTCCAGAGTCTTGCCGGCGTTCATCTAAAAGTTCACCTCCAAAACAGATTCTCTGCGTCCTGGACTCTGGACTCTTCAGTCTGGGTCTAGACAGCCTTACACGTCGTGCGTTGGAGTTGCTTCAAGCCCTTGGCGTCTTGGTCAACGGCGCGATCGATCTGGCGCCATTGAGGAACGACCCTTATACCCACTATGCTTCTGGATTGTTTCTAGTAGCGGCATTGGCCTTCTCTCAACCTCCCAAATTGAGCCATAGTTCATTCCTTTGGCTTTTGTTCCTGTCGATTCCATTCCTTACCTCTTGAGAGTTCAGACTGTTGGTCAGAACCAATGAGGCTTGGGCAACCACAGGCAAAGGGTTTCCTGTCCGAGAACTGACGTTTTTAAATTGTGGTTCGGCGTGCGGGTTCTTGTCGAGGAGGAAAACCATGACAACCTGGCAATTCTGCAAGGGTGTGTTGATGCGCCGTTGGCAGCCGTATAGCCGTATTGACGCCAATTTGCAGTTGACAGCCAGCGGTGATGGACCGGAAATGCAATGCACCTGCGCAACACTCCCCCACGCCATCACTCTGCAGGCCAAGCAAGCAGCCAAGCACCCTACGCAACTTGACAGCCTGCATGAAGGTCTGTGTTTACGTATTGTATGCATACATGCAAGCAGCAAGCAGCAAGCGGGCAGACAGGCATGCCGTTTAACTGGCTGGCTCCTTTTGCTCCTTTTGCTCTTTTTAGACGTGTTCAATAAGGTATGGGTTAATGCTTCGAAAATAGGGTTTATACAGTTCATTCAGCAGCAGAAATCGGTGCCTAGGCGGGTGATTGGGTCGCAGCACGAGGCAGACTCTATTACCAGTGCTACGAGTATTTACGCGCTGCATCCTGGCCCCCATGCTGGATGTCCGAAGCTTGCATGAAATCCCTACGGACTATGTTGTCTCATACTCTGGCCATGTCACCATGTTCATGTTGGCTCGCGCAGACGCAAACTTACTTTACGTGCAGAGCACCGGGATTCTGCCTCTTATGGCCCACATCTCCGACTGACTACTCATTATACCTCACTACCCAAGCCGAGCCTCTTTGAAACCCCCGATGTGCTATTACAGTACAGTCGGGCCCTGTCCTGTAAGCTGTGTGGGCTGTGGCTCATTTCCTCAGAGGGACATGCTGCAAATCGCCTAAAAGTCTAATTCTCAGAACCCCGCCTAAGTTACCTGCTTTGGCAGAGGGTGTGGTTAGGCTGGCTTGATGTTGAAAACCATGAGTAGGTACCTCAGGTTATTATCTCTGGTGCTCAACAACAGACACAGACTTCAGGTTGTATGTGGTACCTAGCGGTAGAAAGTCCGCTTGCTCAGTCACCAGTGCTGGTCGTACAGGACTAGCACAATGTCTCACCGACTGTTTGATCACTTCCTTTAGTGTGTCTTATAATTCGCGCCTCTGTCACGCGCTTGCCTCGGACGATAGGGGGCGCTTGATTCCTCTAGTTCGGTGCTATTCTGAAGTGTAATTCCAGAGTTGATTTGAGACTGCCGTGCTTGTCTTTTAGTGTCCTACGCAAGGGCCTTGAATTCGGGTTGGCCCTGACGTAGTCATAACTCATAGATTGATTACACACGAGAAGCATCCCATCGGCCGAATTATCTAGCTGATGGTCCAACAAATGACCAAAACTCATGCCGACCGAACAAGTTTAAAGTTCCTAGTCTCGTGACACAACTTTTACCGCCTGTTCATATGCTCCGGCTGATACTTTAATTATTGAATTCTAAGTTTTGACTTTACGACTCCTGTTTAACGGAAGTTCCCCATACTGTGGAAGTTCTAGCGGTTTGAACAGCAAAGCTTAAAAGATGAAAATACTTCTTATATTGGCCGCTGTTTTGTTGTTACCCCACCAGATAGGATCAGCCTCGGTCTACGACGCAGTTCGGCCATGTCAGTTGAAAGTCTCGTATGTCAGACACATGGAGGAACTTTAAAGCTGATTTGTAAGACGAGAGCTTTGTACTCGAATCTCTACCCGTGCTTGTGACTCATGGCAGCAGGAAGCCCAATGCAGTATCTTGAACAAGTCTTGGAGCTAGCCAGCAATCAACAGCGACATCCAATATAATACAACGACGCTATTATTCCCAGTCTCATTTCCATTTTCTCCCCGAGGTTGCAGCAAGCCGGCTCGATTTCGTCATAAGCGTGCCTTGTGACACTGGAGACAGCCAACAGTGACTTTGTATTAGCCCCGTCTCAGCTTTGTTGCTCTCACCGGTCCAATGTACACAACATCATGACCATGGGGCGTTATAACAAGTCGCAAACGAATTCACCAGCCACCATCAACTGGATGCGATGAATTGTAACAGCTCATGACACCTTGAGTTACTGCATTTGGCGATGTCTGTTCGGACCTCTTCCGCGACGGTCCACAGGTTCCGCTCTAACTAGATCTTCTTTCTCCCGAAGAATGTGGGGGATCAAGATCCATGTTAATGTCGATGCCATCCCTGAAGGATCAGGCTTATCCACGTGTATACATACAGTCAGAGCGGTGCTTGAACCAAGAAAATTGACGAGCTACTATGTACGGAGTACGCGCCGGGCTTGACTACTGCGCAGTAAGTGATAAAAATGCCCGGTGGACGGCTGAGCGGCAAAGTCTCGAATGCGGAACTGATCTCAGCTCCTAATCTCATATTATCCCCCCCAACTGATATCTCACAAGTTTCTGAACTTGTTAGTTACGGAGTTACAGCGGTAGAGTAATAGACTTTACAAGGGGCCACTTTTTCCCACATGGCTACGTATCTTCAACCGCCAACGCCAACGCCAACGCCAACGTCCAGGTCAACGCCAATTGCCTCACTTCGCCTCGTCTCATCTGGCCGAGGCTGAGTCCTGGCCTGGCCTGACCTGATGTTTGAGCCAGAGCCAGAGCCAGAGCCAGACAGACAGACGCTCTTTTCAGTCGCTGCTGACGTTACGGAAGTACGGATACTGTTGATCTCCATCGCTTACAAGCCCCACTCTCAACTATCTGCCTACCTAATTATTGCCCTGCTTTTTGCAATTTCCACGATCTGCTCGCTACTGTCTTAAGGGTGTCCACCGCTGCTTCATCACCAAACTCTATCCCTAAGCACCAATTGTTTCCCCTGCTTTGCCGACTCCCCCTTGTCTTTACGTTTGCTTGCTAAGTTAGGCCTTGACAGCACATAATAGCTACATGGGGACAAGATGCTCCACGCTTTTTCTCATCCTTTTCTTTTTTCCCTTTTTTCCTTTGTTTGGGCCCGTGGGCGTGGGGTTGATCACTTTCAAGGACCTCCCTGCCTGAGCAATCACCTCGATAGTGATTGACATGTCAAACAACCTTTGTGCCTTGCGGTCGACCGTTAGTTGGGCTTGAAGATGGCGAATTAGTTTCCTTGTTGGGTTTGTCACAGTCACACACACCGCATCTTCCAACGGTCTGATAGTTTGAGGCTAACAAGTAAAATACGGCAAAAAAGCAAACAAACTCCTGGAACTGAGGAGTACCTGTGTACAATGATGGAGAAGAAGGAATAATTGATCAACAAATTAAAACAGAGTTTGAATCGTGAACGGTGAAATAACGACTCGCGTGCGTCTAATCCAGAATCAGACTGTCGCTGTAATAGCGGAGCACGCCCTTTCGGAGCCGCATTTTTGGCGTCGGGTCGATTATGTATGTATGTACGTATGTCGTGCCTATCAAGGCTATGCGATGTGTTTTGAGGAACCTAAGGAGCCTGTGAGACGAGAAGTCTTAGAGCCATAGGGCCTTAGGATCTTAGAGCCTGTAAGGTGACCACGCGCCATGCAGCTCATTAATCAACTAAGTTAACTGCCCGCTTTGTGAATGATAAAGGGCGCGGGAGTCGGGACAGTGGATGAAACCCTGGTCAGACTCCACCAGAACGCGTCAAGCGTTAGCGGACTTGAAACAATTCTTGACAGGATTTGATCATTCCAGGTTGGATGTTATCCACGGCCCACTGCTATTCCCGCCCACTAAAGCCCGCCCCAGTTCTTCCATTTACTGCAAGGGTCAGCGTTGCAGTCATGTCTCTGTCCCCTGTATTCAATGTAAATTAATTACTGCATGTACTCGGTACTGCAGGCGCAGGCCTCCCCTGGTATGTAACCCAAGATTCGCAAACATGGATAATTAACGGAAAACATGAGCGGTCCCGATACTAGGACTAGGACTAATAGAAGCGGCAACAGGGAGGGTCCTTTTACTTTGGCACCAACTGCAAACTCTACTCTCCACTTTCTTCCACCAGGAACGGGTTTCTTTCCAGTCTCTTCCAGACGCCCGAAATAACGAGGAATCCTTCCTTTGTCTCGTCTCGTCTCGTCTCGCCTCCTCTTCTCCGTCAAGGCAAAACTCTTTGTCTTTTGCTGCGCCTGAGTCATATCTCGTGGGTCAGAGAGTCAGAGGGTTAAACATGGATGAGACCCATGGCACCAAATCAAAGCCACCCACAACGATCCTTCCAGAACTTCTAAGCCCCTTCGTTTTCCAGTTCTAAATCCATCTCTCCGAATTGGAGACACGACTCAAACTAGTGTCAGCTACTCCGTAAAGGTGGTTCTGTTATTGCTCACTAATACCTAGGTATTTACCATTTACCCCTCCATGCCCCTGCTCTACCCCAAATACCTCTTGGCTTTGCGAGGCTGGATCTGGAGCTTCAGCCGCCAACTGAGGTGTGAGGGCCTCAAAACAAGCCTCAGCTCAGGGGAAGACAAGACGTGGCGTAGTGCAAAACGTTGCGGTTGCAGATCTCTCGGCGCACTATCCCACTAGGGACGACCAAGGCAAACCTGTCAAACTCATGACCATTCTCTCGAGTCTAGGCCGTCCTCATCAATCTGTTGCTGTACGATTCACGTCACTCCTATTCGACCATTTTGTTTTTGACTTTTGGTGGCTTCCGGTGGCTGTGTGGCTTGTCCCAGCCGAAGCCAGTTCCTGAATTCATGTCCAGCAGCGGCAATTCTCTTGGCTGATCTCTGCTTCGGTGCAGCCGAATCTGTTCGATCTGCCCGATTCTCAGGTGTTTCACATTCTATCACGAAACCTTACTACACCGACAATAGATTACACATTCTTTGTTCTTCTTCACAGGTATCCGTGTTGTATTGTACAGTCAAGTCTATCAACAAGCGCAACTCACAAAACCAAACCAAACCAAACCACCATACTATACTAATTATACAAATACCGCTTGAGTGGCGTACGCCGGGAACAAGGCGTTTCAGAAATGGAACGTTTTGTCTCCGGGGGCTTGATCAAATTCCGGTCTCGAACCGTTATGATACCATGCCACATCATCTACACCTTCTTCTTTCCGATATTCCAGCCCCATGATCGAAGCACCTTGACGACCTTGGGCGTGAGGCCGGCCGTTAGAGGTACTCGGATGAAGATGAAGCTCTTGTGAATGGCATACGCCAGCGCCAACTGGGTTGCTAAGCCTGTCGCAGAAGTTGAGTCGTTAGCCTTTCTCACCATTTGATCAAGCGCTCACTCATCCCCACACGCCGTGACTGATCGGGAGCATGTTCTCCATGCGCCCAGGGGTAAATTATATACGGAGCAGATGGATGGCACTCACTAGCATTCGCGCGATTGCGCTCCTCGGCCTTCTCGACACCCCACGTAGCCATCTCCATCTTGTCGCTGATATCGTCATCGCCAAGGGCTTTCGCCTCAGCTTTCCTGAAGGACTGCCAGTAGGTATGCCACGTCTCCCGAACCGAATCGGGGATCATCTGCTTCACTGACGACATCACTTGATGCTCGACCTCACCTAGTTCCAACGGCGGCAAACGTTAGCAATCGGTCCCAAGAACCAAGACCCCGTTGACGGAAATGGACAAGGCCACGGCAGTATCTTACCGATCTTCTCAGGTCCTACCATCCTGACAAATAGGAAGCAGAAGGGAAAGTCCAGAACGGACAGCCCCAGGTAAACGCCAACGGTCACCCAGCCATACTCCTTGGTGAGTTTCTTGAGCCTGGCCGAGAGACCCTCTGGCTCCACGGCTTGCTTAACGGCCGGGCCCTTGTTCGTCTTGCGCTTTGCGGTAAACCGAAATCCACGCCTCAACACGCCCTGGAGCATGCTTGGTGTTGTCGCAGACCCAGATCCGAAGCGGGTGCTCCTTAGCCGGGCCATCATGCCCTCCCAATGGGCCGTCCTCCATTGCCAAAGCTGGCGCGTAGTCTTGCTCCCCGTTTGTGATGTGAAAAGCCTTCTCCATGCGCCATTCCATGCCGCCTGTTGGGCTGGCTGATTGAAAGCTCGTAGCGGCGCGCGCACGCCGCGGACTGACTGCCTCAACATGTTTTCGACTAAAAGATGTTGTTTTGGTTACGGAAAAAGGCCAATGACTTCCCAAGGACAGGTTGCGATCAAGTAGGACGTGGCTGAGAAACTTCGTGATCGGCCGGAACGGATAAGAAGAGAGGCGATAATAACTCGTAACTGTGCGGAGCTGTCGGACTTAAAGCGTCGGGTTCGAGGAAGGGTGAAGATGCGGAAGTCCAGCCAGATTCATAATCAAAGCATGGTAACTCTCAGTTTCAGGCTCGTATAGCGTAATTGTTTTCCTTCGCCGTTTCTCTGGACTCGTTCAGTCAGGTAGGAAATTTTTAGATGTTCAACGAGTTTACAATGATGCAAACCACGCCACGATTCAAGGTTGTTGAGCCGCCACACGCTACGTCTGTGGCTATGCTATCACGTGCCTTTCGGTCAACTAGGTATCAACTTTGTGTAAGTGCTTGCACCATTTCTATTGAAGAAACAAGTGTTTTCGTGGCAGGGAATATTAAAGACAATATTTCAGATGGCATCAAATCAAAATGGCCATCATGCATTTCTGCCGAGATGTCTACGGTGTCTGAGCTCCCATTAAAGTCTCGGGCCGCGTCTTCAAAATGAGGTTGCCGAGTCGCACGAACAAAGAACATGGCTGTCTCAAGCTACAATTTCCTAATTGCGAAGTGCGCTCTGCTTTCAGCTATCTGGTGTATCAGAAAGATTTGAGCATTTATCTGGACTGGACTGCAATCTCTACTGGATCACGATCTGACTATTACTCGGTTCTCTATAGTCAGGCAGCTCCTGATAGACGAGGGATTCGAAAAATCTCCGTTACATGCCTTCTAACATATCTACATAAAGGCTTCCGCATAGTAAAAAGACAAAACAATATCTTCTCAAGTTTACACATCGCTCTTTGACCCTTGGTTCATGATAGCGGCACGCGAAACCAGTCAGCTTCACATTATATTATGCATGGCACTGATCCAGAGATCTATCAACCCGAATCCATGGCCGTGGATTGTTTCGCTCTTGAATACTTTCAATCATGCCGACTCGCTTGATATAAATCAGGGGAGGCCTTGCTCTGAGTGACCAGCAATGAGTCGAATCCGAATCACGATCTGCAGTGAAACCTTTTATGGTGATGCTCATATTAAAACTCGAGGCGCAAAAGAGCTAGGAGGCGTGGTACCTAGCGCCATGACTCCTGAGGTAGGACGATACTTGTGATTTTGTGCTGCAAATGATTGTTGAGGAAATTGAGGAGCGCATATAACATGGATCTTGAGATTTCTTTCCAGGTCTACCTCAAGACCCAGGTCTTGTAGGTAGCGTACCTAGAATTATAAAACGAACATGAAATCGGTTTTATGAGGCACACGTTATATATAGGCCAAGTTGCGCTCCAAGATTCGCCCGAATACATCATTGCTAGCACTGGCACGCAGTGGTGCCAAAGCTCGCCCGATATCGCAATAATCACTGCCTTGCCTAAAAAGCTGTTGCTGTAATTACCACGGTAAAGTGCCTTCCTAGGTAGTCTCTTATTCAGGCCTCATATGCAGTGAATTACTAACAGCTCCTTCCTCTTTACTCCTGCCTCTTTACTCTTCTCATTCACTTCCCCCCTTCACAGTCGACTATTGCCCTCCTTCTACACCCAGATTTCACCACTTTAATACTTCATCATCACGTTTCCCATACTTGGACCTGACGAGTCCCTTTTGGCTGGAAGATGAAGGCATTCTGGTGATCTATTACTGATAAAGGAGCTTGGCCTCGTGTCTTAGGTTTACCATCTGCCTTCACTGTTTCTCGCCTGCCCGGGAATCACTCAATTTTGCTTCGCCCTCGAAGGGTGCACCGAACCAACTACTGTCACTCATTACACAATCACCGCCACTGGCATCTGGTCATTCGCTTCATCTGAGCTGGTATCCTTTCTTAAGCACTGCAACGTCAACGATGTCTGTTATCGTCACTTATGGGAAAAGGAGAAATAAGAATATCTTAAGAACTCTGGGATCGCGTCGCCAGAATAACACAGTAAACCATTCACCATCCGATCAGTTAAGTATGAACTACCTGGTGTTACTTTGTAGCAAGGCAAACTTGGCTAACTATTAAACAGTTTCGGAACCAAGCAACAAAGATCCTACCAAGCGTGCATCACGAAAAACAGCAATGCCCGATCCACAAACTATAGAAGAAATGGCAAGCTGGCTGCTGGACGATTCCACCCTGGGAAGCCAGGAGAATGCCGAGGAGGACTATTCACCCAACAAGCGCCGAGCCACTACACCAAGCATCTCACTCTCTAATAATTGCCCAGCAATTTCGCCTTTAGACCTTCCTTCTCCGATTAAAACACCGCCCAAGCAATGCGACAAGTACCCTCAGAGCACACGAGTAAGCAGATTTTCTCCCAGGAAAAGCCCTGGAAGAGTTCCCAGACGGTCTGCCACAACTCGCATTCGTAGAGATAAGTCGCAAAGGCGGACAAGTGCAAACCTGCAACGACATCTTGGTCCTACCAGAACACTATCTCTTGACCCTTTCAAGTTTCATCCTGCGAACAACTGCAAAGACTCAGCATCTGTGCCACTCGCTGCTGTCGACAAGAACGTCAGAAACCCTGTCACAGAGAAACCCAACATCCCCAACATTCATGAAGAGTGTGCTGGTGGTGAAGAAATCAACGGGAAACTTGTCGCCATGCTAGCAGCAACCGATTCTCTCAAGCCATCACCACAGCGTGCTAACTCATCAAGTTCAAGGTTTACCCGTATGATGCCAACCAAAGTGCTTACCAAAGTATCAAACGCTTGGGATCGGTTTCACCCAAAGCCCCCGGCCCACGAAAAGAAGCTGAAGCCACCGTTTGGTGATGGAGAAGGTGAAGAACTAGCCTGGCAAACATTTGCTCCATCGTGTCCTCCGATTGAAGGCATGTCCCCGATTAGTGCCATTGAGCTCCGTCTGAATGAAGGAGACAACCTCAACAAACGCAAAGTTCAGCGAATTGTAGGCGGGAGGGTAAACAGGAAGCCCTTGGCTGACGATGGAAAGTCTCTGAGGAACGGAAAGCTCACTGAGGATCCGTTCGCCGAGCGTGGTGGTTGGCGCAAGCCAACTACTTTTGAGACTCGGTTGAAGACGGGCGCAAGCGATAGCGAAAGAGGAACCCTGCCTTTGCCGCGCAACCCGTTCGAAACCGAGAAGGGATTTGACAACAACATTGAAGATAGGTTCTTGAACAGTACGCCAGTTGGATCTTCGACACCTCGGATTCGAGTTGAGCAAGCATCTACCTCGATCAGCGAGTCCAGCTCTACGACCAGCACCTTGAGCCTCTCACAGAAGCGACTCAGTGTGAACATGAACGATCCTCCACTAGAATTCGACAAGGAGATGCTGGGTTCAAGCAGTCGCTCCCATATGCTGGCAGAACCTGGCCATGGGTCATGGGTTGACTCAATTACACAAGCCCGACAAGCTTGGGAGAGGGCGGCTGGCGAACTCAATGCTTTTGATTCTAACAGGATGAAGAAGCACCCGTCTCCCAGCAAGGAAACCCTGGAAAAGCTGGAGATAGAATTCCGACATTTCACTGATGTTCAGGTTACGGCGACTGTCAAACATGGTGCGGATGAACTATCAGCAAACTTCATAGCACCCAGCCCATCCTCAATAACATGTGAGAGAAAGAGGGTGAGTTTGGCTCGATTGTCAGTCACACACATAGACGAGCTTTCGGTGCCGCTTTACGATGGTGTACAACACCGCCGGGGTTCATCAACTTCGATGATTCAGTTGCTGCGAGGTCCCTGTACGATACAGGATCGTACCAAACTTCATAAGGACATACGCTTGGCCGTGCCTTATCGACCAACGGGAGTTTCTCCTTCCGATACGGACGAGCTACATTGACAGTGCTGCTTTATATGAACGCGGGGATGATGTTGACTACAGATCATTGCCTGCACTGCCATTAGGGTTGAAGGTGGGAGAAACTCAAACACAGGGTGATAAGGCGGTTGTGGTACTGGAGGAAATGAATCATTTTGTGCAAATTTTAGACTGAAGTGGGAAACGAATGATGTGGTCTGGCAGGGTTGACTACGACTTTTAATAGATGAGTCGCTGGCGACAGACAGCGCAAGATTTAAGCTACACTGTAGCGGTAAAGTATGTTGTACAATTCTTCTTTCTACTCATCTACTTGTCCCCTAATGGGTATCAACGCTATCATAATCGTATCGTACATGTATGTGACATAGATCCTCCTCAGACTCAGATTCAAATGTCTTGCATCCTCACCCTAGATGTGATAAGATGTTGTTGGCGACGCTTAGTAGCGGCGGTGGCGAGCACCACGACCGTCAGTACCATGCATGCGTCGAGTTCCAGCAGCCTTTGATGAGAGTTAGTATTGAAAGTTGAGTGATGTGGAAAGGAGAGGTGTGTATGAACATACCTTGACGCCAGGTCGGCGAGTCAGGCTACCCTTGAGCTTGAGCAGGGCACCGCTGACCTTGTCCTTCATGGAAGGTCGGCGCTGGTGGTGATGGACGGGGGCAGCATGGGCAGTAGTGGCATGAGTACGTCGACCAGCACCACCACCGAACATGCCTCGACGGGGCTTTGTAGTGGTAGTAGTGGTGGTGGTTGTAGTATGACGGTGCGAGCGGGCGGGAGCACGGCGACGAGTGCTGAAGATGGAGCGACGGGGAGCAGTGTGACGGTGAGTTCGTGTAAGAGGCATGTTGGATGATTTATGTGTGTATGTTTTAAGAGGTGAAAGATGTGTTTATCTGGAAGATAGTAGTGTGTTTGTGTGTGTGGCTTGTGTTTATGATATCGAACCTCAAGTGAAAGTGGCTTGTGAGGGAAGTTATATACACATTAAGAGACTGTACAAAACTCCTCCGTCATCGGTAATCCATTCGCAAACTTGATCAAAGCAAGCAGTCACTTACTCACTCACTCACCTTTAGCCAAGAAAGACATTGCATCACCTATTACGAGCACTGATGAAATATGCGCAGGGGAAACCTGGTCAGCAGATGGAAATGATTGTCAGTGTCTGCAGATCAAGAGAAACCCTGATTTGAGGCTTTGGGCTCTTGGACCCTGAAGACTGAAAGGAACGAGGACCCTGAAGACAAGAGAATGATAATTTAAGGGAAAACTTGGAAATTCATCGATGAGGGAGACGGGACCTGCAGTGGCGGAATTTGACGTTTTAGAGGTGCACTGAAACGTCACTAGGTGGTAGGGACGGGCCAGTGATTGGTGGGACGGGTAGTGGGCCCTTGCAACGATGCAGGGTCCCCGGGTTCTGAGGAGGGGATCGTGGGGTGATGTCATACCTCTACGAACGTAAGGTACGTAGGTGCATGGTAGGGCTGGCGATAGGATGGAGTCATTTTAATTGTTGACCAAGAATAGATTCTTAAGCGAGCTACGGGTATAGACATGAAGTGACGACGGTATGAGATCGAGATGCAAGATAATTAGAATGTGATGTTGAATTTCCAGGGGCTACCCAAAGCCTACCATTGCTAGCTACCTTACCTAGGCAGCTAGGTTACAAGAAGATAAGTACGTAGCCCAAATGTGCTGTTGATGTTGGAGGTTAACCTACACTCGCATCGAGTCATGATGCCGCATCATGCAACGTGAATACACAACCTCGACCTCAGCCTCTTAGGTTATTCTTGATAGTCTTCAGTTCCTCCTCCGAGAACCCCAGACCCTTGACGTAGCCCTCCCAGCCTCCGTACTTAGCATCAACACCACCAACAAAGGCCTTCCAAAAGGTCGGACGCAGGCTGACCATGTTCCAAAAGCCGGGCACCTCATAGTCCTGCACATCAATGTTGTCTTTGACAAAGGCGACTAGGCGCTCACGCGCTGGCTCGGTCCCGATGCGTGATAGCATGTAGTCCAGGATGACGTCTTTCTCTGGTGTGCCGGCAAGGGTCTGGAGGAGCCCTGCTGTGACGCCTGTGCGGTCACGGCCAGCTTTGGTAGAGTAAGGAGCTATTAGTCTGGGTAATTTCTCAGAATTATACTGTACAATGCTGTTTTCTTACCAGTGCAGTGGAAGAGGAAAGGCTCATCCGGTTCATCCTTCACGTGCTGGAGGACGGCCCGGAGAGAAGGCTTGTATGCTGCCATCACAGCTATGAGCTGCTCTCTCCAAGCAGTGCTTCCATCATCCACAGCAAAGTCGGCAGGAGTAGGCTGGGGATATGTAGCGACACGCTCGTGGTAGACAAACTCAACTCCTGGAACCTCAGGGCTGGGATATGCGGCGCGCTCCTCCACGCTACGTAGGTCAAAGACGGTCTTGACGTTGGACGCGAGCCAAGAGATGGCTTCTGGGTCAGCAGCTGCAGCGTCGAGCATCCCCGAGCGGAAGATAAGTCCCGGGCGTATGGCGCTGCCTGGAACAGCACCAAGGTCACGGACGTTGATGAGGGATTTGCTCGGGATGAAGGGCTTGGAGTTGAGAACTGGCGCGAGGGCCTCGAGAGGGATGGGATCTCGGACGTGGGTGGCTGAGAGGGCCTCTAGAACGTCGCGTGAGACAGACATCGTGTAGATCTGTTGATGTTCCTTTGTCTTTGAGTTTGTGGTTTGAGAGTACAAAGTATTGTTGTTGTTTTTGTTGTTACTCTGGCTTTTCTTGTGGGCAACGAAGGATTTGAACAGAGACTACCTAAGCTGACACTGCCAATTTTGACGACAGTGGCAGGCAGCTGTAGGATGCTTATATAGTCCAGCCTACCTAGAGATTGGATGGCAATTAATTACCCAGGGAAGAATAGTCTCACAAACTATCGTCGGCTATGGACATCATTTAGCTGTATATGCTTTGAGTTGTGACTGATACGTGATGGCTTGAAATATCATCGACGACACTCGTGAAATTCGGTGTTTAATCACCTTCTGCAGGACAATCACTTTTATTCGCAGTTAACAAAAAGTATGTCATGTTTGGAGTCACCGAATATTTCAAGTCACATATCTGAACTGGTGCTGTCCGTGAAGCTGTCTGTGAAGTTTGACATGAGGTGTACTTAAGGTGTAAGTCGTAGTGGGACTCTGGGGTAAGCTCTCAGGCATGAGCCAACAGCCAGCGAGGATACTTACTACCACTGACGAAAGCCAATTGAGTTTGACGAGTGAGAGGTGAGAGGTGAGACGTGAGAGAAACGCTAGAACAAAATTAATAAAAAAAACAATTCAAATTAAAACTTGATCACATGTAGTAATTGTTGATTTTTGCTCGTTAAAGACACCGTGGAGCTGTACATTAACTTCCCCACCGAAAAGTCCAGTATGCATCCTTATCGATAACACCCACATGCAGCTATCACATTGTCACTCCCACATTGCATTACTTTCACACCTATACTCGAACAAACTGAATACTGTTTCAGAATAATTCCTTTCTCTTGAACTCTGTAGGCGGTTTCTCCACTGTTGAGTTGTAGTACTCCAGGATGTCCGTCACGGCCACGAGCCCCTTGATTAGATGGGGTCTCATCCTCCCCCTCATAGTCGTCACCTTTGCAGTCGCATACCGCCTCCAGCAGCCACTCACAGGCTCAAATGGTGAAAATTCAGCCACATACTGCTACAGCTCCATCCGAACCCATGACTCTGAGCAGGCGGAAGCTCAATGCTTCACCGTTGCTGGTGGCGTCTTCACGGCCGTTGGCCCAAGTGATGCTAACCAGACGACGATAGATGGCTATGTGATTCCGGGACTTTGGGATGGGCATGGCCACTTACTTCAGTATGGAGAGTTTCTTCATTCGGTGGACCTGTTCGGTGCTCAATCGTTGGAAGAAGTGCGTGCTAGGATTAAGGAGTACATGGCCAAGAACCCTGGTGCTGGATCCAGGGATAACTGGCTTCGCGGTGTAGGATGGGATCAGACGTTCTTTGGTCGCATGCCTACAGCTGTAAGTGTCCCCTAACAAATATCAATGATTGTGTCTCGTACTAAACAGTCTGCAGGCTGATATCGCAGAGGACCCAGAGCTCAGTGACATCTATCTCATGCTTGATCGCATCGATGTCCACTGCACATGGGTCTCTCAGCCTGTTCTCGACCTTCTACCAGCAGATCTACCGGAGGTGGTTCCAGGGGGTGAAATAATCCGAGAACCCGGCCTGGGAGTGTTCTGTGATAACGCCATGGACTTGGTGATTGCGATCTGGCCTAAGCCTACTCGAGAGTTCAAGGCCCTTACAGTTAGAACCGCCATGAAGCGCCTCAATGAGGTCGGTCTTGTTGGCATGCACGACGCTGGAGCAACCCCAGATACCCTTAACCTCTACAACGAATTGTCATCTTCTGATGACTGGACTCTTCGAGTGTATTCCATGTTGGAATGCCCTCAGCGCAATTCGTACTGCCCAGATGAAGCTGTCATGTTCGCCCGACACGATGACCGTTTCGCCGTACGAAGTGTCAAGCTGTTTGCCGGTAGGTTTCTTTGATAACGTCACTTGACTATAGCTAACTTTGAATAGACGGAGCCCTAGGTAGTTGGGGCAGCGCGATGCTGGAACCTTACTCCGACCACTCCTGGACGTCAGGTTCGCTCCTCATCAACGCCTCTGCCCTCACTGATGTGGCCAAGCGCTGGGCTGCCGACGCTTATCAGGTTAACATCCATGCCATAGGAGATCTCGCAAATCGCAACGCTGTTGACGCTCTAGAGGCAGCTCTCGTCCAGGAGTGTCTTAACGAGGCCACCGCTCAGGGTGCTCCCCCCTCTGTATCGGGACAGCCTGTAAACGAGTCTCAGGATCAGTTAGAAGCTCGTGCTGCCTGCCAGTCTCGACACCGCTTCCGCATCGAGCATGCTCAAATCATCCACCCAGATGACCAGAAGCGCATACTATCGCTTGGCATCATCCCTTCTATCCAGCCAACGCACGCTACATCAGACATGAAATACGCCCTCTCCCGTCTCGGAAAAGACCGCCTCTCATCCTCAGCCTACCGTATGCGCTCTCTTCTACCCGCCCGCCCTATCCTTGGCAGTGACTTTCCTGTCGAACCTCCCAACCCCTTTCAAGGCATCTACGCCGCTGTGACCCGTCGGAGTCCGCATACCGGTCGTGGTCCCGAGGATAGCCCAGACGGCTGGCACACAGAAGAGGCCCTGAGCCTGGACGAGGCTATGTGGGGTTTTACTAGAGCACCTGCTTACGGTGCATTTCTTGATGATCGCGCTGGCGTTATCAGTGAGGGCGCTTTGGCTGATTGGGTTGTCCTTGATAAGCCCATCGAGTCTCTTGATGTCGAAGAACTACGGACTCTGAAAGTGAGAGAAACATGGGTAGCAGGCAAGAAGGTCTATGAACGACCTAGTGAAGACTAGATGGCTTGGGCTAGGCTTATACATATTTGAAAGGGGTTCAGGAACTATCTAGACATAGACATGCAGACAGCGAGGTTAGATTTAAAAGGTATATGTTTTGAATTGTTTATTTTTCTTTGTACTAATTGAACATGACATCCGAGATACCTTTGCCAGTTTCAAAACCTAAAAAGGCCAACCAAACTGCCTCAACACATCACACTTCAAGATAGTCTAACACTTCTTTTGATGATGTGACTGTTATAGTGACTGGGCTTCCCAGCGGCAAGGTCTGATTGCTTCTTCATCTACCGTAGCATCTCCTGTATGATAATAGCCAGCCCTTTAACGCCATGCAATGAATGGGTCTTCGTTGTGTAGACCAGTCTCTTAACGCCCGACCCTTGTAACCCGCTAACCCACGAACTCCGAATAACATGAATCAGTTTTATTCTCGGTGTAACGAATTCTAGTCCGCCTTGGCCGTAAGCTTGTTCTCCCACCACTTGGCAAACTTGACCGTGGGGATGTCGACTGCACGCCAGAAAACATCTGCACACCAAAATATAGTAGGGAACACAAAGAACGAGCTCAGGACGAACCCAGCAGTGAACTGATGTCCTTCGGTGCCCGTCAAGCTATATGCCCAGCGTTCAATGTGATATCCAAAAGCATGGATGATCGGCCCATGCATAAGATAAAGGGCGTAAGAAATCTTGCCCAAGTACTGGATGAAAGCCGAGTTGAAAACGCGCTGCCAGTTGGACGAACGGCTCACTGCAAGGACAAACATGACAGCACCCGTGCATTGCCAGTATCTGTACTTTTCAGCAGCCCACCACTGAGGGATCAATGATGTGAGATAGACCCAGCCAGGTGTTCTATCTCCACCCTCATCAGGTTGGCTCATAAGGTATAGACCTGCGATGCTGAGCGCTGCCCAGAAAGCACTTTGGTACCATCGAGGGTGAGAGGATTGCGTCTTCTCTTCGATTGGAAGGGCAGGAGGCGAAGAGTGAGCACCACGTGCCAGATCAATCTCGGCAAGGATCATGCCGCAAAGGAACATGAGGAACTCCCAACGGGAGTTTCGGTAAGTAAAGAGCATAACGCCGGCAACGGTGATAAACCTGTACTGAGTTCGGAGTCGAGCAGTGGCTATGAGGGTGAGGAAAAGGTACAAAGAGCATCGGAACTCTACAGGGATAGTCCAAAGATGTTGGTCATAATCTTGATAAGTTGTTAGTGGGGTTTACAAACATGGAATGGTTTACTTACTGGTACTTCCGCCATGAGTCTTCCAGCCAAAGACGTGAACGAAGTTGAACATGTCTTTTGCCCAATCTGCCAATTGAGCATAGAGTGTTGGAAGCGGCGAGGGATGAGGCTCTCTGACATTCCTCATAAAGGTGCGATCCATGGCAAACTCTCGTGTCTGTTCGTAAACTCCTAAGCGGATAAAGGAAACAATCATTAGGGTGGAGATGGCCGTAGGGAGGTATAGGCGAATGCCGCGCCGAAACACCAGAGAGCTCATGGTGGTTGAAAAGTCCTGAAGGTTCCGGCTACGGATAAGTTTGAGGGGTCGATAGGAGAGGGCATATCCCGAGATGACAAAGAAAAGACAGACAGCCGGAGGACCCTGGTACCATAGCCGCAGAATAGGTAGCTTCAAGATGTTGTAGTGAGCATCATCGCAGCCCCAGCCCTTTGCAATGACAAAGGCTTGGTAAAAGAAGTGGCAGAATAGTACGACGAGGGCGGCAACACCTCGCATGCCATCGAGATAGGCAGTAGGAGCGAGCTTAGCGGGTCGAATCTGTTCCCGAGCATGTCGCCCCTGAAGATAGCTGGGAACGAAGAACCAGGCGAACCGAACAAGATAGACTCTCCAAGGGGTTGAGCGGATGTAGTCGACAGGAGTGAGAATGGGGCCGGCCCATTTCTCATGGTGAGGTCGAAAATCTTGGTCATCTCGACCGCTCTCACTATCAGCGTCAGAGATGGACCTGTTGTCGAGCAAGCCCATCTTCTCTTCATCGGAAAGAGAGTATATTGAGGGAGAATGATAGTGTCGGTTCATTGTTGCGAGAGAAAAGGAGTTTGGAGGAAAGATGAGAGTAGGGACGGGAGAAGAGGAAGGAGGTGGTCGAGCATGTAAGATAGGAAAGAGGCCAAGGAGTGGCCAAGGAAGGAGGTCGAGGGCCAAGAAGAAACAGGAAGCAGGAAACAGGAAATAGAAGGAAAGAAGGAAACAGTCGTCACAGCTGGTATATTGTGACGATGAAGAAAGAGCAGCCAAGACCGACAAACAAAGTATGGGTAAAATGTGGACAAGTGATTGATTGCCGAGAGATCGGCTGTGGAGGACAAGAAAGAAGATGAACACGAGGAAGAGAGATGCCAAGAGATGACCACCAGGGGATCTCTGCTTCTTTTTGATACTGAAGAAACACGGCCAAGGACAAGAGAAAGAGGGCGAAGGGGAGGAAGGAGGAAGGAGGGAGCAGAGAAAGAGAAAGATACCTAGGTAGAGAGTGACTCTAGTGTACATAAGACGGGGAGTTCAAGGTTATACAGTATCTCACAGTGCCACTACAATGCAGGTGAAGTGACAGGAAACCAAGGCATGAATGGATGTGAACCGTCTATCAATCAGCCCACGCACGCCGTATCATGAATCAAACATCAAACGCCAATCACTGGAGACGCGTTGCGTTTCAATCTCTTGGCTGTTTGCTCTAAAACGCCCAGCTTTCAGGTAGGATAATTACCCACCATATTTGCCATGCTCACTTACAATGTTACCCATCTCGACAATGGAAGTGTCAAGGGCCAGGGATGATCTGTGGAGTTCTGGGTCAGAGAAGAAAGCGACAGAGTGTCTCATCATCACTGGAAAAATGCCGATAACCGACTGCGTCAGACAACAAGAGGGTCAACTTGTTGAGAATTCCCTGCATCATAACTCCGTATGCTTCTTGTTGAATCATCAAAAAGAAACATTCAATTAATGGATGATGCGGCTCAAAAGACGAGGCACGAATCAAACGCCAGGTGTGTATCAAAGACGGCAGAGGCTGCGGCGGCGGCAACTTACACCACCGTACGGATACCATGGTGAGACACTGAGACGTCTATTTTAGAACTGGGGGTCTCAGGTACCAAGACAGAATAAGCATTGGCTAAGAGATGCCAAGTTTTACCCCTGTCTATCTGGCCGTAGCCTCTATACCTAACCTACCTATATATCCGTACTGAGTAGATGATGCTTCAACTATAATTGCTTCAGCTATATAAACTGAGTTCTTGGCAGTCAAGTTCCAACTTTTTTAATCTCCATGTTGCGCATTGAAAAAAGCACCATCAATCGATCAAACTGAACCAGTAGCCCCGTCCCCTTGCTCTCTCTCAATGCGCATTGTGTCGCTCTGACGTCCAAGTCTCTCGCGTGGAGCTATACCCACGTACACTCCAAGATAAAAAACTATTCCACCAGACCCAATTATTTCCAACATCGAGAGTTCCAGGTACTAGGATCATACCTCGAGAACGCGCGTACGTACAATAAGGTACTATAGTCTCCCCTAATCTGTACAGTCTCTCTTTTCTTTCTCTCGAGATTCACTGACTCGGTATAATGTTTACTTTATCTGGACTGCGCTGAAGGTATTCCACCGGCTGCACCACACAATGAATGTCTCACCCGTATAATACGATATCCGCTCGGCTAAGCGGCTACTACTTCTGCGACAGACACCAGAACATCTTCGGTTACGCAAAACGGGAAATCCGCCCTGATGATCATGATTACACCGTCTATCCTCATCGTCCACATTCTTCCTTCTATGCGTGCACTGTTTGCAACACGTACTGTAATACGTAACATGGCTAGTCGGCAGCATTCTAGGTAGTATTCCCGATGTTACCACTCGACTAAACTCCCGGTGAATCGTAACCCAAACGACGCCAAAAGTCACAAGCCTCTTGAACATAAACAGAAGTACCTGTCTTGATCAAGTGGTGCAGATGCATCGAAAATCCCAAATCCATATCCATCCCAACAAACCTTGACCACATACCACACGTACTCGATATTTAGTCGACCAAGACTTGGCAAAGCTGTTGGTTCATCCTGTCCCCGATCTCTAGAATCTAGATCATCTTCTCCATAATGCATCCACATCTCTTTCATCAACACGAAACGACTAACAAAGCTTGTCTCTTATTTTCTATCCCTTTATGATTTATCAACACTGCCTTAATGGAGTCAATGCCACACGATACCGACATGTATCTACTGTGCACTGCACACTGCATCCACGTGGAGAAAGATCAAAATAGGCATGTATCTGCTTCAGATAGTGGAGAGAACTTCAACACGGCGCGTCATGAGTTCGCAGCTGACGACGACAAAAAACAACACGATCCAGATTTCTAGGGGCTAGCCGATAGACAATGACAGTCTAGGTAGTAGTTAATGAATTGCGAGGACAGTGTTCTAAATTTATGACATCTCTATTTTGAGACTTCTTTGCACATTGCATATCTATGCTTTGCCACATGTCTCTCTCAGTTATCTGCTGAAAGCTATGCCACTATAACATATAAATATGTCCAAACCCCCATCTCGTATACCCATCCTGTTTTTCCATCCCCAACCTCCGTCTGTGCAGTGAGTGATCTGCACGACTATCGGTCTATCACCATCAGGCTTCGCCTGCACAGCCCTGAATCTGTTCGCTGGCTTCGTGTATCTGATATTTAGAGTGCCCCATCTTCCGGTTCTTCTTCCGGTTCCCTCGAGGCGGCAAAGTGAACTCACTGCTTTCTTTGATTAACTTCCGAAATCTAGTCCTTTCATGGTTACATACAAATCCGAGCATCGCCCTCCGATACTGTGGCCATAGTCTTACCTCAAAGTTATTTCTCAGATATCAAATCACATTTCGACGAGCATGAGCATGGTATGCCTCTTCATATTCAGCCATATAGGATGTAGTCTACGAACGATTCCTTCATCGTCATCAATCAGTTTATCGTTCCGTGTGTATGATCCCTTTTCGTGTAACCGTATAGAACAAATCCATAGCCCTCGGGCTTTATGTAAACGCCAGATCTCAAACCCAAACACCTCCAACGCCCTTGATATCAATGTATTGCATAGTTGATGGCATCCGTCGTGCCTAGTTCTCGAGCCAGTCCAAGAAGTCAGGAGTAAAGTAGCTGACCACAATGGTGGCACCAGCTCGAAGGATACCCTCCGTTGACTCAAAAGCCATAGCCTTGAGGTCGAAGACGCCTGCCTTAGCGCCAGCGTGGATCATGGCATACTCACCGCTGACCTGGTAAGCGGCCACGGGGAGATCCTTGCCCAGCTCCTTCGCGTCACTGATAATGTCAAGGTACTGACTGGCAGGCTTCACCATAATGATATCAGCTCCCTCGTTGATGTCTCGGACAATGGCACGTCGCGCGAGACCACGGCCGCCAGGAGGAAGTTGATAGCACTTGCGGTCACCAAATGATGGTGCTGATCCGGCAGCGTCTCGGAAGGGGCCGTACAAGCAGCCGGAGAATTTGGCAGAGTATGACATTAGCACCGTCTTGTGGGCAATTCCCTCTTCGATCAGCTTAAGCTTGATAGCGCGAATGCGGCCGTCGTTCATGTCCGAGGGGGCGACACATTGGGCACCAGCCTTGGCATAGGCCACAGCCACGTCGGAGATACGATCAACAGACAATTGGTTGTTGAGGCTGCCATCGTCACGGAGAATGCCACAGTGACCGTGGGAGGTATATTCGCAAAGACAGACGTCACAGCAGATGAAGAGCTGAGGGAAACGGCGGCGGATGATCTGGATAGCGCGGATGACGGGGCCCTCGGGGTCGTCGGCAGCCGTGCCTAGGGTGTCTTTGGTGCCAGCCCGCATGGGAACACCGAAAAGCATAACAGAGCGAAGGCCTTTGTGAACGAGGGGCTCGAGGAAAGGAATCAGCTTGTCGCAGCTGAGCTGGTGCTGGCCAGGGAGAGAGGGAACGAGGATCATGTCACCTTCGCCATCGGTAACGAAGAGAGGGTAAATGAGCATAGACTAGACAGACAATGTTAGATAACTTGCATTTGGGGATGGTAGAGCTCAATTGTGCCACATACCTTGGTAAGCTGGCGCTCAGCCTGCCATGAGCGGGCCAGAGGGTGGAAGTAACCGCCATGAAGCTGGCTTGAAATATCGCCAGAGATGCTGACACTGGTGGCAGCGGTGCTGGTGTAGGACATGGCACGTGATATGTGCGAGGTTCGGTCGTCGAGAGTCGAGGCGGATGAGCGGGGGCCAGGAATCTGAGGGCGGCGAGCGCCATTGGAGTCACGGAGGCTCAAGTCCTGAACAAGGCTGGAGAAAGACATGATGTCGAATATGATTGATGTTGTTTCGTGAGAGGGGATGGCTGTTTTGGGAGGTCTAAAGACGAAGGTTTCAAAGCAAGAGCGACGGTCGGCGGAAAGGTGGCCAAAATTTCAACTGGGGGCCCTTGTGATGGCGGGATAGGTCGGAACGATGACGAAGGTTCAAGCTGGGAAGATGAAACAACACAAGTCACAAACAAACAAGACAATGGGGTATCCGGTGAGTCGCAGGGAGGAGAGTGAGAGAGAGAGAAAAAGCCTAGAAGATAGAAGATGGGAGGATGAGAGATGATAAAAGGCCAGCGTCGGAAATACATAATACAGCAATTGCCAATGAGAATGCCGCTATAACTGCCCGTCAGCGATTTCCTCTTTGCGCATGCACATGCGCACACGGCACGATCGGCCAAGTTCGGAAAGTGCGTGGTGCAGCCAATCAGAGTTCCCAATTACCTGCCGACTCCATTATATCTACCAATCAGCATTACTTGCCACTGTAAAATTCCCCCAACTGTCTTAGCAGCCCTGCGCCGGCGACTACCGACCTCGCATCGAACCAGGCGAGAGCGAGCGAGACCCTTAATAAAGAACCTCGGAATAAATTTCGATAAAACGGTGATCAAGGATAGCACACGGAGAAGCCGTGAGAATGGAAGAGTTACGGTACACTTTTTATCAATTGCTACCAAAATTTCGTACAATCTCTTCTGGGCCTTTTCTAACTCTTGTCGATTCTTCCTTTACTCTTCTGAGGCCGGCCTCAAAACCCCGCAGGCCAATAACGGCTCCGGCTTTGCTAATTCTGCTGCTTCAGCTGCCGTGTGCCCCGCCACTTTCGCCCTTGCTTTCCGGCCGATAATTCTCATTGACGGAACAAGCGGGGAACAGCCTCCGGACAACACCCACCCGGAGAGATATTACCGAGCACCGAGTTAAACCCCTTCCTTTATCGTATCAGGTGATTCTATTTATTGCATCTCCTCGGATTGATTAACTGCCATCCTTCTCCAGGTAGTTCTCTACTCCGTACAGACTAGACAGATAATCAGATTCGAATTCGGATATAGCGTAAGGATCGTTGCTCCATCGTATTCGGCTGTTTCAGCTGCGTCGACTTCAAACTTAAGCCCTGTATCTCTTACTTATAGCCATATCAACTGCATTATACCTTGGCTGATATATGAAGCCTCTTTTTGATATTCGGAACAACCACTAAATATGTACAGTCATCGGTTGCCGTCTCTCATTGTCTTGTAGCCCTCCCACCATTGCTGGATTGGCCAGTTGACAAACCACCACTCTCTCAGCCCTACAGAGCGAGACTAGCAACTCTTTCAACACCGCCAGCACATTCAATACCCCACCACCTGTAAAAGTCCTCTCATATGCCCTTTGTAGCCTATCAAAGATTGCCCGCTCGTGCCCATGTCCTTCATGTACATGGCCAAAAACATACAGTAGCGGTTGGACAGGCCAAAGTTCTTGAAGCAGATGGTGGCATCCAAGCCTCATCAGATCGAGATGCCCGACCGGTGGACCATGAGTAACGAGGATGTCTATATCATTTGGGATGGTATCGGACCAAACATCTTGACCCCGTGGGTATTGAAAGGCCCAATTTCCGTGCTGTGGTGACAAAGGACTTCCATATATCTTTAAATGTCTACCATTGGTGCTCGGACAAGAATCTCTGCCAAGCAGAAGGATGTTGGCGATTTAGCAACGATTCGAGACTTGTTTTTTTGCTTGCCGAAGAACATCGTGTTGGTGAGTGAGGAGAATTGATTCTAGAATTAAACCCATGGCTGACAATGGCTTAAGCTGTAAGTGCCAAGCGTGCTATTTAAGTAGGCACCCACGCCAACACGCCTATCGTTAAACTTCGACCTGTCAGCTTACTTATACATCACTTGGGTTCTATAAATGTATCCACTAACTGATTTATTCGTGGGTAGACGCAACTCTGTAAGCAGAGAATAGCAAATCGTGAGGTATGTTCTCTATGTCATGATACTCACTCATCACAAGGGGAAACAGACTTAGTAGTAGGTTATTGCATTTGACCAAGATATAAAGCTAGCTAGAAGTCAAATATTATGGCTGAGAATCAATCAAGTATTAGGTTGCTGAGTCTTAAGAATAACTGGCGAACGTAGGAGGTTCTTCACTTTCTGGTGGGCTGGGAATTCGAGGGCCATAAACTGGAGGGTCATAAGAACCATTGGGCACAACGCTCCCATGCCTAGCACTGCTACGCCTAGCACTACCATGTCGAGCACTATCATGTTGAGCGCTGCCATGGTGTTGAGTGCGGCCATGGGGTTGAGCGCTGCTATGGCGTTGAACGCTACGTGAAGCTTGCTGCCTTCGACTCCTCCTCTCATCTTCATGCTTCTCCCCTGTAGGTGCTTCCCTCACAGACTGTGTACCTGTACTGCCGTGGCCATTTTCATTTGTTACCCAGTCTTCTGTTGTTTGGTGGTATGCAGTACCTTCTTGACGATTTCTCTCGGCCGTCGATCCCCTATGCGTCATTCTTCTTTGAGGTGCCATACAGTCTTCGGTACTCTTACTCACTCGTCGTGACTGTCTTCGTGTTCGTTCCTTTGCCGGGGCATCATCCATAGACCTGCCCCGTTTCTCCTGTTCGGGAATCTTTCGATCTGCCTCGACTGCAAATTCATGGTTCTGTTTTCTTGTTTGGGCACCTTCTGTTCTCCTTCGCTGAGAAGAATTGTCGTTAGTGCCTCTTCGACTTGTACTGCGACTGGTCAACGTTCCAGGCCCTGGGTCATTCCTGGGCTGGCTCTCTCTACTAGTTGTAGTATTCTCTGATGGAGGGGGACCCCTAACAGTATTCCTACCGTCATTTGAAGCTGCGGATACAGCCTTGGACTCCTGCTGAACTTCTGCCGCTAGTATCTGCGCAGGCGGCCCTAGAGGTTTAGATTCAAGTGAGGGGTCTTGAGATGGAGGTTTTGAGGCTGGCGTTGCTTGGCCGGGGGGGCTTAAGGAGGGCGGCCCTAAAGCGGAGGCACCTGAGGGTGGAAATCCTGGAGATGGCGGTTTATTAGATGATGGACCAGGAGGCGGTAGTTCAACAGGTGGTAGTCTAGGAGATGGTAGCCTTGGAGATGGCGGCCCTGGAACAGTCCTCTCAACCCTGCCCTGCACCCGAGTCTCACTTCTTGCCTGAGACGGCTCCTTCGAACCCTTGCTCTCGCTTTTGTTCTTGCTCTTGCTCTTGCTCCTGTGCTTATGCTTATGCTCATGCTCGTGCTTGATGGGTCTGGCAAAGTATGGAATCCATGAGGTTGAAAAGAAGAGCCGAGTCATCGAAATGTGCCGCCCTGGGTGGTGATGCCTCTTCTTCTTGCTCTTGCTCCTCTCTGGTTTAACGTCGTAGAGGTCCTCGGTATCCCTTCTGCTTTCGTTCTTCTCATGGTCACGCTTGTGGCTTTTGCTGTGATGGCTTTTGTGGTGCCTGGTGTTCTTCGATTTTGATCCTTCGCCGGACATGTTGCGGTTGTATAATAGTCTTCTTTGATATATACATGCATGTAAAGTCAATTGTAGCGTGGTTAATAATGAGGGAAGATATAATTCGCAAAGCCAAAATGCTGTATATATACTTCACATTGAGGGGTGATTAAAAGCCTTGATTCCTCACATGCTCACTCACTTGACGCAACAGCTAAGTTGATCATACCAAGCATTCCCGAGCTTGGTTTCTATTTCAGTGACTCTAAGAAATGGTGATACAGAAGCAATGTACAACGGATAACTCACAACATCCCATCAACTCATCATCGACCATCCAACTTTTTGCTCAACGCCCTTAGACTCCCCTCAGTTGCGTATTATCCCTCGCATCCATCGGCTTGTATCGGTCCTTCAGCGCCTCCTCCACTGTCTTGTTCACCTTATCCTCTGGCTTCTTAAATCGCTGCTGAAGGGCTCTCTCCACAGGAGTCAGCGCAGTAAGCGCACCGTCCTCTTGGGCGATGTCAACGTTCTCCTTATCCTTGCTATGATCCAGGGCGATGCCGGCAAACTCCTTGGCCTCTGACTTCGCCTTTTGGAAAGCGCTCTTGGCCGCCGCGGCGACTCTTCCACTGGCATCACCAAGCTTAGCGGCCTCTTCCTTCACAAATGGCTTGGCCTGTTGCTCAGCCCGTATGACCTTCTGCCCAGCCTGGTCGACGGCGTCTGAAGGGCTGACACCAAAGGCTCGAGCCCACGCTCGTGATGCAGTATCTTCGAGGCCTTCGCGCACTTGGACCCAGTCAGTGTGCTGCACCCATCGCACGGCGTTTTCGATTTCAGTGTTCCATCGGTCCTTGACAATCTCGACAGTCTTGGCTCTTTGAGCGGCGGCGACCTCGGACCGCGTAGGTGGTGGCAGTGGTGGGAGAGGATCGATCAAGCCTTGCAGAGCGAGAGCTTGTGCGCGAAGGGCTGAGCCTTGCTGCTCACGGGTGCGTTGGTGAGCGAGCACGGAGAGGTAGGCGAGGGAGAGGGTAAGCGTGACACCGCCGGTCTGACAGTCGCAATTAGCACATTAGATCTTGCAGAAGATATCGCTTTTTAGCTCATCGAGTTGCGTACAAAGCCGGTAGTGAAGCCCATGGTTTATTATAGCTTTCTTTTTTCCGGTTGACCAAGATGCGGTAATTTGCTGTGTGTTTGACGTATCGAGACACGACCAGATCGTAAGTGAGGGTCGGTTGAAGCTTAGACACAACGTCTCATAGCGTGCGCGAGCTCAATTGCCCCCGTATCGCGTGTAATTTTCCCTTTGGGGGAGCTGTTGAAGAGGTTCTGTTGGTGGTGGGTTGACGTAGCGCAGAGGTTCGTTCGGCAGCCAAGACAAGCCGGCTCCGAAAAGGCCCAGCCAAAAATTTCCCTCCACCAAAAAACGACGGCATCCAACCACCAAAAGACTGACGAACTTGCGGGATCGGGAGCCGCCCACTTGAATTATCGAGATTCCACCACTTTTTAGAAGTCGACATCATCATCGCATCACCTCAACACCCCTCCCGATTAACTATACACTCTAAAAATCCGCTACAATGGCTGGTGGAACCGTCAAATATCGGCATCTGAGCCGTAACTCAGCAGCCCGGATGGCCTTGCTGCGCGGTCTTGTCACTCAACTCGTCAAATACGAACACATCCACACAACCTATGCCAAGGCAAAGGAAGCTCAGCGCATGGCGGAGAAGCTCATTACACTGGCAAAGAGGGACAATGAGCCCGCAAGGAGATCAGCACAGGGTGTTCTATACGTATGTATACTCAGCAGTTTTATGGAATTGGGTCATACTAACAAAACTTTCTTTCCCAGTCACCACACACCCTCCTCCCAAAACTACTAGGCGAGCTACGAACCCGATACTTGACACGAGAGGGTGGCTACACCCGTGTCGTTCGAACCGAATCCAAGAACACGTACGATCAGGGCGAGAGCGCTATTCTCGAATTCGTTGACGGCCCCAAGGACTCACGCTTTATGATGACAGCTAAGACTGTCGCCCGCGATCGTATGCTCGGAAAGGACCACACACCAGTTACCAGGACCAACATCAAGAAGGTCACACAATTCCGCGGCGAGGATCCTTTCGAGGAGATGGTTAAGAAGTTTATGGTCCTCAAGGCAAACGAGGACACCGGACCAACACGAGATGAGAGCAGCTTGGCTGAAGTCGAGGCTGAGAAATCGTTGGACAAGAATGCTGAGCGAGCAAAGGAGATGGCGGCGGGCATCGTGCCAGAGTCAGTGAGAAAAGCGGCGCAACAGAAGAAATCGCCATGAAAGCGACATGTATAATAATTATGAGAGGGATGAAGTGAAGCTCTGTACAAAAGCTGTATCAATTACTATATCATGACACGATTGTGGTTTCATCCAAATACTGAGCCTTTGAAATAACAGAAACAGTGGACTTGATCTGTTGTCCAAGCTCTATGAACTTTTCCTAAATATTCCCGAAATAAAACACACCTAAATAAATTCAAAGGTATCGCCGCGGTCCTGAATCATCTTGCCAACTCTCTTGGAGCCTACAACTCGCTCCAGCTTCATCACATCGTACTTTGAGAACATGACCTTGACGGTTCCCTGCCCAGGATCAAGCCTTAGATCCTGCTCACTCTTGCTGAGATACCCACCCGCAATCTCAGTGTAGAAGATGGGGTTGTCGGGCAAGCCGTAGAAGATGACCCGCTGCACGCCGGTGAATTGATATCTTCGGAAATGATGTGCTCGCTCGGTATATAGCAGCACACGATGGCGACCATTCAGGAAATGGGAGCGGGCTCGGGAGGCTTCTGGAACGTCGGCATACTCAGAGATTGCTCCAAAGGTGACATTCTCGACGGCACTCGATGTTGCAAAATAGTTGCGTACACGCACAAAGTCGAGGTAGGAGGGAATGAAGATGAGAGTACCAGTGGCATCCTTTGCCCGCTTGGCAAGTGAGGGGATAATGGCAGAGGTAAAGTACTCGAACCGAGCGTCGGGCTCTCTGTCGATGGAGCTAGACTGGAATCGTGAGAATGTCTGCTTTGCTTTGATACCAAGTTGCGATAGCATCCCGGGGTATTCAGGCTGGAGTCGGACCTTTCCAGCCCAGTTGTGGCAATGCAATCGAAGAAGCTCGGACAACTCGGGCGTATTGAACGCAGACAAGACGACTGTCTGTCTGAAATACTTTGCCCAATCCTCCAAGTACCAATTTCGCACACGGCTGAAATCACAACCATGAGCATCCTTGGGCTGGAGGTTCATGTGCTCGAAGATAAACTCAACGTGCTCCCAGTTCTGCATGAGAAGAGCATCTGCTTGATCGACAACAACCATCTCAATTGAGCTGAGAAAGTCAAAGTCGAGCTTTGAATCCTCTTCAGAACCAATGGCCATTCGAAGACCCAGAGGACTAGCGAAGAGGATATCTGAGTTGTAAAATTGTGAAAAGTACTTGATCGTCTTGCGAGTAAACTTCATGCCTAGACGGAACATGTCGTCGTCGCTTCCTTCAAAGAGATCCTTGAAGTCAGCTGGTCGGTCAGCGCCAAACTTCGCCTCCTTATCCACATAGCCATCGTCGAATCGCTTGCGGTTTTCTTGCTGGTCTGGTTCGCAAAGATCACGAATCATGTTGACCATTCGAAGGCATGAATTACGTGTAGGAAGGAGGAAGAGCACCTTGGGCCGAGTGAAGCCCTGGTCTCGCAGTTCCAGATCGGCATCTTGTCCTTCCTTGGCCAGCTTATAGTTATTCTTGATAACACGGTCTCGAGTTCTTTTCTGGGTTAGCAAATAAATCCTTACAGGTAGGATAACGCGGCAACTCACTTGAAAACATGGTTGAGAGCATGAAGGCAGGTCAGCTCTCGTAATGAATCTGAGTTTCGTACTGTGCGATCGCAGAACAAGACATCATTATAATTGAAGAGAAGGGAACTCAAGTTGCGCTGAACGGCGTCGAACTCGCCAACCTTGCGAGAGGAAATCTCCTTGAGTTTTTGCTTGAGCTGCAGGCCATCAAGACCGGTAATAGGTTTTGGCACCTCGGATCCTGCGTCGCAGCCTGGATACTGTACCGTTGCCCTCAGGTTCTGCAGTAGCGCTCGCTTTGTCGCCCAATCGCCCTTTTGCACTGCCTTGACTCTCTTTGCGACAACATCGTCCTCGGGATGCGCAAAGTGCAGATCAAAAGGATCTGTTGGGTTTTCTTCGTCTTCCGAATCGTCATCATCGTCTAATTGGTCCTCAACCTGCTCCTCTGGTTCTTCCTCGGCACGATCGATATCCTTCTCGGCGTCTTGTTCGTCCTCAGATGCAGACTCCTCGTCAGATTGAAGCTGGGCGGATTCTTGGTGGCCCAGCTTCCGTCGCTTAGCATTGGGGGCACTGCTCTCGTTGTTGAAGCTTTGTAGAAGGGCCATGTATGGCTTTGCAGATGCTGTCTGCTCATCGTCTTCATCCTCGGGATCGACATCGTCCATCACTGTGTCTTCAGGCGCAGACTCTGATTCTGATCCAGAGCTTTCTGATCTAACACAGGAACCGTCAGTATGGTACACTCAATATTTAATAAGTCTTAGAGCATACTCTTGATTATCTGCAAGTCGAGTTCCGTCGAATCTTCGATTGGGACCAAATCGGCTTGTCGCTTTACCTCCTCGACCACCTCTTCCTCTGCCTCGACCACCACCGCGGCCCCTAAAGTTTCCTCCTCTTCCGCGTGGCGGCATTATGTATGTTATGAGAAGAGAAAATATGCGACAAGAATTGTATAAGAAAAAGAGAGCGTTTGGTGTTACTTGTGTCGAGAGACTGTCACCACCAGACCAAGTTGTAGAAAAAAAAGTTATGAGGCTACCTTCAGCCTTGCGCTGTTACGCCACATGATGGTGGGGTTTCTCAGACATGCGCCACTAAACCCCGTCTGCTCGTCTTATCTCTCTAATCTTAGCGCGCACAACCCCAGCGGCGTCCCGCCAAACCTGCAATTCTTCAAAATCGGCGAAATTTAGAACGGCTTCGCGAGAGAGACCAGAGAAGACCCGGCCCGGCCTCACCCATTTCTCCGCAGACATCTACATCTACCTTTATATCTACACATTAATAGCTTCAGCTTCAAGTCGCCCAGTATGGCCGCTGCTGCTTCCGATAGCTTCATCCACCTGGCGAGGCCTCTGGCGCCCAATACCGTCGGAATCCAGACTAACCTTGCCCCGCTCACTGTCAACATCCAGCCTCAGGTACGATTTGCGATGACCCCTCTCACCTTGAATTTTGAATGTCTTGGTGTTTTGTTTTGTTTGTTTTGTTTCGATATTGCACTGTCTTCAAGAATTTTTTCTTTGAACTAACAAGGTCTTCTCTCTTGACTACAGGCTGTCCTCTCTATCCTCGACCACGCCGTTCGACGAGACATCCGAGATACCCAATCCACCCGAGTTATTGGCGCCCTCGTCGGCACCCGATCTGAAGATGGCACCGAAGTTGAGGTTCGCTCGTGCTTCGCCATCCCCCACACCGAGGAGGAGGACCAAGTCGAGGTCGACGTCGAGTACCAGAAGAACATGCTTGCCTTGACCCTCAAGGCCAACCGCGGCGAGTCCCTACTCGGCTGGTACACCACCTCCCACGAGCTCAACAGCTTCAGCGCCCTTATCCAGAACTTCTTCGGCTCTCCTGACACCGGCACATTCCCCCACCCTGCCATTCACATGACCATCTCTACCGAACCCGGCGAGGATATCCAGTCTCGATGCTATATCAGCGCCCCCGTTGCCGTCAACGCCGAGCGTGCTGCCGAAAGCTGTCTCTTCATCCAGGTCCCCCACAAGGTTCTTTACGGTGATGCCGACCGAAGTGCTCTCGAGGCTATCGCCAGCGCAAAGGACTCCGAGTCTCGAACAGCCCCTCTTGTCTCTGACATCGAGGGTCTGGGTCGATCGATCGAGCAGACCATCGACCTTCTCGACCGGGCAAGCGAGTGGATCAACGGTGTTCTGGACGAGGACGAAGAGCCTAACAACATCATCGGCCAACATCTTCTCAACGCTCTCTCCCTTGCCCCCAAGGTCGACCCCGAGCAGATCGAGCACGACTTCAACAACCACATCCAGGACGTCCTCATGGTCAGCTACTTGGCCAACACTATCCGCACTCAGATCGATCTTTCCCAGAGACTGGCTGTTGCCAACTTGGGCGGCACCGAAAAGGAGGGTGAGAACAAGACGGAGGATAAGGGCAACCGACAGGGCGGCAAGCGAGGTGGACGAGGTGGTGGAAGAGGTGGTGGTCAACAGCGTGAGCCCCGTGAGCCTCGCGAGCCTCGCGAGCCTAGGGAGCCCCGCGAGCCCACCGAGTAAAAGGATGTGTTTAAAAGAAGAATCGAGAAATAGATATCGGAGTCCAGGTTGCAAGAAGGCGGTGTCCCAAAGACAAAGGAAGTCTAGGATATCCCCCCCTGGCATGCATGTGAGATGAAGCATGGGTTATTGTTTCAACAAAATCATGGCGTTGTGGTATGAAAACACTGGCATTCCTGGCCATAGAATTGAATTCAATCGTCATATAAAACTACCTTTTTTCTCCGTACTCTCCTCCGCGTCCTGGTTTGATTCTTCTCATACCAAGAAGAATTATGTCAAAGTGGTATTGAACTCGTCTAGTAAATTGGGCCGTGGCCTACAAATTCATGTCATCCATCCTATCCACCGATAACGCCAAGATGCTAAATATGCCGTATACGCCTTAATGGGTCTCCCAATCTGTGAACACCATGTCATGCTTTCCCCTTTTGTTAATGTTTAAATTCCAGTGGCAGGTTTCTGGGTAGAGTTGCCGGGTTGCCATATGTCGGCAGATGGGAAAAGGGTTGGCTAGGCCCCTGTGGGATGATAGGTCGATTGGGAATATTGTAAGGAGGGTTATGCGGGGGAAGTTGGGGAGCCATGTGTTGCGGGTTCTGTGGCATGGCGGGTGGCGGAGGTGGTGGTGCATGCTGAACATGAGCTACACGGGGAGAGTGATATGCGGGCATAGAGCTGCTGGATCCTTGCCTCGCCATGCCATATCCGCCCCCATAAGGTTGAGGCATTGGCTGTTGGTAACCACCAGGATAAGCAAGGTGAGGTGACCCGACCTGAGGACTACCGTGGTGCGATCCGGGAGCAGTAAAGGGCGGCTGGGGAGGCTGAACGGGTGCCATGCCACCGCCACCAGGCACAAACGACTGTGTCTTTGGGTTAAAGGCATGATTCCGATTGTAACTCCCAGGGATTGGGTGTTGGCTCTTCGGGTCGTGGGGGTTGATGTTCGCTGGGAGCTGCCCGAATGCATAAGGGATCCCCAAATGCCCCTGAGCACCAGTGGGGGTACCTCCTCTCGGCGGGTACTGTGCAGGAGGAGCGAAGCCCGGCTGCCAGTTCGCTTGCTGTGGCCCAGCTGGGGGTATCGGAGCACCATAGTTGGTCATAGGACTACCACTAGATGGGTAGCGCTGCTGACTGGGCTGGGCAGCATACTAATGAAACGAATTAGTATTCATGTAAGTTCTTAAGCTTTTCTGGAACATACTGGAGGCACGGAGTACTGAGGGTATGGCTGGTTTTGCGGCATACTAGGCACCGCGGGATACCCAGGGGCTTGCTGGGTATATACGGGTCCCATCTGACTTGGAAACGCTGGCCCTGGTGGCGCTTGGGCACCATATTGAGGGTTTGGCGGTGGCATGTATTGCGGCTGAGGAACCCAGGTTTGTTGTTGAGGGCCCCAGTATGGAGTATACTGGTGTCGTGAATCAAAACTATCAGAATCATCACGACGTTGCTTGCCAGTCTTCCCTCTCTTCCCCAGGTTGGATTTATCCTTGGCGGATACTGAACTGGCCCTTGATATTCCGTTATCACCCTCTTCTGAAGCCTTTGTTAGCGACGGTTCCACATTGACATTTGTCCCACATACCTGTGACGTTCTCCTCTGAGCTGCCAAAGATGCGTTCACGGGCTAACTTGTATAGCTCCTCTCGCTCTTCCCTGGTCAATCTGATTAAAGTTAGTCTGGGATGTTTTTTTGTAGCTCTTCAAATTGAACGTACTTCTGATTAGCGGGTTTATCTTTGCCATCACTGCCAGTCTCAGAGGTTGCCTTGGAGGCGCTAGCACTTAGGCCACCCTCGCTATCTTGACCGCGTCGCATAATCTTTTTAGGTAGCACAGCAGGAGGAGGGGTATTGTTGCTAGGCGTACTGGGACTGGGGTTGATAAGTGCCAGTGAGGTAGGGACTCGACAAAAAGGTGTCCTGAAGATCCGTACGGATCCCACGTGAGGCTCAAAAGAATGGGTCATATGGTAGTAATCAGCCAACTTGTGTGTCAACATTCTGCAGAAGGAATTTGACGGAGGAAGGTCCATGTACGGTTCCCTAGTAGATGTGATTAGCACGAATTATGACCGACTGGAGCGAATAAACATACTTGGAGTCCTGAACAAAATCGATAACCTGTTTCTCTAGTCTGAGTAGGAACAGTCTGTCCTTTGGGGATGCCATGGCTTCAAGCAGTTTCTCATCCGGTGCCTGCCGATAAATGACCCCGAGGGCATCAGAGGTACCAGCCGCACCTAGAGGGGCACCTGGAGGTTGGTCAGATGAAGAGCTCTGGGGAGTTAAAACCCCTTGAGCAATAACACCTGGAGCCTGCTGCGGTAGCCTGCGCTCGGGGATATCTCCAAGAGGAATGCCTCTACGAGCGGCCACCTCAGAACCCATTCGAGAACCAGCAACTAGCGAACCACGGATAGAAAAGGCATCATCGTCTTCCGCAGCGGCCTTGACGCTTGCGCTGTCATCAGGCCTTAGCGACTCCTTCTCGTCGAGGGCGAAAGTTGTGCCGGAAGTAATGCTCTTTCCATCCAAGCTAGGAGGCTTCGTACCGAGTTCGGAGCTAGAATCGGCTCGTTGGGAATCATCAGATCCACTGTCTCTGCCAACAACTACCGTAGGCCGTTCAGGGGCCAAAGGTCCGCTGCCGTTGACGACAAGACTAGGCGCCTTCTCTCTAAGGCTCAGCTCGTTCAAAGATCCTACAAAGTTGTCTACACCGCTTCCATGTTCGGTCGGGCTGGCAGTGGTTCCATTTTGCGGCGAAGGCATCTTTCCGGCCGGTGCCTTGTCGGATCGGCCATTCGCAATTACAGGCGCTGTAGATGTGAATGGTGTCGTCGAGCTCATGGGTGATTCTTTAGACGGGGTAGCTATCCGTCGGATCGCAGGTAGTGCGGAGTCCTTAGAAACGGATGCAGCGACCTGTGGAACACCATGAGTTAGTGTCGAAAGAGTAAAAAAGAAAGGCTCGTGGAAAGAGAAGAACCACTTATAGAGGAGACAAGCATGGGGTATAATTTACCTTGGCGAACGAGGGTTTAGGTAGATCAGGAGACATTTGGGCAGTAGCCATGATGGACTGCGATAAAGGCTACAAAGCCAATCCAATAGCGCAGGCGGTAGAGATGCCAGCGGCGTATGAGACAGGAGAGTGAGAGTAACGGTTGACCAGGCACAAGATGAGGCTACAGCTTCAAGCTAAGTCTGAGGCTGCGGCTGAGACTGCAGCGGTGACGACGGAAACAGAAAAGACAGGATGAGGAAAATCAAGAAGCGAATTCGATGGGAGCGGACCAGCAGAAGGAAAATGGAGTCTCGGTGCTCATCGTCGTGGCGTAAGATGCATTGCTCTCCAGGTGGTTCTGCTCAGGTGAAGAGATGATGGTCGTGGTACGCCTTTTTGGATGCCCAATCTCAGCTTTAACTAATGCTGAGCGCCGAGTGCTGAGGTGCGGCCTCTTTTTTTTCGCAGTGAGACGGAACGGAGGTCAAGAGGAACCCCAAGTAAACGCCCTGTGATGCCCAAGTCCAAGGCCACGCAAAAGTGCGGGAAAAGAAGGACAGGGTTAATAAAGAGCAGTCAATTTCTGACAGAAGCGGCCCGAGGCGCACAATGCAGACAAAGGGCGGGCGATGCGATGTGATGTGATGCTGAAGGGCTCAACTGGATGTAGTTGGTTAGTCGAGGTTTTGGAGGGGGAGCAGTGGGAGGAGGTTGTCACAAGGACCAGGCAAGGACATGCTCCAGTCAGTCAGTCTGCCTGCCCTGGGCTGTCACTTTCACTTTCACTCCTTGTCCACTTTCCTGGGGTGGAGCAAGCCCAGGCGGCACGGCGGCTGGATAGCCCAGGCCCCAGGGCGCACAGTGGGAGGGGCGTTGAGGAGGTACTGAAAGATCCACTAAACCTCAGGCTTCCCGCCCGAAATGAAGAGGCATGGGCCAGTCAAAATTGGTGAATTTAGTTCTAGCGGAGGTCACTCATCATGGCAGAAAAATCCCCTTCAGTTCATAGATGGTCGGCACTTCAGAGTTCGGGCCAGTTGAAGCAATAGGTAATATCCTGTGTCATGCCATTGAGAGATATTTGCTGTCAAATCGCTGACTACAAACTCCCATTTCTTTGGGATAAGCCTTTATAATAATAAACATTCAAATCTGCAAAGATGAAAAGGGGGATAAAGCGCCAGTTGTCCCTGAAGACTTCCTCATGGTAGATCCCAGTAGGATGCATTAATTCATGATTTGGATGACCCAATCCTAACTCTTTCCCACTACCTACGTCCTGTTCATACTGTACTGTGGCGCCTAGGCTGATTGTAGCCGGGAAACAGAGTTGAAACAAACGAGAATAGGGCGAATAGATGATTATGTAAACCTTCAATTTCAACCTCAACCGTTTGTTGTCCATCGCTCGGCCCTTACTGATCGCCTCCCCTCACCAATTCGCGGCACCGGAGTTTGTTTAGTGTTCTAAGGGTGTGCTTATGTCGCAAGATAGCCCGCTTCAGCTTCAATACGCCTGTTAACATGAGTAGAGATACTTCGAACATCATCTCACTTGAGACTTCTATCTGAGCACCTATCGGTCCCGTACCTACGGGACAAATTCCTTGCCAAACCACCTTGGCGGTCAAACCTAGCCGATATTTGACTCTTAGGACCCTAGGCTTTTCTCGTACATGTATATATTAAGAGGCCATATGTCTATCAGTCCCGGTAAGAGTGGTGAAACGTTCCAGGGTACTCTGTAAACATAGACCATATGCACTCAAGTTTACGCTGGAAACTAGTATGCGCATGGTTATATCCGATCTCGTCAAATCTGACCGCGAGTTCTATATATAGCCCAAGCTTCCTACCCAATACTTGCCTTCCAGAGTGTCTTTACGAGAGAGTATGCATCTACCTCGCTCGTACTTTTCTATCAATATTCTTGACTTGCTTGATCAAGATTTCGACGCATGGAGAGTTCCACCATAAGCTGGGATCCTTCTGTTCTAAGTGATTGAGATATCGAAGCCATGCTGCACCATGTTATTTATTTTCGCATCAAACTTCTAGAGAAAGACTCCGATCTGTCAAAAACGGTTCAGAGGTACTTGGTAAACCATGTGGCTACACACCAAGTCTATGTAACACATAGTGAGCAATATAAAGCGTCGTAAGGGTCAAGTGTACCCAGGACAGACTCGGATGGAAATACGGAGGTACAGCAGGTCCTAGCAATGTGGTACGTACCTACCGACTGCAACTATATGTCCGTCACGTGATCAGACGACAACCACTGAAGAATCATCCAGGCCCTTGCAAGAGGGTGACCTATTGCATCAATTCTTTTGCGTTGTCATTAAAGTCCTTCAGTCTCAAACATCACGCAAGTTCTAGGTTAATATCTTGACTTTATACTTGCTTCTTACTCTTTCCTCAGAACAAATAAAACTCAGTTCAGGACACAGCATTTTACATAACCGATGTTTACTTACAAAGGTCGTGGTGGCCCATCCCGGTCGACACCCGCCAGTGTCCAGTGCCAGAAATGTTTAAAGAGAGATATGTACTCTATATCCATATATCATAGCTCTGCTGACCATCTCAGAACGCCACTATTCTTACGAGTGTAAAGCGACTACTCAGGAGCGTCCGTACGTGTCGCGTCCATCGCGGTCTCAGCAGCTTCGGAACCCGAAGCTCGTGCCTAAGCTTACAAATGAGACGCTGAACCCTCTAGAGAAGAAGTATGTTGATATCACTCAAGTCTATTCATTATTTCCTAACGATGCTATAGGAAGGGTGTTGCAGATGAGGAGCTGTCTAAGGCGGAAAACGAACGCGCGCGTAAGCGTGAACGTGAGGAGAGGGATGATGAATTGATCGAGTCAACTGCGAAACGCCACAGATCGGTGTCTTCGCATTCCGTTTCTACCATCTCAACAGGCGCTTCGAGGTCTCCGTCGCCCGGCAAAGGCGGGGCTAAATCTCCTCTCCGTGCGCAACGAGGACGAAGCCCTTACTCCGACAACTCACGAGCTGGTGGTCAAGATGACAGCCGAAGCCAGAGTCGCAGCGTTAGCCCAAGCCGTAGCCGAAGCTCTCGCGTTGAAACTCGACGCAGAAGATCTTTGCCTGGCGACAGTCGTTCCCCTGAAGATGACGGCCGGCGTGGCCAGTACAGAGCCCGTGACCCTCTGCCTCCGTCTAATGGAGGCGAGACTTTGGGACAGTCGAAGGGGCATTTGTCCGAATTTCAAGATCCAGATGGACCTCAGCGTCAGCGTCACGCGGACTCAAGGTCGCCTGAACCTAGAGAGAGACGTGATCGGCAGGCTCGTGAAAGACCGCCTCAGGGGAGATTCAATGACCAGACACATGGACGTGGAGGGCCACCTCCTGAACGCCAACCACGAGAGCGAAGCTTGAGTCCTTTTAGCCAACGATTAGCCATGACAAAGGCTATGAAGCAAGGTGGAAGATGATTATTGGGTATAATTGTAAACATAGTGTAACCATGATCGCACAAGGCGCCGAACCTTTAAAAATGAAATGCACAGAACGCGAGACAGATTTTCACATACAACGAACAGACTTGGCTGTTTATGCACCTAGTGCAGCCTCCTCTTCCTTTTCGCGACGTTCCTCTTCCTCCTCCTCCTTTTCCCTAACTCTCAGACCTTCCACCAATGCCACACCATCCATACCAGTCGCCTCTCCAGTGCCTTGAGCATCATTGACGGCGTCATTCTTCGCAGCGGCTTTTTGCGCACCCGTAATGCGATCGCGCACTAGCCGGGCAATAGCGTTGTCTGTTCGAACATTGAGGACCTCCATCTTCTTATCGAGTTCCCTCTTCAGATCCCAATTCGGCTTCTTTGGTTGCAGTTTAAATAGATCGACACCCTTGTCGTCCTGGGCTTCTTCTGCCGCCTTTTGCTTGATCTCGGCTTCCACTTCAGCAGCCTGCTCTTCAAGGGTGGGCTTGTCGAGGTTGATTGTCGGGTCCTGCTCGAAGCCGAGTTTTGGGCCTCTTGTCTCGGGGTCATAGTTGCGGCCAGACACGTGTAGCCTCGAGACATCGGGCTCTGCGGGAAGTGATGCCTCTCGTTCTGATTCTGGCGCAACAATTTCATCGCCTGGTTGCTTTCGCTTGAGGTTCTTGAGCTTGGCGAGTCTGGCCTTTCGATCGTCTGATGCAGCGCTCAAGGTAGCGTGTGAAGACATAGTGGGCGCTTAACGGGTGTATTATGTGAGGGTGTAATGAGTGTAAGGTCAGTAGAAATCTGAACCGGTCGCGGTATCGTTAAGCTTGAATGTTGGTGGGGTGTAAAATGTAAATTCAAGATGGGCTTCTCCAAGCGCGTCAATCCCATCTTCAGCACTCCAGCGCGCAGAGCCGCTACAGTCTAGGCCCAAGCGCCACTAAAACTTCTAAGACAGGGATGAGCAGAAGTCCCTACGTTAAGCGTCAAGCGCAAGAAAGCGAGCTAAAATTATAGAGACCCCATGAGCGACTTCGGCAAAATATTTAGAAATTTCCCGATTAAGAGTAATTAACGACTTCAATATCCGACCTTGGATCTTCGACTCCAACGAGCGACTGCGACTGCGACTGCGATAGATTCGCTATTCGCCTAGCGATCACTATGCGGACGGTTGACCTTGAGTTGACGCCGACCAGGAGGAAATGCCAACGGCTCTCATGCTTCGCGCCTGCACGAGGCTCGAGTCCTCTGTAGCGACACAGGCATGGAAACGAAGAGCTGGTTTTCCTGCATTGCGGCAAAATGTTCCCAGATTCGCCTCAATATATACTCGCACATATCACGATGAAGCACAATCACCATTCCCAGATGGTGGCTCTCAAATATTATCACAAATACTCCCTCGTCCCGCAGCTCCGAACCCCCCCAAGACCCTCACAGACGAGTCGAAGCAGGCATCTGGCCCACAGCGGAAACATGAACGAGATCAACGCAGTTACGAGAGACATAATAATCAACGAAAAACGGATCCTAGATGGAAAAGCACCTCGAAGGGCATGCCAGGCGAGCGGTTTCATCAACGCAGGCCTACTCAACTTTCCGAAGAAGCCCGAAAGGCTGCCGAGAAGCATCAGCAGTTAGTCAAGGAAAAAGAGAAGAGGTACAAGGAGAGATATAACCAATGGGGCTACCTGCGCCACCAATACACGGGCGACGAGCTGGTTGCCGTAAAAAAACAGTTCGACTACTGGAAGAGCAAGATCGAAAAAATGGCCCTTCGAGAACCCATCTCATGGAAATGGAAAGAAGACGGGAAGTTCCTTTTCGAATTGGAGAGCGTCTCGGAAATGGAGAAAGCCTGGCATGAACTAGACGTCGAAACTCGGAAGAAGACATGGCCAAGGGTAATGCTATCGACCCTCCATTTACGTCCGGATAAGGCTGTACAAGTTCTTGAGGCTACTTTGGATCCTTTACCTCCTGGCTACGCAATCGTCGATGTGGCGCATACTTGTATCTTAAACCTCAAACTCAAAGATATCAAGGTTATGCGCGATCGTGTTGCGAAAGCCGACGAAGTGCTTGAGCTCTTTGCAAAGCTGATAGAGGACATTCCCCAAGGCTATGTGCCATTTCGTCAACATACCTTGGGCTATCTGGCGAAGAATCTCCCAATTGAGCAAACGGCAGAGATCTACCAAATACTAAAACGATCGGGCATCAAGCTGCATCGGAATACCCTCTTGCATTTTGCCAGCAAGTTTGCGAGTAGCAATGCGCACAAAGAGGACGCTTTCCGGATTCTACGTGGCATCACAGACGAGGGCCACGATCTAAACTCGGCGGGCATCGCGAGCGTTATTACCACATTATTACACACCAGACAAGAAGTGGAAAATACTTGGTCTGAATCAGAGGATACCTTCTCGCCACAGCGGGCTATGGAGTATTTCCTTGAACGGGGTTTTTCTCCCAATTTGGTCAGTTTTACAGCACTTATTGAATCTCTATGTAATCAGGGGGATATTGCAGAGGCTGTTCGACTTCCGTTACTACTGGCAGAGAATGGCGCCGAGCTTGACAATCGCTGTTATGCTACTGTTTTCAGGGGCGCCAAAAAGAGCCTCAAGACGTCCAACGTACAGCTTGCCCTCGATGTTGCTCGAGCAGCGAAAGCTCCCTACGTTGATGTGCTCAACAACATGCTTCACGCCGTTTTCTACTTTGCAGAGATGGAGTGCCGTGATAAGAAGTATACATGGCCATGGGTTCTCCCCCTGTTTGGACCTATGCTTCGCATATATGCCAAGAAATTCGATTTGGAACCTCTGCAGTGGCTGCTTCCCGATACCTTGCCCCTGATCCTGACTCAAGAAAACCTAGAAGGTACTGAGAAGTTCAGACAGGGCCCGAGGAGAGAGTGGGAGTTTAGCAATACCATTGTTCCGGTGGTGAATGAGTTTTTCGAGCGTGATGATGCTCCGCGACAAAAGCCCACTACGCAGACCCTATCGATTATGCTACGAGCCTACATCAAGACTCTCTCCAGACCTTATGACTTGATGGCTTTCTACTCCTTCTTCAAATCACGTCTAGAGGATCATGGAACCGAGAAAAACTGGGCTCAGAAGCTGGCTGAAGATCAGGGAAGTGTGGTCCACGATACCTTGATTATGGTCATGTTAGAGCGGAAGTCATTGCTGCGTCCAGCATTACAAGTCTTTGGCGATATGCTCCGGGACACATTACGCTCCAAGGAGAAAGAGGAGGGCAAGGTTGCAGAACATACTGAGAGTGCTCCAGTTCACCCAGCGCCTAGTATGTTCACTTTCAGCATCCTCATCCACGGCCTTTTTATGCACAAGGAGAAGATGTTGGCGGAGCAGGTCCTTCAAGCTATGCGAGAGCATGGTCTGAATCTTGATATTATCACCTGGAACACGCTTGCCAGAGGCTACGCCTGCATGCAAAACATGTCACAGACGGTTGGCACGCTGCAGGATCTAGAGGCCGCTGGTTTCAAGCCAGACGTTTACACATTCAAGGCATTTGCCAAGCTGAGAGATCAGACTCGGGCGCTTGAGATGATGGAAAAGATTATTGACGAGAACAAGAAAAGGCTGGAACAGCACCAATCCCAATAACTGTATAACACGATAGAACGACGGAGTTGGAAAATGGATTGGCGCAGCGGAAGGGCGAGCATTACACATATCGCCGTGGGCATATCGCACAGTTTTGAATGCCATGTCTAGCATTTTGGGTGTAGGATTAAAGGCAAAAAGAGCCATACATTGAAAGGAAATGAGGAGTCGTGTTTGAGTACTATATGTCTTCCGCAGACTATGTCATGAAAATACATGTGTCAGTTGCAGGCATCCCTCTAGCTGTTGTCCCATTGCTGATACCGTTTGATGAGTCAACTTTAAGAACCAAAAAGCCTATTTTAACCCAATGAGCATTTTCCTCTGGCTGCAATCTAGGCAAGTAGTTATTATGTATAATGCAAACAACGTTTCTTGCTACTTCTCTTGAATATGTTTAATATTATCCTCAGAATTTAACCAGTCGTTGTAGGTGGCGTTAAGAGCTACTGGTCTAGGTTATCCCCGCTGAGATAAACAGGCAACCTACCAAGGTACACAAGAACATTGCAATACTCAGTCCTTAGGTACAAGATAATGAGATTCAATCAAGAAACTGACAATTGCTAGAACTTCTTCCTAAGGACACATGTAACTCGTTGGTCGGTTCTTATGCTGATCAGAGCCTATTAAATCTTTGATTGAACATCAGAAACTATCACTCTCGCCTTTATTGGTCAACGGCTCAGTATTCCTTCGCCATCAATTACTCAACGTCTCCTTCGAAACTGATAGGACTGCATATAATACACAGCTCACAAGTGAACACACAATAAACCGGCCGACCATGTCTGGTTCAAACATGAAGCATCTCACCGGCGTCTTTCGAGCAACCGATTCCCACAAAGTCACACGCAATCGAAAACCTGTCTCATGCACAACATGCCAGAAACGCAAGTCAAAGTGTGATCGTGCAAAACCATCCTGCAGCGCCTGTCAGAAGCGTGGCGACACAAAGCCTTGTGTCTACGGAGACGCGAGTGTTTCTGAGGACAAGCGGGATATGCAGCTCAAGGTTGCTAAGCTGGAAGAGATGGTGATGCGTCTTGCTGCTGCGTCAGAAGCCTCAGGTACTCAAAATAGTGCGACTGGGAGAGCAGATGTCAGTGGAGCTTATCCGCGACGTGTTGAGGAGGGATCGGATGCCGAGTATCACGGAGAGACTTCGTGGGAGGCTGTCTTCCAGAGCATCCACGATATCCAGAATGTTCTCAGCACGCAGGATGAGCTTGATCACCATGGCGAGCTGGAGGCTATACTTCCTGCACCGGATATCGCCATCGGAGGAATCTCTCCCCTCACTATTCACGATGTCTGCAGCAGTATGCCCTCTCGTCAAGACGCCGACATAGTCGTCGAATCATATTTCAACTCAAAGTTCCTCGCTGTTCCTGTTCTTCACCAGCATCACTTCTGGCGCCGCTACGAACTTCTCTGGACCGATCCTCAAAGTGCTAATTTCCTATGGCTGAGTATCATGTTTTCTGTACTCAGCCTCGGTGCTTTGACTTGTAAGGTCAAATACCCCAGTCTCGAGACCGTGCAGGAGCCCAAGTTCTACATACAACGCTCAGCTCAATGTCTCGTGACTGGAGGTTATCTCAAAGCCAAGCCATATTCCGTCGAGGCCCTCATGATGTACGCTCACTCACGTAATGTGTCCAAGCAAGACTCCGATGCAACGATATGGTCTCTCTACTCACTGTCTGTTCGCCTCGCTCAGCGAAGAGGTTACCATCTTGACGCAGCCAGAGTATCTCCTCATATAAAACCCTTTGAGGCTGAGATGAGACGGCGAACATGGTTTATGGTGCAGACTTCTGATCTTCTATTTTCATTCCAGCTTGGTATGCCTCCTATGGTATATCAAGAAGTCTGCGATGTCGGCCATCCCCGCAACTTATCTGATGATGATTTTGATGAGGACACAGACGTACCTCAATCGCGTCCTCCGTCTGAACCTACTCCTATTCTGGCTTGGCAGACTAAGTCTCATCTTTGTCGCTTGCTGCGTCGTGTTCTTCGACATGCCCTTCGTGTCGAAACGCCGCCTTACGAGGAAACGATGGGTCTTCAGGCCGAGCTGGAGGCATATCACAGCAGTGTTCCAGAATGCTTCCACATCCGTCCAATATCCTCTACGCCTGATGAAATTCCCGGCTACACCATCATGCACCGACTAATCATAGAAGTATCATATCTGAAAACCATCTGCGTGCTTCACCGCCCCTACCTCAGCGTCGACAAGAACCAAGAACGATACCAAGCATCCCGTGTTCTCTGCCGCGATGCAGCTTCACGAGTTGTCGACCTTCACCTCGAATTTGAACACGAGGTTCGGGAAGGGGGTCGTATGTATAACGATCGCTTCTTGCTCTCCAGTCTCACTATGCACGATTTCCTGGTCGCAGCCATGATTCTATGTCTGGATCTTTATGAATCAACAGATATAACGTATGCTTGACCTCATATACTGCGATACGTAGCTAACAACCGCCCAGCCCGCAGGACCGTATACACCGATTTCAGATACTCGAGCGTGTCTACAAGAACTGGGAAGTACGCGGCAACCACTCTAGAGACGCAAGGCACGGCGCAAAAGTCATTCGTGCGGTTCTCAACCGCATCGAGATTACAGTGAACACTGCATCCAAAATCGCGGGCCCCGACATGGCCACCACATCTTATCTTTGCAATGAGCCCACCACAGAGAGTGGGATTCCAGACATGGCTATGCCGGATCTCAACTACTATGGTGAATATGAAGAGTTCCTCCCTTTGAATAGTTTCTTTGGCCCTGTCGATGGGCTTGACTGGGTTAGTTTTGTCGGTGAGCCCGTATTCTTCCAGTGCCCACTAACAAGCAACAAGATATTCATCGGTCAACTCTAGGGCTGCATACGAGGCCGCATGTGCGGGCATCCTCAACATCGCTCTAGCAACCAAGCAAGTCTAAGAGTCGGCTACGAGCTGTGTATTTGTTGCGATCGCGACTGGTCGAGGAACGGGCCGCATTATGTAGCCCGAATGGGAGCAAGATCCATTACAATACGACTCTATGCATGCGTGATATTCATCTCATAGCTCATATTGCCGCAATAATCAGGAACAGGACGGAACCGAGACAGACATAGCCAGAGAGAGAGACACACACACCGCGACAATAGAAGGTATTTAATAAACTTGTGACGGGCTAACAACTAATAACACGAATGGATATCATCCTGCAGGTCTCGACCCGGCTTGTTTATCTCTCATAAGTCGTGGCACATGCAACACAAACACAAACAAATGGCCCTAATACCACCATCCCCATTCATCGCACCGATCCGTCGACCCATCTCGTCACATGAGGCTTTCTACCTCACCGAGAATGACAAATGGATCCCACACAATAAGTCTCGCAGCGCCTCCAATTAAAAGTTGCTTTTTTCCTTTTCCCGTCTTACACTCGTATCGTAACCCCAGTCCAACACAAAACGTCTCCCACTATGGTAATAAAATGAAACAAATCAACAAGAAGCAACGCTGAGGCTTTCGTAACGCTTGGCTCCATTCGTAATCATTGAGTAGATGGTGGCCGTTTGTGGCCTAGTAGCCAGTTGGCCAGCCATCAACAGTGTCGACTTTACCCATGCGACCAGGCTGGGATCATCGACACAGTGGTTAGAGGCAACATCATATGTAAACATTAAGAAGCGATGCCGCGAAGAACCCTGGCAGGGTTTCCAGCTACAATGGTGAAGGGGGGAACATCCTAAAGAAAGAGTTAGTTACTGCTTCTTCAACAATTGCGTCTTCAAAAACATACCTTGGTGACAATCGACCCAGCACCGACAGTGCTGCCCTTGCCAATGGTCCTTCCAGGAAGAATGATTGCACCTCCACCAATCCAGCAGTCCTGTTCAATGATGATAGGTTTACCAACCTGTGGACCTTGTCCGCCTTGACGCTTCTTTGGATCGATGGGCAGCCCCGCGGTAAATATGCTGACATTTGGACCAATTACGCAGTTATCGCCAATGTTGACCTCGCATACGTCATTGATGGTACAGTTGCGCCCGATCACAACGTGGTGGCCGATGGTGATGTTATAACCGTAATCACAAATGAAAGGTGTTTCGACGGCAACATGTCGGCCAACGCGACCAACATTGGTAACGGGGGAAGCTTCGGTGGGAGAAACTCGAACCGGGTCGCGGGGCTGCAGGATTTCGAGGAACAAGCGAGCGCGCTCATCGGGAGATACGCCGTGGGTAGGGGGACTAGTAAGGTTGTTGAATCTCCAGCAAGCGGTAGAGCAGCGTTCACGCTCCAGGCAAAGCTCTTTGTCAAAAGGATAATAGTGTCGCCCCGACAACATCTCCTCCTTCTGGGTCCGTCTCTGAGGGAACTGAGAGTGTGATAGAGCCAGCTGAGCGGCAACCTGGGCGTTGGAGGTCGGCGCAGGTGGGGGAGGAGCCGGACTGCTGGTTCTCGTTGGATGTAGAATGTTAATCTGTGGCAGCTGGTTTCCAAGATGAGATGACTCGGGCTCCGTTCTGCTAAGATCGTGCAGCGGAGGCACACGCTGATATTCTTTCGCCATTCTTTCTCCAAAAGGTGGTGGTGGCGGTTGAGGGTTTGCGCTGACTGGAGTTGGGAAAACGTTTGCGGGAGTATAAGGCAAAGCAGGGAGTTTACTTTCAGGACTGGCAACAGACGCGCTGGGCAGTGTTGATGCTGTTGGCCGGTCGTCGTCGGTCATCAAAGGGCGGCCTTGTGGGGGGTCAATTCGGAGGGCCTGGCCGCGATAAGGCGGCAGGGATTCGCGCTTCACCGGTTGACTACCATAAGGACTTTGCTGCGGCATTCCGTAAGCTCCAGGAGGAATGTATGTTGGATCTTTGGATTCAAGTGGAACTGCTGCGGCCTTGTTGTCGGGCTTTTGCCAGCCCGGTCCACGCTGAGGCGGATATCCTGCACACACAAAGCTGCCACGGAGACAGTTTCCACCTAAGAGACTGTCAGTGCCATGCGTCGACAATGAAGATGGAAAAGATTGCTCACACTCGGGCTTCTGCTCATCGCACTTCTTCTTGCGTTTGCGGCAGGTCAGGCAGCCTGTCTTGGTTCGATTACTGAAATTCCTCTTGCGTTTCTTGGAGTCGTGCTGCAAGATTGCGTCACGCCTCGCCTCAGATGTGTACAGACCGCCATAAATGATAGAGGAATCGTCGCCATCGGGGCTGCCGTTGGAGTAATCACCATGGTCCATCTGACCTGCAGCCCTACGAAGCGCATCACCAATCTGCTCCTCTGTTTGGCCGTGGGGAGTGGTGGCAGAGTTTTGTTGAGAGTCATAGCTGCGTTCGTCGCGTGCTTGGTGCGAATACCAGGATTCCTTGTCCCGATGCTCATCTCCATAATGACGATAATCTCTTGAGGGGGTACCATAAGGTTCTCGTGATTCATGGTGAGGGTGAGCGGATTCAGGTGTATGAGCGTGGGCGATATGTTCTCGACGCATCTCAACAGATTCGGATCGCTTTCTCTTATGAGCGCCTTCTACATCAGGATACCCAGGTGATTGGAATGGTGGCCGGTCTGCACTCTGGGGAGGAATTTGATTTGATGATACCTCTGGCGTGGGTGGAGGTTGAGATGCAGCTGTGTTGTGTGGGCGTTCGTCCATGGGTGAAGGCTTTTCAATAGTCACAACAGGCGGATCTGAGGTTCTGGGTGAGCCCCCATTAAGGGCGGTAAAGGTCGACATATTAAACCGTTGAACTGGCGAGTGAGGTCGCGCAAGAACAAGCGAGCCGTAATAAACGTCTAGAGATCGCAATCAAGCCTAGAAGCTGGCGAATTCGAGGCAATCTCCCAGAGTCGGGGGGACGAAACACAATTCAATCTCTCCGGGCGTTCCGCGAATGGCCGTGAAAGCCGTGGGACTGGGGTGTCTACAGAGAGTGAAAAAGGCGTGAGTGTTGCTAGTTGTCGAGTCCAAAAATTTGAACTGCCAAGGTTGCGAGGATGAGATCGCAAAAGATGTCAACCGCGAGGTAAGGCCAACTACGTGGCACCGTAGATCGTGGGGAGATTCCGCGCTGAGATGAGCCAAGCTGAGTTGCTATCCGCCAAGCCAGTAGAACATGAAAGCCGGTCACTCGTTGCTACAATTCAATGAACCAGACTGAAGACGCGTGTGACGGAGAGTGACTTGATGATGAGTAGCGATGAGATTGAAAGCTAGCAAGGCCAATTCGGTTGAGGTGAGGTGAGGTGATATAATGTGAGGTGAGAAAAGGCGAAACAGTAGCCAGACTGTGATGTCTCCTCGATTTCTAGATTTGGGACTGTACTTGACAACTATAGTGGGCGTAACGAACGTAAATCAACTGAGTGAATAGCCTGGAAGCCTTTTTTCCCGAAAAGCGCGCTCGCAGATAAAAGATCAAATGTGACGACAGAGTTGAGAGCGTGATTGCTCGTAAATCGAAGTAAAGTAGAGTAGCGAAAAGTCGGGAAGTTGAGGTTTGGAAATGACAAGAGTCGCGGCGCTTGGGGCGTCGGTAGGTTTTTGACGCGCGATTAACTCGAACTGCGCCTGTAATCGGCGAGAGAAAAAAAAGCTGGCTGGGGGTGTTTGTGGCGGAGAGCTCAGATCAATCAAGCCTGGCGGGACGGGAGAGGGAAGGAGGGGGGCCCTTGAGTTCCCGGGGGGTGGAGGGGGGTAGAGTAGCAAGAGAAAGAGAAGAGACAAGACTGGAAGGTTTTGCTTAGGAAGGGGATGAAGAGGAATAAGGAAGACGAATCGAGATTAAAGTGAGATCCAAGATGGAGTGAGGGTGTGCCAGGAAAGAAACGAAGGAGAAAGAGAGAGGAGAGAAAGACAGAAAGAACAGAGAGAGCAAGGCACAGCCCAACAGGAATCAAGGGTCACTAGAGTTGGAGAATAGGTAGTGCACACAGAGAATGAGAGGGCAAGCGAGGGAGTGAGTAAAAGAGACGAAAGCTAAGCTAAGAGGAAGACGGCGGCAATGACAGGGACCGTCTTGGAAGCATGGCCAGATAAGACACAGACTGGTTGACTGACTGACGGTCCGCAGAGTCTGTATGAGTTCACCAAGATTTGAGTAGCACCAGAAGCGCTCAGATGTGTTTCAGTTCGTGTTGACCACTCTCACAGTCAGTTCAACAGAGGAAGCAGGGAAATATGATCCAATCCAGCCAAGTCAAATCAAATTTAGTAAATGAAATGAGGTGAGTGAGGTAGCATAAGGTGAGAGAAACACAAACAGAGAGAGCGTCTTGTCGAGTTTGGTTTGGGAGCATTCGAAACAGAACTGAACAGAACTGAAAGAACAGTGCAGTTGCAGCGTAATGCAGTGCTAATGCTATGCTAATGCTGCAAAGAAGGAAGAGCGCACCGCACACCACACACCACAAACTTCGTAAGGGGTGTGGAACGATTAAAGAACCGGGGATCAGGGGACCCTGGAAGGTGGACTCAAGAGCGGGGGCGTGAGCGGGCAAGAGGCATGGGGCGCGCGGTTGGTGCAGTTGGTTTTCAGTGTTGGTGGTGCAGGTGCTTGCAATATTGGGTCCATCCGAATTATGCTGGTGATGGTGCAGTTGCTGTATTCGTTAGTAGGTATCTGTAGGTCGTATAGCAATTCTAGCTGCAACTTGCAACTTGAGCTAAGATATCCGTAAAGGCCAAGTTTACTCCATGAAACGAGTGGAGGCGGCTCAGTCTTCAGCGCTTTGCGGAGCGATTAAAGTGTAACCCGACAAGAGTCCTGTGATATATGGCGGTTGTGTGTATCAACGTTCTTGGATGCGCAGACTCTTGACCAAGACCCCAAAAGATACTTTGGATGACACTTACAGACAATAAAACACACCCAGCGATAACCCGTTTCACGCCAAAGACTAATCACATATGTCCTTGTATGCTCGAGTCTTCAATTCAGTTCTCCGAGTTCGCGGCGGCGTGGCGCTTCACACGGCGTCACTCGCCTACTGGGTGCGGTATCTCGTTTAAGCCCGACAAGTACCTGAAGCTCAAAGGTACCTTCACTGCACCCTGACCTGAACCATGGAGAGCCATGACCCTGCTCATCTCCAGGGCCTGAGCAACCTCAACCTCAGCCCAATACTGCACTGAGATACCTTACCTCATTGGTGGTTCCGCAATGCTCCTGTTCTCGGTCGTATCACGTCACTACCCGGTCCAGTGAGTGCGGTCAAGGTCAAGATGGGGATTTCCAAAACGTTGGATCTCCAGCGTCAGCTTAGAGCTGCCACTAATTAACTTAACACTGGAGTAGATCCATATCTACGGATATCAGACAAGTAAAGGACACAAAGGACGGAATTTCTCCGTTACGGTACGTACCTACTTACATCTTTGACTCCAGATCGACTATGTACCTATGCTTTGTACATCCTTTCGTAACTCATACTTTTGTCTGTAACTGGCTCTCTCACGAGTATCTATCCTCCTCAGCATTCACTTCCATCGCATCAGTAACTGTTCTTTTACAGTACTATACGCTCTCCCACATTCTTGGTCCCTTGGTCGCCTTCTACCTGCAACCGTGGGCTGTGCGACTGGCTGAGTAGTGCCTAGGTTAGTAGTTGACGACGGAGACCGCCCTCGAGTGCCCAGAGTCTTTGGTTGAGAAGTGACAGGGGTAGCCAAATGGCTTCCCTTTCCCATGGCTTGGGGCGTTTCTTTAATTACTCACACTCCCCTCTAGGAGCGGATCAAGAACCGCACTCCGCCGCTGCTCTGCCGCGGTCTTTCAGGCTGGACACTCAGAGACAAGAAATACACCACAGCATGTCACAAACATGAACGGTATTGATTATTTGCATGACATTTAGACGAGATACACAAGGTGTCGCCTGCACGAGCCGAAGTAAAGGATGATACTCTCAAACCAGGCGATATTTGGCCTTTTTCCATCATGAGGATTATCCAGCTTGTTGGTCGTTTCAATTGTCTGAGTCATCTCGTCTATCTCTGGCGCGACAATCATATTACTTATTGCAAAACCGTGCCGCGAGCACCCATCAGCTGCATATCAATCACCTAAATTTACGCCTCTTGGCATAGCACTCAACTTGAACAAGATGCTCCTTTCACAAGCTTTTCTTCCCGCTTCATCATCATCACCACCACCGCACCATCCCATCCATTCCATTCTGCATACCCATTGTCAACATCAACATCGACGTCAACACCAACGCCATCAGATCTCAACCATTTCCTTCCACCGAATTGAGCAATGGCAGTTGTTCCAGTTTATCTCTGGCGGCGCCTGACTTTACCATCTCTACTCCTTCTTCCCTCACTAACTTTTTTGGTTCTAAAGTAGAACAGGAAATGAAGCGAAATCCTTCGGCGCCTAAACGACCCCAAACGTGTACAGTACCCGCACAAGGATCGCCCTTGGGGTAAATGATCCCAGACCCAATAAGCGACCCTTGCACACACCCAAATGGATCGAGGCCAGAGCAAGATAAAACATCAATGCTAGACACTTGTGACTGACGCCCGTCAACGAATAGTCGCGCGACTCTTCTAACAGCCTTGACGAAGCCTACAGCACCGAGGCTGATGACGGTCTTCTCGCTTGGATCCTTCGTATACACGGGAGCGTCATCTCTCCCGTCACGAACGACAAACTTACTTCCTAAAGAAGAAATGAAACACGCATATACCATGGGTATTTGGTTTCTGTCTCCATCGATCATTGTTCTTTTTGGACAATACTAAGACGTCTGATGGCTCCAACTACTAACGACTTGATAATGCAACCCCAGCGCCCCGGAGTGGCAAGTCATGCCATGCTATCTACCACCCATTAGCCATTGATTAGAGGACTCGGTCACAATTGATTGCCGTACTGTCTACGGAGTAGGGATGTCATATTCGTTAGCAGATATATGGACATCCGACCTGTTCATGTTGACAGTGGATGACATGGGCAACTACGGAGTACCTAGCCGGCTTGTCGCCCTGTTGTTTCCCGTCCTTGAGTTGATCCTTATCATTATATAAGGCTGAATCACAGCAATTTACACTCAAACTTTCAATCCTTTGTTCCTCAATCGTTTAGACTCTCTTATGGTCTCAAACCCGCGACGAACTGCCAGCCTAACTTGGAAAGTACGCTAGCACTATATAGGCTAGAGGTAGCTCTGTGGGTCAACGGGCTTCCCTGTGGTACGCGCCCTGTTCGCTCTTGCCGCGGTACTGCACTTTTCCTAGACTTTCCCAGGCGGGATGCAGGCACGTAGGAAACCCCACCCCACTTTTCGCACAACCAAAGGTAACCTCTGGTTACTCGACATGCCACTTTTCAACTTCTGTACTTGCACAGTACATCTTCGCCAACTGTGAATCTACAACCCTGATACAAGATCTCCTTCTCCCAATGCTCTGGCTGAAATTTACTGGCCAAGCTATATGTTCTATAGTTTGATACGTCCCTTCTCGGCCTATCCTATGCGACGAAGGACTTCATAGAAACTGTATCCGTACTCCGTGCACCCAGAGTACTTCTGAACCGCGCCGTCTTCAAAAGACGATCAGTTTCCCCCCCTGAGCCAACCACAGGCCTTCATCCTCCCATCCACCGCATATCGGCGGATGTGTATGTCGGGACTGTACGCCTCCTCGCCCCAACGGCCAATCAAGATCTGCGTATCATCGACTGGGTCAGGGCCTTTGCAGGGTTCAGGCACCTTAGGCGAGACATAATCTATTAACGCCGCGTCTAACACGCTAAGAGCGTTGTCTCGTGTCGCTCGCCGCCGTCCGCGGCTGTGCCAGGACTTAACTAGAGCTCAATCTTGAATTGTCAACCAGACATCAGATACGCTCGGTCAGCTTCTGGTATTTAGCCTCAGAATGCCATGTGCCCGAGCATGGCTTCTGTTCAGATCTATTTGCAATGCGAAGCACGCAATAATACAATATGAGCGCACAAATGTGCCGTGGACATTGATACTGACTTCATATCCTTGCTCCCCTGCCACAATAACCGAGGCTGGCGCGGTGCCTGGCTCGAAACACCTCTTTAACTCAGTTGTGTGGGGAGCTAGAAGGTGACCCTTGTTTGGCGGCCTCATTCGGTATTCATAGTCCTTATACTTGATAGAGGCTAGCCATGAGTCCCTGGCTCTCTATGAGTATAGGCTGCGTAGCCAGATCTTCTACGCCCAAGCTTTCTTTTGGGGGAGATTGGTAGCCACGCAGCTTCAATCCTCCCCAGTTATCTGAAGCAGCCAAAAATATCTTTAAGCGCAGCATGCCCTAACCAGCATGCGTTCAAGCACGGAGCATCGACGTATTTGATAACAAAACAGCCAACAGCCCATTTTTAGAAACCTTCTCATATCAAAGTGGTAACGCAGCCGACAAGGGCCCTTTGTCACATCTCAACATTCACGCACTGTTGGTCGGCTCCTCAAATACCTGCGATTTTACATCATGGTAAATGGTCCAGCAAGCGGCAATGATTGGTCTGTCGATTGCCGGTGTTCCTATTCTTGTCTTGCTACTCTCCACTTCAGGGCATCATCAGCCAACAATGATATTGAGCACATTCCTTGCTTTCTGCTGCATGCAGTGCCATTTGCTTTCACGTTTTAAGCCGGTTCTAGTTCAATGTTCGTAACTCCTCAATTCAGCTGTGGCATCTTCATCAATTGCTCGACATCTCGGCTCTTGTCCCGCCTGTGGCTAAGCACGCTATCTGCAGTTCCTTGTCAACTTGTGATGAGCAAAGGCAGGCTCTTAACTGCGATTGGCCCTCCATTGAAGACAAGGGGCTGGTCCGTCGTGATTCAAACCCGTCACAGCAGATAGCTAAAGGGCTAATATGACAAGAATGACGGCAATTGGCGCCTCTTTACATAAACCCATGGCCTAACAGGTAATAACTAGGTCTATATCACTGCACTACATCTTCGCGCAGGCACACCGCTGCGTTGGCTACGACCGCACAACAACGGCCCTACAGCTTCTAATGCAAAAGCGCGGGGAAGCGGAGGGTTCGGTCGGGCAGTGGATATCACTCACTCATTCCTTCAACAAAAGGTTTCGTTACACCTCAGGCAAAGAGGTAATAAGGGTGCCACCTACGGTCGTATTTTAAGACAGCTTCCTAGGATGCGAAACAGAGCGAACACGCTCGAGATTGGAGTAGGTCGCGAATAGGAGCCGCATCTTCAAAGACCCAGTGATTGATCAGCAGGATAAGTCCAGAACGAAGATTGGATTGGAAGTATTCCTCCGCATAGCGGGTCCGAATACCACCCTTGAGGGTAAAGTACTCAACTTATTACTGCAGTGATGGCATCGACGACGATCATTGCACATTAGAAGGTATCTTCGCATCCTTGACATTGTTGGCACGGAACATGACGGGCAATGAATGACTACAGACTCAAGTGCGACTTGAAGGCGGTTGATGTGTATGGGACTGCCGAGTTGCATCCTGGTCCATCAAGCCCTAGCGTGCTCAAAGGTTCCTGTTGGAGACCACGGCTTGAACTTTCGTGTCCCAACCCTGTCTGTTGGTTAAAACAACAAGCTGCTTTTCCTTGATGGGTCAAACAGGCAACTCAATTCTCCTTGGCGCATGAAATGGTCAAAAATGTCGCCAGCGCTCGCGGATGGATGTTGATGGTTAGAAACTTAGGATATTGGATAACTCCAAGCCAGAGCCAAGACTCAGATGACTTGGTTGCATACTCTGAATGTCGGCGATCCAAGAAGACAAGAATCGACCCCTCCATGTCATGTCATGGCAAGGCTGTAGATAACCCCGGATGGTTTGTTGGTGGTGGGTTGATGTTGGCTAAGTTATCCCTTCATACTGATTACTGATTCTTCGCCTGCAACTCCCCCACTCCGTCACCATCTTGCATCAAACGGAGTTGCCAGTGTCAACCTTGACAGTTGTACGCCGCGGTGGCGCATGTGAAATGAGATGCATGGTGTTTGTCGATGGCGTACTAAGATGATGCGCACTCTTGTCTTCGCCTGAAGCATGAGCGCATCGGTCCATCCCTTGTCGAAATATGTCGAGAGAAGAGACGACAGACGGGGAGGCATCTAAGTTAATCTCGCCATAGGTCAATTCGATATCTTCAGGCTGACGGCGACGGTTTTCGGCGTACACATCTGTTCTTGTCCTGATGTCCGGATGTGCATGGGCGTTATCACGAGTGCGAATGTACACATCAGCCCTATAACACGCCTGAACTATACGTCTACATTTCCAGGGTCTGTGGTATTTAATAAAAATCACATCAGCGAAACCGTTCGTTTCAGTATCGGTATATTCTCGTCGTAAACTTACTCGAGGATGCGGGACCAATCATGAGTCGTTTTGCTTGATGCAGAGGACGTCACGTCTCAGAGCCTCAACACCACAGGCATATCTTCATGACGGACATATAATATATCACGGAAACTTTGTTTCTAATTTTACAATGCTTGTTTGTCTAAAAATATCTCATCAGCGCTCTCGCAACTGATTTTACAGGCTCCACGTCCAACGGTAGTTCGTACGTTCACAACTAGCCGCCAGCTAAGCGCCGACCCTGCATAGTATGCCCTCATCTCGCAGCTTTTCCAGAATAGTCAAGATCTTGGCGCCTAGCATGGACTAATCTTGTCTCAGATCAGATATCTTGCTGCAAACCATCGCTCTTGCATCTTGAGATACGGCGGGTCAGTTCTATTGTTAGAGTATAAACGCCGACTACAACACACATGCATGCAGCCAGCCATGCAGCAACTGCTTGGGCGTCTCGCTCAAGATCTTCACCAAGACGATTCTGTCATCCACAAGCGCTGGCCCTTGTTGAAGTTCCTGTGATCTGAAGAAGATGCACACTCTCCTTTGCAAGAGCCACGCCCCTGGATTAGTCTTCCTGGCGCCAAAGAAGCAGGTTCCAAAGGAGTGGCAGCGCTATCTCGGTCGATCTGAACCACTCGATTAACGCTTCTGATCCCGTTTAGGCAAGTTGAGAGTTGGTAGCAGGCAGCTTCTATGTAAATCGGCGGCCCCGAGGCGTTGGGTGCCTTACACCCCTCAATGGTCCCATGCATCCTTCTCTAGGGGTCTTCTCTATCCAGAGATACGGATCTTCTTCAAGGGATGCGGCTATAATTATAGAAACGTGTTGCTATATTAAGAGATAGCCTCGCTGCAGCCGCTGATGAGCTGCAGGTTCTTTAACACAACGTCACCCCTATTGTCCAGCATACCTCCTAGCGCCCACTGCATCCCTCGCAGGGTCCTTGACTGTTTCAAGTACGTCCCTTGGACGAGCACTTGTCCGCAAGCTCAAAGATGAATACGCTGCCATATTCCTGCCCCACGCGGTTGACATGTCCGTGTGCTTCGGCCACCCTCTCTTTTAGGATGCAGGTTTGCGCATTTGGTGATGCATAGTCTTTGAACAGTCACACAACTGAACTCCACTGGCGGCGCTTCGACACATTATGTTATGTTTCAGAAGATGCGGTTTGTATGACATGCTAAACTCCACGGTGATCTTCCTCTCTTGGCAACACATCTAAGTTCAGGTGAGACCCTGTCTCGCCAAACCTTGAGCTCACGTGTATGACAGATCTCAAACCAACAACTGCCGGGCTAAGTAGATCTCACCGTCATGTCGGTTCAGAGGCCCCTGTGTTCCTACAGGAACGTGTCGCTCGCGTGCAGCATGTCACTGGCGCGTAGAGCTATGTACTGTGGTACTTGGTGGTACATGTGTGCGGTCTTACTTCTTCTGGCGTTTGTTGCTCTTGTCACTGACGTTGCTTAAGACACTGGCACTTCGCTTGTGCGTGGCACCGCTACTACCAGGACGCCCGTTCTTATCAGTTTCAGTGTTCTGTTCCGTTTCATTGTCTGCAGTTTCGGTCGTTGGGGCTGCTGTTTCTAGAGCACCCTTGCTTGCATTTTCAGGTGCAGATGTGACGTTGCCGTTTGTTTTCACTGCAGCGGCTCCAGGACCTTCCGTGTTATCCCCATCCTTTGTTTCTTGGTCTTTTCCGGCCGATGACTCGGATTCAGGGGGTGCCAGAGCTTTCTCTCGCTCTGCCTTCTTTGCCTCCTCGATTTTGATCTCGGATTCAAGCTTATCTGAGACCTTACGAGCATCGAGCAGACTGTTGACGGCCGCGAGAAGTTGTTCATACTGATGTGTAGTCGCCGCGGTCGGCATAGCAAGCTTGTTAGGCACATCTAACTCGTTGAGGACATTGGTGATACGCAATTGCTGCTGGTTCGACTTGTGTGAGAAGAGTTTGTTGATTCTCTCTGTTCGGAAAGTTGGCCCGGAGCCGAGTCGGTCATGATGGGTTACGCCATACAGCAGCTCCTCTTGCGTCGTGAGTTTGCGGCGCTCTTGCTGTTGTTGCTGCTGGCCCTTCTTGTTGTTTGAAGCTGTTGGAGTAGGAGCAGGGCCGGTAGATTCGCGAGGACCAGTGGATGCGACCGTGCTTTCGCGCCTCCCGGCCTCTTGTGTTGCTGCGGCGGCGGCGGCAGCAGCGGCAGTGGCGGCAGCAGAGGCAGCGGCTGCTGTTTGTGGGGGTGCTGTGCCAGATGGACTGATGCCATCGCCAGGCATTAGTGACTTACGCTTCTTGGACTTATCGGCGGTCATGAGGTTCTGCAGGAGGTTCTGCAGGCCTGCAGAAGACTTGAAAGCGTTGATGTCAGTATCCGCTCGAGGGTAATCGAGGCGATTGTAAAGCTCGCGCCGGTCATCGTTGAATCGCTCGCTGCGTGCCAGAATTCGCTTAATCTCCAGCAAGAGCGATTCTTCTTCGCGAGCTTCTTCGCGTGACCGCGTCAGAGCATTTAGCGCAAACTCCTTTCTTGACTTCTCCTGCTGCGGGTTGAAGTGTGCCATGAGTTCATGGAGGGAGAATTCGGGTTGTGTCATGTACTGCACAGGCTTCTGCGCTGCCATCATCTTGGATGCGACTTCGTAATACCGTGCTTTGAGATCCTCGAGGGATCGAGACCTTGTCGTCGGCACAATCGCTTTACTCTCGTCGCCGTCCGCGTCAGCCTCCCCGTTCATAGCCGGAGGGTTCCACTCGTAGCGATCCCATATTAAGGGCCATCGGAGGTCAAAATCTCGTGCCAGTTCGAGCAAATAATCCGTCTCCTCCTTAGTCCAGTCGCTGTGTTGTAGTGATTGCTCATACTGGCCCTCGCTGTACTGCGGTACTGAAACTTGCACGTTGAACTTGGCAAACGCGGAATCCTCGAGCTTATCTTGGGACGGTTGTGGTTGTTCTTCCTGGCTCATCTGTTCCTGCAATGGATCGTTGCCTTCTTGCTTCTCGTCCTTCCTCCTCCAGTGTCGCAAGGTGAAATCCGAATCACTCCGCGCCGAATTCTTGAATGGTCGCATCTCCCATTTCGCAGCAGGCTTACGACTTGCAAAGCGTCGCTTCTTGAAATGTGTGACTTCGGGGACGATGGCGATAGGATTGTCGCCTCCAAGGTTGTGTACTTCACGCGCCAGGCCCTTCAGGTTTGGTCTCGGCGCTGAGATCTTCTGCTTTTTGCTCGATCGGGGGCCAGACGCACCGTCGCCCAGGTTGAGGACATCGCGAACGTCGGAAGAAGTCATTATCGGAGCGTGTCGTTGGGGGAAGAGAATAAATCGAGTAGGTGAGGTAAGGTTGTTTAGTACAGAGATCCTTCAGATTCGAGATTCCATCACCAAAACCATCAAAACCAACCGCTCAGGCCTTATTATGTTGAATATTTTGTTTATTGTATTGTTTCTCGCTGCGTTTGGTCGGATTCGAACTGCTTTTCTGACGCGTTAAAATTTGGTTGTTGAATCGAGGGAATGCAGCTAAAGATGCGCCGCCTTTCCCTAGGATCAGGACGTCGTTATCTTCACGTGACAGTGCTGAACCCCCCTGACCCAAAGCCGATCTTTGAACGTGGCAGCTTCGCGGGCGCCAACCGTAGAAGCCAGAGCCAAAGGGGGGACGGCTACTTTCTCAAGATACCACCTTTATTATAACACAACGACATCCCTTGCGAAATCCCTCCCCTCGCAACGATAACCTCGATTGTTCAATTGCGCCCAATTGATCAGCGCAAAGAAGCAGTCACCATCATGAAATACCTACTTCCTCTCCTGTCGCTCAGCGCCGCTGCGAATGCGCTGCACTTCTTCATCGACGGCACGACACCTAAGTGTTTCTACGAGGAGCTTCCCAAGGACACGCTTGTTGTCGGACACTACAGTGCTGAGGAGTGGGACGACCGAGTATCAGCCTGGGTGAAGCACGACGGAATCAGCATCTACATCAATGTCGACGTATGTTAGCACGGACAGCTGTCCCCTTCCGCAACCACCTAAGGTGCATATGTAAATCCTTTTTTTACTAACAATTAAACAGGAAATCTTCGATAACGACCACCGTGTCGTCTCTCAGCGCGGTGCTTCCTCTGGCCGCTTCACCTTCTCCGCTGCCGATGCAGGTGACCACAAGCTCTGCTTCACACCGTCATCCAGCTCAGGCCGCACCTCGTGGCTCTCAGCCAAGAACCCCAACGGCGGCATCAAGCTGACCCTCGACCTCGTCATCGGCGAGACCAACCAGATCGAGAGCAGCGACAAGGGCAAGATCCAGGACATCACATCACGTGTCAAGGACCTCAATGCTCGTCTTTCTGATATCCGAAGAGAGCAGGTTTTCCAGCGTGTAAGTGTCACCAGCCAACATGTCCAATAGAGTAATAAACTGACCACGCCATGTAACAGGAACGAGAGGCTGAGTTCCGAGATCAGTCCGAGTCTACAAACGCCCGTGTTATTCGATGGATCGTCATTCAGCTCGTTGTTCTTGGCATCACCTGCACCTGGCAGCTTTCGCATCTCCGATCCTTCTTCATCAAGCAGAAGCTGACCTAAACGGATCGGTCAATGAAGCGTTTATTTGCGGGCTGGATCTTTGACCTTGCCGATTGACTTGTTCGGGGTACTGTACATCGGGTCGGGTGTTGATGGGATTGCGTATCAGAAAAAAAGACCCCAAGGGAATTGTTTGGCAATAAATCTACGAGTTGTTTCGTTGGTGGTTATGGCCGTGTAATGTTACATATATACACATGATGATGCTTATTATTATCCTTTACCTAACTAAATGCATGCTTATGAACGAACGGATGGAACGTGGAGACTATGATAAAGATGGCGACGCCTTTTTCTTTTCCCATTAAAAAATTGCCAAAACGATAACTCCCTATAGTGCTCTATCTTTGTTTCACAACAAATCACCAAACTTGCAAACTTCAAACTCATCCCCACGCTAACTGCTCGCTCCATCTACACCAGGCAAGACTGGGCGCCGTCAGGCCGCCCGATAGTCGCTCGTCTCGTTTGGTGGTTACACAAAGATATTATGGACAGCGTCATAAGAAATAAGAGAATAAACACCCAGCCAAACCCAAAAATGCTGCCCTGCACCGTCTCCTTGCGCCGTGCTGCGCTGCGCTGAAGATTAAACGTGGTTTTAGTATAATTTCGTGATGATTGCCAGACATGAGAAAAAAAAGGCCCTTTGTCCTCGTCCCAAGTCAGACCCTGCTACCCCCTCGGGCGGTCATGCGAGTGGATCGACTGGTGAAAGGGGTATGTAGAAGGACAAAGGGTTCTATAGTACCGAGATGGTGTGAATCGAGTTCGAATATGGTGAGCTTCAGAGGCGAGTAGTGGCGCTTGAGCAAATGACCCAGGAGCGCGTTTGTGACTCGAACCAACTGTGTGGATGTCTGGTTCAACAACAACCTACCTCGGCTCAGTTGTCCATCCGTAAACAGGACTGAGCTTCAGCTAGACTTCTCAACCATCAACCACGTCCCGTTTTTTTTTTTTAACAAATGGGGCGATCCTCCTCAAGCTCGGGTCTGTCGTCATAATACTAATCCTGAAGCACAACGCCGCAGCAATGAAGAAACAAAGAAAATTCTTGACTGTCAATCAGGATACGCTTAACCACAGCACAGGGTCTTCATGAGCTTCTGGAAGCCGCTGGGCTGAGGGTTTGACTGCTGACCGCTAGCCTGGGTGGGCTGAGTCGCTGGGCCTTGCTGGGACGTCCTCGGCTGCTGGGGCAGGTTCTGGGCGCTGTTCTGGAACTGAGCTTGGGTCGAGCCAGTGGGCGTTCCCATGTCCCGAAGACCCCCAACCCCGCTCCCCCTCTGCGCTGATAAGGCGCCGGGGGCGCTTGGCCGATCTCTCTGCTTGCCCATCTGCTTGATCGGAGACGGAGGAGGGGGTTGCGCGGCGTTTAAACGGCCGACAGTAAGGTTTTGTGCTTGTTGGTGAGAGGTGGTATTCCCGGGGCGGTGCCCACTGTGCAGCTCCATCTGGGAGGGACCAGGTCGAGCATTCGGGTTGTGGAGGTACGCGCCGCTGTGGTTCTTCGAGTCCCATCCCTTTCCCGAATCCTTAGAGATCTTCATCCAGTCGTACTCGCCATCCTCAACCTCTCCCGTGTTCTTAAGAGCCTGTGTGAAGAGCTCTCGGAGGTAGTCATAATCAGGAGTGTCCTCGAAACCCAAGTTGCGGACATATGTTAGATATTTGGAGAATTCTTCGGGGAAGCCCTCGCAGAGATCCTTGATAGCAGTGGTCTGCTTCTTCTCACCGATCTTCTCGTACTTCTGCTTGTTGGTAGCAGCCTTCAGACCCTGCCAGGGGAGGCCGCCACGAAGGAAGTACAGGAAAACGTGGCCGAGGGCTTCGAGATCGTCTCGACGGGACTGCTCGCGTCCCAAATGAGTGTTGATACTCATGTATCGGGCGGTTCCAGACAGTGACTTTCGCTCGCGGTACGGAATATGCTGCTTCGTCTTCGGGTCACGGTACTGCTTGGCCATGCCAAAATCGACAACATGAATGACGCTGGAGGCCTTGGTGCCGGGGCGTCCAATGAGGAAGTTGTCGGGCTTGATGTCGCGGTAAATCAGATTCTTCTCGTGGATGGTCTGAACCCTTGAAAGCATCTGCTTAGCAACCATAACAACTGTCTTGATTGAGAATCGTCTGCCGCAGTGGTCGAAGAGATCCTCAAGCGAAGGGCCGAGCAAGTCGATCACTAGAATGTTGTGAAGACCTTCCTGGCCAAAGTAATAAACATTGGGAATGCCGGCTAATTTGGAGTTAGTGTATAGTCGCGGGTATTGTTTCAGATCGGATCTTCTCACGGCAGCCAACAAGGATCTTGTAGGTTCGGTACTCATCTCGCAACTGAGGAGCATCGCTCTTGCGAGGTTCCTGGTATAAAGTCAGTAACGCCAATCAATCACAGGCGCAAAAGCGCGGGTCGTTTCAATACTAACAAATTTGATAGCAACTTGTTGGTTGTTCAGTAAATTGGTGCCTTCAAAAATTACACCAAAAGAACCCTCTCCGATCTTCTTTCCCACGCGGTAGTGAACGCCAACAACGTTGGATGATGATGAGGCCATGTCGGCTGCGGAGGCGGGCAAAGGACCACCGTTACAATATGTCTAGACAGGTACGGGAAATTCGGTGGTCGCAGCGAGAGCGGAAGTCGTGGTAAGAATCGAAAAGGATTCAACAAATCGATGCCTGTAAACAAAATGCACGAGCCGGCGGTCAGTCTTGATGAAAACTTGATGTACATATAAATAGATGAAGGAGCGAAAAGAAGAGAAACGGATGCAGTGGCGGTGCTTGTGGTTGGGCGACCAAAGAGAGAAGCATGAGGCGACGGATTGGTCAAGTTGGGTTGTTGGCCAGGTGCTGGGATCATGATTGGAGAGGCGCGGCAAGAGAGACACCTCCAGCCGAAAGACCCAGCCGCCAGCCGCAGCTGCAGTATGGGAGCCCCCTAAACGTGATGCCGAAAAGGTCCGTTAAACGCGATAGAGAGCGATAAACGCGATTCAGGTATTTGAATGCTGCAAAGTTGCCGGCATGATTCGATTGAGGTCGGCAGCCGGGAGAGATTGATTGCAGTGACCAAAAAGTAGGCCAGGCCGTTGGATCTCCACGTCGCGCGGGAGCTCCCTTTTGTCGGAACAACAGCACAACGCACACATAGCACAGTACAGCACGGATGTGCAGACCACTGTCCGGCACCACGCATTCCGCTTTCGAGCAAAAGGCAAAGCAAAGTGAACTTGACTCACCTCAATTAACAGAAGAGATGCCAAAAAAGAGTAGGACGAGGCAGCTCATAGGCAATGGAGTCGAATCGGATCGAGTCGAGTCGAGGCGGAAGGGAGAGGGCGATGGCGAGGGCGGTCGAAGGGGAGAGCCCCAAGATAGATCGAAGGAGACGATGGTCGGTAACGTTGATGGGGAGATCAAGTTTGGAAAGGGGAGAGAGGGAAGCAAAGCAAAGCAAGAGAGTAGGTAGACGAGACGAGACGGAGACGGTAGGACGGGACCGGGTCGGGATAAGACCTACCTAAGCAGACCTAAGCAGAAGCAGTCCGGTCAGTGCGTGCACCTTAGCACCATCGCCCAGCACCAACACCTGTACCAGCGCCATCACCACCACCTAGCTAATACCTGCACCTCCTTCTAGGCAAGGCAAGGCAGGGCAAGACAGGGCACCTGCAGGGTACGGGATAGGTAGCCACTGAATGAACCAAGCGACCTAGTCTACCAACAAAAAAAAGGCCCAGGCACCTCAGAAACCAGCACCCGACCCCAATCCCATCCATAGGTCTCCACTACTAGGGGAGACCCCCCGGCCCCCGGCCACAGGGCAAGCATAGGTTGGGTGGGAAGCGCTACAGAAACAAGCGAAGGGGGCCAAACAACACACGCCAACCAGCACTCAGCATTTAGCCCGGAATTTTGCACAGGGTCTGGCCCAGCCGAATCCAGTAGGTAAAGAGAAGGAGAATCTAAAGTCAAGCAAGTGAAAGGGTGTTAAAACTTAAGGGGGTACATGGGATAGGAGTATCTGTCGTCCAAGGCTCAATATTGAGGAACCGTGGACAGGTTATGGCACAGGCTCTTATGTGTACTGTACAAACTGCACAATTAACAGCCTGCATCACTTTTATGTCTTGTGCTAAGGCCCTGGAAACACTGTGCAAACCTAGACTTTGGATGCCGGAATCTACTTGAAATTAGAGTATCTCCAACCCATGGGCATGAATCTCTCTCGCAGCTCTAGCTCCCTTGCCTTGCCTCGACTCGAGGCTTGAGTCAAATCCGATAATAGTTTCCTTGATTTCTCGGTTGAGTACGGATACTCTACGTGAAAGAGAAAGAAAACCGAAAATAATACTGGAAAAGCAATGAACAATTGTTACTCGAGTCAAAGAGCCAAGAAAAGTTTTAAAAAGTTTATTGCCTCGGACGCTTTGAAGATATCACCTGCACAATGCCAAACGCGCCTGACACCCAGCCATTGACGCAAATTTATCGGTGAGTCCTGGACATTTGTCGACTTTTGATGATTGATCTTTTACGGAGTACAGCCAAGTCAATTGCCAATCTCTCCTCAACGTTCGCATCAACAGCAAACTACCCACGATGATATATCCTACAATATCTTCAATACAATGACGGACGCGCATCTGCTGTCATCTCCTCCAGTGGATAAAAATCCTTGGATGGATCATGGGCTTGACTCGGCGCTGTCCGCTAGAAAGGGTGGAGTATAAAGTAACTTACGGAGTCTCGTACCTCTCGGAATACCCCAACGGCAGAGCCGGGGTACAAAACTCTACCTTAGCCGTCCCGCAATTTCCCAGCCTCTGGTCAGGTACCAGAGCGTACCGTACCTTGCCTTGCCTTGCCTTGACCTTCACCGTTTTGTCGTCTGGTCTGTGATGATATTGACATGGGTTAAAGGGTTGAGATTCAAGGTTCTTGTCGGCGAGAATCTGCTTCTGGCCTCTTTCAACATGACACCCTGTAACCGGTCTGTGTTCTACAGAAAACGCACAGTCAAGTCGAGTCAATTCAAGTCTTTATCCATAGAGCCATTCAAATGGATCGACGAGTTCCGCATTGGCTTGTGAGTGAGTACTTGGCACTATTTCCATCCATGTACAACATCGATCGATTACATGTACGGAGTATCCGTGACAGCAGATTATTCTGCTTCACTAGGTACGGGGTACGGATACATCAACAAAATGCCGCGCTTCTACGGATACTCATGACCTTGACCGCAACATACTACGTACTAGTCACTACGTACGTCCATGGTGGAGATCAAGGTTGGAAACCGTTCGTTTGGTGTTCATGTCGTGCTATTACCGTTCAGTCTAACGATTCATTCCATCTTCCATTCTACCTTTTGGTGTGGAAAAGCAACCAGCCGCCAGCCGCAGCCACACAGCACCACACCCAAAAAGAGTCAAGACGTTGCTGTTGCTACCTTTGGTTACAGTAGCGCCCGTCTATCACACCGGGCTTGACTTGGCTTGCCCTGGCCTGGCCTGGCTTAGTTTGATCCATCACCACAAGCCTCAAGGGTGGAACATTTCCGTTGTCCATTCGTCCTGTCCGAATTCCTCTTTTCTTCGACATGAGGCATTCTGCAGCTGCAGCAACTGCGGATTCCCTGGCAGCAGAGAGTTCTTGTTTTTCGAGAATTGCATTGTAATTCTCATCTTCATATTCGTCATATGTCGTTTCTCCTCATCGAACAGGGTCGTGATCGTGAAATTACCCAATAACTCATCACAGGTAATGCGAGTTCGCGAAGCTACCCCGGTCCCAAGACTCCCCAACAGCACTAACAGGGCCTAGAAGAGTTAGAGGCGACATGTCTCGACCAGGGGTCCTCTGGAAGCGGCTCTGGCCATTCCCCCTGGCCCTGGCATGCTCATCAACTAACTCAACATCCATCCACCTCCCTTTTTCTGTATCGTCCAAGTCAGCGTGTGTCAGTCAGTACAGGTCAATCGTCACTCGCGAGTTGTCTTATCGTCTCATGCATTCGCCACAGGTGCCAACACACACAGAGCTACGGACATTGTACACGTAAATACTTGCCACATGAGTTGTTCTTTGACGACAGTTTTGCGGCTCAGTCAAGCCTACTGATAGTCCAGTACAGTTTGTGAGCCTTTCGTGGCTGACTCCTATGCTGAGCCACCAAATATCTCATCTCACTCTCTTATGCTACAACCCCGTCACAGTCACTGCGTGTCATTCAACGAAATTTCCTCGCCTGACGATTAGGGCAGACTGTATGGTGGCGTGCCCCCGTTTGCATAAACCGTGCTGTGATACGTGCTCGAACCTGAATTGTCTCCTCAACCCGTTGCCTGGTCAGGGTCACAACGTGTCCGAGTTTTCCCCCATATGTGCAGACACGCAAAATGCAAAATGCAAAATGTAAAATGCGGGAACCCAAGGTCTAGCAATTACAGAAGCCTCGTCATAGCTTTTGTCTTCCCTGTTTCCACAGTGGTCCCTGAAGAAAACGAAAATTAAAAATAAAATATGATAAAGAAGAGAATCTCAGGCGCGCGTCACCTTCGGAGATTTGCTCTCTTCTTTTGCCTGACGAAATCTCCGAAATGCCAACCTAGCGCTCACGAGACATACATAACTCACACTTAGCCAATTAGAAGCTCTATACGAGGTCTCATTTTGGCTTCTCAACTTGAGATCGACCAATGGCAATATCGATCACACTAATTCTCTATTATTCAAACCTTGAAATATCTCGCGAGATCAGATAAACATGCTCGTCTGTCATTCTTTCATTCCTTCCTTTCGAATGGAACTTGGATCATATTACCAGCGGTTATGTGAGATATCGTCATGGGTATAACATTGCCGAACTCGGTACATGACATTACCGAGTCAATCTAGAGATCAGGGTGAAGTACGGAGTATGTTACAGAGTACAGCACATAGATGCCGGCTTTTGCTCCGGTCTCCGCCGTCTGATTGTCTTCAGGGTATTATTATACTCATCATGACCTATAACACGTCGGGTCTCGAATACTTAACCTCCTGTGTATGAACAGGGTTTCACGCATCATTGCATGCGTTGTTGGGGTCTCCAGAGTCTAGGTTGGACAATACAAACGAACCCTGGTGAAAGTTAGCTACAAGCCACAACTGCATGTTATGTTCCATGCCGAAGATTAGTTGCTGATATCGACATGTGGATGTAGGGTAGCCGCCCTTTGGGTGAAGGGCAACAAAACAAACGTGGGATATACTTATCCAATAATACAAAGTAGAGCCAGTGGTAAAGTGTTGATGGAATTATACATATTTACTTCCGTGTTGTTACTTGAACCAAGGACTTACTGTCATGGGATTCATATGTGAGTGAAATGAACTACTTGTCTTTATGCTTCCCAACCTTTAAGTACATATGTTTGAAAAGATGCTTATGAACGGCGCCCCGCATGAAATAGCTGTCGCGGTTAACAAAGTACACATGACTGTATCGGCCTACCTAAACGGGTTGTAGTGTGCTGACTGATGAGGAGATACAAAAACCTCTCACAAATGTGAGCAACTCATGATGATATAGCTTCATCGTTGCTATAGAGAGCCCTTGAAATCACACAAACACAACACAGTAGTCAAGCTGTCACCGGCAACATGTCTAAACCGGACGACATTCCCGAGATGGAGTATCGCTTCTTGGGCCGCTCAGGTCTTCAAGTATCAGCAATTTCCCTCGGCGGATGGCTGACGTATGGTGGTCATATCGACAGAGGTCAGCATGCAAAGAACTTAGCAATAATAATATTGTTTTTACTAACTATGCTCGTAGAGCGCACTTCCGAATGTATGAAAGCTGCCTATGACTGCGGTGTCAATTTCTTTGACTGTGCCGAGGAGTATTCCAATGGAGAGTCTGAGATTGTTATGGGTGAGGCCATTAAGAAATATGGCTGGAAACGAAATGATGTTGTAGTCTCAACAAAGGTAAGCTGTGTCAAACCTAGGAGTGGTGTATGATTTAATGAGTCAAAATCTATAGATCTACTGGGGAGGCGCTTTTGGAGATAACCCCGTCAACAATAAGGGTCTATCGCGAAAGCACATTATTGAGGGGATCAACGGCGCACTCAAACGCTTGGATCTCGAGTATGTCGATCTCATTTACGCTCACCGACCTGATCGCCAAACCCCTATGGAGGAGATTGTTCGCGCGTTCAACCACATTATAGATCAAGGAAAGGTAAGACGCATCTTCAACCTGCGAGGCCGCCAAATAATATAAGCTGATTTGGATAGGCTTTCTACTGGGGAACTTCGATGTGGAATGCCGATGAAATAGCACAAGCATGGCGATATGCTGACAAGCTCGGTCTCATAGGCCCCGTCATGGAGCAGCCTGCTTACAACATGCTTGACCGTGTAAAGGTCGAACAAGAATATGCTCATTTGTATCGTGAGGTTGGCCTTGGTCTGACTGTATTCTCACCCATGCGGCAGGGCATCCTCTCAGGCAAATACAGCGACGGCATTCCAGAGGGCTCTCGTCTGGCCAATGAAGATATCCAGTGGGTGAATGGATTCTGGAAACGCACCGGCAAAGATACCTGGACTGGTATCCTCGAGCAGGTCAAGCAGCTGAAGCCCATCGCGGAGAGGCTGGGAGTTAAGCAGAGCCAGCTGGCTTTGGCCTGGGTTCTCAGCAATAAGAATGTCAGCTCTGCCATAACGGGCGCAAGTAGCCCCCAGCAGGTGTATGAGAACGTCAAAGCCGTGGCTGTGGTGGATAAGTTGACTCCAGAGATCCTGAAGGAGATAGACGATATTCTCAACAACAAGCCGCCTGGAGTCATGGAGCGATTCTAAGAATAAAATGTTAAAGAGTGGTTTATGGTAGTTTCCAGAAATGGTATAATATCTCGACGGCTTAAGAGAGAATTATTAATTCTAGAGATACCAATGGCTACAACGTTATGAACCACAACGTATCCATACAGTCACAATGCGGAGTCGCCAAGTAAGATCACGGTGTAATAGAACTCCCGTTGTTGATACAAATCGGGCAAATGACAAATGAGTCAGCTTAAACTAGTTACTTCCGTGGAACAAGCAACTACATAAGCAAAGCCTCGACGACCCTGATTTAGATTGAGTTGGCATCACAAACATCATCATAAACAACATCACAATGAGTCCCTCACAGCTTCTCAACCGCTTTCCTTGGGCCACGAGCCCCCTGATTAGCAATGCACCCATGCTCGGAATAGCTACCCCTCAGATGACAGCTGAGGTGACAAAGGCTGGTGGCCTCGGTAGTCTCACCCCTCTCCATGATATGACATCTCATGCTGATAGAATTCATAAGGGTTTCTCCCCTGTATCGCCTATCTTGAGCCAGACTCGGAACACATCAACAGACTCGCGGGACACTTTGACGAGGTCCGCGCACTTCTCGGGGCTGATCAACCGTCCGAAGGCCCACTCCGGGTCGGGGCCAGCTTCATCACCAGTCACAGTTCCGTGAGTAACTTTGAGCAAACGGCCCTGCCGCTTATAGCCGAGAACCGCCCAGCGGCGATATGGCTGTTCGCTCCGGACGACGATCTCAAGCCGCACAGCAAGATCATCCCCAGCCTCAAGGCTCTTGAGCAACCGCCTATTGTATTCGTGCAGGTTGGCAATGTCGTAGCTGCCCGAGAGGCTGCTCAAGATGGTGCAGATGTGCTTGTCACACAGGGTGTTGATGCTGGCGGTCATCAGTTTCGTCAGGGATCAGGCATCGTGAGCTTGGTTCCTGAAGTGAGGGATATGCTTGATAAGGAGTTCCCGGACAGGAAGATAAGTATTGTGGCTGCAGGGGGTATTGCTGATGGGCGAGGAGTCGCTGGAGCATTGGCTCTGGGTATGTACATGCATCAAGATGAAGTGAGTAATTGAGAGATGTTAATGAGAGACAGGGGCCGAGGGAGTGGTGATGGGAACAAAGGTAAGCGATATGCAGCTACATGATGGTTGAGACCTGCTAAGAAGACATGTAGTTTACTATCGCACCCGAGTCAAACTATCCCGATATTCGAAAGAAGAAAGTCCTCGAAGCAGTAGATGGCGGCGTATCCACGTTCAAGTATGTTCACGTTCACTGGCCTAGAGAATGTACACGCAACGCTTACACGAACATCAGGTCTACCTTTAATGACAGGATAACCAACAGTCCTCTTTGGGGACCTCTATACGATGGACGTGCCATTGTCGGCCCCATTCATGAAAAGTTCATCGCAGGAGCAAGCCTAGAAGAATGCCAGCGAAGCCTTAAGGAAGACTATCCCGAGGACGAGGCTCGTTACATCATCAATACTTGGGCGTATGTTTTCCCATCCTGGGCATTCTACAACTGTGCTAACATGAGTAGGGGAACTGGCGTCGGCCTCATTAACAAAGTTCAGCCTGCAGGGGAAATTGTTCGTGAGGTGCGCGAAGACGCCAAGCGTGAACTCCAAAGAGCAGCTGGCCTAGTTTAAATCAAGAAATGCAGACAGTGTCAAGACATGGACAACATAGCTGAATGAATAGATACAATCCCGTGCAATAGACAAGATATATAAATTGGTATTAACGCGCATACACCTATATGCATTCGCATCCAGGAAGCATGGAGCGACTAACAACCAGCAAGTTGATATCATACAAAACAAATGCAGAATGCTAACTTAAACGTCACGAAAACAACACACTTTCAACTACAGCTTGGCCTTGTCCTGGGCCTTCTTCAACACGGGGTCGAGCTTGGTCGCCTTCATGACGTTGCCCTTGATCTTGAGCTTGCCGCCCATGAAGAGACGCTGAGCGTTGGCCTTGCCAGCGACGAGCTTGCCAAAGTTCTCCTCGGAGAGGATGAGTGTGACTGTTAAGTATGCATGTTAGTCTCAAATGTGTCTCGTAATACAATGCGCCGGGTGAAGGAAGAGCGCGTTTTCTGATTTCTGCGTCGCGACATACCATCGGGCTTTGCGCCGGTGCCGGTCGCGACCTGGCCAGTCTCCTTGAGGTCGATGTGCCAGCTGGCCTCATCGCCGCTCGCGTTCTTAAGTGTGAAGGCGTAGACGCCGTTGCCTTGCTTGATGGCGTCCTTGCGATCGGCATCGCTGGCGTTGATGGCCGTTTGGATGGCGTCGAAGGCGGCCGAGGCGGGGAACTTGTCTGTTACAAGGAGTCAGTAAGCAACTTATTGAATTGGATTGTCTTTGAAGAGACGGGGGTCGCTGATCATGAAGAAGCGGCTTTGCTGTACGTACCGTTCTTGAGAGACATGGCTGCGAAAGAAAGAGGTGATGTGTATACTACGTAGAGAATAGATTTGGTGGAGGGTTGAAAGAGAACCGTGGGGGAATTGACCGAGGTTTTTAAATGCGACAAACGGTCATGGATAGGAAGTTTCGAAGGAATCTGGGGTCGGATTTCATGGATGAATTGCATGTGACGTGAACCTCGGCGGATCTGGGACGATCAGTGAGATCATCCATCCCACATGTTTTTTCCCCTTCTTCTCCAAGTTCTCCCCCGCAAATGAAATGAACCATAATCAGGTATGGGCTAATTAAGTTACGGAGTACGCGGGGGAAGCTCTCATGGTCGAATCGCCGAGTCAGTTGTTGACTGTTGTCAGATGGTGGCCACGTGCTTATTTGCTGAGTACAAGCCGTTCTGAACGCATGCCGGTAGATACAAAATAGACACTAGGTACTATAGGATCGACGTGCACATATCATCAGGTCGTAGCCATGAGTAGTCTTACACCGCGACTTTAAAGGTGAGCGGACTTTGTAGCTCATAATTTACACGTGAGAATTGCTGGTCGATCCTCACTATCTATCAACTAGTATCTTTTGTGTTGCCTACTCTTAGGTTTAACTCAACCCGTTATCCTACAACTGCCATTCCGGCACACCAAAGTCCCGGTGTTGAGGCCAGTTATCTGGTCTAATTCAGATGTTAGTCATGTCAAATAGTACACGCACACACGCATATTAAAATAACACATACCTGGTGAGAAACAACACGGCCATGCGCCGTCTCCTCTCATCGATATCCTCAGAGGCCGTCAGACGCAGCCAGTCGCCGAGCCAGCCTCTTAACTCGGTCTCGCTCTTGCCCAGTGTGTCAATGCCTCGTTCTGAGCACGCAATTCGTAGTTCTTCGTAGTGCAGGCCCATAGGTCCACCGTCCTCAACGATATTTCTGTCGTCGCCCTCCAGGTATGCCATGCGATACACTCCCTTGGCCTGCCACATCCCGGGTGGGAGAAAGCCTAGACGATCCCAAATTGTGCCGCTTAGATGCAGAGTCTTGAGGACGTGAGAGCGGGCGATCGACTGGGTAACACGCGGGCTGAGCACACCGTGGGGGTGCTTTGCTTCCAGCTCATCAAAGGCTGCCTTACGGCGCTGCTCACCCTTTTCCAGCGCCGTGAATATCTGTGTCGGTATTCTGCACGGGTATGGCACTACACTGTCGACGTAGGCAACAACCAGGACCGTAAACTCCCCAATTACAATCAACATAAGCCCGAACAGAGGCAGTCGTATCATGTCGTGTCGTACTCTCCAGAGGAGAACCCAGTCAGCTCTGGAGAATGTCTTGGGCACGTAGTGAGGTTTGAATATCGACGGTCGGTCGTTGGCGGGCGTCCGTTGGAGCTTTTCGCGAAGCAGACGCCGACTCGCCAAAACATTCTTGAGGCCCTGCTTGTAGAATTTCAAATACCCCTTGCCCAATTCGAAGTAGTATTTCGGTGCAGATTCGAAATCTCTGCGCCGAGGAAGCGTGAGAGGCGGCGGTCGAGTGATGTCGGGCGGGTTGATCAACGGGTTCAAGCTTTTAGGACCGTCATTGTGAATGGAGCGAGACAATATGGTTCGCAGCACGGCTGGCGATTGCGCAAACGGGGCAGTTGTGAAAAGTGGCCAATGGCGTAGATTTGGACTACGCTGGCAGAGTCGCCATGGTGTTTGCGAGCTCATGGCCGTGTAAACGAGATCGAGACGAGGTTATGTTTTAGTTTGCGGGCTGAGCTTTGGAGGCCAAGAGATGGATAGCCCAAAAAAGTGATGCGTCATTGGCCAGGCTGTTGGTTTGTTAACGTGGGCGGATTTGGAGAGCGGGTGCGCCGATCTCCAAGTACCGTCACAAAAATGTAAATTGAGAGTTTGTGTGTGTTATGCTATTGGGTATTGAATCAGGAAGATTATTTCTAACATTTCCTAAGTGGTATAATAGTTGTATATAACTTCAGTCTAGACTTTAATTTACACTCACCACATTTCTATCAGCATATACGCAGCAACATTAAGCTACCCTGAAGAAACAAGCAAATCCAGTTCTTCAATTATCAGACGACAGTCCAAGAGTCCTTGGCAAGACATGGTCCCTGGCACAACTCGGGCACCATTCAGGACAACAGAAAACGATCGGCGAGTGCCTTGCATATATCGTAGATTTCCCACCAGCCACCCGGCCACAGTTGCAGCTTCACTTGTCCTATCAGGTTTTAACCAACCTCCATATATTAGACTATTGGGCTAACCAGGCCTTGACTTTAGACTAATCAAACCCAGTGGACCATCGCTGATGGAGATCATTGATTGTATTCTCAGCTGAAGGTACGCCCTACTTTTGGCGGTGTCTAACCCTAGCACGGATTATTTGTTACCGTATTTTCGTATTCAAATAGCGGAACATGGATCAATGTGAATATTGAGACATGGGCTTTCATACCGAACCAGGAGAGTCATGAGAGATTTGTGTAGCCAGAGGCTTTCGGAGTATCGGTTATTATTCATGTTCTCTACACCTCTGAATCGCTGGCATCAATGCCGCTAAAATGACATAGGCGCACATTTTTGCGGGGAGGGATCACAAATTCAATTCATCCTAACGATCAAGTCCCATCAACTCCACAACGGTTACTGGCTATCAACTTCGAATTTTCTTCTAGAATAGACTGACACATACTCTGTACTGTCAAACCTTTCAATCCCATATTAATAGTCAAACTCTCCAACAACAACTACCCCGTATCTTCCCAAACAGTCAAGATGGTATGCTCACCCAACGTGCTTATAAATAAACACCCATGACTCCTTGGCGTGTCAAAAACTGACTGACCTCTTATTATAGGTTCACGCTGATGCATCAAACTTTGCCGATGGTGTCACAAAAGAGGATGCCTACGAGCAAGTGCTCTGGCAGGCAGAGGGTTTAGTTACTGATCAGCGCAACTGGGTTAGTCAAATTATTTTACTTGTACTAACTACTGGACTCATTTTTAACATAATGTCTTCGATAGGTCTGGTGAGTATATGACGAACCACCGGGTTTAAGCTTTATACTGACAGTACTAGCAATCTTTCAAACGCTGCTTCTCTCTTGTGGCACGCGTACAAGTCTTTGAGCTCACCAAGCAAAGATGTGAACTGGGCTGGTAGGTTCTAAACCCTTCCCAAACCCACGACACAAGCAACAACGAGCAACGTCTTACCCTCGACTGCAGGATTTTACGTCCTTGACAAGTCATCCCAAGACCCGCAACTCATCCTGGGCCCGTTCCAGGGCAAGGTTGCCTGCCAGACCATCAAGTTCGGCAAAGGTGTATGTGGAGTAGCGGCAGCGACCCAGCAAACACAGCTAGTTCAAGATGTGGAGGAGTTCCCTGGGCACATCGCCTGTGATGGCGATAGCAAAAGCGAGATCGTCGTGCCCATCGTCGTTGCTCAGGACGACGGCTCCAAGATGCTGGTGGCCATCATCGACATCGACTGTGCTGAGCTGAACGGCTTCGATGGGGTTGACAAGGTCCATCTTGAGCAGCTTGCGGCTCTGCTTGCAAGTAGCTGTGACTGGTAATTGGATATTACACAAAAATGACATAATATGAACCATCAAAGACTACCAGCATTCCTTTGAACACATCCCATCTCTCATCGATCTGCTCGAGACTATTAATCTTTGTTTTTGCTGTACAATGGCCATTATGCCGTCATAGTCTCGATGTTGTTGAGATCTGAAAAAAACATTGGATCGTGTTGCCATCGAGCAATGCTGCACGTCCCGTATTGACTCCCGTTCACTTCTTTATCCACTTATATCAGAAACGGACATGTGCCCACAAGACAGTATGACATGACATACTGGGATAGCATCTGTGCAGTGCAGCCGTTGCGTGAAACCAGTGCAGTGGGTAATGTAATCGACGCAATCGAAGAGGGGAATTCAATAGCTCGAGAATTCATGCTCTAGAGTGAGAAGCGTGACACTATTTGTGCTGTCTCCCATGGCAACAGGGGCTCTTTGCTGCCGCAAACATTCTGTGACATCAAGCCCGATCCGGTATCATGATGATGGAGAGCAGAAAAAGCTGTTTCTAGCAGTTCAGCCAGCCAGGGGAGCGCAGCATAGCATCCACTCAGAGGACGGTGTAGTTGATAAACTCGGATCTCGCCAGGGAATTTGTTCCAATTAGAGCTGGAGAAGTTGAAGGCCGTTATTCCACCAAAGTCTACCAAATGGTAGAGTGACATGTAGTACAAGGGTCCCTCAACGTCCAGGACCCGGTATCCCGGCTCGTTTTTTGGGTTCAAGGGCGCTCAGCGGCTTGCGAGAGAGAGTTTGGCCCTAAGTCCCGCAGCCTAGAAGGGCCCTAAGCGCACGATCATGCTGCATATTGCGGTCTGGTGCTTGTTTGTTTTATTAGCCCATGGAAGTTGGATGCAATCCAGCCACCTGAGGGCGCAATGGCCATCATGGCAATGGTAGAGACCATGACCATGAGCTGGCACTGGCCATGAGACGATGGAATGTAATTAAGAAAACAAATCCCGCGAACAACGGATTTCTTGTGATTTAAGGCCCTAATAAGTTGATGCGCGGAACGGAAACAAGGTTTAAATCCGATTAAGCTTGAATTGAGCGAGGTGGGAACCGTCAACGTCAGCCTACGGCTTGGCAATCGTAGAGTCCGAGGAGCATCTGAAGCAATGTACGCAATTTCTGTGTGGCTGTGAGCAGACTTCGCCAAACACGCGCGTACAATAAGGTAAGGAATACGGCTACGTGCTATTCCCGATAGTGGTGTGGTGTAGGAGTGAAAGGCGGCGCAGCGATTGGAGAGTCATGACTGGTGCGATGCTGTAGTTGTTTAGCGTTAGCTCAGCTGCTCTGTTTAAAACTTCTCGCCTTAGGAAAGAGATGAAACCAATTGGGTCAGCCTAGGTTTGTTCCTGAAATGTTAACGCGAATGCCAATGCCATTGTCAACGCCAATGCCGAGCCGGGCTGGAGTCGTCGGGTGGATTAAGTTAGACGATTCAGTCAGTCCCTGAATGATCCCCTGAATCGGATGAGAGCGGGAGGCCGGAAGAGACAAGGAAGTTTGATTCTCTCTGCATTTGCATTGCATTGCATTGACTCTGTACTTGTCCATTCGTGACGCGCCCTCATAATGAAGAGACTGGCTGACTGACCATTCTCACTCTCAACACTACTGCCAAGGCACCAAGTCCCCTGTTAATCTGGGCATAGATTCCCTGTAAATCCCCCAGAAGTGCTTAACGAATGAGCGGCTCTAGGGGTCGATTCAGCCCCTGCAGCAGTTGCACCAGCCTCCCTGTTTCCAGCCCAAAGCCCAGCCTCCCGTCAGAGGTTCCACTGCTGGTGTTCCACAGGGGACCCACTGGACTACCGCTTTCGGCCCCCAACCACACGCAAGCCAGAGGTATACAACGCCTCGATATCCTGCTTCATCACCTTTGCTTCACTTGTTACAGAGAGAGAACGAGGTTGCTCTCTTAATTTGAACTTTCATTTGACTTCTCCACACCTTCTTCCTCCATCACTCTCTTGTCAAGTCATTTGCGGGAGTCTAGTCCTCCCGGTAGATCTAACAATCGCACAGCTATTCAAGAGGATTCATCTGCTCACTCTACCCGCTCTATCTTTACATACACGCGCTTCGCTTCGCTCTCTCTCTTCGCGAGCTCCGTCATCACTCAACTCAGCCTGTTTTTGTTTTACTTTGGTTCTTAGCCTCGACTCAGCTGGACTCGACCATTTCTATCAACCTAACATAAACACTCCGAAGCGCTCTCTATCGAAAAGCTTAATCCCACATCATACTCAATTCCCTTTCTAGCCCGGTACTGTCAATCAACGCCTTCGCTGGTCCGTTTCAAACTCTACCTTCTCTTGACTATCCATCTACTGGGCTTTTATATTCGACCACTCTCTTCATTCTTGTTTCGATTTCTTTGACAGCCGTCATCTCTGCTCAGCGCTAGTCATTTAGCTCTTCTGACACCAGTCCAACTTTCGAGCTACCGAAAAGCGAGCTATCTCTTTTAGTCACCAGCAACCATTGTTCATGTAAACAAACAGACGGCCTTGATTTCTACAACCTCTTCGTTTCTTCAACTTATCGCACTGCTTTTTCACCCTAGCGCTGGTGCTTATAGCTGCAATGGCAGCCAAGGTCAAGAACCTGATGAGTGCGGCGCACACTGCCGGTATCTTTGCCGATATTGCAGTGGACGGCCCAGAGATTGGAACCCTGGTTGCTATCGTCGATCGAGCCAAGAACTTGCCGAACCGCAAGACGATCGGAAAGCAAGACCCCTACTGCGCAGCCAGATTGGGAAAAGAAGCCAGAAAGACATCAACTGATGTCCGGGGCGGGCAAACACCAAAATGGTAAGATATCTATTTCTCAGAGCATGCGAGAACCGCGATCGGACTGACCGGTGCAATAGGGACGAAGAACTTCGATTCACAGTCCATGACTGCCCAGATTACTACCAGCTCAAGCTGTCTATCTTCACAGACGATAAGCGAACAGACCTTATCGGAGAGTCATGGATCGATCTGAGAGGTATCATTGTATCTGGCGGTGGACAAAATGACTTTTGGCAAACATTGACTTGCAAGGGCAAATATGCTGGCGAAATTCGAGTTGAAATTACTTTCTACGATACTCGAACGAAACCGGACAAGCCGGTAGCGAAACCAAAGCAGATTGCGCCCGCTGAACCAGACCAAGGATCCATGAGCAAGCGAACACCAGTCAAGAGACGCCCTCTGCCATCTGATCCTGTCACTGGCGAAGCTCCGGTTGTTACTCATCCTGCTCCTACAACGGCTCCTGTGCCTGCCCCTTTGCCAGCACCTCTGCCAGCGCCTATAGCGGCAGCTCCAGCTCCAGCGACCCCAACCGGTCCTGATCACCGCACGCCTCCACGAACACACAACAAGCAGCTCTCTCACTCTGGCAGCTTCGTACCAACACAGTCTCCTTTGCAATCTGTTGAGTACAACACACCGCCCTCACACTCGTCCCGTCGCCACACAGAGCAATACTCCACGTCCCCACACGGGCATGTACCACAAGAGTATACAACGCCAACTCGTGGGGAAGCCCCCTATCAGTCACGGAGATCAATGGTTCTTCATGATGGAGCTCCTCGACAGTACGATGACCGTGACTACAGTTCGAGATATTCTCCACACTCGAGTCAAATGGATCCCCGAGGTCACTACTCTCAACAAGACTATTATGATCAGCCACAACTTTTGGACGATCCAAGGCAATTCTCCCCAGTAGAAAATGAACGTCCTCCACCGCCGCCTGCGCATCGTAGTCGACACAACAGCCCAAGCCAAGAACTGGTACCAAGAGGAAGCTTCGATGCTTCATCAAACAAGTTGCCACAGATGAGACACGACGTTCTGAGACACGAGGCTCAGAGACAGTCCATGGTGGCCTATCCCGGACGCCCTGCGTTCCGTGGGTATGATTCAGCTCCTGTCACTAACCAAGCCCATTCTCCGACCGCAAGCAATTTCGATGGCCTGCCGAGACATAGTTCTTATGATGCGAGCTACGATCCTCATTATCGATCTATGCAGCCCACAGTTGAAGACGTGCCTGAGACCTTTGGCCACCCCATGCAGAACTATTCGCAAAATCCACAGAACCCGCAAAACGGCTCGCAGTTCCAGCGTTCTGACGAGCTTTGCTTCGATGACAACCCCAGTCCGGCACCTCTTGTCTTACGGCGCTCCCCTGTTCCAGTTCCATTCCGGAACGATTATTCTCCTGCGCATCCTGCACAGGATCCTGAGGACTGGCAAATCACCATGTCGCCTTCTCACGCTCGAAGCTACTCTAGAAGCCCTGGAGACAACTCTTACTATCCTCACAATAGCCAAGGTAGCTATCAAGGTCACCCAGCCGACATGAACGCTGCGCACGGCCAAAGCTCACACAACTATGCGCCCGCTGCACTGCCAGCAACCCTTGTGCCAGGTTTGGATGCCAACCAGTCCCAGGAATTGACGGATCTTATTTATGCGGACCGTCGACAAGATCGAAGGCAGCACTCCCAGAGCATGTCCAGCATGCCAACACCTTCCCGAGGACGTCCTAGGAACGAGTCCTTGCAGGGGTACAACCAGGCGCCACCAGAGCATGCCTATGCTGTTCAGCCATATAACCGACGGGCTATCACTTACGATCAGCCGGAGCAACAACTCGTCAGACATAGAGGTGTTTCCCCTGACCCTCGTACCAGTCCAAACCCACAGCACATGATCAAGCGGAAATCGGTTAGTCCTGCGCCTCCACTCGAGGATCAGAGGAGAAAGTCGGATATTCCTTTCGGTCCCGACTCCTATGATGCTTTGAACCCTAGTCTTGTATCATCCAAGAGTGGGGCAAGCCCGTCACCGGATTTTATGGACGACGAGCCGAAGAAGATTATCACATATGATGGAAGGGAGATTGATCCTTCTGACCATCTCCCCATGGAAACATGGGCACCCGAGCCAGAAAAGAAGGAGCCTAACCCCGACGCACGTACGAGACCGAAGCTATCAGGGGTCAAGCCAATGCCCCCTAGCACTCGAGGGCCACCTCGTAGTGGGCGCCATTCAATGTCTGCTACAAACACATCATATTCATTCTCTGACGAACCTCGCGCGCCTCCACAACCTGGTCGTACCCGTCTTCAAAAGCGGACTAACCGTGCATCGCAATCCCCAGCGCCTTCAAGCCCACTGGCTCCGATTTCTAAGGACAATTACCAGGAGAGAGCTCCATATGGTAATGCTTCACTTCGAGGGTTGCCTCGTGCGGGGACATGGGATGTCGAGGATGAGAACCGTGGGGCGTACGGCGGCCCGCCCATCCCAGCCAAGATTCCTATGATGAGTGGTGCAAACGGTGGTCAAGAGATGGCGTTAATGCAAGAAATGCAGCGCATCGATATTGGGACAGGCAGATCCCGAAGACGAGGAGGATATTAATCAAGTCAACGAAGATAACGAGAGCGAGAGGAAATGTACACTACAAGTCATGGTGGTTATGATTTCGGCGTTGGTATAATGCGAGATTTGGGAGGATAGGCAGGGCAATATTGGAGTTTTACACATGTCCAGATGAAAAAGAATGGGCAGCATTATACACTATAAACTGATACTTATATAAATTACTTGGTTCCTTTTATTACCCAATTCTATCCTCTTCTCATGCTCTTGTTCAATAGGGTTAAACGCTATGACCTCTCTTCACTACATTTGTTTCTGAAGTGGTCGTACTGTCTTATAGTACTTCCTTGAGTGGTTCCTCGAAGACCCAATATGATGAACAATACAAAACTTTTGTCGTTGTCGCATCATCAAAGAGGAGTGGAAAGTTATTGACATTAGTTACAGCTGAATAGATGCTTTAGAACGAACTGCAGTCTCGGCAGGCCCCAGGGATGGAAAGTTGGTGGCCTAACCTAAAAGGGCTACCCTCAAATCAAGTGCCCCGCTGAAACTTTCCTCAGCCATCGACATTCCATATCTTATCTTTGAAAAAAAATCACGGCAACCTTGAAGAAGACCGCAGCTCAACTCAACACCACCACCGCCAAACTCCGTCATCGCGAAACGACACAATGGCAGCTCAGGTGGGACCTCTCCCACAGCTCAAGCTGCCCTCGGGCCCTACACCCATTACTGCGGAGCAACGATACTGGAAAACCTTCAAGAACCAGATCCTGATTCCATCGCCCACGTCGTATCCTGTCGTTCACATCTCGTCCAACAACGATTCCTTTGCCATCACGACGGGTACACGCGTACAGATCTACTCGAACCGAACGCGCAAGCTTATCAAGACCATCACACGCTTCGGAGACATTGCGCGCAGTGGTGAAATCAGAAAAGATGGACGAGTGTTGGCGGCTGGTGACGACACTGGGAAGATCCAGGTGTTTGACGTCAACTCTAGGGCAATCCTCAAGACATGGACCCATCACAAGCAGCCAGTCTGGACAACCAAGTTCTCGCCGACTGAGTTGACAACTCTTCTGAGTGCGAGCGACGACAAGACCGTGCGACTATGGGATCTTCCTAGCAACGACCCTACCACCACCTTCGTTGGTCATTCCGACTATGTTCGATGCGCCAACTTCATGCCTGGTACCATGTCAAACATGGTTGTCTCTGGAAGTTACGATTCGACCGTCAAGCTTTGGGATCCTAGGACAGGAAGCAACAGCGCTGTCATGACTTTCAAGCATGCCGCACCTATCGAGGATGTTCTGTCGATGCCTAGCGGAACTACCATCCTTGCGGCCGCAGGCGAATCAATCAGCGTTCTTGACCTGGTCGCTGCGCGCCCTCTACACATGATCACCAACCATCAGAAGACTGTCACATCTCTCAGCCTGGCATCCAATGGCGGACGACTGGTTAGCGGTGGTCTTGAGGGTCACGTTAAGGTCTTCGAGACAACCGGATGGAACGTCGTTTCAAGCACAAAATATCAATCGCCCGTCCTTTCAGTCAAGGTCATTCCCTCAAGTGATGACGCCGATTCGAGCGACAGACATCTTGCAGTTGGTATGCAATCTGGTGTTCTCAGTGTGCGAACCCGCCTCACAGGGGCTGAGGCCAACCGAGAATCTGAGCGTGAGAAGGAAATGGCTGCTCTTGTCGCTGGAACCATCGAGGCTCACGATGCCAAGCAAAAGAAGCGTAAGCGCAGGGTCAATGCTGCTAAGAAGTTGGATATGGTTGGTGAGGGTGCTGATGTTGTTATCGCGAACGAGCCTCGTACCCACAAGAAGAAAGAGCGCTCTTGGCAAAGTGATCTACGACACGCTCGATATGCGCGTGCCCTTGATCAGGTTCTTGACAAACACTCACTCGAGCACTCTCCACTTAATGTTCTCACTCTTCTTCTCGCCCTCCGTCATCGAAGCGCCCTCCGAGATGCTCTGGAGTCCAGAGATGAGCACACAGTCCAGCCTATCCTGAAATGGGTCTGCGCCCACATTTGCGACCCCCGATACGTGAGCGTCTGTGTCGAGGTTGGCCTCCACCTTCTCGAGCTCTATGCCGAGTTCGTGGGTGGCTCAGCAGAGCTGCACGAGGGCTTCAGAACTCTCCACCGCCGAGTTAGGGTCGAGGTCGAGAGGGCCCAAGTGGCATGCCAAACGGGAGGTATGCTGGAGAGCCTGATGGTCGGGACGCTCTAATAGACAGGCATAACGAGTGAGGTTATATATCCCGAGGTTGTTGGGCTCAATTTGCATTGCGCGTGGCGTTACGGCGGATTAAAAATGGGAGTATTGGAATGCTGACCTTGTATATGGCTTGCATGCAACGAGAAGTCTGAGGATGGATGTTGGATGCGCGAGGTTGCTATCCATGGGATTGCTACAGTATTATCATACGAGCTATCCACTGCATGGTGCAGATTGCCTAGATATTTGATGTATTTTCTACATTTTGGGTCTCTTACATTGGTGCTTGTTTGCAGTGATTGTCAAGGTTTTATGTGATGAAGCTGCATGTATTCATATCAATGTCAATCATATCTCAACTGTCACTGCAATGTCACTTCCTCGGCTCGGCCAACAGAGTCAGGCTGTGTCTTGGAAGTCGCTATCTAGATTAATCTACCACTAGGCCTGTCTATCCCTTTGGATAAACAGTTTATTGTGTTTTATCTTCTGTGGGTATAGTGCATTATTTGTGGTGCTTTATACGCATAGTAACTGGTAGCCGTGAGAAGCAAATAAACTCCTTCCCCTTTATCCCAACTTCATAAATACCCTTCCTTCCTTGCTGGCATCCTTTTCTCTGAACTGAAATATTTCACTTTCATTCTCTCGCTAAAGAAGTCATCAAACCCTGCGGTAACAAATCCATCATGGATCCGAATGATCCCACCAAAACACCACCAGGAGTGGTACCTGGAGCAGCGCTCACTCACGGTCGATATCGTGGGATATTTCGCTGGCCGAGAACTATTCACCATCCATGGGAGTCATTAATGCGATGCTGCATTGTAGAAACCAAGGTTGAATTTCATGGTAGGACGCTTCTCTGACTATGATAGCACATCTGTCTGATTCGTTATTTACGAAGTGTTTCTAGTTCTTGCACGCTGTCTACGCAGCCGAGAAGTTCATCAGCGAACCCAAACGTAGAGACTGCAATTACGATACCATGTTCCTTCGGGATCTTCAGGTGTTTGCTTGCCCAATAATGTTATCGGTTCCACCAAAGTCGCCAAGTACCATCTGACTCGTCGGATTCTTATACAACGTCTATCCATATCGAAGCTTGATTTCGAAGTTCTTGAGCTTGGCTCTTTTGAAAGCGAAGAATGCAAGAACTGCATGTCTAGTCATGCGGCACATTTCATCCTAAGCGATGACGGTATGGCTAGCAGCCCAGAGCATGCTGCTAGTCTGCAACATCTGATATGGAAAATCGTCGCTAGTAGAAGACACCCGCCGTCATCAACACTAGGCACCACCTGGGAACCTCCAAGGCAAGTATGATGTACCGTTGTAAGAAAAGTGTGCTAACACAAACAGGTGTTCATGCCATTACTGAGTGGAACCAGGGGTGGACTGACAGAGCGTTCTATTAATGTGCCCGAGCTTGACATGAGGGAACTGCTTTCGCTCTCAGAGTCAGTGTTCCAGAAGACAACACAATCCCCTTAAGAGAGAGAAATTTCCTTGCAAGAGAGAAACATACTGTTGTATTCTGCCGTGCCTATGTCGACAGCTACTGTCAATGATGCAAAATCTCTGAGTCTGACTTGAGTGCGTGGAAGCACTGCTCCTCCAAATCGCAGCTCTCAATATCTGTTCCCTCCAAGACCGGGCCTGCACGGAAGATCTTATTGGCAACAAAGCTATTAAAAGCCAAGACCATGAGTTTCTTCACACGTTTTATACAGCCACTCAAGGGCTTGTGGCAATGTCGACTGACCTAGGAGCAATGGGTGGGTTCCTCCCAGATTTCTTGCCTATGCTAAAGTCTTACATGAAGAGACTGTTAGAGGATGGGACCTGGACGCGAGGGAGCCTTTTGCAAAACCCAGGCCTATGGAGGGCTCGAGTTCATCATCGCAAGCAAGAAACGACTTGACAGCATTGCCATTTAGTCACCCTGTTCTGGAGATTTCATGAAAGGTATAAAATCAAAGGGCGCAAGAGCTTGTTGATCCCACTGCGGAAATTGTGTTCGAGGATCTCAGGCATTGGCATGCTCACAAACTTGTCAACTTCTTCAAAAGCCGCGAGAAGATCTCTGGTTGACTTGAGAAGCGTTGAAAGAAAAAAAATGCAGTGGTGGATGCCGGATGTTATCACACATTCGGCCAGTCTCACTAATTATGTTGGCAAGACTTTCGACCACGAAACCATCGTCGTCGGTTCCAAATCTAAGCAAAACCAGGCCCATCTGGCAAGACTATACAATTCAAGGGATTCAAACAGAAACCTGGAAAGGATGGTAAGCATAATGGCCTCTTGCAAGCTCAAAAGCTTAGCGACCAGAAAGCTCAAGCTAAGTTAAACGATACCTTGAACCTCTAGCAAGGAAAGCTTAGAGAGTTTAAGATGTCAAGAGACTAATCGATCTCTATCTTAAGACTTTGAATATTCTATCCGAACGATCTCTATGAAGTCATATCGCCATAAGACCAGAAGTGCAGAGATCAACAGAAAATCGTCTAATCTTAGTGCAAATATCATCATAAGTTCTACATATCTTACAAACTTGAGTAAAACTTAGGATAAATTTGTTCTAAATGCAATCATCGGATCTTAATATCTTGTAAGTTTGAGTGGAACTTGGGATGGATTTATTCAAATTACAACCTAAGTTTATGGATACTACCTACACGATTGATATCTTCCTCCACACGGACGACTTATGTATTTGGTGCCTTGAGGAATGGTACTTTCGCTTTATTTGATGCATCGTAAAACGTTTGTAGCTAGCAGCGTTCGAGACGGATGGGTTTCTTTGAGTAGACGAGTACTTGTATGTTTTATTATGGTAACACTTCCTTCGGTCTTGTCGTTCGTTTCTTCACCAACAAAATAACATGACTTGTACGTCGTTATCATCATCATCATCATCATCATCATCATCATCCTATTCCAACCATCGGCAACATCATCAACCAGCTTGTTCTGTCCGGCTGTCCATGCGACCTTTGCATTTCCCACTGACTCTTCCTCAGGTTCCTCAGTATTGCCTCTAAACTTGAAGCCTGGGGCAGTACCCCAACCGTCGTCGAACCTTGTCATACCGACCGCTCTATCGTTGGCCCAGATGTTCTCGGGTGCAACAGTTTCGGTCTTGCCCCACACGACAGGCTCAGTCTCAGAGGTTACCGCAGATATGCTGCCAAATTCGAACGAGGACTCGGGGGAGGCAACTCAACACCCGAGTAGTGGTTGAAACTGGATCCCAACAACTGGATAGCATTGTCGTTATGAGTACAGATGGTGATCTGGTTATCGGAAGGGAACAGGATCTGACCAGCGGCATCAGGGCCATCAAGGAGATACCCGAGTTGTAGCAACATGCCTCGCTGTACTCCCCAGATTTGGAGTATACCAGCCAGGTGGTCCACGGTGAAGTTGCGATATCTTTGTTCAGGTGAATCACGACCCAATGGTGAGTTTGTTGGGGACGTCACTCCAGCTGTCGTTGAAGGTCTCTTCGGGGTAGAACCAAACGGCAAGAGAGGTAGCATCGCGTTTGGAAAGGAGACTGCGAACAGTCGAGACGATACGTCGCATGGCGTCAGGATGCATATCACAGTTGCGATCGAACTGAGCGTTGTGGATGATGTAAACATTGCTCCAGTCAATGCCAGGACGCATGTGACGGACGGTGGACGAGACTTTTTAAATGTCATTAGCAGGGTCGGTGAGGTCTGCATCGCCCAGCAACTCGGCCAGTACGTCGGAAGCCTTTGCCTGGGAAGCAAGCTCAGACAAGTCATCAGCGACGAACGCTTTGAGGGTTGCCATGACCTGGGCGTCATCTGTGGAGATGTCATGGAGAGAGACGCCGTCGAGATGGAAGCCTGGGAGAAGCTGGCCACTGATATTCATCAGGACATGGAACTAGTTGGCCGTCTTGCGCTTCATCTAAAAGAGAGGCTGGTTCGCTTTGTTCGTGGTTAGCTCACTAACATTCTCTTCGTGGAGGCAGCATCAGGAGTGAGCTCAGCTGACTAGGTTGCGCAAGTCTGCTAGAGACACTGGGGTACCTACCGCGATATCAATGAGACTCACCGCGTGCTCCAACAGGTTGCGATACGCTTCTTCATGTTTGGCACGATTAAGTGCGTAAGCCTCTGGATCCTTGAGAGCCTCCTGGCGAGCGACGAGGATCAAAGGCCAGTCGTCGGATTTGTCTTGAACTATACGACGTGCCATTTCAGACAAAGACGCATGAACACGGGTAAGGTGGGTATCCTCGAATCTCTTGGCCTTGTACGAGTCAGTATGTTTCGACAATCCGACGATGGCATTGGACGCTTTGGGATTGACAGAGGTGTCGGTAACGCGAGGCTCGACATCGTTGATGCGCATGAGATTGGTGAACTCGCGTTTCCAAGGCAAGAGACGAGCCATAACCTTGTCAGGACAGGCCAGGGATGCACGATGGGGAGCATAATCAGCCAGATTGTTCTTTCCGGTTGTCCATGCGACTTTTGCTTTCCCCACTGGCTCTTCCTCGGCGTCCTCAGCGTTGTCTTCATATTTTAAGTCGACATCATTAGCATCCGTCTTGTCTTGCTTCACAGCAACAGCGATATTGGTGGAGTCAGAGATGACAGGTGGGACAAGACTCATAGCGGTTGTAGTTTTGCCAGAACCTGGGCCACCTGTGACAAAGATCTGGTTGTCAGACTCAGAACGAGCGTTCATAAGAGTGATTGAGCGACATTCAGCCTGCACTGTCGTAGCACCAGGCTTGTAGTAGACGTTGAAGAGGATTCTAGGATAGCCTTTGACAGTCGGCGACGCACAGATGAACTTTCCTTTCTCTTTGTCGAAAAAGTCAGGCTTGAACATGTTGTTGGGCGCCAGGTGCAACCTTGGGCAAGTGAGCGACCGATGCCGAACATAGAAATCGGAACAGCTCAAAGATCGATTGGTCGGCAGTTTGAACAAACGAGTTTTCGGATTTCCCGTCTATCAAGATGTTCGGCCTTGGCATTGCCATTGCCATTGTTGTTGCGTGCTTTACAATCAGTCAACGAGTATTCAAGGACTTGAGATAAGGATTGATGAGATCAAATAACTTACGGCGTAACTTATTCTAAAGTTGACAAAGTCTTAGGTAAGGCTATGTCATAATTTAGAGGAAGACTTTGAAGAGTTTACTGTGGAAAGGGAGGGAGGTTTGTATGTTTGCGTGGTTGCCTGGGAAGCACAACATGCGGTGCTTAGGTAGAATCTAGGGGAACAAACAGGGAACACTCCGGTGGAAGATGATGGAATCTCGTGGCCTTGATGCCTGAAGAGTTGAGATATTGTTCGTAACAGGATGGATGCTTAATTCGTGGCGATTGCACCAAGTGTTGCCGCATCAATAACATCCGGTTACTGTTAATGCCTTCAGGCTGGCAGTGTTTGCAGATGGAAGACCGAGAAACATGTTGGTGGTTGAGGCAGGCAAATACATGCCAGCATAGGAGCTACCTAGAACTCGACAGAAGCTGGCCGCCAATGTCCGCCGGTGTCCGCCAGCTGATAAAAAGTACCGACAAGGCAGGCGCTTTAATGATCCTTCCTTGAAGCCTCGATGCCATCCTCTCCACCTTTTCCTCGTCACTCTTCCCTACGATTCCCCTACCACATTCAACTGCCACAACACCGCTTCTTCCTGTGTCTCTTCTCCTCGAACTACGTACGGCAGGTACTTATTTCCTGAAATCCGCTCGCTTACTTTCGACACCGGGCGGCTCTTGCCATCATGCTGAGCATGCACAACCACTCTCATTCTCAACGACAATCCTTCATCAAGCAATATCCCTCTACCCATCGACACCTCTCTATCTAGTGAAGCCTCTCTACCCAACGGCACTCCTCCGACAGGCCCTGGCAATTCTCACACTTGGCAGCCCTTTGCGGTGCTCCGTCTTTCTAATAGGCACATCCTTGGTACTCATCATCCAACTGAGTACGATTCCTACGATGACTATTACAAGGCCTTTTCCCCAACGATACCGACATCATACCAGAGAAGAAAATGGAATCAATGCGAGATGTCTTCCGATCCTAGGATACTCAGCACACTGCACGCATCTCACTTCCAGGAATGCCGAGGCCTCCAAAGATCGAGGATTATGGAGCTCCAGCGGGGGTTTGGACACAGGACCTACCCATGTCCACGAACGCGGCCCGGAGGAGAAAGCGAGGAGACGGCGAACCGAGTACCGTCAGAGCAAAGGCACAACGAAAGGGTGAGACGGCATACCTCACTGTCGCCATTCAGAAGAAGTCTGGTTTGAGGTTTACCTGGCGACATTCCACAGCCGGATGGGGCAATGATGCTATGGTTGCCTACAAGAGCGGATATACTTGTAATTCAGCAGAGTTCGAGGCTATCGAATTGCATGATGCATACTGGGAGAATGCCATCAACAACTACAATCGGCAGTACGTGATCGCGCTTGCGGGCTCGAGAATTCGCCAAGCTTGGATCTAACGGTGCCAGGGGTCGCCCTCCAGCAATTCTTGATCACTTGCCGACTGAGGTCATGGAGTTGAAATCGGCGCGAGATGAGCAAGATGCCACGTTGGCGAAGATTTTGAAGCAAAAGAAATGGAGAGCTGCTCGCGAATGAACTGCCTGAGAAACACACATTGCTCCCTAATGGGTATTCTATTTTCTGTTTCAGGCGAAAAACATGGAACACTCGAGAGTTTGCACACAAAATATTTGGAATAATCCTACTGCAGTCGGGAACCCGTACGCAGATTACCTTATCAGCGTTCGTATAAACTACACGGACTTAACCTCCAACAATCTCGGCAGTCTCGAACCTGAGGGTAAACCTGACCGCCTCGTTGGATAAGCAAAATCGCTCTACCTTAGAGGAGCTTGCTCCTGATTCGAGCCTTACTGCTGGGCTCCGTACCTCATTGTGATCGATGAGGCAGCCCGTCTCAGTGAGAACATCTCGCTACTTCTTCCATCCGTCTGGCAATCTGCCTTCTGCCTTTTTATTGGCGATACCAAGCAGTTCCCCCCTCTTGGAGTCACTGTCGGGCAGAGCGATTTCAAGTCTGTCTTTGGTGCTCAGCGACAAGTCAGCCAGTTCCACTCCACCGCATGGAGAATGCTGGCAAGATGTTGTTTCGCCTACGAAAAAACTATCGCGCTCGCGTCAATGCTGTTGAATGGGCGCATACTATGTTCTATGGCGAGAACATGTCTGTAGTTCATCGCAAGCACACCCAGGCGACCAAGAACTTTCATGACTGAGTTATCAAGACCTTTGCCGCTTACAAGACTTATTCCACAACCCTCCTGATTCATCCTCCCAACTACAATGAATCCATGTTCGGCACCTCATTTTCCAACGAGGGCAATGCACACTACACGATGCAACTTGTCACTCAGATATACAAAGATGCCAGCATTCTTGACGCCCGAGACCTTTCCCGACGTGGGTCCGTCCTTATCATCGCTCCATACTCAGTACAGAAGAACTACTATGATCTTCTCCTGAGGGAGTTGACTGAGGCGGAAATCCCCAAGTCATTGGTCGAGGTGCGAACTGTCGACGACTCGCCCAGTCATGAGGCAGACATCGTTATCGTGGACTGGGTACGCACTAACAACAGAGGGTTCATCGCCGACCCAAAGCGAATGTGTGTTGCGCTCTCTCGTGCACGCATCGGTACAATCATGATTGATCCCGGAGACAAGGTGCCTTTGGCCTGGCCACTGAGCCACCTCGTTGAGTATTGTAGTGACCGTAGTGCCGCGATTGACTTGGGACGTCGCAAGGAAGACTAGAGGGAAAATGGAATGGGAACCGGAAAGTAAAGGGTATCATAGTCAAATACAAGAGTACCCGCATATGCCAATTCATGCCTGTGATGATGTCTGCCTCTGTGTTTTGTTTTAGAAGACTTTATATAAAATCTTCAGATAAGGTTATATGAGATTATGTAAACTGAACAGAGCATATTATAATTTATATAATCTTATATAAATTCAGTAGAGCATATTATATTTTATATAAACTTACTCAAATTAAAATAAAGCTTACTCTAATTTATACAATCTTATATGAATTCAATAGAACTTACTATAATCTTATATAACATAGAGAATAGAGGAAGACGTTGGTGCTTTTACGTGTCTACTATAATTTTAAATGCATACCAACATGCATATCATCTATAAGTACCTACACCATAATAGTCAACGAAATCATCACCGAGGCGGAGGAGGCCAAAGAGCGCATTACCAAAGAGCACGCTGTAACTCTGATGCCAGCGAGCTTACGAAGCTGTCCGAATGTTTTACATCATATTGAGATGACTTGGAGAGAATGTTTAGATTGGATTATAGCTCAGTGACCTCACTCTGCTCGGTCAAGGGAATATCATAACATATTCATGGATATGGCGGCAGAAAACCTCACGTATCTCGATGGCGGACATATACAGCATGATTTGACACAGAGCTGAGGGAAATCCTATATTAGCTGCAAAGACAAATTGATGATAGCCACAATAAATTTTAATCGGGCACTGGAAGGGATCTTCTTTATCCTGCTACCGGTTCACTTAAGAGCTTTATAATTGGCAACTTTTACAATACATTCATATCACCATACTAGCTCCCTGGGAGGAGGCAGACCGGTTGGCTCTCAGCCTGACATCCGAGTGCCATTCGAACCTGATGCCTGGCAGCGGGATGTTATTGAACGTTATCGTTAGGTGCAAGTGACTATTTTTGAGGCTATTTCCAAACACATCATATAGCCCTGCTTATATAGTTTCGTGGCTATGTCTCTATTAGAGGATACTGTCGCTAACAAAATCCAGTGTTGAAAGAACGTTCCGTCAGGTTTATCTCAGACTCGTTGTGGTTCCTAGAACGCTCGCCCTTGGTATCAACATTCCCTACAAGACCGTTGGTTTCGGCGATTCCATCTTTCTGTAGTCGCAGAACTATCGACAAACTTCTGGCCGAGCTGGCAGACGAGGCTTCGATCTTCCAGGCTCCACAGGTCAAGTTTGACAAGAAAGAGGGCTGATGTTGATCTTGGAGGCCTTCAGCTTGTTGGAGGAGTTTGGGAGAAAGTTGTACAAGATTGAAGCTCAAGCCAACGATGCATCATAAGGCAGAAAGTATTTATCCACCTATGGCCTTCAGAGTTACCATGTAGGTACCAGTACAAGATTCAAACACAAAAACAAAATCTTCCAAGATACAATCTCCCGAGGTTTAAAGGCGTCGTGCTGTACGGATAGCGTCGGAGATGTCTTCGCCCTTCGTGTCCGCGGGGAGTAGTATATTGACCGCCTCACTATGACCTAAAAAGCCCATCCATGTAATACAGCGGATCTCATGGTATATGGCAGTAACCAATGTTGGTTCATCAATTTCTCGTGTTTCGCCCCCCCTACCGTTAATCTTTATGACTTATAATAATACTTGCTTTTTGTGTCGTAGCCAAACTTACGTCTCCGCATTATCCTGAGGTCTAGGCTAACTGGGTAAACTGACCGCCGCCGCAATGACTCGTCTGAGACACGAAAAGATCTGGTCACGATATGCAAAAGAGTATTCTGGACTGATCCATCACTTTAACTGAGTCAAGTTGCCATATTATCTTCCCACCTTTTGTTGCGGCAAAACATAAGCCTGCTTGCCCCTCCCCCTTTTTTGCACAATCCCCTCACATTCCACCATTCCACGTCTTCTAGAAGTACGCACGGAAGCGCCGAAAAACAACGCCTTGACCTTCTAGAAGACAGCCACTGCTTTTTGGTTGGTTGGTCGGTTGGGGGGGTGTCAAACTAGATTAGGTACGTATCCAACAGTGCCTCCCCCACGCATTTTTTTGGCATGCATGTCCAAGGGCAGGGGGCCTGTCTTGCTGTATCGAGATGCTGCATGTAATGAACGGGATGCAAGATAATTGCAAGGGTTGAACAGCGACGGCCTCAATGGCGTCACTGAGCGTCCATGACAACAATGCACGTCTACTGTGCGTACTGAGCAAGACTAAGGGGGTAGGGGACTTTCTCTTATAGCTTCATTAAGATGTGTGTGTGTGTATATTCTTTTAATTCCTGTTTTCGGTGATGCCGTCTCTAAATGTCCAGAAAAGCAAAACGATTGTGAGCACAAGTAATTTTCCTCCGCTTCATCATCCAATATGTAGATAGTGTAATATAGTATAATATGCTCAGCAACCATGAGTGGTATCTCCTCCGAATCCCTCCATGTGAAAAAGGACAATGAGAACCATGATGTTAAAAACGATCATTTGCCATACAAAACAACCATGCAATGCAATTGTTGTAAAAATAAATAAATCAAAGCACAAATGACAGATGAGCCTCTCTATAAGCGGAATCAAATATTGACTGACCGGCCAAGCCAAAAGGAAAACATCCATCCATGTATATACAACCAAATATGTGTTGTGGATTGGGGGTTTGCACCCCGAGCAGGTATTCTTTTGTTGTACGCTGCTGCTCCTGCTAATGGTACACTGTAATGAGTCGAGACGGTATTGGGTGGGCTAGGACCAATCCAGGAATACCTGTGCTTGACACCAAGATGCGACTTTCTCCCTGGTCGCATCCGAATAGGCGCAGACCTTGCGCAATTGGGTGTTGTTGTTCTGTTCGTAGAGGCCACCATGCCTGGCTGACATCTGATAACGTCCGAGATCACGGATGGCACTCTTTCATGGTATCTTATGGCGCGTTTGAAGCTGATCCCTAAACGCCATTTCATGATGGTGAGGTGATAATGAGAATCATTAACGTGGGTCCTAGTCGGGGCATTCAATCGACCATTCTACTGGCCATGAGATGAGTTCATCTGCATATGGTGAGGCATCGAACGTGGATGACCTTGATCGCTCATTGAGTGATGCATCTGCGGGGGCGCAGCCATGGCGGTAGGCCTTGGGGTATGATAACCAGGACCGCTCGTACCGCTCGAGAAGCTTGAGTTAGTCCTAGGATCATAGCTGAAGAGGTCTCTTTGCAGGCCCTCAAGGATATGCAGGTCATTCCGAAGTGCGCTGGTTGCAGTTGCCGACTGTCGCAGAAACTGGATCGTCTTGTGGAAAAGAGTTCGCAACAGTTCCTCATCCACATAAGTGTGAAGCACAGGATCGCGGAATGCAGCTGAAAGAACCAGCAGGTTACCCCATTGTCTGTAAGGTAATTAGTTTTGGGTGTCAAGATCGTTAGAGGTATAATAAGACTTACGCGTGTGCCGTGCCGAAGATGTTGGTGATAATCGGCCTCTTGTCTCCCAAACCGTGGAAGGCACGAGTACTCTCGATAAGCGCCTTGATGCCCTTCTTAGCCAGCTCAACAACCTGAGGATCGATATCGCCATGAGTTCTCGCTTTTGGGTGAATGACGGGTGCCGTGACATCCTGTCGGAACTCGGAGCTGACTGTAGGAAAGTTGGGGCTTGAAGCGTGGTTCTTGATTGAGTGCGAGAATTGCAAGATTTGGCGGATGAACGGGCGATAAGTGATCACCTGCGCTCCCCAGTATTTAGCCCGTAATCTAACTGCCAAGATGTCATCTGCTGGTGGATCATCCTCTCTAAAGGCAAAGCTGGGGGCGACCCAATGCATGCCCGAGACAGCATCAGAGACAACACCGACGTTCCTAAACTTGTCCTTGCCGGTCTTGGCCGGGTCCTCGGGTGCGTAGAACATGCGGTGGATGCTGTTGAGATGCGTTCGCAGGTACAGCTGGCCAGGGTAACTATCGAGAATTCGCTGGTTGAAACCTTCCAAAAGACTCATGTTGGGGTGCGGCATATCGTCTTCGTACGACAGCAGTCCTGAAGGTGGCAGTTGCATTTCCGCAATGAGATCACTCTCGAGCTGTAGACAGGTCCAGAACGTCAAAGCAAGCTGATTATACTTCGTATCCTGGATAAACTCGCTGTTGCGCTTGATTCGTCTCATCTTATCCAAGCTCCTGTCATCTCATTAGTCTTCCATCTTCTTTACTTGAGGCATATATCGGTGGTACTTACGGCCTCATAATAACCTGTAATTTGTGGCTAGCCTTATGGATAAAAGCGAAACTCTCCATCGGCCTACCCAACTGGCCATGGTATAATCCAGCGAAGATGTTGGCATACACATTCTTCATATTGTTATACGCGCCAAGGTGGTTGCCAAGAATATCGGTAGCATACGCGAAATATTCTAGGCCAGGAATCACCTCATAGTTCTTTTTCAAGCTGAAACCCGAGCGGAAACCACCAACGCCGTGGATTGATGATCGGCGGCTGTGGATGTTTCTGTCGTGCTCCTTAGGAGACGGCAAACCTGATGAATGCGAGTGTGATGAATATGCAGGAGGTGAACCCTGGTTGGGCGACGGGGGAATAGCTCCATTGCGGACGGCTGGGCTACCATGAGGAAGAGGATCTGTTGGATGGACGACGTCAGGAACGTTATCACGATGCAAGCAGACCTTGCCCAAAGCTAGAACAGTGAGAACAAGGGCGCTGTGGATGGAACGATCTGGTCGGCCAGCACGCTGTGGCGCTGGTGTGGGTGGCTCGGATCCATCTGGTCCTGGCGATCGCTTCCTTTTTGAGCCGGCCGCTTCAGGTGTCTGAGAGCCTCCTCCAACGGCAAACGTAGGCTTGGACGTCTGGGGCTTTGTAGATCGAGGGTGTGATGCTGGGAGATTGTCCAGGAAATGCCTAACCCAGTAGTCCAGCAGCTTTGGTTGGATGATAGGGTGCATATTGAGAATGTTTTCTTTGAAGCTTTCCACATATGCCCAAACTTTCGACTCTGAAAAATCAGGGTTTCCGTCAAAGGCCAAAACACCGCCCTTGTATTCCACTTGATCCGGAGGGCTTAGTCCGCCAAGCTGACCCCAATCAGCCGCTGGTGAGGGAGATGCCATATCGGACGAGTCGTCGGCCATGTCCAGATTGCCGTGGTCGGTCGGTTCCCGAACATGCCGTGATGGATGAGAATCTTCACCCCGTCCATAGACAATCAATACGCCTCTGTTCTGTTCCTGACTAATAGGATACTCGCTGATGTACCGAATGCCTTCACGCTCAATGTGATGTCTTGTAAGGTCGCGAACTCCTGGCCAGTCCAAAAGCAGGCCTGCCAGAGTCGTATGGTTGATAGGGATAGCAGGCTCTCCGGGGGGGACGGGGGGGCCAGGTTCAGCCTCCATCTCATCCTCGGCCATCATACGTAGTGGCATAGGCTCTGATGATGGATGATCACGGTGAACATCGTTATAGTAAGGTTCGGCCCCGTTGGCAACGTAGGGCGATGCGGGCGCGCGTTTGTACTCATCATCCACAGATGTTTCCGTCTTCAATGTCGATGCCGCAACATGTTTAGGCAATAATAATTCCATCTTGACCAGCCTTTGATCGAAGCGCCCCAGATGCGACATGATCGAATTAAGTGATGTCTGAACTGTACTGAGGCCATCCAGAATATCGGCTTGAGCCTTGTCCGTGCTGTTTTGAGTATTTAGCAGCTGCATTGCAAGTAAAATCTTTTACTAAACTTACGCCTTAGGGACTGGGTCACGATATTTGCATTCTACGCCCTTTTCCTTGCAGGTTTTGCATGGTTTTGTCTCATCGCACTTGGCTTTCAACTGCCGGCAGCTGTCACACGCCTTTGTCATGTTAGCATTCGCGCATATCCTTTGCCGCAACTATTCATACCTGGGAAGCGCGTGTGTTCTTCTTCTTGGCAGGAACGGACGACGAATAGACACTGTAGAACGGCTCGTGGCTGGATGGGTAGCCTCCATGTTGCTCGTAGGACGACTGATGAGGCACGGGAGTCGGTGGAGGAAAACTCGGCGCACGATAGCCACCCGGGGTTGGGGGCATAGAAGGCGCACTCTCGTAATTCATGTGTCGTGGTGGGTTGTCTGAGTATGCGCCTGGTGGCGGTGGTGGAGGGAGTGATGTCGGTGGGAGATGTGGTGTTGACATCCCTTCGGGCGCATGGCCCGTCGAGTTGGGTCGGCGTTGATCCTCAGCAGGGTCCCGTTTTATGGGAGGATCTCTTGGGCCGTATGGCGGGTACGGGGGGTGCGCAGGATGCGCCGGTGACGAAGGCGGGTGTTGCTGCTGATGTTGTTGCGGATGTTGCTGCGGATGTTGCTGTGGATGTTGCTGCGGGTGTTGCTGCGGGTGTTGCTGCGGGTGTTGCTGCGGGTGCTGTTGTGGGTGCTGTTGTGGGTGCTGCTGAGGGTGATGCTGAGGGTGCTGCTGTGGATGTTGTTGTGGATGTTGGTGTTGATGTTGTCGGTGGTAATCTTGGACAGGAGGGTAGGGCTCTTGCGCATGATGGCGACGATCGGGGTCGTGATGCGGTTGCGCGGGCGCGGCGTGAGAAGGCGTCGGAGGCGCTGAAGAATGTTCGATAGATCGAGGAGGGTAATGTTGATATGGGCTCGGAGGAGGGTGAGGAGGATGATGTAGAGCGCCGGGCGGAGGCGGAGGAGGCGGCGGCGGAAGTTGATGAGCGTGAGGATGCGGTAGTGATACTGCTTGCTGAGTTGTGCCAACCGGCCACGAAGAAAGGCGTGGACGTTTACTATCTGGAGGTGCTGGATCCATGCTTGAGTACTATATATGTATGGTAGTACTTGCACACATAATCAGGAACGAGGCGAAGAGAGAAGCAGGGACCACGTAGAGGCGGTGGCCATGGATAGGTACAATAGGATAATGGCAGAGCCGAAACAAAAGAAGTCCCGGGGAGCGAAGTGAAGCTTCCAGCTGGTCTGGAAGGGAAAGCTGGAGGGGCGGATGATAATTGGGCCCTTAGCAGTAGAGGTTGAGAGACCAGAACAGCATGGGGGTGGGTGTGTCTGAAACGACTGGGTATGATGACATGTACGTGTACGAAGTACCGTACTCTCAGCGAAAAAGTGAGGTTTGTGAGAGGTGAGGTAGGTAGAGAGAGGTAGAGAGGGACAGTATGTCGAGCAGACTCTTCCAGCCAGCCCGGGCCCCAGTGACGCGGTAAGATCAGCAGTTGGGCAGAGACAAGATGGAGATTCGACAAGCTCTCTCGGTACCTGGGAAACGGACAACGGTGGGGGCACAGACACAATGCTGGTAGCGAAACGAATTGCGAGAGGCGAGAGTAGATGGCGAAAGAGACGCGCTCAAGACTCAGACTCAGCTGGAGATTGAGGGAAGAAAGGCGCAAATTTGGCGAGCGAACGGATCGATTCTTGGGAAGGTATGATGTCGACTCCAAGTCGAGCGCAATTCTAGGACCCACAGCCTCAAACCTCAAGGCACAAAAGACGGTCTGCCGGGGGGTGGGCGGACCAGGCGCAGAGCTTTGGAGCCAATTGACGAACCGACCCTGCCGAGTTGACAGTCGGAGGAGGCTAAACAAGGCCAGGGGGTTGAGGAACCTTGATGCTTGGCCGCGACTGGGGGAATGATGTCGGTCGGCGAAGGCTTTTCTTTGGCGGACCCCTGCTGCCCGTTTTTTTCTACCACCCCTGCGCTCAAGTGGAGGAAGGGAAGAATTGGAAGGCAGATATTCCGACGAGATGGAAGTCACTGTACCTGGAACCGAACCACGACTTGGCTTGCTTGCACTGATCTCGACTGGTTGGTTGCTGTAGAGAGAACCTGCCCTGACGTCGCTACCCGCGGGCTTGGGTTGGGTTTGATGCCCTTGTGCCTTGTGCCTTGTGCCTTGTGTCGCAGGCCTGATAGACCCTTTCCTTTAGCTGAGTAAGTAGCAATTAGAGTCCAGTCCAGTCCAGTCCGTTAGATCGGCTGATGACTACCGCTTATGGTCAACGAAGCGGGCGGAGATGTTGTAGTCGCAACACAAACGAGGTGAGAGAAGATCAATGTAAACCAGAGTCCAGAGGTAGTTAGCAGCTTTTAGAGAGACCGAAGGGACAGGACGACTTGTAAAAGCAAACAAGCGCGACATGCGAACAGTTCAAATCAACTCGAATCAACTCAACACCGCAACTTTGCTGCTGTAGTAGTGCCGCACCGCAACGCAACGCAACGCACCGAACCGTAATGGATGGATGCTCATGAGTTAGTAGTAAGTACCTGACCATGCGACGGACCGTCTAAAAGGTACAAGCTTCCGGCGGGAGATGATGGCTGGGTGGAGGTGGAGGAGAAATTGGTGGTGGTGCGCTGAGTTACAGTGGAGGCCTCGTGGTCACGACGTGGAGCCCAACACCTTAGAGGCGTCGTGTAGCGCACGACGGATTGTGCTTCTCAGGTCCACTAGTCTCATTTACTGAAAGAGATTTTTTCTTTCTGAAACTACAGTGGATACATGATTTACTGACCAGAGGTATACAAGTACCTACTATGTGAGGTATTGGGGGTAAATCATGCTGTATGGAGTAGAGAGCAAGTAACCCGGATTCATATCCCTCGGCACTCAGCACTCAGCACTCAGCACAAGTTGTATTGACCAGTGAACAAAGCGTCCCAATGGTTACAACGCTAGCAGTCCATTTATTCATTCATTCATTGTCTGAATTTTGGTACTGGAGCTCAGTGAAACCTAGACCGAAAATTAGACGGATAAAGTAAGCTCAATGTACCGTCGCCTAAAATTTGTACCGCTCTGTGCTGCAGATCATGGAGAAAAAGGTTTGGCTATGCCCGGTCCTTGCTTGGTCTCGACGGGCCGTTGGAGGTCGAAAAGAGGTGAAAGATAACGGAAATCTTGATACCCAACGCCAACCTGCACTGGTGTGGTTGGTATGTCGTGTAAGTGAGCAATGGACAGTGAACTTAAAAGATGATCAATTTGCAGTATCATTTTGCAGGTTAAAGCATATACACGCAGTTGTACCGCAAAACCTACTTACTTTCTGAGAGGTCAAAGCCCACAGTAGAGGGTACCGATACAAGCTGAGGACCCTTGGAGATCATTGGAGATTACACACCTGCATATCCGCTGGTAGTCTCTCCCAGTCTCCGTATTCTTGATACGTGCAAGCCCAACGAGTCTGTCTATCTGTCTCAAACCTCTCTCTCTCTCTCTCTTTCTGTCGCTGCCTGCAGTTTGGTTGTTAATTATCAATTATGCTTGCCGGGCATAGTCGAGCATATTGACCAAGAATTCGCTCATATCACGGCAGAGCTCGGGACTTTGCATGTTTCAATGAGGCACAGGAGCATGCACAGCACGGACATTGATCACCATGAAGCTCCAAGCAGCATGGAAGGCCCAAGCCTCTCAAGTCCCCTCCCCTGCGACTGCCTGAGTGAAAGGCACGCACGGCATGGGCCACGTGAAAGGTCGCAGGTGACTGTTCCATAAAGCGGAAGTCAACATCGGTGCGCAAAACAGCCATTGGCGGATTCCATTTGTCACACCCCTACGGAGCAAATGATGCGGTATTTGCTCCTTCCATGCGGTGGGTTTCCGCTCTTATCAATTGTGTATGTTCCTTCCATCTGGGCATCACAATCCCTCTCGATTGGGAAGCTCTCTTGACAAACAAATACCTAGGGTAGGTACGAATACATCATCGCAATCTTCATCAATCAACTTGAGTTCCATGGAAATTGCTCTCCTCTCAAGCAGATACCGCGTTGTGAGCAGTGCTTTCTCAACCATTTATTTTTCCATCAGCGCGCCAATCCTTTAACGTCATGTCATAGAGTGAGGGTATGTTTTCGAAATGACTTCATAAAATCACCAAAAGTCTGTCTGCCCTTTGGTCCGGTGCTCTCCGTTACAAACACCAGGTCATTGGGAACTATTACTTTTAGTAAATAATCAATTCATCCTTCGACACCGCCCACTGCCCAGACTTTTCGCGCTAGCAGCATCATATCGTCATATCGAAGTATTTGTGCCATGGCAACAAACATCGAAAATAAAACTGACATCACTAACAGTATGGACCGCGATACCCTAGGTCGCTTGGTGTTGGCTGCGAGATGAAACGAACAAGAAGCAAAAAAGACGGTTCACATCTGGGGTGCAGAATTACTAGCCAACAATTACCGACCAACAGCCGCATGTTACAGCTACAGAAGTAACGTAGCCTCGTCGATCACCTCGCAAATAAAGCATCACTGTGTCCGTACCTTTCTGAGTGCCCACAAGCCCAAGCTCTCTGCCCATTTGGTAATTCCGTAAGCATCGACAGTACAAACCCAATGTTTGACGTTTTTGTTTGGTCTTATCTTGCGGTGTGATTATATCTCCGGCGAACAATGCTTTCGATCGGCAGTTATTCCAGGTGTCATTACCCAACATTCGACTTCGTAATAAGCTGTCACATGGTGACGATCTCCAAATCGATCATTATCTCGGCTTGTTCGAAGTACTACTTCCCGGAACCTGTATAATATACGACACAGGTAGATCCCATCATATGCCGATAGCCAACAGCTCTCTTCATACCATAGCGCAGTGGCATAGATGATACGAACATCCACCTGGACTTGGAATCTAGCATAACGCTGTAAAGTCGACGAAATTCCGGTGGACCTCACAAGACCGTACGGTCCAGGTGTAACAAGTTGGACTAGCCAGGGTATTTTGTTCTACGACTTCCATGAGTCCTTCCAATATTCAAGGTATCGAAAGAATGACATGGGGTTTGCGAATGCTCCGCTCTTGTCTCAATCACACCAAGACTTGCCATGACTCTTGAACCCCATCGTCAAGACGTCGACACAAGACAATGCGATCTTGAGCGGGCCAGCTGCATTCGGTAGGTTCTAGCAACATTCAAGCGCTGTGGACGTCGAAGAGCACCCGAATCAGATATCACAAATGAAAATCTGAGTTGAATCCCGGAAAGCGTCTGAGTCGACGCTTTGACCTATCTCGCTTGGAGTAGGCGTTCGACAAAATTTTCATCACTAACTACCTACCTATCCGTACCACTTTACGGATACTTTACTCTATTTTGCCTTGCTTTGTCCATACTGTCCTTCACCTCAGCTCTCCTCTGCAAATCCAAGCCATACATGGAAGTCATAGCACATAACTTAGCTTCCAGATCCCTCGCGCTGACCGACAAAGCGAGATAACATGCTCGGTATGACCTAGGTCATCGGCTAATGCGCAACTAACAAGACTGACTGTCGACTATGCATAACAATTGCTGGTCACAATGAAGCAATGGCCGTCACCGCTTCTTGTTTTCTTCGCATGATTTACTACCTAAGGATACGGTGAATATCTTCCTCAGTTGGTGGACCCAGCCATCCACCACAGGAAAGATGATACTCGTGGGGAGAGAGAGTATGCATGAAATTACCCATCTTACAGCGCCTTTTCCCAGCGTACGTGCGTCAGAAGGTGGCTGTACTTTACAATGCTTTGACCATTCCTTTTGAGCATCTGGAAAGCAAGGACCCTCCACGAATTCACATTGGCTTGCCAAGGCGCAAAGACATTGCCCCTGCTCGAAAAGGCTTCTGGAACATGGCCTGGCCTCATCTCCTTCCACCGGGGCCGCCAACGTCTTTTGGTTGCGGTCGCGGATGCAAATCGATAGTCTATTGTACACCGCGCCGCCTGACCGATTGGAAAGTCTGGAATGGGTGATTGGTCGGTCTGTCGCCAACACGAGTGCAGATATTTCTTGCATGCAAGGTGCATGAGACTATGCTT